TTTGCGGTTCCGGATCCAGCTCTAAAACCTGGATAATCGTGTATTCTCTCTCGTGATGAAAGAAGTCAATTAGCTGTGAATACCCATCCATACAATGCTCCTTTTTCTTCCCTAATATAAGCATCCTGGCGATCTCTAATGTTGCTAGTGCTAACGATGTATGTTCACGAATGTCTGTTTCTGTATTGGACTTGTAGGTAACATTGATGAGCAAGCTTTCGGGAATTTCTTGAGTCTTAAAACTCGACTTTTTCGTGACAGCAGAATATCATAGGAAAGTGGCTTTGGATCACACAGTGGCGTTAATGCAAGCAGAGGATCCGATTCCTTCGACCTTCATATTCAGCCTGACCTTTGAACAAGTCTTTCCAGATCGGACTAATATAATAACGAAAGTAAGTTTATTGGACACAGAACAATTAGGTATTTTGTATTGATAATGAGAATGACAGCTTGAGATCTGTGATATTGAACTAAATATTAAATGTAGTGAGTATAGATCTGAATCGATGAAGATCTTGTCCTTCATAGCTTTTCGATTGGTTATACTGTACAAGAGGCTGTCCATAGGCCTCTGGAGAAGAACTGGTCTTATGACGATGTCAAAGAGAATACTCGCTTAAGATGAGGTTACATTTCAGGCAGTTTGAATGTAGTAAATCAAGGATAGTCACTGTCGCATTTGTGAGCCTGGAGGAGCAACTGCATGTGAGCTCACCTCGTTAACAGTAGTTTTCAAGCGTCCAATACAAACCTTCATGTATAGTGGAAAATCCTGACACAAAATCATCAATGGTTTCTGCGTGACTGACCAACCATCAAACACAGTAGGGCGTCCGAATTTTTCTTTTTTTTTTTTTTTTTTTTTTTTTTTTTATCATATCACTTACCTCTTCTTCCATTTATACCTCCATTATACTTTACGACACAATGAACACCGCGGACGGCCCCTCGTTAGGACGCCGACTCATGCCGCTATCAAACAGAGATTCTTAAATATCGACAAACTCGAAAAATCAAAATTGACCACAATCTCCAAAACCAGAATTCGCCTCTTGCGTAAGACGTCCCTATAAACCCACCGTAAGAATTTTTTATGGATGACTTTTAGAAATAGTAACTTCTTCGAAGGTTGGTTGAAGATTATATCTTATGAAAGAGAGCGCGTTGGATAGAGTCCAACAGTTTCATTTTTCATTTCCACTCATTAATACCGAACTGTTTTGGCACAAGTGATTGTCTTTGTTGTGTCTTCCCGTAGAGAGTCGGTAGAACCGGTAATCTTTCCATAACGAATAAGATATTCTTAGTTTGCTTAGTGTAACTTTATCGATTTTACCCAACAAAGATTCCTGCTGCTTATAGAGCTACCGGTTCAGGAAAAGCCTAGTGTGAACGTGACCTGCGGTACACATGTGACACTATTTTCAAACCATTCACTCAAGGTATTGACCTGGGAAAAAGCGGATACATTTATAAGCACTCAATTATATTACAGGTTATGACTATCCTAGGTGGTCTCCCGTGTTCCTTTCCCTTGCTGATCAATACGCTTCCACCTGGCATATAAGTAACTATACCTCTTGTCTAACCCAGGGATGGCTGGAATTTTTATTATTATTTGTGTAGATGCGCTGGAAAAATTACCAGTGCTATCTTGCTGTGGGTCTGAGAAGCCTTTTTCAGAAATTACAGCAAGTGCTGTGATGTTATACTTTCATGCAATGCAAGAACGCTCGGTAAGTTAAATGTGAACATAAGAAATAAGCGGGACTCTAATAAGCAATCTAGGAAAAAAGGCCACCCTAAAGCTGTTTGCATACAAGACTTTTGATGCCAGATGATTAGGATGACCTTCCCGGCAACAACTCTACCAGTAATACCGTTATAAGCTCCACATCGAGTACATGATTATAATAACTGCTCCTTAGGAAAAACCTTGATATGATCAACCATGAATTTGCCCGGGTTAAATGCGTGATCAAATCGAAAGAGAAAAGCTCCCGAGAATGAATGCAGGTCCGAGGGACTGGCGATAGTAGCATTTGGGGACGCAAATTTGAAAACGACGAAAGGATATGCGCCCTTCGCGATCAAGGTACGGCATGATGGTCAAGATATATCCCAGAGCGTCTTGTTCATCAAAGAGTCGCTAGGGAGTCCGGAAAGCCCTTGCTCAGAAAGCATTGATAATTCTCGTTGACGAAGACCTAACCAGCAAGGTGTGCAGTCGGTGCGATTCGGTGACAGTCCAAGTACGAAAGATGAGCAGCTGCTCGTATGCAACCACAAGTAAGCTATAGCGAACTACAGCATTGTATCGTCGTACTAACCCCGATAACAGGAAGACGTACTGTCTACTGAGAAAATGTCCATAAAAGGCCAAGAAGACGGTACCTGGACGAAGATCGGAACATCATTTGTCGTTCATCGAAATGCCGTCAGAGAGCCGCAGGTAAGTCCAAAAAAAGAACTCATTGAAGTTATGTTAATGATGCTGATACGCAAGTAGGTCGATCTTGGCAGCCGTCACTTACCCATTAAACTGTGCCCCCCAAGTGCAAATCGGCTAGTGGCGATGCCAAATCACTGGTAAGTAAAAATCAGGAATTCTGAAAAGGGTTTGATAAATGACCATTGGTGTTTCATTTTAGTCGCCCAAATCAGCTCTCCTCCACCTGTTCTTTTGTCGTCCAATCAACGCACGAGATGCGCTAGGCGGTCAAACTGCCCCTTAATTGTGTCTTTTTTTTTTTAGATGAACCGTGGGCCGTGGATCACTTTCCGAATGTAAGCCACTGTGGCCCGCATAGTTTGGAAATAGCAATCATAGAGAAAACGGAGACACATCCTTGACCTCGAGCATGCTTTGACTTCTTTTTTAAATATAGTCCGAACACTAGTCAGTGTTACGATCAACGCTTGGTGTGCGACGACGTGAAGATCAACTTGCGCAGGGCAAACGCGGTCAGGCTCCAATAGGTGGGACCAAAGCAGGGACGGATGAATGACTCACACGCTTGGGATACAGCAATCAAGGCGAAAATGGATGCGAAATGAAAATGGCGAGATGTCATATCTTTGAACTCGAGCATACTTTGACTTTTTGTTCAAGGTAGGCCGGGGTACTCGTTGGCGGCACGACCAAGGCTTGGCACGATGAGCTATGGCCACCTTGCGAACGCTAAGTCAGGATGGACTTCGTTGTTGGGGGGCCAAAGTAGCAATGGATGGTCGTGACTCACACCCTTGGAATAAGGAGCTTCGACGAAAACGGAGACGAACGAAGATGACCAGGTATCAAATAAGTTTGAACTCGAGCATACTTTGACTTCCCGTTTTAAATGTAGGCCGATACACTCGTTAGTGATACGATCCGGGCTTGGTGTAATGAAGAGGTGATCATTCATAAAGTGTCAGGTTTAGAGAAGCCGTGAATATGGATTGCCAAGTCCATGCGTAAAATAAAGTTAGCTCCGATAAGAAGAGATTCAGTGAGTGGCGCCACTCCGGATTAGACTGCATAAATGACATGAAAAAGATTTTTCAGCATGCATTAGGTGCTTTTCTCTTTTTTCATATATTAATAGTGGTACTACACTTTCCCTGTAAACCGGTGCCTGTCAACATACAGATGGATGAATCTTCTCCGTGTGTTCTCATAGAAGTGATGTCTGATGTATCATAGCAGATCCAGAATCGATTCATTTGTGTCGGATGGTATCCGCAGCATGACGGGATTTTGGCGATCCTTTTTTTGGATGTCCGCCCATCAATCCAAAGTTTATTTTACGCATGGGCCCGGTTACTCCATTTTCATGGCTTCTTTGAATCTTGACACTTTACTGTTTTCACACCGTCCTTTCCCTTGCCCAAAATAATGGTGGATTCCCCGCTATCTGCGTCTTTTTTCATTGAGATGGGAGCTCATTCGAAAAGTTGATTTTGCTAGACGTGCCTTTTTTGGTAAGCGAGGACCCAGATCAGAAAACGACGAAGGAAAACGATGCATGATAAAACGAAAAAGGGCGTCGTTTTCTTTTTTTTGCTCTTCTCCCACTTTTCTTTTTACTTTTGATTTTTTGATTTTTTGATTTTTTTTTTTTTTTTTTTTTTTGCTCTCTCGCCTCTTGTTTGATTTACTACTAATATCGCGCGCCATTTTTTTCTCTTTAGCTGCCACTTGAGGGATGATGGATGACAAGCACTGATAGCGCATTAGCTGCGGACCATCCTTTTACTGACTTGATCTTTTTCTGTTGTTACAGTAGATCGGCTAACTTTCTATTGCAGTGTCATTAGTACAGCATTGTCGGGCAGCTCGATGTAAGGTAAGAGAAGTAAGGTAAGTGAAATCGGTGGGTTAAAAAAAAAGACACTGCAAAAAATAGGCCAGACGGAAAAAACGGTGGGTAGGAGGGGGGGGGGACAAAAAAAAATGGCATTGCCTGCAGTAAAAAAACCACCGCCAGGGAAAAAAAAATTGGCCGACAAAGGAAGAGGAAAATGGAAAAAATTGGAAATGAACGTGAGAGGAAGGTGGTGAAGTTGTGTGTGTGTGTGGGAGGGGGGGAGGTGGGTGTGGCCGTTTTGTGGGCAGACGAATTGAGCCGGTTGCTGTCAAAGGGCAAGTTTCTATTTTCCTTTTTTTTTTCGCTTGTCATTTCGCTTGTCGTCCATGATCCTCTGCCCGTTATGGTTCCTTCTCTCTGGTTGCCTGGAAATGCCATTGATTCCAAGTTCCTTTTTGCTTGGTGCTCTAGCATAGTTTATTTGCAGCTGTAACAAATATGTATTGATTCCAGCTTGTAAATTGACTGTCAAATAAAGCCTTATTTTTATTCTACCTTCATTCATCGGCATGCCGACTCGCATGCGGGACCGCCCTAAAGGTATCGTAAAACCTGCGTGTTCGGTGCGTGAGCATATGTATTATCCAATTTTCCAACTTTACGTCAAGGCCAAGTTTTAACCAAGTTTAATTTAATTTGATTTCTTTCATGTCTGCGCGTGTGTATGGGAGGCGTGGTACGGTATATCGAGCGGTGATCTTGTTGGGCTCAGATGAAGCTAAACGTACTTTATTTTTATTTTCAGCATCCGCATTTTATTCTTGTTTGCTGCCGAAATGGAGATCAACACAAAAGGCACCGCCGCGACGATCGTCGAGGAAAGCGTTGTACATAAACGGTAATATTTGCTTTTCGTCTTATGTGACTTGTTACTTATGTCTTGCACACAGTTTCATTACCGTATGGAATCGCAAGACACAGTTCAACGATGGTCGAATCATTGAATGGGATATTGCAGGCCATCAAACGCCGTATCCCACGTTCATTACAGTATTCACATTCAATACGTCCAATGTAGGTCACCTCTATCCCTTCTTTTCCGCCTGTCAAATCACAGACCGATTGACTGGTCTTCATAGCAATCCACTTGTCTTTTGAAAGAGTTTGCTCAAGGAACCAACGAAATCGTAAGCATCACGCCACCCGTCCAAGTGTTGACCGCTGTGAGAGAATAAAAGTTCTCATCCCCGCCGTCTTTTTAGAAATACACTTGTGTAGCCGGATCCTACGACCGTAGAAAACACACAAGGTCAGTGAGTGAGGTATTCTGGTACACAGAGAGGTAGAGAGAAAAACTCATATGGCCGTGTTAGTCCACTTGAAGCCGCGCAACATGAACTTTCGGAAGAAGCTCAGTTGACAGGTGGTGAATGGATTTGTTTACTTCCAGAGGATCAGCCCGATGGTATCAGTGAATTGAAATGGGGTAAAAATCGCTTTGTGCCGTATCTTTGCATTAATCCCCACGCGGATGCCAATCCGCGACAACGAGACTTGGAAGAGTGCATCGAAATCGTCGACAATGTGTCCACTCGGGATCTCAAAACTTTTATTACAAAGGGACATGTCATGCTGCCCAGTGTGCAAACGGCATGGATGGCGCTCGAATATCTAGCAGCAAACAACATGCTCAACTAAATACATGGGAAGGCTTGGTTAATTCCACCAATTTCGTCAATTTTTTGTGATCCTGTTAAGCAATAGATGATGAGAACTTATAAATTATTCAGAGATCCCCTGTTCACAATCTTGTTACCTTTTGTAATTGTTGAAGCTCCTTCTGCATACTAAACAAAGAAGCCTCTTTCTGGGGTGCTTTACTTAGTGATTTCATGTAGTCATCCAGATCTTGTTCTTCATCCTCTTTACTCTTTGCTCCTTCGGCGTCTACAGGTCATGTCCATATTGAATATATGAAGCGTTGATTCTCCTCTAGCTGTTTCATACGACATACCTCTGACTTTTCGCTGGTCGATTTTCTCCTGCAATTCTTTCATGGCCTTTTCAGTCGCGTTTTTGCGGATCACAAGATCGTCATGCGTTTCAGCCTTCTTTTCCGTTTTTCGAGCTTTCCTTCTCTTCGTATCTGGACCCATGGAATTCCTTACTTAGAAGATGGTCTTTTTGATGAATGCGATCGATCTTACCTGTACGATCATAAAATGTATCGTCATCACTGTCATCGCCACCAAACATAATTTCCAAGTCCTCTCGTCGTCGTTCTGTTACACACAACGCACGCGACATTAATGATCAGTAAAATTGCCTTGTTAAGCCTGATTCCTTTGTAATACTTACTTGCTGTAGCGGCAGCCTGGGCTTCGGCTTCTACCGTCAAAAGGGCTGCATCACCGGATGGTGCTCCTTTCCTCTTACTGCTTGCCTCATTTTCTTCATCTTCCTCGTCTTCTTCATCTTCTTCCACGGCATCCTCTTGGAAACCCCTGCAAGAAACGTTGTGTGAGTGGCACGTAGATCGAGATCATCGAAATAAAAAAGATGGAATCCATCATTTATTACCATGAAATCCCCTGATCCTCCTGTGCTTCTTGTTCCGCTTCTGCTACGTCATCTTCGTTTACATGCTCGACATCTGCGGCTCGAGAACGATGGCGCAGTGCTATCCGATCCTCTCTTTCAAGATCTTCTTCAGAAACTGGTTTGGTTGTCTCATATACAAAGATGCGTGTACTTTCGCCGAATTGTAATTGGTCGCCCGGTCGTATCAGGGTGTGTACGCGCGGGGGAATGTGCTTCTTGTTCAGTTTGGTACCGTGGGCACTTTCCAGATCGTAAATATAAGCATCACTGTCCTCGTTAAACTGTAGAACCGCGTGATATCGTGAAATGGACTGTCGAAGAATAGAATAGCATGTTTGTTAGCCACCGAGTTTCGATCGTTGACGATAGTCGTGTGCTTACAGGATGCTCCATTTGTACGTCACATAGAGGAAGTCGGCCTAATGGATCGGTTAGACAAGATCTATGTGACCATGCCTTGGGGGTGAAGACACGTACCAATGGTAATGACGTCTTTCTTGGGTCCTTGAATCTTGTCGATACTGACCCCGCCTTTGAGTACTTCCAAAGTGTAGCTGTAAGCAGCGACGCCGGCCCACGAAGGTTTGGTATATTTCAAAGGAGGTGGTTGCGGAACATCTGAAGCAGAACGCTTGGGTGGAGGTGGAGGAGGAGCAGCAAATTCAGAATCGTCTGCCATGGTTTATGCGCGGTAGTGAGGTAAGCAAGGTGGCCCACAAAAAAAAAAAAATCAATTGAGGGCACTGACGGATTGTGACTTGCAGATCCGTCTGTGCCCAATTTTTGCATAATGCCTTTTCCATTGTTTTTCTTTTCCCCACAGCATCGTCTGTCCAACAGAATAGATGATCCTTTTACTGTAATGATACAAGCTTTGGTATGTTGTAATCGAGTTCTTATAGAGATGAGGAATGGATCCGTCAGACCTGAAAGATGGAAGCAGTTTGTTCATGTTTCCAAATCAAATCCTAGCTGGAATACTGTCAACCGACTCCTTTTTACATAAAAAATCTCAGGCCAAGTAATCTTGATATGCTCATTTTCGCGATGGAATTGAATTTTCGATGGCACATTGTTGAGAATATACTGTAGAAAGTTAATGATAGATCACACTTGTCACGCTTCCAAAAAGGTTCCGTATGAATTCACGACGTCCAATGTCAGAAAGTGTGTTGTATGCTTTTTGATGGATTTGGTGCAACTACAAGCACTGAGGAGTGTGAGAAATTAATTTCTCGGACAAGGCTACATTGGCACCCTGAATATTTGATTGAGTTAAAAAAAAAAGAGCATTTTAAGTGGTATGATTGATCATGCGTCGTGTGCTTTAGACAAGCCATGTTTCTTATGACCAAATTAAGGCGGACAATAAGCTGACCGACGACGACCAAAGCCTCGTGCCACATGGCAGTGCATGACGACATGTCGACCACCACTCAATGGCAAACCCTTTCTGCAGCGAATCGTCCACCATATACAACGTGTAACTAGTATTAGAATTAAGCAAGCATTTGAATGAATTGGAGAGTCAAGAAAAAGGGGCGGTGGATCTTTTTCCAACAAGATGTGTGCTTTAGTTTATTGGCTGATCAAAATTTTGTGTGGGATTTGAAATTTCTCGCTTTTTTGATTTCCTTTTTTTCTTTTCCTTCTCCTACTATTTTAGGCAAGAGAAAGACCAACGAAGGAAATCGACAAGGTTTGAAAAACGAAAGCAATGGAAGATGTGGATATACACCTTGATAGCGGGCGATACCTACAAGAATATGTTGCCAGTAAGTCAACGATCGATCTTGCATTGAAAGTCTATCACACCTATGGATCGTTGACTGATCCAACTTGCCTTGGTAATAAATACTCGTTTAGGCCTAGAAAATCTTCCGAGTGAAATTGCATATCATTGGGCAGAGATACAAAATCGAAACAATCAGTGCCAAGGTAGGCCAAAGCATTGAGTACAAGGATATCAAATCGCGACCACTGACGAGCTTGTATTAACAGCGTTGGAACGTCGTATCCAGTTGCAGCAGCAGGATCTGACAAAGATTCATCGTCAATGGTTCCAACCCGATGCAGACAAGAAGGAAAAACTGCTCCGACAAGAACCCTCCATTATTCGACGCATTCAACGTGATTACGAGAAACTGAGCGAACTGTCGACCGAACGTATTCAGTTGGCCGAGGAAGCCTTACGATTGGTAAGTTTTTTAGCAAAGAACTGACAAGAATCGTAATCGACCATTATGCTGAGCTTGCATGGTATGACAAAAAAATAGTTGGATCGTCACTTGCATCGATTAGCTCATGATCTCGATGAGCTCGACAAGACCCATCCCGACTTGGCACCTGCAACAAATGTATCACCTGCGGCTGTTTTACAAAGAAAACGTAAGTGTAACCGTGGCCCCGCTTTATCTGTGAAAGGAAACTCTAACCCGCCTTTCGACTCGTGAACGGGTGCATTAGACGGCGAACTAATGTCCGATGTGGAAGGATTGACCGAGGATGATCATGTCGATGAAGAAGATGAAGAAGAGTACTACCATGCCATGATGGCCCAAAGACATAAGAAACGCAAGAAGAAAGAAGCAAGAGACAATGACGACAAGAACGAAGAACCTGTCTATTGTTTCTGTCGTCAAGTCTCTTACGGCGAAATGGTTGCTTGCGATGGCGAGGTAACACAAGGAGATCTTTGCCCTCCCCCCCCCCCCTTTTTTTCATGCGTTGCTTGGAAACGTATACTAATCAACCATGTGTTTTTCCTTCTCAGCATTGTCCGTTTGAATGGTTCCACATGGAATGTGTTGGATTGGATGCACCGCCCAAAGGAGCTTGGTATTGTGATGAATGTGCGGCTGAAGTACAATCTAAACGAAAAGAAATCAAAAAGATGAAACGCAAAAAGGAATCCATGATGTTATCCTAATCATTTCTCTCTTTCCCTTCCCTGTCTCTCTTTCTTTTTCTCCACTCACATGCTAACCCATTAAATTGTAATAACTATTTCCTGATGTACATTATACTATAAAAAACTTACTGCGCAGATAACACTTGTATCATTTGAGATTGTTATGTATAATTTCGTTTTTTACTTGTTCTTTTTCTTTTTTATTGTCAAACATAGGTGTCTTTTTTTTTGTATCTTTACGTGATTTGTACGAATAAAAAAGGTTAAATTCTTGGTATCTCATCAGTGTGTAATTTCTTGGAATAACATTTCTATGCAAATGACCAGGTACAAAGAGTTAACATCTAAAAAATACACCTGTATGCATGTGTGGGGTTCAAGGACTTACGTTTCAATTGCTCTTTGGTAAGTTGATCTTTGTATCTATCAAAGTCAAAGAAACTTTCGGGAATCGGGGGTGCGTCAGGCTATTGCAAAACGCGATCATGAGTTTTTCTATTGACAAAGGCCACTCAATCTTATCACTTCCGCTTTTTTTTTTACCTCATCGTCAGGATCATGATACTAATTCATAAATAGACAACCAACATTAACGATACATTATTGATAACCAAAATCCTCTTACGAATATTCGACGTACCGGTTCTAAGTAAGGATGTCTTAATGCTTCTTCCACCGTAATGCGTTTGGTAGGATTGAATGTGAGCAGCTTTTCTAAGAGATCCACGGCTGTAACGGGGAGATAAATCAAGAATCAGTCAACGTATCAGAAACTTTTTTTTTTTTTTTTTTTTTTTTTTACCTAACGGACTGGCATTGGGGAAAAGCCGTGAAAAAGGAATACGCTTTTTGAATGGCAAGCTGCGGATGTAATCTCGTGCCTAACGCTGGATGATCAGCTTTTTTTTTCTTTCGCTCATAACTTGTGTCCCACGGGTCAGAACCACGGCTGTGAACTTACCCTTCGGCTCTTGATCCCATAAAAGTCATCCATGGTGGGTGTACCCAAAACATCGAGGATCAGGGTTAATTGGTGATGATAATCTCTTCCCGGAAACAATGGCTTGCCACTGAGCATCTCGGCCAGAATACATCCCACCGACCACACATCAATTGCCTTTGTGTACTCTTTAAAGGTTAACATGATTTCAGGTGCACGATACCATCGTGTCGCCACATATTCCGTCATGAAACCGCTGTTCTCGTCGGCTGAATTGGACGAACGCGCTAATCCGAGATCACAAATCTGTAAAATAAAAAAGTTGGAATAAACGATCACAACGTGTGGATCAACGACGTTTTTTTTTTTTTTTTTTTTTTTTTTTTTGCACCGTCTCTGGTCTGTCTCACGGCATACGTACCTTCAAGTCACAGTTGGCATTGAGTAACAAATTACTTGGTTTGAGATCGCGATGAAGTACATTGGCCGAGTGCATGGCTTTGAGAGCGCGCAAGGTCTGGTAAGTGAAATATTGGCAATGATCATCGGATAAGTCTTGAGTGCGGATCACTCGGTGCATATCGGTTTCCATGAGTTCCTGAATAAGGTAACTGTCAAAAGAAAGTTAGCCAAATTCGGACCACCGCCACGCCCATTCTCCCGGGCAAGAGACGGAAAAACTCACACTTCGGTAAAATCGTCAATCGTTTTAGGCTTGACGATGTCCAAGATGGATATAATCTAGAATTCCATGATTTCATCAATATTCTTATTTCCATTGCCCCTTTTTCTCCCATAGTAATGATTGTGTCAAAATTTTTGTCACCCAGGTGAACCCAATTTCATTATATCATCCTTTTTGTCGACCGGGTTGTATCCATGAGACCATTTTATCGCATTGAAGTGCAACCCTTGACACAAGCAACTATACTGAAAAGAAAGGAATGGGTTCACTTACGTTTTCATGGTTGAAATATTTCAACAGCTTGATTTCACGCAAGGTACGTAAGCAAAACATGGCATGATCAAAGGGTAAGATGCGCTTGATGGCGACCATTTGACCCGTCGATTTGTGGACCGCCGAGCTACGACCGCAAAGAAACGAGAAAGATGATGAGCCAAATGCCATGGACACGACAAACTCATCGGATAGTCCCTACTTACCAAACCACACCGTAAGCACCTTCGCCCACAACATCAATGATGTCGTACTGGCTACCGGCGTTGAAATGTTTAAGGCGGGCTTCTATCTCGTCACGACGACTCTGAGCCATAGGAAATAGGGAAAGAAAGGGGTTGTCAAAAACCGGTGCAGACAAGAAGAGCGGAGAAAAATGGTAATAATCTTGGCTCTGTTTTATCCAATAAAATGAGAAATGCGAAGGAGAGCCCAATCATGGTGGTACAGACGGATGGGAGGGGTCCGAGCTTAGGCTTAGTTTAGCAACACGGCAGTATCACTCGAATAATGAAGCCAATAACACTTTAATTTCGCGGGGATTCTCCTTCGTCTCCCTACTTGAACTCAACCATTCACTCGCCGTCCAATGCATCAATTTTCTTTTTATACTTTTTTTTTTTTTTTTTTTTTTTTTGCCTCGGCCTTTTGAATCATTCCAGCTCCAATAATCTGCTCAATGATAGCGGCTGTCAACTATTTGTTGCTGCACAGACTTATCTGTGCAGACCACGTTGATTCATTTAAAAACAAACTTTCCAGACTGAAATAAGCATCTTCCTTTAAAGAGAATCTCACATTCATTATGCTTCAGCGATAAACAGGTCGATTGTCCTTTCTTTCTTTCTTTCGTTAAAAGAACTCTGAGGATTAGATCCATTAAATTGTATGGCATAGATGAAATGGGAGCAGTCTCACACGAAGGAAGCAACACAATGAAATAAATTCTTCGCTTAAGGCTGTGTGACATGCAACATCGAAAGTGTCAAAAAGCTTGAAAAGATCAGTTTGTCATTACATGACAACCTATTAGAGAAAATCCTCAACGCAGAGGAGAACGACTGGCATTTCCAAATGAAAAATGGGAGACTACTCTAAAAAAAAGTCTTATGCGCATGATTATGTGTTATGTATGAAATACAGAAAAAATAAAATTGGTGAAAATTCGAATATGTTACAGATGGGTGACTAAAGGCTTTTCTTTTTTTCTGCCTCCAGCTTTCGATGTGCATTATCTTAGGGAAAACGAAAAAAATAATTAGCTACCGTCAGCTTGGGCCGTCGGCTTTTTCCACATAAAAAAAAATCTTGATTATACACGACTTGATTTGGAAGGTCGTTGATCTTCCGAGATGTCCAGATCGTCTTGATCCATCCCACTTTCGTCGTCAGAAACCCGCGGCCGCTTACGTGATGCATCACTGCGATAATAGTCGTTCATCAATATTGCTTGCTTGGAAAGAAACAAAAACAAAATGCCACTTACTCTTTATCAAAATCCAAGTCGGAATCTTCGTCGGCGCCGGATTGGTATGATTGTGAATTATCGAGATTATCGAGATCATCAAGTTCATCCATCAATTCGTTGGCAATTTCATCTTCAAAATCTTTCCATTGATCATCCTCAGTATCGGCATTCGTGCTTTTATTGTCTCCATCGTCTTCCTCCCCTTCCGTGCCGCCGCGATCATTAGGTTGCATGTCGGTTTCCGATACATAGCTTTTATCCGTTTCGTCGTCGTCCAAACACTCATCTACCTCTTTGTCGGCTTCGTCCCAGTCGACGTCCTTGACAAATTTTAGTTTTGGGTCCTCAAAAGTATCGTCTTCAAGATCTAAGGGAGTGGATTCGGGATTTTCAATCTCACCCTCAGTTTCATGCATGGGCCCGCTCATCGGTAACGCGTATTTGCTTTCATCTTGCAATTTCCAATGCACGGTCGAATCAATCAACCAATCCGACGTCACAATGTAAGGCGGTTTCGATGCCCTTCGTGCCATATGCACTTTGGAGGTTCCATCCTGAAAAAGAAAATATCGCTCGTCAGTCCCAAGTTCAACTGCTCTGAGCGCGTATTTTTCATCTTCTTTACCTTTGCAGCGACAAGGTGGGTGACCCGGCCGGTCAGGTCAAAGGAGCATATTGCTCCAAACATCTCGGCCAATTGCCACATCCAGAAATGAGTAGGATGCTGCTGTAAGGGAATCAAACCGGAAAAGACAATGTTAACATCCTTCAGCACCTTTTTCCTGATATTTTGGATAATTTCCACAACATCAATCTTTTTGTCGGACGAGTCTTTGGTGGTATAGAAATCCCGATGGATTCTTTTTAAGATCTGTGAACGTCATCAAAATGTGAGTGGGGGATGAGGCAAGCCTCCAAAAAAAAATGGGCATCTACCTCTGTCATACGATATAATTCCTTGTCGTCATCTACAAGCAAGGGTTTATCCGTTTTGGAAGACAATTCGTTCTGTTTTTGAGCCAAGGGTCGTAACTCTTGCTGTTCCTGCGCCATAGCATCCTGAACACGTTCTTGTTCTTCCAAGCTTGGTCCCTGGACCGACTCTTCTTCCTCCGATTCTTCTTCGGACTTGGTATCTTCTTTCTTGTCTTCTTGTTCTTGCATCTTTTGTCCTTCGACCAGTTGTTTCTGTTCTTGCTCGTCCGATAATACTTGACCATCCACTGGCGGCAGGGCCGCCGACGTTGGCAGGGTTTCAGGGGCCGCTCCTTCAGTAGATGGCGGCGGCGGTGACTGGGCAAACTTGGTATCTTGTGGCGTTGTCTTATTTTTCGTCATCTTTTCAGTATCGATTTCCTCTTTGAGAATTGTAGCAGAATCTTTGTCTTTTGCTGATAAGACCGGCTCTATAGTCAATGTTTTAATGGTCTGGAATAGGCAAAAATGTCAATAAAAAACTCTTACTCTCGGTTGCAGGTTTGGTGGGTGGCAGGATGGGTGTCTTTTGAGGCACAGCCACTAACTGCGGCACCGTTTCAAATTCCTAAGAAAGGTAATATAAGAAAAAACTGTCATAGACCCTCTATAACACACGCTAAAAAACATACCTTTTTTGGTGCAAATGGGGAATTGATATCACCAATACCGACAAAGAATTCATCTATGCATCGGATATTAGGATCAAATCACAAATCAACAAGGAGGTCCAGTTTTATCGTCGAATACATACATGGCTTAATCTTGATGAGATTGGGAGAGAAATTCCACACGTCGGCTCTATCGTCGAGAATGACGACCATGCTCTGATCGCAAGGAAACAGACGTTCTAGATTCTTGTGAATGGCACCTACACGAAAACCACTGGTAAGGACACCCCATCAAAATTTTGCAATCCAGCACCACTTATCACTTACTTCCGTTTTCGTTACGCGAGATAATGCGTTCGCCAAAGAATTTGCCTTCAGGATCGATCTTTTGAACGACGGCCTCGGCATAATGACGGGTGCCCATGGTGTAGATGTGCATATCGTACAACTTTGAAATTTCCGCCAGAAACTCCGACAATCCAGGTCTGTGGAAAATTTTCCCAATCGAATTGGATTGAAATGAGCTGAGCGAAAGAACAAGGGCCACTAAAAAACAGGCGCTTTTTTGTTTTTTTACTTACCTTAGTTTGATGTAATAAACGCGACTGCTTCCAGGCAGTACAAATTGATGGATATTCTCCATGGCCTTGTGATTGATATTATGTTCATCGTTTAACCATTCCCCCACGGTGGGATCCCAAGCGGCGTGAACCACGGTTTGATCCAAGTCGACAATCAGCGATAGCTTTTTAGATTTTGTCAATTGCGCGATATTTTCTTCATCCAATCGTTCCGCTTCCTTTTAAGCATAACAGAAAGACAAGGCGTCAGTAAGCGAACACTGTTATACCGGAGCCACCAGTCAACGCATTGTCTTTTTACCTTTCGAGACACCGTCACGCCGAGTTTATCGTGAGACATGCAGATATTAGCCGATTCTTCCTCGTCACTATATGCAACCAAAAGGAGCATTTCTGTCAGTCACCTTTTGTCAACGTAAAAGAATATGGTATTTAAAATTACTGTGTAAGAATAGTGCCACAAAGGGCGCAAAGACCGTTGAACTGTACTTCGTGGGAGCAATCTTCCATTGAATTTTCTAAAGAACAAAAAGCCAAAACGCAACGGTGCAAAAGAGGTGAGAAAAAAAAATTGCGTCAGTCTATCCTGTGAAATAGGACCCTTACTTTTTTCTTTTTCGCAACTTTTTTATAATGTCGTTCACAGAAGGATGTTGGGACGTTTAATTTGGAGAATTCTTTTTGGCTTTCAGAGTTGTCTACAAACTAGGCCAGTCATGAGGTTCAACGTTAAGGAGCCAAAAAATAAGAGAATGAGAAATCGGTACCTTTTTCTGCAAATGGAGGCAAGAGGCGTATTCTGGATTGTTAATGAAAGGCAGCATTAGTACGGAACCGTGGTCATGAGCCATTCACTATACGTACGAGTGGATAATCAGTAAAGCCACGGCTGATCAGCTAAAGGAGACGCAAAAGAAATTCACAGATTAAAACCCGTCTCGAATTACTCTTGTTTTTTTAAATCGCAAGTTAAAAAAAATTGGCATGTCGTCGACCATCCGAAAAGGAAATCCTGAAAATTGAGTATTTAGCACAGTAACTGTAAGATACACTGTCATGACTTTTTTAAATCACAAGACAACGATGCTGGTAAACAGTATAACAAGGAAGATGATAACAAAAACACGTGTCGCTTACTTGCCGAGCACGCATTTTTTTCCCTTTTTTTTTGGATTCGTCGTAAAGTAAGCGACAGCGCGTAAGGTCATTGAAAGCTTGTTTAGATTTCTCTGAAAAAAAAAAAAACACCATGCCCTCCAATTGATGAAAACTGTACTTTACAAAAGGAACGAAAAGCGAATCCAGAAAAATACATCATTGGATCTTGGCATATTTGGTGGAATTAAACTTGTGAGATTTATTCAACGTCTTGGAATGAGCGGAAAACCCTAATTCACCAGTCAAAATTCCAGTGTCATCAAACACGGCACTTTCTCAAGATACCGTATAATAGAAACTTTGAAAATTTTGACGGTTGAGAGCGAGGGTTAGCGTCCTCAGCTTGCTGTTGAATCGTTGTTGGCTGTGTCGAGAAACGAACATTTAACATACGCGCACTGCCTCACTCTTATCGATTCGCTGACACCCTAACTCCTGTCGATAAAATAAAACTACTAACGAAAAGGGTAGAATAATTTGAAAACCCTGAATCCGTGTGTTTATCCATGTCAGAACTTGAGGGTAAAATATTAAGATTTTTTCGAGCCCTGAAGCTTTATTACTAGATATTTGATATATGTGCTCGTAGGGCTGAATTGCGCTTCGACAGCATTAGCACAACAAAGAATATGACATTTGGGTCATATCTCATGTTCCCATTTTTTGACAGAAGGTTTTCTTATTACATACTGTACCAAAGATAGGCATTTGTAGCCAAGATGCATTTTAGGAGAAAGATTGGACCGTGATACTAGTTAACAGAATCATAGTTTCTGGAAGAGACAAAAACCTTACAAGTTGTGATTTTCCTACTGCTTCACGTTGAACTCTCAGAGGTGTAGCACGGAAAACCGCAGACGAAAATATTTGCTTAAAAAGTTAAAGTGGTCCAAGATGCTTTTTGTTCTTGGGTGAACCTTGCTTTTAGGTCATATTTTTCAAAATTCGCGGTTAAAACTCTCGATTTTCGAGTGATTAAAAAACAGCTGACAAGGAGCAGGCACCCGGCGCGGCGCCAGAACCAACAACCAGTTTCACAAGAAAAAACGCCATAGAAAACCTTTGATGATTCGTTCAATTATGGCGCAGATCGGCCGTCTTGCGACTGTTAAAAAGTGGGTTTGCTTGAACGACGAGCGTGGAGCCCGACACAGCTCTTTCATTGTGACACCGCAAGTGGGCTTTTCTTTGCCTATCTGAATTGACTTTTAAATGTGACTTGCCAGTTGAATAAACTGGCAAGCGGGTTTTGTATCACTTAATGCCATTCCAGATGACGGATCTAAATTGTCATGTTTTACACATCATCTCATCAAAGATGATTATGACTGATTTTTTTTTTTGCCAGATAATGCAAAAGGCCCAAGGGTCCATCGACGATATTTTTGGATATCATCCATTATTTCTTTAGGCTGGTGATTGTGTATTCCAGCAGAATTGAAAGCGTTGCTTATTTTCTCCTTATAAGGACATCAGCTAATGCATTGGATCTTCATGCCCTGTTTGGTCACGATCGCTGAATAGAGAGCAGGCTTTCAAGTTCTACCATCTGATTCAAAATAGGAAGCTTTGAGCGAACGGGATATTGTAAAAAGCCAGGCTGGATCAGAGACAGTCGGTGCGGGGAAAGGAGATAAAGCGAAAAAAATGGGGGCGAAAGGGAAAAAAAAGGGCAGTCTTTGTCATCGGAAATGGGTGCCCTGTTCACTGAAAAATGGAGTCACACCACTTCCACATGAAATTTTATTAGGGTCCGTTGAATGAGCCGCATCCCATTTTCCACCTCTTTTCTTTTATTCAAGCTTTCCAAAACTTACTTACTCCCCCCTACTCTTCTTGTTTCCTCTTACTTTTTGATTCCACTCCAAAACTTGATGGCCTCCTATATCCGTGGGAATATTGCGGCGCGTCTGAGGACGGCTTGCCGTGCCAATTTTAGATCGGCCAGACCTTTGATGGCTCGCGCTAGGGTACCTGGTGTTCACCCCGCCAAGGCGTCCGTTCGATTGTTGTCCACAACACCAGCAAGAGCCATTTGGATGCCCAATATTGACAGGGATTCGCTTCCGGAAGATGATCCTCGCCGCATGGAAGCATTCGAAGATGAAACCGACGTGGTCATCATCGGTGGAGGTCCCGCCGGTCTGTCGGCCGCCATTCGATTCAAGCAATTAGCTAACGAAGCCGGCAAGGATTGTCGTGTCATGGTGGTTGAAAAGGCTGGTGAAGTCGGCGCTCACATCCTCAGTGGCGCGGTATTGGAACCCAGAGCTTTGAACGAATTGATCCCTGACTGGAAGGAGAAAGGCGCCCCATTGAACACACCCGTTACCCACGACAGCATGCGTTTTCTTACCTCGACCATGTCTATTCCTCTTCCTCACCCACCGCATATGAATAACAAGGGCAACTACATTGTTTCGCTCAATAACTTTGTCAAATGGTTGGGTGAACAGGCCGAAGAACTGGGCGTCGAAATCTATCCTGGTTTTGCCGCCAGTGATGTTCTTTACAACGAAGATGGCAGTGTTCGCGGCGTGGCGCTCAATGATGTGGGGCTTGACAAGAATCTCGAACCCAAGGTAACCTTTCGATTTTTTTTCTCACGGTTCGTCATGGTCATTGAAACTCAACTTGATCCATCCATTTAGGATACCTACGAGCGTGGTATGCACATTAACGCTAAAGTAACCTTATTTGCTGAAGGGTGTCACGGTTCGCTCTCCAAGGGACTATACAAAAAATTCGATCTGAGAAAGGATAGTCAATGTCAGAAATACGGTATCGGCATCAAGGAAGTGTGGGAAGTGTTGCCTGAAAAGCATAAACCGGGCTCCGTCACCCACACCATTGGCTGGCCAATGGATATGCATACGTATGGTGGAAGTTTCATTTATCACTTTGAACCCGAGCGACATCTCGTGTCGATTGGTTACGTAGTGGGCTTGGATTATACCAATCCCTATCTGAGGTAAGGGCGCTTATAAAGCATTGGACTTGTCGATAATGAGAAAATGTTCACTCATGGTTGGGCCTTTTTTTGCATTTTATAACTCAACAGTCCCTACAAGGAAATGCAGCGATTCAAGCACCATCCTATGGTGAAGGAACTTTTGGAAGGAGGCAAATGCATTTCGTACGGTGCGCGAGCTTTGAATGAAGGTGGTTATCAGTCGATTCCAAAGTTGGTGTTCCCTGGTGGTGCGTTGATTGGATGTACAGCCGGCTTTTTGAACTTGCCCAAGATCAAGGGCACTCACACCGCCATGAAGTCCGGTATGCTTGCGGCAGAAGCGGCTTACGACACCCTGTTTGGCACTGAGGAAGAAGTGACCGGTCCTATTATTCTGAACAATTACGAAGAAAAAATCAAGGATTCGTGGGTGTTCAAGGAACTGTACGAAGTGCGCAATTGTAAACCCTCGTTCCATTCGCCGCTCGGATTGTACGGAGGTATCATGTATTCCGGTTTGGAAACCCTGTTGTTGAAGGGACGTATGCCGTGGACCTTTAAACACAAGAATGCAGATTGGGAAGCCATGGTGCCAGCAAGGTAAACAGCACGTTGAAATACCTGCACGTCGATAGTCTTGCTCATCACTCCCTCTCCCATAATAGAGATGCCAAGCCGATCGATTATCCTAAGCCTGACGGTGTCATTTCATTTGATCTATTGACCAATGTCTCGCGCAGCGGCACCAATCATGCCGAAAACCAGCCTGTTCACTTGCGCATTCGCAATAAGGATCTTCCCGTGGAGCGAAATTTGGCTGTGTTTGATGGTCCTGAGAATCGATTCTGTCCAGGTAAAGTTTGAGGATTTATTTTTTCCCACGCCTTGATGGGTTCATGCCTTTTATGTTAATGATGATTCTCTGTTTGGTTAATTACGTAGCTGGTGTGTATGAATATGTGGATGACGAAGAAAATCCTGGACAAAAGCGATTGCAAATCAACTCTCAAAACTGTGTTCACTGCAAAACTTGCGATATCAAGGATCCCTCACAGAACATTGACTGGACCGTCCCCGAAGGCGGCGGAGGTCCTCAGGTAAGAAAAATCTTATGTGTGATCACTTGATTTTCGTCACTTGCTAATGTTACTCTTGAATGAATAGTATGTCTGGACTTAATTCGATCTTCGTTGTTTGTTTTCCATATTGCAAAAATAATAAAAATAAAAATATAAGGATAACAGTAAGAAAAATATGCAGCATTACACTTGATGATTTGTATTCTCATTGTGAATAACTATGTATGAAATAGCCGCGGATACATTTTAAGCATAGGAGTTCAGACTGTGGGAGATGGCAAAAGCGTCCTCCTATTCGCAGTGATATTACTGAACGGATACGATCGGAGATTGCATTTGTATGCGCGCAAGAAAAAAAATAACAAAATAACATCCACCACTACTCCACAGGGAATAACGCAGTCGGGGACTCAATGAGGGGTTGGGGGGTGGTCAAATGAGGGATACAAATAAGGAAAGGAGGCAACTGAAATAACGCAATATTTTCGACCAATGAAAAAAGACGACGATTTCGCCATCGTTCAAGATGTTGAGTGGCCAAGAAGAAGTGGTGAATGAAGAAAAGAGTTCAAAAAATGATCATGGTCGGTTTTATCCTTCTTCACTTCTTTCCTTCATTTCATTTCTTGGGTGCTTGCTTTACTTTCTTTTTATATGTTGTTTGCTTTTATTTGATACTTTTCTAATTTTCTACACGACGCCCGCCTACACTGTAGAATGTGCAAATGCCCGAGCTTCGGGCCCGACCGGTCTTTTCCTCAAAAGTCTTACACACCTTGTACGGTGGTGCGTAAAGGTGCAGTGACACAGCCCCCCGTTCCTTGCTGGGATTAGCAATACGATGCAAGCCAATATTATCTATTGGAATGACGAAGAAAAAAATGGATGCGAGGTGAGTATTACACCAAGGTCACAACCCTTGAAAGAGAAAAAAATTTTCCAGTGGAAGAACTAATTTCCGTACCATGGACATAGGTAACTTGATTGGGGTGATAGACAGTTTGTTTGGAAATATGAAGTGGGACGCCTGTGGATGAGGATTCGGTTTCGGCAACGACCTGCGCGCTTGTAATATCGGCCGATGCAGCCGTGGTGGAGGTGATATCATCGACGACGACTTCTGAAGGCCAGTCGTATAGTGTTTCCTGCAGCTGACCGTCCAAGATTTTCATGATGCAATGGGATCCTGAATGGTTGTGAATCGGGCTAAAAAAAGAAATTTATGGGTCACGATCAGGGAACCAATCAACAACACCGTATTCGTTAGGGTATTCATTTACCTCTTCTGGTCTTTACTCCACGCCAAGATCATCAGATTGAACTACAAAATTATTCGACCGTAAAACGAAATTGTCAGCAAAATGCGTGAGAAGTCGACGGAAAAACGAAACGACGATCCAAAAGTATTTTATTCTTACCTTGCCGTTACCGTCGTCGATCAAATTTCGCGTATACGCTCTTGAATGATCAAACAACGTATAACGATTCCAGTCATCGGCATTCGAGCTGTACTTTTCCATCAACTTGATGATTTGGTTTTCATCAATGTGTTCTGAAGTCAAGTCGCCATCGGGGCCTAGCACATTGTGGATCTCTTGAATAAGATCGGTCAATGTGAAGGACGAAGAGGTTTCTGGTGGTGGGGACGGTGGAGCCACGTGAAGGGTGTCAAAGGTCTGTGGAGCAACAATGGGTTCTTGCGGAGGAGCCATGGTATGAAGAAGAAGAGGCAGTAGTAGTAGGATTCAACGAATTGATGATGTGGAAAGGTAAAGAAAAAGGAGATGGACCATCCAATGAACGGGGAATTATATAGGCTAGGCCGAACTATCGAATCATCCGGGCCAATCACTCAACTTGTCTCAACTCGACAGCGCGCATTTTTCCAGCCAAAAAGTTCCTCCTGTCGTTTGTTTGGTCGGACATTGAGCATCATTTGGGGAAATACGGACGGTTCATGTGATACTATAACATGGAAAAAAAAATCCAAGGGTGGTTTTGATATCCTTGGTTTTTTTTTTTCTATTCCCACACTCTGGCCGTCGACAAAGAATGCATGATGAGAGATGTCTATGCCGATCAATTTTTCATCAATGTCATCATGCATTCTTTTTGCTATTTTTTGCCATATTCGGCCAGTGAGGTTGAGTGTCTGACATGGGCCCGAAATCGCGGATGAATGGAAAATTTCTTGATTCGTGGGAAAGGAAAACAAGGTTTTTGGAACGTGGATAAAAAAAAAAGAAGGAAAAATAATCTCAGTTCGTGATAGAAAGTGGGTATATGACCATTTATTCCCATTATTGTGAAAAAACCGATCCATTTTTTACAACGTAATTTTGGTTATTCTTTATTGAGTCTAACTAGTTTTTGAGCTACCTCGCCCATCTTGGTAGTACTGCCAGTTTGTATCTCTTGCATGACTTGCTCAATGATGTCTTGTGCAAGCTTTTGTAACCTAAAGTGGATCACAATGAAATGAATTCTCTTTGTTCTGAAAAATCCAGCAGGGTGAATTTTTTTTTTTACCATGTAATGTGAAATTCTGTCAGCAAGGGAACGTCATGACGTTTTGTATGCGATTTGATTTCACTGAATTGCTCTTCAATACGCAAAGCGTAAGCCTGGTACTTGACCTCCTGCTGATTAACACATTGCTAAAATAGCCAAAAAAAAAATAAAAAAATTCAAGGTTGGTATAAGAGCATTCGACCACGAAAAAACCAAAGCACCCATACATATAAAAGCGCCAACTGGTAAGGGATGTACTTGTGGTTTTTTAGGTTTAAACCTTGGAGAACTTGAAAAGCCGTTGCATAAATTTGATTCAACAATGCCATATGAAAATAATGTGCTAATCGTGCATGTTTCGTTTGATATGAGTTCCCCCCGATCCTCCTGCCATATTGTGTATGTTTACCTTGCACATCAGTGGTTGACGTCAGATCTTGATGTTTGTTTGATAACAAAAGATAGTGGCATCCACGAGGATAAAGCCTTTTCAAATCAAGTGTTTCGACGAGTTGCTAAAAGGAAATATGATGTTAGACCCTCTACAATCTATTTATGATAGACCAAGACTGCCACCTCTTTATCCGCGCATTGGTTCCACAGTGACTGGATCGTAATCACAAGTTCCTCTGCCAGTGTTTGTAAATGCTACTGCAGGTGAGTAAAAGGCTCTTGGTAGGGTTGAAAAAAGTCAAACCTCCATCAGTCCGGTGGCGTCCTTCAAGTTCCCCTGCAGCTGCCATTTTTCAAGCCGGTCGACTTTGGACAATATAAACTCTAGTCGTGCAAAAGTGTCCAAGAATGACAAGGCTAATCGTATTTGCTTGTTTTCCCGCTGTGGTAAAATGGGATCATCAACATGTCGCTCCACTAATTCACAAACCAAAGATTCATGAGTGCCTGAATTACTTGCAACTCGTCCATTAGAGTGACGAACTTTTGGTTGTCTTACCTTGCAGGATACGACTCGGTCGGATACTGATGAGAGGCGGAGTTTGGGTGAGTCTGCTCATGTCTACGAAGTTCACTCCAAGACGATACGAGCACGAGTTGGTTTAACAGAGACACTGTAACAGATGGTTTGTCGGGCGGGTGTTCCGTGTCACCAAAAAAAGCCGTCGAGTGTCACAGCTTGCAGTCAAGTGCGCTTGTGACTCTTCCTACCGCTTCACCCCATGACATTCTGACGACGGAACAGGGACAAGGACCCCTATTCAGTTGCTTTGGATGTTGATGTTTCAGGGCGCCCTATTGTTGAAAATTATCCATCCCCATCAGAAGCATGATACAACTTTTGCGTTACCTTGCGTTCCGCTGTAAAGTACAATCACGCATCATTCATGCTGATGCGCCGAACATTTAGACTTGATATTATATTCCAATCGGATGTTGAATGATTCTTTGTTTATCAAGAGCACTTGATGCAAAAAGTCTATCTCTGTTTCAGACACCTGAATGATAAACTAACCATTTATCATACATAGTTTTTGTGCTACTAAAGATGATCCTGTGCACGCCACCTTTTTTTTTGACGTCTGTCACTGTGTCAAAGCTATCTGCAGTATGCATAGCCACAGGACTCCGCAGCGAGAGTCTGTGCAAAAGTAGCTCGCCAAATTACGTCAACAACCGTGAAAAAGGTCAACCAACAGTCTGGCCAAATGCCTACAGTAACAAAGAGAGGGTAACAGCTTTACTTGGCCACTGGCGTCAGTATTATCCTTCTTTCATTTTCTCGGACCATTATAACATATGCAGCACCATCTGAATGCTGTAACGTCCAAGGCATGAAACGTACAATAAGCCCTATATAGTAAAAATAATGCTTTAACGGATCAGACATGAATGCCTTTATAAAATGGCCCAATCGTTTATACCCCAGATATGCAACAATTATAACTTTTTGCCGTTATTCTACGTGAGTGTGGTCTTGGTATATGGAAATTATGCCATATAGTGGTATCATGCCCATTGAAATTGACGAGGGGAATGACGTCAAATCTACAGATGGAAGCACGTCGTCCAATCATAGAGTTATGCGCTTGCAATGTCGTGCAGAGTAAGATTATCGGGTCAGCTCTCGATTCGCGACATGACATGCGTTTTGATATGATGAGGGTAGTTTAATAATGTTGGGATTTCTATATTTCTGAAGATGGATGGATGCCTTTCACAGCAAAGGCGATGAACATCCACAAGGGTTTTCTTCTTTACTATTGTATATATGTATAGCCATAAAATAAGAATACTTCTAATGTTACGGATAGATAACCAAGAAGATCGCAAAAAGGAGAACAAAGAAGAAGGTACATATTAACAAAAAAAAAATAGAAAAGAAAAGAAGTAGAAAAAAAATAATATTTATATTAGTCCAAGGACGCAAGGCGAAGATCTTCAATAGGTATGGGTGAAAAGTTATGGACGTCGATGCCTCTAGAAAGTAATTCTTCATGGCAGTGAGGCGGTACCAATTTCGGCAGGAGATCGGGACGAATGGATAATTCTACAAAAATGGTCATATACAGAGATACATATGAGTCCATTGTTCCTGAGCCTGCTCATAAAGTGGTCACGGTCATCCTTTACCTTCATGGGTGAAATTGAATAATGCGGGGAGATCTCGTCCTGTGGGCATTCTCGTGGCTGGGTTACGTAATTCATCAAAGAATGGGTGCACCAGCGCTTCACTTGCTGTTAATCGTGCTTGTGGATCGTACACCAAAATATGGGAAATCAGATCAATGGCTTCTGGAGGCGTCTTTAAACGGAAAACCTAAAGCGCAAGCAAGTAGGGTTAGAAACTCCGATTACACCCATCCCCCGGTGTGGTCATTTTGCTCTAAAAAACGGCCCACCGGTTGTTGTTGTTGTTGTTTGCTATTCTGTTTACTGGAAACCCAGTAATTTTTTTTTTACCTTTGAGAACGGATGGGGTTTGATTTGAGGGAATTTATGCTCCGTGTAATGGGGATTCATGGTGGCGATCTGTTCCTTGGAGGGTGTCCCCAACACTTTAATGATTTCCACCAATTGGTCAATGCCACTTTCACCGGGGAATAACGGCTGACCCATCAAAAGTTCGCCCATGACACATCCCGCCGACCATATATCGATGCTGCATTTGTAAGTTGTCGCGCCAAAAATCAATTCAGGGGCTCGATAATAACGAGAACAGATGTACGACACGTTCGGTTCTCCTTCGACCAAAATCTTTGCACTACACAATTTTTTTTTTCATCAGCTAACATTTTCTTGCGACCCTCGTCTTCCTCCCCCCAACAACAACAAAATCAAAATAAAAATAAAAAAAGAGCGACATTCATTTCTGCATCCCGAGTCCGCTTACCTTCCGAAATCGCACAATTTTAATACACCGGTATTTGGGTTGACGAGCAAGTTTTGTGGTTTGATATCTCGATGACAGATGCCGAGAGTGTGCGAGTAGGCAAGGGAACGGAACAATTGATACATGTACAATTTGACCATGAGCATCGGTACGGTTTGTTTCAGTTTCGCGTAGTGGCGACAGGCGCGATACACGGTTTCCGGCACATATTCCATAACGAGATTCAGGTAAACCTCATCCTTCTTTGATCGTTTAGAAAACATGTAAAAGAACCATGAGAAGTACAAGATAAGCATACGATGAACTCAAGTGCCTGAACCCAAGACTATCACCACCGACCCATCTATAAATACCTTGGCATCTCCCTGAGTGTAAAAATAAGCCTTCAACGCACACACATTAGGATGATCGATCAACCGCATAATCTGTAACTCTCGGTTCTGGCGAGATTGGAAAAAAAGAGTGGCAATGAGAAACTGAGCTGGTCATGAAAGAGAAAAAGACACAAAGAAAGGTGGTGGAGTGGTCTTTACCTTGAAGCGTTTGTCCTGTAAAACCTTTTTAATGGCGACTTCTTCGCCTGTGTGTACAAGTCGAGCTTGATAAACGACACCAAAGGAGCCGTTGCCAATAACTTTCTGATTGGTATACTGTAGTTGGATATCTTGGCCTGTTCTGCCGTCTTTCGCGGGCACGCGTATGGTTCGTAAAGAGTCGAGCGAGTCCCCTAGAATATTTGGGCAAATAAGTAAAAGAATAAAAAAAAAAACAAGTAAGACGACAAGAACACAGTAGGTTTTCCGGTAATGAGATAGTTTGAGACCGACATTTACCACCGAGTTTGAAATGGTTAAAGTTGGTTGTGGACATGGCGGCAGACTGGGAGCTTATGTTAAAGGAAGCGGTGGAATCTCTGTGATCCATGACGTGAGAAAGGTAATTTAATCGAGGTGAAATATCCTTTTTCGAGAAGATAACGATGCGCTTGAGGGGCTGATCCACACTGATAAACGTTGCCAGTAGTCCTCTCTTTCGGTGAGCACTACACACGGGGCAGTAACAAAAAAAAAAAAAGATTCGGGGATGCTGATGAAGAGAAGCGAATAAAAAAGAAAGAAGGGTTTGAATGCTCAAAAAGGAAATTTTGTTAGGAAAAGTGACGCACCTTTTCACGTCACAATTGTTGGAGACGCCATTTCAAGCGCCGAATTTAATCGCCCGAGCACTTCACCCATATTTTTAAATTGCATTTTTTTTTCCCTTCATCCATCGCCCTTTCATCGTCAGTGCACACAATTGCTTGTCGCTGTAACGCGTTTCTCTTGCATTTATACAACACCCCAGAAAGTTGTTTGAAGGTTTTACCACAACAAGAACAAGAAGAGCATAATTGTCTTCATTGCTCATCGTTGCATTCACGATGACGACGGTGACGACTCGCAGAAACCTGTTTATCAAATGCTGTTTAAGCGCAGCCTGCTTTCTCCTATTTGTTTGGCTGCTGTTCCCACACACGTACTTTGGTGGGAGCAATACTGCCACGGATGACCAGGCCAAAGACAACTCTTCGCGACAATCAGGTACGCCCACTAACGCATCAATAGGTTGCCACAAGTGGCAGCATAGCAGTTATTTTTAAAATGGCGACTAAATTTAGCCAAATAACCCTCCCCCCAATTAGTGGAGGTGCCATCATTAGATCAATCGGCCGATCCCATCCCCTCTTCTTCAGCTCGCTGTTCCACCAAAGATGGCAACCCACGTACACGCTATGCCGTAATGATCGACGCCGGTTCCTCGGGATCTCGTGTTCATGTGTATCGATTTAAAATATGCCACGACGAACCGCAATTGGAACATGAAGAATTCAAAATGATCGAACCGGGCCTGTCGTCGTACAAGGACGATCCTCAGGCCGCCGCAGAATCGCTCGACTCGCTGATGGCAGTGGCCGTCGACAGCGTGCCCAAAGACCAACAGCGTTGTACACCCATTGCCGTCAAGGCAACAGCAGGTTTAAGACTGTTGCAACCTCACCAGAGCGAAGGTATCTTGGAAGCCGTTCGTCGCCATTTGGAAACACGCTACCCGTTTCCCATGGCAGGCGAGAGAGCGGTAGAAATTATGGACGGCAAAGACGAAGGTAACGCAATGATGATAAATCCTGTCGACTGTTTCATTCATGACAAATTCTTAGGTGTCTATGCGTGGATCACCGTTAATTATTTGTTGGGAAAATTGACAACGGCGCAGCGAGGACGGTCGGCTGCCGTGTTTGATTTGGGTGGTCGATCCACGCAAATTGTATTTGAACCGACGTTTCGAACCAAGGAAACCATGCTGGAAGGCGAGCATAAATACCAATTAGATTATGGCAATGAGAACTATGAATTGTATCAGCATTCCTATCTGGGGTACGGATTGAATGAAGCGAACAAACGGATTAAAGAGGAATTGGTGATCATGTGGAATCAAGAAGCGCAACGGACTGGCCGCGTCTACCATCCATGTTTGCCTGAAGGACGGTCAGAGACGATTGAATTCTCGTTTGCGAATGGCACACAAAAGGTTGAACTTATAGGCACCGGAGCGGGACATGCCGAATGTCGAGCGATTGTGGAACGTATCTTCAACAAGGATAAACTCTGTAAGCTTGATCCATGTGCATTTGACGGCATGTATCAGCCGTCGCTGTCGGATACGTTCGAGGCGCGTGATCTATACGTGTTTTCGTACTTTTACGATTACACGCAACCCCTGGGTATGCCCTCGGAATTCTCCGTGGGCGAGCTGGGCGAACTGACTCAACGTGTGTGCAATGGAGAGACCAAACCTTTCCGTCACGTGCCTCAAGCGATTGATGCGCTCGCACGCAATGCCGATTTTTGCCTCAACCTCTCGTACATTTACGATCTCCTTCGATTCGCTTACGAAATCCCCTCTGATCGACTCATCAAAACCGTAAAAAAGATCCGAGGCGTGGAAACCGGCTGGTGTTTAGGTGCCTCCATCGCCATGCTTGATCAAGTCCAACTTTGCCAAATAGACTAAATCCTTCTTCATATCGCCTCATTATCTCTCCCTCATATCATGCCATTGTTCTCCTCTTGTTCACAGCATTTATTCCACAAGTAATCACAACATTACAAGCACCCATTCAACATTTCTATAGATTTATAAATAAATATGGACAAAGACAAAACCTATCAACACAAAAAAATAGATGCACACTTGGAGATCAGTAAAGTAAGTGCGTTTTACAAGCGACTGTGTGTACTGTTTGGAGCGATCAACAGACGAGAATGTAAAAGTTATTGTACGTCTTGCTGCGACGTAGTGGCAGCATGGGAATCATGAAATATTTGGTATTCGAGAAGGATAGGCAGCAGTTTCCACAGAGAGAATTCTGGCCAGTAGCAGTCGACAAACTGAATATGGCAACCTTGACTTGCCTATGTAAAAATAAAAAGAAGCAGAAAACGAGTACATTTAATAAGTGATCCGCTGTCAATCCCAGAATCGAAAACAAAGTTCGTACCTGCCATAGCAGAAAATCACTCAGTCGAACTTCTCCGGAAGTTCGAATCAGGATATCCAGCGGAGGACAAGTGGCTGTGAATAAATGATCGGCAATGGTTTGTTCGGTGAGATCTCTATAGAATAAGCAAGTGATGAGCAACCTTTTTTCTATCCTGTGAACAATGTGTCACCTACTCTTTGGCCATTTGCCCATGTTGCACAAGCTGAATGTTTTCTCGTATGGCTGTGGCCATTTCATCCCTCGATGTGTAAGGACAGCATATATTGAATACTCGTCTACCAAAAAACACATCAACATGATATCATGTCAGTGAGTTGCCCATTCACCCTTGCCCCACGACTGGCATTCACTTACTTTTTATTATGCTTTGTGTGCTCCATCACTTTCCGTGCCAATGCTGCGACGTGGGCTGGTAAATAATCAACTTTGCCAAGGAAACGAATACAGATTTCATACTCGTCAACCAGAGCACTAATCAGAGTTCATCAGTCATCGAATTGTGCAGCAAGAGTCGCCATTCGGTTCACGTACTTGTTTTCGCAAAAACCAGAGAATGCTTCGCAAAACAATTCCATGAGGTATTCGACTTCATCCGCTGATCGTTTAAAGTTTTCAATGCTAAATGCATAGACGGTAACAGTTTCCACTCCAAGGCGCATGCAAATATCAAGCACTTTCTCCAGTTGCTTAAATCCTTCGTAATGACCAAACTTGGTACTGGAAGCTCCCGCTTTTCGTGCGTATCGTCGATTGCCATCTAGAATAAACCCTAAATGGCGAGGTATCCGACCTTTCCGTAACACAGCAACACTGGCATGCTCAGCATACTGGCAGCATTGATTATACAGATGATTGGTCATCGTCTTTATACTTTCGAGCATCGCAAGTCAATCACACACTCTGTAAATGAAAGAAGAATGACAGATGAAGGACGGTTACGATTTTTTTTTAAAAAAAAAAGGAAATGTGGAACACTGGCCATTTCACAAATCGAATTTCAACCCCCCTTTTCAGGTCATTCTCGCATTCATTCTCAGCTGAAAATTTAGTAGGATGGCAGAGCCGTTCTTTAATGTAGACCAAATGCACCAAATAAATAAACAAAAAAGAGAGGAAGACAAAGACACTGAAGAGAGATGAGAGTAATGATATGCTACAAAAATAAGACTAAATAGACAAATGGTAGTAGTAAAAGAACACGGTAAACAAGATTATGCAAAGTAGAAAAAAAGAAAAAGGGAAAATGGAATATTAAAGCACACGCCGATTCGCTTGAGCGGATGAAAACTTGCATCTATAGAGTAAGGTCCAAAGACAAGTTCTTAATCAACTTTTTTCTTTCGTTTATCTTGTGTTTTTTTTTTCTTCCTCCCCCAATTTCTTGCTTCATTTGCCCTTGCATAAAAGTGAAAGCGTTGTTTTTTCTCACCTCCAGTTGGTTGCTTCGTTTTGGAGATCCATCGTCATGGCTTTGGTCGGCATGGCATGGTCAAAACTGAATGGCATAACGACATCGGACGGTGGTTGACCTGTGGGACTGGTGGAAGAACGATAAGATGATTGCAGTAAGCACTGTTTGTGATTGTGAGGTGAGTTGTACAACGTATCATTGAATCCCTTGAACGCCGGCAATTCGGCCGCCGTCGAGAACAGTTCGTCGAACAGCGTGAATCCTTCCTTGTCTTCATTCATGGCTTGCATGCCGTGACTGGCCAGGAATTCGTTGAGGCAGTCCGTGAGATCATCCGGCAACCCATTGTAGTTGACGCGACTGCTGGCCAGCACACGAATGATACGTTGAATCATGCACTTGGCATCTTGGCGAAGCTGATCGTCTTTGGATAACGCATTGCGACAGTAGATCGTGGACGCTTGGTAAATACAACTGATGAATTGCTGACAAACACACCAGCCGTAGCGATCAGTGATAATTTCCGCCATGACCACGATACGATGCGCTGCATCAAGACACATAGCATGCGATCGATCAGCAAATTGCTGGGGAGGTGGGCTCGAGGAAGTGGGCGGGGTACGGGGCGACGGGGTGTCCATGGGTGAGGGGAAAGGTGAAGACGAGCTGCCACTCGGTAACAAGAATGATTTGTGGAGAAGGATCCATTGCGTTTGATACTGAAGCATGAGCAGCAACGCCGATTGTTCTCTCAGCGCTTGCGCATCCATTTTGTCCCATGAAATGGGGGTATACGGCGTGAGCGGCGGTTGAGGATCGGCCCGGTAATCTTCTGGTAAACGTTCGAACCACTGGGCGAGGGCAATTTCCACTGCCTGGACGCGTTTCGCCCACCTTGGAGGTAATTCGCCCGTGCGATGGTGTTTCGGATGCTGTTCCTTGTACTCGCGGACCATGCGAATGGTGCGTTTACCTATTTTCGCCAATTCCAACAAGTGAGCAAAAAAGGTTTCCTTGGCAATCGTCTTGTCATCGTAATTCATTTCGCCCGATTCCATCAACTCGGTATTGAGCGAGATAATTTCGTAAAAATCGATATCACACGCTTCGTCATCAATTTGACTGGGCTCGCCAGAATACACCGAACTGCTGATATCGTTGTAAAAAAGCACCATGAACAGCTTCATGTACTTTTTCCGCAGTATCCGTGACGACGGTAATCTTGCGCGGCGATGCATGCCCATCTCCAACATCATTCGATAGGCCAGACTGATATAGATTCTCGACTGGGAATGCTGCTTGCGCAGGATACAAAACATGGATAGATTTAGCAACGTTTCCAGGGTCGCGCAGTCCGGGGTATCAAAAAAATCCATCAGGGCATCCCGCGCGCGATCGTAGTAATAATAGGAGATATCGTTGGCATTGGCGCAGGCGTCTTTGCGGTGACGCACAATGTGAAGGAAGACGATGGCGAGGCCGGAATCAATGCAGACCTGATTGCGTTTGGGATCACCGGATCGGTCCCAGAAAGTGGACCAATCAGCCGAGAATTTGGGATGTAAACAATCCCAATAGACTTGACAAATATGGTGAAGGACATTCGGTGACACATCCTCCGTCAGTCGACTAAAATTCATGTCGCCGTGCTTGTATTTTTCCAGGCACGATTGCGGCCGTCGACAGATGGCATTGTGCCAGTACTCCGTGCAGGGATCCGGTTCGCTCAAATCGATAGCCGACGATGAAGAGCCCAGAATGTCGTCGGACGAATAACTGGGCAACCACGCAGGCACCGTTGCATTGTCAGGATCCGTAAGCAAACGAATCTTGTGCACGGCTTCGACAAGTTGATCAATGGAAGTAATATTGGTTTCCAAACGCAACGAGTTGCCTGGCTGAAACGACAAGATCCACTGCATGGAATCGTTCATTTCTGCGGAAGCAGCGGCCGAAGACGACAAGGACATGCCCTGCTGCTGCTGCTGCTGCTGTTCATGACGAGGGGTCGGTAAAGGTTGAAACATGGCTGTATCTGGAAGATGGGATGAATGAGAATCGGGAATAGAGGATGATTGAAAATGCGATGACTGCGGTTGTTGTTGTTGAGATGGAAATGCATATGGTTGTTGTAGCAGCGGTTGCTGGTATGGTGGATGTTGTTGGGAGTCTTCCGGGTCTTGTGTTTTCATTTCTTTTCGTCTTTTTTCGAAATGATGTGAGGCTTTATCGAGTTCTTTGGTCATTCGAGCCAGGACAGGGGTAGTTTTCTCAATCCATGATTCGATCTCGTAAAACGTGATTTGAAGGGCTTCCATATCATCGTGTTGGGTCTTTTTTTGTTTCGCAGCGGCTTTCGCTTCGCTATCGACCTGCTTCTTTTTACCACTGGATTTCGTGGAACGAAGAAAAGCATTGCTTTGATGTTTTCCGGCGCCCATGTTAACCAAGAGCATGGAAGCTTTTTAGATGAAAAATAAAAAAGAAGAGATCGAGGGTTTTAAACTGTATAAAATTAACTTTTTTTTTTGTGTTGTTTTTAGAAGGTGTGAAAAGAAAAAAGAGAGAAAAGAGGAAAAGAGCCCAAAGGCCCAGCTTTGCGTCGAATTCTCGCTTTTCTAATTTTGGTGTCACTTTTTGTAATTTCCACAGCTCCATGCTGAGGCGAGGGCGGCCAAATGACGCTGTTCATTTCAAAATGATTGGTGCACACACCATGATCGAGAGGTTTGTTTCCCCGCTTCCACCTCTGAGATTGCCTGATATGACTTTTGTTTCCGTTTTCGTCGCTGACCATCCATCTCCGTTTTATCATCCCATTTCCTCTTTTGCTAGGTTTCGATTTTTCGGTTTTGTACCACCCACCCCACTCGCCCAAAAGTAGATGCATTCGTGTTTCGATCTGGATTTGCGCATTTATCAGATTCGCACCGACTTGTGAATTGCATAGTATCTGACTCAGCTCCATTGCTTTATTTCCTCCCAAAACTTTGGGGGTGGCTTTCCAGTGGCATGCATGTTTCTTGATTTTCCGGAGTAACTCCGCTCACTCCATTTTTGCGTTCCGATACAGAAGGAAGGATACACAATTTCCCAGATGGAAACAGTCATGGCGGTGCCGAGTAGGCAATTCGACCTCTCCTTTCCATATCTGGGCCTACTCCAGTGAATTCATTTGTAAGCAAAAAGAGAAATATATCAAGGATTGATTTCATCAGTCTATCAAAGGATGTATTGTTTTTGCAATTCATGAATCCAATGTAATAAAATGAAGAGTTTTCAAGAGATGAAAAAAGTTGTTTGCTTGTTTTGATTCCTCTTTTTTGTCATTGAACTCTGGCTCTGTGGTACCGTCGACTTTTTTTTTCGCTTTTGTTCAATTCTCTTTATGGCATCGTTCGTTGAACGTGTACTGCGCACGGATAACGATTGGAAAAATGTGTCAATTGTTGCAATTCATCAAGCTTTATTGGTGATCATGGGAGTGACTCCAAAAATGAAAAAGCAATACGTGGAAATGAAACGGATGAATTGCAATCGCTTTACAGCTGTTAAACGGTTCCGCCCCTGAATCGGTCTTACGGACATACAATCAAACATGCAGTCTCTTCTGACATGCTGCTTACATCGAACACTTCTCAGGATGGTGACACAGATAAATCCGAATTCATCGTTTCTGTGCTCACCTGTTACCGCTGACGGAGGGACAAACCTACAGAATTTTATCATCACCCATATTGATGGCGAACCGAAAAAATAAATAAATTTCGCTTCATTAAAAATCTATATTGGGCGGGGATTTCATTGGCAGCAAATAGCAGGCTGGTCCAGCCCATGCCCACTTTTTTTTGTTGCTTCATGAACCCTTTTTTCCATACCGAGGCATGAAAAAAATGACTCATTCACAGCAGCAACTCCGTATCACTGGATCGAACTTCCTCCCTTTTGCCCATTGGTCTATCCGTTTCCACTCGCACCGGTTCAAAAAGCTGTCAACAGCATGTATGTACGTGTTATCGTTGACACAATGAAGGGGTGGAAAGTTTGATGTTGATGCTATGCCGGATAAGGAAAGCGGATGATCCTAATTATCTTTTTTTTTTTTTTTGCCACCTGGCTATTTTCTGACCTTGTGTGCGTATTTTATGCCTTCTAACGGACCTTCTGAGTTTTTATCTACCTTCTTTTCTTCTGTATCTCTTCACTTTCCGGTATGACCACTTCTTCCTGGGATAAAATGACGGGCAAGTTTCGATGGTACTCGCCTTCCAGTTCGTCCATCACCCTCGGCGATGAACAAGAACCACTTTTACAGAATGGATATCAAGGCAAGTAGTTTCATCTTGTTTATCATCATCATCACCAGTCTACTGTTCTTCTTCTTCAACTTTTTCGCATCGTTTGCTACACCGCCAACCTTGAACGCTTTTCTTTCACTCTACTATCCTTCTTCTTAAACTTTGCTTCGATGCTATATTTTCTGCTAGTGACGATTAAGGCATTTTCCGGGAAGAAAAGAGGAAGAGAAAAAAGAAAAAGAGGAATAAAAAAGCGACAGGAGAAAAAAAAAAAAGCAAGATATAAAAGAGTGAGCGGTTGGGGCTTTTTTTTTATTTAGTCCACCATCTCCTTATTGCACAGACTTGACGTTATTTAAACCCGAGGATCATCCCATGGTACCTTTTCTAGTCCTTTTCTTTACTTATTCCTGTTTCCTTTCCTATCCTTTACTTGTGCATTTTTTTTTGCCTTTTTTAACTTCTATATCTAATTTACAAAAACATGTCAAAAATCATTGATCTCGAAAATCATCCACTCAATCGCGAAGAAATTGTCAATTATTCAGGCTATTCCAACGAATCTTCTCCTGTCGGTCGTTACGAGAGTGTCATCGTTCGTCTTCGTGCTTTGCGCAATCGTCACCGGGAATTCTTGGCCGAGTATATGGGCACCTTGGTCCTCATCCTATTATCCTGCGGCATTTCCGCTGAACAGATCCTCAATATTGGCCCTTATAAGTCTTGGTTAACCTCATCCCTTGGCAATGGTCTCGCTGTCCTTGTCGCAATTTGTGTTGCAGGACATGTTTCCGTAAGTATGAAGCCTTAAAAAAGAAAAAACCGTCGATCTCTTTTTTCCTTCTTTCCCCACTCATCCCTTGCCCTTGTACTATTCCCATTTTACGCTTTTTTGGTAACTTTTCCAACTCTAATGGGATGCTTGTTATAGGGAGCACACATCAATCCTGCTGTCACCCTGACATTTTGGGCCTTTAGTGGATTCCCCAGTCGAAAAGTACCCACCTACATCCTTGCCCAAATCTTGGGCGCTTTCACCGGCGCCGCTTTGCTGTATTCGGTTATTCAGCCGGCCATTAACGAATTTGACGGAGGTGTGCGTCAGATTCTCGGCGACAAAGGTACCGCCAATATTTTCGCAACCTATCCGCCGTTGTACGTCGGTACAGCCGCGGCCGTCGCTTCCGAAATCGTCGGCACGGCCCTGCTCCTGCTTGTTGTCATGGTATCAGGTCATCCCAACAATTTACCTTTTCGCACCGCTCAAGGTGTGATGATCGCAGCCGGTATCATGGCTATCAGTCTCGCTTTAGGTTACACTTCCGGCTTTTCTCTCAACCCGGCGCGTGATTTCGGTCCACGTCTCTTCACTGCCCTCGCAGGATGGGGCACCGGCGTATTCTCTATTCGCGACTATTATGCTTTTGTCCCCATGTTTGCACCATTGGTGGGCGGTCTCATTGGTGGTTTGACATACACAATCTTTATCGATCAATAAGTCTTTTCCTTTTACTACCACCCTTATTCCCACTTTGTAGTTTTTTACTAGATCTTTCTTTTCAATTGCACTTGCTCATCCATTCCTTTTTTCACCAAGTTCTTCCTCTTCCTTTCCTCGTCTGTAAGAATAAGGAGACCATTTCCTGTATATATCATAAAATATAAAGAGAGGAAGGATATTGTTATCTTTTTTTTTTGTATTAATACCCAGTAAAATAACAAAAAAGATGGATAGATGACAGTGGTGCTTATCTCTTGCTGCCAAACCAACCTGAGCCGGCAGGTTTGGTGTTGTCTGAGCCTCGTTCTGGTATTTCTAATTTACAGAGACGGCGTTTTCGGCTGTCGATGACCACGTGCACGCGTCCGCCATTCATCACATCGTCGTTTTCGTTGGCTTTGGCAATCAGATTGACCACCTTACGCTCCACTTCGTATTTGATGCTGCGTGCGCCATACCGAATATTGTACCCTTGGGCCAACACATCCACCACGTCGGCATCCCACGTCATGGTAATGCCATGACGTGTTCTTGCCTTTTCAGCCCACCGACCCAATTCTCGCAGCGTAATTTCTCGCAATTCGTCCTCGCTAAACGGCAAAAAGAACAGGACCTCATTGATTCGACCGAGAAATTCGTCGCGTTTGAAATGATTGTACAAAATTGGATAAATCATCTTTTCGATAAACTGTCGTGATAACGAAATTTGGCCGTCATCGTCATTATCGTCCGACGACGCATTTGCCACATCCAAACCGTTGACAGCCGTGGCAGACACCGTGCCGGTCGTTTGAGCATCCGAAGCCACCGACGCTTCAAGACGTAATAACTCTGCTTCGTCGGCAATTTCATGCTGGGCCAAGTTGGACGTCATGACAAAAATCGCTTCCTTGCATTCCACCGTCGTACCTTTGCCGTCCGTGATCCGTCCCTCATCAAATAATTGCAGCATAATTCCTAATACGTCGGGATGTGCCTAAAAATAGCCCATTCAGAAACCAGCCTTGACGAATAAAACAAAATCGCTCAAGGATCCTAATAGATCACACGCTTCTTACCTTTTCCACCTCATCCAATAGCACCACCGCATTAGGACCTAATCAATTACAGAATTAGGGAGTCGGCCAAATACTACATTATCCCGTTGCTTACATTCTTTCAATTTTTCTGTCAATTGACCTCCTTCATCATATCCCTGGTAGAAATTAGAAAAAAAAATGCATAATCAATGTCTCAAGTTTGATACAGGGTTGTGAGCAACACTTACGACGTAACCAGGCGGAGAGCCAATGAATCGGGAGACATCATGCTAAAGAGAAAAAGAAAGGAATCAGGTGATACAATCCTCGTTATCCACAGAGCAAGTTCCATCATTGTAATCAGGGTCACTTCCGTTCAAGGTCTCCATGATTCATACCTTGTGCTGAAACTCGCTCATATCAATACGGATGAATCCCTTGTCCATCTCATTTCCATGCAGGTACGCAGCCAGGGCTTGATGATGAAAAAGATGAGTTTTTTTTTCTATCGACTCAAGTGATGTCCGTACGTGCATCAAAAGAGTTTTACCTTTGGCTAATTCGGTTTTACCAACCCCGGAAGATCCGCAGAACAAAAAGACCAGTGGGTGGTCTTCATCATGCCATCCATTCTGTTTACGGCGGATGGCACTCGCCAAGGCATGAATGGGGCCCAACTGTCCCACAATACGGGCTTTGAGAGCATCTTCCAGTGGATGCTTCTTACGGTACTCCTTTTCTCTTTGCAGCTGCAGCTTTCTTTGGCGTTCTTCATGGGCTGCCTTTTCTGCCGGATAGCTCGCTTCCTTGGCTGTGTCTCGAGTTAGAAGGGTACGCTTTTTTTTCTTTGACTGGCCAAGGTTTGCATCATGATCTTACCTCGCAACATGTTCTCAATTTCGATATTATGTTCGCCGGTGAATCGTTCTACGTAATAAAGGTATTCGCGCGGAGTCAGTCCATGCGAATTGCGCGTCAAAGGATCTGCCATATGATCCAGTAGAAGCTTCACAATGTTTGGATTGCAAATGATCATCGCATAGTGCAATGCGGTGTATTCTCGATAATCACGGTAAGGCAAAAGATCTTCCGAAAAGTCAGTTTGACGCATGTTGGCCGCTTGGTGCGATCGTGGATAGTAATGGTCTTCCAAATTGGGATCTGCATGAATCCGATCAATCCAAGGTCAATACAATTACTATGCTTGATGGGTTCTGTCCCCTCTTTTTCAAATAAATGGCTCTCACCTGCTCCCTTTTCCAGCAAGAATTTAACCATTTGTTCGTTATCCTGGATCACCGCGACTTGCTAGTCAATAGTTGAATAAGTATTTGAGCCCTGTTTGATTCGCCATTGGTGATTTTTTACAAAGGGGTTTAAAAAAATTATGCTTACCAAAGGCGTCCATCCGTACCGATGATACACGTTGGCACTAAAATTAGGATCTTCCGCCAGTCTAAATGAATAATTGATCAAGATGAGTATATAACCCATGTTTACCATTTTGTTCACAGCATTGTACTTTTTCAATCGTTTAAGGTCTCCCTGAATAATGGCTTGACATATCAAATCGCCCGTTCCTTTTTCATTTATCACAGTGTGAATTCACAAGCAAAAAGCATGTTGTAAGGAAAAACAAATGGTTTACCATTGGTTTCAAGGGCGTAGATAGTTTCCGCAGTGGCAGCTACAGTCACTACGCCCGCAGTGAACAGTAGCCAACCGGCCATCACCGGTCGTATGCGACGCGGTCCCTTTTGAACTACAGCAGCATGAGCCGCAGGCAGAATGAACGATCGGCTTGCTACCGAACGACTAGCCGCAGACAGAAGCAGCGAACGTCCGCAGTTAGGACGGGAGAATGGAAGTCCAACTAATTTCCGTGCCGTAGGTCGAAACATGAGGCAGACAAGAAAGAAAAAAAAAAAAAAAGTCAAATATGCAGGGCGATCGTGGCGGTCGGACTTGATGAAGGGAGGGCAGTGGGAAGAAGAGAGTCACAGCCCTGTCTTTTTCGAACTCAGCGCTCCATCCCAGCTTTGTTTTCTTTTTGAATTAACATAACAAGCTATTTGAGCGATTCCCAAAAAATCCACACCTCCATTTTACGTCCGTCCGTCACCATGTCCTTCTTAACGAAATTCACGCAGTCGGTCTTTTCTCAAGTGCGACAGCAAAACTCACCGGTGATGCTGAACCTTATGCGCACCTTCAAAGTACGATCTTCAGTCAAGAAGCTCTGCGACGGATGTACCACCGTTCGACGACGAGGAAAACTGTTTGTTGTCTGCAGCAAGAACAAGAAGCATAAGCAACGCCAGGGTTAAAATGATCACATCTATTTCTTTTTTCCTTTTCCAATGCATGCATGTTTTAAATCAGATAGAACGCTTTTCTTTTCCCTTTGGCCTTTTTTTTTTATTACACTTTCTCGATGTATGTCTGTACAAAATTATCTATAAACGAAAACTTGTTGAAACTCTATTGGGGATATCGTATACTCTGCAAGCCAATGCCGGTAACAGCCACATGGATTTCGCCACTAAAACGACGAGAAAAAGGAAAAGAGTAGACCGAGTCAACCTCAGTGTCTGAATGCGCATTTGAAAAAAAAAGAACTTACTTGACGGCAATGACATCCATGGCAGATGGATCAGAAACATCCATGTACGCTGCATTGATCAGTTTGAGAGACACTCCTTGAGGGCCTCGATTCTCCAAAGCCCACTGATTTAATCGTTGATCGGTGGATATGGAAAACACCGAATCATTCACAAACCGGAGATCTGCAATGGTACAGAAAAAAAGTGTGAACAAAAAAGCGGTACAACAACCGTGCACATTAGTCAAAAAATCAACTTGCCTGTAATGGAGGAAGCGTGAGCACCTGGGATTGTGCAGCGTTCCCCAATAGACTGCACATGTTGATCCTGGAGTTCGAACAGAGCAGCAACAAGTGCATTGTCATCCCCGCCAGTGACAAAAAGTAGTTGATTTCCTAATAACCGCATGAGTTGAACCGCATCTGTTTCGGCACGGCAGGGACGGCAGGCACGCCCAATTACCTTGATATAATTGCACTTGCAGTGCGTTGACACCCGACATATGGGCCTGATAATGGTAGAAGGGCTCTGTCAATTTAAAAGCCGGTCGAGCATGATCTGTATCCAGATCATCCACTGCGTGAACCGCCTCGTTCAGTTCTCGCGTCACATCCCAGAACGCAATTTTTCCGTCGGTTGCCGACGTGAAGAAAAGAATACGGTTGGATCCATCGTTATCTGCAAGCAATTAGCAAAAAATTTCATTACACATACGTTCATGGTCATGCATTCTCTTCCCTTCTTTTTTTTTTTTTTTTTTTTTTTTACCTGCAACAAGGACGTGCTGAATCTGTAGAATACATTTGGCGTGCCAAGTACCGTCGATGACCATAGAAAATCTTCGCGTTGCTTCATTAAACAACCAGATCTATTGAGAGGTATTAGATTCACAAACTTCAAAATGATAAAGATAAGGGTTGGTAACTTACTCGAATCATTGCGTCAGAGTAGACCGCTCCAATAATATGCAGACCTCTTGCTGGATCAATGGCAAAGACAGAAATATCCATAATTCGTGTTTCCAGGTCCTCACTACATGTCATGTCAAACAAAGATGCTTTCCCATATTCCTGTGAGATCGAAATCTACCTGACAGATGGACAGGTTGCCCATTCGAGGCATTTCATATCCAAGGTCTGACGTGGATCCTCTGGTAGTGTTGCTTCGAGTTTCCAGCACCGAAGCTCTTCCGTCGCACCGCTCGTGAACAGCAGTGTCACAAGGCCTGGAATGGCAAATGACTCGGTGTGAATTATTGTAATGTAGGGCAAAAAGAAATATTTTGATTGATCAACAAACCTTTACTGCACGCCACACTCTTGATGACCGATTTATGTTTACGAATGCTAGCAAGGGTCACAAATCCGGATTTGGCCGTCGGCATATCTATCAGGACTCTATCAGTCAACAGGATTTGCGGTGTATCATTATCTCGGTATTACATTGTTGCAATCGAAGAAGTGTGTCTTCACCGCCGGTGGCGAAAATCAACGGTGCATCGTTCTTCATTTCTGGGAAAAGATCTACGGCAGCATAAGATTTTGGATCACATTTTCTTTCAATGAATATGTAAACCTACTGAGATATTCGATCGCTCTCACTTCACGACCGTGATAGTTTTCCTACGTCTTTTCGTGAGTGGCAGACTACCATAATTTCCCTATCTGCGTTATTACCTGAAGAATGCTTTCATCAAATCCGCCGCCAATCGTGGCGCCGTCACGGAAGTAAGCATACAACTGACGAAAATACGGATCAGTGGGTCTATCTCCATGTTGCACGATCATGCAGGTGTCAGCTTACTTGTTCTTTTCGGATAAACGCAAACGTCGCTTTATCCAGCTTGGCATCCTGAGCGGTGAATTGCCAACGTCGATGAGCACCACCGCACGCCACGGAAATCAACTGCGAAGAGGAGCTGAGTTAGTCAGTGGCAAGAACGGTATTCTTTAGTGTATGGATACTTGCCTCAAAGTTTTTGGTTTCGTTGTGTACAAAGAACCGTTTACGGTAAAAACCGAGCAACAGCAGTTCGCCGTCCAGGTAGACGACACGCTCTAACCAACCTTTGGTGACCTTGTTACGGTACACCTTTTCGAGGTGCAAATCTTGGCTCTCAGTCACGGTATCGCCACGACTAGCAATTCCCAACTGGGTTTCGGTATGGCCAGGAACATCGCCCTCCGACAACAGACTTCTCAGGCTGTACTGAATATAGCAACCATCCCGTCCCGTGGTCCAGAAAGTAACGCCTTTTGTATCTTGTCCTTGTTTAGGTTTGATCACTACCGAGCTGATTGCTTGTCGTCCGTGGGTTCGTCTCAATTGCATCGACGGCGTGATTTTGAGAGGTTCGCCCAAAGTCCCTTCGAGATGGGGGAGACGATAAATAAGCAACGCCGCTTCACGAGAACCGCAAATCAAAAGGCTTTCCTCTTCCACAACCGCCAGGGAAATGATCGTTGTACGCTCGGCAGGCAAGTCCAACGTATACAAAGTGGTCAAAGTGGGCTATAGAAAATTCAAAATTTGGGATCAATTGCTGGGTGGAACTTTTTTCATGAAGGCTCGCTATTTCTTACATTGCTCGGATTCGAAATATCAAGTCGGTGAAAATGAATATCGTCATGGAAAGCGTACGAAATCACATAGAATACGTGTTCATCTGCAAGTCATGTCACAATGTCAGCATCAATAGGACGGCAAACAACATTTTCTGATTTTCTTACCCTTTGACTTTTCGACAAACAGTTCAAAAACCTTGTTGGCGTGAGTTTTTGTCTTGAGAGGCTAGAGCAGAATTATTCGGATCAGAGACGTACATCCAACGCTACAAGGGTAGAATGTTACCGTAAAACTATTGTCGGGGCTAAGGAACACCAAGTCACCGGTGATACTGCCCATCACCACCAACTGACCACACGTGGACGTTTCCATGATGGAGTAATTGCGGAAGGCTTCATCATGGTACAGCAACTGCCAAGGTTGATCGATCAAAGCGGCGCTGTATTTCAACAGATGCCTGTGGCCCAAGAGTTTAGTCAACATGATCTGAGCCAAAGTGTCCAGCGCCAGTGTGAGCTTACCCTTCCGATGACATGGCAAGGACCGTATCTTGATGAATGACGCTAAAATTACGGATAAAGTCGTTGCGCGTATGGACATAGCTATCCACGGCAGTGGGTAATGAGATACATGCTAGATCGTCTTCAGAATCTATCGATGAAACGTAAGAGAACCACTCTCCGTGGGATATTGACGCATATCTTTGTACCAATTTTGTTTTCCTTGATGGACACCAACGACCACAATCGAATTCCCGAATCCTGTCCACCGGTGGCCACGATCTGATGTTCGGGACTGATCGCACAGCTCCATACATTTTTACCGGCATGACCTTCCCAGCAGGCCAACCCATCAATTCCGGTATTAACGTCATCATCGCCGTCGTTCTGACTCATTAACAGATTCTTCCAAACTCTGCATGTGGTGTCTTCGGAAATCGAGACCAAGTATTCGTCGACAAACTGACAATCCCACACGCGTGCGGTGTGTCCAAAGATGATTTGGGGTGATTGTTTGGTGTTGGTGTCGTGCAACGGCCATACACGAATGGTACGATCGTCCGAGACACTTGTCAACATGGATCCGTCAGGGCTGAATCCAACACCAAAAATGACGCCTTCATGTCCCGCCAAATTTTTATATACAACGCCATCGCCTTGTTCATTTCTTTCACTGGGTTTCCAAAGATGCACTTCGTTGAACACAGTGCCTGATGCCAGAATCAAGGTGTCACGCGTATTGCCGTAGAATCGTGCCGCATATCTTTTATCCAATGCCTTAGCAATTAGCTCTCTCTATTCAACGGTTATCCATACTTACAGGATGCATCGAACTTGGCATTGAACATGATCCAAGCGCTGGGCTTCGGAGCCACTGAGATCGTAGACATCGACAAAATTATGCGCAAACGCAAGAGCCATCTGATCGCGATATTCGTCCTAATTGACAATGGAACGATTTGAGTTCCCCGATTTTCTTATTTCCTGGTCTATCAATGCAACCACTCACCTCTTCCGTAAGCCACTGCGCATCCATGATCCAATCGCAGAAAGGACCAAACGCTTTTTCAACCGTGACCCTAAAACCCGTCCACGTTGAGCTTTTCCATCACGCATGCCATTACATTTTCAAGATCAGCACTCACTTGGCTGCAGTCTCGGAAATCTCGAGCTGAAGTATACTGAGATATTTTGATCCGTATACTGCCAATCGTCTCGTCTGCACGCCACTGTCGTCACGGGTTTCGGGAACTATCAGAAATCGAATATTAATACGTTGAACGACAAGTCGACCGAAAAATACAGCAAGGCCAGCTTACCCAGAACAATGCGATGAATACGATTATGTGGTAGAACGGTCTCGCATGCTAACAATTGGCCGGTTTGAACATTGAACACTTTGAGGCATGGTCCGTGACCGGCCAACAGAATAGATTCGCTATGAAAGGCCAGACTGGTGACCAATCCCGCAAACATATCCTTTTCCAGGTGCTGTCAATAAGATAGAATCAGGAACAGTTAGAGATTTTACAATTTGTTCTTCCTAGTCACCTCTCCGTGAGCAGAGAATTCAACATTCATGGCGGGCTCCAAGTGCTATTCTCAGTGCTGGTGCAGTGCCCAAATCGTGCATTCTTCACTTTTGTATATTTTCATTCTCCGCCCAATCGGCGGTTGTGGCTTGTGATGGCGCGCCATGGGGATCGACGTAGGCTCTTGAAATCACAGCCATCCCAAGTTCCGTCAAAGCAAGTCGACACGACACCTCACATTGATTGCAAGCTGTGTAGCGGGTAATCAGATTGCTGCCCAGTTGTATCGCAACAAAACTGTGGCCAGTAAACCAAAATTACATGACCTTGGAGGAATGATACGGTGACTGGCGTGCTTGCTATGATAGGGCCTTGATTCTAAGAACGTTTCAGCGAGACAACAGCATAAAGTGCCATGACATTTACGGGGTGACCTGACGATAGTTATGTGAGTTGGATGTCGGTGGTTGGATCATGTGTCAAGAATTTCCCGCCCGAGGTGCCTGCATAGGTAGGGTCTGTGACTCACTTTGACTGTGGCTGAAAAACTGGCTCAGAAATTTTCTGCTCGCACTTCGTTTCACTTGCTTTGAATCGATTGAAAGAAGCATGTCTGCTGATCCCAAAGAACAAGTGCATCCTCCTCAGGAACTGAGCGAAGCCGAAGCTGCCGCTGCTGCCAAGAAGGCCAAGAATGAGGCCAAGAATGAGGAAAAACGTAAAGCCAAATTGGCCAAATTTGCTGCCAAGCAAGCCAAGGTAAAAAGAAAGAAAAAAGACTAGTAGTATGAACTGTCAATAAGCATGTTCCATTTTTGACACGTTTCGAAATTAGCTTCAAGAAGCCAAGGCAGCCGCCAGCAAGACTGAATCCGCGGAAAAGAAGAAGAAGAAGCCTACCAAGGCCGCTCCCGCTCCCGCTTTCGTCAACAAGACACCTAAGGGTGAAAAGAAGGGTATGTTACCAAGCGAAACTTTATTCCTTGCGTCCCGTGTTGCTAAACCGTAACTTATTTTTGTAGACATGACCGAACCTATTGCCAATGGTTACAACCCTATTGCTGTGGAATCGGCTTGGTACGACTGGTGGGTCAAGCAAGGTTATTTCAAGCCCGAACTTACCGAGGACGGTAAGCCCAAGCCCGAGGGTATCTTTGTCGTGCCTGCTCCCCCACCCAACGTTACCGGTTCGCTTCACATTGGACACGCATTGACTGTCTCTATTCAGGATACATTGGTCCGATGGTAAGTTTGTTTCGCGTCACTTACAGTCTTTTTCCATGGGGTGTCGGAAGCCGCTCACTACCTTTTTTTTTTTATAGGAACCGTATGTTGGGCAAGACGGTGTTGTTCAACCCTGGTACCGATCACGCCGGTATTTCTTGTCAATCCGTTGTCGAGCGTAAATTATGGAATGAATCCAAGACCACCCGTCACGATTTGGGTCGCGAAAAGTTCATTGCTGAAGTGTGGAAGTGGAAGGAGAAATATGGTGACCGAATTTATGAACAGTTCTTCCGTTTGGGTGCTTCTTTTGATTGGGATAGAGCTGCTTTCACCATGGATGATGTAAGAACCGCGGAATCCATGTGGTCTCTTGTGTGCTTTTTGTATTCATGTCGAATCTTCCTTTTTCTCTCTTTCTTTTGGTAGAAATGCTCCAAAGCTGTGCGTGAAACTTTTGTCCGTCTTCACAGCGAAGGCATTATTTACCGTGCCAATCGTCTTGTGAACTGGTGTGTGCGTTTGAACACGGCACTTTCCAATTTGGAAGTCGAGAACAAGGAATTGGCCGGACGCACTTTGTTGCATGTCCCTGGCTATGAGCCTGAGGAACGATTTGAATTTGGTGTGCTCAACGAATTCGCTTACCTGGTTGAAGGTTCCGATGAACGTGTGGTCGTAGCCACTACCCGTATTGAAACCATGCTGGGTGATACCGCCATTGCGGTTCATCCCAACGACGAACGTTACAAGCACCTTCACGGCAAATTCGTGGTGCATCCTTTCATTTCTGGTCGTCGCATCCCTATTGTGACGGACGATATTGCGGTTGACATGGCCTTTGGTACCGGTGCCGTCAAGATTACGCCCGCTCACGATTTCAACGATTACGAAGTCGGTAAACGCCACAACCTCGAATTCATCAACATCTTGAACGACGACGGTACCTTCAACGACCAGGCCGGTCCCTACAAAGGCATGAAGCGTTTCCACGTTCGTAATCAGATTGTCGAAGATTTGAAGGCCAAGGGATTGTTTGTCGGTGTCAAGGAGAACCCTATGACGGTGCCCGTGTGCTCAAAGTCGGGCGATATTATTGAACCTTTGATGAAGCCTCAGTGGTGGTTGGATTGCAAATCCATGGCCAAGGAAGCGATCCAGGCCGTGAATGATGGTAAGCTCAAGATTGCTCCCAAGTCGTCCGAGGGTGACTGGTTCCGTTGGTTGGAAAACATTCAAGATTGGTGTATCTCGCGTCAATTGTGGTGGGGTCACCGCGTTCCTGCCTACTTTGTTCGTTTGGAAGGTGAATCGCATGAATTGACCGACAACGACTACTGGGTCAGCGGTCAAGATGAAGCCGCCGCTCAAGCTGCTGCCGAAGCCAAGTTCGCCGGTAAGAAGTTTACCTTGGAACAAGATCCCGATGTGCTCGACACATGGTTCTCGTCCGGTTTGTGGCCTTTCTCCATCATGGGCTGGCCCGATCAGGTAAAAAACAATTGGAATGAATATCATCGGCTTTAACGTCCTTATCACTCAACTTTTCCTTTTTTCTTGTAGACCGAAGATTTGGCCAAGTTCTATCCTGCTTCGTTGTTGGAAACTGGTTGGGATATTCTTTTCTTCTGGGTGGCTCGTATGGTGATGTTGGGTATCAAGTTGACGGGTCAAGTGCCTTTCTCTGAAATTTTCTGTCACGCCATGATTCGTGACGCTCACGGTCGCAAGATGTCCAAGTCGTTGGGTAACGTCATTGATCCTATTGATGTCATTGAAGGTATCACTCTGGACGGTCTTCATCAGAAGCTCATGGAAGGCAACTTGGACCCTCGTGAAGTTGAGAAAGCCAAGAATGGCCAGGTAAACAAGAAGCGCTGCACATCAACATTTTTTGGGGAAAATAAGGCTCTGAGACGATGAATGGTTTTTTTGTTTTGTTAGAAATCGGATTTCCCCAAGGGTATTCCTGAGTGTGGTACCGATGCTCTTCGTTTCGCTTTGTGTGCGTACACTACGGGTGGTCGTGACATCAACTTGGATATCATGCGTGTCGAAGGTTACCGCAAGTTCTGTAACAAGTTGTGGAACGCTACTCGATTTGCTTTGATGAAGTTGGGCGATGATTTCAAGCCTGTGGCTGAAATGAAGCCTACCGGTGCCGAGTCGTTGGTGGACAAGTGGATTTTGAACAAGCTCAACCGAGCTGCCGTGGACACCAACAAGGGATTGGCAGAACGCAATTTCTTTGCTGCCACCAATGCCATTTATCAGTTCTGGTTGTATGAACTTTGCGATGTGTATATTGAGGCTATCAAGCCTGTGTGTGATGCCGATACCACCGGGGATGAAGAAGCGGCGAAGCGTCAATTGGCGGCTCGTAACACTTTGTATACTTGTCTTGAAGCCGGTCTGAAGTTGATGCATCCTTTCACGCCTTTTGTCACGGAAGAATTGTTCCAGCGTCTGGGCCGTCGTCCCGGTGACAAGACCGAAACCATTGTCAAGGCGAAATATCCCGTGGAAGAAAAGAGCTTCATTGACAGCGAAGCTGAAAAGAACTTTGATCTCGTGTTTGACGTGGTCAAGGCTATCCGTAGCTTGGCCGTGCAACTGAATAAGAAGAAGGATAATGAAGGTAAATGCGTGTTGCTCAAACAAAGATATCCAAATCATGCAATCACTCATTCTGGTCTTTTTATTTATTTATTTATTCCAACAGCCTATGTATATACTTCGGATGCTGGTTTGGCTGACTTGATTGCCAGTGAGAAGCATGTCATTATGACTTTGGCCAAGGGTACCAACGACGTCAAGGTGGTCAAGACCGAAAGCGAGCTTCCCGAAAATGTTGAAACAACCAAGGTTTCCGACAAATTGACGGTCGCGTTATGCAAATAGAAACTTTATTCAGAAAAAAGAAAAAAAGGAACTGACCTTCTTTTTTTTTTGTAAATCCATAAATTCAAATCATTGTCATACCAGCATTTCTGTTGTTTTGCCCATTTTTAGATCTTTGTGTTTATTTTTGTCTTTTCGGTGTTAGACCAAAAAGGAGACAACTCTTGCCAACCAAACATTGCGTCATTTTTTGTTCCGTGAGACTTTGCCCCAGCGACGCTCTTTTTTTTTTTCCTTTTTTATTTGGCGCGGAGCCATTTTCATCATGGAAACCAACTCGGTTCTGCTTTCTCTTTGCCTTGTTTTCTTTTGCTACATCTTACTTCGTCTTCAAACCCTCTTTAAGAAGCGTAAAAAGCTTACCAAGAATCTTCGTCTTCAACAACAAGAACTACACCAGTAACACCATGTCCGACAATCTCAATACTTTGGGTCAACGTTTCCAGTCATTGCGCGCTGAACACGACAGCGAGGAGAAGAAGAATGTGATGATGGCAAGTAGGCAAATAAAAAAAAAGAGGGAGGCTGAGGTCACGAATGAAGAAAGTGCAAATGAGCAACACCACTAAAGTGACGCTTTCAATTCTCATTGTGTGTCAAGTAGGCTTTAGCTGACCAACTTGGTTTACCTGGTACACCTGCAGCTGATATTTTATCACGTTTTGGAAAACCTGATGAATTGACACCCCAGTTGGAGGGAGACAACCAAGCCTTTGTAGCGACTATGCCTGGTAAGAAGCAATGCATTACCATGAACTGCAGATGGGATCACGAACCTACCTGATTCCCAAAAATTTCAAACTCAATTCTAACTCTCTTTTTTCTTTCGCCTGGTTCCCTCATTTTTTTTTTTTTTTTTCTTTATGACCATCTTTTTGCATATTATTGTGTTTTTGGTGTTTTTTTTTTTCTGCATGTGAAATGGTCCATATTTAGGCATTGCATTGGGTGAAGGTGGCGTGTCGACCAATGCCAGCGGTCCCGAGAAAGCTTATTATCTTGTCTACTACAATAAGCCCCAGGTGGATTATTTGTATTTTAAGGTAAGATGCATGAATAATAAACGCAATCGATTGCATGGCTCCCAGGAAGCTCAGTACAAACTATTAACACGCTCTTTTGAATGCGCGGTTAGATTGATCCTGTGAAGGAAACTGTCATCACTTCGGAATGGAAGAACAAATAGTCATTGTCACCCCATCTTTTTTGTTAGTCCATAAATATTTTTTTTGGTGCAATGTCAAAAAGAAAAAAAAAAGTTGATCACCATCGTTGCCTTGATAAATTGTCATGACAAAAATTTATAACTTTGTGAAAATGTAAAACTTTTTTGCCAAAATGTGATAAAGAAAAAAGATAAAAAGGAAAATAATAATGGTGGCGTTGAATGATGCAACAAAGAAGAGAGGACGGATGAAAGAAGGGGTTATTTTTTGGTTTGCACACGCACAAAGAGGATAGCCGTATAGAATATTCGGAAACAGCTGGAGATGCTCCTATTCTGCATCTGGCTGCATTTCCACGTAAAGTATAAATAGGGGCTGGTTTCTTATTTTCTTGTTAAGAGCAACATTCCCAAGTACTGATTCTCTTTCCTTTTCTCTTATCTTTATTATTTTTGGTTCCTTGATTTTATCTTCTTGTTATCATCCCTTTTATTTCCTATTTGAATGAAACGTTTTCCTACACGAACATCCGCCATTGAATCTCAATTATTTCCTCTTCATCGTTCAGTGACCGATGGTCACTATGATGATAAAAAGTCATCACCCATTACTCGATTTGTCTGTAAATTACTAGGTTAGCATACACAGATAATCAGATTCTCCACCATCTTTTTTATTTTTGTTCTTTTGTCGTTCCTGATTCCGTGATGTTGTTGGGTGCTTCACATATTGGATAAAATGAACATGTTATAAAATGGATGGATGACCTTTTTTTTTTTATATGAGCTTTTCGGTAACCTTGAAGTGTTCCACCTTCTTTTAGGCATTAATAAACCTGCGCCTCGACCGCGACTGGGCCATAAATCGCACTCCACTACGTCCATCACCAAAAGCTCAGTAATTTCCAGCCATCAGCAACCTTCACCGACATCGACACCCATTGATGCGCTTCCAGATCACATTTGTCTCGGTCGCAACAAGTCGCCTTCTGGAGAAACGGACGAAGATGAAGACGACGATGATTGCTGTTCTATTAATTCGTCTTCCACCTTGAATACCACCACCGACAGTAGCTCGGTGTCTTCCTCTTCCGTCTGCTCACCGGCCGTGGGCGCACTCGTATCCGCCAGTCAGCTCCCTACTCGCTATTCATCCATCACGTCTTCGCCCCGTATCCGATTCGTCGATTTTGATGCCGTTTTACCCTCCCCCAAGCTCGTTCATCGTCGACCTGATACCGCCCCGGCTCTTGTGGAATCCACCGCCGAACAACTTCGGCCCTATTTACCTCGTCGGTACCGATTAGCGCAACAATGGAACTTGCTGTACAGCTTGGACCAACATGGCTCCAGTCTGTCAACGTTGTATACAATGCTGCAGGATGCCAAAGGCCCTTGTCTCCTGGTTCTCAAGGATGAAGACAGTCATCTGTTTGGTGCGTATCTCAACGAACCATTGCATGTCAGTAGCTCCTTCTACGGCACAGGCGAATGGTAAGGAATCGAAAGCGAAAGCAAAAGATGTATTGTGTTCTAATAACTCTCGACTTATGCGGACTTTTTGCTTGTCATAGTTTTCTCTGGAAACTAACCGATGCCGTTGTACCGGATGCGTCCCATCACCCACCACCCAAAATCAAGGTCTTTCCCTGGACCGGAAAAAACGAATACATGATCGTCTCCGAACCTTCATTTGTGGCCTTTGGCGGAGGGTACCGTATTCACTCAAACTTTCGTAAATTCTTTGATTTCGTGACTAACGTCAATCTCTTTTTTTTCAGAGATGGCAAATTCGGTTTATGGCTTAATTCTGATCTTGAAAGAGGCCACAGTGAGCCTTGTCCGACGTTTGACAACGAAGCACTTTCGCCGCATCCTCAGTTTTCATGCATTGAACTCGAAATCTGGGGTTTCCAAATCTAAATTTGTACACATTATCTTTCATCGAACCAACCCCCGTCTTGCACGTATACATAAGCTCATCCATTCAAACTAGTATAAATACTATTACTGTCATTGTTATTATTATTTTTTCTTTGTTTTATGTTCATGTCTACAAAATCAAAACATTCAAAAAAATATAGTTTTTCCTTCTTTCATTTTACTTTACAATAGCTGGTAAACTCCATGCATCTATTACGTTAACATTCTCTTCCTTCTTTTTTTTTAATGCTTGGCATGGATCTACCTATTCTGGATAAATAAACTCATCATGAGTGGAAGCTTTTTTTTTGGCATTTAGAAGGTCACAATGATATCCATGGGATGTTAATGATAGGTATTTGTATTTGCTTCATGTCTTTTTACAGATGGTCGTGCATGGAGGAACGACATCGGAGTACCCCAGCAGGTCCCGATGTGTAGACATAACCGTCATCCATCATCTGCACTTGCGTTACACCAAAAGCTTTCAACTAAAATATGCGCATAATATTGCAAGATCAATTTGTGTGACCCGAATAAAAAAAAAGACCCAAAAAAGGTCCTTTTTTTGCTCTTTGATGAGCCGATCACTTACAGGTATGTGTTTGAAACTTGACGTAAGGAACCGGTTACGGGGTTGAATGTCAAACGTTTGGCGTAATCTATAGGTGCTTGCATCCCAGATCTTTTTTGCAGACGAAAAAAAAAAAATGAACGACAAGCAATGCAAAAAGACGATAAGGAGGATGCACCGACGAGAACGAAATCTTATTTCCACCATTGTCCCAAAAAAAACTTACTTTTAGTTCTCCGTCAATCGACCCACTAATGACGGCTTGATTCGACAAGTCTACTGCAATCGACCGAATCCTTGCATGATGAGCAGTGAAGGTATGCATTGTACTGCGTTGCCGAATATCCGACACCACTAGATTTCATTTCCACCAAAGAAAAAACAAATGCACACACAGTTACTCTTTCTGGGTCACTGATTGCCGTTTTGTAATCGATAAACTCACCAATATCCCCACGTTTGCCTCCCGAGAATAAAAGGTGACGATTTGGGTCATAAGCAATAGCATAAGCTCCGCTTTCATGCGCAGGCAAGGCTATTTACGGGCCATCAGAGGCCATAGGGCAAAAGAGAGAGTGATGGGGGATGTGAGTCATAAGAGAAATGAAAAAGAAAGGGATGAGTGTTACAATATCAGTGTTGTTGTTTTTATTCCAGTTACTTACCGCAGACCATTGCTTTATGGGGCGGCAACAGGGTATCCCATATACAAACATTGTCTCTTCTAAAACGTCAAAAAAAACATGACAATACAACATTAGAAAGGATAAATATGGAAATTTTTACGTTCCTCTGCATTTACCTTCGACTCATGGTCGTCGATGTACCGGCAGTAGCAATTACACTACTTGAACCAAGAAAGGCGAAATCCCGCGTAGCTTTCGAGTGACAACTGAGAGTCTATCATCAGGAGACGAAAAAAAGGGTTGTCAATATTTCCCATGGAGATTATAACATGATGTATACGCACACAGTACGGTTTATCTGAATGAGCGTGTGAATCAAATCGCCAAAGACACAGGTTACCGTGCATATCAGCTGCCCCAAACTTTTGTCCAAAACGGTCAAAGTGAATCCTGTCAAACCCAACATCATCAGCGTGTGAGCATGCGTTACGACAGCTTTTTTTTTTTATCGCGCCCAGTGATAACATACTTTGTTGTTTTGTCTTGGCAACCATAGTAAGTAGCGATTTCACGTTCTTGGCCAAACTGCCATAACATGGCACTGGCTCCTCCTGTCGACGGATCACCACCTGTGATGTAAAATGGAAACTGCGGATGCGTCTCTGCACAGGTGGCAACGATCGGTCGTCGAAGAAGGATCTATGCATCAGGCTATGAGATATCACATTTTCAAACCCCCCTTTTTTTCATCTGTGTTCCAGGCCAATCGACGCTTACCATTCGTTCACGATCCCCGCTGTCCATCGAAGATCCACCCGGGCTGGTACCAATAGGAGACCGAGCATGATCAGAACCTTGTTTTTTTTTAAGATATATGTATATGCAAGATGAGTAATCAGATGAAAACAAGTATGAATACTTGTCAATCAACTCGCGTTTCGAAAAAGCCTTACCCATACCAAGCGACCGCTTCAAGGTATCTTGCAAATGATCCAGGCCAAGATTTTGCGACGGTTTAGAAGGTTCATCCGGATGAGAGCGCGTCGCACTCGGTGGTAAACCCGAAGTCGGGGTGGAAGTGCTTGAATGCTTGGCTGTACCACCTCGACGACGTGCATACTTTTTCATGCCCGTTTCGATTTCCGTGTCCGAGGACATCGCATCGCCGTCGTCTTCTTCAGAGTCAGGATAGCTGTCAGGATGCGTATCCTGACTGGGACTTAGAGACGAGATTGATAAAGCTCTTACAAGCGGCTAAAGACGTCACAGCAGAAGGGGATACCGTCTCTCAGTAAGTGTGTTCCCATACCAGGTTTTCATTGTGTTGTCCATGTTTTCTCACTTACAGCTCCGTATCGTTGCACCTTGTTCAGATCGATTTCTTGAATTTCATTTTTTAGCACCACTGCTAATGTATCTGATGCCATCTATTGCACCCAGTTATGTTAGTCTATACGGACCCTTGATGTCGGTTAAAACTTACTGGGCTCATACTAAAGGCATGCACAGTGGTGGTGCTGTGGTATACCGTCTCACATTGAAGATCCGGATCATTCTCCACCAGATTGAATTCAGGTATCTAATTGCACATTTTTTAGACCACACTATCTGTCATTAACTGATGAAATACACACCATTCTCCGAATAAAAGGAAGCAGATGATCTATCGAGTTGAGACTTAGAAGCGAATGCCAGTACTTTTTCTGTCGCAGCGTTTTAAGCTGTTTCAAAACGTGGCCTACGATCACAAAGTTTAGTAAAGCCACCATCGCAGGTTAGAAACCAATACTTACGTTGACTCAGGTCGTTATCCAACTGTTCAGTCAAAAGTGATTTAATAAAATGGACACGGGTCGCCAGCGGATCCAGCAAGCTTGTCCAGATGTATTCGACCAGTTCATCTGTCCAACAAAACAGTGAGCACCCATGCAACAAAAACGTGATAGAGCCTTACTGTTGATCCCTGTGGCTTTGGCGCTGGTTTTCATGCAGCTTTCCAGCAACGATAATGTATGGTTAAGCGAGGCCGCTTCCATGATATAGGCTCCGGAAGATTTGTCTCGGGCATCCACAAGTGGTTTATATATCTCTTCATTGAGATCAAATCCAAACATGCTGTCGTCAGAGAACGCATCAAAGTCTTCCGCATTCATTTCAACCTACACGTTTTATCATTTTAGCTCTGTGAAGCCTATCTGGGACCGCATCAATACAAACCATGGGTGTTTCCTGGGTTTGTAATTTCGTGAAAAGGCGGACCATCTCGTGTTGCTTGTTCGCGCCACCCAGCACTGCTTCAATCAGCTCCCGTAGATGATACAACAGCTTCCACGATTTCTCATAGTGACGCTGCTGCAAAGTAGTAACAATCGAGCACACATAACTGCTTAATACAATGTTGTTCACGATCAGGGCCGTTTTCGGCGATGTATCATGCTGCGTCATTAGGCGACTCCAAATGTGAAAAGTCGCCAATACATCACTAAATAAACCGCCGTAAGTCCCGGTATCCAGCCAAACGTCTTCAGTGCTATCTTACTCTGTCCATCGTTCAAAGAACCGTAAAGCGGGATACGTCAGCTCACGCTGCATGAGCACGGGTTCGCAGATTTGGAAATACGAGGTTTTGAACGCTTGCAAAAAGTAACCCACGTCGCCACCATCTAGCACGTGTTGATCGAGGATGTTCATATAAAACGGGAAAACGTCCACTTCAATCGTCTTTTCCATCAGCAGGCGGGAAAACATGGTTCTATCAATCGCCAGCGTTTCACCCAACTCGATCAGATCTTGCCGATCCGTTAAAAATGCGTCCTGAAACTTGGGCTCTTGATGGATTTCCGCCATGGGTATGGTATGGTAAAGAGTGGCAGCCGCGTGGAATACCGTCTATCCTCGTCATTTCATCTCATTCAGTGTCTTGATTTTTGTCATGGCCACATCAAGCTTACCTGGAGCATGCGCATCAACAGTAACGCCTTGTACGATGATAAGCCGTCTTTTGTCTTTTCCATGGGTGCCTCGTCCGATGCTGAAGAAGCTGCCTGCGAACCGAGATCAGAATCGGCGAATAAATCGTCATCATCGTAGGTCGGTATTGGTGTCGTCGTTTCCAAATCGGCAAACAGGTCCACAGGGCCCGTGGAGCGGCTACGACTAAAGAGGTTATTCGAATCATCATCACTGTCACCAAACAGATCCGCCGCTCGTGCCGGCTTAACGTCGTCATCGGCAAACAAATCCGCCGCTCGCGCCGGTTTGGGGTCCTCGTCCGCAAATAGATCGACCGCTCGGGCGGGTTTCTTGTTGGCCGCTCTGGAAGGTTCGTCATTTTCATCGGCAGACAAATCCGCTGCTCTGGAAGGCTTTTCTTCCGTAATGGGTGGCGATGCTTTTACGGCCAATGGCGGTTTCATGTAAAAGTGGTCCAGGATGTATAACGCTAAGAGAGGACAGCCTAACCGTTCATAGGCTCGTGACACTTGCAAGTAAAACATATACTCGACATCGTAAGGAATATCCACCGTGACATGGTTCCGGTGCTGAACATGAATCTTCATGTGCTGATACAAGATGAACAAGTTGGGATCGGTGATGGTCGCGACCGACGCTTGATCATGGGTATCCACGGATTCATCAAATTGAGACAGCGGCAGTACAATAGCACGCACAGCATCGCTAGGTCGATTCAGCATCCAAAACGCGGCACTCACCATCCATCGGTCATTGGCAGCAATGGCATCGGATAACACCGTGTTTTGAAGAATATCCTTCAAAAGAGGACTGTGGTCGCCTAAGTAATAGTGTTTTTCATCAGATAATGCATAGATAAACACCTTGCCCTGTTCAATAACCGACCTTCATATACACGACAGATAGCAATGGCCAATTGACTGTCCTTCATATGTTTCAGTATCACATTGACAGCATCCCTTAAACGGTCGGCCAGTAGAAAGAAAGACGCCGCGTACTCTAGAAAAATATGATATGTTGTTAGAACGTGACTATGAGGAGTGCAGTCTGCTATGATATACCGAATCGTTGCCTTCCAAGCAGCACAAATGCATTTTTGACGGCGGCTTTCTGCCATCGCGGTTCGGAAAAATCATTGGCGAGAAACTTGAGCATCACAGACTGTTCCTTGTGGTGGCTCGCGGTTCGCCACAGTCCTTGCAAAAGGTTCTTTTTTCTCAACGCCAAGTAAAACAGCGTGCAGTCTACGGGATCTTTCAACTCTTCTTTTGCTAAATACGTATTTCGAGCAATGGTGGCGATCAGGTCCCGCTGAAATTCGGTTGCGTTGTGTATTCATCAGTGCCATGGATCCCTTCAGTTTCAAGTAAATTTTCTTTTGGCTTACCACTACATCGATTTTTTGTAACCATAGGACCAGGCCGAGCGACCGGGCATCTGGCCACATCAAGTTTTTACCACCTAGTTTCATGCACCGTTCGAGAAGCATATCTTGTGACTGACTGTGCAGTGCCCATACAATATCACGCGAGGTCAAATCGGGCTGCCGCTGGTCCGCGGGGAGGATCTGGTTCAAGTGGAAATGATTTTCCACCAATGCCGTAAACCGCGCTCCATTTTCATCCAATGCCTCGTTGTGTGCGGTGATCTCCACAAAGGTATCAATCATGGCCACCAGATGCATTTGTTCTCGTTCGGACAATCCAGCTAATCGTTTTTGTTTCAGATGTTTCATGAGAAAAGTGGATTCTGAACTGGTCAACGCACGTGGACTATCGTGACCAAGATCATCCAAATCACTACACAACAGTGTCAAGTGTCAATGACAATGCCTCTGATCATGGAAATGTTTCTGTAATCTTACAGTCTTGTATCATCGTCATCAAACAGTGCTGACGAGTCTTGATGCGGCTGTTGCTGCGACTGTACCTTGGCCTAAACAGCCCCAAAAATAAAAATAAAAATAAAAAAGTTACATTTAACTGGCTGGAAATGACACGGAATAATACAAGAAGAGTACATTTTGTAGTTTGAGAATAGCAGATACCGATAGTGGAGGCACTTGCTCCGTCACATTTTCTTCATCAATCGTTTGCCGAACAAACTTGTACAAGGAATACAAGACGTGTGTTATAAGTTCCATTTTTCCTGTTCCATTCATCAGCAAATCTGTACTCATAACTGCTCGCATGCTCAAAAGTTTACCCCACATGAGATAGTGAATCAGGTGATACGGATGGTAGAGAGGCAAAGGTCCGTTTTTTTCGTACGAGAGATCATAGATATTGGACATGGGCTCTGCTTCCGGATTCAACCGTAAAGAGCCTAACAAATGATACGGATATTCCTTGAATACATGGCTCAATGAACGTGGAAAAGGAAAAAGCGTTCGTTACCTTTGATGTTATCATTAACGGTTAACCATTTAAGATAGCAACGGATTTGATTGCCAGCGGCGACAGCTAGCACACCATAGTCTGCCCATGTGACCCCTACAATATCTGCCGGACTGATGATATCTCTTTCAGTTTTGTGAACTTGTTGCAGTAAAAAGTGTCCTCCCAACTTACCTGTCCACTTCAAAGATAGTGTAGCACGTCCATGTCGGTTCATCATGGTTGATATCTGACCGTCTATTCTCCCCATAAATCGCGATATGTGAAGAAAACGCCACTGCTAATAAAAACTGGGCGTCGGAAGACATGGACCATGCCATATCACGAATACGGTCCCTGATAATAGCTACCGTCATCATCTGGAAAAAGTAATGCAAGTCCCTGAGATCATTGCACTTACTCAAAGATAACTGATGTGAATAATGCGGGCGGTTCCATGGTACGCATTTCCGCCCAAAACGATAACTCATGCTTCGATCCGTCAGAAGACAAGGAAGCTGGCAAAATGCATGCATAAGAATAAATAAAGAACCGTCATTTCAAGCAAACGAGGTTTCACTCACCAAGGGCAAGCAAATTCGATACACCGCGTATCTGATATATCGTTCCACGAATACCGGTCTCCAAAGTATACAGCTCCTTTAATGAGACGGTCGCGTACTCGTCGTCGGGCTGATCTACGCCATAGAAAAAGATGGACGAACCAACCGCCACGGTGAGTATCGGTAATTGTCCATCCTTGGTGCAAAGTTGACGGAGAATCATGGAAGCGGTATTTGTCGGAGACCAATCGATGGTGGAGACGGCGGACGGAATGTCCGACCATTCAAAGACTTGCTGGCCGCAAAATTCAATGTGAGGTTCGCGCCGCCTGTCACTGACATCATCAAGCATAATTTGCCAGAGGAAAGCCGTTTTGTGAGAGTCCGACACAGCGACCAAAAGATAAACCTTGGGCGAGTCTTGCGGTGAAGAGGAATTCCCCGCGTAACGGTGGATGTGGAGTGACGAGAGTGGTATACTCGCATCATATTTATCACACAAATAACTGTGTTGCAAGTGACAATCATGATGATCAAATGTATATAGAAGCATGTCCATTCCATTGTAGACAACGACATGTGCATCTAATAAAGACAAGAAAACAAGTTAGCCCGTCTTGTTGATGTGCAATGTTTGAGAGCGCCGTAATAAGGAAAATGCCCCTATCTACCATCATCCAATGTTACAGACAGGAGGTTGTTTGAATTGACGTGAATCGAGCTATTCAGTTGCAACTGCGCACCAGATTTCCCACTGACCTAGAACAAAACGATGATTAAGGTGTCAAGCTTTCGTGAGCCTCCCAGAGCAGGACGACTTACTTCATGGAGAGCATATTTCCAAATGTTGATTTGACCATCGACACCAACAGTGGAGAAGCGGTTGTTCTGCGCTTGTTGTAGACTACGGATGGCATGCTGATGTCCCAGCCAATTGTACTTTAGGTGCAGACGTGGTATAAACGAAGTGGAGTCGAGGAAATCAAGGAGATTAAGACCATAGCATCGTAGCTGGCCGTGAGGGTTAATGGCTAACAGAGAAAGTTCGACGGGTTTGACGATAGCTGATGATCATCAGAGAATTAGCATGCCATAAAGTCAGATCCGTTTTCTGGGGGGGGGGCGCCCCCGATTCGCTTGCTTACAAGAGGATTGGATGTGGGAATAATCGTGAAGTACATGGACAGGATTCAGGAAATAAGTGATATCGGATGCATCAATGGCTTGAGCAATCCGCAAAACGACAAATACACGAGGTACGCGTCGAGGAGAACAATTTAAATGCTGTGAAGTTTTGTAACATTGATTTTTGGTAAGTGGTCACTTTAATAGATTCTTTGTTTTTTCGTACCTGTACACCCCAGAAGATGAGCGAGCCGTCGGATTGTAATCGGAACAGTAAATCGGGCGTATCACGGACCATATTGCGCATACGATCAAGGCTGTGATCAAGTCTTTCGTGCTTTGAATGATGTTGAAAATCGCGAAAAAGTGAACTCGACAGTTCGTCGCATCCGATATAGTGAATAGGCGAGAAATCCTCCCCGTGATCAATGTGAGCTATGCTGCCGTCTTCCGAAGCCGGTTCGGCCGTGACGAGGGATTGACATGGATCGATCACGGCGCAAAGGTAGAGCTTATGCATCTGTTCCAGGTCGACGGGACTCCAGAACCGGCCGATCCCATCCCGCGCCATGGTAAATAAAGTACAGTCACTGCCAATGATGAGCCATCCATGGTCGTCCGAAATATCTCGAGTCGACAAGAGAGAAAACAAAAGAACACTTACTGGGAATTTTGCGGTAGTTTTCGCCACACGAAATGGGTGACGTGACGTGGATGGGATAGAAATACAAAATCGTAATGTATCTGGTTCGCTGATTGGGAATTCACCCGTTAGATACCGTCGAGTCAACATGACAATCACTGTGCCTACCATTTGTGGTTTTTGATCTGTACCATACAGTGACCAGGCGATCGTACTAAGGGCTCAACGTCAATGAAAATTCCATGTATGTTAATGACGCAGTTATCTTACCTGTGCTATGGTGGCAAACATGGGGGAACTGTGATCAAACTTGGCCATGATGATTTCTGCTGCCGAACTATAGGTCCCCAGTTACAGCCCTCGTTCCTCAGTTCATTCACTTGGTGTCCTTGAAAGACAAGCTCACCTTGATGACCATATTTTTTGCCATGGTATGGCCGTTGTGTCTTGAGGATTGAGTCGCCACAAAGAAATCCCGACTCCGGCGGCGACCAGTGTTCCTAAAGAAAATGGTGATCAGCTTCGGAAACAACCCGATCATCGACCCGTTATTTACCGTCAAAACTCCAATCGAGACAAGAAACTCGGTTACTGGCGTCCAGCAAATGATCGAGTGTCCATTGATGGGGATTCTGTTGGTTTATAGAATACAATAAGATTGGTATCTTCAATAAGGCCGTGTGCTGTAACGTACATCTGTATCGGTGGCTGTTTTACTATATCCGTAGATACCAATGACGGAACCATAGGCTACAGCGATCTGAAACGAATGTTAGTAGTGGTCATGGTGGTCATTGGGCGGATAAAGTTCCTGCAGGATAAAAAAAAAGGTACCTGTCCTGTGGAGCTGTTTCCTGCTACGGCAGCCACTGATTCGGCTAATGGGTTCGTGTCGTCTTTGAGGCCGGTAGGGTAGGTCAAGACTTGAATGGGTTTATTAGGATCAGCGTAAATGACGACTTTATCGCCACTTGCATAGATCTAACATTGAGGTAATATGTATGGTTGGGAGACACGACAAGAGCTAAAGCATGAAGAAGCGAGTCATGATAGTTTACGATAAGACGGTCGTCCTCCCATATAAATGTGTGAATGGCGTGAAGACTGGAATTCAGTTGACCGGGACATATCTGTTCCAAGAACATATCCTTATTTTTGGTCCGTATGCAAGGTTACAGAAAATGAATCCTGCCGCAAAGGTTTGGAGTTTGAAAAAAAGTAAGGTGAGAATCAAACGCGCTCGTGGTTCCATTTCCCAAGTCACGACCGACCGCCTTGTTCATTTTCCTTCATCTCTCTTTAAGCTTGAGCAATCGCTCATTGAATAACCTTCATTCTTCATATGATGCCAGGAATCCTCGTTGACTTGTTGCACTTTTTTTTGGAATTGTTTACTTTATCAATTTTTTCAGACAGAGACAACGGACAAGGATTCAATTGTTCCGAATACCATGGCGCTTAATCAAGCGTTCAACCAATGCAGGGCAAGATACTCACTAACCTATGCAATTGCTGCGGATGTTTATGAGGTGAATGCCTTCTTTTGCGAATCCGTTCTTCAGGATAGGGATAGTCTTGTTCAACGCATGGATCATTTTCACTCTCGATCAACCCCGAAGTTTTGCCAATGCGCGTCTTCCCTTGTGAACCTATTTGTGTTTGATGAGCAAATCTTTTCTTAAACAGCAACTCGTTTCCATCGCTCGTATTCATTCTGCGCAATATCGTATGTTACAAGCTACATGGGCATACATTCGAATGGAAATACCGGTAAAATAAGCAAACATTTATATGAATGGATGCTGGTGTTTATCGATAGATATGACCAGATAGACCATAACCTCATCGGCAAGTCCTTTGGTTTGCTCAACAAATATATTAGCAACTTTCCGGCATAATGATAATGGCCTGTCACTGATTCGTTCGGGAACTTTGATCATGCAAGCCCATAAATATGCGATCGATGAAACCTCACCGGCATGAAAGTTTTTGATGCAGCATCTGACCAATATTCAGAGAGAGACCGATACGAAGCCGCATATTTTTCTATCATCGTCGGTTCCACTTTGGTGGAGCAAGCTGGATCACTCAAGTGCGTCTCGGAAATCGTGTCAAAAAAAAAGGATAATAAATTCTCAAAAGGATGGCTGTTCGAGTTGGAATAGAAGTGAAAGCTTGGGCTACGCTGTTCAAATCCAAACATTAGAGCCCTGGCGATTCATTTTCAGAATTTATTGTAGCATGTACTGGCATCGATGCAGCACGCGTCGCCAAGAAGCAGATATACTTATAGATCCTGATTTTCCTGATCCGCACAAGTACAATATACGATAACTTTTTAGCATCGGTCTCGCACCAGATAGTGAAGCACCAACTTCATATCAATCATCGCTCGTACATTGTCAGATTCTAAAAATTCTCACCATGACATGGACTCCTTTGCAGATAAGGTGCTTTTTCACATACGATTACATCGGAAACGCCGTCTGACATGTGTGACGAATCGTGTGATATTTTTGACTTGATGGAATTTCGTGTTGTCGGACTTCCATCATTTTCCTTTTGTGTGAATGCGACCTACGTTGATTTTTATGCGACATTTGTAATTGAACAAAAACCGCACAGGTTGATCAGCCATGCAATCCATTTTATGTCAACGATGCAAAAATCCACTTCGCATCGATGATTCACTGACCGATCTTGACAGCACATCAGCGGACTTGTTGATCGGTAAGGTCATGCACTGCTTGACGGGATCCTTATTTTTACGAGAACCGCTCATGGTTTTGACTCTGGGTTCTTGTAGCTCCCCTTTTGGCTGAGGAGCATTATAAGCAGCAAGTGAAATCGTCCCTTCTGCCATCCGCCGCTCCATCCTCCAGTCAACCTGTTTCTCGCCGAATTATTGGCAACAACAAATTGCCGTTTAATGCTCCCTTGCCGGGCACCGTCGTCGGCTCTCACAGCAATCAAAGGAAACAGCGAGAAAGCTACCCTGCACCGTCAGAATCGTTTGTCGTACTGTCACGATCCCAAGTAGGCCCTGCAGCGCCCATGGCGGCGGCAGGGACGTCTTCGTCGTCCGGCAGTCCTGCCAATGGAGGCGATACAACCAACGTATCGAGAACTCCGATTAACCAAGGCTATTCTGGGGCCACGATTTCCGGTCTGGATCATCACGGGACACGTAACAACAGTCTATCGCATCGCCTAAAGGTAGCGAACCGTTTATTTGATGTCATGTCGTCCAAATCAAGCGTGGATCATCCCATGTGCCAAGAGTGCACCGATATGCTACTGGAAGCCCTCGAGAAACAACTGGATAATGTTGGTCGCGAACGCGATTGCTATATCGATTTCCTGAAAAAAATCAAAGACAGTCAAGTGAGTGAGGAGGAAGAAATATCACTGCGCAAACAAGTTGAAGAGGTAAGTAACTTTTCTGGGGATTCGATCGCAGTGATTAGGTCCTAAAATTGAGATGGTATCTTTTTTTTTTAGTTGAAACTTCAAGAAGATGAAGCGTACAAAGAATTGGCGAAAACGGAAGAGGAGCGAAAAGCACTGGCACTCGAATTGGCGCAATTGGAGAAGGAAATGGAGGCTTTGGATAAGGAGCAGGAGCACTTTTGGGATAAAACCAACGAGTATCAGATTACCTTGCAGACGTTCCAGAACGAGCGTGATTCCATCAATCTAAAGTATGATCAGGACGTCAAACAATACGAATGGTTGCAAAAGACGGTGGTTTACAACGATGCCTTTTGCATTTCTCATGACGGTCCTTTTGGCACTATCAATGGATTCCGTCTTGGCAGGCTCAGTTCTCAACCCGTGGAGTGGAGCGAAATCAACGCTGCATGGGGTCAGACCCTGTTACTCTTGTACACTGTAGCCAACAAACTGAAATTTCAGTTCAAAACGTATGCAAAAATTTGAAAAGAATCCGTGGCAAAAGTAACCTGTGACTGATACTATATCCACACCGTTAGATATCGACTTGTTCCGATGGGATCGTTTTCAAGGATAGAGAAAGTGGAAGGCGACAGCGTACTGTCCTATGAATTGTAAGCAACTAACACATAGTATTTGGGGAGCGTAAGAAGTGCTGACAGATGGCCCATTTGTTCCTTTTTCCAATAGATATGGATCAGGCGATTTTGGGCTTAATCGTATGTTTCTCAATCGACGCTTTGACCATGCCATGGTTGCCATGCTGAATTGTTTGAAGCAACTGACGGATTTTGCGGAAGAGCGGGATCGAAGTTTGCATCTGCCTTATCGTATCAAGAAGGACAAAATTGGCGAGTTATCGATCCGACTGCAGTTCAATCAAGACGAATTGTGGACTAAAGCGCTGAAATACATGCTCACCAACATGAAATGGATCCTGGTCTTCGCCAGTCGAGCCAACACCGCCGTCGAACCCACTAACCATGACATACCCCCTTCACCCTAAGATTTTGCCACCTCTCGTGTGAGCCGAATACTCGCTTTTGAATTTAGAAACGTTTCGCTTTGCTCTCCTCTTGTACATACCACTCATCCCAGAACCCAATAAATTCGCCAGATTCCCCTTTTTTAATATACATGAACAAAACGAATAACATCCCCTACTCGCTGTTAATTATATTTTTTCTTTCAAGATGACAACACCTATAGAAGGAATTTGACGACTACATATTAAGCACCCCAAAAAAACTTATTATGTTATTTGCATGTCCAAGCTGCCCAAATTGAGAAAATTGTCGCTTTCCAAGAAAGTCCGACAATTACACGCCGTTTCTTTTTGCTCTATTTCAATCCTTATGCGGCGACGACCTGTAGGCTTGGCGCATGCACAACACAGAGAACGTCTTGATGTAAGCTATTTTATCTGCCCATGTCCATGCACGATCCATCTACTGATGGAGCTTTATTTTATTAGCGAGACTTTCAGCAGGTGGGCGATTCCATAGCCGCCCGTGAACTGGAACAGGTAACAACCACATGAATGGGGAATAGTGCACGCGCCCCGCCCTTTTTTTTTTTTTGCTCAACGTACGCTTCCTCTCGAATACGCCAGCTTCAACAACAACTCGAGGTATTCAAGAACAACCTTGAAGAGTTTGCGTGGAAACACCGCAAAGATATCCGCAAAGATGCCACATTCCGAGCCCACTTTCAACGCATGTGTGCCAACATTGGCGTCGATCCTCTCGCATGTAAGCTTGTGCTTGTGGCCCATGGTTCCGCTGACTCGTATTAAACTGCTTTGGAAAATAGCAAATAAAGGATTTTGGGCCGATTTATTGGGGGTGGGCGATTTTTACTACGAACTTGGTATTCAGATTATTGAAGGTTGCATGGCCAGTCGGTCCAGGGATGGCGGATTAACTGAGTTGGGGGACCTGAAACGACGGGTGGAACGAATGCGTGGAGGAGCCAAATCTGGAAAGCATACAGAGATAACCGAGTAAGTATTCTGGTATCGTAAGTTTGGCAGAAACTTTGAACGTTAAAGCAGCCCATCCAGAGACGATATCATTCGAGCTATCAAAACGTTGAAACCTTTATCAGGCGGATTTGAGGTTATCAGCATTGGCAGTCGGAAAATGGTACGATCAGTACCAAAGGAACTGGATAAAGATCAATCCTCCCTTTTACTGCTAGCTCAGGTTAGAGTCCACTCATCCAGCTCACATTCAACCACGAGTTTTCTAAAGTCGCGTGCTCTTTGTATAGAATAAGGGCTATGTTATGTTAAGTATGGTCCAGCAAGAATTAGGCTGGGAACAAATTCGCACAAACAATGCACTGGTAATTGGATCATGACTCTCCCCTACATTAGTGTGAAACCACTTATCAAGTCCTCGTTTTTTAGGAACATCTTTTACAGGATGGATTAGCATGGGTCGATACGCAAGGTGACGAAAATTTATATTGGATATCCAGTTACTTTCATCTGGAAATAAAACCGACAGAGTGATCATCAAAGACAAAAGGAAATATATACAGGAAATGGGACAGTGTAGACCATACAGGATGAAGGAATGGGAGAAAAATGAGAAAAAGAACAAACAGTGGAGACAACAAAACTAAGAATATGTGGAACGATATTTAATCGATACTGTCGACGATGCGCAAGGCGAGGAATACAATGGTGGTGCAAACCGGTACGCACACGACTCCGTAGCTCCAGGATAAGACGTGGAGCATTTCCTCTTCGAACATGCCGCTGACTTGGGTGATTTGCGACAGATTGATAGCGGTAGGTGTGCAGCCGACGATGATCATGGTCACGATGAATAGAGGATCTTCAGCCAACGACGACCATTGTCGACCGTAATACGCAAATGCCGTAACGATGGGGATAACAAACAACGGAGCGACGATCATGCGTATCAAGATGGCCGAGAACACCGGCTTTTTCATCGATGGCGGGAACGGATGGTCACCTTGTTGGATGCAGGTAACCTGGGCACCGAGACAAACCAGGATGATGGGTACCGCGGCTTTGCCACACGATTCAATGGCTTTGGTCACCGAAGGGTAGAGGAAGGATTCAGACGCATACATGAGATGTTTGAGTGGCGGAATCAAGCCCACCACAAGAGCGAGAGACGCAGCATACATGGGCGGAGACATGTAACTGTTGATATATACTAAAATGGTGACCACCGTTTGATAACCTGGCATTTTCGAGAGAAAGTGACGGCGCGGTTGTTCTGGTTCATCATGCGGTAACGTTGGAAAGGAAGAAAGTAGGCTGCTGGTTTCATTGGTCGGCCCGTTGTTGTTCTTATGGTGCTTGGTCGGTTTTCCCGAACTTTCGTTGGAAGAAGTCTCCGTCAATGTGGAATTAGATCCGTGCGTGGCAATGCCTTGCTCAAGATCGCTGGATGACGATCCCGACGGTTTTCTTGTCATGCTGCCGTAATCACCATGGGACGAATTGTCCTCATTCGAGTATTCGGCCACGACATCGTCCCGTTGCCCTTCGGGTGGTTGAAGCAGATTATACCCATAGGACCAGCGAATCAGGTTGCAGAACATGGCAAAGAACAGGACATACGAGATCCCTCTATTAACAAATAACCCAGGGTCTGTCAGCCACTGACGATTTTTTCAGTCAACAACCAGATAATAAGACTTTACCTTGCTGCTACGGCTTCCTGCGTATCATCCGCATCCCAGTACAAGATTTTGCCTGCTTCCGAGACGGCCAAACTGGAGATAACAGCAATGGGTAATGAATTGGTATTGCAGAACATAACACATGCCAAGACAAAAGGACGATAGCCGGGTTCGATGCGTAACAGCCGAGTGCCAATTTGACTGAGGATCCATGATAATGACTGAAAAACGACAAAGAAGAATGGGATTGGCCAATAACCAATCAATTTTTCCATGGAGATAACCGAGGCAATATTGGAAAATAAAAGACATGGAGTAAAAAACACCATATTGATACGTGAAAGCCACTATAGGTTCAATGGATGATATTGTTAAGTGACATTGGACGTACAAAGATGGGAGTTGAAGAGACCCTAGAGATTCTGGACATACCTTTTGATTGCTCATATCAAAGTATCCGTATCGTGTTAAGATGAAACCACAAAAGACTATCACCATGACTTGAAGGATAGCCTATGCATTATCATCATTTTATGAGCTCGTGGTTCACTATGCCCTTTTCTTTTTCCTTTTCCAACGGTTTATTATATTTCCCGATGCGCTTTGCACTCAATTGATTCGATAACACACCTCCACAGCAGCCGTAATCAGATTGATGACAGACGACGACATGGTGACGAGAGATAAAAGAGAATAAAGGATAGTTTAAAAGCAAAAGAAAGCAACAAGAAAAAAAAAGCGAGCAGAATGTAAAAAAGAATCCGAATTGCGCTGAAGTTTATGCGAAGCGATAAATTCACAAAAAATGATGCAATTGTTGGCAGTCTGACGACCAAAAAACAAAAAAAAATTAGAAGTCCACCGTGATGTTTTATCCCAAAAAGAAGAAGCTCTAAAAAAGAAGCAGCTCTAAAAAAAAGAGCCTCATTTTCTGGTTAAATATTATTTTTGATGATTGCTATCTGGATGATTTCATGCAAAACCAGTGGAGGCGCCTCCCCCGTTTGCCTTTGCCTTATGATAGATGACGGAATGGAGGCTTCATCCAATGAAAGGCCGTCAATGCACCGATGAGGCCATCGCCAGAAATTGAACCTGCATTTCATCCCCATTCGGTGTAACCATGACACCAAGGAAAAAAATGGTCTCCCCACGATCGGATCGTTCGGAGATCCGAATCCATGACGGTGGATTGACCGTATGCGAAGCGGAATTTGGTTACCATGGCATGGATGGAAACATGGCTCGTGTGTTCTGTTGAGAGAAAATCCACAAAAAAAAATACTCTTTCTTTTACCGTTCGAGGTGCCTTGGTCAGCGTGCACCTGTCACTGTTTATCACATTGCAATAGATCACATGAGCTCTTTATTTCATCTTTGATCAGGTTGATCAGGATGATCAGGTTCCACTATTTTTATTTCTATTTTGCTTTGGTGTCATCCTAGACCCAAAAGTCACCAAAACACATGAAATCGTTGTTGAAGCAACAAGATGGTGCTAGAGTTGGCCCCGAGTGCCAAGTTGCCATGGTAAAACCGTATTGTTTGGCAAATTCTCTATAAATATACTCTCTCGCGAGGTGCCAAAGTGCCAACATGCCAAGGTGCCAACATGCTATAGTGAAACCTGTATTTATTTTTTTCAACTACTCATTTTTCTCTTTTGATCTGTGTGTAAAATCCGGCTTACTGGTTTATTTTTTTTTGGAGAGGACCGCTGTTTCCGGTGAAATAGCCGTGATTTCTACTGGAAACCAGAGACATGAAGGTGTTGGATCCACCAAAAGGAAAGAAAGATAGAAAGAAAGCCCCATCGATTACAAGGCATCAACCATAAGCACTGCTTCCAACAAGTAATGTCACATTCAATTAAAATCAATGTCACAGGTCAATTAAATGAAGTCACTTGTTAGGCTTAGGCAAGATTAATGTCAGAGGCCAGCAAAATCATTTTCATTTTTTGGTAATAAAAGTCATCCTCTTTGCTTGGAACGTGATCCTTGGACACCCAAAACATATCAATAGGGAGTGTGTATTTCTTTCTTGTAGTATTTTTTCTTATTTCAATACTGTACAATTTAACCATGAATACAATATTTCTGTATGACAGCTAGCTTCTCGCTTCGCTTCGACTGATTGAGCCCCTACGCTTCGCTTCGGATTATTCAACAGAGTTCGCGTCGCCGAGGTGGGGGTAAAACCTCCCTGCACCGCCTCCTGGCAGATTCAGATCCGACGAACTTCATTCCATTTAAAATTCTGGCTTCTGCATAAAGTCCTATTGTTAGGTTGCTAGTTAATCTTTTGCAGACATATTGGATTCAAAGTAAATATATTAAGGTTTATTGGAGAATTTCCCTGTATACAACGCTTTGTGTCATCGGTTGAGTTCTGACTGCTCATTTTGCTCAGTCGTGACGAAGAGATTCCGATAATCGGTGATTCGTGAGAAGGCAACACACTGTTGCCCCATGGGAAAACACTGGATTTGACACATATATACCAACACGGTTCATGGTTTGCCCTTGCGACTTGTTAAATGTCATGCAAAACGCTGATCGAACCTCAGACCTGCTTGCGTGATATCTCATATGGCAAACGGGGAGTGCGTGTCGATGCGATTAACTTCACCCGCGGGATCAGCTCACGGTTACCTATACGCGTACCACTTGCAATTTCTGCTTCGATAGTGTCCATGCAACAATGGGCAAATGAGCTTCGTCCCGTTGCATAGCCCTTCTTCTGGGTTTAGATTGCGTAGTCAGCGACTGCTTTCTTTTTAAGCGTAGGCGGTGGGTCGGGAAACCTAGAAAAGATACAATAAGCCACGAAGACTCATATTATCCAAACAGCAGTTGCAGCGTACGAACCTGAAATTGACAGAGAATTAAGAAAATCGGTGGAGACTTCATTCTGGTGATTTCGCCGTACACTGCGTCTGCGCTCAGATACTCGTGATAATCCCTGGGGATTTGTCCGTGGCAATGTCATTAATCCGATCGACAATATGATTTTTCGGAGGGAGGATGGCATGATTTGCAAAATAGCTTGCATCGACTTCCGTAAGGATGTCCAGATTAGGATAAATGGCGTTGATCATATTCTCCATGTTTGATCCATGTAAGCATCGGTTTGTATCAAGAAAAATATACTCCGAATTGGGGCTCACTACAGCTCATGTTGGAAGAGGTAGTGTAAATAAACATCAAGTGCTTTTCAGGTCGAATGTATATTACCTGGGGCGATCTGGCTGTTGCCGATGTCTAGCAGTTCTTGCTCAAATTGACGCTGTCGTTCGGCTTGCTCAGGGTTGCTGTCTGGTAGTCTCTGCAGTCGCAAGTTGATTGTCAACTGAAACGATTGGATAGAGCTCCAGAGAGATGACCGGCTTAAACTTGCGTTTACACAATCACTTCTTGAGCCCCATTTCACCACAGGAAAGGACTTGTCGGAAAATCATCTCTGAGGGGTGACAAAGGACGTGATTTCCAAGCAAAAAGGGAATGTCTTTGGGTAAACAATAACATCATTGAACTCTGACATTATTTTTGATGGATGTGACATTTTACTTGGTTGGAAGCAGCTGTATCTTTCTAGCTATGTTTAAAAAAAGAAAGAATAAGGAGCCTTTCCATTGAACCGCATGCGTTATCTAACGAAAATGACTTTGTCCAACTTTCGTGATTCCGGAACTGTATGAATTTGGCTGCGCCAGGGAATGCTCACATTTTTTTTTCTCTGGACCGGAAGATCAATTTATCTTATCTCCCCAATTGCAAGTGAAACAGGGATCGTCGTTATGGTGCGATTGGACGCCTAAAAAAGGCCAAAGGTTGGCGAAGAAATTTCTGCAGGACTTTTTGGAGCGGAGCGTGAACTGAAATCACAGAAATAGAAACATTTCCAGTGAAGCATCAACTTGTAGATCTTTTTGCAAACATTCTTTCTTTTTATTCATCATTTGTAATGCGCCATGGCTGAAAACAGTAGTTTGTGGATTGGGGAAGTTCTTGGCTTTTCCCAATTCGGGGAATTAAAAAAAAACGTGTACCACCCACCCAAACCGAAATAACCAAAAAGAAAAAAAAAGTGAATCCGGGCTCAGCGCAACATCGTATATAAATTAAGTTCAACGACCATGAGGATCGACCTCTGATTTATTTATCACATCTTCTTTTTTCTTTCCCTTGCATTCTTCATTTTCTCTTCTTTCATCATCTTACATTCTTGTTATACGTCGATTCACAAGATGTCTGTTCGAGAACTTACTCCTCCTCCCGATGTTGCCTTGGCTCACACTGAAATTGAGTACACAAAAAAGGCCCGTCACGGTCACGGCCAAGATGTCTTGGACGAAAATAACGTGCGTCAAGTCGCCGGTTGTCTGCCCATCGATACCGTGAACCGACGTTTCATGTTGATCTCTTCCAGCAAAGTCAAAGGCAAATGGGTCCTGGTACGTTATTTTCCAAAGCTTATTGCAAGGCAATAAGAGTTCTTAGCGGTGCATTTGACATTGACTGATAAATGGGTTATCTTAATTTTTGTGTTATGTAGCCCAAAGGAGGCTGGGAATCCAATGAATCACAAGCCCATGCTGCCTTGCGTGAAACTTGGGAAGAAGCTGGCTTGAAAGGTCGAATTACAAGACAACTTGGTGTGTTTGCTGAGAAAACGAAATACGGTGTCAAGGCCCACCATTGGATCTTTGAAATGGAAATCAAGGAAGTCGCTAAAAAGTTCCCCGAAAAGAAGAAGCGGGAACGACGATGGTTTACCTACGAAGAAGCCTTGGTGGTCGTAAGGGCGCCTTTTCTCTTGGAAGCCATTCGCATGTCCAGTCTAAATCCTGAAAATACTGTGCCACAACAGCAGCAGTCATCTGCACAGGGCGCATCACAGTCGCAGCAATACCTGTCACCGTATCCACAACAACAGCAACCTTCTCCTTCTCCCGACCAGAAATGGGGCACAACCCCTGAACCCATCGTGCTGCAACGTAGTTATCCTCCTAGCCCACAAGGTTCACTGAGTGATCAGGGTAACAAGCAGCCTTCGCCCTCGCCACAATCACAAAGTAGTCGTGATGATGCATCCTCCACCAGCAAACGAAGATCATTTTTGAAATCTATCTTCTCCCGTAACTAAAAATTTGCCATTATCTACTCTCTCATGTATACATTCATTATAGTTGCCCCCTCGGCATCATGCTGACAGACTCAAAAAACAAAACCGTACAAATTCACGATGGTTACACCTGTCTAGACTAGTCAGCATATCCAAACTAGCTAAATATGTCATGTTATTTTTCCTTTCCATTTATTTTGCTATGATTTATCTTTGGGTTGCAGAACCCATGTTTCAATACATCTGATCTTTTTTTTTTTCGTAATCATGGACTTTTTAGAATGTGTAATCAGTTGATAGTGTAATAATGAAGCATCGTGATTCCTTGACTTTCTTTTTCTTACGAGTGTTAATTTGCTTCGATGCGTCTGATCACTCGGTGAAAGGGATCGGCCCTGTCTGACGCATTTTTTGGATCACCGAATTCTATGGAAAGAGCGGTAATTCCATGTCACCTTCTATATATGGTAAGCCGGGTTGCGCAGAAACCATTGAACCCGAAAGCGCTTTTCGCCTGCGCCATCTTAGGAAGCACGAAAAACTACATAGTTGACCTGTGAAAAAAAAAGTGCAAAAATATCTTCATTACAGTGCAACGGAAGAAAGGGATAAGAAAATCAAGCATAAACCATCTAAAGTTATCGGGCTGGCTCTTGATTTCAGATATTTTTACAAGGTGGCATATGATAGGATAGTATCGTTCATGGTCATGCTTATAAATACACATGTTATGTATCACATTCGCTTCACAAACGATTATCAGCCAATGAACCTTTTTTTTTTGGAAGAAGGGATCTGCACCCTACTGAAACCAGCCAAACAAAATTCACATGTTCGAAACAAAATGTCGCTATTCCGAAATTTAAAGTCTCATGCCAAGAATTCTCGGGACAGTCCGTGTGTCACAATCACAAAGAAAAATATTGTGAACAGCACACTGCGTGAAGCAGAAAGAAGAAGGGGATGGGCACATTTTTCTTTCGCGATTATTTGTTCAGAAAATGTGCTCACAAAGCACTTTATTTATTGCCTAATGTAAAGGGGACTCGGTGAGATAGACAATGAAATAAAAGGGTAGAGTACAGAGGGAAGGATTAAGGGTGTTTCTGCTTCGCCCGATATAGGCGTTTTTCATAACTTCGTAGTTTGTGTACTGTAGAACAATACCACGACTTCGTCCTTCCTTCCAGCAGTCAAACCAGTTCATTCGACGGCTATCCAATGATTTTTTTAACTCATCTACGAATCGTATGAGCTGGTCTTTGCGTTCTTGCGATGCTGTGACATCGTCATGGGTCGCGTTGTGAGTATCGTTAGTGAAATTAAAGTCTGGCCCTTTGGGTTCGTACATGGGGGTGACTGCATCATTCTTGTTCGTTGCCTCATAAAATTTCCGTTTCATTTTGATACAGTAGGCTTCACCATCCTCAGAATATGTGGTTGCACGTTTCGGATTTGATGAGATGTGCTTAGTGATTTTTCTGTACTGCTGTCCCATCTCGTTCAATACAGGGACGACTGGTTCAGGCTATCGCTGCAACAAAGGGAACTGAATCATTATCAGAGATGGTATGCCACAGATCACCGTCATAAAACGTCGAAATTCTTCCAGACTAACTGACATCACGCAGTCTCCACTGGTTGATCAGCTGTTCAAACCAGGTCTTCTGAAAAGTTATCAGAGATTCGCCACACGGGGACTGTAGAAAATTCCGCTTGCGGGACTGGCCTCCCTGCGAACAAACAAGTGTTGTACGGCTGACATTGGTGGAAAGGGTGGGGAACTGGGAAAAAGAACGAAATGGACGACATTTTGCTAAAACTTTCGGCGAATCTTCGCGCATGCTGATTGGCTGGAGAGGACTAAAAGATGCAGTTGACCTCCCAAAAAAAAAGTCTTTGTGTCAAACAACTGTCCTAAAATAGGAGCGCTTCCTGCACTGATATACAACAATGACAGCTTCATCAACTAAAAATAAGAAGAACTGGTCATGTCATGAATTTAAAGACAAATGCGTTTCATGATTGGGGTTTGTATTGTAAAAAGTTCACTTGACCTATTGCAGCTAGACAAGACAACTTGTCAGGATGAGCCCGGTTTTTCCCCTATGGGATCTTTTATAGGAACCAGGGGTATAAGTGCGTCTTTTCGTGAAATGTCTAGGGCTGGTGAAATCATATTCTTTATAGACAAGCTAAATTCAATCCAGAATTACCTCGCCCAATTTAGCCGGGGTCGTTGGTCCTTACAATAAAGAACTCCCTCGTCTAAAACCAGTTTCTCTTGCCTTTATTTCCTTCAATGAAAAAAACAATGAGCATCATTGACGACGGTAAATACAGAAAATACAGTTTGATTTTTACTTTTATTTTTGAAAATACAGAATAAGTTTAGCAAGAAACGTCCAGAGTACCCTGAGTGTCCCGATCTACTTGTTAGATAACTTATTTTGCACCCAACCCATCCTATCTTTACCAGTTTCACAGATAAACCAAATTTTTAGATGATGCGAGCCTTAGTAACTCCGGACATCGACAAATTAGGCCGTCAGCTATTTCTTGCGTCAATTGACAATCATATTTAAAAGAAATCTACGACAATATGTTTAATCATGAGTATACAGCATTAATCGTGAGAAAATAAAATACTTATCGGAGAGATAACTGACCCTTCATTGTCGTTGCTTTACGCTCAGGACAAATAAAGGACCTCAAATAAATGTAAATAATAAATGACACAGCCACCGCTTGGTTAAAAAAAATGTGGATAATCAGACAAAATTTGCTCCTCAATATTCAACAAGTGAATATGGTTGTGCATGATTTTGAGTCATCATTTTATCCTTTTTTCCCGCAGATCCCCAAATGGATCATCTGCAGATGTGTTACATATCCACAGAAACCCCAGTCCAATTCGGCATCCCTTCGCTACAATTGCTGAACCTAGTTGCGTCGTCCGGAAAAAGGGTTCCGTCAAGTAGTCGTTTAGACGTCTTACCAACAGCTCTCTGCCTGCACCCACGTGCCACCATACATGGGAGTACGGTGGATTACGAGCAGGACAAATCATGGGTTTGCCAATGGAGGTTCGAATGGTTTTCATGTTGGTGACGGTGGGGGACGTATGTACTTGGTTGGCAAGAGAGTAGGCACATTTCGCTAACCTGACAGGAATATGTGGACCATTGGCATCGGATTGAGTGCTAATTGACCGGTCAGAAACCAAGGTTGGTTGGTAAAGTCCTTGAGAAACGTTCTTAAGGAAATCGACATCACTTGAATGTATGAGAACTCTGGTAAAAAAAAATGGACTGTAAGCATATTGATTCCTTGGTACCAGAAACTCTTACCTACTTTGACGGCTTTAATCAAATTCAGTGAACAGTGTATAAACAGTCAAGGTCTTGACACCATGGAGCTGGCTGGACGGTTGAGTATCGAGACGTCGGCTTGAGGAATGCGATTGACAATGTACTCCTGATAGAAATTGGAAGTCCTATTTTGAGAAAATCAGACTTTCAAGAGACTAACTCACCCGAGACATACGGTACAATTCGGAACGAATCATTCACCCTAATCGGCATTGCTAAGGTAACGGGTAGATAAGTACTATGATCGATGAATGAGTGTTTATTGCTAAAACTTGCCTTTGAATCACCTTGATATGCCTTGCTTGAATAGAGAACGTAGATGTGCATATGGAAATAGGAAATATGAAGAAAAAATAAGGTGGAAAATAGTGAAAAAGGAAGAAGTATAATCTTAAATAAAAATAAAAAATCGAACGAAAGAAGCCTAATCTGAATCAAAATATCAATATTTTTTTTTCTCAAGCGGAAAATCATCGCTTTATGCAGGTCATATAAAGTGCGGTTCAGGAGGGCCCCTGCAGCTCCCACGCACATGAAAGTGATAACCTTTCTCCAACAACCAAACGCATCACAGTATTGTCAAGTCGCAACATGTTACATTGATAAATTACATTACAAAACTCAATAATATACAGAGAAGAAAAACAAGAACAATATGTATACATGGATGGTACAGATACAAGCAACGATTAGCGTCGCTCCTTGACCAGGTATTTTAGAAATGCAAACGCTACCGTCATGGTGATACCGATAAATATGCATAATCGTATCACGTCTCTCCAAAAGGCCTGTCCATTGAACCCGAATCGAGCCAAGATGATGGGACCTGGAATTTGGATATCCGCAATCGATTTGTCCCGCAACGTGATGTCCTTCAATTCGTTCACAATGAGCGCTTCATAACCATAGTTGAAAAAACTAAGATACTGCAACCAGCTATAGACGGCCAAGAAAAAATCATTTAGCTTTGGCTTCTTGGTCCATCTTTCGAAACTATCTTACCTTAGAAATGAAGGGATATGATCTATAAAAGAAACCGGATCAAAACAAAGGACAAGTGAGTCAGTGGTCCGTCCGACGTCCCGATCTGGTTCCCTTTCGGTCATTAACCTACCTTTGTTCAACAGGAACCCTCCAAACAACATGGAAAATAGAATCACAAGATTTGCCAAGAGATTAGCGGCGGAGATACTCTTAAAGGCGGTGGCAAAACACAAACATAGACCTGCTGCGGCTAGGTTGAACAGTACCAGCACCAGCAAAAACTTGCCAAAAACGTAAAGAGCCGGATTCAGACCAATCATGTAGTAAGCGACGGAACCCATCACCAGCGGTGGCAAGACACGTAAAGGGATGATGTCAAACAAAATCTTGGCTACAAAGTAGCTTGAGGGCGCATAGTACCCGTTTTCTCGCTCACGCATGTACAACACACGTTCCTTGCTAAACATGTCAAGAGCACTGGTGGAAGCAAAACCCAGTAAAGCGCACATGAAAAACAAGACCCCCAAACGATTTTGAATACCCGACAGATCCATCTCCACTTGCCAGAATAAACTGCCAAGTAACACACCCAGCGCGATCGAGCATGCAAAATGGGCAAAGAAAAGAAAAGGATTTCGATACAGATTGATAAAAGTTCGTGACGATAAAAGTGACTAGAGGATATAAAAAAACAGAAATGAGTTGACCGCCGTCACTCACATAAATTCCTTTTTCACTCACAGTTTCATGCAAGAATTGGACCATTGAAAGGGCGTGGGGAGTGTCAGAGGAAGCACCGACACGGACAGAGTAAGGGTGAGGATCGGCCGTCGCTTGTCGAATACGGGTTTTCACCACGCGTGCAAGGGCCGATGATTTGTATGATTCGAAAAGTTGATGGGTATGGTTGGATTCCGAAAGCAAATCAAAATCGCCCGTATTGGTACGATCGCCTACCGAACGCCAAGCATCATAGATTAGTTGGCTCGACTCTTCCGCTTCAGTGGACAAATCGTTTAGTCGCTGTTCGCCTTCATCGTCATCGTCCAAGGATTCCTGTGGCTGGTTCGTCTCTTCAGGCTTCTTCATGGTCAGATCAACTAGAAAAAACAAGGCGACGACATCGTTGTCAATACGGCTATTGTTGGCACAAAAGAGAATTTAACCAAGCATTGGGGCTTACTCAGATAATCGGCGACATTGTATCCTTCCGGCACGGGAAACCCAATGTCACGAAAGTAACGCGGCGTGTCATTGACCGCACCAAAATAGACCATTTGGCCAGCCGCAAGGAGTAACAATGAATCAAACATTTTAAAAATATTCGAGCGCGGCTGTGCAAAGAATATGCGGTGAGCTCACATACAGACAGTAGGCGCGGTTGAACATAGTCTGGGTAGCTTACCTGGTGAATGGTGACGACAACAGTGCGTTGACCTTGTTTTGCCAAGCGTTGCAGACAGGCCATGACAATTCCAGCATTGTAGGCGTCCAGACCACTGGTGGGTTCATCCAGAAACAGCAAACTCGGATTGGTGACCAATTCTTTGCCAATACTCACGCGCCGTTTTTCACCGCCACTGATACCGCGCTGACCGGGCACACCGATCATGGAATCGGCAATGGATTCAATCCCGAGCTCATTCATCACATCGGCGACTCGTTTTTGTTTTTGTTTGACATTCATACTTCGAGGCAAACGTAACATGGCAGCATACATCAGGGTTTCACGCACCGTCAAGGTGCCCATCAAGGTATCATCCTGATCCACGAACCCTGTCATGCGTTTGAATTGACGTCGATCAGGGACATGTCCGTTGATCTGAATGCGACCGCTTGTCACACCACGTTTATGTTTCCGGGAAAGGATATCCAGTAAACTCGATTTACCAGCGCCCGACGGACCCATAATTGCCAGCATCTGTCCGGGCTCCACATAGCCGCTTAATCCCGAAAGGATGTCACGTCCAGCTATAATATCAAGCATGATCAGAATAAGACTTACCTCGCAGAATGAATAACAAAAAACCTTACCAACGCTGTAGCAAACATCATCAAAGGTGAGAAACACTTGCTTGTGATCGGCTCTTATGCTGGCAGCAGCCAGTTCTTGTTCGTCGTCGGATTCGGATAACTGAAGCTGGCTGCCGTACAAACGGCGTTGGCGTTTCACGGTCACTTTAGTCACGACAAAAATGATGAGACACACCATGAGGATGGCGCTGACGATCATCGATTCTGTGTAACGTGAAAATTGACGTTCCTGAAAAATAAAAAAAAGAACGTCGACGGTCAATTTAATACCGCAAATCGGATCTATGCGTGTGCGGATGATACTTGCGATAGGCTGAGCGTCCAAAAAATCCTGCTCGTTGGCACATTCACCGACATCGCAAGCGAGAGCGATGTTATCGGGGAAAACACTGACCAGTGTGGAATATTCTGCAATTGAACATGAGCATGGTTGCACGAAAAAGGAAACTTATTCGAGAAATAGTATTTGGAACGTGGGTTACCATTGTACCAGCAATCCTTTCCATCTTTACAGTACCATTCAGAGGGTCCTTTCACATTGGCTACGAGCTCCGACATATCTGCAGGAAAAAAAAAATCAGTCGGCGCACATACCAACCCCCAACCCCCAACCCCCTCTCCTCCGCCACAATATCCATCTTCATTTTTCATTCGACGACTTGCCTACTTCTTTTCCGCACATGAACGCGTCTTTCATGCAACCACATTTTGCTTTTTTACATACACCGTGAACATTTTCATGATCGTCCACTATCGATTTCCAACGATTCAGCGTTCTGTTGGTGCATAACCGTCCATCATGTTCTCACCTGTCTGTGTGCACTCGGATAACTCGCAGTAAAATTGTTCTTCAGCATCTTTCCAAAACTGAAATACACACTCCTGCTGAGGCCATTCACACTGCAGTGATACATGGGTATTATCAATCCATGGAATGTCTATTTGAATTTACATTGGTGTGTCATTGAGAATCTCGGCCTAGACCAACGTGGATCAGTCCTTACTTGTTGTATCACACCATGCATGCATGGATTTCAGTCCAATGGCAGATTTTATGCAGGTTGCATTGCTTCCTTTGAATCGTTGACAGGCGAAATCATTCTGACAAACGTTGCAGTTGACCCCACCCCAGCTACAATCACCAAATCAATGGTCATCAATACAACTAGAATTCAAAGTACATGTCTACCAGCCCCGTAAAAAAAGCACAAGGCAAGTTGAAAATAACAGCGTACCCGTCATCGCATTCGCACTTGTCACCCTTTCGTATTGGTCGTTCGGTCTCGTAGAGAGATCCGCATAATGGCTGCGAGCAATCGAGATCACCTAAGCAATAAAAATAGATAAGTCTTTAATACACAAGGCCAAGTGGGGCGATAAAACCAGGGCCGAACACTTTACCCCAGCCCGTTGGACATTCACAGGCACCGCTGACTTGGCAGTCCCCGCCATTGGTGCAAGAATTGGTGGGTAATTGACAGTTGAAGCAGATGGGACACTCAGGACATGAGTCTTGTCGCTTGTCCAGCCATCGTAGTGTTCGTATTTCTTTGGTCATGGTCGTTCAAAGCGGGGTAGACGGTGGAAAGGGGAACAGAAAAAGTGGGGGGACGGTGACACACTGGTTACAGACACAGTCACGAAGGAAATTTCCAAAGGAAACCCAACCATATTATGCAAGAAAATTTGGGTGTAGATGATAACCAAGCGGGCTGAAGGAAAAAAAAAAAAAAAAAAAAAAAAAACCTTGTAACATTATCCCAATACTTGATATCACATGCATGATTCCAGCACGTAGGAACCAAGACAGTAACAATATGATAAAATGGCGATGTCTCGTTGGTCGATAAAGCGAGCGGTGTCTTACAACCTGAGAACACCGTGGTGCTTCTGGTGGGAAAAAACACAACCCAAAAGCAGGTTCTTTGCTATCTATAAAAGGCAAGCATCAAAAGATAATACCGTCAAGTCTTAAAATAGAAATGGCACATACCTTTTGACAAGTGCAAAATAAGAAGCTCGGCATTTACTGTAGATGACAAGATAAAAGAAGGACATACCCTGGTTACATTGCAAAGATGTATTTTATTTTTCTTGAACATGCAGAAATAAATGTATTTTTGCTCCAGGCATAAAATATGGGATAAGTATAGTACGGAAAAGACGGAATAGTGAGTGACAGGAAAAGAGTGCGATAACGAAAACAATGCTGTGAAAAAAAAAGGATAGAAAGCAAACAACAAACAGGGTCATGGAAAAAAAAATGATAATAATAGTAATAAATGATAACATGGGAAAACCGACAAGGGATGGAGATGCAAATGATGTCAATGACAGGGTCCAAATAAAGGTAGATTATTTTGGACGGGAGGGAAATCTTTTGACGTGATGATAGCATGAAGACATGAACTCTGTGTTGGCGGATTTCCGATGATCTAATAAAGAAATGAGACCCAAAAAGAATGAGAAAAACCCGTATGAATGATCGATGACACATGCCATCTATTTCTGCTTACGGCAATGTGTCAAACCTTCTTCATCGAGCATGGCATGTAAAATGCGCCTTCTAGCGTTGATAAACCAGTTGCTGATTTGATTCAGGGTAAGATCCGTTTGTCGTGCTAGAGCGGCCTTTTCTTCTTCCGTTGGATAAGGATGTTTCTTGTGCTTGGCAAGCCAGTCTCGCAGAATCGCCGTAACAGCTTTAGGTAGATTGCCCCGTCTGCGTTTTCGACCAGCCACAATCACCATTTCCGACCGACCAGCGGCAGGAGACGGAGTGGAGGTGCTGGCGGAGATGCGTGTGGACCGAAGCGTTCTTGCGTATTTTCCTTTTGGTATGTGCTGCGCCATGGGTGGTGGCGTAGTACTGAGTCGCTGTGGGGAAGGTAGATCCCTCGCCAAGGGAGGCGTAGGTGATGACACAAGGGACGGAACAGGAGATAATCGGTCTGCATGCTCTTCCACTGGGAAAAAAGGGGGAGGAGAGAAGAAAAATAATTTAACACCATACTTTTTTTTTTCTGAATCGGTCTGCGCGCACAGACCCTTATATGGATGTGGGCTTACCTCTGGATGAAGTCATGACGTCTGTCCAGAATCGGCCATTATTCTCTAGCATTTGATGGATTCTTTTTTTATGTGATTCAATAAAAGGAACGTAGTGAGGATCGCCATACGGAATGTGGATATGTTCGTGATGGCCCGATCCGTTATCGAGATATTCATGATCATGGAATAAGATGATGGGACTGAACGAGCGCAGCTGCAGAAATACATAAAAGAAATTAGCGAAATCATGATAAGCCGATATTTTCGTCATAGAAATCATGGCCCAGGGCTTACCTTTCTGTCCAAAGTAGGTGACGGGTATCCTGACATGACAGTTGAAGAATGTTGGTTAAATGAAGTGAATCGGAAAAACGTATGTCAATGAGAAAAAACGTCGCTAACGAAGAACCAGAGGAAGAACAAAAAATAAAAATGAAGAGTTTTGTTCGCTGAGACGAAAAGGTTTGCAGGAAATAAAAGATAATAAAATAAAATAAAAAAGAGACACGCGAGTATGTGTATGTGAGAGACAGAGAGGAAGATGGAGATAAAAGAAAAGAAGAGGAAGAAAAGAGAGAGCAGAAACACAGACAATATATAGAAAGCTCAAGAATCAAGAGAAACTGGTTAACTGGTTAAAGATAGAGATGGGAGTGTGTCTCCATAGAAAAAAAAGCCACCTGTACAACGCGTGACCAGAAAATGACATGCAAAAAAAAAAAGAAAAAAAAAAGGCTGCCGGGAGTTCTCAAGCCGCTCTTATTATTGCACCCCTCAAACTCAAAAAGACGTGATGTTGGTAAGAGATGACAGAAACGGGATACAAAGTGTGAGAAAAGATTGGGGGGACACACGCACACCCGCTTCCACTGGAGGAGTTTACGTCGGACTACGCATTGGCCAGCTTTCAATCCGTTTTCGTCGACAAAGTAACTCGGCTAATTTAGTCAAACTGTCATGTCCCTGAGTTTCTGATAGGCTTCACGATTTTTTCATCTCCATAGTTTTTTTTTCTACTGTTTCATCTTCAAAATGGGTTGAATGGAGTGTTTTCAATGGATATCTTTATCCCATTTATCAATAATTTGATAGCTATTCTCCTAAAGTGGGCTGCTTATCTTCAATATTTCCCGTTATTTTTTTTCCCTTGGGACGGATTTCTTTTGGGAGCATGGAAAATAATGACTGTATCACTCTTAAACAGCACTGTAAAGAAGTTAGGTAACGAGTGAAGTAACTAAACTTAGTCTATAAATGGGTCGCCCTCAGAACGTTTCACATTTAACCTGCAACACTATTTCTCACATGGGTAATGTCGTCTTTTTTCCTTCTATCCAAGCGGAGATTGGAGCTGATCGTCCCCATTTAGACACCTAAAACGTGATTCTGTTTGATTTTTCACAGACTGATTGTGCAGCCTAACCTTGCATCAATGAAATGCATGCATAATCTTTTTTTTTCTTCAAGCCAACGTTGCTGTGTATCCTTCTTTTCACATGTTCGAAAATAGGAAAATATGAAAGCATGACCCACTTTGTCGCCCATGGCACCTTGTTAGCAACAAAAAAAAAAAAAAAAAAAAAAAATTATTATCATCCAACCATTTCGATTCCTCACGAAGCAGTCACATCGTCCAAAGATCGATTAACTTGCTCAACCTTTGGGGACAAAAGTGTATGAATGACCAAGCATACAACTGAAAAGCTGCGTTGCCGGATAATAAAATAAAGACACTTTCCTATATTTTAGTGGGACGGGTTTCACTCGAGTTTTTTTTATTTCTTTGATTCTCTTTATTCATTCTGATCATTCAACAATCGCACATGGGAGTTCAACGACGTACCATGCACAGAGCAACCGACGACGACGACAGTACTACCGGACTGTTAGCCAAGCCAAGTCAACCACCACAACATAAATCGAAAACATTGACTTGGAACGAAATCCCAAAATGGATGCAAGATAATCAGTATATTACGACGGGCTATCGGTATCCAACAGGAAGCTATACCGGATGCATCAAAACCCTCTTCTTCTTACATAATGAAAGTGGTGAGTAGCGCACACGAAATGGATACAAACATCCTCGGCGATTGAAATCATTGATGCTGTGCATATTAACACCAAAGCAATTCTTGGCCAGTTAATATCTGGAGTCATCTCATCGGGTTCCTCGTGTTTGTTTGGTTGGGTGTCGATTTTCTGTACAACCAACCTTTCTCAGACAGTCTGACCACTTTTGACATTGCCTATTTCCTCATTTTCATTGGTGGCGCGCTCTGTTGCCTAGGCTTCAGTAGCAGTTTTCACTGTTTCTCCTGTCACTCGGAACCAGTCGCCATCACATGGAATCGATGCGATTACGCAGGTATCACCACCCTCATTGTGTAAGTTGAATAATTTTGCAACAGAAAAATTGACGTGCCTGACATGCTGTCCTTCTTTCCCCCGTAGAGGTTCCTACTTTCCTGTCGTTTATTATGGTTTCCACTGTCATCATGCACTCCAAAGTAGGTTCATTGTTTACGAAAACTTTGACTTGCTTGTTTGTTTACTAAAAAATTTCTGTTTCGATCGTTTTTGACAACTAGCAATATACCTGTCCATTGTAGCTGTTCTTGGAAGTTGTACGGTGGGTTGACATTCCGTTGTTCTCAGATCAAAGTAGTTTTTCATCCGCTCATTGGGGTATTTTGGTAGGCGGCCGTGACGCTGTTAAAACATTTTAGAACACCTGCGTACCGCTGGGTTCGAACGTCGCTGTTTTTGGCGTTGGGATGCTTTGGTGTGGTGCCAACTTTGCATGGCATTTATTTATACGGCGTAAGTGATCGAATCCTGATAATAATTTTCCGTGGGGATGGGAGTTTGCTGTCAAACGATGGGTCACTCAAAAAAAACGGTTTCAAAAACAAAAACAGTTGCGTAATTCCTTCGAAACCATCTCACTGTCGCATATGGCAATGATGGGTTTGAGTTACATTAGTGGTGCCTTAATTTATGGATGCAGAGTGCCTGAACGATTCCGACCGGGGTTATTTGATATTTGGGTAGGTGGAAAGTCGCTTTTCGTTTTTGAAAGAGATAGAAGTCAAGAGCTGAACAACATGACGTAGGGCGCGTCGCACCAAATCTTCCACTTGGCGGTCGTGGCGGCGCTGTGGGCTCACTACACCGGTGTATTGAAAGCCATGGCTTTTTGGCACGATAAGAATAATAACATGTGTGCGACCTTTCTTCCATAAGCTTATTTCGTCATCTCAAAATAGAAGTTCTATCCAACCTCATTACCCTAACTATCCTCTTACCATTAAAAATGCCTTTCATGCTCAGATCTCCGTTCCTGGAATATACCGTTGGCACATTTTTCTCCAAAAGTACCTTTTTTGTAGACACCATTTGGTTTGAGCTCATTGATCTTACTACATATTGGATATGGGTGCAATAATTCCAGTATGTTCGAGTTTGGCACCTGACACGAATAAATTGTAACCATTGTGCAGTCTACAGTCGTAAAGCCACTTGTTGATATTAGTAGCCAAGACGCCTTGTCTTAGTGGGATCTATCATACGTCAATGCCTGGTACTGACTGGTGTCGAAAGAATGACTCTAGTACTGCCTCTTTTTTTCACCTGTCTGTCTTTGTGAGTTTGATTAGCGGCGCTGGGGTTGAGGAGAATGGATGGATGTCTTCTGTAACCTGACGTTGTGATGGGCGGGATTCCGTCAAGGTTGCACATGCGTCCTTGGCGAGAAAAAATACCCTCTATTTTCTACTGTGAACACAACAAAACTTTATGCAAAAATTCCAGCCCAGTTTCCCCGACCCATTCCTCTGACATTTTTGCACCCGCTTCAAAACATCCAAAAAAAAAGAAGAGTCTCGTGCTTGCATGCTTGTTTTTCGTTATCAGATCTTCTCATCCTTTGAAAATTCTGATTTAGGTCCCAGTGAAAATTTCGGAACTCTCAAAAGAATGCATCTTTTGCTAAAGAAAAAACACATGCAGCAGACGAAACTAAAAAATACTGTAAACGAAAAATAAGAAAAAGTCACTGTTTATCCACAACTACTGTATCCGCACCAATGAGTTTGAATCGCAGTAATTATGGTCAAAGTGACAGATGCTTTGTCTTTGGAAAACTGACGTGGTTCTGATACATGCTGATTTCTTAAACAAACAAAGGTACACCCCGTTCCAGGTCACGATAACATCACAACCATCTAGCTTCTTTCCTTTTTTAAGATCTGGCCCTGATTTTAAGGTCCACTTTCGGCGTGTCGTCCATTCATTTGAAACGATCTGCGACTATTACAGTTCTGCCTTTCCATGTCCGTGCATCAAAATAGTTCTCCATTCCCACCCTCCCGGGCGAACTTCAACCCAATAAAGTACTGTTTGTCAAAACAACGACGCTTCGCGGTTATGGCACAAATTCAGGCAATGGCGTTACGTTGCAAGTTACTTTCACTTTGGTATAAAGAGCATTACTGATTTCAAAATATTACAATTGAAACGCATCTCCTTTTAGATTTTGTCATCGATATGATATCTTTTTTATTATTATTGTGTTAGCCTCAATGTCTTTTTCAATATTTTGTTTATTCCAAATCCTGTCGTAAAGAAAAATATGGGCAATACTGTAGTATCATTGAGGGTAGCTTCTTTTCGAAATTTATTCCTGATTCTTTTTCCCTTACAATATAGAAATTTTGATTGTCTACAATATTTGGTTGCTCCTGGTCTGCTGAATGGAATTGCAGTCGAAAATGTAGGTCAAATATTTTATAATTGATAGCAAAAATGAGAGGCAGTGAATGGTGGTAATTATATTTAGATAAAAATTTGTCATAGAGATATTAACGCTTCAACCAATGCATTGCCAGTATCATTCAACACTTGGACATTTGATCCATTATAGTCTCTTCAAATGTTCTTTCAAATTAAGTTCAAGTATGCTTGGATAACTGTTTGCAAGTTAATCAATGAATTAATGCAGTTTGTCTCAGGAGTGGCTTCGTGTTGTGACTCGGTCAAGCAAAAGAAAAAAAAAAGTTTTTCTTGAAAGATCACTCTAGCTTTCGTGGAAATACACCAGCTAAATGACATGCTGAATTATGGAAATATATTGCATGGTGTGGAACATTGCTCCATAAAGTCTAAGAATATAAAATGAAAAGATGTAGTTTTCTATCATTATCGAACACCAGGTCAGCCATTAAGATAACTTTGCTAGCATTGGTTCGAATGATCTGACTCGGGAAGAGACATTGAATCAGCTGGCGATCTGTTTTTTTAGAAGGAGAAAGAGAAAAAACGAAATCAACTTGTTTTCACATGTGATTGTCTGACAGATAATGCCCGTACCAATAGTTTTTGGATGGTTGTTCCAAAAAAAAAAAAAAAAGCCGTTGGTAAGTTGGTTATCTGTCTACACTACCGGTGCTTGTACGCTGTTAGAACTCCTTGAATAAAGCAAGGTGGATCGTATCCGCTTTTCCGCGACAAGACAAGAAGATACATATTTGCGGTTACAGCATCCGTTCTGTCCGTCTGAGCTTCTCCTGTTATTGACCAATGAATGACCCGAGATTTGTTGGGCGCGGCCGTGTCGCATAAAGCATGTCACCCAGTAACGAAATAATTGCGTTGCGTAGGTATACCCTTCACCACTTTATAATAAGATCAATGTGTGAATTGGCCAATAGGTTTTATGAGAGAGCATAGCCACATCTTTTTTTTTTTGCGCAATACAGAACGGCTTTATCATGTCTGCAGCAAAAAAAAAGGTCGTCCCATGCTATTCATGATGGCGGAGTCTTAATCATTTGGCTGGCCTTGTCAAGGACACCGAAAATCCCCAATCACTGACCGTCTCATTTATTTCCATCGGATGGGCTGATTTTTGGTTTCGGGCTGCAACACCGATATGCCCAATTGATTTATAAAGCGACACGATAAGCTGATGCGCACTTTTTTTTTTTGTTTTTTTGTATTGTTTCTTTTTCCTTGTTCCTTTTCGGATAATGAACGCCACTATCGCGGCCGAGCCATACCAGCTCAACTGGCTGGAAACTCAATGGGAGGAAATGTACAAAGGGCGCAACCCTTTGCTGGTCACCGGTGTTTTCGCCTTTGTGATGCACGAACTCGTCTATTTTGGTCGATTTATTCCATTCCTTATTTGCGACTTTATCCCCTATTTCAAACAATACAAGCTTCAACCGGTAAGTGGTCATCGGTTGCACGAAATGGTCTAGAAAAAAAACCGGCTGATGTCAAATATGTTACGTGTAGAACAAAGTTAACAAGGCTTCAGATTATTGGAAGTGCACGAAACAAGTTTTGTATCAGCATCTGTTGTTCGAAGGACCATTGATTTTCTTCTTCCATCCAATGGCCACTTTATGCGGTATGAAGGTGGCGGCGCCTTTCCCTCAATGGTAAGCAGAAAAAAAAAAAAAGAAAAAGGCGAATTTGAGTTTCTTGAGGACACAGTAACAGGAGAATGACAGAGTTAACCGTGAATGATAGGCAATACATTTGGCCGCAACTCGTCATCTTTTTCGTATTTGAGGATTTTTATCACTACATTGTTCACCGACTGATGCATTGGCCACCGTTGTACAAGAAGATCCACAAAGTTCATCACGAATATGCCGCTCCTTTCGGTATCGCAGCTGAATATGCTCATCCCTTGGAAACGTCTATTTTGGGATTCGGTACCATTGGTGGTCCGTTGATCTACCATTTAGTCAACAAACAATACGTGCATGCAGGACCACAGTGGGATCTTCATCTTGTTACGGTCTTGTTATGGATTGTGTTGCGTTTAATTCAAGCGATCGATGCTCACTCGGGTTACGATTTCCCTTGGTCGCTGTGCCATTGGATCCCATTCTGGGCCGGTGCCGATCACCATGACTACCACCACATGGCATTTGTTGGCAATTATGCTTCCACCTTCCGTTGGTGGGATTACCTTCTTGGCACCGATAAAAAGTATCGTGCTTACCGTCATCGCCAAGCGGAGGAACGTCGTCTCAAGGAAAAGAAAAAACTCTAAGGGACAAAAAATTTTCCCTCATGTTTCACTCGCTTTATTTTTAAATCAACTTTTTTTTTTCGCTTTTCCTCCCTACTCGCGTTGATCTTATTCTTCCACCAGCTTAGACATTATTCCTATTTCATCAATAATTGTATTTGTAACTTTTTTCCCCGTAATATCCTTATTCTGCTTTCCATCATTATCTTTTCTCATTGAAAGACATCATCGGACAATCCGTTTCGCTTTTAATAAAATTATGTTCAGGCGGATGAATTATTTACTCTGGCGGTCTTTTAATGGACGGAGAAAGTGCACGCTGAATAGAAAGATAGAATCGGCCCAAAAAATCGAAGCGACAGCAAAGCCGATGTGCCTTGCCGCTGCTTTATAGGCTGCTTGTGAAATACATCTTTTTCAATCACATGCAAGACATTCGTTCCTTTTAGCAAGTTTCTGCGCCGAGCACACCCATAAACTTGTCGCAAATCCTGTGTCGCCTGATAACTGATATAAGAATTTGTCGCAAAAATCATAGCTTGTCTACAGTCAAAGAGACCGCGAAAGCAGTTTCCGGTAGGTTGCTCTGCCACGATCTTTGATCCGTTTTAGTTTTTCGAAAATGAGAACGACGAAATAGCTGAAATTCGATTGGCGTGACGCGGCGTTATTTGAAAATCAACAATTTCACTTATTTTTTTCTGCAGATGACGCTTGCCTCATTGCAATAACTTAGTTACAAGTGAAAAGCGATTAATTTCTAAAGCACGATTTCTTTTATTTAGGCGATATAGTTTGACCAACCATGTAATAAACTTTAGCACAATGGGACTCTTTGGATGATATGGTTGAGTAGACAATGTTTTACGCGATCTGCGAATGTTTGCATAGGGTGTTTATCGTTTATGATGTTGACTATGGTGGCTCCGATTGATTGTGGCTGATGGAGAAAGGAAGGATATGTTGTTCTAAATTTTATACGAGTGGCGATAGGGTAGGTTCTCTGCGACGTTTCAATGCTTCCCAGTAGGCACGGATTCGGCCACCTATGGAGTGAAGAAGCAAGATCCGTCGACTTGGAGGTGGAAGAATTCGTTGGATTCGATGCTCACCAATGTAGCCCTGGTTATCAAATGTGTATAGAAAAACGCCTTCTACGTGACGTACCGCTCCCATGGCATTCAAACCAAGGATACGTCCTAATCCAAGCGATGATCGGCGTACTCCCTCTAACCGCCATCGTACCTGTAGGTACCGCACATGCGACGACGCTTGCTTATCGATATCGCTCAGCGGTGAATAGGTTAATCTGTTTGAATCTGCTATTGGAAGCAGTTTGTGTGTGTGTTTTATCATCATGGTTTTTGAACCGTCATCGTTGTCGGAAAAATCGTCGGGATCGTGACTTTCCGGAAGCACTCGCATTCGCACAATCTCCAGTTGAATATCATCAAAATAAAGTCGCAGACTCCACCTTAGCATTTGTGCTATGCCTAAATAAGCGGTACGGCCGTGAACCGAAATTCGCGTATAGTGAGGGTCGGTCAATACGATATCGTTGGCATAGATAGTATGTTCTGTTAAGCCGGAAGCGAAAAACTGGGGAAGATCGTCTTGCAAGGTAGTGATGGCTAGCAGTCCAGTAGTTTAGTAAAATCTCGTCATGATTGGCTATCAAGCGTTTCCTTATCAATCTTACCATGACCTATCCGCAGCTCATACTCATTGGGCGGTTTGCGTTTCGTTTCTGACGTGTCGCGTCGATGAGAGGTCGAATGGAACATGGCCCATGAAGCGGCTTTGCAGGAACGAACCATTGCCATTGGCGGTAAACAAAAGGTAGAAGAGACTGGTCGCGATAAATATGCCCTACGTCTAGGTAGAACAGTAGGGGACCCAAGTTTATGTATAAAAGTGTGCGCACGGAATACCATATCAAAACGTTGTTTTATTGTTCAAGTGGAAAGCCTAAAAAAGCCAGGATTGCATGAAAAAAGTATCGGATTGTTGATACTATTTCAACGTCACGATCTCACGTGTCACAACCCTCCGCAGAGCCAGGTCGTTCCCTTTTTGCAGTCTCTTTTTCACGTAGTTGCCCATCTGTTTTTTTTTTTTTGGTTCTGGCCATCTCCATGGGTAGCATCACCAAGTTCGATACTGCGCATGAGGATCTTATTCACAATGTAGCCTATGACTTTTACGGCAAACGGCTCGTTACTTGCTCCTCGGATCAGCGATTGAAGGTCTGGGATTTTGTGGAGCGCGACGAATCCTCAGCCTGGGAATTGAACGATTCGTGGAAGGCTCACGATGCGTCTATTCTGAAAGCGATATGGGCTCATCCTGAATACGGACAGGTTATTGCAAGCTGCTCGTTTGATTGTACAGTGAAAATATGGGAGGAGCAGATATCGGGTAATAATCAAGAGTGAAAAAAAAGGGCGTCTCCAAGGGGGAAAGCCATAGACCGCTAAATGACCCTGCTTCGTATTAGAACCTAAAATGAGCCAGAAACGATGGTTTGAAAGAGGTCGATTATCGGAATCCAGTGGCGTGGTATTAGATATTGCATTTGCACCTATGCAAGGCGCATTACGGCTGGTATATTGATAATTTTTGATGTCTTCATAAATCATCTTCCACTTGTCTAATGGAACCTATAGGCTTCATGTTCGGCCGATGGAATTGTTCGCATCTACGAGGCACCAGAACCGACGGATTTATCACAATGGTCAGAGGTGGAAGAATTTGAAATTTCAACGGCTCAATACGGAGCGATGGATGCGTCCAAAGTTCCATCGTCCCAAGGCTTTGGATCAACGGCACAGCAGCAGCAACAGCAACATCAGGCACTATCGTATCAACAACAACAGCAGAAACAATCCCCCTACCCTTATCAAGCACTACCACCTCATCATCTGACATCCACATCTCAGCAGCAGCAGGCCCTGTCGTCGCAGTCATCCCATCATCCTTATCTTCCGCAACATCCTTCGTCTATGCAACCGGCTAACAATCACAGCACGAGTTCCAGTAACAGTTCGGTAGCCAGCCACACAGCTACCGGTGCTGGGAGCGACGGAGGCATGTTCGGATCGCGGATGACGAATGCAGGTGGTATGGGAGGCTACTCGGGCGCCGTGGTACCTGTGAATCAAGGACAGGGAGTGTCGCCTGGCTCGTCCATGATACCGAACCCGGGATTAAGCCAATTACAATCTGGTTCCGGCGTCACCGGAGCTGTGAGCAACGTATCCAGCAGTTATCATCGCACCATGGATATCAATAGCGGTTACTGTATTGATTGGTGTCCCAACCGCACAGCCACTGCCATGATGGTCGTAGGTCTTGGTAAAGAAATCGGGGCAAGGGTAGGTTCAATAATCACACAGCCAGAAGACGACAACAACTACCACGACCAATGACACGGCTTTTTTTTTTCTTTTTGTTGCCTTAGATATTCAAACATGATGGTCATAATCGATGGTATCCTGCTGAATTTCTTCCTGGCCACACACAGGAAGTGCATGACGTGAGTTGGGCGCCTAGTATGGCAAGGTAAGAGCATTGAATCATTGAAATTGAAATTATGTCGCGTCGTGTGTTAAAGAATGGTAGATCGTATCAATTAATTGCCACTGCGTGCAAGGATCACTATGTACGAATCTACAAGTTGACGGAGCAGCCTTTGGCTGGTACACCCAACGTAGGGACTTCGGGATCATCACGATCGGGATCAAACCGACAAGGCGGCGGATTGGGCAGCTCAAGTCGGCTGGGGCATCGTCCCATTCATGTGGAACTGATAGCTTCCTTCAATGACCATAATGCTGAAGTATGGCATGTGGAATGGAATGTGACTGGAACTATTCTTTCGTCTTCCGGTGACGATGGAAAACTGCGATTATGGAAAGCAGGATATGACGGCGAATGGCGATGTATGGCTGTCATCACAGGCAATCAACAACAGAACGCTCCCACCCATTCAATAGGTATATAATCACATCTTAATAGAATATCATCAATGACTGGATACTTTTTTTACGTATTTTGAATTTGCAAAGCTTCTGAAAGACCACAGTGTCTGTATTATACGATAAACATAACAGAAGAGCATGAAAAAAGAGAAGATGCAACAGCTGGGTAAATAGAAAAATAAGAACAAGTGACAGTGGTTAACGAGAAATAGGAAGGAAAACTAGATGGTATGTAATGGGGGGAAAGACTGCGACATGGATAACATCATTCCAGTAAGGGGGCGAGTGCGCAACATTGGGGGGGGGAAAGAAAAAAACTGGGAAAAAAAAATCAAGACGAGGCAACCGGCTGTTTCCTGGGTCGACCACGACCTCGTTTCACCACTGGTTGGCCATCGGGCGTGACTTTGCTGGTCACGGCGGTCTCCTCTTTGGGATACTTTCTAGGTCGACCGCGTCCTCTTTTTACAGGCTAATAGAAAAAAAAATTACATGAATCACTGTATGGAGGATGATAACGTGTGTTCTTTTTGAATAGATTGTTAACTTACGTTTGGTTGCGCGGTGTCGTCGTTGGCGACCGCCAGTTCGGGCGTGGCGTCCTGTTGGTCGGAAGCATTGGATTTAGGCTTTTTGGGTGGTCGTCCGCGTCCTCGACGGGGTTGAAGTGGTTCATCCGATTTGTCGCTTTCGCAAGGACGTTTGTCCGATAGTTGAGCTGGTTTCTGATTTTCGCCGAGCTGAGAAGAGGGTGAACGAGCTTCTTCTGAACTATCATCCAAGACGCTGTTGGCTTCTGCTTCCGACAAAGTCATCTTTTTGTATTTTTGTTTTTGCTACTTGAAACTTGAACAATGTTAACAACTGTCGCCAGCTAAACCGAAAGAAAGGTAAAAAAGTAATAAAGAAAGAATAGAAAAAGTAAAAATAAGAAAAAAAAATAAAATAAAAAAATGTAAGCTTAAAAAAAAAAGGATAAAATAAATAAAATGGAGTTGGCAGTCTCTTTTTTTTTTTCCACTTTTTCAAAAAAGGAAATGAAGAAAAAAAGAGCTGCGCACAAAAGTGCTCGGTTTGAACGCAACAAGGAGATCTTTTTCAAAAAAAAAAAAAAAAAAAAAAAAAAAAAAAAAAGACGGTACGGTTTTCCAACCTTCCGATTGATGGAAATTCCTTTAATTTGTAAAAATGCACACGTTACGCCAAAATAACAACCCAATTCACGTAAATTTACCCCAAACAAAATGATACTTGCTCTTCTCCGCCAACTTGTTTCGCACAACATGCATCATCTTTGTAGCAGGACATCATCACTATTATTGAATGTTGCAAATGAAACGTGTCAGTCTCTTTCGGTGAGCTCTTTGAACTGCTCGTTGCCACGTCCTTTCATAAACTATACATACTATATATTTTATACATTTGATATTGTTTCAGCGGAGAAGGCCATATAATTGTTTCCGCTTCATCCCTTTTTTGCCGCTCCCAAAATTCGTGGTTGGAAGAATGAAGCGATGCATGGAACGAAACGGTGCTGCTTTCATCGCCCTCGTTTCCGATCAATGCAATATCGGCAGATACAGTTGTGTTCTCCTAGATTGATCTGTCAAACCTCTTGCGCGACCTACTCCGGCACTGCATGATCGATCGTCTGGAAGATCAGTCCAAGTTTCTTTTTTTTTTTTTTTTTTTGAGTAATAAATAATAGATATTATAAAGCTAAATATGGGTCATCAGGAAATCATTGTATCGGTAGGAGAGAGGTATGTGGGTGGTGGGTTGGTTTAGTTGTGACCAAAGAAGCGTGTCATGACGCTAAGATAGTGTGGGCTGATTGTATCCTTTTCATTTTGATACAGCGTCATTAGCACACCCATCGAAGCCATGAACAACCAGATTTCTCCATGTCGAACATTACGAATACGGCCTTGTTTTTCCATCGTCTTCCAGAAAGCCTCCATCGCTCTCGGTAAGCAATAAAGACCCAGTTCTATGTTCATCGTTAGTTTCCTTTTTTTTCGGATTGAACATGATTCTTTGTCCGTTACCTAATTGACGACCCCGTGCTTCAAACAGTGTCATACTGCCACCCACCACACCCACGAGGACGTACATCCAATGTCGTTCTTTTTCAAATATACGACGGAACGTGCAAGCCGATCCCAAGCCCATAGTCACATACATTGTCAAGAACAACCCTGACCGCAAGCACGAAATTGCAAATTTTCGCAACACCAAGTTTGGACTGCAAAAAAAAAAAAAAAAAAAAAAAAAACGAAAAAAAAGATGCATCAGCAATGATTGTTAACATGTCACTGATTTTTTTTGGCAATGGTTGCTCTATCACTTACTTGGAGGTAAGCTGTCCAGAACGGAATACACCCATCATAATCTATATCGAGTAACCGTCAGTCCATCGGATGCAAAGTGATCCCTTTTGAATTTTTTCTGTGAATCCCATACCAAGTTAAGGGGCACATACAGCTTCAGTGCACGTAGGTACTCGAGCTTGAAACTTCGGAACGCGCTTCTTGAGCAACTGTCTTCCAGTGGATGCTGTAGAGCACACATAATATACTTGTGTCGAAGTTTGGCTGGAATCACCGAGGCAATGTTGGGGCTAACATGGTCTGCAATGTATTGATATGACGTTGTGTCTTTTGGTAACCGGATAGATCCTCGTGTTTCCGAAAGGAACCGAATATTATTCCCAATCACGTCCGCCAGCGGTTCTGCCAGCCCGCCTACATCCGACTTCCACCCTGCGTGAGTCAGCAAGAATGTAAAATACGATCGTGGTAGCGTTTCGGAATTGAGCAAGAATGAATAGATGATTTGACCATTGGCAAGCATCATCACCAAAACGCCCGCCCATCTTTGGATAAACTTGGCTAGATAATCATCCCATTTCTTGCCCACTTCAAGTTCTCTTGGCTGTCCTTCGCGATCCACTTTCTCCTTCAATATCGCCAATTCTTTGCGCCGTCTCGTTTGCCTTTGGAGTCCCCATTGCTTCATGAGCCAAGCTCCACTGAATTGGAAACTGCGTGTCAGCAAGTACAGCATAATGGATTGTCTACGGCGTTTGTCGCGGTCTAATATCAGAGCAATCCCCGCCACTGAACCCGCAACAAATGCATTCAATTTATCCGAGCTGGGATCGGGATTCTTTCGCCATCGTCGCATCGCACACAATATCGCTTTGTAACTGCTCAAGAAGGTACTGAGGAAAAGCGCAAAGCACATGGTATCGCTATTGTGGGGCAATGGATCAGTCTTTTCTTCTAGAATTACCGCTTTGATCTGATAGTTTTCTCTCTTACCGTCCAGCCATTTGTTTCAATATCCGGGGTCTAGTTTAATTAAAGAAACTTGTGATTAATGTCGTGGGGGCGGTTCCAGAGTGTGCCAATCAATACTTACCTTTTCAACAGCTTGCCAGTGAGTAAAGCCGGTAGAATGCCAATAAGATACTTTACAGTGAAGGCGACGCTGAAGGCTTTAATGAAACCGCGCAAGCTATTTTGAATGCATGTTTTGCCTGCATGGTGGCAAAAAGGAGCATGATCTTTCTCGGCAATAGACAATTCCAAGCGTAATCGACTGAAACTCTGACTAGGGTGATATTATGAGCAAAAGGGGAACAGTTTTGTCATGTTTATGGATCTTCATTCAGCAAACCTGCTTAGTCGTTTAAGTCTGTCCTGAAAAGACCGAAGGGATGCCACCACTGCTTCGGTTTCCTTGTCGGTCAGTAACTTGGACACGATTTGGGCCAAGATTTCCAAGAAATTCTCATAGTAGGAAGCTGGAACAGGTGGAGCCGGTGTTGGCATTGAGCACTGTAGTGAAGCAAGCTCTGAAAGGGGAAAAGTTGGAACGGCGATAAAAAAAAAAAAAAACTTCACACAGAGTAATAGGAAATTACAAGTGACTCAAGTGCATAAAAGAATTGGGGAAATCCCAGTCGAGCTGAAAAACGGATTATTGACTGTATCTAATGATGGCTGATATCACATGATTGTGAAAGAAGAATCGCTAAATCCAAAAGAGCGACAATCCTGCCACTAATCGATATTCACACTAGTCGCTCACAATATTCATTCACGCTCTTCATTTATACATCCCCATTCATATTCGGAACAAGAAAAGTAGGCTAGTTCACCCATCACAATTACCGTGTTTTCGCGAGTTTTTTTTACCCCATCCTATTTCAATGGGTTGTTGCACAGCTGTCAAACCAAACAAACAGCGCGGTGCACTAAACTAATAACGTGTTCCTCCAATAAGGGAGCCGCCCAATGCACAACACAGGCGGACATTAAAGCTCGCCATCTACGATGCTGCCCACGCAAAAAGTTGATAGTGAAAGACACGGAAACAGTGGATTGACAAAAAGGGAATTATTTGGATGACGGATGAAATGTTGCTGGAAATTACAGGTGAGAGAGAAACAAAAAATGATAGGTGTGACTCGGGAATTTCAGGTTTTTCGAGTTTCACATGATGATGATTTTTGAGGGCGGAGATGGGTGAGCCAGCCAGCGTCAAAGTTGCGGGCGCGCGCAAATGTCGTGACTTTTTTGGTGGAAAGAGAATCACCCGATTCACATCCCAATTCATAACCCTGGTTTTCCCTTATTTATCCATTTCTTCTTCTTTTTTGTTTACAACTTTCTTTTGTTTTTTTAATTTAATTGTATTCATCATGGTTGGCGGTTCATCCCATCCCTCCATCACTATGGGCTTGATTTGCACGGCTGGGTAAAAAAAAAAATACATCCTGCTTGGAATGGCAATTGGTTTCGAGGTAAATGCTGACATATGCACCTTTTTTTTCCTGCTTGTTATTTTAGCGGTATTGCCGGATATCGTCGCACTGCTTCGGTTCCTTCGCTTGTTGGAGGTGTTGGTATTGGCGCTGTGTATGGTACGGCTGCTTACCTTGTGTGGCATAATAAAGATTACGGCCATGAAACAGCACTGGCTGCCTCGCTCCTCTTGGCTGGAGGCATGGTCCCTCGAGCCGTCAAGTCTGAATTCAAAAAACCCGTTCCCGCCGTTCTATCTGTTCTTTCCATCGCCGCCGGTAGTTATTATGCTTACAAGATTTATCAATATCGCTAGCCTGCAAAGGTATCCGTCACCAATCTCTACCGTGGCTTTTCCTTTCGTTGTAATTTAATCTAGATCGTCACAAGTACCTATAAAACCTTAATCGGTTTTGTTTACCTAATTTATATATATATATATATATATGGCAAGTCGACATGCTTGTGCGCGTCCTTATCTGATGTTTCTTGGCTGATGATGTCGACAAGTCTATTGAAATGCAAGCCAAAATTTCGAAAAATAATAATCGGCTGTTGTTCCATTTCAAACTACGAAAAAGACACCGCTATTTTTTCATCAAGCTGTGTGTGGCAGGAGAACGCTCATCAAGTATCATTCCTTGAAATGGGGAGCCATGATGAACGCAGTCCGAAATTACATCCAATAATGAGACAGCAGGATAAACGATTCATAAACGTTCGATGGAGGTGTCTATTGGAAGCATGGAAAATATGGAAATAGAGACAATTGAGGCTAAAGAGTATCGCGTCTCTTGGTAACTCATAAACCGTGCCTTGCGCCTTGCCGTTGTCTAATGGTTGCTAGTTATTATGGCAAAAACAGATACGTCCAATAGGTTGACAACTGTTTCCAGTGACATATAAGCTCTGAAATTATTCTGTTTCTTCCATCTGTAACCCCGCACAATTGCTCAACTTCGAGGTGAACGTTGCAATAACATCACGCAATAGGAATCCACAACTAGCGCCCCTCCTATTACCTTTTTTTTGGACTGTATGCATTTTGCAATGATCGTAAAAAAGGATTCATAGCTTTGTAGATTACTAATCATTGAAAAAGGAAGACTCCGGTGAAATGCAAGATATGACACTTGGGCAGGCTAGTCATTTTGCCACATAATGCACGTAAAAGATGATCTTGCGTCTCCTTGTTCTGATTTCGTCGTCTTTTCATGTAGTATGGATACGGCGTAGCAATCTTATTTTGTCAATATCGGTAAGTTCAAGTATTTCCCTTTTTACATAACAGTTATTCATAAAACGAGTTTTAATTCATTTTTCATTGACCAGCAAAAAATTAAGGTTACAAGTAGATGGACTCGGTGGAAAGATTACATAGAAATAAGATTGGCTAGCTTGTTTAATCTTCGCGGGGATCTTTAAGGTTACATTGTTCGGGATGCTTGAGACACCACTTGGGTTGGACAGGTTCGGCACCAATGTCACGGCCGTTCAAGCGGTAGACCCAGTCGTTGAAGCGAGGCTGGACTTCCTTGAGCGTGCGGCGGTTGTGATCAGCGTCGTAGCTACCGGACCAGTAGATTTCAGCAGCAGCGGCAGCGCGAGGCCACAAACGAGAATCAATCACATGGTGATTGGCTTGTTCGGACCACAGAGCGACTTCACCACCCAAAATCTTGCCAGGTTGATCATTGGTGATGTTGAGGGTCATATCATAAGTGTAAATACGTTGCCATGTCTATATGAAAAAAAAGGGGGGGGGGAAATAACTAAGTCAGTCAATCAAGGTCGCGAGCATATAAACCCAGGCAAAACTCACCTTGAAAGGAGCACACCATGAACCAGCAGGACCAACGTAGTTGTAATCGTCACCTTCGGTTTGCTGTTGAGCAGGAGAGATGTAGCGATCATCATTACCAACCCAACCTAAACCAAAAAAAAAAAAAAAAAAGTTGGGGTGAGACAAAGCTGAATCAGTATAATTTCATAAAGCGAATGATCAACGTACCACCGTGACCGCAATCGAGATAAAAGTAATCAAAGTTGGAGACAATGACATCGTAACCGCGGGAAGTGTAGTTCACAGGAGGAGTCAACCATGTTTGAATGACGGTATCGGTGTTGATGTCACCGCCATCCTTGACGGGATCTTCCCACATGACGGGACGCTTCTTCAGTCCCTTGACATAGTCGACGAGCTTGTTCTCCCAGTCGAACCAGAGCTGGTTGTAGGTGATGTTGTGATCGGTGACGTATTGCTTGATTTCCTTGTCGGTAGGCCAGCAGCTAGCCCAGATTTCATCACCACCAGTGTGATAGAGCGTATCGGGGAAACGTTCCGTCATTTCCTTGACCATATCTTGGACAAGAGACCAGGCTTCAGGTTTGATGGGGTTCAACTGACCAGCAGGAGGTTGAGCAGCAAATTCGGCCCAGAACTTGTCGCGGCAGACCATGAGATCGGGATGGGATTCACCAATGGTGGCAGTGTGAGCGGGCATATCGATTTCGACAACAATACGGACACCGCGAGATTCACCATAGCTGATGATATTGCGGACATCACGAGGACTGTAGGTTTCAGCGCGAGAGTAGGCCGCCTTGTCGGACAATTCGGGATGCGACTTGAAGTACATGGGCCAAGACTGGGAATCAGTGACGTGCCAGTGGAGAACATTCATCTTGTTGTAGGCCATGGCGTCAATGGTGCGAAGAATGTCCTTGACGGGGTAGAAGTTACGGGCGGTGTCCAACATGATACCGCGATGGCCATACGAAGGATGATCTTTGATTTTGGCAGTGTGAACGACCAAGTCGTGATCTTGGTTGAGGATCAGCTGAGAGAAGGTTTCCAATCCGCGGAGAGCACCCACCCATGTCTTGGCCTTGAGCGAAGCGTGTTTACCATCAGTGGGAACATCAAGTGTGTAAGATTCATCGATGTTCATGTCCAACTTGGCATTGTTATCCTCGACGTCAATCTTGAGTTGTTCGAGAGCGCGAGCATGTTTCAAGGGAGCTTCTTTAGTGTAGGGCACCTGGACATTTTCCCATCGTTCCTTGCGGATGAGCTTCATGTAGCGCTTGGCCGCGTCACGGACATGATAGTTGTGATGGTCAATACCAGTGATGTGAAAGTCCTTGGACAACGCAGCCCCGTGACCGGTCCATTCGACGGACTGAGGGATGGGGAACAGGAACGTCTTGGCCTGAGCTACGCCCAACAACACTGTCGCAGCAGCAGCAATGGAGAACTTCATCTTACGGAGAAGAGAAAAGAGAAAGGGAAGAAAAGAAAGAGGAAGAGGAAGAGAACAAGCACAAAAAAAGCCTGTGTTGGATCAGCAAGATTGTTGGGTCATTGATCCTGCAATTTATACTGAAAATCGAAAAACGACCCGTTGTTTCGGATGTGTAACCTACTGATGATTGGCCCCTGAAGAAAAAGGAAATCAGGGTTCAGGCCATTTTTGTCTGGCTTATCAAAGAATAGGCGTTCCATGGGAACATTGCGAAATGTCTCATCCACTAGACAACTCAGGTGCTTTCTTGCATTTTCGTGGGTGGCCCGTTTCCAACGTATCACCCAACAACACCCCCATCGCATGGAACCATCCCACCCTGAATTTTTGCCACTTCATCACGAGATCGACCTCTAATTTTTTTTTGTTGGTTCACTCCCTAAATTGTTGTGTCCTTTCTGAATAATTTTTTTAGGCTTAGTTCTGCCTTGTTTTCCTTTTTGTGTTTATTCTCACAAAGGGAAAATCCAAAACACACTGTCACTGACTGTCGCATATCTTTCAGCGCCTTTTTACTTGGGTTTGTTTCTTTTTCTTTTTTACTTTTTTTCTGCTTCTAAATCTTTTTCATTCTTCCTTGGACTTCTGATTTCCACCCCACTTCTTTTTTTTTTCTTTTGTTCCAAGTTTCTGGTTGTAGTTATGCAGCTCTGGTTATTGGCGGCGGTTTTTCCAGCATGGACGGTTGCGACTCAGCAAGATGTGTTTTTGTGGCCAGTACCGCAGTCTGTCCAATCAGGACAAGTGGAACTGAACCTTGCTGTTCGTACTCCTATCATGCCTTTGCGATTCGTTCCATAGACTCTTATTTTCCTTTTTCTGATCATAGACCTCGTTTCACATTGACGGTCCTTCCCTAGATGGACTGCAACAAGCTATCGATCGTTACACTCTACTCATCACGCGTGAACGCTGGATACCGGTACGTTTCTCTTCCTCATCTCCTCACAAGTACACACAACAAATCGAGAGAGGAAAAACAAAATGAAAGACAATGGGGTTGACAGAAGACAATGAATTTTTTTTTCCTTCTCCCCTAGTGTGTGAAGCCCTTGGCTGGGAATACATTAGCTAATTGAACACAAAATTTTTTTTCTGATGTTTTACAGGTGCAAGTGGGATTTCCAAACGTTACACAGAACCCCACAGTTGCTTCGCAGTCCCTTGAGTCCCTTCAAATCTTTGTCAGCGACCCTTCGGCCGATTTAGGATTAGGTGTCAATGAGTCCTACACGCTCCATATTCCCACGGAACATACTCAGGCTACTTTACATGCTGCCACCGTTTGGGGTGCTATGCACGGTTTGGAAACATTTTCCCAATTGGTGCAAGCCAGAGTCCACCGTGAGCAAGACCAAAAAGTTTCTACTGAGAAAGATGCAGACGGTCTGTTTGAGGATACACTGATCCCAAACATCATGTTACATACACTTCCCGCGGAAGAACAGTCGGAAGACTGGGAGGGTTTGTTCATCCCTAAAGCACCCTGGACAATCGTTGACCGACCACGATTCAGTCATCGAGGCTTGATGCTCGGTAGGTATTCTTTTTTTATTTAATTTCTTAACCTAAGGAAAGTGGCTGCAAACAAGTGAAACGCTCAACAGACTGACTGACATCACCCAAATGATTCTTTCCGTATTAGACACCTCCAGAAATTTCTACTCCGTCGACGACATATTCCGAACCCTTGATGCAATGAGCTTCAACAAGATGAATGTAAATTTCTGCATGAAAAACTTCTGTAGAACCTTTTTTTTTTTTTTGGAGGTTTTTTTCTTTGGCACGAATCACCCTGGTTTGATTAACATCCCTTATTTTAGGTATTCCATTGGCATATCACCGATTCACACAGCTTCCCAATCCAACTAGAGGAGGTTCCCGAGTTGGCCAACCGTGGTGCTTACACACTTCACGGGAAACAGCTCGTCTACACTCAAGCCGATGTTGCCAACATTGTACGTTATGCTCGTCTTAGAGGCATTCGTGTCATTCCAGAAATTGATATGGTAAGATGAACCATAAAAAAAAGTCACAAGATATTGGGATGTTCTCGGAATGCTCAACTTTCCCCCTTTCCTTTTTCATTTTCCATTGTCTTGCAGCCTGCGCATACAGGTTCCTGGGGAGAGGCCCACAAAGACATTACGTAAGCTTGTCACAGCCATTCACAATTGTCCTTTTTGGCGGAACGTAAATATGCTAAACAACAAGTCGACTCATTTGATAGGACCTGTACGGAGAAATTTTATCTCAGTCCAAGCGGGGATTGGAAAGATCGCTATGCGGCCGAACCAGGCTCGGGTCAATTAAATCCCGTCAAAGAGAAAACGTATACCATTGTTGAAAAGGTGATCCGCAATGTGGCCCAACTGTTTCCTGATGCTTACTACCACGGTGGTGGCGATGAACCAGTGGACAACTGTTGGCTGGAAGACCCCACCATTCGCGATTATCTGAAACAACACAACGCAACCACAACCGATCTGCTGAAAATGTTTTTAAACAAAGAATTGGAGTACATCCGCCAATCAAACAAGACAGCCGTGTTGTGGGAAGGTGATCTTTTGTTTTTTTTCCTTGATATGATAAGCTCGAATATTTCTAATCGAAATCTTTGTGGGGGGTGCGGGGGAAAACAGATCCGGTGACCAACTTAAATCTGGAGATTCCTAAGAACGTTGTCTTACAGTCGTGGACTAATCCTGTGCAATTGGCTGCCAAACGCGGATACAAAGTCATTGCAGCCCACTCCAGTTTTTGGTATTTGGATTGCGGACACGGCGGTTGGGGGTAATGCCATTCATCGTATGACTTGCTAGATATGTCTTATCTCACCACTATACTGTAGAGGTAATGATCACAGCTACGATGAGCAGGTGTCTCCCAAAATCCCGAAACCACTTCAGGCCCAACTCGAGAAATTCCAAGTGGAAGACAATTACCGTCCTCCAAATTGGGGAGGTTCAGGCGGCGACTGGTGCAGGTAAACATCGAATGACCCCACCCTTTCAGGGTCGGCCACCGGTTCCTGTCTGACCTAAGCAAATTGGTTTTAGTCCCTTCAAATCCTGGCAACGCGTGTACAGCTATGACCCGACTTTCAATTTGACCAAGGAAGAAGCACAGAATGTTCTTGGCGGTGAAGTAGCCCTTTGGTCAGAACAATCCGATGAAACCGTTCTCGATGCTCGCTTATGGTAAGCAGCCATTTCTGAACGAATATTCTATTGATGAAATGATGATTGTATTCAATGTATTCGTATTTTTAGGCCGCGAACCGCTGCTGCTGCTGAAGTCCTGTGGTCCGGTCGATTCGATGCAACCAACGTGCAGCGCAATGTAGGCGATGCTATGCCCCGAATGTTTGATTGGCGTTATCGTCTGTTGAGGCGCGGAATTCGAGCGGAGCCTTTGCAACCATTATGGTGGTAAGTGGATCTACTCGAGTCCTTCAAATCATGCATGACTTATTTGTTTTATCTCAGCGGCCAGCATCCTCACATGTGTGATGCCACTTTTCCCTCGGAGCTGGCGCCGCTGGCTGGTGCTTCGTCAGCACACCACTGAGTCGTCAACAACACTAAAGCGAAAATTGTATAAGAGATAACAAAGTTTACAATAGCAAAAAAAAAATAAAAAAAATACCAAATTTACTTTGGGTTCGATCGTGTGGTCAGAGCGAAATAATAATAAAAAAAACCATCGATTCAGTTGCCGTCTACAAATCATTATCTCTTCAATTACACCCAACCGAATGAAATATAATAAGAAGCAACATGTGGCTGAAGAATTTTGACGCACTTAATGACAATAATTGTTATCATTTATGATCCTCGTCAATAATAGACGACAGACATGCATTGTGCATATGAGAATTTCGGAACCACCTAAAGATCTTCATGACAGTCTCATGCAATCTTTCCACCTTTCCACGATAGTATGTTGCATGTCACGCTACAAACCAGTAGGTCGGATGTCAAGTAAACAAATGGATGTCATATGCAGCATTAATTCTGATAAGAGTATCAACATATCTGCAAACGCGCGTGAAAATATCCTATCCAACACCAGCATCAGTTCCCAGGGATTGCACGCTTTCGAGCTTATTTTGTTTTTGAAAATACAATTATCTGTTACCATAACATTACGCAGTAGAAATCCAGAAATCATATGCAATCACCATGAAAAGGAATGGTAGCCGCGGGATCCATCGAATGCTCCACTGTATTTGTTTTCTTTTTCTGGATGAGCGGACATGCACATGGTTTTGTTTTGTTTTTTCTCTCCATCCCTGAAACAATCATACAAATCAGAATTTTTGCGGACATGTGTTATTCAACCTTCCATGTTGCAACAACAATAGAGGCTGCGTGCCATTTTATTATATACGAAGTTATTCTTATCGCAAACAGTATCATAGTACAATATGAGTGCGACAATAAGCTAACATATTTGGGTTTCTTGACAGTTTTTCTCTAAAAGCTGCCGAGAGAATGATATCACACTGTTGCTGTCTTCATAATTAGGAATCACTGAGCTAATTACTGGGGTGCTGCATGGTTTACAGTAGATCGGAACTACCGATGTGGTAAATTGCAAAATTTATCGAAAGATGTAAAGAAGAATCAAAGACTTGAAGGATAGATACATATATAGAAACTAGCTAGGTGAATAAAAATGGAAACTTGTAAAAAGGGCATAGAAAAAACAGGCAACACAAGAGAAAAAAAGGGGGATAAATAAACGATGCTAATTGGAATATAGAAATAAAGATGAAGCAAGGAAAAACGAGAAAGAAGTTACAAAGGGATAGGACATACTATTAACGGATAAGACAAAAGAACAGCAATTAAAAGGAAATGAAAGGGAAGAGGTCAGTAAAAAAGGGACAGTGTGTTTTTTTATGAAAAAGGAAGCGGAAAGTGGGACGCGGTTGCAGGCATTGGTGGTTAAAAAAGAAAGTGAGCTTATGATGCTTTAGATGCTTTACGTTCGAGATCCTTATGCTTCATGTATTGCTATAAAAAAGATTGGCGTAAATACGCATGGATCGTCTTCCTCGTTTTCTGAAGAAAAAATGGCTGCATATCTTACCTTGAATTTAAATGATGGATCTTGTCGGACAAATGGATGGACAAGGAGGTCGGCAGCGGTGGGTCGATCCTCAGGATTACTAAATGATTATATCGTTTAATTCCCATCTCTCGCGAACCATCCCTTTGGTCATCCATACTCACATGATAAAGCATTGCGAAAGGAAATCCTTGGCTTGGTCTGATACGTCTTCCGGGATCGGAGGCGCTTGATATTTACCCAACTTTACGGAAATCAAGCAATTTAGCAGGGTTGCAATGTTTTAGGAGGATGAGGGAGAAACTTACGCTATATAAAGCGGCCAGCATGTTCAAATCCAACCATGGATGGTTTCCGGTGAGCATTTCAATTACTGTACAGCCAAGACTCCTACATGGTGATTGACAAGTTTGTTAATTACGATGTTGATGGATATGCTGGAGCATCAATCAAGTTTACCAAATATCAATCTTTGCGTTATAATTGGTGCCTTTGACAACTTCGGGAGCCATCCAAAATACGGTGCCTAAAATAGACGAGGTTGGAACAAAATCCACTTTAGGTCCATCGCTGAAATTCTTACCTCGCATAACCGAATTATTGCAGTGCGGATCATAAGCTTTATCCTGGCCACTTAGTTTGGATAGACCAAAATCGGTGATTTTGCATACACCATTTTGATCCAAAAGAATATTTCCTGCTTTAATATCCTATATTCATCGAGCATCAGCATCGACAATGGTTTTAGGTAGCACACTATCACCATGTGTAGATCAACACTTACGCGATGCAATACATTGCGATGATGAAGGTATTCCAAACCGAGCAGAATTTGACGCGTGAAGAAGCGCACAAGCGGTTCGTCAAATTTGCCACTCTTGCTGAGACACGATGCAATACTACCACCAGGCACGTATTCCAAGAAAATGTTGATGTGACCTTCCTCCTCATCCGAATCGTAACCAAGATATTGCACAATGTTCTCGTGATCCAACCCTTCCAAAAGCGAAATTTCGCGATAAAGAGAATCGACCGTATCTCGCAGTTTGTCATTCAACAAGTCAGATTTTGTTGTCGGCAATTCTACTTGTTTGACAGCAATCCATTCTCCCGCAGCTACATTCAAAGCGTGATATACTTTGCCAAATGAACCTTTACCGATAAGTTCACCGCGCATCCACTGCAGTTTTGTAGGGCCTGATGAAGGAATAAAAAAAAAGGTGCTCATAAGTATACCAGTCCCATTGAACTTAAAAAATGCCAGCTACAGCCAAAGATTCTCTCCCCCCATTTTTCAATAGACTTACTTGGTTTATCGCCGGTTTGGGAAAACGCGAATGGGTTGTTCACAATAGGTTGGCCTTCGGCAATCATACCAGGTTTCACTTGCTCTACTTGCTGACCCCACATCTTGGTGCTCTTTCGACGCAAGATGTTTTTGGCGCGAATGACGTTCATGGCATGTCGCCAGTTGCGATGGGCTTCGTTGGCAACGGCACGGATGGATTTCTTATGGCCTTGCAAGCGACGAGACACGGGGGGAGGTACAGCGGTTGCAGGCTGCTCAACGACGATTTCTTTGTCGAGATCATGTCCTGGCAAATACTTGTCGATGTTTCTGTAAAGGCGTTCGATGGAAGGACGTTCCGACCAATTCTCATTCTCAATATCAAAGTTATCTTGCGACGCAGATACTGGAGATGCACTGGTGGCCGAAGCAGGGGTTTTGGGATCACATGGTGTTCGAGGTGAAGGCGATGCGTCCGAAGTATGATTCGAGGGAATCTGGATTTGCAGCCGCTTATTGCGTTCTCGGTGAGGCTGATCCTGCAAAGAAAGGCTCTCTACTGCCTCTTCGATCATGGCAGGAGGCGCGCTCGACGCCAATTTATCCTCTTCCGTGGTATCATCACGTCCCGACTTTCGTCGACCAGCAATAGGTTCGGAAGAAATGCTGGGATGCAAATGGATTTGTTCACGCGACGATGCTGAAGCCTCGGTGGGCCACAATGCACCATGGGGATTGCCGTTCGTCGACGACTGGTTGGCGGGAGCTGTTCGAGGGGTTGTTGCGGCCGAGGACGAGGACGTGGAAGGAGGCACGGCCCAGAAAGAAGCGGTGAGCGTCGTACCGGAAGATTTGCTGTCGGATGCATCTTCGCTGGTCGTTCGTTCCGATGCACTCGGTCTTGGTTGAGGAGGAACGGCCCAAAACGAGGTGGCCGAAGTTCGCTTCGGTTGGCTGCTCTCGGTTGTACTTCTTTCGGAAGTGCTTGGACGCGGCTGTGGTGGAACAGCCCATAAGGATGCCTGTTTAGCAGCAGGAGCCGGACTTGTTACATCTGCGGTTGCTTCGTGATTGGTGACTTCGGCGGCAGATGTAGTCGGCTTTTGGGGTGCTACGGCCCACAAGGAGGCGGCAGGCATGGGTCTTGGAACCTCGGCTGGATCGCTTTGGGAACCGACACTACGCTCGGATCGACTCGGTTGTGGTTGAGGAGGCAATGCCTTGAACGCATTGGGAGGCAAAGGACGTGAAGGTGATTGATCCGATGTAAAGGAGTCATCCGTCATCGTACTGCGGCCAGAGGAACGTTTGTACGTTCGGTCGAAGTAGCTGAAATCTTCTCTATGTTCTTCCGAGGGCGTGCCACCAGCTGAGCGATGCATTTCGAAATCATGGCTGGCCTCTTCTCCGCCATATTTCGGAGAAGGATCGGATAATTGCCATCCACTTACAGGCGAATTGGTCAGCACAGGACTGGCACGAGGGCTAGCGTCAGGATGGAAATAACCAGGATAACGAGGTTGATTCGATGGATCATGGAAATCGGTGTATATGACAGGATTCGCTGGATGCGCAGACGAATCTGGGTATGTAGCATGCATAGCATAGGGTAAAGGATGTCGCGCTGGATAAGGAGCTGTGGTAGATCTACAAACGTAAATCGTGCCCATGTCAGCCTCCATCAAGTTTTTTTTTTCTAATCTCCATCACATCATCGGGTTCATAAATCATTACCTTTGATATGTTGGAAGTGATTTGCCATAATCATTTCCATTGCCATTGTCAAAGCCATAAGGCGTGATGCCTTCCACGGGTTTGACCAGGATATTCTTTTGGGTATTGTCAGAAGTATTGCAGATGTGTACCAGTTCTTCGTCAGTCAAGAGTTGATCTAAAAAAAGAAAAAGGTTTGAATTCCCTGTTCTCCACCCCAGGGAAAAAAAAGCTAGTAAAGCGTACCTGGTACACCGTCATGACAACGGTAATAATGATATCTGTCGCAATCACTATCAACGCCCATCTTCTTGAGTATCAATGTCTTGATCTGTACGGGATCATGCATATCGGTGACGGTAAGTTTGAACAGCACGTCACCATCTGTTGTCACATAAATGCATTGTTCGCGTGATTCGGAGGATGGCGGACCACGCGATGGATGCGGAGAGGCAGGATGAGAATGATCCTTTTGGCAAGGAAAACAAAGTGAGTCAATGGATCAAAAACTGCCGGCCCTGTAGATTATTGGTGCCACCCATCGACTGTTATATACGATATGATCCGTTACTTACATGGAACTGTGGAACTCTTCGACCACCAATCTTCCATTCTTCATGATCGCCTCCATGGAAACGAGGACTGACGGGACTGTGCATGCGGTCATTGACACCATTGGAAGAAGAAGGGTACCGACCGGAGGCGGCCGAGGATGAACCGGTGTTCAGGTACGTTTGGGCTGATCTGCCTCGGCCGGCGGCAGCAATAGTTCTTATTTGAGGCACATTTAAGGATTTGATGATTTTCGAAATGTGCTCTGGTTTCGAAGATATTCGTTCAGGGATACGAGGTCTCGTTACGCCAAGGTCGTGATCCATGCCATTCGGTGGCACGGCCGTTCTACTCGGTACCGCGAACCGTGTATTGTTTGACAAGTTCGCCGCAGGCAGTCCAGTCATCGGCATTCGTGCGTGGGGTCCTGGAGTTCTCGCTTGTATTCGCTCAGGATAAGCAGCGACATCGTTTGTTACTCGTTCCATGCCATCGTGAGCGGGGTGTTGAATCTAAGGAACAAAAAAATTGTGCACATCATTAATAGTCTGTTACGTGTGTTTATCCTTTGAATTCACAGGGTAGCTGACTTGGCGATGAGAATGACTATCAGTCATGGCTCGGAGTGCGTGAATGCTGTGCACTAATCGACGCTTGTCGGTGTCGTTTAAAGCTGATCGAGAAAGCAATTCCGATGCCTCGGCGAACGATAAGTTGAGAAATCGGTGACCATATACATGACCGTCTAATAACAAAAAAATAGTTTCTAAGGAGGTTAGCTTGAGAGTGACGAATGAAGTTGACTCAAAAAAGAAGGAAAGGCAATATTGGATACACAAGGTGTACTTGCCTTCAAAAGGGCGTGCGACGGCCTCCCAACCGTTGTCATCTAACCAACGCACGACTCGTTGAATGGGCCATTCTTCATCATAGTAATGTTCGACTAGTTTTTCAGGTGCTGGAGGCAATTGCTTAAAATGGCTCGTTTCGTTATCCAGTGCCATCTTCACTGCCAATATACGGAGCTTCTTGCTGCAAACTCGAACGATTCTCTTTCGCCATTGCTCGGTTGGCGAAAATCAGTGTGACTGCTATGTATCATACAAAAAAGCTTGTGTGCCGGTGTGGGGTGGGGGTGATGAATGAAATTTGGCATGCTGTGACTGTGTTCCAATGCTCAGCCCAAGTCATAATCTTCAAAAAATATGGTTTGTTGCCGAAGACCGTGATATCGTGTTGTAATATATCAATTTAGCCTTCACAACGTGATAACCTATAAAAATTTAATCCCTTTGAACCAAACGTCATCCATCGAAAACAGACCACTGAATTCATCCCCGATCGCCAAGCTGTATTTTCAGAGACCTCAACTCCGTCATAGAATCAGTCACACAGAACTGGCAGAAAGCCGGGATCGGATCCACGAATTAGTTCCCTTTCTTGATCTATGGATGCTTTGCAACAGAATGATTTGCGGTTAAATAAAAAAAGTAGAAACGTAAAAACAACTTAATCAGGGGCTGCTGAAATTTTTTTTTTTGGGCCGATTAAATATGCGTGTTTCAAAGTACAGTCTGCTGCTCACATCAGTAACTGATCCTTATGTAGAGACAACATCTGAATATGAGAATTTTGGCTGATAAACAGAAGAAGCATTTGACCAAGCTGGTTTGCGAACATGACATAACCGAAAATTGCGCGACCCAGATACATATCTCAATTGACCCTTGCCTACTGTATATTACAATTAAAAATAAGGCAAATCGCGCGACTGATTCAACCACCAACATGTCCACAGACGCATACAAGATTAGTAACTCCGCCTTTTTTTTTTTTTTTTTGGCACGCAATGTGGACATGTTGGTGCTTGAATCAGTCGAGCCATTCACATTATTTTTAATTCACTAATCAAGTACACGCATAAGAAGAGTATCCAACCTATCCACGGGCAACAATCCACATTGAAATCTGTAATAAAATCAGGCTGTATCTCCTCCACACAACTGCAACAGCAATCGGTTAAATATACATCACCTACGCAACAAGCTGGTATAAACCTCTGCCCGAATATATCTGGCATCCCCAAGGTGATTCTTTTGGCAGACGCGACTGGAAATTATTTCTATGGATCCTGGTCACTGACACCCATTTTGCTTTAAACGTCATCACAAGCGGGACTCTGACTCCGCAATACCTGCACCGATGAAAGAAGTAAAACCGCAAAGCAGTGACAATTGAAGTTCATCGTTAGGGAACTGTCAATGTACTGTTTGTAGGGACGAATTGTAGGTTGATTAGCACATCCTAAGCTGCAGTTGCACGATGCAGCAATGAAGCTTATTCCTCGTGTTATTTTAGGCGTCAAGAAGCGGACGACTTCTCGCAACGGGTAATTTTTTTTTCTTTTTAATTTTGTCTTTTCTTTATTGTCTTGCTAGTCTATACCAGATACAGTTTTCACATACGAAAGATATAAAAGATTAAAGGAAAAGAGAGGATAAAACACGGTACATTTATTCATGACATGGGAGGTTATTATTACGCTACAGTATTCTAGAACCATGGGCTACAATCATGCTTGACGAGGTATATTTCTTTAATCCAAACACTGGGCCACAATTAAAAAAAGGGGAAATGTGCTGCCAAAGAAAGGTGAAGCGACCATTTACTTTGGAAATAACCAAAAAATGGATACTTCATTGTCTTATTATTTTTCATTTTCATTTTTTTTTCATTTTATAATGATGATAACTCATCCAACCACCCACCGCCATTCCCAGTGACCCCCAGTGAACTGGGCAAGCCGAAGCTTGTTCCCCTATCCCACCCCTGAGACTGCGATGAGCTGCTATGATACCGATTTCACCTGTGAACCACCCACCAATATACATTCGTTTCCCGACTTCGTGCAAGTTGTGGGTTAGGGTCCCCGATAGTGCAATTTCATAAAAATCTCTTTTTTCTTGCAAGTTGTTCTCATTTTTTATGCTTCTTTTCTTGTTATCCATGTTGTAAGAGATGCTATCTAATGGATCCAACCAAGTACAATCGCTTTTCATCTCCTTTTTAAAACGGAAAAGAATGATAAACTAATTGGCAGCGACTTTGGCGGAGTTAAACATAGGTGGTCGCCGTTGCCGAAACTCAAATATCGGCTGAAAGATGGCATGTATAGTTTTTTCTTTTCTATCTCCAATGACAACGCATTTATTTTAGCAACTATGTACCTTACTCCGTAAATAAATAAAAAAACTATACATGCCATCTTTCAGCCGATATTTGACTTTCGGCAAGGGCGACCACCTATGTTTAACTCCGCCAAAGTCGCTGCCAATTACTCTATCATTCCTTTCCGCTTTAAAAAGGCGATAAAAAATGACTGTATTTGGTTGGATCCATTAGATAGCATCTCTTACAACATGGATAACAAGAAAAGAAGCATAAAAAAATGAGAACAACTTGCAAGAAAAAAGAGATTTTTATGAAATTGCACTATCGGACCCTAACCCACAACTTGCACGAAGTCGGGAAACGAATGTATATTGGTGGGTGGTTCACAGGTGAAATCGGTATCATGGCAGCTCATCGCAGTCTCAGGGGTGGGATAGGGGAACAAGCTTCGGCTTGCCCAGTTCACTGGGGGTCACTGGGAATGGCGGTGGGTGGTTGGATGAGTTATCATCATTATAAAATGAAAAAAATGAAATGAAAAATAATATAATGGAAGTAAAAATAAAAAAAAAGAATGAAAAGGATAAAATGAAAGATGAAGATCCCTTTTTGGTAATTTCCAAAGTGGATGGGTCGCTTCACCTTTCTTTGACAGCACGTTTCCCTTTTTGTATGTGGCCAGCCTTTGGATTAGAGAAAATACCTCGCCAAGTATGATTTGAGGCAATGGTCCTACAATAGCCAAAAATAATCCCTTCCCATGTCATGAATAAACGTACAGTGTTTTATCCTCTCATTTCCTTTTATTTATTCTTTTAATGATCGTTCGTGCAACCCGTATCTGGAATAGACTAACAAGATAAATAACAAAAAAAAAAACACAAAGTGGGCGTTGTGGAAGAAAACATCCTCTGCTTGACGTCTACATCTGAGGGAAAAAGCCTCATTGCTGCATTCATTGCAACATTGTGCCTTTCCCGCATTTCGTGCAAACGATGCAAAGAATCCAAAGCATATCAGGAACGTGGTAATCAACCGTTGGGACTTCACTCTTTATAGAAGTTCAAAAATTGGTGTTTCTATGGTATGATCAAACGTAAATCTGACCTGGTTTCAGGAAAGCGCATCCATTATGTGTCACCTGCCATTGTCCCTGTAACAGTACATTGACAGTTCCTTGACAATGAAATTCAAGTATCGCTGTTTTGCGGATCCGTTTATTTTGTGGGCGTTGCGCATTTTGCGGTATTAACGTGACGCTTGTGATGATAAACATAAAAGAGGGGACAGTCGCCAAAACTGATACAATTTTTCAGCAATCAAATGACGTGCGCTCACCTTTGGCTCAATGAAAACATGCCTCGGGGAAATGGAAGGAACTTTGACAGACATGATGAGTTCCAAATTCTAATAGACTTCTTCATAGGCTGCCGTTGAACCGGTCAATTTTGGCAGCTCTCGTGGGAAGCATCGAATCATCAGCTGCGATGCACAGTAAAAAGAAAATAGGACGTCAATGCAAGAAGCATACAAGCAGCCAGCTGGATTCTTTCGTGAAATTAGAAGTTCCCGTTTTTGCAGTATCCATCCAAAACATGATTTCAACAAACAATACCCTATTCCTGTTACTTGCGTTCATAAATTTGTAAACTCAATTTCAAAATACGACAAGGTAAGAGCTCATATCAGTATTCTTCTAGGATGTTATTTAGGCAGTTGGTTACGTCGTTCCTGTAACTAGAAACGCCTATATAAAGTTTTGTTGCATGGATGGTCGGTTAGTTTTTTTTTTTTTCTAGAGCATATAATGAAAACACTACATTAGATTGATTCAAGATAATTCTGTGTAGAATGGAGTAGTAGTTGCTTTTATTCTTAAAGATGCTACCTATTTCATAGAAGTGGTATCACGCTATCTAAAGAGATGAACTTTCTCGCGCATAATCACCTTCAGGAGCAAAATCTCTCTCCCTGTCTTTCAATCGCTTTTCTTCCTCTTCTCGCTGTCGTGCTTCTCTTTTCTTTTCACGAATCGTCAATCGTTGTGCTTCCAATAGTTCTCTCCTAAGCGACCGTGTGGGATGCTTCAAATGCATAAAATTACAGAATCCTCCGCGATTGCACTCGGCTATTTCGTGCTGCCTACAACAAGCTTCCTTGAAATCTGTCACAGGTGATAATTCTGCATATAATGGACGGCCTGTAAAAAAAAGCATAATGATTGAGCAACCTTTTCTATTTACAGTCCATAACATCCACTTGATAACGAATGCTTACCTGCATAGAATCGATTATTTAGATTCTCCACCGCATTACCTGCATCTTCTTCGTAACGGAATTGACAATATACATTCCCCACCAAGTGATCGCCTACATTGTCACATACGATCATTTCTTCCACTTCTCCAAACTTGGCCAGTTCTGTAAACACGTCTTCGTAGAATAAGTCGAAGTCTTGCTGCAGCTGGTCTTCGGTCAAGTTCGCATTAGGATCATAAGCTGGATTGCGATACATGTTGGCGACTAACATTGTCTGTGAGAAGGTTGGTTTGACATGCTTTCTGGAGCAACGTTCGCCGTGACGACATGCACCAATCTATATCGAATAAAACGTAAATACAGTTAGTTATCAACTTATTCCACATGCGACCCTACACCACTTTCTGATGTTACCTTGAAATAAAAGGAACAGTTGACCCTGTCACGAAAAAGAAAAACGAAGGGGAAGGGGAGTTAGATGAGTACAATTAAAGCCATACAAACTTTCTCTATCAACCACTTACTTGTCCTTTTCTGTACCGTAGATGCTTGCGAGATATTCAGCCATGAGTAAGGATGAGTAGTAACTGAGAAAGGGCCAATACTTTGGAGGTCTGCGACGGCACAAAGCCACCCGAATCTTTTTATAGTCCAGGGCAATTTCACAGTCCGACCATGGAAGTTCCAGAAAGCTTCTTCCTCATTGGTTGCTGGATGGTTTTTCCATTCGAAATGTCCGTCGATGAATTCCATTCGTCCTGATTTACATATGGCATCCAGGCGATCTTTTGCTCGAACATTCTTATTCATGTTGGCCCAATGCTTGGTCCGTATATCTCTAAACAGTTACGATAAAAAGAAAGCAATTCATCCAAGCAGTTGTATAATGAACCCTGTATCTATGCCAATTGAAAGATCTATGAATATGAATGCCATGTGCCCACCGCTGCCGAGTAATAACAATCCATGTTCCTCCATATAAAATTCTACTGTAACAACACGTTACTATCATTGCAATGACCAGAGCCCAAAATGAAAGTCCTGCAATTAGTACCATATATAGCTTTACCTGACTTCTGATCCCAATGCTTTCGAGTTCGCATAAACGAAATATGCCAGTGATTACACAAAAATACTGAAAAAGATGGAAAAAATATTTTTTGTCATGGTGATATCTTCGTCAAACCGTTAATCCACAGGCTTTCTATGAGAATACATAAATTCTGGCATAATTCAAAGAGGAAAAATGAGAAGCTTACTAATTTTTGCCAAAGGAACAAGTTTTCATGTCGTGATCTGCTGCAGGAGCGAGTTTCACACGTGATTCTTTTTCCGCCTCGCCGCTCGTCTTTGAATGGTCAGTGAACCAAGCGCAAAATACATCGTTCCTGGTAACAAGATTTCTTCTCAGCATCAATATAACTCAATTATTGCAAATTAGTTATGCACAGCAGTTGTTGTGGCAGTGTCCCGATAAATCATAAAATAGAATGCAATAGATTAGGTGCGATTTGCCATGAGTTTCCGGTCAATATGCAGAAGACGGATCCATTTTAACTTTTAAAAGCTAAGGTGCAATTTTTTCACTATTTGTGATCGATTTCTCGCGACCATAAGACTCTTGCTGGGTCCATGAATTCCCTCTGCAAACGTCTGGACGCTCTCGTGAGCTTTTTTAATGTGAGGGGCTGTTCCGGATATTCGAAGTTGGCAAACATTCCATATGAACCATTTTCAATGGTGCACGACAGAACAAGTTACAGTCAGCGCTAGATTCTGAAATCATCCCGGAACCACAAAAGAGTGATACCTTTGCCGAATGCTGTTTTACCATACAAACGTATGACATTAGTGATTTTGGGAATTCGATGAGTGCTTACAAAATAGATGATGTTCTGAAATCGTGTCCTGCACTGAATAGCACCACTTTTCTTTTCAAGGCACTAGACATAACCCCAGAAAAGAATATGACAAACCAGCAACATTTTTACAGCACCAAGGCGACGACACAGATTCTTTTTATCTCCAGCTTACTTTATTTGAGAGCCATTTACAGATGCTTTTCCACATTTTCGACAAGACTGACATTCAAACCGGTGTTATCAGGTTCCACAAACAGTTGTTTGACAACTCCCTTTTCGATGATGGCAGCGAATCGCTTATAACGACGATTACCAAGGGCACCAGTAGCGTCAAAAGAGAGGTCCAATGCTTCGGCCAATTCACCCTTGAAATCTGCCAATAAGCTCACGGCATCGTTGTTCTGGACACTGTCACCCCAAGCGTTCATAACAAAGGCATCGTTGTGAGACACGCATGCAATCAAATCCACGTTCTTCTTCTTGAGTTCCTCAGCCTTCTTGATGTATCCAGGTAAATGGGTTTTCGAGCAGCCAGGTGTGAAAGCACCGGGGACGCCAAATAAGACCGCCTTGTTCGCGTTTTCAAAAAGCTCACGAACATTCACAACATCAGCAGGTGATTTACGCTGAACTTGGACGCTGGGTAAGCGGTCACCAGCTTGAATATAGCGAGCACCAGCCGAATGGAAACTACGGCGACCGATAATTGAGCGCAACATGACGATGGGATCCAAGAGTCAAAAAAGACAAAGCAAAAGAAGCCGGCAGAAAGCCACGAAGCGACACTAAAAAGAACGGAGCTGAGTATGAACTAAGCGGAACTTACACGCTAGGCCGAATCTAGAATTCCGAACCAACCAGGCCAGAAAGGCGTTCCACATTGGTCGAGATAAACTCACACCTTTTCGGCATTGGTCTTTCGGCCTACGGTTACATTCTTTAAACGGTACTCCTTCCAAAGGCTACTCTTGATTCTGTTGCGAGTTCCTAACTCATGTTCTGATTAGACGGCTATTTGACCTGGCTGATGGCGGTTTGATGACAATGGGCTATTTTGCGGGTGAGTTATGGTACAGTAGATGTCGGAATGTGGTAAGACGAGAAGCAGATTTTCGAACACTAGGATCGTCCAGTTCGTGGAATGGAACTTTATAGTTGTCATGCTGCTGCTGCGACTTGCGTTATTCCCGGATTACGCGGCTGTTCGAAGTTGTGTCAACTTGTTGTTATCGCGTTATGTTGGTTTGCATTGTAACATTATCTGAGGGAAAAGATATGCCATGTATCAGTTGGGTAGCCTCAAAAGATAGTTCAGCTTCCAATGTTGATTGTTTCGTTCTTGCACGACCACAATCGCAATGAAATGGTTGAGAAAGAGAAAAACGTCCATATCGATCGACACTCTTGGTTTGAGAGTAGGAAAAGGAATCATGTTCAAACCAACGAGTGGTATTGATGTTATCATCGCAGAGATAGGAAAAAAAAATTAAAGGCGAAATAAAGGTAAAGTGAAAGCGACAATGTCATTATTAAAAAAGAAGCAAGTTCCAGAAGTTAAGAAAATAAAGCCACAGGCATTGATTAATAAACGAAGAAATAAGCGCGACAAAATTAAATTAATAAGGGAAAAGAGATCTTTCTTGTTGCATCGAAACGGAAAATGTATGAAAGACATAATCTGAGGAAAATAATGCTGATCAAGGTTGGATGGAGAAATCTTCCTTGTTTTATCCGGAACAGACCATGTATGGAAGACATTGACCTATGAGGGTGGATAAGAACAAGGTTATAAAGTGGTGAAGAGCGGTTGAGTGTACAGTGTGTGCCGGTATAAATACCATGCCTGGAAATCCCCCGTATTGGCTTTCCAATTCCTCTACGGGTGATAACTCGCTACCGGAAGAGGGAGAAAAACCAAATCGTTAAAAGGCTAACGATTATACGACAAAACCAAGGGCCATGCGTCCCGGAGGGCTACATGGGGCAGGGGGAAGTAAGAGGAAGGAAATCGTATCGTATCGTATCGTCGAAAGTAAGTTCGTATCGTCGGCAAGGGGCTTGAAACACCAGGTAGCCGCCAGAGAATGAGGAACGACTGCCATGTGCATGAGAGATGAGCATGGCATGAGCAAGGACCACCGATAACGTGTTGAAGGTATTCGAGGGTGGTATCGCCGTTTGTAGAGATCTTGCGTAGGGAGTTGCTTGAAGTGGTGTCGTTCCTTGTAAAGAGAGAGAGAGAGTATAGAAAGCGAATAAAAGAAGAGAGACAGAGCCTTTTTTTTCATGTGAAAAAGATGAAACGCGACAGGAACCCATGAGGTTTAAACCTCGCAATGGCTGCGTTTTGATAATGATGATGCATTTGTTGCCTCAAGACACCTTGCCCCGCAGTTTGAGCGTATCATCACACGCTTTTGATGGGAGTGAAAAATATTTCGTGTTCGTCTTATATGGGTTATCGACGTCTGACTATTAAAAGCTGTGTAGCTCGTTCATGCCAACTTTTTATGCGGCGAAATTTTTACTGCGCATTTTCCATCAAAAATTTACCAGGCACCATCACTTTGCTCATCCTCTCTTTCATATCAGCTGGCAAAGACGTGCTTTCTTTTCTAGCATATACCAATACAAATATGTATTTTACATTCCTATTGCGTGAGGCTATGAGATAATCCTAGGTAGCAAGAGAATACGCTATGACATGCTCGTGTGCATCGTTGTGCAATTCTTCACGTATCATATATCATTTCAAAACAACGACTTGCTTCATGCTAGCCATTCTATTCGAGCTTATGGCTTCGTATTACTGAGTTTGATGTCTCGAATATCTAGCCCTGTCAGCATCAGTATTGCCTATACGACGCTCGCTTCTGGAGAAGTTTCTATGGCAAGACGATAAAATTGATCGATTTTCTTGAGTCTGACCATACTAAAAAAAAAAAAAAAACACACTTTTTAGCTTCCACGGAGATTGCCATATCTCTGAGCTGCTGTGGACTCTTTGCATCGTCTACACGATATAGAAAAGTTCAGATTCCTGCGAAAAGCGGATGTTGCATTGAATGCAGCAATGAGACTCCTCATGTCCACTTTAGACTTCAAGAAGAGGACAACATCTTCCATCCACTTTGTCGTTTTCTTATTATCTTGCTAGTCTATTCCTAATATGGTTCCAGGACGAATTATATGAAAGAACAAAAAAAAAATTGAGAAGATAAAAAGCTGTCTGTTTATTCACGATATGGGAGGGCATATTCATATTATTTGGATACTCTATAACGATTGACTGGCTGGGCAGCATTCAAGAAAGGGAAATGTGCTGTCAAAGAAAGGTGAAGCGACCATTTACTTTGGAAATTACCAAAAAATGGATACTTCATTCATTGTCTTATTATTTTCAATTTCTTTTTTTTTCTTTTTTATAATGATGATAACTCATCCAACCACCCACCGCCATTCCCAGTGACCCCCAGTGAACTGGGCAAGCCGAAGCTTGTTCCCCTATCCCACCCCTGAGACTGCGATGAGCTGCCATGATACCGATTTCACCTGTGAACCACCCACCAATATACATTCGTTTCCCGACTTCGTGCAAGTTGTGGGTTAGGGTCCCCGATAGTGCAATTTCATAAAAATCTCTTTTTTCTTGCAAGTTGTTCTCATTTTTTATGCTTCTTTTCTTGTTATCCATGTTGTAAGAGATGCTATCTAATGGATCCAACCAAGCACAATCGCTTTTCATCTCCTTTTTAAAACGGAAAAGAATGATAAACTAATTGGCAGCGACTTTGGCGGAGTTAAACATAGGTGGTCGCCGTTGCCGAAAGTCAAATATCGGCTAAAAGATGGCATGTATAGTTTATTTATTTATTTACGGAGTAAGGTACACAGTTGCTAAAACAAATGCGTTGTCATTGGAGATAGAAAAGAAAAAACTATACATGCCATCTTTCAGCCGATATTTGACTTTCGGCAACGGCGACCACCTACGTTTAACTCCGCCAAAGTCGCTGCCAATTACTCTATCATTCCTTTCCGCTTTAAAAAGGCGATAAAAAATGACTGTATTTGGTAGGATCCATTAGATAGCATCTCTTACAACATGGATAACAAGAAAAGAAGCATAAAAAATGAGAACAACTTGCAAGAAAAAAGAGATTTTTATGAAATTGCACTATCGGGGACCCTAACCCACAACTTGCACGAAGTCGGGAAACGAATGTATATTGGTGGGTGGTTCATAGGTGAAATCGGTATCATGGCAGCTCATCGCAGTCTCAGGGGTGGGATAGGGGAACAAGCTTCGGCTTGCCCAGTTCACTGGGGGTCACTGGGAATGGCGGTGGGTGGTTGGATGAGTTATCATCATTATAAAATGAAAAAAATGAAATGAAAATAATGAAAAAAAGGTAATTTCCCAAAGTAAATGGTCGCTTCTTTGACAGCACATTTCCCCTTTTGAAAGTGGCCCAGCCTTTAGATTGAAAATAATACATAACCAGTCAACGTCATAGATAGCCAAAATAAAAATCTCTTTCTATGTCATGAATAAACGTATAGTGTTATATCCTCTCATTTCCTTTGTTCTCTATTCTTTTGTATCTATCGTCTGTGAAAACAGTATCCGGAATAAACTATCAAGAAAATAAGAAAACGACGAAATGAAAATGAAAAAAAACACGAGAAATAAGCTTCATTGCTGCATTCGTGCAAACTCAAAGAATCCACAGCAGCTTAGGAATATGGTAATCAACCTAATTCGTCCCTACAACAGTACATTGACAGTTCCTTGACAATAAGCTTCAAGTGTCACTGATTGCGGTTCCACTTACTTTCATTGCTCTGCGTATATTGCGGAATCAGACTCCCGCTTGTGATGACGTTAAAAGTGAAGAGGTGTCAGTGAATGGGATCCATAGAAAATAATTTCCAAACGCGTCTGAGAAAAGGATCACCTTGGAGATGCCGGATATATTTGGGCATATTTTTATACCAACCTGTCGCGTAGATGATGTATATTTGACCAATTGCTGCTGCAGTTTTGTTGAGGAGGTGCAGCCTGATTTTATTAAGATTTCAGTGTGGTAGTATTGCCCGTTTATAACTTTGATATACTGATTTTCTTTTCTTCGTATGCGTGCACTTGATTATTGAATTGAAAATAATGCGAATGGCTCGACTGATTCAACCACAAACATGTAAATCAATAACTCCGCGTTTTTTTGGCACATAACATGAGCCGAAACACTTGAGATGCGCACGTCTTCACATGTAATATGCGTATGTCAGTGCGGTTTGTGTTACTGATCCGTCAATATAAATTCATACCCTATCGAGAATATTCTTAAATCAAGTATTCCTATATCGAGTGGTTATTGTGTCTGGGCACCGATGTGGTTCAACCAATCGAGTTATTGTATCATTTTCATATGGTATGTTTCTAAACGAACGACCGTCGAGCGTTCCGCCATGTGTTTTGCACATTGACCTGCGCTGCATGGCACGACGTAGTGTGTCCGTCCACGTTGTTGATTGCCCGGGCAGCGAATTGCTTATGGTAAGTTGGCTGCGTCTAGATGTAAGATGCTAGCACACTGAATTGCTATTTTTCCTTTTATCATATCTTCTGTTTCACTATTCTACATACCGTGATCTGGCTGGTTATTTTTTTTCCATATTTTTAGCTCTATGATATCTGATCTTCATATCTAGCCTGATGCCTCTCATTTGACTTTTTATTTTTTATGGGCTGCAAGTTGACTAATCTGTAAATGGAAGAGCATTGAAAGTAACAAAAATCCGGTAATTCATTCCTTTTTTTTTTTCTCTGCTGGTTTAAATTTTTGTATGTAATTTACTACTCTTCGTCCGAATCTTCGATGATTCGTGAACTTCTAAATTGCTAAGAGAGAGTAAATAGAGATCAGCTTTCCGAAAAATGGATTGCACTACCAATGTGTGCTTACCTTTCTGCTTCGACCGGCGCGCTCTTCGGGTTCCTCTACCTCGTTCTCCTCCTCCTCGTCGTCCTCCAATTCCTTTTGTTTCTTAGTTCGCTTGCGTGACTTCTTTTCCGGTACGATAGGTTCCTCATCCACTTCCATGGATGCCATGCGTAAGTTTTCTTCGCGAACTCTTTCCATCAGTCGGCGTCGTTCCTCTTCCATGCGCTGTCTTTCCTCTTCTTCAGCTTGACGTTTCTTGCTGGCTTCCGCTTCCAATCTGGCGGCTTCTTCTTCTCGTTTCTTTCGAACTTCTTCGTACTTGTGTTGTTTGTCTTCCTCAAATTGTAACTGCTCCGTCATCTTTCTTTCCAATTGTGTACGCAGTGTTTCACCATAACGAGCACGCTGCTTCGTAATGCCACGTTCATACAATACAAACTCGCTTTCTGGCACATCGATCAACATTTTGAATATCCTTTGACTGGTGTCCAAGGATTTAATGGCACGGCGTAAATCGACGGAAGTTCGTTGATCTTTCGACAAATCGGATATTAGCTGAGCGTAAGATTGCTGAACCAAAGCGATATTATGTAAGGTGGATTTATCGGACGGGTTCAAGTGGAATGCTTTTTCGGTATTTCGTAGAGACTCTAACATGATCTCCGGCTCTTTGGTGGATTTGCTCATGATAAATTGCGCGCGCGCAAGACATAACAAAATATTGGCATCTCGGTTGGCAAAAAATCGTTTGGAAGCATTTTCATACTATGTTGCCATGAGCGTCAATCAAAGCTTCTTCTTTCCTAGCTACGTTTGATTCAACTTACCATCACAATAGCTTGCTTATAGTGCTTCAGTTCTACAAAAGTGTGCGCCAAATTGATCCACACACACGAGTTGTTGACAGATGATTCACGAACTTGAGTAAAAAGATCACGCGCTTGGTCAATGTGACCATTGTCAGCGAGCGTGATTGCTAACCCATTGGCTGCATACGAGTTCATTGGGTCACGTCGTAGAGCTTGCGCAAAGAAACCTACAGCCAGCTTGTAGGCTTCTTGTCTCTATTCGAATTCAAAAAGCTTGAGTTTCCAATTGCGATACGACGAATTATGGCCCTCTGCCAATTCATACCTGCTTCTGTAGTTTTTCGCTCTTCATTTCCCTCGCAGCCGCAGCATGGTAGTTACCGAGTGCAATGTGTGTGTAGAGATCATTTTTCTCGCAATCTTTCAGCACCTTTTCAAAGGAACGTTTACATAATTTCTCGTTGATGGTTGCTTGTGCTTGACCGATCATAATCCAAGCTTTAGCGTCTATCGGGTCGGAATCAAACACTTCTTTGTAATATTCCTGCGCTTCAGTAGCTCGACCCCGGAATTGCTCAATGGCACCGAGCCGTAAATGGGCTAAAGAGATCCATATAAGTAATTGTGCCAAAACCATTCCCATTTCGAGTCCTATTACCATCAGCATAGGAGGGATAGTCTTCGGTCAATTTTTTATAGATGGAAGTAGCCTTTTCTGTTTCCAAGCGATCCTCGAAAAGGCGTGCAAGGTTATAGGTGGTGGTGATCTTCAAATTGACATCCACATTTTTGTTGTCTTGGCTCGATTCACCTAAGCGATCGAATTCCTGTATCGCCAAACTGTAGTAGGTTTCCGCTTCATCCAGATTTCCCAAAGTGTGATGCACGGCCGCCACGTTATTCAGAAGCTCTGACTTGATGGCGAGATTTTCTGGCTTTTGAGCTTCTTCAGCCTCCATTTGATTAAACTTGTCCAAAGAGGCTTGATAGTCTAGCAGGCAGCGATATTAGAGACACATTGATTTTGAACATAGTTGCGTCACCGAGACCCCTCTAAGCTTACATTTCAAAGCACGAGTTTGATCCTTTTCTTCGTATAATTGCGCTACTTCGATATCCAAAAACTGATCGTCGTCATAGTGTTCCAGCACTTTGTTGAAGAGATTCAATGCTTGTGTTTGTCTTCCTGTAGCTGTATACAGAGAGCCTAAAATCTACCAATCATATCCGTGTGAGCACCCAAGGCATGGATGACATGGATTCTCTTTTCGCAACTTACCTTGATCACTTCAATACACTGAGGTTCAGTCTCGTGCAATTTTTCAAAAATTTGTGCAGTGACATCCAATTCCCCTATTGACAAGCGCGATCAATCTCTCAGCTTTGCCTCACATTCCATTATTACTGGGACCATGCTACCTCTGCACAAGTGCATTTGTCCAATGCCAAATTGCGCCAGAATATGATCAGGATTCAGCTCCAAAGCTTGGCGGTAAAATTTGAAGGCATCGTCGTATTGTTGCTAAATTCGAGGCAGAAATTACAGTTGCGGTTAATTCACTGACACTGGTTGAAAATAGCACTCTATTTACCATTTGATGGTGGGCGCGAGCGATCTGATAGGACGCTTCTGCTTTGATATTATCGTTGGTGGCGGTTACTAATGCTTTGGAAGCTGACTTCATGGTCTATTGGAGAGTATAGCAAAATGTGAGTCAAGCTGTTCTTTTCCACAAAGGACCATATTCAAAATGGGGGCATCGCCAGACGGATTACCTTTTCAAAATCCCGCGTCAGGAAAAAGTGATTTGCCAGCATATTGAGAACCACAGGCTGCTTCTTATCAGCGCGATGTGCTTGCTGCATGTGTTGCAAACCATGGCGTAATGCATTTTCCTGCTGTACAAGGCCTTGGTCCGGTTTTTTCGATTGATTCAACTCAATAATTGCCAATAAGGCCAACACGGCAGCATTGGGCTTCTCGCTCTGCAGAAAGCCCAGTCACTGTTGAGTCCTTGTATCGGTCCCAAGCCATCTTTCTCTGTCACTTACCACTTCGATACATCGCTTCAATGCGGCTTTGGCTTCTTCGTCCATTCCCAATCGGGAAAAACACTGCGCGATGCCAAACCGGATTTCCAGAGGTGAAAACCTTCCTCGCGAATAAATCAAAGCAGTCTGATACGTCTTTAGCGATTGCTTGTACTGTCGCAAATGGTACTGAATCTTGGCTTTGCCGAGTAAGGCGGGAATGCAGTTGGGACGCTTATCAAGAACCATGTTGAAAGAACGAATGGCTTCGTTGATGTCTCTACGTAAAAGATAGAGATGGCCTTTGACGACGAATGTCTGTTCGTACTGATTATGAATACGATCGGCTTCGTTGATAAACTGCGTCGCGTCGTTGAGATGCTTCTGTCGTTGAGCCTCATCGGTTGCTTTTTTTGCCAATTTCATGTGAAGGGTCGCCATGAAGGTCAGCAATGGCAGTTTCTGACGCGGTTGAGTGTGAGGGGAATGGCTGGCTAAAGTGGATGCGTAAATTCTCAGTACTATTGCCCCAGTATAGCAACTCGAGTAGATGAAAAAGTACCTGTGCTTAAGCCTGCCTGTATGACGACGATGCTTTGTTCTACTTTGTCTTGCTCATAGTATTCGAGCTAACAAAAAATAGCGACGTCAGCTTATAAAAAAGCTGTTGCTTTATCAAGCGTTATAGTTTTCATTGCTTACTGCAAGCATGCGGTAGTAGGCTAAAGGAACACCTTCTTGTCGGAAAATGTCGGTGAGCTCGGTGGAATTGCTCGGTAGGTCATTACACACAACTTCAAGCACTTGTTCATGCTGAAGAGGGACTTCAATTGTTCTGGATCTTGGCACATAAGCCGAGCCATATACCGTAGAAGCCATGGGTTCGTTTATTATCTGACACTGTTATCAACAGTAGCAAATAATCAGAGAACCTGCCAAAGCCCGATCCTCACAGAATGGAATCGTGGTGTGACTGTTCCCACCAACCGTCCATTTTTGCCTTGCATCTCCAACAAAACCACACATTGAGCTGGTACCGCTCCGCACTGGTAACAGTTCTCCGTCTTATCCGGCGACTTGGAATGCTTGATTCTACGCTCAATAACGATCTCTTTTGAAGCCGCATTCATGAATCTGGAGTTGCGGGTAGATCGATTCCACACTGGTTGCGAGTTGGAAGCGGAGTCGCTGTAAACGCATGCGCTCGCGGATGGGGGACGGAAGGCGGTTATTGCAGTGCAATTAGCCGTCTATGGCACGGAAACTATTTCGAGTCGACCGGCGGAAGGATAATACGCATGGGAACTGTATAACTCAACGCGCAACCATGACCCTTTTGTGTTTCATCGGTTCGTATGGTCTGCACCCTTGTATCCTTCACAAAAAGTGTAAATTGCATCCGTGCATTTTTGGCCATAAGATGCTATCATGGGAGGACATCGAGACAAAAGGATTACATGAGCGGAAGCGCAAGCCTGATCTAAAGTTTTATTCTGAAAGAAAGAAGACGCATGAATCGAATGTAAAGTGATTATCAGACGAAGACGCCAAAACAAGACGCCTTTGGTTTTGCTTGAAAACTGGAATACTTTGACGACTCGAGGGTGTGGATTCTATGAGTTGTTGCTTTTGCAAACGAGGTGAGAAGGGGAATAGATGATATTGAAACAATCTATTTTGGTAAATGTTGTATTCCTTTGATACCTATCACGTTACACCGACATTGGCTGTGCGCATTATCTGGGAGAGGAAAAGTGGGCGAGGAACAATATGCGGAATACTTTGATTGCTCACGGGAAGAAAACAACCCACCAACGTGATTAGCACTGGAATTGGATCGCCAGAGTTCCTGTTCTCACCAATGCTTGTTTTTTCTATTTTTCCGCCGAGGTGAAGCAGACGATGTCCACGTGTCTCCTAATATCAGTTTCCCATATGCCCTATTTTGCATCTGATGCCCACTTAAAACATAACAATCTATAAACCTTTTTTTTACGTCATTTCATTTCTCTTGGTTTTCTCAATCGAACAATTACCACTTTTCCTTTATACAGTTATTTTTGTTGACCAGCCGTTTTAATTGTTCTCTTTCTCTTCTTCCTTCTTTTCCCTTTTTGGACTCCTCTTACTAGGTGTCGAGATCCCCTTTTCTATGTTAACATGTACAACATGCAATTCCATCCCCCAGGTTTTCAATCGCCATCGCAACCAATAGCTGAAATAAACAACGTTTTGGATGATCCCGGCAACAATAATTTTGATACATCCTCCGGTACTATCGCAGAAAGACGACAATTACAACAATCGAAGCAGTATAACATGGAAGCCTTCCAATCGACGCCTAAACCGACCTATAAAGTATCACAGGTCTCGTCGCCGCAGCAACCATCTTCAGTGACATCCTTCCATCCGAGATCGTCCATGTATCAGGAAGATGCCTGGAGACTAGCTACTAAGCAACCGACAAATGAAACTTATGCTGTAAAAACTGATTCCGCAGGAACTCCGGCCAACACCAGTGCCAGTAATTTAGATGATGATATGCAACAACGACAGTAAGTTTATCCTCTTCCTTGATTTCTAGCTGCCTTTCTTTTTTCTTTATGTTTTTAATTTTTTTTACCATGTTCGCGTTTTTGTCATGCGTTGCAATTACGACGGAAACAAAATTGAAATACCACATGACTGACGTTGTTCTTTTTTTTTTTTTTTTTTTTTTTTTTTTTTTTTTTTTTTTTTTTTTTTTTTAGTATGCAACAACTCTTTGAAAAGAAGCGACGGCGACGAGAATCACATAATGCTGTAGAGCGTCGGCGTCGAGACAATATTAACGAACGCATATATGAGCTGTCGACATTGCTACCGGAACGCGATGCTAGCAAAAATAATAAGGGCACCATTCTGAAAAAATCGGTGGATCACATCCGAATGTTACATGAAGAAGTCCATCAATACCAACAAAGGATCCAAGAACTAGAGGGAATATTAGAAATGCATCGAGTAAGGATGGGCAATCTATCGTACCCCATCTTGGATGTATCTTCAATACAACCTTCTCTTGGCAATTTCAACCATACCACTTCCACCTACCGTCGTAGATAAGTTAATATACCTCTCTGTTCTGCTGTTATATTCTCCCCGTTGTAACTTGCAAAGTCTATCCTTTTCTTTTATTCTACTCTATAAGTTTATCGCGCACATACTGTATTTTTTCCCTTCCCCTTTTTTGTAACATTTCTCAGTAACCACCTCTTTTCCGATTGGTTCCTAATCCAGGAACCTGTGATTTTATATAATCTCTCTCGGTGTTTGTATGTGTCAACCTACCTCTCTAGTTTCTGAATTCCCGTTTTATGTATAGTAAGCTTGCCCTTATTGTTCCTAACTGACAAATCTTGTTCAAAATATTCAATATACACTGGTAATAGCTACTTTTTTTCTTTGAGAAGCTCCTGCACCGACAGCTACATATCGTTGCGCCATTAGTAAAATATCTGATCTGTAACACTTTCAAAACCGTAAATAATTGAAGTGCGGTATTGTTTACACACTACTTAAAAAAAGAGCGCCAGAGCAACAGACGGATGGAGGTTGCCAAAGCTGCGATAAGAAGGACATCCGTTACATTGAACACGATAAACTTCGCTGCAACAAATTAAATATTGCCACTTTACCAATGACAAAATGGATGAATGATAATGCATCCATTATTTTCGTTCTTTGTCACATTCTATGCGCTCATTGGTAGCTTATTGGTCAAATGATGGCGCATGACCCTCCCAGGATCGGTCTTTGGGACCCCCTCCCCCTTTTTTTTTTAACCTACTATTTTTCATTTTCTGTGAGGATGAGCTGTGCATCCTCCAAGGAACCCACAGACTTCAGCTATGAACGCAGTAAAATTTGCTCCTGGAAGCAAAGTCGGGAATGGCCTAAGCATGTGTTAGATGTCGCCATCGAACTGATACCTCTTTTCATCGGTGCTTATTATTCAGGTATAATAATTTTTTTTTTTTGTGATGTCGCCATGCTGTACTTACAGTACATTCTCGAAAAAGGGACTATTGCATGCATTAGATAAGTTTTAAAAATTAGACATTCGTGGTGGCTGGTCGCTGTCGTCGTGGAAAAAACAGACCATGAAGTTAGGAGTGGCCGAAGCCATCAGCGCTTGAGCAAGCCTCGTCTCGAATGTGCACGAAAATCATTCTGAATTGGAGCAGACAGATTATTTCTCTGACAAATGATCCATGCCGATGCGGCTACTGTATGCTGCACGAACCATACTGTATCTGATACTGCAGCCTCCGTTACTGCAGAATTGCAGTAAACTAAAACAACCTATTGAACCGGAAATGGATGTGGTTGTCATCCTTCAAGGATAGGATTCCGCACTGCTCACTTGTGCAGATTGAGATTGAAGAGGTGCATGTGTCACAAAGTTGCAGCAAACTTACGTGGGGTCAAAATATTTCCCGGTAGAAAATTACGATTATGCTCGAATTTTTTCCATTGATTTACAGTGTCAAGGTATGATTTGCCATAGGACAAATCTTTTATAAATCAAAAAAAGCGGGATCTGGTGACTGGTTTGAATCACTGTTCGCTCTTTTTTATCATGTTTTCCACGGCTAGGAGAAACGATATGCCCTGTGAAGGTATGCAGATTAAACTGAGAGGGTTTATATATCAGAGGACTCACCAATATCTTTGCTCTCAAGGCTGTCGTGAACGGAAAAAGAAATGCGATCGTACTCAACCTTGCAAACGGTAATTCGTCGTTAACTGGTCTTTGCATGTCTTCACACTTACGCCTTCTATGCCGTAGGTGCCAACGCTTGAACATTCGATGTTTTTACGCACAGCCGACAAAACCTCCCGATCTCGATTACCAGGAGATTCTGGATAATCACCATTTGCAAATGCAGATCTTGGATCTTGAAAACACCATGAGCCTGCTGAAAGAAGATATGAAATCAATGGAAAAACGCATCTCGTCAACAACCAGTATGCCAACGGGAATCCCGACAACCGAACATCAGGCTTATAACGACAACAATGAATCACCGAGTTGGCGATTGACCATTACGAAGAATAGTAATGGAATGATGCGATTAGACACCAATATACATTCGTATATGGATCTGCTGCGATACTTGCATCGATGTGTATACCCCAGCCCTATAGCTAACCCATCATCAACACCCGGAGGAGTGCCTACTGTGCTGTCATTTCGACTACCATGGAGGTTCTTGCGATGTGGCTCTTTCAAGGCAACCCTGCGATGCATCACTCACAAGGAGGAAACATCCAGCGTCAACTCCATGGCGATACGCACCGACACCGAAACTACCCTTCGACTTATCGACGCCTACTTTAGGTGCCAATTCTACCGTTTAGTTTCACTTCACAAACGAACGTTTTACACCTTGTTTGTCGACTCATTCGATCCTAACGCTTCTCCGGTAGTGTGTGGGCTATGCGCTGCGGTCCTCACCATGCGATGTCGTCACACACTATCTATCGTACCTTATCAACATCAAATGCGCGTGGCCGAATTTTACTTTGCAAGAACCCGATCCCTTGTCGCTTCCCGTTTCGATGAAACCAGTTTGGAAATCATGCTGAGCTATGTCATGATGGCAACGTATAGTGCAAACATGCTTCGACCCGTCGAAGCTAGGACGTATTTAGACATGGCCGTTCGCTTGAAGCATATTCTCGAAGACGCAGTGATCTCAGAGGAAGAACTGGAAACTTTCAAACGATCGCATTGGGGTATGCTGGACGTGGTTATGTTCCTTGAATTTGTGGAAAACAAACGAGGCATGCCTGTCCCTCAGTTGCAGCACCTCCGACGACTGACCCACATAACCGACGTAGCCAAACAAAAACTATTCGCACGACGATCACCCAGATATTATATACCCACACGCCAAAACGACGAATCCATCAAAACACATCGAGCTATTTTGAAAGACGTCTATGCTACCCAGCTTCATCGGAACATGCAACGTTATTTGCATACAGTACGATCGGCGGATGTAGATGTGCTCCCTTTGTCTTTGCTGCTATCTACTGAGAAATCACTCAAAGACTGTTACTACAAAACCGTGCCGGAAGAACTACGTTTGCCTCACAGTATATTTGAGGAGGGGTTGCCTGAGAGTGAATTTTGGAGACGATTAGAAAGCTGCAAGAACTGCGACATGGCTTCTATCCACATGATGATCCGATACCAGCAATGCCTTATTAGCTTATACGAACCGTTTCTGCCCTACCTCTCGCATCAGGATTTGAAAAATCGACCTCCTTTCTCTTTTCTGCAAGAAGGCATTGACGACGATCCATTGCATGCCACTCCACCTATCTCTCCCTTATCAACACCAGTCCACTCTCGGTCTGCGACACCGAAATCGCCAGGTGAAGAAACACAACCGTCCATGATTGGTATACGAGCACAGGAAATTTGTCATCGATCGGCGATATTTATTGTGCGGCTTTGGGAGTACCAGGTGATGAAGATCGACCAATGCCGTATCGTGCTCCCGTGTCTACTCAGCGCTTGGGATATTCATCTGCGAAATGCTTTCGCGTCTCCAATCGGCCCTGAGACCAACGGTGTGGTATCCCCGTCGATGATTGAGACTGCTCGTGAATATGCTTTGCGTTGCGTGAATGTTTTGCAGAAGGGATACCTCTACAATTCAGCGGAACACAATCTATGGGAATACTATGAACGTATTGCTAATGAATTACGAAACGCTAGCGGGGATACGCCACCACACATGCCCAGTTATTGGACGCCTGCACCATCCGCCGATTGCGATTGTTGAGAAAGCTTCCACTCTCGTGATTATATAATTACAGCCGTATTATACCTTATATTGTATCTAACCACTCCATTCACTTTATTTCTCCCTCTATTTCAGTTGTATAGTTATTTTGAGCCTTCCTTTCTCATTTAAAAATTTCCCCACTCATACAGTACTCTCCACCGTCATCTATCTATCTAAGTAATCAAATTATAATGCAAAAAATAATTACGATACAAATCTCTTGCTGAATAGCACCACCATCTTGGACCTCGGTTCTGTCTGGCACGTAATGTTCCTTTTTATTGATCGATCTATTTGATGAGATTAATGGCTGCGAAATACGTCATTCGTAACTTTAATAAGACTCTTCTCTTTCAGTTGTTTATATTGCTCATCTGCTGATAAATGACGAGAGATAGTACCATGGCTAATTCTAACGGTTGATGTGTCGGCTAGATTTGTTTAGTGGGCCTTACATGGAAACGGTGAACTATCATACGACATAATTCAACTTAACCTAGATATGATGATATTCAGAGTGGAGAGAACGCGGTGATTACATTACCCACCGTAATGGCTACCAACAGCGTATCTATGGATAACCGACCGCATGGAATGTAGCCTTGACGATGGCCGAGAGATACGTTTGATGGAGGCTCTTTGTGATCACAAACGGATAATGGTTCACCTGGATTCGATTTGTATGAATTTTTTTGACTATTCTCGTACAAAAAACCTCTTGACGATGAACGATTTATGGCCCAGCAGTTCTTTGAGATCGTGAAGCTAAATGTGTGATTGAAGACCGAGATTCGGAAGAACTTGAAAGTTATAATTTCACGATGATTTTGTTGACCATTAGAACAGCGTTATTCAGCGCATGGTTATAAGCCTGTAGCTGGATCGACTTCAAACAAGCAATACCCGTAAGATGGCTTAAGAAAGGCGTTGATGCTTTAGGAACAACCATCGCTCCCACAAAATACCTCTTTGTAAATTATGACATATCGATTGTATAGACACTTGTGGTTGGAACACAAGTTCGTTTTTTATAGGGAATCGAACCTATGTCGGACTATAAGCTTATCGTAACACGTACGCACGGGATCGCCGATGGAAGTCAGCACTAGATGTGAATGTCTGACTTACACAATGAGACCCCACGGAGTCATGCAACAAATTTGTGCGCACTTCAACCAATGCTTTTCTAACAGCCACTTTCCAACGACAACGGGAACGTGAATGAATTTATCCTGGAGCGACTGAGATTATATTGACATTGATGACAGATATGATCAATACAACAAAAAGAACCCGATCGAACATGGCATTCAATGGAGCCCACAAGAAGTTCATCGACAACGGTAAATTTTCTAGCTTACATTTCGTCTGTGTTGTGCTTGATGATAATAGCATTCATGCTATTTGAATGGGCATCACATCCCAACCTCCGATGCCCCATTTACGGAAATCAAAAGTTACAGAGGCAACTACCTTAAATGGTAATATAAACCTTATTTTTGTACCACATAAACTTAATACGGAAGATCTTGCATGTGTGTTACGTATTTTTTTGACAGCCACTTGGTCTTGCCATCATACAAATTGCATTTCATCGTATCTCGCTCAATGCAATAGACACTTCATTCCTTCATATGGTCTGAGATACAAAAGATGTGACTCGGTTTTGATTCAATAAAAAGAGCCCACCGTGCCATAATTCTTTTTGTTCCCCAATTTTTTTTTTCGCTTCAGAGCTGCGTGCGGTCCATACAGCAAAACAATACGCGTTTTTCTGAATGCACGGGCTGTTTTATCGATCATACCCACGTTTCTCAACTTTGCGTTCGAACGCAGAACGCTGTTTTATGCGGCGATGGAGTTGTCAAAAGGAATTATAGCGAAAACGGAAAACCTTAATCTTCAATACAGTTGAGTGCGGAGAAAGCACCAGATAAGCCGCTGGCGAACAACACCGAAAGCGAGGCCTCGAAATACCGGAAAACAACAATTGCCACAGACGCATCAATCCACAGGTAACACCATCCCTCCCAACCTCACCAAAACCAAAACCCCACCCGCTACGGATCACCAGCTCCATATACCGCTATCCACCCCACCCCATCCCACCACCGACTCCAAACCACCCCAACGCAAAGTGTGGAACATACGTATGTTCCACAAGAACGCCAATCGAGGAGCAGGCACCTAAGGGCGGAGACACCAAGGCGGAAACCAACGGAGAGGAGAGCAAGTGTGGACAATCGTATCGCCTGCTGGTGATCAAGCAGCAAGCGTAGACGATCTTCTTGAGCTACAATGCGACCAAGGGCGGGATTAACGGGAAGGACGGCGAGGGTGAAAGATCATGCCGGTTACTGGTGGCCAGCCAGCAAGGGCAGCGGATCATCCAACCAAACGAAACCAAAGAAGGGACACCAACGGAGAGAAACGACCAATGGAAATGGAACGAGGACGGAAAAGAAGCTCTTGAAATCACCATGTTGTTCATTGTATGTTAGTCTCGTTATGAAATACAAGGCAAGGCGTGGATCAAGCTTACTGTTGTTCAGTGTCACCGAACGAGAGACAATTCGTTGCGCGCCGTATATTGCTCATACCGAACAGTAGAAAGGTCCGGAACTATTCATCATGGCAGATCATCGACGTCGTCACGGCAGCCATTTAGCGATCGAGTGAAGACATATACCTATCTTTTTCGTGCAAGAAACGTAAGAAAACCACCATGACGTGAATGTGTCGGCTATCAGCAAAGAGTCTTCGAGCTTCATTGATCCTAGTTTTGAATAGGAAATCAGAGTATCTCGAAATCCCGAGATTATCATACATGGGTCAAAGCAACTGTGCACACACCGACGGGAAAGGCAGCGTGGCTTTCGAGTAAGGTGTGAAGGTAGGTACAAAGTCGGCGATCTAAGGTCCCTTCTTGGCGTTATTTGCCCAACCATTGTGAATTCACGTACCAGTCATTTTGCCATATAAATTGTTTCGCGATCGTTGGCAGCTTCGTTAGCGCACTTATCTTGACCCCAATATCTGGTTTTCAACCAACTGGTGCTTAATTTGAAAGTGTAGAATGAACCTGTGACAATGATCAAAAATTTACCCATCAGCTTTTTGACAAATGCATGAGTCGGCTTGATGATGGACTTGAAGCGCTAGCAGCTTGCCTTTAACGGAAGCGGCAGAAGCATAACGAAACCATATTGAAAACGTAATGAATTGAAGCCAAGTTTCAGTAAATAGAGAGGAATGACAAGTTGTACAGAAAGGATGCGTACCTGGAGTGAAGTTCTGGTTCGGTTGGGTATGTTTGGGAAGGTTCTGCGTAGGTCGTTCTTCGTTCCAAATATGGTAGCGAAAAACTACACTTCGGTCGCCGTGGTGAGTTGTTTTCTCGTTTGAAGCGTGTTTGATATCAAAAACAGCCGTTAGGTTATGAGAATGCGGGGTGCGCAATTTTCGACGTCACTGACAACCTACGGCGTGGTTCTACCCTGATAAGCAAGGGCGCGTTTCAGGGTCGTTTGAGTAACTTTTGACAACTCCGTCGCCGCATAAAACAGCGTTCCGCGTTCGAATGCAAAGTTGAGAAACGTGGGTATGATCGATAACACAGCCCACGCATTCAGAAAAACGCGTACTGTTTTTGCTGTATGGACCGCACGCAGCTCTGAAGCAGAAAAAAAATTGGGGAACAAAAAGAATTATGGCACGGTGGGCTCTTTTTATTGGATCAAAACCGAGTCACATCTTTTGTATCTCAGACCATATGAAGGAATGAAGTGTCTATTGCATTGAGCGAGATACGATGAAATGCAATTTGTATGATGGCAAGACCAAGTGGCTGTCAAAAAAATACGTAACACACATGCAAGATCTTCCGTATTAAGTTTATGTGGTACAAAAATAAGGTTTATATTACCATTTAAGGTAGTTGCCTCTGTAACTTTTGATTTCCGTAAATGGGGCATCGGAGGTTGGGATGTGATGCCCATTCAAATAGCATGAATGCTATTATCATCAAGCACAACACAGACGAAATGTAAGCTAGAAAATTTACCGTTGTCGATGAACTTCTTGTGGGCTCCATTGAATGCCATGTTCGATCGGGTTCTTTTTGTTGTATTGATCATATCTGTCATCAATGTCAATATAATCTCAGTCGCTCCAGGATAAATTCATTCACGTTTCCAAGGTCACTCTATTTTAGTACAAACCAGTCTCATGCTTTTATTGACTATAGCACCATACGATACTATTCCATCATACTTGGTCGAGCCATTTAGGTCTTTACCGAATATTGATCTTTACTGGATCGTGTGAGTGCTTATGAAAATATGATCCAAGGAATCGAACCAGCAGGTTCATTATATTTCCTCTTTGTATTCGAGGTAGCTTTCTTGATCGCAGATGTGTTGTTCGAACCGGCCTTAGGGCCCGTAAGCAAGATTTGCAGCTACAGACCGAAAGAGATAACTTATCACAATGTTCCGCGGATTTGTTAGACTCCATACAGGTTGTAGCTACATTGTACATCATCTAATTTGTATCTCATCGCTGTTTTGTTGCATGACAACATTGCTGTCCGAAAGCATCTCCGTATGAATTAGAAAAAAGAGCAGCCGATCGCCAAATCCACCGATCTTTTCAGTTATTATGGGCCACTCGACTAGAGTTTCAAGTATCAAGTATCTTTCCACCAGCAATGAGCAAATTGTAAAAAAAAAAAGACACGTACCTAATAATCCTTGGCACACCTGGATCATTCGGTTGTTACGTGCTGTAAGGCTTTCAAGTGCCATTCGGCGCCAATATATCCATCAACAAAATCCGAAATTATGAGAAGAATCGATCCTTTATAGGATAATATCAGTACGATGACTGACAGACAAGATACTTTTTATGGAAGATTTCTCTTTATTGGAGGGATCAAGGCATGTTTGACATATGCATGGTAAACATTACAAGGACTGATCGCTCACGGTGCTATACGAGAGACGGTCAGGCTTTTATGGAACGTAGGAACAAGAGGAATGAACTGTTACATCAGCATGACTTTTTTATTATTATGATTCTATTTTCCCCAATCATAGGATCGTATGAATTCTACCCGATGTCGAAAAACACGCACCAAACGCCCATCGGATGGTGAACTAATATGTTGCTTTTTCTTCGGCCACGGGCGGTCTAGGCATCAGAGACGTTGCCTCAGAAAGGCACGTGCGATTGTTTCAAAGTGGGTCGTAATGATGTCGGAAGGGAGGAAGAGGTAAACAAGAACAGACATCTCAATAACCGCACACACTGTGGTTCTTGAATGAACTGTTTCTCGGATGAGGTTATACCGTCACGGACGTGGAGAAGGCAATAAATATAAGGCTCTGGAGCATCGGCAGCTCACAATGCCGAAGGTATATCCGAAGCTTCAAGATTCGGCTGTTTCAGCGACTGCTGGTTGAGATAAGAGAGGTATGTGTTCCAGCCGACGCCAAATCCACTGTTTATCAGAGGACGAAACTGCATAGGGACTACTGCAAAGACAAACATATTCGCAAACGGCCAGAAATGATATGCCGTCGAAAGTCCATCCAAGTAGCTCTAGTTCCCGAGCGGGTAGTGGTCAATATCAGAAACGCATGCAATCCGTCCCCACTCAAAAGACTTACGTTTCTAAACTTATTCTGAATTTGAGCAAAATTGCGGCCTTCAAGAACACTCACACATCCCATATACATGGCCAATATTGTTGGTGTAAAGAATATCTGATCAAGGGCAAGTCGAGCAAATGCGGCTAAAAGCATCAAAGGAATTGGATGGGTTAATTGATCTGACTGCTATTTAGTTCCAGTTATTTATGTCTCACCTCCTACTTTCGACTTGATCGTAACCACTCGATTAACGAACCCAAACCAAGTTCCAATAACCGGACCGCCGATGCAAAGACCATAAGCAGTTGTGCGTAATGACCGAGCAATGTCATGATTTTCAAGGCCTTTCTTTTCAATGAATTGTTGTGCAATGATATCACCGAGGGTTAAAATGCAACCTAACAAAAGCGTGAGCCAAGGATGTTATCATGGTGGCGAAGGTTAGGTGAACTAATGTATACCTGATTGAAGAGCGAATGTTCTCAGTGGCCGCTCAGCCAACTGCTGCTGGTATTTCCGTAATAGCAGGCTCATGGTGGGGTCAACGGGAGATTTTGCCTGAACTCTGAGACTAAGTGGGGTGAATCAAATTAGAACCAAAACAAATGAACGAAAAACAAGTTAAAAACAAGCGGCGACAGAATATGCTCAAATCCTTTTCGCCCGGTCTCTTCCAAGTAATCCAATGCTCTGTGTGTTCAGGTATTCCAGTGCTGGAAAAATATTCCATCACGCGCTTATGACATAACCCGCTGTTTGTCGATGCAGATCACGTTGACCAAACAGAAAAAGAGAGCTCTCTGCAAATAAAGCTACCTTTTTTTACTTTTTTTTTTGAATAGGGTCCGATGAAGGTGACACAGAATTAGACTGACCACATCTCATCAATTCTAAAGTTGTTCGCGCTTCCCTCCTAGGAATAAAGGATCCTTGCAGTCAAATTTGCGATTTATTTTGAAGCTTATTTCGCTAGAAAAAGGACTAAAGGCGGTACGAGAGTTTTCAAGAGGGCTTTGAATGGATCCTGGCAGACAAGCATACGTCCTTCTTGCTTTTTAGAGATTGTGCTTTTGAAAGTACCGACTATTCTTATTAGAACGCTCTCTTTTGCTTTTTAGAACTTGTGCTTTTGAAAGTACAGTCGACTATTCTTATTGGAACGCCATCTTGCTTTTTAGACGGAATGAAGCGGTGATGTTATATTTCATATATGAGAGTCGAGGTTGTGCAAGCGCTTCGAAAAAGGTTTATCTGATTTAGTCAGCAGCGCGGCTGGATGTTTACGAATTCAATCTGAGTGAAAAGCTAAATTACAGACTGGTTAAATGCTAACATATTATCAGCGCGGTTGATAAAAACGCCATGAAAACGATTAGAACAGTGTATTAGCGACCAAAATCCGTGCAGATCCCTTTTAAATTCGAAGCGAGTAATGGGACGGCCCATAATGCACCGTAATACGATCTATTTTTCGGATCTGATAACAGCAGTTCTAATCATGCGACTTTTGTTCTTTCCAAAAATGCGTCATGGAAAAGGAAAAATTTATACGCTCCACACAAATTTTCACTTCCGAAAGCACGCTTCTCTCCTGGTTCAACAGCAGAATGTTTTGATTGGTTCTTGGAACCCAGTTATGAGTTGCAATATTTCCATCACAGCAATGATCGCTGTAATCCACCAAGCATGGAGCCAAGAACGCTGAAAACGTTGTGTACGACGTTTAGGACGGGCAATAATAAAGCGGGTGAATTTGGATCCACAGAAATTTAATGACACACATCCCTATTTTTTAATTGCAAAACATGGTGCGAATTTTATCCAAATTAAGAAAACAGATCACGCGTTAAGTTGATGGACGGAGCAGTTTTGTAGTGAATGGGAGCCAAGGTTTCAATGGACATGACACTGAACCTATGAGTGAAATTTCATGTTTAATCGCTGTTCAACCGCTTTTATGTTATAAAATACGGATGCATACTGTTATTCTTCACTATGCAGATTGCATTCGCACAGGACAGATAGAGTGATAGGACAGTAGTCCCTGCTGACTCTGTGCAATTGATTCCGTACTCTATCTATTCGGGACATGAATATGGATTGTATGCGACGATACAGAGACAATGTTTTGGAAACATCGCTTCATTTCGTAGAATGAAGTTGTTATTATTCGGAAGATGGAACTCCGAGAAAAAAAGAATTCTACAAAAAAAAAAAAAAGGAAGCGGGGTGAAAAAAGAAAAAATAAGGTCCCAATTTATCGCTCAGTTAATATCCAACTCTTTCTCAATTCAAGTTGTTGTCTCGTCGTCCTTTGTTTTACCTTTCGCTATGAATGGTGACGACTCAACCAAGCAAAAACGAAATAAGCCATGTAAATGCTTTGACTTTCTATTATTTTGCTTATGAAGTTTCATTTCTTCTCATACTTCTATTGGTCTAGGCGAGAATTGTCGGGCTCACCGAAGAAAGTGCATCGTGCTGCAAGGCACCATGTGCGAGAGATGCCGAAAAATGACACTGCCTTGCATTTTTAAATTCACAGTGAAACCCAACATTGTTAAAAAAGCAGTGCCATTATCCAAGAAAAATCGAATGTTGGAAGAAGTATGCCATTTGGAAGAACAGATTGAAGACTTGTCCGAAGAACTTCGTCTTCTTCAGATGAGCGTCCGAGCGAAAAGAGATCCAGCTTGCTGTCGTTGCATAGACGTCTCTCAGTGTACGCACTTACAACCTCTCGTATTGCAGAATAGAACTTCGCCGCCGAGGTGGGAAATTACCTTTTCGAAGCAACTGTATGGATTACGCTTGCATACCAACGTCAATACAATTGCCGACCTGGCCATGTTACTAAACGAAAGTCAACGTTACTTTGTCTCGCCTTCGGCTTCCACCAACACATCCACCAACCGCAATCTCACCATCACACGTCGCATGCTCCACGTGGAACATATTTTTCGATACCTCTTTCGTAACCAAAATATCACGATGACCCCTTCATCCACCACCTTGCCGCGACGCTTGACGCATACCTTCTCTACCATCAACAACAGCAAACATTCACACTTTATTTCCTACATGATCGATATCTATTTCAATTGTCTCGGGATGATGACCCCTATCCTTGTGTCCAGCTATTATCGTCCTTATCTCAAAGCGAATCCGTCCTGCGTGCTCGCCTCAGCCATTGTAGCTTACGTAGTTCACTCTCATTGTTGTCATGCACAAATTGATGGGTTGCTTTGTTCACGCCGGGAATTGGCAGAATATTGTTGGCAAAATGCTCGCACCAGTGTAGAGGATGCTATGTTTGACGATTTCGAAGACAGCCCCGATGTCGATACCCAAATTGCGCTGTGGCATCTCGCCAATTGCTCCCTACTGAAATTGCAAAGCAAAGAAGCGCGCGTCTACTCCAGTTTAGCGTGGCGCATGGCCATTCAACTCAAAGATATATATTTACCTATCCTTCGAATGGCCACTTCCGATCCTTCCTCCGTGGATCCCGTTCAATTAGCCAAAGCGGAATCGTGGCGACGATCGTTCTATCTCACCCGAACGGCCGAGTTGAATCTTTGCGTTGTCTACGACGGATTGGCCGACTTTTCTTCCGTTCTTTATCACAGCGACATTGGATTTCCTAGTCCGCTCGAATGCGAACGTAACGATAGCATGATGCGTGCAGCTGTCGAAGCGTTTGCTTATATTTGTCGATTAACGGTGCTCACTTATGTGGAAAGTGGCGGGAATTCTGTCGAAGCCCTTGGATACAAATTGTATGCAGGATCTTTAGACGAAATCCCGCAATCGGGTATCGAATGCATCGAGAACCAACTTTATCTTTTTTGGAAAGATTTGCCACCAGCGTTTCGTGTGAGCGACGAACCACTTGGATACATTCACCTGGACCGTGTGCAATTATGCGAAGATTTATTCGTGCTACGGCTCAATTCATATTACTACATCTACTGGCTGACAGTGGAATCTCGGGTCATGCAGTTATCATCGGCCCAAGACAAGATGGATGAGGACAGTGGCTTACCCGAACATCAAGCCGAGCATCGCGATCGTGCTTTATCTATTGTCTCCATCTGTTCTGACGCCGTTGTCAAAATTTTCCACATGCTTTCGGTGCGGTCTCCTTGTTCGCTGGATTTACAATGGATGACCTTGGCAATTGATGCTTGCGGCCTTTTGAAAAATGCGTCGAATGCCGGTATTCGACGACTTGCCAAACAGAATTTACAAACGGGTGTCCAAATCCTTCAGCGGCATATGAACACGAGCATGGAAGAAGCCGCCACCGTCGGTGAAACCGGTAGTAGCCGTAGCAACAGCCCCGAATGCAGTTGGGGATCCATGTCTGTCAGCACCGGTGAAGGCAGTAGCTCGTCCGAGGAAGGTTTTGGCAATACTTTTCACGATGTGTGTCCTGCATTTTCTGCATCTGCATCCTCCAAGCCATCCATCAACGATCGAATGTCGTCGGCGGATCATTCTGCGACCAATCATACTGCTTTTTTTGGGGAGCTAAAGTACCAGCTAGAAGCTTACTTTTCCATGCTCGCCTCTTCAAATATGTGAAGCTCGTCGCTTTTGAAAATACGTAACGCTAGTTTATTATCTATTTATTTATTTTACGTATTTATATCCATCTTGGCTCGTGCGGGTTTCTTCATTCCGTATGTAAATAATATATCTTTTTTTTTTTTTTTTTTTTTTTTTTTTTTTTTTTTTTTTTTGCTCTGTAATATATTAGACTCGCCAATGGCCTTGATCTATTATATGATACTTGATGTTTGGACCTTTTAAGGGCCAGTGATATTTCCAATGGACTACAAAATGCCTCTGGAGAACTGAAAAATGAAAGCTTTAAAAGTACAGAATATTTAACCGATGCATTCTCATAGTTAAAGTTAATCATATGTTTCTCATTTTATTGAGTTTCCTTTTTTTACGGTACAATGGCAGCAGGTTGGTTTTGTCAAGCAATTATATGTATGGCAGGTTCCACGCAGCGGCAAATAGATAACATAAAAATTGGTTGCGACTTTTTCAATCGAAAAGCGATACGCATGGCTTAAACTGTGTCATCTTATAATGCGGGAACAAATTATATGGACCGAGGAAGCTTCATTCGAATTAGACAAGAACTTGAGCGTGCTGTAAGAGTGGAGAACATCAGCTGGTTTGCTCTGCTCTAACGTTCAAAAGCTGCAGAACTTAAAATGGGTTGAGTTGCCATAGCTTGTGGTAAAAAGACTAAAGTCGTTGCTCTGGGGAAATGAGACGAACTGCCCAAAATTTTTATGAGTTTAAGCTCTAGTGGCTCATTGTTATCTTGGATAATTCTAAAGAAGCCACTCTCATGGAACATGAAGCACCAATGCATCGTAACAATATCACAAAAAATGCGGAGAGAACAGCAGTGTAATGCGAAGAAGGTATTCTGGCGAGCTCAATCCGATCATAATCCAATCGACCTTTCTGTATCTAATACGATATCATCCGATCATTTCGTGCCACTAAAGCCGCATTCCTTTATCCAGCTAAACAAATGATAATGAATGATCATCGGGAATTCCAGAATGTGACACCAACTCGAATATATTTCAAAGTCGAGTATTTCAAATTTGAGCGAAGACAGGAACAGTTTCAGTCGGATTTGCCGATGATATTTTCTATAAAATACGGCGCATACTTTTATCTGCTTTTTTTTTTTTTCTTTTTTTTTTTTTAGTGAGTGCGAAAGAAAAAGTAAGTCTCGTCTGTCTAATTTGTCTATTTTTTCTGTCTTTTTCGGTTTGAGTTCTTTTTTCACTTGGGTTCTTCGCGGATAACGTTAACTATCTCCTTTATATTTTTGGAATTTTGAAATTATATCATTTTCCTGGGCTCACAATTTTTCAAAACTGTGCGTAAGCGGAGTCATGGAATTGACCAATCGCAGGTTTAGCTAAGCGGCAGCGTGCCAGGTTGACGAGGAGACGAACTTTTTAAAAGAAAGGTGGATGCGCATAAATTATTCCGCCTTGTGATCTTATTACAGTTACCATGTTATGAAACCATAGGCAGACCATGCACCCATGCACGGATGCAATGCATAGAGCAAATAACATGATGGACCGATGACACCCTGGACGCGAAAAACCACCGTAGCATCTCCTGGGCCCTCCGCAAACGCTCAATTTAGCAGTTTCGTCTTTGTTGACGGCAGATCAGAAAACAGTGGATAAATGGAGTTGAGCTATCCGCTGTCAATGCAACAAAGAGACCCGCTATAGACTATGGAACAACGGATCTTTAATCCAAGCGCCGCCTACCAATAAGCACCGTCAAGAATCAACAGATATTCCGTCATCTACATGATCTTCGAATTCGGTGAAGCCTCAGCAACTTGATACGCCATTAAAGCTATCGAAATTAAAATTGCTGTCGAGAACAAAAGGTTTTATTAGTGAATTTGTGATAACAATCAAGATTTACGTTTGTCGTCACAATCGGTGATGGTTTCATAAAATCTGTTATGGCTTATCTGATCATGGACAAAAAAAGGCGCCTCTACGCCTTGAACCGACCGCGAAATGTATACCATCTTCATAGCATAAGAACTTTTAGTGTTATGTGTATAGACGTAGCAACTTGCCTTGTACAAGGGGACGAAACCGGATACTGATCATGACGATAACTTCTGTTCGTTGCTGCGCCTTCGGGAGTTACGGAAGCGTTTTGAGTTTTCTTTTGAAAGGTTGACAGAGACGTTAATAAACACTTCAGCAGGTAACGCGAATGTAACTATTCTTGTTGGATTGCTGAGCAGTGAGGTAGGTCAAATCCATCGGGTACTGCGTGGAAAGACGGAAAGACGGCGAAACCGAGACGCCAAGCCAAACGCTGAGAAAGCGGGCATGTCATGCGCCAAATCATTGAGATTGATTCTTGGGTTACATCTGATTGCTGATTGGTTAACTTTTCATCTTGCAAAGTTACTCGAAAAGTTCAGCTTGGGGATTTTTTTTTTTTGTTTTAGCTTCGCTGGCTTTTGGCCCCTAATCATTTTTTCGGGTGAGCCGCTAAACCTTGCTTCTTCTTTTTTCTTTTCACTTCTTTCATTTCGGGGCATCATGGCTTACAATCCGAATCAGTACGGTTATCAACAACAACAGTATGCTTACGGCGCACCGCCGCCTCAGCAGTCATATGGCCGTGCACCGCCTCCTCAACAGTATGGCTCACCGGCCCTTTCTCATCAGTCTTACGCCGGTTCCCCTCACGTCGGTTACGGTCAACCATCGCAAGGGTATCCTCCAGCTGGATCCTACGGTAAATCTCGGTGCCTCAAGACGTAAAAAAGAGGGAAGGGAACTCCCTTTTGTCGAGGATTATCTAACACGCCGATTTTCTTGTAGGTCGACCTCCCCCACCTGCTGGTCCTCCGCCAGGAACCGATCCTCAACTGTGGAGTTGGTTCCAAGCCGTAGATACCGATCATTCGGGTCAGCTCACCGTAGATGAACTTCAGCGTGCGCTGGTAAACGGAGACTGGAGTCCATTCAATATCGAAACCGTCCGTATGATGGTCAATATGTTCGATACAGGTACAATCTCACGGTCCACTGTAAAATATTGTGTCACGAAATATGGAAAACTCAACGGTTGGAAAATAGATAATACCGGGACGATTGATTTCAACGAATTTGCGGGGTTATGGAAATACATTGAGGATTGGAAACGATGCTTCCAAACCTTTGATGCCGACGGCAGTGGCAGTATTGATCGTAACGAGATGAAAAATGCTTTGCGAACCTTTGGATACAATCTTTCGGACGGATTTATTACTGTTCTTATTCAGAAATTCGATAAATATGGTAATACGTCCCACCAGTGATACACCACTCCGCCGAAATTCCGTCATTGCTCACGAGTTATTATTTCATACCATAGGCAAAGGCGATGTTACCTTCGACAACTTTGTACAGGCATGCGTCAATATCAAAACATTGACAGACTCATTTCAACGATTTGATACCGATCGCGACGGATGGATCCAAATCAATTATGAACAAGTAAGTGGGAAAACATCCAATGATATCTAGACCGCAAGGAACGCCGCTGAATGGAAACCATCTATTTTTGCCTAGTTTTTGGAACTTGTCATTCGCCAGCGCGCCTAATAGGGCAATTGTTTGTATTTTTTACTCTCCTGTATATCTTCACACGTCTTCCTTAAAAATATATGCTGAATTACCGACGGTTACTGAATGGGTCTTTGCTCTTCAGCTATACCACGCGAATAGGATGGATGGAATATGAATTAGTCTAGTGGGACCTGTCGATTCCCTTTTTCGATATGGACAGACCATAGGCAAAAATCATTGTTGTATGTTATCGGGCATACCTTTGTTTGAGTAAAATATCTGACTGTCTCAGTTGATTTCATTCTTCCTGAAGAATGTCAAAAACAAACTATATTGATTTGATCAAGAACTGATGCTGAACGCGATGCGCAACAAAACCATGCGGAGTGGAAAAAAGAAAAGAGGCTGAAGTGCATTATAAAAAGTTGCCATTGGTTACATGCACTTGGCTTGCATTGAAGAAATTCCTGATTTTGCGAGAATCACATGAAATGTTCACACTTCTTTACAAAACGAAATACCATAGACAACAGAGGCTGTGTCCCAAGTAAACAACGACTCGGCAATTATCTGGATATGGCAATCCTATCAATCCCGACAGCTATGATGATGTGAGATTTTGGCATGAGTGTTCCAGATGCGCTAAAAAGAACATTGATTTTTACATACTCAGGAAACCAAAATGCTTAACCTTAGCTTCTAATTCTTTACTCTTATTGTGTTGTATCCGATATGCACTACATCAAAGGTAGTCTTAAAGTTTCAGGTTCCCCGTTCCTCTCTCCACTACGGAGCGAAATCTCATTGTACATACAGCACGGACATTGATAGCGCAGAAGATGCGGCAGAGGGTGCCGGCTGTTCATCAAGCCAAAAGGCCAAAGGGGTCCCTGAGAGGAACTTTTACGCTTCATATTGGGGTTATTTTGATCCGTCGGGCCACGGGTTTCCTAGAACCATCTTTAAACTTCCGCCGACGGCTTTCTGACAAGGGGCAACAGAATTGACTGGAAAGAAAAGAATACCCGTGTGGGCAGAGTTGATTGGAACAAACTCTGATTTTAAGCGGAGAAAAAGAGCCAGGAACGGACTGCTTTTTTTGGTCGCTAAGCGGGAGAGGAAAAAAAAGGACTACCGAAAAACTATAAAAGCCAGGTTTATCCTGGACCTTCGTTGAAATCTTTGAATCAATTTAAAAGAGTGCAGCCACGATATGTGCTTTGTCATTAATTTGACGGTAGCTTAGTATTGCCAGTGATCATTGCGATCGCTACGCGCTCGAGATTGTATGGTTTCTTAAGCCGTAAGGCTGGAAACAGAGCTATTTTGCCATTAATTTGGCGTTAAACCGTTCTGTGCCGAAGGGAACCTACATTTCCATCATCTATTTCCCATCAAAAAAAAAACAAAGAAAGTGAAAAAAAGAAAAATAAAAAAACACTAATCTTGAGAATTTCAATTTTCGCCGCTCAAAATATTGAGGGTTTTTTCCATCGGTTCCATTGGTTCCATTTCTTACTTTTTTCGCTTTTCTATTCTCGGCTTGTCGATTCCGTGTAGCCTTGTACGAGGATGGAGGTTATTCAGGTGCAACCACGCGATGCGTATCTGCACTACATTCATGTCCCTACAGCAAATACCACTATTAGTTGGTCATTTACTACTAAGCGAAAGAATATCGCGTTTGGACTCTATAGAAGACTCGGTAATGCCCCGTTGCCGTCTTCTTCTGATGTCATCTTTCGAGCTCAACAACTCCACCGTGGCCGATCGGTCAGCGAAAGTCCCTCTCTTCCAGATAAGCGTAAGCATATCAGAAAAAGCTTAATAAAGTCACAACCTCGATATTCATAACGATTCATCGCAGTGAGCGTGCCAGCCGACGATGACAAGGCTCCATTTCCCGGTATCACTCGCACCACTTCTTTCAGCAACGCTTCCATCCATCCCGGACGATTGAGGGCTCGTTCGATTGCTTGCGAAAAACTCAAGGATATGGAAGACTTGGTTGAACTTATTCCTGTTGAGCATTGCGACTCCTCCAATAACAAGGTAGAAGGGTCGTATGAAGTGCAAGAACCGGGAAATTATATCCTTATATTTGGTAAGAAAGTAGAAAATAATTCACCGCGATTTTCCTGCATCAATGGGGAGCTTCAATGCTGAATGACATGTGCATAAATATCTATAGATAATTCATTCTCCAGAAATACACCAAAAACCTTGACATTTTCCGTGGCATTGATGGACCCTTGCGAAAAGCAGGCCATGCATCAGCAACCACCCGAAATCAGCGGTTGGCTTATTAAAAAGAGACGCAAGCGATTGCAAGGTAAATAGATCCGTCCCTCCTATTATGAAAAGCCGCAGAGTTAACTTGCAACAATGACTGTTGACGATGCCTCTAGGTTGGGCAAAACGATGGTTTCAATTATCTTCTACTGGCGTCCTTTCCTACTCGACACAGCCGAACAACGTCACGCGTGGAGCGGTTCAGATCTTGATCGCGACTGTCTCGTTAAACCCTCAACAAAATATGATTCACATCGATACAGGTACCATGATATGGCATTTGCGCACACTCAATAAGGAAGACTACAACATGTGGACATCTGCCTTGAGCGATCCAGCGCGCAAACATCATGCCACCGAAGCCGCCGCTGAGGAACCCACAAGCCTCAATGATACTCAATATTTGCATACCCGCATCGCCGAAGGAGTGAAAACAGCCAATATTCTCTCCGGTCACATCACGCAATTCATTGATAACATTACTGGCGTGTTGAGTGAAATGACGAGTAAAGCTGTCGACGATCCTGCGGCATGGAGCAAGTTAGCTACGCAAGTACGACAGCAAATGGAAAACGACAAAGAAGCTCTGTTGGGTTATGCAAACGACAATAACGAACAGTGGTCATCCGTTCAGCGTTTGGTAACCGAAGGACATGAAACAGAAGTGCCTTCTCAACCGCATCGGGATCCACCCAACGGTATCAATCCGCGTGTTCGATCTCTGGCACATCCCGTTTCGCCTTCCGCTCGAGTGTCTACATACTCCACGGACCAATTCTATGATGCTGAGGAGATATTGATGTTGTCCAGTGACGATGAGGATTACGCTCCTGCAGATACCGATCGATTGTCCGAGGGCTCCGATAACGATGATGATGACGACGACGACGACGCTAAAAGGATGCCTCCGTTACCAGGTAAAAAAGAAAAAGAATAATCTCGCATGACGCAAGTTGATAGAGGAAGATCGACTCACTTACTTTACTGCACAGGAAAACTGAATAGACAACGTTCATCAGATTTGTCAGAGGCGGATCTTGATGGTGATCGACGGAAAACGCTGCCTTCGCCCTGTGTCGGGGATGCGGCGTCAATGATTTCAGTTTTCCGAAAAAATGTCGGCAAGGATCTTTCTCAGATTGCCATGCCGGTTAGCATGAATGAACCTTTGAGCATCCTTCAGCGAGCTTGCGAAGAGCTCGAATATTCTGAACTACTGGACAAGGCAGCGTCCCTTCCGGATTCCCTTGAACGACTCATGTACGTCTCAGCGTTTATCGTCTCTTCCTATGCATCAAGTCAGTACCGTACAGGTCGCAAAGTAAGTAGTCTATATTCAAAAAAAAAGTCGCACAGCATACAAAGTCATTGATCACTAACCATTTTTTGTCTATTGTGGCAAAAAGCCATTCAATCCAATGCTCGGGGAGACCTACGAAAATATCCGACCTGACAAGGGATTTCGGTTCATTGCTGAAAAGGTGTGCCATCGTCCGCTAATGATTGCGGCGTATGCCGAGTCAAAGAGCTTTAAGTACTGGCAATGCAGCAAGTTAAAAAGCAAATTCTGGGGCAAATCAATGGTAAGTTGTAGGTCATTTCTGATTTCACTCCGCTTCAGGCTCTGATTTTCAAAACAAAACGACATAGGAATTTATCAACGAGGGCACGTTTCACATTGCCCTGACCCCTAATGATGACCATTTTACGTTCACCAAACCGTCAAGCTGGATGCGGAATATGCTTGCTGGCGAAAAATACCTGGAGCATGTGGGCGAAATCAAGGTGGAAAACCATACCACTGGCGAATATGCCATCATATCATTCAAGGAAGGCACAGGAGGCGGTCTTTTTGGTACGCCAACCAAACGTAACGGCGTAACCATCTTGGTTTATGATCAACAAGGACATCAACAGCGGCGAATTATTGGCAAATGGAGCGAAGCATTGGCGGAAACCGCGGACGAGGACAACCAACATTTATCAGTGTTATGGCGGGCCAGACCACCGAATGTTGAGAATTATCAGGCTTATTACGGACTCACACGATTTGGTGTGGAACTCAATGAAATCACCAATTTTGAAAAAGACAAGTTGCCTTGCACCGACACTCGTCTTCGCCCCGATCAGCGGCTCCTCGAACAAGGTAAAGTAGGCTGTGCCGCCATGTAAAGATGTTGAGCCTGCTCCCGGGGAGAATGGGTGTAGGAATGTGTACTAGAGGAATCGCTTTATTTAACTTTGTCCAAATTGCTGTAGGTCAAATGGATGCGGCAGACCAGGAAAAACAGCGTATCGAACAGAAACAACGAGATAAGCGTAAAGAACTGGAAAGTAAAGGCATGTCGATTCAACCTCAATGGTTCGAACTGCGCGAGGATAAGTTCGAGAACCCGGATCTATTGATGGAACTGGGCATCCGTGGTCAAAGCTGGCAATATACCGGCCAGTATTGGCCGACTCGGGATTCCCAAGAATGGCCAGACGACTTGCCCGATCTTTGGTAACCTCATCTTTTATGCATCTACGATCTGTGATTTCACCCTCCCCCAAGCCTTTTTTGTTATATTGTATCTTTTGTATTTAGCATTTTTTCCGTTTTCGACACGTCATGAAACGCTATTCTGTAATTCTCTTGCTTGTACGCTGCATCGTGACACTATCATTGCGATAGGTTTTTTTGAGATAGACTCATAGACACTTAAACAAGTAAAAAATTATTCATCTTAACAACGGACCAACGAATTAATTGATTCGGAGCGGGGGGCAGTCACTGGCTGTCAGAATTTCATCTGCACAAAAAAAAAAAAAAGACCAGCGGAGCACTTGCAATAAGCTGATCTGCAACCGATGGGCATTCATGGGTTATATGCCTTTATCAGGGCACACGATGATCTGAAGCGAAGTCGGTCTTGGAACAGGGAATGCTCTGAAACTACATTTATTGTCGATGGCAATGCCTTTGTCTATCATATGGCTTTCCAAAATCGAACGGATTGGGCGCATGGTGGTATAGTGATCATGGCCACCAAGGGGTTTCTCTTGTCAAATCACTCATTTATGCGAATTTCATAGGGCAATATGCAACATTTGCTGAGCAAGTTCGTCGATTTGTCTCGTCACTGCAAGATGCTAACATTGCGCTGACCTTTTTGTTCGACGGTGCGCTGCCGCCCGATAAGCAAGCAACTCGAAAGCAACGTTATCGGAGCTATATTGAACGAGCATGTTTGGTAGCCGACAATTTACAGCAAATCAACGACATTAACAAGAGTGACCAAGCGGACGCCAATATTCTCTATCACGGGGACATGTATCTGATCCCTCCGCTCAACCTGGAAATATGCTTGCGGACCATTCGTGACATGGGCGTTACCACCATGGTGTGCAACGGTGAAGCGGACAGTCTGGTGGCCCGTATGGCGCAAGAAAATAATGGTTACATCCTTTCAAAAGATACCGATATGCACGTCTATCCTCATGTTGGAAAAGGGTACATTCCCCTGGATTCCTTGACAGTCACCGAAACCGGTGTAACAGCTGATGTTTACCATCCCGATCAATTGTCGTTCATTCTCAAGATAGAGAAACATATACTTCCATTATTCGGTACGCTGCTAGGAAACGACTACTTGAATGTGGAAACCGTGAAGCCGCCCATCACATTGTGGTGTATCAACGCCGGACATCTCGTCAAAGGTCAAAGTATCAAGCATTGGCCGAAATGCGTGATCGAGTTTCTCAAGCACGTCAAGGGACAACCCATTGATACAATGGTCGACAGTATTGTAGACCAGTTACGACCTTTAATCCTGAAAAGCAATGTCGAAGGGCGCCATAAAAAGGCTGAATCCTTGAAGCAGTGTATTACCTCTTCGATTCAACGGTATGATCCTGAAAGTCCGCTCATATCAACGGAGGCTCCTGTGCCGCGATCGGGATGCTTCAGCCCCTGGCAACTGAGTCGCCACATCTTAGATATTAAATTTACGCAAATGCTGTGGAGCGGGATTTTTGTGGAAGATCTGCGACGCGAGTCCAGCTGGATAATCAGTCGACATTTACGCCAATGTATTTACGCCCTGTTACTGCGCAACAGCGGACCCGTCATCGAGTATTTTCGACAAAAACGGCACTTGACGAGCGAACCCGTTCTCCCCATCCAATTAGATACCATTCAGCCTATCAACCCGATCGATTCCGATTTCACGTCTGAACATTTACTTGGCGATCGCCTCAGCTGTCAATCCCTCTATGCAAGCATGCATCACACTGACCACACACAGTTTTCTTCCATCGACCATGGTTCTATTATATATCCAATTGTAGCATGTATACGGTATCTTGCTCTCCACTTGGCGCCCACAGCGGATAAACTGACCAACGCAGAAGTGATGGGATTACTGGTATCAACATTAAAATCGATCGCTCCTTTATTGGGATTTACAACGCACGATGTGCCGGTTCGACACTTTGGCAAGCCTTCTCTCAAGAGGAAAGCAATGCATCTGACAGCTCAGTATCAGAGTGTACTGTACTGTTCGTACCTGTTGGCGCAGACCCTGAACTTGTCTCATTTCGAAATGCCCGGTTTATTGGCCAACCTCTACAATGGATTATCAATTCATCATCACCTCCAGCTCGCACGCCAAGGCGCTTCCTTGAAGAAATTCCTCGCAGGTGTTTCCCCTCGGTTCGTAAAATTCGTGTTATCTGTATATACCGAAGCAACGCGTGGTTTTACCGAGGATGGAACTCTCAACATCTCTGTCCATTACACCGAAGCTGCATCGGCTCCTCCAAAGGCAACTGCCACCCCAGCTGAACCGAGAGGGCCAATCAATAAGAAACGGGCGAAAGAGCGATCTATGGACGGTGCACAAAAACGAGATGGTCAACCGAAACTTGCCAAAACTCAAACGGGCAATGGCAATATGTTTGATGTTCTGAGCTTTGGTTGCAGTTTTGATGGTTAGATTGAAAGCATACATGTAACATAGCACGCATTATTCTCTTGTATATTTTTTGTTTTGGCAAATAGTTTTCATTACTTGTTTTCATGGCATCAATCCTTTCTTTTAGAGTACTAGATTGGACTGAAATATTTATTTCACTTTAACTACTATGTCTGTTGATATGGATTTGCCACTCTACTGATAATTGTATGCTTTTTCCGGTGCGTCTCGTGGTATTCTTGCTCAGTCAACAACCCAGGTCTACATGGTTTAATCTCCATCAGTGGCCCATTCGTGGCAAAATTGCTTTAATTTTCCATGGCTCAAACAGCGCCTATTTGAAGGATAACAAGCCGTACACCCGCTGTACAATGGATGCCGCCTGCCACCGGAGGCCACCCTCTTACATTGAGCGACTTTCGTCAGACAAAAAGCCTAACGCATACACGGCATAACCTGGGCGAGAACTCTTGGACGGACTTTGGTATATTAATGGCAACCTTATGGCAATACCATGCAACGTGAGTTGTTTCTGAACACGCGCAAAGCAGCACTGGTTCCCTCCCCTCAGTTCCATCCCGCCCAGGCTATGATCGATCTAGAAAGATGTGTGGGTATGTTGGGTATTTTTTTTTTTAAAAAAAAAAAGAGTTAGTAAGCTCTTTGATTGGTTCAATTTCGTCAAGATATTTTATCTTGTTTATTTGAGTTTTCGATAGCCATTGATCGCTTGACATGACTTGGATTATATGACATTGAATTTTTTTTTTAAATTAGTATACGTTCATTACATCATAGCAAAGGAAAAGAAATTAGGCTTGCCTTTGAACCAAATGGTGTACCGGAAGAAAAAAGATGAATACGGACCACAGGTAAGCTTCTTCTTCGATGCGGACAATAGAGTTGCTTCCAGGGACAGTTAAGCAATGGATCGGTGGTGTCAGCTTGAGCAGGCAAAAAATATTGATGTGGCCAGAAGTGTCGGTAACTTCGAGTTGGATTCCAGATATCGAGAGTCCCCCGAATAAAAAAGAAAGAAACAAATAAAGTATATGAGATAAAAAAACAATGGTCGCGTCAGTAAAAACCTCATAAAAAACCCTGTGGGGAAAAAAAAGAGGAAAAGACTGCGAAAAGAATATGTACATGAAATATGAAATACAAAAAATAAAAAAAAACTATGAACTACAAAATACAATAATCGGGAAGACATCTCGAAAACCATATCATGAGAAGCAATCCAAAGGAGAGGTAAGTCTGTTTTGCCGGAGCAAAATTGATGGTAGACCACTTGACGCTTACCTTTTTGAGGATGGTAGTCGATTTAACCAAGTTAGATACACGGGAAAAGAATGGTCTGGATGACAGATGCGGATGGGATCTTTTGATACAATGATACCGAGAGAGAGAAAATCAAAAGAAAAAAGATAAAATTGAAGACAAAAATATATGATTTCCATAAGGTTGTCATTAATATACCAAAGTCCGTCAAGACTTCTCGCCCAGGTTATGCGTGTATGCGTTAGGCTTTTTGTCTGACGAAAGTCGCTCAATGTAAGAGGGTGGCCTCCGGTGGCAGGCGGCATCCATTGCACCCGCGGGTGTACGGCTTGTTAGACAACAATGAACCCCAAGTTTTCTGGCCAATGAAAAGCCAACAAAAAAGAGAACTGTGACAGTTTTCGAAAAGTGCAGGTTCGAAAATCTGATCACCGTCATCCGTAACCGACTGTCAGGCGAACCCAACTTCTTTTTATTTTCTCTTTTACTTCTGTCCCTTTTTCCTTTTACTTGAATTCGTTGGTCACTGATGATGGCTTCCAAGAGTCCTGCCAAGCCTGCTACTACAAAGCAAAGCGACAGCGCTGCTTCTCATGATATCGGCTTGATTTTTGTGCGCGAATACTATACTTTTTTGAACAAGAAGCCTCAACGTTTGCATGCTTTTTACGGAACTGATTCCGTTTTGGTTCGAGGCGATGAAGGTGATGCGGTTCGTTCGTATCAAGGTCAAGAGGTAAGCCATGGCCAGTTGATTACGATAAACGTGTACCCTAGTCAGCAGTGGAAACTGAACCTTGACTTGTTTGTTGCAGGAAATTCGTCAAAAGTTTGAAGAACTGAACTTTGAGGACTGCAAAGTCCTTGTCACTCAATTGGACAGTCAAATGTCGTCTGGTGATGGTATCATTATCCAAGTCTTGGGTGAAATGTGCAACAAGGATGGTCCTTCGCAGAAGTTTGCCCAAACCTTCTTCTTGGCTCCTCAACCAAACGGCTATTACGTCCTCAATGACATTTTCCGATTTTTGAAGGATGAAGTGAATATCGATTACTATACCTGTGATGAAGAGGAGGAGCAGGAACAGCAGCAACAGCAGCAGCACCACCAACAACCCTTGTCCGCTCCTGCTGACTCGAGTCGAGCCTCGGTGTCAGAAAAGCCCACACCTACATTATCAGTCGCGGAATCTTACGATCCCATGGAAATGGATAGTACAGCAGCCACCACGGCTTCTACACCGGTCATTGACTCTGTATCGGTGGCATCCGACAAGGTCTCCAAGCCCGAATCTGTAACTCCCAAGCCAAGCCCAATCACCGAGGACCAAAAGCCAAAGACGCCGGCACCCAAGGTTGCCGACAAGGAAGAGCAAACGCCAAAGAACAAGGTGGAAGAAGGGAATAAACAGGTACCTGTAGATGAAAAGAAACCAGAAACTGCGTCACCCACATCGCAACAACCGAAACCTGCTCCCAAGCCAACCGCACCCAAGACCTGGGCTACCTTGGCAGCCAACGATTCCAACAAATGGGGTACCCAAGCATCAGAAACCAAACTCCCGCCGGTGGCCGCATCACCTACTCCACAACTACAGCAACCCGCCACACAAACCCCCGCTTCCCAACCCCATCCCGCACAACAACAGCAACAACAACAACAGCAGCAGCAACCACAATCACAAGGTCCACAAGGTCCACAAGGTCATGGCGGACGAGATCAACGCAGAGGTGAGTCTACAAGTTTGAAAATGGAGCTATTCTAATGTTGGGTGTGAAGAGGTGAAATTAGAAAAGAGAAAAGAGGAGGAGCGTGCTGGAAAGGTTGATTCAGAAGCTTGTTTGGCTGACATTGCTTTACAGTAGTGATCGATGAGACCCAAATTTTTGTCAAGAATGTTAATCAGAATGTGACTGAGGACCTGCTTCGAGAGGCGTTTGCCAAGAACGGCACGATCAAATCGGTGACCATGGCGTATAACCGTAACTGTGCTTTTGTAGAATTCGCTACTCCGGAAGCATGTCAAAAAGCCCTTAGCCAACATAAAGTATACCTTAGCAATGGCACCACGGTTTTAGCCGAAGAACGCCGTCACAACAAAGGCCAGTTCAATCGACAACAACCCAATGGCCCTGCATATGATCGTCGCTTCCAGCAAAATCGACGTGGAGGTGGTCCCACGCGTGGAGGCAGCAATAAACCCCGCGGAAGTAGCGGCCCGAAATAGAATAAAAAAAACCCAAAAAAGCCAGCGACGTTATTTATCTTTGGCACGACGCATTGTAAATTCAAGTTTGCCTTTCTTTTTTTGATTTTCTATTGTGAGTTGGCTTATTCATGGCGGTTCCTTTTTTTTGGAGTGACTATAGACTATTTACTTATCATAAGCAGTTACTCCACGCGAACTGCAATAAAGCATAGCGATACAGATGGATCGAAATGTTTCTGTTTGACCCGGCGGGTCTTCGATGACATGTTTTACACAACAATGGCATATGCAAATAAAAACATTGATGCCTGAATTGTACAATTTGAGAGAATGTATTTGGAGAGGGAGAAGTGGATAAAAAGAAATGATGAAAACTCTGAATATCTGCCTGTTTGGTTAAAAACGTGGACAGGGTAACAAAAAAAAAATGAGACTACAGTATCAATAATTGGCAAGGAATGATGGCAGATTCAATAAGTGAATGTGTACTACATGAAACTCGTTAAGCGAACAATCGATCAAGCATTCGTCTTGTGATTCGTCTTTTTGTTCCGATTTCTTCCCTGGGAACGGGAGCGTGAATGCGAACGAGGATTGCTTGGATTTGACGGCCTGGTCTTGGGCTTGGTCTTGGTATCGGTCTTAATGACGTGGGGTTCTTGTGGTTCCTCATCGGCTTCTTCCTCCTCCTCGTAAGAAGAATCGAACAATGGATCGTAATAGAAAAAGTCGTCACCATCTTCCCCATCCAGCGCATCATCGGCAACTGTATCGGAAGTTGGATCGTTCTTGAAAGAATCATCTTTATACGGCACTGTAACTTTTGAAGGGCTCGACGGATCCGTAGTACTGCTACTATTTGTGGCACTTGGTGTGATGTGGTTGGATGCCATGTAAGGCGGTAGACCGAAACCTACAAATCTATCATTAGTCGCACCTTCCGTCATACTCGTTCGAGCAATGACTTACATTCAGCCACGGTGACGAATTTGAAACCTTTCGCTCCCAATTCCTTGATCATTTGCTCTGTCAACTCGGTGCTGGTTTGCTCGAAAACCTATCATGACAAATGGTAGTCGTTAGCTGCCTTATTATTATAATTAGTACTGTATGAACTTAAACTTACATCGTGTGCTAACGATATGTAGCCGCCGGAGTTATCGTTGAGGGCTCGATGTACATGATCCATCTCCTGTTTCAAATCGTGGGTCTCGTAGTCTTTGGTATCCATATTCCACATTACGACGGTGTATCCCATATTGTTCAATTGATCCACCGTACGATCATTGTATTCTCCATAAGGAGGACGCATAACTGTTAATAGAGCGATGTTAATTGACGGAAGAGATACGTTTGACACCACCACCAGCTCATTAACTTACACGCTGGTCTAAGCATCCATATCAATGAAAGGTTTCGCATTAGACCCATCAGTTGTCAGGCTTCTTTCTTTTCACTTGATCGACGTATTTTTCAACTTACCGTTTACCAGTGATGTCTATGATTTGCCGATCTAAAGCGAGCATTTCTGTTTCCACTTCTTGCTCGCTAATTTGAGTGAGATGAGCATGAGAATAAGTATGGCTTGCTATCTGATGGCCTGATTTAAAGGCCTTGGCAACTGCATTCTGGGCTTCTATATTGTCAGAAAGCTCCCTAAAACTCAAAGATCAATACGATGCAGCTGTTTAAGCTCATATCCACGAATCCATACCAGAAATTTCTTGAATTGATGAAAAACGTGGCTCGTATTTGGTGCTTATCTAAAAGATCGACTAATGCTGATGTGTACTGGTAGGGGCCGTCATCGTAGGTGAGAGCCACCTGTCCTGGTTTACAATACTGCACACTGCCTCGGACCACTTGTCGTCGAACGAGGGTAGGAGCTGCTTCTATCAAGCTAACATAAAAAAGTACTTGCACGAATCGAGCAAGGGTCAACGATGGGCGTAACACCATCAGTAGATGTGAATAGGAAAAAGGTAAAAAGAAAACCCAAATGAAAGGAGGGAGAAGAAAAAAAAAAGGTACCCAAATGGCAAAAAAGGAAGGTCAAACGAAGCAAGAACTAACAAATCAAAGACAGTGAGCTAGCGACAACAGGAATGTCCGTGGAGTAAATTCTTGCTCCAAAAGTGAAAGAGTCCATTTTAAAAAAAAGAGACCAGTATCGTTTTATTCGTTTTCAGTACTGTAACGAAACAAGGGATAAATGGCTTTTTCTTGTAGATTGAATATTTTTGTCGGTTTAGCGATGGCCAGAAAAGCACAAACTCGATCGCAATAAAGCTGCAAGATTAAATGAGATGTACATGCAGCATGAAATGGGGGAACACAGAAAGAGTGTACAACCAACGAAAAGGAGTTTGAGGAGAAATTTTACATGAAATCGCTATACTTCCACGTTCGAACCAAGGATAAGCATCAACGCGTACCAAGGCGTCGGTAGACTAAAAATAAGGCTAATAGAAGAGACCGCGCAAATGGATCAAAAGAACTACTGCTTTTTTTTTCCCTGATTCCGTTTGGAGCTTACTCCTTTTGCCAGGAACAAACCACTGCGGGCAAAATTATGGGGAACATGAGAACGAAACCGAATACTGTATTTAAACATTGTAGCACATTGACAATAACCCAATGTTAACAACATGTTTGATCTTCATGGTTGCAAAAAGAAAAAACCCTGTTTACATGAATTGCATTACCTTATTTTGCTTTCAGTTCATCTATTGTCCCTTCGTCTCCAATGCATAAATAATACAGTGTCATGTCGATCATCGAAACATTATTTAATTCCCACGAGCTAACCTGCGTAAAAGAAGGGGACGGTGGGCGGGGAGGAGGGGTAAGAAGGTGGAATGAACGAATAAAGGCCTTCTTAAGGATGGAGGACATCCGCCCCAGAAAGTTGGAATATATCGTGTGGTTAGCCATGGTTTTAAACCAATTGAAACGGAAAGTTACAAACCCAGCAACGCACGTTAGACATGAGGAGATGACTCCACATCATTCAAATATAAGTTTGTGCGTGCATGCGTGGGTTCATGTTAAGGTGCCTTGGTCCTATTTTTACTCTTTTTTTTTCCTGCCTTTGGATCGACATGAAACTCTATCGTGATCACTTATTACAAAGATTATTTCCTCTTTATTCATCACCATTCTTGGATAAAAGTCATACGGTGGACTTTTCGATGATTGGTGTTCGCCATCATTATCAATGCATAAGATTTACAGTTACAGTGCATAAATATTGTTAACAAATCAATTCTATTTCGCTCTCCATGGCACCTTTTTCATGCATCCCTGCAATCTTTTTTTTGTTAGCTGCAATTCATGCACTGTTTTGTCAATGATGGTTAAAAAACCGAATAATCAACATTGACTAAACTACAGTGACCCTTTTCCTAGTCCGCTTCCGTCATGTCGACTCTCGTTCTATTATTGCCAGCGTAGATAGGCATTTGCTCGATCGAGATTCTTTTGAGGTTCATTACCACGTGATGACGTATAACTTTTCAAGTATCGTACGATTTTCATTATCTTCTCTATCATGCGTACGTTGCTTGCTTGTTGTTCAAACCAAAAAGGGGCGGATCGGGGGAGGGAGGAAGAGGACGAAAACGTCATTGACTTTAACGCTGCTTAGCCTCTATTTGTTGCTCATCCTGAATTTCAGGAAAAAATTGTCCACCGCAACCATGGGTCACCGGTTCCACCTTGTACGTTTTTATTTTTCTGTGGCTAGTAAGGTACCTACTGCGTTGATCATTCCTTTTTCAGGTTACAACATTCAGAAGTGTGCAATCTTGGCAACATTGCCTTTCAATGTACTGAATGCAATTTAGGCCCAACTCCAATGCATGATTTTTAATCAAAATGACGATTGATCGCGAGAGAATTAATTGATCGATGGAGATGCATAAGGGCCTGGCTGCTTATAAGCTATCGATGATGCAGAAATCCTCATATCCATATGTCAAGCAAAGTAATACGATTATAAACATTTGGTATTTCTTAATTTGGATAGTGTATGGTCTTTTTTTTTTTTATTAAAAAGTGCTACAGTTTGTGGTGAACTTACAGAACAACAGAGTTTGGGGAGATTTTGTCCATTTTTTTTCTTTTGTGAACGCCTATCTAGAATAGATCAGCGAATGGATCACGGGCCGCCGCAGAGGAGGAGGATTGCTGCTGCTGTTGTTGTTGTTGTTGTTGTTGTTGTTGCAATGGTTGGGACTGCATTAGCGGAGGTGACATGGGATTTTGAGTTGGTGCGGAAGATCCAAAGAAATCATCTGCAAACAAAGCAGCTGTCGTTTGATTGGCAGTGTTCGTAGTGGAATTCGATTGCATGGCAGTGGAGGACGATCCAAAAGCTTTCATAATGTCATCCACGTCACTTCGGGAGGTTGTGGGCGAGGCCATTGAGAATTGTGGAGTGGTTTGACTACTGGTGTTATCAAGCGATAAGAGATCACTCAGGTTATTGCTGCCTTGGCTCTGGCGAGGGCTTTCCATGGCCACGGTAGGACTGGCGGCGGCCGGTTCATCCCAATCCAAATCCAGGAGATTGCCAATATCATTATTCTTTAGCGCAGCTTGGATTTGAGGCGGTGGCGCGGTCACATCATCTTCATCAATATGACTAACAGCACGTGTTTAGTTATAAAACTGCATTTTCCGGTTTTTAGGATGTACTTACTCCGTTACTGCCTTTTGCACATTGTCTGCACCGTATTTCTTTCCAGCAATGAACGTTTCCGGTGGTTTGTGATAGACGGAAGCCAGTGTGCCAATATGGTACAGTAGATTATCAAGCAAAGCAGAAGACATGGTAGATTTCTCACCGGCAATAGGCGGTTTATCAGACAAAACGACCGACTATTAAAAAAGGAAAAATACTTTTTAGCCTCAATTCATGCAAGTATGTTGCCATGTCCTGTTGTTCAATAGGACTTACTTTGGCGGCTTGGGGATCAGTGGACAAGAGACGCCAGTAGACGTAGGCTCTGTCGCGGATATCGGCATTATCGCAATCGTTGGTAGCGGTTTGCAAAACGCGCTGCACAAGTTCTTGATTCTCTGCTGGTTTCTTCAAAAAGAGTTTCACCGTAGCCGTCAGCAGTTGCAATTGAACCTAACATAAAAGAGGTAACGACCAGTGATTAATCCATCATTGGCCAGATGCAATTGTTTCTTGCTGTTATTTGGTACCTGTGCATTTTCTTCTTGGAAATTCTCCAAAAAGTTACCAATCAGTTCATCCGCATTGTCAATTCTCTCTGCATATTCGCCAATGATCCAGGTCAAGGAGGCCTTGGCATCCGGTTCATCCAGTGCATCAAGATTCTCACACAGGGTGGCGATGATGCCTTCGTATTTATGGGGGTATTTACGGAAAATGTCCTAAAGAAAGATCCATTGCTTTAGAGAGGACACATAGAAAAAAAAAACGAACAATCTATGGCTTACTTTGATAATGACAATGGCTTCTTGCACTACATAGCTCACACCTGTGTTGATGAGATCCAAAAGTACATTGATGCAGCGTTCTGCGGCTTCTTCAATTTTAATGGCGCATCGACCAATGGCGTTGACCGATTTTCGAACAAAATCCACATCGACTTCATTTGCATACCTGGAAGACAACTGTTAGCACCAAAGAAAAAAAAGGTCTCACACACCCTTGACCGCAGAGAGAGCTTACTCCTTCAATTCGCTCAGTAACTGGTCGACGTTACGATCGTTGCATAAACGGATCATAATCTCCAACTTTTCCGATTTCACATAAGGAGGATCGTTGTATTTGCAGAAAAACACGCGCATCTCGTTGCTGAGCACTTCCGGACGACGTTGTAAAATTAAGCTGATGTTACGAAGGGCGATATACTGAACCTCGGGTGGACTGGACAACAAGGTGACTAGATGCATGCTTCATCATTAGCAAATCACAAGAACCCAACCCGCTCTTTGACACTCCTCTGTGTATATAGACCATGGACTTTTCCTGGTGTCCGCTTCCTTGTCTCGAGTCCACTTACCCAGTGGTGGTGCCATTTTTCTGCAAAACGTCTTGATCAAATTTTCGTCCTTGATGTATCGCATATTGATCATCAAGACCTAGGACAGAGGATTTAGTTTACACAATCCTCAATAGAGCCACCATGCCATAGGAACTAGAGAGGTACCTTGATCACTGATAACACTACGGCACCGTTGGCATGTTGCAAGCGTGGCAAGACGCGATCGCAAATGCCTTCTGCTTCTTTAGCGTCGCTGGCTTTATAGTCGACGAGCGCGGTTAGAATAGCAATTTGACCCCATTCCGTGCATTCGTTCAGCGCGTGCAATAACTTGTTCAAGGTAGAGCTGTTGATGACAAAAATGGCCTGATCGGGGGATGCTTCGTTGATGTCAGTAAGGGCGACCACGGCATTGGCGACGACCATGGGATTAATATCGGAAACGAGTTCTTTTACGAGATTGACAAAGTCTTGCTCGATGGTTAAAGCTGGGTTCAATTCGTACAGTTTGGCTACACACACAGCCGCTGTTTTCCGAACATAAGGGTTTTCGTCCTAGTTTAAAAAAAAAGAAAGCAAGGGATAAGCACACGATAGCCGCCAAGTTGATTGAGTGAATAAGGTGTTGGGTTAGATAGTACCTTGAGACATTTTCGCAAAGGTTCGGTTAAATAGTCGATGATTTTATCAACACGCAAGCAGCCCATGGTTCGAATAGCCAAAGCTCTTATTAAAGGATTGGGGTCGTCGGAATCCTTTGGTCGCATAATTACCCATCATCAACCAAGTTAATTCGAGATTCGATAAACTGACACTAAACCATCTCCGTCCCTCGAATGCATTACCTTTACAAATGTATTCACGGCCAAGATGACCAGTTCCGGTTGCGTTTTGGCGTAATTCATCAAGTACAGATAAACGAGTTTCTTCAATTCGAGATCTTCCGTTTGCATGTTTTTCAGGACGTCAGGAAACAGACCGCTCACGTCCTTGCCAACCGTCATATTGGCAATCACTTTCTTGACGGCATCTTTACGAATGTGGCGATATTCACTATTCAGCTCGGCCTTCAACTCATAGTTTTCGCCTGTGGGAGTACCGAAACTGGAGTGAGCTCTCGGAGAGAATGAAAAAACGAGAATTTCGGGTGATTTTAACGCTAACCTTTCTTATTGGTGGTAAAGAACTTTGGACGATTCATACCGAGGCCTTGATGAAGCACGTCAGAAGTAGATAAAAACTAAGAATCAACCGGAAACGCGTTTCACTCAACAAGTGACTAAAATCCGCACTGGGCTGCCACCCAAATTAACCACACTGGCAAAAAAAACACCGCCCAAAAACCTCGCCCGTTTTTCAAAAATTATGTCGTCTATGTAGAAAATACAAGTCCGAAATTAGCCGGCTATCCCACCACACTCTGTCACAGATCCCTCTTGGATGATGCGTACTGTATATTGGGGAATGACAAAAGTGCAGTTATAACGTAGGGTTCGAACCAAGGCTATTTTATAAAGTTATTGAGCCCGTTTATATAGCAAAAGAGTCTTTTAACATCTTATTATGATGGGCGAGCCGTCACTCGATACGGTATTGGACAGCCCAACAGTGGCGAAAAGTGTTATGGGCATATGAAGCATTGTTTGCTGATATAGGCAAAATTTAGCCTTACTACAATACATATCAATCAGTCAAGCCACTTGCAGGTGCTAATGAGGGCAACAAGTACTGTAGTAAGGGCCCAAGTGAGTTGACGTTATAAAAACTAACCTGTTCCCAGGGCAGCACTTCTTGTAAAAGTCAAAGAAAAAGGGATCAGATATGAGTTTCTTGAATGAAATTATGATGTATTTTTTACTGAAATTGCAAAACGCGTATGATATTAGCATAGTCGATGCCTGCGTTTGCTCTGATGCATGCTCGGGAAAATGACAAGTAGAGAGAATGAGTTTATACCAGAATTTGGTAAATATTACGTGCGACACATGTTCGTAAAAATACTGCACTCACGAGGGAAGGTAATGTCCCTTTATAGAATTGTCACTACCCTCATTACGTAACATTACGTTGGCATATGAGGGGATGAAGTGAAATGACCTCTTTGTAAGATGGGAACTCTGTTGTATCACACACTTGCTGTGTGTTGCTGAGGACAGAAAAATACCATGCCTTCATGTATTTTATTGTGAAGCATAAAAGAGCCAAATTCGCTAGCGAATCGGACACGCAGAAATCCGAATATCATGGTTATACAAATGGAACACAATCTCGCTGCGAAAATCAAGTAGCAGGATCCCCGCAAAAAGGATCTCCATCAGTTTTTTTCTATTTTTTATTGTGTCGATCTCATAGCAGCAAGAGTTTATGATGCTTGCAGATTTTCCCAAGATTCGTTGCCAAGTAATCATAAATAAACAATTCGTTTGTCTTGACAACGCATGTCTGTTGTTGCTATTTACTCATCAAAGTCGATCCCATATAATATGTATGCCTGGGCCCGCTAAAACGAAGATGATCGATTTGTCACAGCTCAGGAACGACCAAGTCATAAGTCAAGATATTTGCTTGTATATAACCAATCGTGTTTTCGTTGCTTCATAACATTTAAAGGACCAACTGATGCGTCTTCTTGTTATGGTACCATACATTGTATATAGATATCTGACAAAGTGCGACTCATTCATCTGGATGGTGGGCCATCAGCATTCGACGTGCGTGGTTTGAAATTTAACGTTTCCGCTGTCACACTGTCAAGTCTTGAGTGAGAAAAACCCCACCAATGGTGACCATCCATTGGGAATGCGTGCGGACAAATGCGGCATTTGACTCAACAGCGAATGAGAACCGGGCGTGAAAAGAAAGCAGATAACAATAAGAAGCGTTCATTTCCGTTTTGACGATTGCAATGTTTTAAAAAATGCACTAATAATGATGAGCATCATGAAACGAGAAGCAGAACAATATTAGTGTTTTCGTAAAATAAAGTGCAATTTATTGATAGTGTGGAGTGACCAGGCCATGAACGAAATGAAATAAATTCTTGAAATTTTTTTTGGGTGCGTCTGTGGTGACACAGCGCTGGATGAAGAAATGGAAAATACCTAATGTGTACAATAGTAAGAGGGAAATTTAGCAATAACATCAAACGCTGGTCTCTTCCCCGCTTTTTGTTTTCCTTTCCTTCTCTTCTCTTTTCTCTCTTGTTTCATTGACTAGCAACAGCATCATTCGTGTGCGCAAACCGTATTTATCTTTGGAGAGACAAAAAATCATAAATATCGACACTGTCAAGCCCAAAAACAACGTGCCCAATTCTGTTCCACCTATGAATGATTCACCGCCAGTCACTGGCCATGACTATCGCACGAGTTCTTGTACCGGACCGGACGACACACCTGGAACCGATGATGCAAATAACCACAGCATCGCTTCATCCTCAGACACGGCTGCAAACAAGCTAACATCGACTGTTGCTATGGCTTCACCGCCATCCCCGCGTGTAGTATTTACGCCGACCAACACCGCCGAGGCATCATCCACTATCACTATCCGACAGCCAAGCCGGCTTACCTCTACAGAACGAGCCGATCTTCAATTATTGATCCGGTCGTTTCTCATGCCGACAACACCGTAGGTTCCCCGAGAGCTTCTTGGCGTCTTGGAACTAATCCTCTGCAAACCATAGTCCTTTTATGTACTAATGCCGCATTTTATTCTACTAGACATGCGTCGGAAACCAAGTCAACTGCGGTGACCGAGTCCACAGACAGTTTTACCATAGAAGACCGCGACACAACGCAGGATGAAATGGCTGGCCATTTCATTCAGCTCTCTTCCGCTGCACAAGGTAAAGCCCGGATTTTTGCTTAATCTGTTTTCATCAGTTGCATCTCTTTATCATCTTTATTCTCTTACTTGATTTTTTTTAACCCTTCTCTTATTACAGCTGAAAAGGTCTTTGCGTTGCTGCACGGAATGTCTTTGCCATCCACCAGTACCACCCTCCAACTCCACTACCGCAGCCGGGCGTTTACTCTCGACGTCCATCATCGTCCCATCTCGTTGTTCGCCAAACATGTTCCACAGCATATCTCCATTGCTCAGGTGTACGATATATTTCGTCGTTATGGCCCGATTTTCCAATGCCAGAAAGCCAACCATCCCTCTTTCAATGATCGCATAGATGAATCGACCTACATCCTGTCTTTTCTTTCTTCAGTCGACGTTGATACTGCGCAGAAAGCTTTGGTATTTCACATTTTGTCCAGTATTCCATGACTTTGACAGTTACTAAAAAAATGATGTCTATTTTTTCTTTGGAAATTTATCAGCATCAAACCGAACTTGGTGGCCGGACCATGTAATGCCCAGGAGAGAAAAGCGAATGAAAATGTGTTGCATGACTACTCATCTTGGCATCATTGTGAATGTAGAGCAGTTTGTAAAGCTTCCGCCAAAAGCCAGATCAAAAAGCAAAAATCATTCCGCAAAGGAGATGCATTAGCTTCCTCACGCGAGGTAATCATTGCTTTCTCAAATTGCTTTCTCGCCATCTCCAGCGCGTCATTAGGCTAGGCTTTACTAACATGCACACCTTTCTTTTCTAATTCGTTTTGGAAAACTAAAGCACACAGTGTCGAACAAATCGTCGCCTAGTCTTTCACCTTTTCCTTCGGTTCCTCTGATCGGAACACCGCTGCCCGTCACCATTCCGTATCCGCCGCCGCCGCATCATTATCCTTCCCCCTTTGAACAGCCTTGTTTTGAACTTCGGCCTTCCATGGATCTGTGCAATCTGTATGTGAAACACGTCGACTCGTCCACGACCAGTGCTCAGCTTTTCAACCTATTCGAGCCGTATGGTCGTATCATCAGTGCGCGGGTCATGGAGGATACCACCACGGGTCGATCCAAAGGATTCGGCTTCGTTAGTTTTAGTCATCCCGTGGAAGCCGCCTCGGCCTTAATTGATATGCACCGACGAAACGAAAGAAGGGAATCATCGCTACAGGATAAAAAGTCCAGTCGCGCCACGGTTATTGTTCGATTTCATGAACCCAAGGTCGCGCGCACCGAGCATGACTTTTTTCAACAAATGGCAGTACTGGCGGCTTCGCCTCTCAGAAACCATTTCTACACTTCGGCGCCTTTGATGACGCCTTCGCCATCGTTGAAACCTGTTCACTGTGTCATTCCGTCCTCGTCCTTAAACCCACATCCTTTACCCTATGCATCCCTTCCGACCTCTTATTATACCTGTGTGAGCCCGACCCCATACGCCACGGCTTATTACCATTTTATGCCAACCTATGTTACCCCATCGCTTGAATCCGCATCTGTTGCCTACTCCTCAGAGACAAAATCGCGTAGCAGTAGTGGTTCTACCTCTGGGCAACCGTAAAGGCGGACATTTATTTGACCATCACGGTACGCGCGAAACCTAGGTAATACACGGCCAGCGCACTTCGAAAGGAGAGAGAGAAGTAAAAGGAAACGTGGAATTCGCATCATAAGCATAATTACTCTATCATCTAATGAAAACAATCATTTAATAAGAATGTGAAAAAAAAACCGAAGAATTTATTCGGTATTGATAGCTTCTCCAGGTATTCATCTTATTGCTCTATCCTATGTAGGTTGCCCTTACTGTATATCCAATCTTCTTAACCGACCTCCCCCTCCCCAAAAAAAAAGTAAATAGTAAATTATCAATTGTGGTAGACATATTGTTGATCAATACTCGACAAACACGGACAAATAAAAAAACAACATTGTTTTTCTTTTCATGGGCATCTGAGGAAAAACAAGAAATGGTAGAAAAGAATTGGCTTCTTTGGCAAAAATTTTGAGTGAGAAAAACAAGAGAAAAAGGAAACCATTCAAAGACAGTATATTGGACCGACTTCCGTTTAGTCGCATTTTTCGTGTTTTTCCATCAGATTCTTCACAGATCCAGAAAAGAAAAGATGCTCTGTCAACGAGTGAGGGCCCGCTTCATCTTTTGCGCTTGATTTTTGATCGCCAATCGTGCCTTCTCCTTTTTCGTCACTGGTGGGTCTACATCAAAGAAAACCCTGCTTTTAGAATAGGATCAGAACGAAAAGCCCATGAATATCAATAAAAAGAAGCGAATCTTTAAAAAAGCAGATTTTTAAACAGAAACAATAATATTCATATTCACGATAGCATATTTATTTTACCATGATAAGGGTTGTCATACGCTACGTAACTGGGCGAGCTGGGCTGTAACAATGGGGCATGATCACTCGATTGAGGATCGAACGATGCCTCATGGAACCATTCAACATCTTCCAAGAATGGCAAGGTCGAACAGCGACCGTTGCTTTGGAGAGGATACGTAAATGGGGCGTTGTGAACGGAAAAGATCGTGTCACCGGATCGCGCTACTGTAGACGAAACTACGTCCGCGGTAACGGTGGGGATGGTCTCTTGGTGATGAGAGTTCGACTCTCGATAGTCCAATGGATGACCATTCACTGTGTCCAGTAACGAATACGACGGCTCCATTTCGGTTACTGGTAAAGGGCACCCTGTATATGGATAAGGAGCCATGAGCTCGGTACGAAATTGACCTTCGTTTGGCAGTGCAGATCCATAGTCGTACGCATTTTGGTGGGCCCAGTCTATGGAAGAGGATGGATGTGTCAAGGAGAAATCCATAAATTCACAGCAGCACCCGGATAACGCATAATCGGGGTCCATTGACATACAGGGACACAATGTGTCGTGGGTAAAGTCATTCATGTACAGGCTGTAAGTCGTGTCGGTGGATGGTGCGAGCGAATAGTGATCCTGCGCATTTTTGAGCAAGATTTGCTGAGATGCTGATTGATGATATGCTGTGTCGGAGGAAGCCGAGGAGGATGACGCACTTGATTTAAAGTGATGGGTTGGTTCGGAAAGGTGATGTACTTGACTGGTTTCAATTGACGGTGGCACCCGTTGCTGGGCCCTCCTTCGTTGCTTGGCTCGTCTATTTTGGAACCAGGTAGTAATGGTCCTTCGAGGCGTTCCGAATTGGTCAGCTAACGACTGGATGGCTTCCTGAACTGGATTCGGTTCTTGGGCATACGTTTTTTCGAGCAAATGGGTCTCTTCCACGGAAAAACGACGTCGTGTCTTGATTTTAGGCGACCACGATTCGTTACTACTGCTGTTGGTTTCGGCTTCCTCTTGAAATTCGGGATCGGTAAAATGAGTATCGAGGGGCATCATGTCAAGAACCGTAAGTAGCTATTTATTGAGCGACCATAATTCTTCTTTTAATAAAGGATTGAACCGTGATGATAGACGAGCCATGGGTGAGAATGTGATGACCGCAATCCAAGAAAGAAAAAAAAAAGCCATCAGAAACAGCCCAACGGAAATGACGTGCATCATTTGATGCGTCGTATAGAGAACATCGTACGATACGACGTTTTTACGGTGCTTCTTGGAAAGAAGCAGAAAAAAATTCCTCATTATCAATCAGTAGCAACTCATAACACCGTACTAATTTATCAGTTCCCTTGTTGCATGCTGCATCGCTATCCAATCAATACGATCAAATCTATCCATACACAGACAATGTTATCATATATTACGAACGCGTGCATTAATTTCTCTCATGCTAATTATCAATGTGATAAAATACACGGATGATAGCGTAAAACGACAGAAGCTATGATGTGTCCTTTTTTTTTCCTTAGTTTACTGTTTCTATAGCAATCCGATGCTCTATGCATAATCCTTCATAGGCGCAATGGCATACCAAAATATTGTAAACGCTTCGTATCATCCACGCATTGACTGCCGCAGCAATATCGATCGATGGCACGAACAAAAGACATTTTTCTTCGAACTTTACTGTTGTAGCGAATTACTTCTTTTAAAGCGAGACGTACCCTCGTTAGACAAGTGCTTGAGAATTAAACAAAGCTCTTCTGTTCCATGGAAAAAATTATCCTACATTAAGGGAGGGTAGATTAAGCTCTTATTTCAATGTAAGTACGCGTATTAAAATACAGTGATTTTGGAGAGTAACCATTGATGATGTTTACATGCGTTTATTGTTTATCATTTGGCACTCGCTCCCATTGTGTAACATGTCAACATGCGGCCATGGGGATTTCGGAGTGTGGTTTCATGGTATGTCGGAAGTGGGCTGTGGCTTGACAATGCGCACGTTCATGGTACGACAGCAAAGGTAATGTAATAGGTAAGCCCATACCCACGAATAGAATAATAAATAAGTCCCCAGCAACAATCCCAGTAACCCTAGACAAGTGCTTATCACGATCAGATTCAGACGTCGTGGCAACGGTAGCCTCATGATAGGTTCCAGATTGATGCGAAGGATGCTTCTAATCATATCAAGCGTACGGTCCAACCCAATGACGCTGCAGAGACCTGTCAAGTACACCAGTCCCAGTAAAGCTTCGCCGGCCAGGCCGGTTGTAAAGTGAACGATATTGAGCCATTCGACAATCTGTTGCATTTCGTGATCCTGCCATGTCTCGTCGCCGTCCAGCTTGGCTCCTGCTTCGCTTCCCAAGGCAAGCTGGTCCAGTGCTTGACCCAAATGAGCGAGCCCAACGACCAGTCCCACCGTCGAACCTAGACTCAGCACATGAATCATGACGCAGATAAACCGGGTCCAGCCCACTCGCCAACGAAGTTGATACACATGTTGACAGGTGTCGCATCTGTATTCATCTTTGATTTGCATGACACACACGGCGTGCGCTTTCTTAGGGCATAGGCAGATGTTCACCATGTCTCTTTTGGTGGTGTGAATTAAAAACGGTTCTAGAAATCGAATCATGGATTGAGGGGCATCGCGGCTATCGCAAATATGGCACACCCGATAACGTCGTTTTGTCCGTCGATAAATGGGGGTCGGCGGATATGGCGGCGGTGAATCTGAAGTAAGGATGGTCGGTGAAGGACACGAAACGAAACAAGTTGGAGAAAGAAGCGTCATTTACATAGATGGAGAAAAAAGGGGAACGGAAGAGGAAGGGAGAGCCAAAAATGGAGACATAAATAAAGCATGTATATGCAACTTTAGCCGATATACCGATTTCCCTGAACATGTGCCTTTTTTTTAACAGAGTAGAAGCATGAACAATCTTTTTTTTTTCTATTCTTTTTGCATATGTAGGCTTTATTTTATCCATGTTCACATTATCATTTTTTTTTCTTGTGCTTCGATTGGCAACGAACTTTGAGTGGGGATGACTGACTTTGTTCCATGCTGTGGTTTAGAGATGTTGTTGGCAACATGGATGGATTACCAGTTCCAGGTATTTTTATGTTGATGCAAACCAAAAGAATAAGGTAATTGAAAGCTACCAATTTTCCGCTAGTATACCTATAAAACCATTAACTCCCAAGTCTTTATTTCCAGTGACAGATCCGATGACCGCCCAACAAGAGATTGACCTTTTTTTAATAGGTCTCATGTCTTGCCTACTAGCGCCTCAAATAGTTAGATTAACCCGTCTCTGTTGGGACGACATTGCGTTGTGATTCTTTTTCCACAGCTGTGAGCGGAACACGACAATAAAGTTAGGGTTAACGGTAAACAGGTACGGATAATAAAAAAAGGGTAAACATACCAAACAAGCGGTACACCATGGTTTTTGACTACCGACTTCATCCTTTTGTAACACGGCGGCGGAATCCAACGCCTTGGAACATCGAGTACACGCCAAACATTTGCTATGCCAACGTGTTGCTAAGGGCCCTGTTTTTTCTTCGTATACTGACAGAATCCGTTTTTGGCAACCCGGGCATGTCTTTGAGGTGCCGAATTTGGGAAGCGGACGATCGCGAGAACTCATTAATGAAGAAGCTCCTCTGGCCACGGTGGGTGAGAGAATGCAGGGTGAACTCGCTGAACTGGGCATGCTGCTATCAGTAGGACTGGTACAACGACTGGTCGCTGCACTACTACTGATGGACCCTTCCGATGTGATGGCCGATAACATGGTACCGGACGAAAGCGTTTGGGGTTGCGGCACGATTTTTACGTGATGCGACAAGGCAGCGTTATCCAGCTCTGGAAATTTCTCAGAAATACAAGCTTGGCAATGAGCGCCCTCCATATCGGCATAAATTGTAGATGGATACAAGGATTTTGCACAGGATACGCATTGAAAACACTGTGATTATAAGAATAATATTCCATTTAGAAGCCTCCACGAGCTCATCAGATAGACATTACTTACTTTGATGTGAAACGCGCAGTTGTTGACGGAAACATAGGTATCTGTAATGCTGCTAGAACAACCGCCACATTTGAGGGAAACGGGTATTTGAGTTGCACACTAAGATCATGATGATGAACAAAATGGCAGTCTGAAGCTATTTTTGCTGCGCACCATCAATCAACTTACATCCGGATGAAAGATACGATGGTTATTATCCATCAAGAACCCTTTGGATTCAAATGGTTCTTTACACTGACTGCATGTCAAACAAGCCCAGTGATACCGAATCTGGGTATCTGGTAATCGTACTGTCTTTCCAGACAGCTTTTTATGACATGCCTGACAATCTCCCGATTTCGCCGGAATAGTGAGGATTGGTGCGACCCGTTTCGTATCACGGCCAGCGTACGCTTGCCGAATGCGTGACAATGTGGAGCTGTATGAATTGCTGGTGGGCGGCGGATGATGGATTGGGAGACCTATACCTGCGATCGAGGTGGATTCGGATTTTCGGATCGGCCTGGGGTCAAGACCGACAATATTCCCGAGATAACTGATTACGAAACGACAAGGACGCTTACAGTGTAAGCTTTTTAACCGGTATCAATGTATTCGCAGCAAATGCAACGACGTACCTTGACTGCCAACGATCAATGGATGACTTTAAGAACGTGGACGAGGAAGCTAAGGTACAGCAATCGGAAGTTTTTTATCATCCAGTCATTCCACCAAGGCGATCAATAAATGATGAAAAATAAAAAGAAACCGTTCTTACTCAGTGACGAGCTTCCGCATTTTTTGCAACTGTCTGAGCGACATAATTCACCGCATCGTCTGCAATAAGCCATTGTCAGAAGCAAAATAGAATAGACAAACAGGTAAACTTTTGGCAAACTGGAGCGTAATTAACCAGTAAAGAAAGGGATAAAAGAAAAGGCACTTTCTCATTTTGAATTCCTAGTCTTTCGGTCATTCTTATAAAAGCGCCCTTGTTGAAAGTAAAATCACCTTTTAAGAGTCGCATAGGTTTCTCGTCATACTTTTATCCCAGACAATCCGCATGAATGTCGTATAGAGAATTCCACATGTCCTTCTTTTTCATGTTCACGCACGCAGAGGAAAATATCTAATGGGATGCTTGACAATTAATGAAGCTAGTTTTCTAATTTTATTGTATATCGAGAAAAATGAATACTATTTACATTGGTTGGCGCCGAACATTATTTTGGAACGTATTATAGAGTAGCCAAGATCAACTGGGCATTAGCTTTAAAAGTTTGAGTTGGTGTTTGCAGCCAACGAGGTACTTCGAATACCGGTAAAAGGTCTGCACCAGGAACCATTCGGGCCCCCTTGCCCAGTAAAGCAAAGGTGGTTATCCATACATTGTCCGGATACTTTTTTCCCATTGTCGTGAACAACGTAACTGCCGCTTCTTGCAAATTGGAGTGCATGTTGGCTTGCAAAAAGTATTTTGTATGCTCCAACATGTCGCGAACAACGTCTCCTCGTAGATCCACCGTGGCCGCCACATGAGTTAATGTTAGCAAGATGGAGCGCTGCAGTCGATGCAGGTAGGAGTAGACAGAGTAATTCACCGTGTTGGGATGATTGGTCGATGCTTGTTGAAGCACGGTTTTGAACCGTGGCCAGATATCGTCCATGATTCTTCCCGACAGGAAATCGCCCGATACTTCAGTCATTGTCTGGATCAAAGAGGCAGCGTGGAATCCTACAAAGGTTTGCGGATCGTCCAATCGGTTCACAATCAGGGGCCATTTGGTGTGCAAAAGCGGGTTCAATTTATCCAAGCGATTGGCAAGCACTGTGACTCCGCCGGAAAATACTTGCAACATCTGCGACCGCAGCTGCGGTGACGGTGCTGTCAAAAAGTGAGCGGCTTTCTCCATAATCTGGAGCACCATCTGTTCCGATTGGCTCAGCGGCTTGTTCTCTTCGTCTTCCGTTTTCGTTTTCTTCTTGGTCGGTGCGGTCCCGCGATCCGAGTCTTGCTCCATGTCTTGCAATTCTTCCGCTGCCGGTGGTTCCTGGCGTTTCTGCTGGTCCAAAAAATACTGTCCGATCTCTTCCATGGATGCTAGGCCTTCATCATCCTCACCTTTGAAGGATTGCTTTCGCGCTTGGACGAAATCCATGATTTCTTGTGATACACTGTGCTCGTCACAGTTTTCCGTTACGACTGGCGTTGACTGGGACGCCTTGATTTGAGGAACGGTCCATTCTACGGTTTTCACAATTTCCGTCAAGACACCACACAACTGATTGCAAATCCACTCGTCCACATGATAGCGATCCAGCGCATCAAATATTTCCTCGACCGAGTCTTCCAGGTAAACAATGGTTTCCGAGCCTGCTACGTGAATGAGGGCCTTGAGTACAAGCGGAGCTTTCGGATTGGCCGTTAATGTAATGATGCGTTGCGATACACTGTTGATAATGTAATCGATATTCTGCATGGCCAATTCCTTGGTATTTGGTTGTCCGCATCGCATGGCGATGGAGTCCAGCGTAATACGAGCATACATGCGCACAAATAGATTGCCGGACCCTAGATGAACCAGTAAAGGGTACAGCAGGGTAATCAATTCATCTTGCAAGGCAGCGGTATCCATCAGACATGCAGCTAGACCAACAATTCTTAAAGCAAAGCAGATGGTCATGACGTTTCCCATCGCTTCATCGATAGCTTGAATACGTTCTCGAGTGTGGACCAGGGTCCCACGTGAACCGGCCAACGTTTCGTGTGACAGAGATGGGTCAATGATATCCATCATATCGTGCAGCGATCGCAGTGCGAGGTGTTGAACGACATAGGTATCTCGAGTCTCAGGTATCTCCATGTAATCATCCATCTCTTCATTGTGGGTCGACGCTGCACCGCTTAACAAAGCGTGAACAATAAATCCAGCTTGGGGTTTGGCGCCGAGCTGTCCATCCGCTTCGGTCATCATGCATTGCGTAAAATGAGTGATCCACTGTTCGGTATCGTCGTAGCGTCCAATGACATTAAACATTCGTATTGCCCGCTCGACGGAGCGATCGGTTAACAGGTGCTTGAGACGAAATTTGGGATACGTAATGTGTCGATGGAGAGAAGGGTTGTCGCCGAGTTCGATGTACTGTGCAGGGCGTTGCTCATCCAAAACGTAAAGTCCCTGTGTGTCCATTTCAAAAGCGGATAACCAACCTTCCGAGATACGACCAAGCACCGACTCGAGAATACTGGCGACATGGTCGTCAAGAAACAAAATGTACCCTGCAACAAGCGTCATGGCATGGCATTTCTCGGTATCGTCACCCGTAATCACCGAACGCGGCAAAGACGTCATCCAACGGTACAGCTCTGATTTTAGAACGGGTATCATAGTCGATCGAAGGGTGGGATCCGCCATCGATTGCTCCATATACGTTTGACACGCTTCGGACACTTCCGGGTACTCGTCATCAATGTACAGCACGAGGGTTTCGACAAGACACGCAACGCAGTTGTCGATGGATCGTGCACAGCTTGACAGCAGCTTGTGAGCCAGCTGTACAAAAGCGAGACGAGTCCTCCATTCCGAATGATGTCGCAACGATAACATTTGATCCAGGTGTTTGCGCAGATTTTGTTTGAATTGATCATGCCATTCCTGTGTTCGTCGAAAGATGGCCGAGGGGTCGGTTGGGGTCTCTTTCGATGCAGAAATTGCGACTTGGCAATCACCGGCCAACTGTTGAGCCTCGGCTTGGACAGCTGACTGACTAAGATCGGCCAAGGAATGGATTTGAGGCAAGAAATCAGCATTCAGATCGTCTCGCATCACGGTTTGAATACAGTCGCCGAGGATATCAAGGGTTGCCACAATAATTTGATGGTTCTCTTTCTCTTTCTTTTGGGATAAGATACGATTGAGGGTTGAGATGACGCCCGGTAGCAGGGAAGCAACGATATCCACGTTTCGAACGTTATCCAGTAACAGTTGTGAAAGTGTTTGTAGTGCGTCGAGTCGTAATTGAAGGTTGTATTCGAGTTTGGCGAGTTTCAGAAGCACCGTTATAGTATGGCTTAGGCTGAGTAAATAAGGGCGATCCGTGACAGAACCAAGAAGGGGGGCGTGCCAAGGATCGTCCAATGCTTGAAATCGGCCTTGTTTGTATTTGGCTGGCAGCGTCGCAGCAAGACATTTCACTGCCAAATGTTTGGTTTCCTCTGACATGGCACGCATGGTATCTTCTTCCACCGATGACGGACGATCAATCGACAATGTAAAAAACGTGACCAGTTGCTGTATCAACGTTGGTGTAAATCGCGTCGACCACAACGTGCGCGTCAACAAGAACAACACACAATGCAAGCTCGCTTCCGCCACATTATCGAACAAATGCTGCCCTTGCACATGTGTCTTGATAAGTGTCAACAGTGGGAAAAGAATAGCGTCCAGAATCCCTTGGTTGATAACGGATTCGGCATCGGGCGTCGATTCCAAATGGTGTACAATATCTTTCAACAACAGCGACGCTTCACGGGCCGTTTCTCTCGTCAACGATTGCTGTCCACAATGTAAAAGCGAATTGCATAACGGCTTGATGCGTGCAAATAAATGACTTTGTCGAGTCTCCAGTTCCTCCATTGGAAGAATCGGTTTGCAACTTAAGGCGAGCTTTCAGAGGAGTTGCAAGTTTTCAGGATGCTCTGGCGGAGTTGCAAGGTTCGCTTTCATTGTCCTTCAAGTCATGACTGCACCACGGCAACACATTGAATGAAGCGTCTTTTGCCCTTACTTCAAAAAACTCTACATCATGTAGATCAAATACTACTGTAGTACCCATAACCCACGGTGGTAAGGTGCATCAAAAGACAGATACACAGCAATATAATATTCCGGATTTGAAACAGGCAGCGGATGGCAGGAGAGGACCATGCTATCAATGAATGTAATTCACGAGCTTTTGGTTGTGTCTAAATATTTATCTATGTTGAAATATTGGCGAGATATAATGCGTCTATGTATAAAGTACAATCCAAAAAAAGTGATGGGCGGGTGAGAAAGGGGAAAATCATGGGAGAAGCTTAGAATGATAATATAAGAAAATAAGAAACGCTATTGCCGTGCTTCCCATACATCCTCTGAATTTCTCATTTGTCGTTTTGCTTGTTCCTTTTCCTTTTCTCGCTGACGAATCATGGCCTATATAAGAAGACTCTTTTAGTGGGGGGAATGCACCATGGCTGACATGTTTTACTTTAAACACTTACATCAGCCACTTGGCTCGATTTAGGCTTCGTCTTTAAGCAAAACTTGAAATCGTCCCATTTCCCGGAACAATCCTTCTTTTCACCGTAACGATAGTAATGAATAGCTTGAGATCCCAAGGCTAGACAGATAAAACATTTTAACGACCTTTTTCTTCTACCTGCTTTTGATTTTTATAATAGATCACTTACTGTAACACTGCCAAAAAGCGTCAAATGCTTGGCCTGCATTGCAAGTTGCAAAGTTGCGCTTTTCTTCGTTTTCAATTTCTTTAAAGAATGCCGCAGTGTCTTCGTCCCGTTCCGAATGGCTCATCTTGTATGTATTACTTACAGTGTAGCTTGAATAATTTGGGATGGCCGCAGAAACAAGTTCAGTGTCTGGAGATGAAATCCCTGTCAATTCGCAGTCCCAAACCGAATGCCCTGTTTCAAGAAAAGAAAGTTAATGCGCCAATACCCTTTTACTCCAGCTACTTGAAAAGCATCGGCTCTTACCATAGTCAATATTGACAAATGCTTGAAAAAAAATGTAGTGGAGGTATGTAAAATACATGATTTAAAAACAGTTTACGATTCTATTTATTTTGGGCTATTGAAAATTATTCAACCATGGGATGGATCCGTTACTAGCACGGAGAAAGTGTGGTATTGAAATAAAAAACACAATTAAACATGGATGGAATGGAAAAGAGATGGGAGAGGGGATTAAAAGAAGAATGGAGAGAGACACAACATGGAAAATTAGAGGTGACGAAGGACGGCATCCACCACATCGTTGGTGGTGCTCTTGCCACCCAAATCAGGAGTCAAGATGGAGCCGTCGACCAATACAGCATCCACAGCATCGTACATCTTCAAGGCTTGTTCGGTGTAACCCATGTGTTCAAGCAACAAAGCAGCAGAGCGAATAGCGGCAATGGGGTTGGCAATACCCTTACCGGCAATATCGGGAGCAGAGCCGTGAACGGGTTCACCCATCACAAACTCATCTCCAACGTTGGCAGAAGGAACCACACCCAACGAACCCACCAAAGCAGCAGCACCATCACTACAAAAACCCAGGACCTCATCAATACCACATACTCTTTCAACGCGCTCTCAGAAATCAAATATACCTGAGAATGTCACCGTAGAGGTTGGGAGCAACCACAACGTCAAAGGCTTCGGGCTCACGGAACATTCTGTACACCATGGAGTCCACCAACTGCTCTTCCATGTCAACGCCGCCATACTTTTCCAAGTTTTGCTCCTTCACAGATCGCACGGTTTCGCGGAACAAACCATCCGTGACACTGAGAACGTTGGATTTGTGCACAATGGTAACGCGGGGGTTATGCTGAAAATTATGGTCCTCACATTCAGTATGACACGATCAACCGCTAGGAACATGCTCCATCGTCTCGGCTTACCTTCCAAATACGCTCAGCTAAAGGCTTCTGTTCACGAAGCTTTTGACGGGTCAAAGCCATGTTGAAAGCCATGGTACCGATACGGTGGCAAGCTTCTTCACTGATCTTACGTTCAGCCCAGGCCAATTTTTTGCCAGTCTTGGGATCCGTTTCCAAGCGTTCTTGCTTAATGTACAAGCATTCGGTGTTTTCACGGATGATCAGCATATCCAATTCTCTTTGGTTAGGGAAAGCAGGCGACTTGACAGAGACCACCGGGCGCACGTTGGCATACAAATCAAGGTGCTTGCGCAAAGCCACAATAGGAGACGAATAACCTTCCACCTTGTGCGATGGGGAGCTGGACCCGAGCAAAACAAAGAATCAATCAATTCCTCCAGTTCTTTCCATTCATTTTCCTCCCGAACATTTCGACGACCTACCTGACAGCACCGAAAATGGCACCATGACATTCATTCTTCAAAGTGGTGATGGTTTCCTTGGGAAGAGCAGTACCAGTTTTCTGGAAATGTTCAAAACCAGCCTCAAGCTCCACGAATTCAAACTTGGGTCCATTCGACAAAGACTCGAGAACGCGACGAGCAGCCTAAGTCCATGAAAATACGGTCAAGATGGCTACAATATAACATGACCCATATATACCCAAGCCCATCAACTTACAGGAACGACTACAGATCAAATAAAAAAAAGGAAAGATAACCATGAATAACAACGATCAACCCATGGACGCATAACGAAAAAAGATAACTCACCTTCTTTGCCGATACCGTCAGCGGGGATCAAACCAATCTTGAGGGGCGAAGTAGCCGAGGTGGCCAAAGTACGACGAATGATATTGCTAGCCATAGTAAGTGTTTGACTTGTAGTAGTAGATAAAGAGAGAGATGAAGAAAAGCGAATCCAAGCATCCTTTATTTTAGCACACATTGTCCATCATCGGAAAAAGCCGGTCACCCCACAGATGAGATGATCTTTCCAAGAAAGGAAATCCTTGTCTGATGTTTGCGGCATCCCAATTCCAAAAAGATGCATTTTCTTTTTCCTTTTGCCATGAAGCCCTGGGCATGTTATTTTATAAATTTGTCGTACATCGATCCCAAGTACATCCCAGTACTGGGGCTTGTTTTAAAATCATTACTTGATTCATGCTTCCAATGCATTTTTTTAGAGCTTTGAAGTGAATGACTTTGATCAATGATAACCATTGTCAAAGTTCTGCAAACCGACCGGAGTATGAATCTCTGACATGACCAGAGACAGACCGTGACACCGAAAACAGAATCGTTGCCTGTATTTGTACAATCGATGATGATAACGACTTGAATGGTATCATCCACCTTTGTAAAAAAAAGATAAACGTATATTATCAACATAATTATATTGGTCTCACATACGCCACAATTGATATTATGTTCAGGGTGTCCAAATTATCTATATGTACAAATTTCAGGCCTCTCTACGCGTATGTTCTAATCAAAAAGTAACGGCCTTGTATGTCGTTTACAACGATTATGATTCAGTTCCAGCCCGTTGATGCAAAAATCGGTACAACTTCCTCCCAGGTTCCTCACCGATCAACTTTTGAATTCGATCCTCGGTGCTGTTGGTGAGCTCTTCCAGATTCTCCATGTTGCTCATGATAATTCTGTAATTCTTGGATGTGATTCCAGGTAAATTACGCAGTATTTCCTTTCAACACCAGAATTCTAATATCAGTGATGCGTTCGTCTTTGTTCCCTTTGGCCACTCTTTCCTTACCTGTGGTGTCATATTATGCGTGGTATCCATTTCCTCGGTCCCTTCGGCTCCCACTGCCGCCGCTGCATCTGCACTCGGTTCTTCGCTCGTTTTCTAGGTAGGCAACATGTCAAGAAAACATCATAAAGAAAAATACTCCATATATTTCCAACTTACTTTGAGTTCTTTGAACACAGCAGCGGTTTCGTGAGGACTGGATGACCAAATGATGCGTATTTTAGGAAATGTCAAGGTAAGCAAGACCAGTTTTGAGGACAGATCCGTCAAAACAATATTGCTCTTCATATCCGACAAGCTCTATCAAATGGAAACGTTCTGTCAGCCATTGGCATTTTGTACACTTGGAAGTCACAAAATATACCTGTAAGGAGAACGATTTACTCTGATCAAACTCGATGAGAAGAATCGGCTTTTTATAATACAGGCACATATTCTCACATTGAGTATACCTTTTCAAAACACCAGATTAAAATTGAATTTCCACGTGTGTATGATGCTTCAGTGAAAAAAAGAAAAAAAAATACTTACAATCGACCGGAGCGGAAAGATTGGATCAAATCGGCTATGGATTTACGCTCAACACACATTTCTGGGCTAAGGATGTAATCACCAACTTGCAGCGTATAGGGAAGAATCTTGACACCTTCAGCATAGAGAATGGGAGGAAGAGAGCTACGGAATTCTCGCATATCGACAATCACCTTTTTGGCAAATCGTACCGTCAGCATGCAACCACAAATTCAATACGATGCAATATTTAATTTTTACCTGAGGTGGACCGGCCACCTTGAGCTGACCACCCGCAACGCGAGAACTGACAGCGCGTACAAAAGTATCTTCCGGATTGCCCGCTTTTTGAGGTAACGGAATAGCCATGATCTGCCGCGTAATGTTTAATGCGATTTTCTGAATCATGGTTTTCAATATCAACTTACCGATTTTTCACGAATAAGGCTCTCGAAAGCCTCTTTCTCTTTACGAATCAAGCTCAAATAGTTTTGTTCTTCAACGGAATTGTCATACAGCATGAAATACACCTGAACATGAACATTCGGATGCATTGCTCGATAAACCTTTAAAATCAATGTGTGAGCCCTCATTCCATCCTCCATCGTATTATTAAAAGAAACGTGTACCTCTATTCTGCGAACAAAAGCCGGATCGGGATCATACATGATAATGAACCGAGGCGATACATCTTGTAGCACCTGTTCGTCTGTATCATTGTCGTAATGCTGGATAGTAATCAATCGTTTCGGAGGCACCGGTTCAAATTCAGGTAAAATATCGTTGGCACCCAGCGTGATGGTATTGATAGCTTGATCAGCACTGGGATCGATGGCCTGGAAAAGGCCCTCTTCTTCCTCTTCTTCCGGATTATCTAATCTGTTGATCAAACCATCAGTTTCGTAGAATCATTTCTTTCGCTTTTCTCAATCATTGCTGAGAACGGCGACTCACACTTGCAGATTTTCTTGGATATCTTCACGGAACGTCTGTGACAATGTCGCCGCTCGATCGCCACTTAAAGCTGCCGTGGTAGATCCGCCTCGCACGCGTCGACGTTTATTCGGTGGGGCTCCACGACCCGTAGATGGCCCAGCGGATGGAGAGTTGGTGGTGGCCGCCGGCCTCGCAAAAGAGAGGCCACCAGCTTTTTGGATTTGGTTCATTGTGCCACGCCATTTAAAGAAATTTTTGGCCAGTCGATTGAGAACCGGGTTTGTATCTCCAGTCTCGGTGTTCAAACGCGAAAGATATTCCTTTAACTGGGAGCATGTTCTTTTCTCGTTTACCATAATGAGCACCGGGGCACCTAAGTTATCAGAAATTAAGTGTCAGCTGCTCGTTGGAGGTTCTGTCTGAAATATGTACATACTTTGGCCATCATTGGTGGTTTTGGCATCTTGTTCAATTTCTTTCAAAATCTCGCCGAGAAGATTCCATTTTGGTTGCTCTTCCAATACAAGCTTCAGTTTATCTGGAATACTGCTCGATCCAATGGATGCCGGTATATCGGTCAATTTATAATCGTGATCCGTCGGACGTAAATAAAACCGTAGCCGAGCCGTCTATTGCTCAAAACACTTAGCGTACATGTTCTTGCTGTTTGTCAAAGGTAAAAGTGTTGACAACGACTTACTGTAATGGCTGTATCAGCTGCTTCTAAAAAGAGCCACTGTGATTGTCGCACTTGTTTCCCGTCTTGCGATGCATTGCTCGCAATAACAGTCTCGAGAAAACTGTAAAAGGAGACACAGTCATAACTTGTCAAGTAACTGGCAAGTCATCTTTAGCTCAAAAAATCTTGAGAGAGGGGATATCCCACGATTTGCCAACCCTTGCCAACCCATGTCAACCAGGTGTACCTTAATAACTGTCGCAACACTTTCAGATCGCCCACCAGTTGTTTGGTGGTAGGGCTAATACGATGCCAGATCGGATCTAATTGACGTCGAACAATCATATCAAACGATTTGAAAAACGCGTTTTCCACTGTAAAGTCTTCGACATCAATCTGAGAAAAAAAAGATCCATCGTCAGTGTCAGTAGGATAGGCTCTTCTTATCATAAAATCACGATTTTACCATGGATGTGGAGCGGCGAATCTCGGCAAGGGTAGATTCTAAACATTCGACGAGGGATTGCTGGATTTTCTCCATGGCCAAAGTCATGGGCTGGCGCAGTTCTACCACATCTTCACTCGCGTCCGATAGGTTATCCGAAACGAGGACCTGAAATCTAATTGGACACAAGGATGCGATGAATACGGTATATCGGTAATAGTCTACGCACAAAATTGATCATGATTTACCTCGGCCACAGATGCACTTTTCGCAGCTGAAGAGACTTTAGAGTGTTTTGAAGAGGGGCGAATCCAGTGACAAATGCTTCCGGTTGATCAGAAAAGGCTTTGATAAATCCTTCCTATAAAAGCATTGGTAAGAACGTCGTGCTGTCAGTATTAATAAACCTTGGATTCTACCTGATTCTCTTCTCGATATATGCGCAAAATCAATTCTTCCATGGAATTACTCTTGACTCTACACCGGTTTATTAGGACCGCCATTTTCATCACTGGCAGAGTGACAATGAGCATGTACCTGTGTGCATTGTATACAATGATTCCCGTAATAAGAGCAATTGGAATACGCTTCAATAGCATATCTACGGCGAGGATGCGGGAAGTAATGGAAAACACGCCACCGGATCGGTACATGGCATTTCTACGCAAGCGACATTAAGAGAGGCGGGCAGGGCCAAGTTAATTGAAGAAATATGGTCGTACCTTGTATCGGCCGGTGTGTCATATTCAATGGCTTGTATAATGCGGTCTGGAGGGACTTCATTCGCGATCAGAGTGTCTTTGACCAGATCGATTTGCTGCGGCGTCGTGTTCAGGACAAGCACCAGATGCTTGCCGGTGCAATGAAGTTGGATAAAAGAGCAAAGCACATTGAATAAACCCAAGCCTTTGGATAGAATCAAGAGACCATCTTCAGCCACGATTTCCGTCAGAATCTGTTTCTGAAATTCGAGCATGAGGAGTGCAAACAAGGCATTCACAGACGAATTCAATCTGCGTCTTTCATTTCGCATGGACAATAATGGGAAATTGTTTAACCGCTTTGATCGACCAATCTCCATCGGAAATGATCCGCACAGCAGCAGGTTATCTCTGTGCCGCTGTAAATATCTCTTGGAAAGCAGTATATTGAAGAAAATGTGGATTTTGCCATCCCGTGCAGAAAGGGTAACCATCATTTTAGGATTTTCTTCAAAACTAACTGCGAGAGTTGCGTGCAAGGTGTCATGCTACTCATTAAGATCGGCTCGCCTGGACCGTGTCTATGGATACATTGTCGTCTCTAAAGCAAGACCCATAATCAATGCCGGGTTTAACAAAACCGAAAACACACAATCATGGAAGTGCCAAACAGTTCCAGCACCTCTGGGCAACAGGTTGTATCACAAAGCTGACTGCCCTTTTCATGTACTCCAATATGTTATCAGATAGAGGCTACGGTGACTATCCTTCTGTATTTAATGATCACGCTCAGCATTAGACATCGGCTTTCGTTCGTTGCAACTTATGGTCGTCGTTACCAAGCGGAAAAAGAAGACCCTCAATTACCGTGTCTGCCCGCGAACAAGATGTAACAAAGATCGTCGGGCATCTTGTCGGTTGTTCAACAACACGCCACAAAAACATAGGAGGATATGGTGACACGGTATTACCTGTTTGCGCAACTGTGCCTCGCATGATTGTTTCTTTATACACCGGAAACTGTACCTTTCGGTTGAAAGAAGCGATGAGCAGGTTTTTTTTATTGCCGTGCGTATCACTTGATTGAATGGTTGGTAATGGGGAGTTTTTAAATATGGGCAATGTTAAAAAAGAATTGGAAAGCAAAAATATACAAAGAGAAGCATGCACAATCAAAGCATGATCGAACGAAAAAGCACTAGGCGAGAAGCGTAAAGGCTCTATAAAACTCCAAGGAACCACTGCTACCGGCGTTGAAGGAAACCGGAGTGTTGGCACCGATGAAATAGACGTACCCTTCTTCAATATCAAAGGACTGATCATTAGCCGTCAATGTACCGTTACCTCCAGTGACAATCATAATACTGGGTCCTGCAAGAGGTTCATGTTTTTCCACTTGATCTGCCTTGATTCTTGTCAAGGCCACTGAGAATTCCTCAATCGGAGGATCGTACAACAATGAATACGTGCCAAACTGAGTTGGCGTCATTTTTTGTGATTCCGCTGATCCGTAGCGATAGGTGAGCATGTCAACAAGAACTTTCACATCCTTGAACTTGGGGGTCAGACCAGCCCGGACCACATTATCGCTAGCCGCCATACATTCCACACAGTCTGTTTGATATAATCGATCCACAATCAGTCATTCAGTTGCACTGCTCACCCAGGTTCTCTCTTTTCCTTCTTACCTCCAGACAAGTAGGCATGAGGTTCATTGGCGCCAAGGAAGATGGCCTGACCAGGTTCCATGGCAACGTAGTTCAACAACATGACGGCAAAGACACCGACGTCCCCTCCTGGGTACTGTTGGTCTAGCCGCAGAACGAGTTTCGACACGATATAGTCGTCATTGGAAGTGGATAAACGTTGAACCAACTGATTTAACAATCGTGCCACGGCTTCATCCGGGCTATTCATCACGGCGGAAAATACTGAGCGCAATGCAGCCTTGCTTCGTTCGGTATCGTTTTCCTCGCTAGATCCGCCCGTTTCCCTGACCGTGTTTAAGAATGCGTTGGCCACATCGGTGCCGACCAGTTCACACAGCTCCGGATACCGCTTCATATGTTCCGCGATTTCATCCAGTGGTCTAAATCCACACAAAGCCTCAAATGGTGTGATTGCAATTGCCATTTCCGGCTATGAAATAAATTATGAATCAGCGTGACATTCTCATTCCACATTTTGTCATACCACTTACTTTATGATTGGGATCCTAACGATCAAGCAACAGAAATCATCACAAAAGCAAAAAAAAAAAAAAAAATGGTAAGTTTCTTTTTTTTTTTTTCCTTGCGACTTGTTTATGCATCGGTAAGGTGATCTTTTACCTTGTAGATTTTAGGAAATTCTTTGTGTAAGCGGGCTCCTAAAGCTTTATCGGGATGTGCCTGTATCGATAGTGCTTTACGGATCGATAAAATCTTGAACAAGAACGGCAAGTCACCGTGATACTGTTGATAGATGGGTTCGGTGCTTAGTTCGACATGGTCGTTGATAAGATCTCTTAATGACGCGTGGGGCTGGTCCATCAGAACCGACGGCGCATTCGGATGGGTGCCCATCCAGAGCTCGGCATACGGCGATGAGGGATCGATGGTGGTGCCGGATTTCTGTGCATATTTGGCGACCTTGGAAACATCGCCCAATCGACCCCAGTCATAGCATTGCGTTTTGCATTGCAAACGGTAGACGGGAGTGGTGGAGTGAGTAGCGGTAGTCATATTCGCCAAATGAAGTAGTTGAGAAGAAAAGAGCGGGAAATCGTGGGATAATTTTTTTTTTTTGCTGGCCCTGCCTTATAAGCTGGAGCGCAAGGTCGGCATGCTAAAAAAAAATCATCAACCGAACTTTTTTTATTCTTGTCCAATCAAAAATCAACATGCAGGATCGCCCATTTTAGCAGGCAATCAAATGGCATGGGAATAGTGAAACGCTTACTTTGGCAAAGTGCCTTGGCAACAGACAGTGACACATGGCAAAAGATCGACCGTAGGACAAACCTATCTATAAATACTACATCTAACCATCAGGTTATTTTGAGCGTCTGAATATTTAACACTGTGAGCACAACGGGAATAATCAGCAAAAAAAAAGGGTCTAATTGCAAGGTTCGGAAATCGAATTGCCCAACCGCGGAATCCCGGCGTGCTGTCGTTGCCTTTCTGAACTATTGACGCCCAGATCCTGATAAATTTTTTACAGAGTATGACTTCTCATCTTGCTTTTCAGCGATCGCTATCGCGCGCGTGAATCAGTCGTCACTGCTGAGACTGGCTTCTACGCGATGTACGAGCAATTTTAACCGCCAGTAACTAGAAACAAGTGGCGCTAGAATGCTCATATCAGGCTTGCAATATAAAGGGGAAGATTTGATCCTTGTTCTTGTGGGCTGGGGAAGTTACGGGATACGGTACAATAAAGAACGAGTTCAGGCATGTGAATGCACTTTCCTATAAAAACTTGAGCTCAATAGTTAATGCAACTACGGATCTTTTGACTGGTGAGCAACGCTGAGCCTGAGCTAAATTGGGTTTTTTGCCCACAGACGATTTATAGAATGAATGGCAGTGTCAATATTAGTTCAGAGGTTCAGCACGTGCATTACATATGGCTTTGGCTCGGTTTATTCACCATCAGCCTGAATCAAAAGTCATATTCCCTAATTTTTTTGAATAATGGTAGTGTAAATAAAATTGAAAGGAAAAGTACATGAAACTAACGACTTAGTTACTGTAGCTGCAAAAAAGGGAGGGTAGGCGGCAGGAACTCTACGAACATCTTTTCCTCAATATGCTTATAGCCATTATTCGTTGGAACACTTTCATCAGCATACCCTTTTTCATCCACAATTTCATACAACTCGCTTTTGCCGAGAAGAACGGGCTACTATACTATGATAAATTAATTCATCAGTGACTGGAATTCAGTTGTGGCAAACTATAGTCGAATGCCTTCGTCAACCATTTCTACTGTATGTTCCTTGTCAAGCACCTCGAGTTTCGTGGGCGACTATAGCCACTTCTCATGAAATACTCGCATTTTAGCGCAGACCTAAAGCGCTCAACAGCTACGTATTAGTGCCATGATATATGATCCGGTTAAGCTTTATTTGTGTCTGCAGGGGCCAGCATATCTATTGCTGAATGCTACGTTAAAAAGCTGTACTAGTATTCACGGCTTGCCTAAAGGCTTTATCTGTGCTTGCCGAAATTTGTGTAAGTGACGTGATATTGGATTTTGATAATTTTCTTTTGTGAAAGCACTTTGCGGCCGACACACATCCAATTTTTTCAGGTGATACCAGCTTGAAGATCTTAACCACATTAAGGCTCCGCAATAGAACATTATCGGCTCACCGGTTGACGCGTTTGTCGCCAGGTATTCTGCTTCAGAGAAATTATAGCTATTTTGTATGGACCTAGCAGGAAACAAAAATTTATCATTGAAGCTGCTTTTTGACCAGAACCTTTACATTCTCGAAGACTGTGAATCAAGATACGGATCATGGACGGACCCTACAACTGGATGAAGCAATCTCAATGACGAGGGATAGGCATTTTCAATAGCCGCTATCCGTTTTAGTTTGCAAAGAAAAAAAAAGAAAAAGCTCTTTGGAAAAAAAGACCTATAGGAAATTCGGGCCATGGTTCGCAACTGAGTACTACATGCGTAAAATTACTCTAACCTTATTTATGTTGTGCACAATACCTTAAGAGGGCATTCATTGATGGTTGGTTTGAAACGGCCATACTGAATCGCTTGGTGCTGGTTCGTGATTTTACATTTGGTGAGATTTTGAATGTCCGAACCGTTCCAATTCAAATTTGGGTGTCACAGCAACACCAACTCCACCCAAAAAAGTGATGGACATTAAGTTTGCCCAAATGGCCGGTTCTCCATTTCACTCATCCATCCCCATTCCATTCCTTTTTACTTCCCCCCTATAAGGCATCATGGTATTCCGAACAACACGGTCAATACGCCGTTACATAGTCATGCTGGCTGTAGTTTCTGTATTATTTTACATGTCGGCTCGTCACATGTGGACTTCCGATGGTTCCATAGAATTGGCCTATACTGAGTCGGATATCCTCGCGGACGCCATCCTGCTAGGCTCGTCCAAAGAAATGCGCATAAAGCATGTGAACCAGAAATACTGCGGCCGAGATGTTTGTCGGTTCACTTTGCCGCTGGTGATTACAGAGCAAGGTAAAACAGGGAGAGAAGCATGGAGAGGATTTGTCGTTGCTAAATTTGGTAAAAAGAATCCAAGGCCCAGGAACACTTCCGTCAAATTGCGTTTTTATCAGGAAAATTGGACCGAACGATCGTCTTGCCCAATGTTCACACATCGCACTTGGGAGCTTGTCGACGCTATCCGTTTGAATTCTACTACTCACACTCATGGTTGGATAATAACAGCCGTTTCTTTTCTTATATTACCATGGAGGACTTTCGCGCTTGGATTTCCGAACGGCATGAAATCGAAGCTATCCCAACTGCACGAGAGTTATTTGTCGAAAGCCAACCCGAAACCCATCTTTTACAAAAGAACGACAATTGTTTCCGACCTTTGTTTACCTTTGAGCAGTCAGCGAAACAGTTTCAGCTAGACGATCCGGAAAATCAAAATCGTCGCGAAGGCAATTACACCGAAATATTGTTCAATGCGCTTTCAGACGATCTACCCACGGATAACAGTAACAGTACCATCACCGGCCCGGAAGTGCTTCACCTATACTATGATCGACGGTACGTCTCCTCCAAATGTATGCAGTGTGCCATGACCATGATGTACTGACTGTGATTTATGCAACAGATTTGGATTCATTGAAGAACCTGAAGTGAACGTTCCTTTAGCCTACAGCGCGAAATGGGAAGGGCTGGCGGATGATATTGCCGATCAACTGAAGCCGTTTGTGGCTGTCCACTGGCGTATGGAGCGTCTAGAACCTCTAAGCAACTTGCAGCCGTGCGCGGAAACATTAGTGGAGAAACTAGCCAACATTGACGTGACAGGCAAACCCAACGTCTTTCTGTTAACCGACTATCCGCACCTGCTGCAGACATCGCAATCCGCTCCGGAATCCATGTCATTTAAACTGGAGCAACTGCAACAGGAGCACCATGACGCCATTCGGTATCTGTACAAGCATGTCAACGTCACACTCACCACGCTGGACCGAGTGAATCAATTGCTTCCTTACGACGAACTGCCAAGGGAGAATTGGAACATCATTCCTGTTTCGCCCTACGTGCAACCACCGGATCCTAGCATTCTGGGTATCGTGGACAAACTCGTGGCCATGCGCGCCCAATGGTTCTTGGCTGGTGAACCAGGAAAATGCGGTAAAACCAGTAGCTTTACCCGTCGCATCATTCTTCATCGCCAAGACGCATACCACAATGGTGATGAAAACATCATCGTCCCCTTTGACTATTTCAATGTATCATAATAGATCCATTTCCTTTTTCATTAGGCCGCTCTATCTTTATTTGTTTTGTAAAATTCATACCCGCAGATTCTCTTTCATCAAAATCCAAAGTCCAAAACGTGCTGACCCATTTCATTTACTGTGCATCCCTTTGCTGTCGCCTTCTCTTGATATTTTCTTGTGATAGTCCAATTTACATGGAACTTTAGATTGATACGTAAAGCTTTTTCTACGCATTTTACTGTAAAGTCGTCAAGGCAATTTCTTCTTGACCAGACCACACGGCAGACGTGCGGAATGGATTATTTGCCAGGCCGCAGTATTTTCTTTGCAAGTGACGAAATGTCGCACAGATTATGCGTCATTTTTGTAACCACCTTTACTAAAAATAAATAACTTTTTGCTAGAAAAAAAATTCTAATATGCCAACAACCTTGGAGAGTTAAACATGAGAGTTGAACAAGAACATGAAAACCCAATAACATTAGGTTTTATGATTCTATGGCTAGGATGGGAGGATTTTGTGCGTGGTATAGAACGGCGTAAACTGCAAATTGATAAATTGATCAATGACGTTCGCTGTGTGCCGATGATATATGTAGTAGTTAAACGCTGGGATAGGTCGATATTCAAGGATTATTACTGATGCAGTGAATAGGCGATGGAAAGTGTGTAAGTTTCGATAGTCGAACAAAGGCATAGGGAAAGTGATCCATTAGGTCGCAGAGATCGAAAAGGAAATGGGTATCAGCCGTACAATGCGGATTCTTGGATATAAATGATGATCGGCACATGCTACTTTGCATATAATTTGTCGAAATAATCCACTTCTTCTTTTAATTGGGCGATCTTGCCAAGAAGATTCTGTTCAATCGTGTGTCGTGCGTGAAGTCGTGCATACTGTAATACATCAAGCAACATCAGTATTGTCAATTGCGGCAAGTCAGTAACGGCTTTACAAAATATAAGAGGACTTGAATGCATTTACTCACATTGAAATCGTCCATTGTTCGTTTTTTCTGTGCTTCGTACCATTGTAGCACGCATTTCTTTTCACTTTCTGCACGATATTGATACATTTGTTGTCTCCGTTGATCATCAGTATCTGGATCGTCGACGAGGGATTTGTATTTCGCTTGTCGATCGTGTGCGTCTTCCATCTTTTCAAGGTTTCCAAAGCTCCTAATGATAACCCATGTTAACATTGCGCATTTCTTATTGAAACTCTGTAGTATGGCAACACGAACTGTAACAGTCGCCCCAATTCAGACTTGGTCGACTTTTTTTTCTGTATCTTTCCATCTTTGCTTTTCTTCAACTTATTGCTTTCAGACACTGGCGAAGTTTTGCTGTGATAACGAGTCAACATGGATGCCATGGAAATAGGATAGGGAGAGCGGCAGAGGCCAAGAAAAAAAAAGAGACAGAGCCAAGAAACGCTACTTTTTCATGGTCTTTGAAAGAAAAAGGGAAACAAGAATGGAGATTCAATTTTGAAGAAAAGTTACAATGAACTCTGTGACTTTTGTTTTAGGCCCAAGCGGACATTGATTGTATCCAGTGGCCATGCGCTTTGGAACTTCTTGGAATATTCAATGCTTCAGCTTTTGAAATAAATTCCACGGATGTACAAGTTTTGGTATTTCCAAAGCTCTTGAACGGTTACCAACGACCTTTCCGTGCTAATAAAGCAGTATGTAGTCACTTCACTCGGTGAGGCAGGGGACAAAATCTGGGAAGCAATCGACTTGATACCAACCAACGCGGTTTTCAACGCAAAAACCTATGGGTTATACGGTTATTATACGATCGTTGCCATGCGCTACATAATACTGAAGGGTCTTGAAACCATGTAGGTTGGCATCAAGTCGAACAAATGACCTGAGCGTGTAAGAAACCATATACAAGCATTGGCACAATGGTTGCTCCAGTTTTCTCACTGATAACAGCCCCAGAGTCGACGCTCATTGGTTCGTTGGCAGATTGTGTAACGCTGGTGGCAGTACAACCAAGTGAAGTGGTTTTCCTAATAAAAACCACGTTGGTTGGTAGCAAAGTCGAGTTTCCCCTAGCTTTTTGCCCTGCCTAACACCAATTGAAGTGGCTTCGCCTATATAAGAACTAAGTTGGTTGGTATAACGTAGCATATTAATAAACACTTGCTATAAGGTCGTGACACGAGTTATTTTTTTTTTTTTTTTTTTTTTTTTTTTTGTTATGAAGGCTATTTCATTTTCTGAGCGAAGCTTTCCGCGTCTGTATTTGTGCAAAGTGCGAGCAGCCTATGTACAGTTGCCAAGAATTCGGCACAGCCCAAGCACCTTTCAGGAACGAGTCTGTAAGGAAAACGAACCGTTAAATTCGGTTCGTTCGTCATTGGCTGCTATAAATTACAAAACTTTTACCTCAAGAATTTTGTTTAAAGGGAAGCTCGAGGATACTTTTGTAATTCTTCGGCGCTGAATTGCAAGAGGCGCGGACAAATATATAAGAATTGCTCTCTTGGGTCATAATCACAATACCACAAGTAATAGTCTGATCTTTTATGTCAAGGGACTGTTGTCTTGACATCCGCAGCGTTGTCGACCGCAAAAAGCGGGATTTCATTGGCTCAAATTGTTTCGGAATCGCCACCCCCTCACCAAAGTTGGAATAAAAAAATAACAGCCTGAAAAGTCTGGTAGTCCTCTAATCTCAAGAAATTACAGCATGGTCGTTTCTGCTTTTCGTGTGGCCGCCCGTTCAAGGGTTTCCAACCTGTGCATTTCGTCAAGACGTTCCAATACCTACCGATCTCTTTCCTCATGCGCTTCCGTTCAGGCCGAAGCCATCAGTGACGAAAAAGCGGAAACAGCGGCCAAAAGTACGTTTGCAGAAACCAGCGTCAAAAGCTTCAATCGCGATCTAATTAAATGTATCATTTTCTTGTAGTCGCTGAACGTACGATGAAACGCTTCTGGAAGCGTGCCGGTATCAAGGAAGAACAAGGTAAATTTATTGGGTCACTGCCTTCTTTTTTCGACTCTAAACCCGTTCTTTTTGTTTCCCTGTAGATGGCTGCACTGTTATGTTAGATCATCGCAACGTGCGCACACCCAATCGTCATGTTGTCAAGTTGCCTCCCAATCAACGCATCCTCGCATTATTAACAGCAGCTGAATGGGATTCACAAACCACAGCACTGAAGCAACACACGCTGCCGCTGGTAAGGTTACGGTAACCGGTAAAAACATTCAAGGGTTGCTAACCGCTGGGGTAATATAGACAGGTATTATTGCGCGAGCGATGGATTCGTTCGATCCAGTTACCACCGATGATCCCAAAGCTCGTCCTGAAGTGATTGACAAAATGATGACTTACTTTGATACGGATGCCATTTGTTACCATGAAGATTTCCCTGAAATCTTGACACAACTGCAAGATCAACACTGGAAACCTTTGATTGACTGGGCACAAAAGACCTATGGAATCAAGATCAACACGACCACTGGCATCTTTGCTGTTCAACAGTCTCAAGAGGCCAAAGACAAGTTACGATCGGTCGTCGAAGGCATGGATGCGCTGGAACTGGCCGCTTTTGAAAAGGCGGTGATGAGCTCCAAGAGTTTCTTGATTGGTTTGGCTTTGGTGAAAAAGGCTGTCTCTGTTGAGGAAGCCGCTTGCGCAGCTCACGTTGAAATGAATGCGCAAATTGATCGCTGGGGCGAAGTCGAAGACAGTACGTAACCACCGCTAAATGTCAATGAGCCTGCCTCGATCGACCTACTGACTAACATGCTCAATTTCTCTTTAGGTCACGATGTGGAACGTGAATATATCAGGCAGACGCTGGGATCCGTTGCCTGCGTGGTCATGCACAAGTGATAAGAAAATGCAAAAAACAGCATGTATATTTTTATTCTGGCTACATCCCCCCACTAAAGAGTCTGTATCATTATAAATTTTCATAGACACGAATCGGTTTTGTCTTTTGTTTTATTAAAAAATCGACGAAGCATGGTCCTTGCATAACAGATGAATGATATCTGACATGGTCACTACGCCTACGACCATTTGAGAGGAGGTGTTTTCGAGAATCCATACACGGTGGGTATCCTTGGTTACAAGAATGTGGAGAATATCCTGAAGTTTTGTATCCGGGGTTGCGGTGGGTGGTGAAGCATGGGATTTTTTCTACACAGGTTTATGGGTGTGAGGTGCTGCCAATCTTACAGTAAAAGAAGAAGGAATGTGGATAACAAGTACCTTGGAATATTCTTTGCATGATAATGTCAGATCGTCAATATGTTCCAAGTTCGCTGACGGTAAATCCTCCAAACATATATCGCCACAGAAATGGCCACTGCCAAAGGGTCATGTGAGCTTATGAAATCCCCAAAAAGGTCCAAGTTTTTTTCTCCATTTTACCTGTCATCCACAATAGGTACGCCACTGAGGTTTTTCTCCGCCAATAAGCGATAGACAGCCAAGGCTGACTTGGTTTCGGGAACAGTAATCAAAGGACGTTTCAAGAAATCAAAGCTGTCCACTGGAGCTTCGGCATCGGCTAAGCCTTGTATACTGTCGGGATGTTGATAAATGTGTCGGATAATGTCCGTTTGCGATAACAGCCACGGATTACCCGATTGGCCTTGGTTATCAATGACAAGCGAACGATGGACACCAGAAGCAAACGCGTTCAAGGTCTAATAAGGTTCATCGTCAGTTACAAATCTCGCCACGCAATGCGATCCATTTGTTCAGTGACGTTGCAACATTACCGGCAGCAGCTTATCGGTATAATACGTTGTATATATGCGGTAACTTTCTCGGTCGACATCGAGTCCGAGTACATTTTCCACCGGATCTTGCAAGCGGAAGTTATCCGTATCCAAATTATCGGTTTCCGGAATCAAATAGAGCAAGATATCAAAGAGATTGACAATGCTGACGACGGTAGTACCATTGTGGGAAAAGATGGGTACGGACGTTATATGATTTTTATGCATTAGGTTCAGCACGGATTCAATGGATACAACGGGGCTCACGGCAATAAGGGAATGCTTGGCTTGCGCCAAGCTGAGATCGATAGCACGCAGTTGGGTTATTTTGGTCATTATTATGGCTTCTTGTCAATGCACAGACGGTTGAAACACAAAGAAGAAAGAAAGAGACCTTCACCCGAGAAAAGGAAAAACGGGGTTTTAACACCCATTCGCGTAACGGACTTTTAAAAAAACCAGCATGGAGGTGATGGGTGGCCTGATTTGCCTCTGACACAGAACAACCCTATTAACCCGGAGTTACTTGAAACGCGAGTTCCACAGTTGCCCGTTTGACTCTACTCGTTTGGCTAAATAAAAGGTTGCGCTTTAATCAGACGCATGCTGGCCACATCACTGTATTATACTTTCAATATATAATCGAATGTCCTCAAACCAGGAAACGGTCAACTTGCTCAACCGTGAGTTGCTCGGATAGGTTTTCTTTGTTTTTGAATAGGGAGCGAGCCAAGTATAGATACACAAACCATGTACCACTTACTGTTCTCTGCTTTCCGTAGTTGATACACTAATGTACAGCACATATACTAAAGAGCTATAAACACTGGTACATTAGTACCTAGTCTGCGGACGTGAGATTCCCCTTGTAATTTTTGTTAGCTTTTTTCGAATATCCTTCAGTCTAGAAATTTGTACAATAATCTCACCTTTTGGGGTTATAACATTCTTGCAACACCATTGATTCCAAAAATAAAAATTGTATACAAAATTTCATGATCGATGAAAAATAAATCGTGCATTATCCTCAAAAAGTTGACTAACCAAGACATGTACGACATCAATTTATTCACAAGTGAATCCAAAACCAAACTCTGCAAAAGAGGTGTTGTGGTTGATAATGGCATATTGCATAAGCTGAGTCTCGGCGGGAGAGGGTTACGAATGACAGTCACCGCAACGGGAGAGTCGGAAAGCGCGCGATTTTTTTTAATTTCGTAGGCGTCGTTCCTAGTGGTGAGAAGAAAGACACGGTACCCACTTGTGAAAATGACCATTTACAACCTATATATCTTTGACCGACATTGCCAGTGTATCTATTATCAGAAATGGGCTCATCAAGCCAAAACAGCTTCTGGAAGCACCAATAACAGTGCGAGTCACGCTTCCTCCAGTCGCTTAGGGCCCAACGCTTCATCTTCGAGATTTTCCACATCCCCGTCATCATCTTCTGCAGGCCACAGCACGCCCAACTCTTCTACGTTGACGAAAAGTGGCGATCGTGTCGCTTCCAATACGAACATGACCTATCAGAGTGGGCTTGCGGCCGGCAGTGTCATTTCCATAGAAGAGGAAGCCAAACTGGTCTATGGTGTGATTTTGTCTCTGCGAAATTTCGTCCGAAAACTAAGTGGAAGGTAAGAAGAACGAGGTCTGTTTTTGGTGGCGCAGTAGATGTATAGACTGCTTACTCTGGGTGAAAATAGTCAAGACGGGTTCATTTCGTACAAAACATCAACGTATCGATTGCATTACTATGAAACGCCGACAGGATTGAAATTTGTAATGAACTCGGATCCTAATACGGAATCCTTAAGGCTGGTGCTCAAACAGATTTACGTCCAGCTTTATGTGGAATTCGTGGTGAAAAATGGAATGATGCGGTTCGACGATACACGATGGGAGATCAGTCAAGGGTTCCTGCACAACCTGGATGAAGACCACAACGAAGCGACCTTGACCAACCCCGCCCAAACCACACTTACCAGCGGCAACACCACCCAACCGCCGGCACCAGGCAATATCTCCAACGAGCTTTTCCGCATTGCTGTGGACCGATTCATTAGAACATTATCTGTATTCGAGTAATTTCACCATCACTGTGATACGCAGTGTCACCTCTACCCCCCCCCTTTTTTTTTGGTTGTTGTTGTCCTTCCTCTAAATGGGTCATTCATGCACGAATATCGAACATCTTCCAAAAACTAAATACAGTATACCATTATTAAAATCGTACATGTTCAATGAATTATATCATGTTGGCACTATCAGGCAGATTGGTGAAAAGACATTGAAGGTTGGGAAGTGTTTATTGGACACATGTGCCTGGGAAATTTATCTGCTGAATGCTGTTGGGCATCATTGAACATACTGTAGTGTGTTTGTCGTTTTGCCCTTACTAAAGAGTGCGAGTTCAGTGCGTTGTTTCTCCTGTACAGAGCTACTGTGTACAGATGGAGCCAAATTTGTTGGGTTTTATAATTACGTTTTAGGATTTAACAAGATGTATTACGATAAAATGCTAGGAAATAGTTATCTATGGATGATGCATGTGGTAACAATTTGTAAATGGTATATGCTCAGTGTTCTCTTTGCTAGGTTCCGCTTCCCTTTTTTACGCGTCCGAGTCTTCTTTTTCAGATTCACTCTTCTTACTACTAGAGACACTATAAGAAGCGTGTGGGTCATCCTGGGAAATCCGTTTTTTTTTTTTTTTTTTTTTTTTTTTTTTTTACTTACATGGCAGCTGCTGCACGTTTCCTTTGTGATCGCATACGTATCGGTGTGCGTAATTTTACTTTCATGTCCGAAAAATCATCGCTTTCACTTTCTTCATCCTCCGTTTCCGAGACGGGATCTTCTCTGTGTGGAGTGGAAGGCACAGAAGCAGAAAGTTGGGATGTGTCAGCATTGGTAGAGGTAGATACGACCACGACCGGTGATTGGCGCGACGTAGATTTCGATTCCGGTGAAACCGGTGCAGAGGAGGATGGACTGGATACCGAGACATCCGCTGATACAGTGTCCGGTGTATGACCTGATTCACCATCTTTTAATAACTGTGATGCGTCGGGCGGAGCGTTTACATTAGAGTGCTTCTTTTTCGGCCGTTTTCTAAAGTGTTGAAAAGTGAGTAACTATCCAATGTACGAGTTTCATCATGCAACAAGTTTCACCTTTCCGTCGCATCTGATTGTGAGGAAGCACCGCGTTTCCGACGGGACGGGCCTTGTGAAGACTGTGTTGATGGGAGAACTTTATGTGATTTCTGCTGATCAATCAAGCTTTGCAGTTTCATGATCTTTCTTTTCTTGGTATTAATCAGTTGTTTCAGCTGCGGCAAAACAGGATGGAATCAGTCAATGAACAGACAAGATAGGGAATAAGTATAGAAATCCTACCTTTTGCATCATTTGCATGTCGGCGGCAATTTTTTCACGCGTCATGTCTTCAATCTGCTGTTCCATGGCTTCCTTGTGATTCTCTAAATCTTTATTCCGCTCCACGAGAATGGTTTGTCTCTCCTACGTTTATTCACCCATGTTATTACAATGAACCGCAGCACGCTAGTATTTTTCATCAAGATGTCTCTCACCCTCAGCTCAGTACTCTGTGACACAGACGCTTCCAACCATAATCGCCACATGTCTTCTCTTTTGGAATCATCGACTCGCTTTAGCTCGATGGATCCTACGCGAATCTAATCCGCATTCAATGTTTAGCATGTGTTCCGTAGTTATAACTCGTTTCTCCCAATATTCCGCCAGACAAACCGGTAAGCTGTCTTCGTGAAATGCAATAAGGGCTACCTATAACTGCGTTAATTGTTGTCAATTCTGTGGTCCAAACATTGAATATGTTTACTTCGCAAGTACTCTTTTTTGGCATCGTCTTCCAATCCATTTTTTGACCCTGGGCTTCTTTCGCGCCTTGCAGAGCAGCTTGAATAACGCGACTGAGTAGAATAGGTGATACACCGCTATTTTCAAAGGATCTTAAATCGCCACGAGTCACTTGAGACAGGCATGATTAGTAATTGTATTTAGTGATTTATGTTGTGTACGCCATGTACCTGAGCCTGTCCAAAAAGCCTTTGTGTCTGTCAAGGTTAATCGACAGATGGTTAGAGTGGGATCGTCTTGTGAGAGGTCGACATTGTTAATCCATTCGCAATCGGCATAAATGAGGGCTTTGTCGTATTGGTTCTTATACAAGTAGTGGGAGGTCATGAAATGGTGGACGAGATCAAAAAAGGTCAACTTCTTCTTTGTTCCTGTCCTGCATTTCAGTAATGGGAATTTGAAATTCCGCATATTCCCACTGCTTATTCGTGACGTTTCATCTGGCCAAACTTTTTTTTCTTTTCCCTGCTTTGTGGTGGTATCGTTTTCGCGTTATTGTCTTTCAGTTGCGTTATTTTTCTTTTTACCTTGGTGCTTGCAATATACTCGTTCAGCATGCCCTATAGTGGAAAACGTTCGAATTTCACTCGGGCCAATACTGGTGAGGATCAAACCCATCGCGGAAAGTCGTGGCTCTCCACAGTAGCGGATTGCCTTGGACGAACTACCCAGTCCGCCAGCGTAGATTTCGAACGCATTTACGACTCCATGGGATTCCCAATGTTCAAATACCAAACCGACTCCGAAAACTCGACCTACACAAACCAAGTAAGCTAAACTATTTCATCGTCCACAGCGTAGATTCACTAATTGAATTGGTAAGGCATCCCCATCTTTCACTTCTCCTTCGGCTCGATCGCACTCCCGCGGCACCCAATACAACCCGCAATTGCATCAATATACTCCTCTCTCACGTCCCGTCCATCCAAATACCACGCCTCTGTTGTCTCTGAACAGCAAACATGCGGAGGTTCAGTGTGGGCCGCCTAGCAAGAATCCACTCGATGAATTGGCTACCGACGACGATGATAATGATACCTATTATACAGCGCTGGATTCGTTTGTTGGTGAAGATTGCCATTTGACGACATCAAGGCATTCACGTACTTATTATGCGATGCAAGCCGACATCAAGTCGGGCTCGTCCAGTGGTGCTCGTATTAAAACAGTACATCCACAGGTTTATTATGCGCCGGGACGTGACAGCTTGCGTGCTTCCGAAAGATCAACAACAGATACAGCCACTGGAACATCGCAGCAACTGCAAAACGAGGCTCAGCGACTGGATAAATTGTCTCGAGATGTCGAAGATATCAAGAGACAGGTAAGAGGAAATAGCTCAACGTTGTCCATGGATTCCGAAAATCGAGTTTTTTTTTTCTAATGCGATGGTTAATTCCCTGACTTTTTTTTTTTTAGTTGCAAAGCATAGGAAACCCTCCATCAACCCCATTCGTTGACCTAATGCGAGACAAAGTGCCGTCAGAGACACCCGTCACACGAATCCAACATCAAACGCCACCGTCATTCGAGGTGCCGCGGGTTCGCTTTGAGGATCCATCACCATCCGAGAGTCCTATCTCTCGGTTCCAACCGCATTCACCGTTGAAGACACCTCGACCTCGCTTCAGCTCGGTCTCGCCGTCTTCACCGCATTTCCCCAGCTCCCCTCCCGATTCGCCGCTACGACCTCGATCGACTCTCACTTCACGAGTTACCAAGGTACAACCCTCCATTTCACTTCATGGACACACTGAAGCATCGCGAGTGATTCCAGACTCGAAATTCCTCCGCGAGGCTCTTGATAAAACCGCAAGTACCTCCATGAATGCACGCGTCAATGTACAATCGATTGACTCATCTTTTTCATTTTTCTTAGCCTTCCTCGCAACACAAAGATACCATGCAAAAGATTGTCAATGCCATCCCACATGTTCGTCTTCGTCGCACCGATACCATCACGTACGTATTCACAACGGTGCTCACCCGTTTGCAATTCATTTACCATCTTTTGTTAGGGATCCGGATGGAATCACGCGGCCCAATCCATTCTGGAATGAAATTTACAAGAAAAGCAGACGTCGACAATCTGTAAGTTGAAAATCATGGATATTCCTATTATGTCTGACGAAAAACATGACCCATTAACTAAACTTGGCACAGTAATGAAAAAACATTCCATGTGTGTGTGGCATCTTTTTCCTTATGCAATAATTCGAAAAACTTTCTATATGAAGCAGAAGATGGTATGAACCATCTCGTGCCTCGAAGCCCATCAACTTATGTACAGTCCATTGTCACGCTCGTTTTCTCCGACAGTAGTAAAACAAAACAAACGCAGCATTGTAATTTTCTGTAAAGCAATATTCTTGACAAATGATTTGCACAAGATTCTATATAAAACAAGGGAAACCCCAAATATGAATGAATGGATGCATGCATGCAGATATATATGTATAGAAAAACCCAAAGGAGTTTTTTTTTTTTTTTTTTTTTTTTTTTTTTGATCAAGTATTTACAGCAATCGAAGTTGAGCGACAGTCTCCACCGACAACTGCGGTTGAACAATGGGTGGCGGGGTAATTGGTATCGGTATTTGCATCATTTCGTTTGGACCGATGGGTGACATATTCACACTACGTACGCTTTTTGATATCCATGGATGAGACATGCTGAAGCAAAGTTCGCACAGACATTGCGTATGATCCAGCTTTTCATTGGTCTCGAGCCAAAGTAAATGCAACCTAAATTGTTCTATTCTCTCGTTCAGTGGTCACGTCCTTTTTTTTTTTTTACATGATACACAACTTACTAAAGGACCGATATGTTCGACCAGAAGGATGTCCTGAGCCGATTAAAAAAAAAAGGTGGTTGATATTTTCAAAAGTTATGAAAAAACCAACTGCACTTTTTACCATAAATATAAAAGGAATATCGGCGAGATTCGGTGTATCGGGAAGAAGTGACATAGTCAAAGGCCAGGGCATAGCCTTTTGGTAGTCTTGGTAAAAACATATCGTCGTGGATGGTCTGGTGTCGGATCTTACCCATGATTCTTCCCAAGTGCCTTGCCCATCGACCTTGCGGTTCTTGTTTTGCATCAGGAAAGGATTCTAACACTCTATACTTCTTAGGAACACTTCCGTAGTTGCCTGAACCGTCAGATCGCGAAGGAGGCTCAACGATATGGTTGCCCATAGTGACATGGGGAAGTGAATTGGGGCAGTGTGTGGCAGTGTGTGCGTGTGTGTGTGTGTGTGTGTGTGTGTGGAGAAGTCAATGAATGAATTTGAGCCTTCCCTTTGGCATCGGCGTCATTTGTGACTCGCACTGCCAGCGACAACACGAAAAAACTGTGACTTACGATTGGAAGCATGAGGGTCATGTCCCGGGTTTTTGGAGGACTTGCGTTCTGGCCCGCGCCAGTACACTCCACTCTTTCGCTAATGCTATTTTACCTGGGCGCAGATCAACCGGATGCTTCGTATGAACAACAATACATTGACGAAGGTAAATCATTTTTCTTCTGCTTCAGTGTTATACGTTGCACCTGTCGTGTAGATCTGGGATGGTGAGGCCCTCGAACCGGAAGGCTTTTTCATCGGTTACGTGCACGTATAACGCCATCCAACGAACCTTGAAGAAGAGATTCCAACTTCATGAAAATATTCATGAGTGTTTGGCGTTGAGGGGGCCAGAAGGTTAACGAAAATGGGTATTATATGCAGTTTGACAACGCTGATGATGAATGGTCAAAATAACTGCTTTGCTGAGTCGATGGCAGTTGGAGGTAAGTACATGGGTGGGTCATATCTTTATAGTGGCAAGGTCTTTGGTTTTTTCCAAAATAAATAAATCGGCAATTACCAATACAGCTTAAGTCCAATTCGTTTATTGTGTGTATGGATGTCATACATGAGGCCTCCAAGCAATCATGATTGACAATGACCACGGCGATATCAACACACTCCATTCTCGTTTTAGAGTCCTCCAGCTCTGACCTGATATGCCGTTGCTAAGTTTCCTCTTTATTACTTCAATCCCGCCCTTTGCGATTTTCGTGTAGATTATTTTATTTGATCATTAGCTGGATCATTTCTCACCCAAATCCGTGCACACATAACAGAAGTATCCCTTGCTGTTATTTCCTTCTTTTTGGATTTCTTTGTTCTTATCAATTCTACGAGGCAGAGCTGCTCGATCCTCTGTAAAATGGTTGTCTTTCTTTTTTTTTTCCCTCTCCCTTTTTAACGTTGTTTCGTCATTTCTCCTTTTTGCACTTACTTGTGTTTATCCCATATTGCCGATCTAATTTTACCGCTTTACATACCTGTTTTACATATATTGATATACCTCCTATGACCACATGAGCAGACAATATACACCAGCGTCGATCCGCGACTTCAGCTACTTGACAGTCCGTACACTAAAGCTGTCAAGATGGGGCGCCGGTATGTAAATTAGTCAACTCCGGTTTCCATAATCGCTGACAATTTTTTTTAACAAGGCCCCCAATATCAGAGACATCCTATGGGAATTGGACCTATGGCATACCTTTGAGCATTTTTTCCTTTCGGTGACTCGAGGTTCGTTATGCCGTCAGATACATAAAACATCATTGCAGGGGAAGTTAACGTATACTTTTGTTTATAGGCTATCAGTTTCCTCAGTGGCGGCCAGTTCTTTTGGATCTTGCAAATGATTACGCCTCCAAAGCTCATACAAGTAATAAACGAACTTTTAATGGGCTTATATTCGATCTAACCATAAAATTTACAGACGCCATCTTACATTTGGGAGGGAATTATCGAAAATACATGCTTCGTGTCTAGGAAACCTTTTTGCGGTCTTTCGCCAAGAGCAATGAAGTCCAGCTACCGCGAAGCGCAAAGGCGTTAAGCATAAAGAACTCAATATGGACAACTTGGAAGGTGTATCAAGGCGAAATTGAACAGATTCGCCAATTTTATGGGGAGATGCTCCATGAATTCAACAAGTCGTTTGGCACCACCACCACAGCCGATGCGATTGAAGAAGCTCCTGGTTCAAGGCACACTTCAGGCCTTCTTCGTTTTTCTGCTTGGCTCCTTCAGAGAGCAATCTTATATGAGGGAAGGAGATGGACACTTCTCTCTTTGGCATCTCATCAGATTGGTATGCTTCTCCATTTGAACAAACACGATACACACGACATCTTACACAGCATATTTTAGGCTATGTGCCTATCCATGGAACTGGCGTGTACCATTTCCTACATCAAGCATGGACTTCCGGACATAATGTACCGGACATCCTCAAAGTAAGCCAAAAAAAGAAAAAAGAAAAAAGAAAAAAAAAGAAAAGAAAAACCAAAAGATGTTATGTACTAAACAACATCGCTTATTTCACAGAGAAAATATGGGAATGAATCCATGGAGCATTTCATTGATCTATTCAAAGAAACCTTATGGGAAAAATTTTTCGCGCTGGATAAGCTCTGTCCAAACCGGCTGCGGGCGGCAGACGAGGGAACACGTAAGTAAACCATAGTTCTTTACCCGAGCATACATTTAATTAATTGTATCATTGTAGCTTCTGACGAAAAACACACGTAGTTTTACTACAGCGTTGAAACCGACGGGGTGATGATATCTGTTAAATTCATTAAACGTTGGGATCGAGGTAGGTTTCGACCAGTGACATAACTGTGACAATTGATATTGATGTCGATATTGATTTTGTTTCTGACATTGGCGCCTTTCCCGCAGACAAAAGAGGAATTCCAGTTGCTGCCACGGGAGCCTGATATGTCGTCATAAACTCACGGCATATATCATTTGAGCAAAAAACCGACTGACTTAAGAGCTCCCTCAAGTGTTGGGACAGAAAGCGCTCGTGATTTGCGTCGAGGAATACCTGACTAGCAAAGTTTGCAGTCAATGTGATTCCACGACAGTCGACGTGCGAGATGAACAGCTTCGCGCCCGTAATCACAAGTAAGTTCATGTCACTTATCTATGCTCATGTATGAATTGACCAACAATATATTAGGAAGAAGAAGAAGAGATTGAGAGGCGTCGATAGAAGGCTGAGACAGGGTTGCTTGGATGACGAAGGCAATGTACTTGGCTACAGTTCGGAATGTTCAGCAAGAAGACCTGCAGGTAATCTTACTAACAAATGTTCTTTGACTCTTTGAAACCATATCAATACAACTTGGTATAGGTCGCGGATGGAAAGCATCGTTTACCCGGCTCGACTGTGTCCCCAGTGTGTGTCAGAAAACGATATTTCAAATCCGCTGGTAAGTCAGTCGTCATTGTAATCTTTCTGAAACATTGATATCCAGTTTGCTTCTCAGATCTGGAATCGCGATATCAATGCTGGTATCATTTTCGATGCATCTTACAGCGGTACATTCAGTCAGGGTATCGACTCGATTCTCGACCGGTCGCCTTGCAACGACCTCAGCGCGCATTTATGCGCTTAGTGGTGAAAGCCCCGCCAACTAGCCTCTTGTTAGGTCCTGGCGTGCTCGTAAGTCGTAAAATCATTTTCTAAATGAGTAGTCACATTTTTTCTAATTTGATGACGTGTACTCGAAAATTAAGGGCGCGGCCGCCCAGCTTTCCGATAACACGTAAGTGTTCCTGCGAAGTCTGAATAATTGGGCACCACTGTATTTGCTTCCTTTTTTTTGTTTCCACTCTCCATCGCCTCTCATGTCCACTTCTGTTCAACGTATTGCCACACTTCGCGACCAACTCAAAGCCGAACTCCAGCAGTCGTCTTATAACAAATGTGGTCAGCTTTTAGCTGAACTCAAGGTCCATACTTTTCCAATGCCTTTTTGTCATTTTAAACTATTGGGCCCTCAACTGACGTGAATGATGATATAGATTGCTTTTGCACAGCTCAACCTCTTTACTCCCAACAGCAACACAGACAAAGACACTTTATTAGTTGCACGTGAGTGGTGACAGTGAACCTTTTGCTTTCACGACTCACCTTGTTTTACTGAAACCGCTTTTTCTTTGGTTAGGCGAGGTGCTTGAATTGGGCGCTTATTACAGTGTTCGCATCAAAGATATTGCCGCATTCGAACGATACATTGCTCAGTTGAACACGTTTTACCACGATTTAGCGTATGTTACCTTACCGTCTTTTGTCTGAAGGTTTCGAGATTGACCCCTTGTTGCTTATTTCTAGTCATGTCCTTCCTCCTTCGCCTCAGCAATATCCTCTCACCGGTTTACATCTACTTCAACTCTTGTCTCAGAATCGTTTGTCTGATTTCCACACCACCTTGGAGAGCATTGATCCCGAACAGTTGCATGCCAACCAATTCATCAAGCAAGCTGTGGATTTAGGTACATTTGCCTAATGACCTTCAAAACGTATACCATTCGTCTGGAAACTGACTCTCTTGTCTCTTTTGTAGAACAATTCTTGATGGAAGGCAGCTATAACAAGATGTGGAGCACAAGAGATACTGTCAAGGGTGAAGAATTCATGTTTTTCTACGATATTCTTATCAATACAATCCGGTAGGCACCTAAAAAAAAGGAAGAATGGAGACGTGCAGAGAATGGGTTCAGTGAGGTTATTAACACAGCGTTGAATCGATTCGATTTAGTCATGAAATCGCAAGTTGTAGCGAGAAAGCTTACGAATCCCTTCCACTCCAAGATGCCAGTACTTTACTATTCTTGAAGAACACGGAGGATCTGCTAAACTTTGCCCGAGAAGTAAGTCATCTTTCTCTTATGCCAGGTTATTTGCATGCATTGGTCCATTGACTCGACCCTCTTCTTCCTTTTTTTTTTTTTTTTTTTTTTTTTTTTTTATACATCACAGCGTGGCTGGAAGGTGAATCCTAGCGAGCAACAGATTCATTTCGCTTCAGACGATAACGCAGCCGTGGAAATTCCACAAGAACAAATCATTACTCACACGTTGGGCTACGCAAGAGAATTGGAACGTATTGTGTAAATGGAACATAAGGATAAAAAAAAAACGAAATCTTTTGTATCAGAGACAGACATGTGCCGCCAAATTAGCTGCCCTTCTTTTTTTTATTCGTGTTTAGTGAAACGAGTTGTGGAGGGCCTGAAACCAATGATTTATGATATTTTATTTGTCGTTTTATTATGAGTAGTCTGGACATGAGTTCGATGGGTTAGGGAAGAGAATGAAAATGGGGACATGCAAAGGAAAGGAGCGAACCAATGGTCCAAAAAAAAGGAGAAATGTGATGACAGACAGGTAATACAGTTAGGCGAGCCAAGCATTGTGAAGTTCGCCGATATATCGGGAAAACGTGGAGCGAGGCGTGGTAAAGATTTCTTTGGCATGCGCTGCAACCATGGCATCCACCAGCGGGATCAAAAACGGTCTCAGTCCTTTCTCGGGATCAACCAAATCCCGTACTTTATCCAACGGTGTGAAAAGGTGATCCGGAAGATCGCCTAAGGTAATGGTACACGGGAAATATTTAAACCACGGCCGGAGCTGGCTGTCTTCTGCGCGAGGATGCATGTGGTCGGTGGCGATATACATCATCGCTTGGGACTGCAAAGACGCTAGTGTGTCTCGTTCCTTAAGACGACGGCACAGCGCAGACCATGGCAAGGTCTCCATGTCAAATAATGGCATTTCAGTCGCCGGGGCATTGGTCAGCTCTACGTTGAGAAGCTCCGCGTCCGTCTCGGGTAGCGCCACATCGGTTAGATTCGCCATACCCTTGATAAAGGTCAACAGGTTTTCGTGCAATCGTATCCGGAAAGGACGATCGCCTGTACGAAAATGAACTGACATAAAGGTGCCTACGCCACCAAGGTAATCCACAATATTCCTCACCGTCTCTCCCAACGGGGTGTCCCGTCGATATTTCAACGTATCTGCAATGAGCGTCTTCAGAGCGACGTGGTTTGGATCGGTCAATGACAGCCGATTACTGCCAAACACACCGCCTAGGTATAGCAGTTTTTCGTCGTGTTTCTGCCACTGCTTCAGGGTGTATACTTTGTAATACCGTCGTCCGGCGAAGGAATCGATGTAGTTTGCATTTTCCTTGAGCAGATTATTGGCTTCTTTGACATTGTCATACAGACGCCAATCATACAGCTGCTCGTCGGTGTGAACGTAGGTATCATCGTCGGATACTTTCAATTGACGTTGTAGGTGTTCCAACGAGACAATGTCGTGGAACTGGATACGGATATGAGGTAGCAAGGGACCAAAATCATGCAAATCGGTCCACCTCATGGCCCCAAAATGGTGGTATTCCTCGCATTTGCTTCGACGCAAGTAACTTTGGATGATACCGGGAGTCGGCTTTTGACAAATGGTGGCAAAATCTTTTGGCGTGGTCAGCCAGCCGAGATGGTCAAAAAGTTGTTCTTTCCTCATCCATCCGACAATGTTGCCTAGAAACGCAGGCGGCACGATCAAGGTGCGATGCAGCATGGCAGCAATAAGCAATGCATTGGCAAGTTCGATACGCTGATTGGACAAGCCCGAGTGAGGCAAGTAGGCCAGGTATTTCTCTTCTTCTCCTTGTTCCACGTCCACAGTAGACGGCGCAAGGAATTGCAATAGACCATAGTGTATTAGCAAAGCCGCAACCACGAAAACAATGATGAATCGTTTCGTCCGGCTAATGGATCGCACGGCCGGAGAAGTCAGTCGTTTCTCTGTACGTAATACCATGGGCAGCCCCACGAAAAAAAAAGGTGGAAATAGCAAGCGTGAAAACAAGCCGAACGACGAAGGAGAAGCCAAAAATACGCTATTTTTTTGCTGCAAAGATCATCGTTCCGTTGACGACATTTTCGCTCTCCGAAACTCTAACTGAAGCCCCCACTAGGGCCATCGCAAAATAGCCTTGAATTGCCTTGTCAATTTATTGCAACCTGGTCAATATGTTGCTCAGTCGTGAAGCAACCTTTGAAAGGAAAGAAAAAGGGAAACCATGCTCGACGAACCATGAAAAAAATATGTCTCCATCGTGGCACATCGTCTTACAACTAGTTCCACGTGATCGTCCATGTTGGACAGTTTTGTCCTCTTCCTGCAACCCTCAGTACATAGAACAGCAAACTGATTCATCAACCTATGATTCCATTGAAAATCCAGCAAGCTAGGATTAAATAGGATGTAAGGTTTTTAATAGAGATACGAGGAGGGGTAATATGCAAATGAATTTTTAGATGAGGGATACTCTTGTGCGAGCGAGACCGCCGCGAAAGTTTTTAAGGGGTTGAGGGACTTGTTGTAGACGGCGAAAGGCTTCATGGATATGTTCGGGTTGCAAAGGGGTCTGTTCACTGGTGGGTAAGGAGAACAGACCGTCGCCTTCCCGTTCGGCCGCGGTCGCCGGCGACACGGGACCTTCGGCATCGGCGGATTCACTGCGTTTCCCCGGGTCCTCCCCTTCCCTTTTGCGCTTTAAATTGGTAATCAGATTGACAGGTTCTTCTGCTTTTTTCCCCGTTGCTTCCATCAGGTCCTGCTTGATCTTTAATGCCGTAGTGGTCAATTTGGACACCATTTCGTAGGTTAGGAACCCCAGACTGTCAACAATATCATCGTTGGGCCGGACTTCAACAAAGGAGCTCATATTCGCCCATTCCCTAAATCGTTTGGATTTTCGATACGTAAAAGACGCTTGTCGGCATTCGGAATAGTGAACATATTCCTCCCGGGTCATGGCTCGCGTTACTTCGTCTGCATCACGTAACCTTTGAATCGAATCGTTGTAGGCCTCCAACTCGTCTTCATCCTCGGACTCTTCGTCTGGATTGGATGACTTGACAATCACATCTGAAAATTGATTGACCAGTTCCCATGGTAATTTGATAATACTTCGATGCAGTTTCCCTGCTAAATACAGTTGAAAGCGGGCGGATTTTAGCCATAAGTAAGAAAAATTGACGGCAAACAGTTCCAAAATGGGTACCTGTATTACTATCCTCAACCATTTCCTCCACTTGATCACCAGAGGCGTCTTTGGCGTTTTTGCGTACGTCCTTCCAGCTTAGAAATGAGCGCAGTCGATTGACTTTGGCTCGGTCATGTCGCATAAGGAAAATGAGATCTTCTGCACTTAAATATCGCGATCGTCGTCTGGATGCTTGCGCTGCCGCTTGGATAATCTAAATCATGTCAGCGTATGAGAAACAAAGCGAAAAATGCAGCCGCTGTTGAAAACTGCGTGAAACGTACAATTTCAATGACTTGGGATCGAACGATATCTTCGACGAGCATAGTGGTTTCCTGAAGTGGATCGCTGACTTCGCCAAAAACGAACATCATTTGTTGAATTTCGCTTTGAAAGCGATACTGTGAAACGCATCGGCATAGTCAGTCGTTGAATAAATCAAACGTGTGGCTCGATGAACGGCGTACCTTGTCTTGTGATTGTGTCCGTTTCTCGTCCATAAAAAAATATCCGCCAAAACCGAAGAAACCTGCCAAAGGCGGCCCACCGTTGAAGCACTTGTGCAGAAATTGAGTCAAAAACGTCACACTCATTCTTGGAAATTTTCTGCCTGCAAAAAGTGGGATCTGTTCGCACAAAACTTGTAAGTTTCCAATGTCAACGACTCTAATCGACCACTGACTCTTCTTCAATAACACTGTTTTCCTGAAGTTATATGTATATCTTTTTTTTGTATTACTAAACTGTACAATTCAAACATTTACAACGAAGTTTTTAAGCGGTTGTGGTGGTGGTTGGCATAGTGGCAGGTGTCGCCATGGTGGCGGTGGTGGGGTTCGCCTGTTTATACCGATCGACGATGCTTGCCACATCTGTTTCTCCAAACTCGGTCTTTACAGAAGAAGCGGGCTTCTCTTTCACCACTTCCTTGGCTACATCCCAAGCCCCTCGTGTCAAATACACCGAAATCTTATCCATGGATCCTTCCAGATCAAGATCATCGGCAAAGTCCCACAGACTCTTCATGTAAGCTTCGCCACGGTCGTCACCGTACAATGGATAGATATAGGATGCATCTTGCGCTGTATAGAACACACCGGGGGTCTGTGCTCCGAGCGTCGTGAATGGACCGTAGTCGCAAAAATGAGCCGAATGGATCAAATGTTTGTTACTGGCCCAATCGTCAAATGTGGTGGAAGATATACGGTTGAGGAAGAATGCAGATGGCAACGCTTGAGGATTCACGGTGGTCAACTGGGGTCGATCCGCGAATGGATGTTCTTTTGGAATCAGCGTATTCAGATCGTCCACTAAAAAGAAAAAGACGCATGTCATGTCAGTCCACTCGTTCATCAGCGAAAAACGATAATCCGCATTTACCTCCGCCTACAGCGTTCAGGGATCCGTCAGGAGCATAAATGGCACCGGCTTCAGTGACTTTCTTCTTCTTCTTCTTGGACGACAGGGCGCGAATAGGGGTCATGGGACGTGAATTGATATCGACACTGGTATGACGGGTAGAGGCTACGTCCACTTCACTCTGACTCGCTCTTTTCTGCGGTGCCACGGTGGGTTCAAGACCTAGAATATCGACCTCTTCTTCCACCTTGACTGCCGTGTCCCTTGCTGATGTTAACGGTGGAGCAACATACGGCGAACTGTGGCGTTTCGATAGTTTATATCGTTCCAATTCATTGGGTTGAGGTGTCGGGGTGGTGGCCGCCTTGGCCGCCCGTTCAATGGATCGAAGGCCGAAATTCGAGAGTTTGTCGGCACTTTTCCAGTAGATGGTGTTGGGAGCATTGTATGTCTTTGCATTGGTTACAATAAGCATGAAATCGCGACGGAAATCATCAAAGGACCGGTAAACGTCCGATTCTACTTTTCGTCTCATGGTAGAAAAGTCCATGGGTCGTTTGATAACAGACAGATAGTCCGTCACGATGTTGGTATCCACCGGTTCAAGGAAGAATCCATACGCATCGCGTCTACATAATCCCCCAGTGTCAGTTCAATCTTTTTACTAGGAAATCTGCCTATTTCTCTTATTCAAGAAAACTCACTTGATCAGGGTTTCCAGCAACTTGATACAGGCGGCTTTGAAGTCTTTCCTGGACGGTTCAGGCAGCGTCGGTCGAGGAGGGGGTGGGGTCACCACAGGTGCTTTCGTTTTTGAGGGACGACCACGCTTTTTACCCTTGGTAGATTTGGCTGCTGGTTCTTCAGAACGACGGTGATAATGACGGGGCGTATCGTCTTTGTGTACGTATTGAAAACCATCGTCGTACTCTCGCTCGTCGACTTCCGATGGTTCGACGGATTCCGCTTGGCGTGCGCCTTTGTTGTTGACTCGCGATGAGTATTCAGAATCGGCATTCTCTTGTTGCCGTTCCGCTTGTAACATTGCAAAGGGACGCTTGCCACCGATCGGTATGTGAGCTTGGGTATTGGTGACCGGTTGAGCGGCCATGTCATCACCTTCATCCTCAATGTTCACTTCGCTTTCACGGCGATCAAAGCGACGATGTGTCAAAGCGTCATGCACGTCGAGATCGTCCTCGGTATCGGCATGCGAACGTCGTTTGTGTTTTTTATGGTGCGACTTTTTCTTTTTCGACTTTTTCCGCTTGGGTGCCGGGACTTGTTCGTCGGCTTCCCTGGTGACCGCGGTGGCTGTAGGTGCAGCGGACGGATTGAGACGAAGTTTTAGTTTAATACGAGGCATGGGAGCCGGTTCCATTGGAGCGGTCGCTTCATCGGATAATTCAGACAACTCGGGTTCATACAATTCCGGTGAAGACATGACCAAAAAAAAAAAAAAAAGAGCAGTGGACAGTCTATAACAAGTGGCAGGATTCTACCTGGTCTTCAGTCTTTTTTTTTTTTTTTTTTTTTTTTGGTTTCTGTCCGAGAGTTTTTCAACTCCGACACTCTTTGACATTTTCTCGAGTGTTTTGCAAATGCCTCAAAGTAATAATATCCCTGACTGGTTGAATTTGGTTCAAATAGAACATTATAATAATCTGGTTGGTCAGTACATTTTATATACATATATTACTGGGGTGGAGTCCGCTTTTTTCATCCCAAAAGAAGGATGTTGTTGATATAGGCTGAAGATTGTTGAAAAACATGTCATAACAATGATAGCTTCAATTCCCTTGTTGCCGTCTCTCACATATGACTTCCCTTTTTTTTAACCCTTTTATATACATAGCTATGAACGCATGAACGCATTGCAATACATGGAGTTGCGGCCATCATGTCACATATCATAAAACAGGTAGTCTAATCATAAACATGATGATAGAAATGACTTGTCAACAATTGCTCAGGGAAATTGACAGGTCGAAATTTTTTGCAGACCGCATTTTTGCCACCTAAAAAAAAAAAAAAAGACGATCAAAATTTTTCACTTGCACTCAACCTACCAAGATGAACAAGCGAAAGCAATCCGATGATGCCTGTCCGCTGTGTTCTTCGAGTCTGCAGGAGTATCGCATTGCCATTGACAGCACGTTCACCATGTGTGAAAATACAGAGGTAAGTCTCCCTCCCTGTTTGATCCATAGCAAACACGACGGGCGCAATCTAACGTTATGCTAGTGTGTCTACCCCTTTGAACAGCAGAGTCTCGACCCATTTATCAACGATCGCAGCAAAACAAAGTCTTCCGTAGATGTCCACGACCAATCACCCGAGTCTGAGCAACAGCGCGGAAAAGATCGCCCATCAGCCACGTCAACCACACCCACACATCTCAATCGCCCTGGATCGACTGGTTCCAAGCCGCCCATTGCAGTATCTCTTATTGATCCCACTCAGCCAATCTCGCAAACAAACAACGTGAATGCTGTCTCTGCGAAAAAACGTAATTTGAACGATACTGAGGTCAAACAACATTCGGAAAGCTCTGATGCGTCGTCAGTGACAGCAGACCCAGAGAAACGGCGCAGTAGGAACAATACAAAGGCGGTGAAAAAGGATACAGCAGACAAGCAACCGTCGCCATCGCCACGATCAGGAATCACCGTTCACAATACCAGCACATGGAATACCAACCCATCCTTGGGAGCAAAGAGCAACGCGAAACCAATCACTTTATGTCTACCCCCGTTGTCTACTGCCACTGTCAAACAGGCTCCAGCTGCCCCTACGGCAGCAGAATCCACCTCGTCCTCTTGCTCTCAGTCTCAGTCCCAATCTCAAGTGGCGTCCCCCGTCTCTTCAGCTGAGAATGATCCTACCACACCTCCGTACATGCCATTCATTACCACCAAATCTTGGGATACACCACCCTCGGTCGGTGTCCGATCCATTACCGATATTCTGTGGAACGATAATGAGATGATACCTTCTTATACTGCTCCTACTCCCGTCCATATTGCCACATCGTCCATCACGAATCAATCCGTCGAACGGTCACCTGTGACATCCGAACAATGCACCGATGAAAATCTCACCGACTTTTCATGGCTTGATAATCTGCACGATAACTTGAATACCAACATCATGTAACGTAGTGGGTTCCACCCGCACGTTTTTATTTCCACATCAATATGTACCATTCATCTACCTATCTGTCCCACTTTTTACATCAATCCGTTTTATACACAACCCTATTGTAACTATCCCAAAATCGCTGTCACCGAGCAGTGCATACATTACCCTTGGATGCCGGTGACCGACGAACGTTCTATTATATTATAAAAGTCACTTCTCCAAACATCTTGCATCTTCCCGTGTCAAAGGTGTAAGCCGAACATTTTGGCTGACAAATTACATCCTTAAATATGGCAGACATAGATAGCAAGTTCTTACAGTAGTATTGTGCTTTATTCTCGACTCTTACCCGGCCCTCTTATTGCTAATGTATGATCAACAGATACATTATCGATATCATCCACTAGATACAATCTAGATCCAGGGATTTTCAGCGAGCGACATTTGTGACACTAATTTCAATTTCCTCAAGGGATCATACAATTGCTATCATAAATGAGAATGGCGTTTGTTCCTATTCATTTGCAATATGCGTGTTTGTTTTGTGTCTTCTACCAGAAGTAATGATAAACTTGGAATTCGCTACAGGTGCATTAGTTACAGGTTATCATTGGGAAAACTGCTTATCTATACTCTGGCAAAATGATGGATGACGATCCCTAGTCTTTGGTTAATCGACTCCTCTTTTTGAAATATTCGCCGTGGATCGGCCGCATAAAAAGATTAAAATGGGAATTTGTTCCATCTTGTCTTTTTCCCTTTTCCATCCCCCTTGTTCATGGTAAATTTATTGACCTTGCAGTGAATCGGTCGCTCGGTCCATACCATCTCACCGTGGATGTCATAGATTCGTTTTATTCTTGTCCAGAATCGGCAGGGGAAAACACGACTAGCTAAATGGTACGATCCCTACGAAGATGACGAGAAAATCCAGCTCAAAGGCGAAGTCCATCGTCTGATTGCCATGCGCGATCAGCGTCATCAGAGTAACTTTGTCGAAGTAAGTCCATGCTGTAATAGCACTTTTGGAAGAGGCACACATACACTTACAATGCAAAATGCGATTGCTTAGTTTCGCAACTACAAAATTGTATACCGTCGTTATGCTGGCTTGTTCTTTTGTATTTGTTGCGATGTCAACGACAATGAAATGGCTTACCTAGAAGCCATTCACCTCTTTGTGGAAGTCCTTGACGCCTTTTTTGGAAACGTATCTGAGCTGGATCTAGTATTCAACTTTTACAAGGTGACGATGGGACCGATGAGGGTGAACGGGGATGGTTGCACGCTGAGCCTAACCATGTAACACAGGTTTATGCCATCTTGGACGAAGTCTTTCTTGCTGGCGAAATCGAAGAAACGAGCAAAAATGTGGTATTAACACGCTTAGACCACTTGGATAAGCTGGAATAGCCTACAGGATAGCATCGAAGACGCACCGTAGGGCTATTTCATCGTCGCTGTGTATATAGTTTTGCCTACATTATCTCCCATCGATTCGCCAACACCATCATACACTTTTTAAAGAATTACTTAATATTATTGTGCTCCATTCAATCATTATCATAAAGTAGAAAACGCGGCAATCAGACAAACCCACTGTTATTTTATAAAGTTCCTGCAGCATTTATCCGTTTTTTAAATGCATCACCGAATTGCTCGTTTCCGGAGAATCTTTTCATTCTTTTTTACATAAACATGAAAAGAACATATAAATTTGCTTTCATAATTCCTATGCCAAGTTGCTAAACTATTTGTCTTTTTGTCCTGCCATCAACCTCCAAAGAAAAAAAAAAAAGAAAAGAAGAAAACTGGGGACATCATGATCGACTCACGCTGACAGCTTGAGATGAGCGGCGCACTGCGAAAATTCGGTGGGAGCAGGTTCATTTGGAGCCCAGTCCAAAAAGACAGTCCAATCTATACGTCATACTTTAATACGCGTACCCGTCCTTTTCCAAACGAACCTCGTACGCGAGCACCTGGACAGCATAGATTGTTTCCTTTCCGACCTACAGCATGACCGTGCTCACATCTGCAAGTACGTAATCTTTCCCTTCTCATGCTTGATAATTTTACAGTTATTAGTGAAAGCTTTTTGCATCGTTTCATAAACGACTCACCGTCCTTTTTTACTTTACAGGCAGTATTATAGTGTTGCTCGATGAGCAGCAACCCGAATTGAGGGTTTATGCCCTTCAACAATTGAACTCTCTCGTCGATGAATTTTGGGCAGAAATAGCCGATTCAATAGCCAAAATGTAAAGTTCCCGAAACTGACACTAGCTAACCCGTCCATAACAACTCATCACTAACTTGGTTAACACTGATTACAGTGAAGTTTTGTACGAAGACACTTCTTTTCCACAACGAGAATTAGCCGCACTTGTCGCTTCCAAGGTACGTTCCTCAACAGTTAGAATTTGACTCTTTTTTTTTTGTCTCTCGCTAACATGGGAATGCGGCTTGGGTGTCATTTAGGTGTACTATCACTTGGGTGAATTGAACGATTCACTGACATTTGCCCTGGGTGCCGGTCAATACTTTGATCTCTCTGAGAAATCGGAATACGTGGAAACTACCATCTGTAAGCAAAACTCATTACACTCTTATGAATTCCCTCTTTTTACCCAACTTGCTAACCATGTTTTGCCGCAGCCAAATGCATTGACAAATATATCGCCCTTCGAGAAGAAGAAACCGAAGAAATTGACCCTAGATTACAAGCGGTGGTGGAACGCATGTTCCAGCGTTGCGCCGACGACGAAGAATACGAACAAGCCATTGGTATTGCATTGGAAGCTCGTCGCTTGGACGTCGTCAAGGCCATGGTCGAAAAAGGTCCCTTGAGCAAACTTTTATCCTACGTCTTGGAAGTTAGCATGACCCTCGTACAGAATCTTCAATTCCGCAACGAGGTAAATTCACCCCCTTTTGTTCATGTGATTTTAGTGGAAGCCCGAAAGATGACTAAGAGACACTGTCCATTGCATAGATGCTGCGGTTGTTGGTCAGCTTGTATCAGAACCTCGACGAACCCGATTACATCTCCATCAGTCAATGTTTGGTTCATTTGAATGATCCGGTTGGATGCACCCAGATGCTGCAACATCTTGTTGGAAAGAACCAAGAGGTAAGAAAAAATATAAAATGCGCAAATGAGTGGCCAGGTGACAGAAGGATTAATTGTCGGCTTGTTTATTGCAGCTTATGGCATATCAAATTGCTTTTGACTTGGAAGAATATGCTACCCAGGACTTTTTAGCCAAGGTGGCAAAAGAATTGCCTGATAACAATGATACGAACACGGACGATGAGGTAAGCGTGAACAAGTGGCGAAAAGTAAACTCGCGTCATTGACCAAAATATGTACTTTTTAGAGCCCCAAAACGAAAACCCCTTTTCAAAAAATTCGCTCCATCTTATCTGGTGAAGAATCCATTCGTCTGCACTTGGAATTCTTATACCGCAACAACCATACCGATTTGTTGATTTTGAAGAATACAAAGGTTTGTACAAAAGAGGGGCTCTTTCTCATGAGTGGGTGTTTCTTGGATTGGAGCACTGAATGAAAAATTTTGGTTACAGAACGCACTTGAATCCAGAAACTCCATATATCACTCGGCCGTGACCTTTGCCAATGCGTTCATGCACGCAGGCACCACCAGTGACGAATTCTTGCGCCAAAACCTTGATTGGTTGGCCAGAGCCACCAACTGGGCCAAATTCAGTGCTACCGCTGCCCTTGGTGTTATTCATAAAGTAAGTGCTAAAAAACCGGCAAGGTCATTGAATGAGTTTGTCGCGATTGACGATGATTTTGTTGTTTTCTGCTTACAGGGACAACTAGCTCAATCAATGAATTTGTTGGCTCCTTATTTGCCTCCCGAAGGTGGCTTTTCCAACAGTGCTTACTCGGAGGGCGGTTCATTGTACGCTCTTGGTCTGATTAACGCAAATCACGGTGCCGAAGTACTGGAGTATTTGCAATCGGCATTAAAGGAGGCCCAAAGCGAAGTGATTCAACACGGTGCCTGTCTTGGTCTTGGTGTTGCCGGCATGGCAACTGATAACGGAGGTAACTGGTATTCACATGTCATCTCTTGCGAATGATCATTGCTAATCCATGGTAACCATAGAGATCTACAATGATTTGAAGACCACCTTGTTCGGTGACAGCGCAGTGGCCGGTGAAGCCGCTGGCTTAGCCATGGGTTTAGTCATGTTGGGTACTGCATCGCAAGAGGCGATTGAGGAAATGCTGCAATATGCCCACGAAACTCAGCACGAAAAGATCATTCGTGGTTTGGCCGTCGGTATGTCACTCATTATGTATGGCAAGGAAGAGCAAGCCGATGGTTTGATCGATCAGTTGTTGGATGACAAGGTAAGGAAAAAGAAAAAAAAAGAGTCAACTTATAACCAACACTCACCTATTTCTGTTGTCCTCGTTGCTTAGGATTTGATCTTGCGTTATGGTGGTATTTACACCATTGCCATGGCTTACAGTGGTACAGGCAACAACAAGGCCATCCGACGATTGCTCCATGTCGCTGTCAGTGATGTGAGCGATGATGTGCGTCGAGCGGCCGTGACGGCCTTGGGTTTCATTCTCCTGCGCAACCCCAAGCAAGTCCCTCGCATTGTTCAATTGCTTTCCGAGAGTTACAACCCTCACGTCCGCTATGGTGCGACGCTCGCCCTGGGTATTTCATGCGCCGGAACCGGTGATCTGGTAAAGTGCACGCGTATGTCTCTGTGTAGCGATGGGATAGCAACTTAACTCCTTTGTTGTATTTGTTCCATTAGGACGCATTGGAATTGTTGGAACCCATGACCAAGGATCCCGTTGACTTTGTGCGCCAGGGTGCTTTCATCTCTCAAGCAATGATTCTCATTCAGCAGACAGAGAACACCAACAGCAAGATTGCGGGTGTCCGAAAGATGTACGAGAAGATCATTAGCGACAAGCACGAAGACTCGATGGCCAAATTTGGTGCCGTGTTAGCACAGGGTATCATTGATGCTGGTGAGTGGTTTGTCTTACTGACACACTAAAGTTTTGAACTTGCCGCAATATACTAATGTCCTTTCTTTTATCAAGGTGGCCGCAATATGACCATCTCTCTTGTGTCTCGAACTGGTCATGCCAACATGCCTGCCATTGTGGGTATGGCGGTGTTTACCCAGTTCTGGTACTGGCATCCCCTTACACACATGCTCAGTTTGTCCTTCACACCTACCGCCATCATTGGTATCAACGGCAACTTGGAGGTACTAAAAACAATGAATCAGGGAGAAACGGTAGCAGAGGGATGTTCATGACTAAAACATGTTTGCAATTGTTTAGGTGCCTAAATTCGATTTTATCTCGAATGCCAAGCCCTCTCTATTCGCGTATCCTCCTGCTTTGAAACCTCCATCTGCTGCTGTGGTAGAAAAGGTGAGTGTAGTTCTATGCCTTTTTCATTTTGGATATTTTCATTGTTTTGTTGTGGCGCATTAACCGAGAGATGAATTAGGTGGCTACGGCTGTATTATCGACCACCGCAAAAGCTAAAGCGCGAGCGAAAAAGTCAGAAAAGGAAAAAGATGATCATATGGATGTTGACAAGGAAGAGTCACCAAAGGAGGAGAAGAAGGATGAAGTCAAGGATGAACGAAAAGGAAAGAAGCGAAAAGAAGAAAACTTTGAAGTCTTAGAAAATATGGCTCGCGTTGTTCCCGCTCAATTGAAGCACATCACATTCAAAGAAGATTCCAGATACGTGCCTATCAAGAAGGGAAGCGTAGGCGGTATCATGCTGATGCACGATAGACGACCTGACGAAGAGGAAGAACTGATCCGTCCCAGTGCACCAACATTAGGTAAGTAACAGTAGCACTCGCGTTAGCATCACTCTCTGAGAATTTTCGCTCATTCCAATCTTAGATTCGTCCGGTGCTGGAGGTGCGGAAGAGGAAGCTCCACCATTTGAACCATTCGAGTATCCCTTTGAAGACTAATCTGTAAAAAAAAAATGCCATTTCTGAAGCAAGCATAATCATTATTTGGCCACTGAATTGTTCTTGTTCGATCTCTTTTCGTTTTTATTTCAATATTGTCTCTTTTTTTTTCTTTTCTTCGTTTTTTTTACTGTGCGAATTCGAAAAAAAAGGAATGCATGGATTTCCTTCCTGTAACAGTTGTGGACTTTTGTATTTCTGCGCGAATGAAGGTTCCTTCAATTGCAAATTGCGGTTACACTCTGCTTCTGCAAGCACTTTTTGATAAGCTTACAACACAGTTTCATGAGGCGTTACACAAATAGATGTATTATTCCAAGCAATCCAAAAGGCTGTGTGGCTGATACGTGATTCTTCTTTACTGAGCGATCATATCAAACGTCCTTTTATGCTTGTTGCTGATAGAACATTTGGAGTTGCATGCTTAATAGATCATTGAGCAGATTTCTCTGTTTGACACTCAGTCCCAGCATTTTGAATTGCTTTGTCAGAGATCGGCAGATTAGCAAATATGATAATGCGGGTATTCAATGATAAGGATATGGGCTACCTTGTTTCATCCGTGATGTGAATGTTTTAGGAATAATCATATAATGAAAAAGCTCTGAACAATGACAAAATGGTTATGGTTGCTTCTGTTTCTTGTCATATAGTATACAATAGTTTATAAAACGTTGGAAGCATTAAGAGAGAATAAGGGCATCCACATTTCAGTGTACTTGGTATGTGCTCCTTAAGGGACCATGTCTGAGTAAACGAAACGATATAACACGACATCATCTACGTTTGGGTGCACGGACTGCGGGTAAGTTTAACCTAAGCATGATGAAGTGACAAGGAACGTTTGAAGCCCACAAGTAAAAATTGCCACTGGGTTGCATGGCTTATAGGTAGTTCCCGTTTGGGCGGGTATCCGGCTTTGGAAATCCCAACTGTCACATAGTTTATATATGCCGATGCAAAGTGGGCAATTCACAACAGCGCCCAGTTCTGTTTACGACAGTTGGTTGCAGGAAAGGAACTTTTTCTGCATCCTGTACATGAAATATCGTTCTCTGTATTAGGGGCCGTCAATCTCAAAGTAGCCAGTTGTTCAGTGTTTCCTATATCGACGCAGCCTTCCACGCCGATGAAAAGGTTAGGATGGGTCATGCATAGATTATGTTTATTTTATAGCAAATTAAAGTGAACCATGGGAAAAATTACAGAGACAACTGCATTCCCATTGCATATTTTGCAACACCCAACGTGGGATCGGGGCTAATTGGATGACGATGTATGCTTTTATTTGCAGACAACATTTTCGGTGTGCTTTTATTCGCTTAACGTTTTAAAAGTGATGTCTATATCGATTTTCTATACGGGTCTGTTGTACCTGTCAAGTTTCCTATTTTTGATCGATGCTGCGGCCATCCGGTCACCCAAGGTTCAAGTTTCCCAATACGATCAGCGTCTGACGCTTCGATATTACGAACCCAAATTATGTGACACCAACGTAGTGCAGGTAAACGAAGCAAGTGCCGCTTACGTAGACTCCTTTCGATTCATTCGATTCATCAACTATAGTACTCGGGCTACATGGATATAGGCCAAGATGAACATTTCTTCTTTTGGTTCTTTGAAAGCCAACAAAATCCTGAAAGTGCTCCGGTCACATTATGGTTGAATGGCGGTCCCGGTTGTTCCAGTATGATGTAAGCGGGGGGAATCTATCGACGGGTCTTGACTCAATTGCATTGGCTGAACAAAGAACTACATGTAGTGGTTTATGGCAAGAAACCGGGCCATGTAGTCTATCACAAAATGGCACGACCGCGACATTGAACCCGTACAGCTGGACACGGTACAGCAATATGATTTTTCTGGATCAGGTGAATGATAACTGTATCCGGAATGCCACCGCAACTCGATGACTAACAGATAGCATTCTCAATTGGATGAATAGCCTGTTGGTACGGGATTCTCGTACGGAGCACGTAAAACCTTTAGCACCGAAGAAACGGCGATAAAAGTGTACGAATTCCTCCAACTATTTTACGAGGTGTTCCCGAAGTACAAGCCATTGCCATTTACCATTTTCGGTGAATCGTATGGAGGTCATTATGTCCCAAGCTACGCGAATTACATCGTCAAGCAAAACAACGCTATCCAAAAAGGCCATCCAAGCAAATTCAACTATATTATTCCGATTGAATCCATCGGTATCGGCAACGGATGGACCGATCCTTTGATCCAATAGTACGTTAGCCTTGTATTTTGCAACAAGAAGGAAAGACACCAAAAGGTTAAACACAACCCTCTGGTTTTTTTATAGTTACTATTATCCGCAAATGGCGTGCGAATCCCAATGTGAGTGAAAATCCAGTGGTAGATAGTGAAGTAGTATTTGACGCGGGGTAACGTGAATGAATCTGTTTTTAGATGGCGCCGTACTTCCTCAAGAGACATGCGATTTGATGAGGAGAAATTATCCTGAATGTGCCAACCTAAGTAAGCATGGGATACTGGATCCGTTGAGTCCCGCCTTCACACCTGACGCTTTTTTCTTTCCTTCTCACTTTGCCATCAGTTAAGAAATGCGAGGCCACGGGTACGAATTCGGACTGCATTGCTGCCGAGAAATACTGTCAGAACAATGTGGAGTTGCATTATTATTCGTCTGGCAAGAGCTTTTATGACGTTCGTCGAGGCGCCAACGATATTGTATATCCTGATGACTATGTCAAATTTCTCAATACACCAGAGACACGCCATTTAATCGGGGCACGCACAGGTTATGAAGAATGTCCCACTGAACCCGTAAGTTGAACAGAAGAACTTGGAAGCCTACCGTCTCACATGCTTATTCAACCTCGTGAAAATAGGCCAGTAATTTCGGTCAAACCGGTGACAAGTAAGTTTCACGTCGAAGACAAGTGTGTCACATCAACGTTGCCTTGACATTTAAAAAAAAAAAAAATCCATAGTATTCGCACGTTTTCACCGGCAATTTCGGATCTTTTGAATTCCGGTGTTCGCGTTCTGGTTTATGCTGGGGATGCTGATTACATTTGCAATTGGGTAAGAATGGGTGCGCATTAGGTTCCTTCACAAATACATTTACTCACATACGCACTTGCCCGTCTCCCTTTTATTCCTGACACAATACAGTATGGTAATTACGCGTGGACAATGCAACTGCAATGGCAGCAGAGCCCGGCATTCCGTGCAGCCTCGTTAAATGCATGGAATTTCCAAGGAAAACAAGTGGGTCAGGTCCAGTATGGAGGTGATTTAACGTTTTTACGCATTTACGATGCGGGACACGAGGTATATGGAATATTTTGACGTAAAGTAACTGCAGGCACTGACGATGTATGGGGGGTTGATAGGTCCCATTTTCGCAGCCAGCGCCGGCGCTGGAGATGTTCCGTAAATGGCTGCACAGAGAAAGCTTTCATGCATGAAAGGGATAAAGAAGCTTGTCAATTCTTTTTTTCATATTGTGAAAGGGGAGACGATTCAAAAATGGGCAGTTTTTCTTTCGTGCCCCTTTATTGCAACTGCATAGAGTCAAATACATGATTAGATCATACCGCAGCCAATCTTTGTGTTTTAGAATGAAATTCATATTTTGTAACAATTCATTTATTCCAGTTTTTTCCAATGAATTGTATAATTTTGCCATCATATCTGTTTTGTTATCCTCATGTAACGATAGCAACACTAATCAACACATGATGACAGACATGTTTTTTTTAGGCAAAGAAGGGTGACACTTGTTTCATCACTTTCAAGATCCGCATTCCATCTTGGATGTTCTACGACCTTTCCGTAAGCAACCCGCGGTTATGTAGGAAAAAGAAAGACCCCTCTAGCGCCTTTCAAAAATATAAATATAGCTAATTGATGTGTCACAGAGATGCTGGTTCTGCTGGTAGTTCATACAGTGGTTATTTTATTATTTAGCGTTGGTTGGGTCTTGGCCTGGTGCTGTTTAGTGCGCTGCATGATCGGACTAAAGGAAAATTCGTTTTAAACGCGCGATAGGAAAAGGAGAGACACGAAAAAAAACCAGCTCAATGCCACCATGGAATGCATGGATGTTGACACTGCTGCTGCTGCATTGCTTTCTAATGGTAAACTGAAACTGTCATGGAGAAAAAGTAATATAAACATGGAGTAAAGAGAAATAGAAAAAGAAAAATTATTGGTCAGCTCCTCCCTCACAGATCATGCAAGCGCAGCACGCGGTCGCACTGCCGCACAGTACATTACATTTTGGGACTCAAACAGGTTTTTGCTTCACACTCTTATGAATGACAGATTGATGCTGCATGGACTTTTCTGCACGCCGTTATGCCAGTTTGTGTGGTCAATGGTTGAAAAGAGAGGATTTAAACAGTCTTTATTAAAAATACAATGATGTGATTGCGTTGCTTGGCGGGGTTTTCTTTACCGTGTTTCTGCAGATTCACCACAGAACGATCGGAGAGAAACCCTTGAACGATGATCGGAAGATGTTCGGATGATAATGGCGTAATGTGGTACCTTGCACAACGGGTGTCATGATCTCGATGTGGGCCCGATAAGATGAATGAATTCGTCAGTAGGATACGATAGTGTGATTCATCCAGCATTGGACAAGTTCACTTGCATCGTTTTTTTTGGGGGGACATGCATGATCTCAATGAAAAATGCACTACGATATTTTTGTCGAAACTTGGTTTATTTGATTGGTGGAGATTGAATTCAAACGCCAGCAGACGATTCCATCAATGAATGAACATGGGAAAGGAAAGGGAGGGGGAAAAAAATGAGCCTCGTTTTATTTTTTCGAAAAAGCAAGTCATATGACAAGAAAAAGGCAAAAGAAACATAAACCAGATGTTTCTCATGAGATGTATAGACGGTAAATGAAGGGAAAGAAATTTACAAGTGCTTTTGTTTTCATGGCTGGCAGGATCTTCAACAAAGCAAGGAAACCGCGACTGGGGGACCACTCGATATAGAGAGAGGGAAATGGAGGATAAATAAAGGGGGCCAAAAAGCGCGAGTTTTTGTATGTACAAAGTTTATCAATTTTTTTTTGCTGCCGTTTTGGTTGTTGATGTTGTTGTTGTTTACACAGTGATGGTAACTTGATGGTTATTAAGCCGTGGTCGCTTTACCAAAGAACTTTTCTGGTCCACCGCGGAATTGAGCACGACCTTCATGAACCAAAGGACTGGCAGCTAAATCGGCATCAAACACAGGCAGAGCCAACGTGGTCATGGTGTGAAGGACGAGAATCAAACAGGCTAAAAGTACAATAAAGTTGGATGCAGCCATAGTACAGTGAATGATATCGATAAGAAAAAAGTGAGGATGGAAAGGGAAACCGGCGGCACTAAGCGCTGATATTTATATGCATTGGGCTCAGAAAAAAAAAGGGTTGTCGGATGACCTCATGTTTTCGATTTGGGTGCACACACCCAAAACAGTCGATGCCGCTGGTGCTTCCCACGTGGAATCCAAAGAACAACAAAAGCCCTCTCTATTTTTTTTTTTCACGGTAATTTTTCTCCGCATTTCCCGCTGTCTGATTCATTCATCCATCGATTCATTATGCTAAATTTGGCTCAATTCACTCTACCATAACAACGGTCTCCTCGTGATACTATTTCCATGGATTCCCCTCCAGCAAATAATCCATGCGTCTATTCCATTGCAAGGCAGGGGGGAAGGACAAACAAGAAACATGAATTATCATGGACAACATATTTTTTTTGGTCTCTTTCAAGAATCGGGTATGGCAACCTTTTTGCGTGTTTTTTTTAATGTTTCGTGTTTTATATATTCTAGATCTTTATGCTTGAGTGGCCTCATCGGCCTTTTTGTAGTTCTTGAAAAACGCATCGCGGTGTTCCTTTCGCTCTTCGGGTGTGTGGTCCACAAGAGCACCCTTGAGTTGACCTGAATATTCGTATGCGAACATCGTACCACCAATACCAGCACACGCAGCACACATCTTGGCAATCGAATGCGCTGCAATAAAAACAACCATAAATATCTTGGAATTAAAAAAAAAAAAATGTTCGTTCCAACTTACTCTTGACACCGGCCAACAGGCCTGCTGCACAACCACCAACGGCGGCGTTGACGGCGTCGTCTTCTCCACGAATGTTTCTGCTGGCGCATTCACCAATCGTAAAAATACCACCCATGGCAGCTACACGGAATGCGTCATTAGCTTCAATCGTCAAAAGCAACCAAGAAATGCATAACGTCGCGAAAATAAAAAAGAAGCAAATTACCGAAGAATGCAATGGTGCCACCTGTTCGGGTGAACACGCCTTTGGCACCTTCTGTGTGTTTTTGTACAGTGTTCTGCATGGCCGATACCACCAAGCCAAGACCACCGGAAATAGCCGCCGTCTTTCCAGCGTCAGCAATGCAATCTTTCTGTGCGGTCATTATCTGCAAAGGAAAAAAGAGGAGTGGGGAGGATGTGGATCGTCAAATAAAGGGCAAATGTCCCAAGGCGTGAGTGAAATAGACCGAATTTTGACTTTTTTTTTTTTTGTTTTGCCTGGTTTGCAGGCTTTCACCCAATGGGCTGGGCCTTAACCTCAACTACGTCACCCGTGAGTTGCCTTTTTTGGAAACTCCAGTTTCTCACCTTGATTTTATGGTTTCAAGGTGAGTTTGGCTTGGCGCGAAAGAAGGTTCTCAAACCATATATCTATATAATTAAAATCTTTGAAAAATTAGCGATTTTGTAAATCACATGATCTACACTAAGTTATCAAGACCTGTTAAACCTTTTTTTCATCTTTCAACCATGCCTCGCTGCCCACTTTCACGATAATAGGCGAAACAATCAGCAGCAAGATGCCGTTTGCGCCAGTTGTGGTCAAACAGAGCATCGTCGCCGTTCACATAAAATGTGAGTGGAGCTCTTTTTTGAAGAAAGGTGATTGACGATACGACGATCTGGTGTTTTGTAGCATCATTTAATTTGGGCTATCTGTCAGTTATACTGTATATGCCCTTTCATTCTCTTCAGTAATCGAATGATACATGGAGCAGATATGCTTCGATCTGTGTAGCTCATCATTCATGCATCAGTGAGGTGACTATTGTTTCATCCATGGAAAATCACATATTTTTGTCCGAATTTTTTCTTCTTCTTTAGTTTTGCATCTCTTCTGTTTGCCTGGAAATCCCTCACTATCATTGCATCCATCATCCATCATCCAGACTATGGCGTGTATCTGATCCGGTCGATTCGATTATTATGAAAAAAGGTACCTTTTGTGTGATACGACTATCCGTTTTTCGACAAGAAAAAATTTACCTGTCCTTTTTCTCTATTATGTCTTTAGCTTTTGGTTTTCTCTCCGGTTTTCTTTTGCCTGGCAAGCCATCCATCCCTCCAAATCTTTCTACTTTGTTCGCGCTCAAATGTGGCCAAACCGGTTTTTGTCGTCAAAGGCATCGTCGGTGGTGTGACTCTCTTTTTCATCGGGAAACGCTGACGCGTCCTCCCCAGGTTCCTCTCATATGTATTGCTGCCCGTGGTATCGCCTTCGATATTTCTTCCCGACCATTTTATTTTGTAGTTGTAGTATGTATTTTGTATTTTAGTGAATAGTCTTCTTGCAGTCTTTTCCTCCTTTTTTTTCCCACAGGGTTTTTAGGGGGTTTTTACAGACGCACCTATTGTATTTACTTTTTTTTTTTATATTTGTATCCTTTCTTTATTTCGGTCGGGAAGCCCTCGGTATCTGCTGCATCAAACATCAAAGGTAAAATATCTCAACGAAATTTGAATCAACCAAAGAGCTTACTAACTCATTTTTTTTAAATACCCAACATTCCCACACATCTTTGTAGATCTATCATAACCTTGGGCGGGACAGAACGGGGGTCAATAAATGCTGCTTTGTTCATTAAAAGTGTTTCATGGTATGCCAGAGTATTGACATTAATATACCAAAGTTCCATCAAGAGTCTCGCCCAGGTTATGCCGTATTGCGTTAGGCTTTTGTCTGACGAATGTCGCTCAATGTAAGAGTGCGGCATCCAGTAGCAGGTGGCATCCATTGCACAGCGGGTGTACGGCTTGTTAATAAAGACGAATACTGTGGCCTGACAATTGCATCCACTAGTTGGTCAATCAATCTTCTTTACATTTTCTAGAAGGAACCGCCTCGCAGATGATAACGTCTGTGATGGTAAAAAGATTTTAAAGTCCAACTGCTTGTTGGTTGCGTGGTGGGGATGACCTGAAGGCAGTGTACACTGTCCACAAGGGCAAGATTCAATTTTAACTAAATGTAGACATAACGTTGAATAATTGATTTGTCAAAAACTGTGCTATCAGAATTATCATATAATGAGACGGATCAACAATCCAACTCGTCAAGCAGAGCACTAGCACCGTGAAAAAAGTCACTCTGGGTTATCCTCCAGATGACGTGCCTACTTGCAAGGCAATTCAACTTTATGTTCATCATTTCAACCCTTTCTCACTGTTTGACGGCAGGATGGTCCGATTTATTCTTCCGGGCATGAGGTGTTTTGTTCACAAAAAACGTGATGATTATACACAAGGGTCCTCCATCATCCGACGTCCTCATATGCAAATGGTGCTGCACAGACAGAGATTTTTCTTTTCCCATCATCATATCATCATTACATAAACTGATTTATATGGCTCGTAATTTTGACGTACGAATAAATTACTTTGTAGCGGTCTGTTTTGCAACTCATCAAAAAAGAAGACGCCAGAACTTGGGCCAACTCCCTTGCAGGAGGCGGATATTTTAAAGTTATCTGCCGCTGCATTGGGATGTTCTCCGGATGACAATGAAAGGCAGAGGTGTTGTCCTAAAAAGACCTTTCATGCGACTGTTCTTGACAACTAAAGTGGGAATAGTGCACAATAGTATTTGGCGCAAATAAGGTGAACCTTGTGTCGGTTGACCTTATTGGCTAGCCTTGTTTTAGATCATGTGGTTCGCTCAAGGTGACTTTTCTTTTTATCCAAGTGATACTCTGGGAAACTTTAAACAATAGCAATATCAATAGAACAATATCATGCCATCATTTCACTGAATGCAAACGTCTTCTTATGCCTATTGACATGACAGAAAAAGCCTCTCTCAAGTCTCTCTCTCTCATTCGCATTCTTACCAAGCACTGGGAAACGGGAAAGCAGAAATATTGCGCAATACAGTATCCGACAAAAAGGGGAAAAAAGATTTTAATATGATAATGATATGATAGCTTGCATTACTGTATTGATGCATCTTGAGAATTCAGCACTGATTCGATTTCTTGGGTTGCTTAGTAAACTGAAGCAGACAATGATTACATAGGATTATACCGTGCGTTGGATTTTTTTAATCTCGTACAATATGATCATTGTCAGGTTAAGGCTTTTTTTTTCTGGTCTATCGAAGAAAAATTATGAGAATCAATCCAAGTGCAAGAGTAAGATGAAACGTTGGCCTTTCTTTTTTTTTAGAGCTTTAAAATGTATGTACACTATCTAAATCACTGTCTGAATGGATGGATGAATTATATACGGTGGAATGCAACATGCCGCTGTCTTCGAGAAAGGAAAACAAGGAGCTATTTAACGAGCTAAACGATGAACAGGAAGGTGAAGGCGAAGGTAAGGAGGAGTTGGATGAGAATTTTTTTACGGGAAATCCAGAGTTTCGTCGTGGATACGAGAGTTCATATAATTGCAGACCTTCGGTGGTGAAGGGTCGTTGAGCTAACATACGATACGAGTACGATACATACGACTTTTTCGAAGCTTCATTGTCTTGGCAAATCGTAGAGCAAAATATCATATTCTAAGAGAGAGATCGGGAAAAAAGAAAAAGAAAAGGGGGCTTGGTTATCAAAGGGTTGAACAGCAGAATCACCGCATCCGACCCACAATTTTTTTCTTACGTCTTCCGGTAAATGCTTTTCACAATACAGACAGATATTAAGATCCATAGAAATAAACCAGGAAGAGTGAGAAAACAACACTAATCGAGAGGATGTTCAAAAAAGAAAAGAAAGCAAGGAAATCAAAAAGCAACCTGTGAAGGAAACAGAAGAAAAGGAAGGAAGAAAAAATAAAAAAGAAAAGGGAATATTAAGTCTTTGAACAAGATGTTTCTTGTGCGTATAACGGAATCCAGTGATCATCGTGACCTCTGCATCCAAAGTCACACCAAGGTTTGAGCAGTTGGGGGGCACCACTAAAATGAAAAACTGATCATGTAAAAGAAAAAAAAAACAATACGAAACGCAGCGAATCTTTTTTTTTCATATACAATAATACAACACAATATAGTGCACTTCCTTGCCCAACCAAGCTTTGGATTTGTTGAGGGAGTCTGTGGATTCGTTTTACTTATTAGCTGTATGCAATGGCCACAGACATCACGGTTCAAATTGAAACCACACACAAAAAAAAAAGTTCCTGAAATTGTAGGCTGTTGTTTCTTTTTAAGAAAAAAGAGATCAGACCACGTGAAGTGTTTTAGTGATACAATCTATGCTTTACGATATGGTATGTGATTTTTTATTTTATTTTTTTCTCTGTTTCCGTCCTTGCGCTCGGTGTTATTCGGTGTGTGTGTGTGTGTATGTGTGTGGTGGTGTGTTGGTGGATGATTTTAATGAAGAAGACCATAAATAAACATGGCCGAAGTGAAGCATGCAACAGCAAAGGCGATGCCCAGCGGACCAAATGAATTTTGAAGACGTCGAGAACCATTGTAGAAACAGGTTGGACAATAATCAGCTAAAAAAGAAGGTTTGAGCGATGGCGTGATACTCATCTAACCATATAAAACCCCTTCACCTCCCCCAACATACTAAACGATCACTTACAGTCTGTCATGGGTTTATAGCTTTCGGGTTGGTAGAAAGCAATGGTCAGGCCTTTGTAGGGTTGCAACCATCCAGGTTCGGCCGCCGCGGTAGGACCTCGTTGATCGTACAACTGAATCTGATACATACCGTTGATCAACGGCGAAGCCGAAGGTACATCCTTGATATGCCACACGGCACTGGTGGCCATGCCATCTGTTGTCACGACGGTGTAAGTGACCTTTTGTGGTCCCACCGCTGCCAAGGTGATATTGATGGGACGAACCAAAAGATTGGTATAAGACCAGACAAACGTGACATTTTCTTTAGGATCAATGCGGAATAAAGGCGACATGGATTTACCACCGGTAGGCGTCAAAAAGGTGGCCGCACCAGGATAGACGGTATTTCCAAAACTGGCCGAGGTCGGCAACCCGGCAACTGGATTGCCACTTGCTGATTGATTCGACGATTGACTGGCTCCTGTATTCACAGCGGACCCACTACCTTGCGGTGGTTGTCCATTACCTTGAGGTTGTCCAGTCGCCGGAGGCTGGCCGCTTGCCGAAGACTGACCACTCGCTGGCGGTTGTCCATTCGCAGGAGGTTGTCCGTTGGCGGGAGGTTGTCCACTGGCGGCAGGTTGACTTGATCCTTGGTTCGAAGGTTGTGGTTGTTGCTGAGGGGGAGCGGAACTCGGTGTCGGTTGTTGACCTGAAGGCGCAGGATCGGGATTTTGCGGTGGAGCTAAATCGAGTTACAAAATGGAAGAGCAGATTAGAAAGGATCATTCTTTCCCAAAAGACAAATTACTGGCAGGCGGTGTGGGTGATTTGTTACCTTGAGGCACTGGAGTGGTTGAATGGCAGTCATGGAAGTGAATAACTGGGATTCTCGGTGTATCATCTCGGATAAAAACACGACTTACCTCGTTTCACCAGGACGGGATCGCTCGAGACGATGGTCCACAGCGATATGAAGACGAGAATCAACAACACTGGTATGCGAAGCATGGGTTACAGAGTGGATGGGGTATGTTGGGAAAGTGAGAACAACCACAAAACTGGGCAATAATTTTTTTTTTTTCAAAAAGGTTAAAAATAATTCGGTGTTTCGAAAAACGGATCGCTTCGTTCTTTTTATTGTCATGCTTTTTTTTAAGCTCATCCACTTTCTCTTTTTTAGCTTATCCGTGCACTTTTTTTCTGACTTGTTCGCCTTCTTCCGAATAAACTCATTTTATAAGATATGAAGTGTATACCTTTTTTCACAGCAACAGGCAGCCTTGACTTTCAAAAATTATCATCATTTTTTTGATTATACCAGAATCGAGTCACATGGAAACTGTATATTGACCTATTTTTAGGTTCACCGTCGCCAGATTTGGACATCCCTTTTCATTCCTTCCAAGTTTCTCCAAAAAAAAAAAGAGACAAGCCACTCATGGCCACCAACGCTGAACGTAATTGCAAAAACCTCTTCATTGTCATCCTCGCATTATGCATTGGCTTTAATAACAAGATGATGTAGCTCCACTCAAGGAATATCTGTCGTTTGCTATTGCGCTGGCCAGTGAAGCCGGGGCCATGATTCAACGCGCTTTAGAGACCAGAATGGCTGGCTCGAGCACGACGTTTGAAGTCAAATACGATAATCCCACTGACCTGGTTACTGAAACCGATCAAGCTGTAGAACAGTTTATAAAAGCAAAGCTTCAGCATACCTATCCAGACCACAAGTAAGTTTCCCGTTGCGGGGTTATGTATGCTTATCACTGAACGGTGGGCGGTGGACCAGATTTATTGGAGAAGAAACCATGGCAGCGGGGGCCGAAACGGAGTTCACCGACGCTCCGACATGGATTGTCGACCCCATTGGTAGGGCACCTTACTTTCTCCTTGCCTTTTGGGCCTCTTCTTTTTTTCTCTTTCTCGTCTTGACGATTCTGTTGTTTTAAATGGTTCCTGATATATAATGGTAATGATTAGTGAGAGTGTTCTAATCTTGAGATTATAACTATGATAGATGGCACAACAAATTTCATCCATGGATACCCCTTTGTGGCAGTTTCCATTGGTTTGACCATTGGCAAGGAACCGGTGCTTGGGGTGGTGTTTAACCCGCTTTTGAATGAAATGTATTCTGCCGCCAAAGGTCACGGTGCCTTTTTGAATCAGACAGTACCATTGCCTTTATGCAATCGGTCATCCCCTTTGCGTGATTTATCCGACTGCTTGGTGGCGACCGAAGCTGGCTCGGACCGATCTCCGGCCGTGTTGGATAAAAAGATTGAAGCTATTCACACCATTCTGAAAAAGACGGGAGCTCAAGCTCACAGTGTGCGTGCTACGGGTTCAGCCGCTTTGAACATGTGTTCCGTCGCCAAAGGCATCGTCGACGTTTACTGGGAAGTCGGATGCTGGGAATGGGACGTCACTGCGGCAATTGTCATCCTTAACGAAGCAGGCGGCGTCGTGGTCACGGGAGGCTCGGAACGCGATGAAAACCCGGTCAACATCTTTAGTCGAAAATACCTCGCCATTCGTCCTGCGGCTGATCGTGCCAGTCAGTTACGGATAGCCCATCAAATGTGGGACATTATTCCAGCCATCGATGCTCCTCGAAAACGAGTCCCTGGTGGATTCGAGCCCTGAAACATACATCTTCCCATCCCTCTCGCAATTTTTGAGGCAAATAAACATGGGTCAAAAAAAAGGACATATCACAGTATTGATTGTTGTGAATACCAAGATAAATATAATCACAATGAAAGGAATAAGGGCCATGTATACATTACGATGCGTGATTTATGGCACAACAATGAATACTTTTCAAGCAATGTTATGCAGTAGGTTAGTTGACAATTCAGGCAGTAAAAGGCTTATTATAATTGAACAAGTTTTCTCAATTACAGCATCCATATGTTTTAGATTTTATAGCAACGGTACGGAATTATAAATGAAGAGATAGGGACAATGGATAGAGGGGAAGGGCTTCATGTCACACACGAAATTACGTCTTCATGGAGGGGATCCATGACGGAGTTTAAATCCAACCGTTCGTTACACGACATGTGGAGGTCACGTGAACGGTGAAATGAGACAAGACACGCGCGCTCCCAGTCGCTTGAAAATTTCTAGGCGAGGACTTTTTTTTTTTTTTTTTTTTTTCTTTTAGCTTATCATTTTATTTGATATTTTTCGCTTATCGCAGAAAAAGGAAGAAAGAATCGTTAAAAAAGATGTCAAACATTGTACCGTCGTCGCTTCGTGTGGTTGATTTACGTGCGGAACTGTCGAAACGTCAGTTACCTACCAAAGGCAAAAAGGACGAACTGATTGCTCGCTTAGAGGAAGCACTTCAGCAGGAGCAATCGGAGCAAGAGCAACAGAAGGACGCGACAGAGGAATCGGATCCTTCCGCTGCTACAGAGCAAACCCAAGTGACGAAAACTGAAAAGACAGATCAAGTGCCTGCAGCTACTGCATCGTCGCAGGCTCAGCAAGTTGATGCTGCCAGTGATGCTTCTGTCAATGAATCAGAGAAACCAGAGCCTGTGCCTGCCGAGCCTACTGACGCTGTCCCTGCAAAGACTCTCAACGAACCTACCGTTTCCGAGCCTGTGCAACTCATGTCCGAAGCACCCCCTACGCCTTCAACCACCAACGACACCATAAAGCCGGCGGACGATGACCAAGCGGCGGCCCCAGTGATTAGCGAGATTGAAACCACCATGCTGAAACACGGTACTTCCGCCAAACCTAGCAGTGAGACAGACGAAGTCACTACAGCTCCAGTTTCCAACCCTCACACGCCGAACAACAAACCAACAGCAAACAAAGAACCCGCCGCTGCTTCACTAACAAAGGAGGACACGTCGATCAAACAAATGGATGTGGATCCTGACCGTGGTATCAAACGAAAGAGGGCATCAGAGCAGGAACCACCAAAGGGTAACACCTTTTTTTTTTATTTGACCCAATATTTAGTCGGACAATGTGATTGATAGCCTTTTTTTTTTGTTTTACTAGATGATCAGACACAAGATAAACGGACAAAGGGAGATGACAAGGCGAATGAAAAGGAGGTATCAACAAAGGACCAGGCGCCATCCACCGCCAGCAAAGCCACTTTGGATAAACCAACCGTTACGACCGACGCTGGAGCCAAAAAAGAAACAGACGAGACGGTCAGCGGTTCGGCTATTTACATCAAAGGCTTTGTTCGGCCATTGATTATCCGACATGTGCAAGAATTGATCAACAAGTATGGTACGGTCAAACGATTTTGGATGGATGCCATCAAAACGCATTGCTATGTTATTGTAAGTATTCGCTGGCGACATGTGGAGAAAAAAAGGGACCCAATTGTCTGACATGAAAGTAACCTTTTTGCTGCAGTATGAGACGGATGCCCAAGCCAAGGCCGCTTATCACAATATCCATGGCATTGTGTTCCCTCCTGAGACAGGTCGCCAGGTGACGGTGGGTGGTTTAACCCCTGAGCAAGCTGAAATGCTCATTGAGCAAGAGCAGGCGGCGGCCGAGAAGCGAGTGCGTTTGGATTGGGAAGCGTTGATTGCTAACAAGGACAAAGGATCTATAACACCTACAGAAGCTAGCAGTCCTTCCGCTCGACGATCGAGAATCATGGGTTTTGAACAAATTACAAAGCAGTTGCAAAAAGGTATAAACCGTCCTTCAATAATGAATGGATGCATACGAACCCGAGACACTAATATATTGACGTTGCATTGTTTTTTATAGCTGCTAATATGTCGGGATCGCATCAACAAGGTGCACTGGTGTCTGAAGATGCTTCTCCATCGACAGAAATGCAAATGCAACTACCGCCTACCATGGCTCCTGTCGAAATCGAAGCAGACATGTCACCCGCATTGTCTTTGGATCAACTCTTCCGTAAAACGACCGCTGTTCCACCCCTCTACTATATGCCCGTCGATGATGCCACCGCCAAAGAAAGATTAGCCGCTCTGAGAGAACAAAGAGCTGCACGATAAATAGGTAACAAAGAAAACCAAAAAAAAGAGGGAACAGCGAAAATGAAAGAAAAAATCAAAAAAAAGCATAGCCAGACGAAGGAGCAAATGGTCACCATTTTGTTTCTCATGCACTTCGAATTCCCGCCTTTATTCTTCAACTTATGGCAGCCACTTTTTGTTTTGTTTTTTTCCTCTTTTTGATCAATATTTCTCCACGCCATCAGTTTCCTGTAATCCTTTCCACACTCTATTTTGTTTTTCCAGTAAAATCATGTCCATCAAATGCAAGCAAAAACACTGTTATTGAGTATGTGTAATCAAATTACAGCGTGTCACCATCGGGGACTTGTCTGTTGCCCCTTGATCTTGCGAGAGGCTAATGGGTTTGGACGTTCCTATTTATTATTGTCGCTATTTCAGTCAACTTTATGCATTATTATGCACGCAAATGCTTTTTTTTATCAGTGCTCTGCTTTTTATCTGCATCTCTAGTATTCGCTTTTAATCGCACGTTGGAAGTAAAAAACCAGATAGAGAGGCAATGGCGGGGCATTTAGATTTTCCATGGTGCCTGGTGTTTGTTTCAGCTTTCTCTTGATTGAACCAACGACTGGACGAGGAAATTGAAGTTGGCAGTCACGCTCAGGCTTCGGAGGGCACCCTTGTTTGCCACCCCGACAATATTTTTTTTTTTTGACAAGTGGAGTGGGTTCCGGATTTTGTTGTTGCTTCCCTTTTCCCGCCATGTCTTTTGTGCGTTCTTTGCTGGGGGCGCTACCTGCTAGGGTAGGCGCTGCCCGCACTATGGTGACGGCTGTGACCCCGCAGTCGACCTATTCCCTGTTCCCTATTGCCCTGGGCCGCCGTTTCCAAAGCACCGCCTCCGTCGCCGATGCCGAGAATGCCGATCCCAAGGATGTTGTAAGGATCTAATCTTCAAACCCCTCTCCCAACTTAGATGTGAGGCACCATGGAAAAACAGCATCACTGACTTTTTGTGTTTTATTGTCTTTTTTAAAAAAGGAACGTCTTCGTCATCTTCGCAATATCGGTATTTCCGCTCACATTGATTCCGGTAAAACGACTTGTACCGAACGTATTCTGTTCTACACTGGTCGTATCAAGGAAATTCATGATGTCCGTGGTCGCGATGGTGTGGGTGCCAAGATGGATTCCATGGATTTAGAAAGAGAAAAGGGTATCACCATTCAGTCTGCGGCTACCTATGCCAGCTGGGGTGATCACAACATTAACATTATTGATACTCCTGGTACGGATCGGGCTATACCTCTCTTGATATACTATTGTGATTCGGGTTTTTACTAATCAGGGATTGTTTTTCGATGATGAACAGGTCACGTTGATTTTACTATTGAAGTCGAGCGCGCTCTTCGTGTGCTGGATGGTGCTGTTATGATTCTTTGCTCGGTGTCGGGTGTGCAATCCCAGACAATTACGGTGGATCGTCAGATGCGTCGTTACAATGTACCTCGTATTTCGTTCATCAACAAGATGGATCGTCCCGGTGCTAACCCTTTCCGAATTATCGAACAAATGAGACAAAAATTGAAACTGACCGCAGCCGCTGTGCAAATTCCTATCGGTGCCGAGGATGAATTCCGTGGTGTCGTGGATCTTGTCACCATGAAAGCCTTGTACAATGTAGGCGAGCATGGGTATGTACCTTTTTTTTTTTGGATAACGAGGACGAATGCTAAATGAAATGTGGAAATACCTTTTGCAGTGAAAAGATTTCTGAAGAGGAAATTCCCGCGGAATTAATGGAATTAGCCAATGAGAAACGTCATGAACTGATTGAACAACTGGCCAACGTCGATGATGAAATTGCCGACATCTACTTGATGGAAGAGACCCCCACTGTGGAACAATTTGTCAATGCTATTCGTCGTGCTACGGTTGATTTGAAATTCACCCCTGTCTTGATGGGTTCAGCTTTCAAAAACACGGCCGTTCAGCCTTTGCTGAATGCCATTGTGAGCTATTTGCCCGATCCTACCCAGGTCAAGAACACCGCTTTGGATATCACTCAGGATGAAAAGCCCGTGGATTTGATTCCTTTCTCCGGCAATCCTTTTGTTGGTCTTGCTTTCAAGTTGGAAGAAGGCCGTTACGGTCAGTTGACTTATATGAGAATTTACCAAGGTTCCTTGAAGAAGGGTTCATTCATCACCAATGTCAAGACCGGTAAAAAGATCAAGGTGCCTCGCTTGGTTCGTATGCATGCCGCCGATATGGAAGACGTCGATGAACTTGGTGCCGGTGAAATCGGAGCCATCTTTGGTGTCGACTGCGCCAGCGGTGATACCTTCACCGATGGTTCCGTTCAATACTCCATGTCGTCCATGTTTGTTCCTGAACCTGTTATTTCCTTGTCGTTGCAACCCAAGGGTAAGGAGAACCACAACTTTTCCAAGGCCTTGAATCGCTTCCAAAAGGAAGATCCCACCTTCCGTGTGCATGTGGACAATGAAAGCAAGGAAACCATCATCTCGGGTATGGGTGAATTGCATTTGCAGATCTATGTGGAACGTATGAAGCGTGAATACAATGTGGAGTGTGTGACGGGCAAACCTCAAGTGGCTTTCCGTGAAACGATTACTCAACCTGGCAAGTTCAACTACACACACAAGAAGCAATCGGGTGGTGCTGGTCAATTCGCTCGTGTGATGGGCTTCTTGGAACCGATGGAGAAGGACGAAGAAACTGGTACCGATATTGGTTTCGAATCGCGTGTGGTCGGTGGCAATATTCCTACCAACTACATTCCCGCTTGTGAAAAGGGCTTTGGCGACGCCTTGGAAAAGGGACCTTTGATTGGTCATCCCGTCAACGGTATCCGTATGGTCCTTGAAGATGGTGCCGCTCACGCCGTCGATTCCAGTGAATTGGCTTTCCGTATTGCTACCCGTGCCGCTTTCAACGAAGCGTTTGCCAAGGCCAAGCCTACTATTTTGGAACCCATCATGAATGTCTCCATCACGGCACCTACGGAATTCCAAGGTGCAGTGATTGGTGGATTGAACAAGCGCAAGGGTACGGTTGTCGATACCGATGTTCAAGAAGATTACTTTAACGTGACGGCCGATGTTCCATTGAACGACATGTTTGGCTATTCCACGGAACTGCGATCCGCCACTCAAGGCAAGGGTGAATTCTCCATGGAATACAAGGAACATCAACCCGTTCAAACCCACGTCCAGGAACAGCTTATCCAAGAATACAAGAAGAAGGAAGCCGCCCGCAACAAATAAGCTCTTCCCTCCTGTATCGTTCTTTCCTCACTTTCCCATTCTTTTTTTTCTTCCTTTTTTAGCCAATAGAATGTACAGATCATCCTAATATACAACATGTTTGCAAAATAATGGTATCGGGTGGTAGTAGGCTGTGACCTAGCTCTGATGAGTGCAACTACACAATTAGACCATCCAACAGTAGAGCTTCACCGGATTATTGGGGACGGCTGGCCCTGGTCTTTTACTAGTCTACCTTTATATACTATTCTCACTATCGCTGTAAAATACGGCATCATCTTTTTTTTTTTTTTTCATGTCCAGGGCATCGGTGCCAGTTTATTGTCGTAAGCTTCTCCACAGTAAGCTGATATAAGGCGCTACCATAGTGATGTTTAAATGATCCACTGATTCCGCGGCCAAGTCTATCGCCTATGTGGCACGGGCCGATTGGGGTCACTTGACTTGTTTCTCCTTTGATGCGATAGTGCAATATTTCAGTATGGTCTTCTTGACATCTGGATGGGAAAAGTCTCCCAAGCGGAAAAAAAAATCGTTGCACAAGTGTGACCCACAAGTCAATATATTGTCTCTCACGGAAAGGATCCACACGAGACAATAAGAGTAAACAATGCTGCAAACGTGGGAACCTGTGCAATGACGGAGCCGCCACCTAAAGCCGAAATTTAGAGCAAGCGATTGTGAGTTGAATATAAGCAACACAGGTAAAGAGGAGGTTCACATCTAGTGGCGATCAAAAAGGGATGCTTGACAATGACACCTGGTGATAGTATACGAGGCAGGGCAAGGGTGATCAGCACGGCTATGCAGATGAGACACGGTGCTTATGCAGGATAGTTTGGGTGGTACGAATGTTCGATGAACGGTCTGACATTTCATGCATTCACCGTGCTTTTGTTGTTGTTTCAACGTCTTGACGTATTAAAAAAGAGATCCACTGTTGAAGTGGTCAAGCCGAACCTTCCCGTGGCATCCCTCTCCACTCCCACAGCTTGTTATTCATTTTGGATCGTGACAATGATCCATCTATTTTCTTCCCCAAAGATATATTCCATCGATGTGCGTCATAGTTGCCGGGGAAGAAATGCAAGTACTTTGGGATGATCATTGAAGCTCTATTCTTTCCGCTTACCCTGGAAAGAAAAAAGAAAGAAAGTGGGGTTCCGATGGGATGAATGGGCCCTTTTGGAAAGCCGTGAGTTGAATGGTTTTCATTGGTTGGTGAGTAGATCACGTGGACATTCTTCATTCACCCAAATTATGGTTTTTTTTTTCCCTCTTGCTCCTCCCTTTTGGCTGGAACCCGGAATTGCCACCTCTCTGTTTCCTTTCTACGTCGGCTGTATACCTCTTTTTACCTTTTTTATATTTCTATTTTTTACCCCCTCCTCCCCTCCTGCCTTTCTTTTTCTGCTGGCTTGTGAATAAAGTGGGAATTCACCATGTCACACTCACCAGCATCTGAGGAAAAGAAAGCACTGTTGCGAAAGGTGTGTGCGGATGCGTTGAGAGTGATGCCTTCTCACACGCCAGTGACGTTCAACGGAGAACCTTCGTATGCGACTTTTTTACCACCTACGGAGATACTAAAGAATACCAGACACGCCTACCTGTCATTTGAGAAACGACCCATGTGGCAGCCCATTCCCGAGGGTGCGATCCTTGATCATAAATTCCTCAAGATGAAACATCACGTCGTCCCAGATCCCACGTGGGTTCCCCCGGTCAAAGAGCGACCGCCACCTTCACCGGTGTTCCCGCGTAGCCGTGGTATTAAACTGAGAGACGTTGATACAATCATTAAAGAAGAGTAAGTAAAAATACTTGCCTCGTGACAAGTGGAACGGGGGGACCGAGCGTCGAATCGAAAAAAAAAAAAAATCCCTTACAGTTCCACGCCAGTCTCCAAACATTCCCTTAAAAAAACAGAACGATTGTCTAAAATGATGCATGCAATTATTGCTCTTCTTCTTTCTCTAGTCGTATGCTCCGTTCCCTGTCAGAAGAAGAACGTGAAGCGTACAGTTCATCTCGAAAACCTCAGCAACAAGGACCGTCTCAACCGCCCAATAAACCGCCGCCGCTACCCAAAAAACCCGATCCTGTCATGGATATAATTAACGAAATTACAGCCGCGAGCCGGCATTTGAGTTCTGCACCTCATCCGTCCACCACAAAATCTTCCATTCCGTCTTCTTCCAATCCCAACAACAAAACCACTCCCACCACCGCCACCGTCACTACTCCCATTCAATCCTCTTCCAAAAACAAAGAAGACGGTACTCCACGGAAGAAGTCCAATTCCACTACTTCTGGACGACCCACCACCTCTGGAAAAGGCGTCAAGTCATCCGCCGAATTGTCCAAAGCTCAATCAGTGCACGGCCGATCCACCCCCGAACAACGGAAACCGTCCCCACCTATTTACAGTCACATATCTCTTCACGTAAGTAGGACAATGGTTCATGTTGGCAGATCGGTTTTTGATTTCTCATTTTTGGCCCACTGCTTTTTTGTTACTAGGACCTATTAATTGCTAGGGACTTTATGCCGTTGCATATGGATGATCCTGTGGTGAATCGGAAACTGTCGCAATTGAAAGAGTAAGTAAATCCATAGACGAATAGCAGTGTCATGGGCGTTCATCAGAGTTCTAACATGGTCGACCGTTTTTTTTTTTTTTTTTTTTCGTAGAAAATCCACCACGAAAAATAAACCGAAATATGCGAGACCAATTTTACGTCTGCACGTGAAATTAAAGGTGCCAGAAGCCAAACGGTCTCGGTCCAAAGAAACTTTACCGGAAACACAGGTACCTATTGACACATCATCCCAAAAGATGATCCAATTTGTCTCATGCCGCGTTTTTTACAAGCTATCTCGCAAGACCACTCCGCTACGAAGTAAAAAGTCGGTGTCTGCAGCTGTGGAGTCGGAACGAGAGGACGATACGATGGCGACCAAAGCACAGGTAAAATCATTTCCAAAAATAACAGTGCGGGCAATATGTATTGTCAAAGAGGCGTGCCTGAGGAACGAGGACTGAGGACTGATGAGGGGTACAATAGCCACGGGCAGAGATTTCTCGTGAAAGGAGCAAATCCGCTGCTGCACGAGATCGATCCATGGAACGGTCACCGGATGCAGCCAAACAATCGATTACCCGGAAACCATCGCCTCGGAAACCGTCGCCGGTGCCTCATCGCGCTGTAAAGAAGGAATCAACCCCTGTGAGTGGGGACATGACGTCGCAAGATGATGCTCAGCCGCCGGCAAAATGGAGTTTACCGACAGGCACGATACCAACCGAGTTTATACGATCCATGAAGATTCCAAAACGGACACGAAGCGAACCCAAACCCGAAGAAAAACCTTCGCTCTTGCCTACCAAACGAATAAAGGAACAAGAGGTGGAATTGGAAGAAGGAGAGACCATCAGCCCGTCCCCTTCGCCCATGGGACCGATCGCTGCGACGACGACGATCGAGGTGCCTTTGGATACGAAACGAAGGCGTCAAACGACGTCGGATCGAGAGATGCCTCGACATCGTTCGTCAAGAAAAGATAGTCATGACCGCAAAGAGAGTCGACATAGAGGAGGAGACGACAGGGATGAAGATGATCGACGTCGTCATTCAAGGAAGGAAAGTCGACGATATGATGACGACCGATTGGGTGACGATCGTCGTAAAGCGAAACGTGACAGTCGCTCTTTGGAGGAAGAAAGGTACGACGATGATCGACGAAAATTACATCGTAAGAATAGTCGATCGTATGACGATGATGATAAACCCGATCGAAGTCAACGTCGTGACAGTCGACATTCGTCTTCATCGTATACGGAAAAATCGCGTCGTGGTGGAGCTGGAATGAGCCCCATCGCTCGATCCCCTTCGGTATCACGAAAACTGTCGTCGACCAGTTCTTCGGAATCGAATCATCGAAAAACACCGACCGCCGATACCCTCTTGCAACGTCCTTCTTCTACCTCGTTGGAAGGAGCCGTGTCACCAAACCTGGCTTCTCAAAAGCTGTCGCCCATGACAGGTTCGACAGTCACTCCCGATACAAAGGATTTGCAAAAGGGATTGTCCATGTCTCCTCGACACGGTTCCAAAGACTTGTCCACGAAACCCAGTTCGACTGTGGAACCCGATCAACATTCGTCATCCGAAAAAGCTACGCCACCTGTTCCTGCTCCTTCCACTCATGCCTCTTCCACCACCCATCTATCGATTGACAAAGCAGGCGCCTCTTCGTCTGTTTCCTCGCAATCTCCGACCCCCCATCATTCCTACTTGAACGCTACCGCACCGGATGCCGAGAGTCCAAGTCAACTAAAGATGTACTCCATCATGTAAGTTTTTGAATGGTAAAGTAATTTTTCAACAAGAAAGACTTATGCCGACGATAAAATGATTCAGGTTCCTGAAGCTGGCGACGGCTCACAAGCGTCGGGGGGATCATGCGAGTACGGAAATTGCGGGAATTTTGGACCACATGCATGCGATCTTGAATTACATCCTTACGTTCTTTTATCACGATAAGCTGGGGCAAGAGAACAGTCAAAAGAATTGGGACACGCTGCATCCTTTTACGGATGTGTTGCTCAAGAAGCTGCGTGTGCGAAAGGACATGGAGTTGTATGGATTGTGTTTGCGAATGAGTGCTCTTGTGCATTTCTACTCGTTCAGTCGTCGTGAGGTAATTGCACGAACCAAGATTGCGAGGTTGCATGGAAGCGAAACGAGTTATGACAAGGACAAGGTGGCGGAATACAGCAAATTGGCCGATCGAGCCATGCTGACTCATGAACAAGCGTATGGTGCCTTTCGAGAATCGGACAAATACATGAGTTACGCGCAGATCCAGATCCAATTTCCTCAAACGTTCCAAAACGTCTGTGTACAAGGTGAACTGGGTCCGGGAATTGTGCTGGGTGGCGAAGCGGGCAAAGAAGCGGGACCCATGTTTCCATTTGCGCCTTTCTCTCGACTTCATCACGCAGCCATTATGGCCAAATGCATCCTTGCCGAATACGTGGAAAAGAATGGCCTGAAATACACCCCCATCACCAGTACCGACGATTATATGTAACAAGTAAAGAAAACAAAAAATGAAGAAAACCACAAAAAGAGAAGAAATTTCATTCAAAATCAAAAATCAAGGAGATCATCATCCTCTCACAAAAAGGCAAGCCGGAAAAACACCAAAAGCAAAAAAGAAGAAAACGGGACAACCATTCACCTTGTTTTTTTTTCAAAACTCTTCATAATGTACGATTAGTTTTTTTTTTCTCTACTATTTATTTATGCTATGCACTTTTTTTCTTATATTCACTCTCGTATTTTCAGGCGCCCTTTCTTTTTTTGTTTCTTCCCCTTTCCACCTCATAAATCAGAACCACTGAATCGTTTCCTTCAATAGAAAACCATTGTCACTCAATGACATTTTTCTCCTGGGCTATACCAGTAAATCCCATGGGAGTGACAAGGTAAAATTATGTTGTACTGCCGAGACGGCTCATGGACGCGCTTACTGCGACATGAGTGTGAAATACAAATGATTTACATTATGCAAAATGAAATGCAACTGTTGCCATAACCACCAATTTTATGGATTTGAATGAAAAACTGCAAAATCCATAATTTTCCTCACCCATATTGCTAGTCATTCCGTCGATACAATTTATATACTAACTTGAATAAGAAATAAGAACCGTAAAAGCTCCTTTATTCATAGTGAACCTGAGAGTTGGGACAGATACATGTATGAACTATTTAATTAGTGCATATCGCTGTGAAATGCGCAAAAAGGACTTACTCGAATTCAAGTGACGTCATTTTCAGTGTCCGGAGAGAGTTATGAATCTCCGAATGGTGACACTACCTCATTATCGAAGCGTGTTTTCTTTCTGTTCTTCATCCTTATAGAATACTTTGTAAACCATGAGTAATTTACCTGTTGTGGTGATGGACAATGGCACGGGGTAAGTTGAATAAGAATGGTAAAGACTAAACCGCAGACAGAGGATTGACAGAATATGGGATGTAGCTATTCCAAGCTCGGGTTTAGCGGCAACAACGAACCTTCCTTTGTCTTTCCTACCGCCATTTCCACCCGTGAAACACCTTCGGCTTCTGGTCGACCCGGCATTCCTTCGAAACCTTCGTTTTTGAGCAACAACTTGGCTTCCAAACGCGGCATTGAAGACTTGGATTTTTATATTGGCGATGAAGCCGTGAGACATGCCAAGACCATGGCCCTCAACTACCCCATTCGTCACGGTCAAATTAGCAATTGGGATCATATGGAACGATTCTGGGAACAATCCATCTTCAAATATCTTCGTTGCGAACCAGAGGATCACTTATTCTTGCTGGTAAGTGTCCTTTTTTTGGGGGAATTTGACGTTGAAAAAGGGTGGTTCGCTTGGTGGTGGGGGAGGGCAAAAAGAAGACGGGACTTGGGGCTGACTTTATCTCTTTTGGGTAGACTGAACCTCCGCTGAATCCTCCCGAGAATCGAGAAATGACGGCAGAAATCATGTTTGAATCGTTTAATGTCAAAGGTCTCTACATTGCCGTGCAAGCGGTTCTTGCATTGGCCGCTTCTTGGACATCCAACAAAGTCAATGAACAAACCTTGACCGGTACCGTTGTCGATTCCGGTGATGGTGTTACACACGTTATTCCAGTGGTAAGTGCGAAGCATTCACTGATATCTCTGTAGTTACTGTTTGCTGAAACATCTTGTAAAACAATGTTGTGAAACTATTTTAGGCTGAGGGTTATGTGATTGGTAGCTCTATCAAGAGTATCCCTATTGCAGGTCGAGATATTACATCGTTTGTCCAACAGTTATTGCGTGAACGTGGTGAGACGAGCATTCCTCCAGAAGATTCACTTCGTGTGGCGGAAGCGATCAAGGAGGATTTCTCGTACGTCTGTCCTGATATTGTCAAGGAATTCAAAAAATACGATCAGGAACCTCAAAAGTACTTTAAAAAGTATGAGGGACTTCACACCGTGACAGGAAAGGTATAATCTAATCTAGACAATCACCAACCGTTCATTTACCTATTTTTTGCATCATTCGACATTGCCAGAACTATACGGTGGATGTTGGTTTTGAACGATTCCTTGCCCCCGAAATTTTCTTTAATCCCGAAATTGCCAGCTCGGATTTCTTAACACCTTTGCCCGAAGTGGTCGACACAGTCATTCAAACCAGTCCTATTGATGTTCGTCGTGGTTTATACAAGGTAAGAAAAGAAAAAATCCAAACAAAATGATTGGGCACAACAACGATAGGCGATAATGACTGATTCGATTGGATGGACATGTTTTAGAACATCGTGCTTTCAGGTGGTTCTACAATGTTCAAAGATTTTGGTAAACGATTGCAACGTGATATCAAGCGAACAGTCGACAGACGTATCCAAGCAAGCGAAGAATTGAGCGGTGGTGCGATGAAGGTAATGTGAAATGCGGCATGAGGAAAATCTAGAGTAAAAGGAAGACTCACCTATCGGTTTTTCAGGCAACTCCTATGGAGGTGAATGTCATCTCTCACAAGAAGCAACGACACGCTGTGTGGTTCGGTGGCAGTCTTTTGGCATCGACGGTACGTATTCATGCATCTGCATGTTAGACAGTGAGAATTAGAAGTTAAAATACTGGTTGGAATTTGTAGGCCGAATTTGCAAGCTGCTGTCATACCAAGGCGGAATATGATGAGTACGGTCCTTCGGTAGCAAGACACAATCCCATCTTTGGCTCGATGCTATAGACGAGATAAAAAGAAACAAAAACAAAGAAATAAGTATTTGATGACGAATCTCCCTTCATTATTAGCAAAAAAGCCTAGCGTATGTAATCCTTCCCGATTACAGTTGAAATCACCAAATATAACAGATCTCCCCCGGAAAAAGAAAAGATGGTGTCTATGTGACCATGTTTTTTGTCTGTCAAGTGATGTGAGAAACGTAGGGAAGAGTTACTCTACTGGTGATCTCATAATATCTGCTGCGGAAAGTATGATGAGATTTCTTGGAGCCTTGAATCGCCCAAGAGACGAACTATGCCCGAGTGAACAACGCCGAGCGAACTACTGTATGCCCAATTACAAAAACTATCTTCTGACTTCTCCGGCCCACGATAATTTTAATCGACAATTCTTCATTGCCAAAGAGTGACACGGGTGACCTCGACACATTATATTCATGAACGCTGAAGTGGATTCACAGGAATATTTGACATGACTAAAGCGCGCCCACACAATAAGGTCAAATAATCTGTCGATATTCTGAGCCATAGTCCGTCGAATTTTATTGTTTTACAAAGGGACACAAAAAGAGACACACGGGCCATATGATTTTGTTCCACAAAATCAGTGTCAAGAGGTCTTCTCTGCTGATACGTGGCGTAATCTGCTATCTCGTTGCTCCGTCTGCGAGGCACACCGTCGAAAATAGTTGTTATCAGCATCCTGTCACAAAAGATTGTTGACAGGATGTTCTAGGGAACAAATATGCGATATAGTTTTTAAAATGTGCAAGTACAGTACCAATTTTGAGATGCCATGGTCAATCAAATGCCTCATTGTTCTAATAATTGCTCGCCATAGTACGCCTCTGTTGAAGCCATTTAATTGTGATAAATTATAATGCTGTCATTTGATAATAGGTGGATCTAGAGAAATGGTGGCTTTTGTATAATTCCGCCATCGCAGTAAAACCGCCCTTGATCCATCATCCAATTTTTTGCCTAGCTTACTTCCCAAGCTGAGAGAATGCATAGCTAAAAGCTCGCCTTGATAGTATCTCAACGATGGCTCTGTCCCTGCAAAAAGCTCTGATTTGATGATCACTTTGCAATGATTATTTTTTCACGTCTTTGTCCAGCAACTGGCTTGATGGCAAAGTTCAAGATGATACACTATCTCGAGAAAACATGGGCAACAAAGACGCCTGCCTTGGCTTTTTTTTGAAGATATACTGTACTCTGTGCAAATCAACAGTTGACCAAATGCGATTATCTCATATAATGTATGCCCGGTAATTTGGTGGATTAACACGTGAGCTTTGAATGGATTATTAAAAAATCAAAAAAATCCAACTTTTTATTGTATCAGACGATCATGATTCATAAGCTAAGTGATCCATATGCATTAGAAATTCCGTGGAATTATTCAAATTCATCGAAAGACATCGGCTGTTAATTGGGAATTTGGTCCCCAATTTACCAAACGAATAAATCTCGCCAAGTCAAAAGAAAAAAAGAATTACAGAGACGACTTTTTCCCAACGGTGCGGGCTTACCAGAAGAAGTGTATCATACACAGTAATATGTGGCGATTTTGAGACGACATAACGGTATGATTTACATGCGGTCAGTATGAGTTTAAAGTAATCCCACCGATTTTCATGATCTACCGTTCATTCAAGCATAGAAAATTGATAATGTTTCCATGCATGGTAGCGTTGCTTTCGTGTTGCAATGTAATTTTACTAAAGCTATGGTTTTTGGACGATAAAAAGACTTTTTTAAATGCCAGCAAAAAAGTGGTATGGTGCTGGTTGGCTGGCATAGGAGAGGGAATACAACAAAAGTGGATGACTCAATATTTCTCTCATTGACATGGTTAAATAGCCGCTCAGCATGGGCTTCTGTTTTTGGACATGTTCGGTTGGGAAAAGATGACCCGAATCGGCCAACCAGATTGGGTTTCTGTAGCCGGTTCATCCAATCAAATTGATCACAAGTCTAAAATGCCATGGAATTTCCCGCGCCATGGAGAGAGGAGGGGTGGAGGTGGAAAAAGAAGTGCTTCAAAGCGGGAAAAAAGGGTTTCTTCTTTTTCTTATTTCTGGGTTTTTTTTCTTTTTTCTGTAGAGTGTGGAACCAACCACAGAAAAAAAAAATAACAAAAAAGGGAAACACACAGCAGTACCATTGAAAGCTTATTTCTCACCAAGGTTTTTTTTTCTTCTGGTTTTCTTCTTTTTCTTCATCGTTCTTTTTTTTCATTCTTACTTGCTTTCGGCTCGCCATTACCACTCTTTTTTTTACGTCATAGTTCAAGTTTTTGTTCTGAGCCCATTGTGCGATGCATCAAGAACAAAGCCATGATGGCCATTTTCCAATGCACGAAGAAATTGGTAAGTTGTTGAACCAAAACACTGACTGAATCAAGTGTCACCTTGACTCATATGTTATCATATTCACACAGCACGCGATACACGAGCACGTCAACTGCAAGCCTCTCGTCTACGGATCGCTCTGTTTAAAGGACTTCAGGTGGATTCGTCGGCGGAACGACAAGCGACACTGGAACAGATAGTGCAAGTCGTGAAATCGTATATGCGCGTCGCCAAGTCACCGTTTTCTCCCAGCAAATGCACACAACCGTCGACATGGTCACCGGCCACCCCAACAGCCTCGTCAACCGATACCACCACCCACACCCATCACGCAGTGACCACCACCGCCACCCAATCGTCTCCGACTCGCGGTGATGCGGCCTCGTTTGGCGATCCGTTGGCCTCGTACGAGGAAGCCGGTGGCACGGATGAACAACTGCAATACTTTTTGTTGACCATTCTGCGACTCTCTCTGACGTGTCCTTTCAGCGATGTGCGACGTGTTTTCAAAGATTTTCTTCAAATCACTACCGTGAGTTGCCACAGCTGTTTCGTAAGGCTTTGGATATCCCTCCCATGTTCTCAATTCCTGGTATAGGACACCGCGATCCCGACTCCGCAACCACGGCATCGATCGCCGTCGTATTTCATTTCTCTGAACGATGTCTTTTCTTTAGAATCCACTTCGTCCTCTAAACGTGTCACGTATCCATGTCCTGCCAATCTGTCCTTTTCACCTTGGTCCCAAGAAGCCGAATCCACGGACAGTTTGGATAGTGTATCGGATGTCATGAGATCGGCGTGGCGGTCGACGTCGACGCTCGCTGGCGACGAAGTTTCCATTCATTCCGTGGCGTCCGATGTCGATGACTGCAATACGGGCGGTCGACCATCGGACGAATACGTACGGCAAATGATGATTCGCACCTTTATGGAAGAAGGCCGAGTCAACAACCTGTTTCGCGTCATGTCATTTTTCCCCACGTTTTATGAAATTTTTCACAGCACCTTTACCAAGACCATCCGGGCTTCCATTGGGCCTTTGCAACGTACGTGGCGAAGCTATCTGGGAATTCTGGCGGCCGCCGAACATTCTTGTCAATATCTTGTATCGATTTTGAAGCTGGATTTTCTTCAAAGTGGAGGCGATCCCTTGTGGCTCAAGGGCATCCATTACTGTCCGGCCAAACTGCAGAGCATTTCTGGCGTGATACTCAAACTGGCGCGGCAACCTTGGCGACTGGACGAAACGGATATCCGGCGAATCATGAATAACACGCGATCGTCCTTGGGCGATGCCTGGAGCAAAGGTGAGCTCGTCCAAGCCATCGTGGTCGTGTCGACGATTCTCGGGCTCAGCAGTTTTGTGCTTGGTTGCGGGATTGCACCCGAAGTCGATATGCGAGGTGGGTACTATATTCGCGGGTACTGCACCGAGGATCTGGAAGGAATCGAGCACGAATTGGATCAACGGTCGGTGCCTTCGCCTTACGATATCGAAGTGACGCACGCGGCTTCCAATGCCACTGGTTGGCATGACAGTACGATTGAATCGGAAAGTCACGAATCGTCGTCAACGGCCAAACACGAGGATGACCGGTTTTCATCCGATATTGGTCGAGGATTGGGGGTTTCGGTAGATTCGGACGATGGCGGCGACGATTTGGACAGTGATGCAGCGGATATCATGGAACATACCAACGAATTGATTTCCAAGCTCCAGTCGAACCGAAGGCATGAATTGCAGGAGAGTCTGGAGAAGCTGAACTTGCATTGTTTGCGAGAAGAACAACAACAAAGAAAGCAGGACGCTTTGGAGAGTTCCAATGGGACCTCCCTGGCGGACCGTCATCGTGAGCGTGGATCCGATTGGATGGGAAGTGTCAATGCGGTGTATGAGGACCTTGATCGGTTCGTGGATCCTCAGATCAGTCAATGTATCCAATTAGAGGAGTTTCAATCGGGGCAGGGTGGCTGTCATGAGTTCATGCTTGGCGAATACTGCTGGGAAGACCATGGATGCGACTTGATGAACCAGTTCCTACCCGGTGTAGGCGATGAAGTCGATGATGAATTCAACGAAGCCCTGAGTATCACTGATTGGAGGTAAGCTTTGAAATAATTGTTCACGCTCTGTGTGTGTGCGTGGAGAGGGGTGCGGGGTGATTTCATTATGAAAGGTCATCGGATGATTTTTGCTGATCAAAACGGATGATGTGTGATGGTAGTATTTTTCACCAGGTGTCTGAAGGAGCGGTGGATACGACACCTTTGAGACATGCTATTTGGTTTTACGCACAGCAGTTATTTGGTGTGACCAAGGAAGATTACATGTACTCCGATATCCCGACCTACCTCAGCCAGCGCAATAAGGATTACATTCAGCGAGTGTGCCGACGGCCTCACGAGATTCGCTGGAGTGATTGGAATAATATTGGCATTTCTCTTCGACCCGAAGAAAAATGTCACATTAACCTTTTGGTCGCGTCTGCAAAAAAGCAGGCCCTTTTATGCTACGGTCTTTCGCTTATATCCCAAGTTTAATCAAGCATCCTTCCAGAAAAAAAATTCATTATATACACGCACACATACACACACTCACTCACTCACTTTAACTCTTAAATACACGCTTACCCACCCACCCATCGTACCAAAAAGGAAAATGCACGTTATATAAAATTACACACTTCTGTACAGCATTCAAAGGGGACGAACCCAACACCAAGCCCAAAAAAAAAAAAAAATTAAAAAAATTGATTGCCCATCAACCCAATTGTATTTAGTTTTTCTTGTTCCATTTGGGATGAACTATGCGGAGTTGATGCTCGTACCACATTAACAAACGAGGTGTTTATAAAAATAGTTTTCGCACTTTCCCTTCTGCCGCCGAACCGTCATTGTCGAGAACCAATCTTTTGATTATTGTCATTATCTTATTTCAGCACCACTTTTTTTTTTTTTTTTTTTTTTTTTTTTTTTGGTTTCTGAGATCGTTTCATCACTCAATTTTTTTTTCTCCTCTTTTTCTTTCTCTTTTCTTTTTCAAACCTCTTCTTTTTTTTATTTCCCTTTCCACTCTCCTTTAAGAAAAAAAGATACCTCAGATGAAGCTGTCTTTGTTTCTTGCCTGTATCGTGGCGCTTTTATCAGTCACATTCACACTTGTTCATGCTGATGCGCTTCAGGATGAAATCGATGCCGCAAAGAAGAAGTTCTGTTCAGGTGAGCTTCCTTTTTCCGTTCTTCATACTTGAAGTGGTTTCCGCGTTTTGATCATATAGACGGGAAAAAAAGGTACTGACCCAGTTATCTAGGTATCGCTGTGACCGCGCCCAGCAAGAACAAAGTGTTTAGCAACCCCAAGAAAGTGCAAGTGATCGTCAGTAAGTATCATCATGGTTTCATGAAACCATGGTGCTCTTCATTTTTTTTATTTCCCAGGCAACCGATCGCTCACATAGTCTAAATTTCATTACCAGCCCGAAAGCCCGATGCTCAAGCCAAGGTCGTCAACGGTGTGGATGTATGTATCGAGACTCTCTTCTTCTCTCTTTAGTTTTATCTTTATATATTCCAAGGAATTCAAACCGGTGACTGACGAAAAAAATTTACAAATGACAGATTTACTCTATTGACAGCAAGGGCAAGGCAAAGTACCTCGGTACTCCCTGGAAGGGCAACTACAACTTGAACAAGAAAGCCACTTTGACGTAAGTTGATCATCTTCTCTGGTTTTTTTTTTTTTTTTTCAATGTTATAAATGCCCCCCTTTGTATTCATCAACGCTTATCAATGTTTATTTTCTTTTACACATACACAGTGTTGACATTACCAAAATCAAGGGACTCAAGTTGCCTTCTCAGTTTGAATTCCGGTAAGTGGCCAAAAATGACCCGCACAATTTTCCACCTAGCCACATTATTATTCATTAACGCTATTTTTATACACACAGCGTGTGGGTTCACAATAAGAAGGGTAATTTCCATAACAAGCCAAGCCTAATCCGAACTTCATTTCCTAAACCATTCTTTTTTTTATATTCCTCAGGTCCCGACTGTACTTTGATGTCCAAGGTTTTCAAGGTCAAGTCTTCCTCGCACAGCAATGCCGCTGAAGAAGAGGCTTTCAACAACTTGGATAGCAACATTGATCGTGGTTGCTTCGGTATCGATTTGACCAAGCCCGAACTCGGTTCGCATCAACCCTCCGGCAAGACCTTCCCTGTCCAAATCCAGCGCGATTCCGCTTCCCAAGTCGAGAACTACAAGTCCGTGGAACTGTATAAGATTGACCTCGAAACTCGTCAACCTACCAAGGTCAAGGATTCTTGGACCGGCAATGAAGAAGTTCATCACATGTTCAATGTCAAAGAATCCTACACTCCTTCCAACCAAGATGGCAAGCAATATGCTTATTTCTACAAGTAAGTCGATCCCATCCATATCCCACCTTGCCTATTGCCAAATACAGTCATACTAATTCATTGTTTTTCTTTTTCTCTTCTTCCTCGCTTTTCCTTTTCCAGATTGTCGGGTGTTACTCAGCATGACGAGAACTGTGAATTCTATTCTCATCCTTTCTACATCGATGCTTAAACGGGTGGATATTCCTCTCCGTTCGCGTCGTTTTCGCTTACACACACTTTCTCTCTCCCTTCAAAGTCATGAATATATACACGTTTGAAAAAACAACAGGACAAAACTGAAAACAATAAAGCCTATTTTTTTGCTATACCACTATTTTTTCTTTGACTATTATTTAACCTTGCCCAAGGAATATTGTAAAAAAGCTATGAATCTAATCATTCTTAGGCATTCCCAAATCTTCATATGTCTAAACTTTTCCTTTTTATTTTCATCAGCCCTGCCATTGTATGACTAATGCCCATCAGTCCCAGATAAGTTGACCGTGTTCATTCAGAGCGGCGGTTGCTGAAGGGGTTTTGCTGCTTCCGGCGGCTTTTTTCCCTTGGGATCCCCAAGGTGTATGCTTGCCCGCGCCCTTGGAGTAGAACTCGGCTATTTTCTGTTGTTCCAGCTGTTTCTGATGCCTTCGCAAACGTTCGGCTTGCAATGCATCAGCATTCGCTTTTTGCTGCTTTTTCTTGGCCGCACGCGCCATGTTTTCTCGTTGTTTCTTGGTCAGAGGTTCCGATGCCTGACTCGCTGGGCGTGAAACATGGCTAGACGATGAAGACACTGTCGGAGAATGGACGGTTAATTGAGGGCAGTTGCCTGGTTGAAATGTACGATCATGCCTTACCTGGTACTTGGCTCCAACCTTCCTCATAGGGAACAGGCGAAAAAGCCTCTTCTTCATCATCGGCTTTGATTCTCAGCACACGAGCATATCGTGCGGTTGGATCCATGTGTTCATCGATTTCCTTGACTTGTTCTTCGCCTCCCAGTTCGTCTTGGTGCTTTTCTTTAACGGCATCCTTTTGTGTTCGTTCTTGAACCTTGACCTTATCTTTTGCCTTGGTCTGTGCTTTTGTTGAAGGTGATGGTGTTGGTGATGGCGACAAAGAGGACTTTGCTGCGGCTTGCTTCTTTTGCTGTATTTGCTTGGCTTGACCACTGCTAGTCAAGGAAGCCGAGTGGGCCTTTCTGTCCGAATCTTTTTCCGTAGCAATGTTCGTTGCCGTGGAAGTGGCTGCTTTCTCTGTCTGAGCTACCGGTTGGCGCGATTTGGCTTTCTTCTTTTTATTCTTCTTCTTGGCTGTCCGCCGGTCCAACGAATCCAAGGCTGTGTCGCTGGTTCTCAGCCAATGAATGACCAGAATCGGTAACAGCAGTACACATAGTAAGCCGATTTCTTGGTACATGACGAACGGGGGCAATTCTCAGAGAAGAAAAAAGAGACTTTTTTTTACTGCTTGTCGCTCATACGGGTACGCAGTGCCAACCATATTTGGAACTCCGCCGAGCGCACACACAATGAAACAAGTGGGCCCGCCGCTTATTTTTTTGCATGGCTGAAACCGCCAAAAACTGTTGTTACAGCCCTGTGCATTGCTCTGTGTTGAGCATCACCATGCATACTTGACCCATTATGGCACGTGAAAACGTCTTGAAATCCCGCATGAGACTTGCTCTTTGTGTTCTTTTTCTTTCAACAGTGGCAGGCAGGAAAAAGAAAACAATACAGTAACACGACAATATGAAAACAATGAGGAACAATGAGAATCCGTAATACTATCATAAATGCACATTGCCCTCTTTCGACACAATATATATTGGCTGGGACATATTGAAATGGGGCCATCGTACAACAACTTAACGAGTCTTCCATGACTATCAATGCGGAAACTCTCCGCTTCTGATCACTGAAAAGGACAAAAAACGCATGACTCTTTAACATGGTCTAAATACTGCGTTATAAGCTGCCCTACATATAAAAAATAAGGCGGTTATGAAGGGCATACTATTTGACACTGTCATGGGAAGCCATCCATGGAGACCATGAATTTTTGAAAGGGCGCCGAAAATCATCCTCACGCAAAAATGAGACGGGGGAAACAAGAAAAAAAATTCTAAGCGTAATTTCCTTCTGACCTAAAAAACCTCTATTACTACTCCCCACTGTTGGTTGTTCCCTTCTGACCAGTAACCGTCTTGACTCCTCATGGAAGTGGCCAGTTCAACCTCTTCGTCAGCTCCGTCTAATCGCATTGCCGGTCGACCGGCCATGCGACCGGGTGGCGCTTCTGGCGAAGGCAACGTCCCTTTCTCAAAAATGGTGTTTGACGGAAAACGCATGCGAAAAGCAATTCAACGACGAACTGTCGACTATAATCACAGCGTAGCACGATGGATGCAGGTGCGCGGCTTTGGCTACTTTGACGTTGTCTGTGGATAATTAACCTTGCTTTTGTTTCGTTGTTTTCCTTTTTCGCTACCGAGTATAGATGCGATCATGGATACGCGATCGAAGAGATACTCGTTTTCTACGGCCCGATGCCAACTTTATCATTGACGTAAGTGTGGCTTGACCCGTCCATGTCATTCTCAAACTCATGCCTTGTTAGCTTTTACCACCGGCGGCTTACCTCGATCATCCCGTCAACGCGGTCACAACCAAATTCATACATACATCAACCAACAAAATCCGATATCCAGTCAACGTCGTGAGGGTAAAAATAACAAGTCCTGAATGCCATCATGCATGTCTGATATAATGGGTGACTCACGTTGGAATTCAATCGTTACAGTGGACACCCGAAGGACGTCGTCTTATCACCGGTTCTTCCAGTGGCGAATTCACCTTGTGGAATGGACTTACTTTTAATTTCGAAACAATCCTTCAAGTACGTTTTAGTATATATGTTGCTTGGACCAAGTAAAAAAAGAGAAAGATATACTAATGAAAGTTTTCATAGGCTCACGATTCAGCCGTTCGCGCCATGAATTGGTCTCATAATGATAACTGGATGGTCACAGGCGATCACAGCGGCATTATTAAATACTGGCAATCCAATATGAGCAATTTGAAAATGTTCCAAGGTCACAAGGAAGCCATTCGTGATCTGACGTAGGTTCTTCCTTTCATTTTCCACTGATACAGCGCATGCAAAAATGACTAACTCGGTGTTTTGGTTCAGGTTCGCACCATCGGATACACGATTTGCTACGTGTTCAGACGATTCACTCATCAAAATTTGGGATTTTAATACCGGTGTGGAAGAAAAGTCATTATCAGGTCACGGTTGGGATGTGAAATGTGTGGACTGGCATCCTTACAAAGCATTGTTGGCTTCGGGAAGTAAAGACAACTTGATCAAATTGTGGGATCCTAAAACAGCCAAGAACATCACTACACTGTAAGCCCACAGTTCCGCGGATTTTGGGGGTCCTCTGTTTATTCATACGTTGCATTTCTTTGATACAGACACGGACACAAAAATACGGTACTGACTTTGCAATGGAATCAAAATGGTAACTGGTTGGTCACGGCTGGTCGTGATCAACTGATCAAGATCTACGATATCCGCGTTATGAAAGAACTACACATCCTGCGAGGGCACAAAAAGGAAATTTGCTGTAAGTGGGAATTTTTAGATGGGCAAACATGCTTCGTACTAACACTTTATGAAAAATAGCCGCCAAATGGCATCCACAACACGAACGGTTGTTGGCAACAGGTGGATCGGACGGTTCATTGTTATTCTGGATGACAGGGCAAGATCAACCAGTGGGTGAACAGGAGACGGCTCATGATAGTAATATTTGGTCGATGGACTGGCATCCTGTAGGCCATATTTTGGTCACTGGATCGAATGATCATACTACTCGCTTCTGGACTCGTCCAAGACCCGGTGAAACGGGCTCCGACAAATTTGACGCCAGCATGCATCGCAACGAAGAAAGTCGAGAAGAAGAAGCATTTGCTGAAGCCCCACCGTTCCGTCCTCACAATGCGCCTCCCAGTAAAATGGAACCACCCCCGTTCCGTCCTTCCAATATGCCTCGACCTGAAAAGAATGAACCGCCACCTTTCCGAGCCACCCCTCCCGGGTTTCGACCACCCCCAATGCACGACCCGCCGAACCCTGGTAATAATAATATGATGCCAAGACAAATGGAGCCACCTGGCCTGTCCCGACATCCTCCCCCACCTTCTTCTTTTATGTCAGACAATGACGCCATGTCTTACGGATCACGACCGCCGCCGCATCAACGACCCAATTTCCATCACCGAGGCGGTTCGCGAGGCAATATGCGCGGTATGCCGTATCAGAGTGGAGGTAATGGTGGCCAACGTGGTATGCCTTACGATCATCATCAAGGACCTATGGGTGGCAGCGACCGCCCTTCCCGTCCTCCCATGGGCGCTCCACCTGGCAGCGGACGATATAATAATGATATGAATGGGGGATCAGCGCACTATGGTGGCCATAACGGTCCTCCCCGTCGCGGAGGAGGTGGTGCCCCCGATATGAGACCTCCCCATCCTGATTCATCTAATTATCGCCCTCCACCACCATTTGCACAAAGACAGAATAAACGGCCAAGACGGTGGAACTAAACTCTTTCTTCCATCCTACATCAGCCTTCCACTATCCAAAAAAGATAAAATGACATTCACGTCTCAGCCAATAAACAAACCACAGATTTCATCATGCCAAGTCTTGTTGTCGGCGTTTAAACTTTCAGATGCCTCCGGAATTCTCTTTTTTTTTCAACCTTATAAAATTCGCTGAATGGGCGGGTTTTCCCTTTTCCACTTTTTTGAACAACCTTTTTTACTTTAAAATCTCCACTAACCTCATGTCGGAACCCAGAGAAGTAGAAGACGAAGTGCCCAAACCCACTCCACCTGCTATCACATCCTCGCAAGACGACACTGCAATGACAACGTCGCCTGTGAGCTCTCACGCTCAGCCAACCACTGACGCGGCTCCAACTACGTCGCCTACACGTGATGCCGAAGCTCATGAGACTACCACTGCTGCGAATACGAGGACGTTATCAGCCCCCACAACGGAGGCACCTAATACCGAACCTCAGCTGTCGGAAAATACGCGCACCTTGAAAGAAGCGTTTCCCGATGTCGATGTTGAAGTGATTGATGCTATTCTGGAAAGTCAAGGTGGTCGCTTGGAACCATCGTTTGAAGCTCTTTTAACCATGTCCGATCCCAACTATAAACCTGACACCACACCTCCACCCGCGCAGCAAACTCACCCGGCACCAACGACAGGTGACGAAAACGATCCTAATGTGCCCCCGATGCCTCCTCGTCCTCATAACCAGACCACTTCCAATGACTCATCTTATGCTTACTGGCAGCAGCAGCAGCCGACCCAGCCTGGCCAGACGCAAACAATCAGTGTTGAAGAACAGATGCGCATGGATGAAGAATATGCCAAGCAGTTGGCGCTGGAAGATGAACAAGCTCGAGTACAACGACATCGTAAGTTCCTTGACAAAACCAAGCAAAATGGGTGAAATTGGACAATAGATCTGATTTGGTACATTAAAAAAACCAAGGTCAACGGCAACAACCTGCTCAGCCCACACAGGAGGAACCTTTGTTCAACTTTCAAGGTATGCCTTTAGTTTTCTGTATTTGATCATGCTGCACATGTCCAATTTTCTTTTTACCGATATCTTGTGTAGAGGAACTGCCTATCATCAAGGAAAGAGTCATTGAGGCTGGAAATGGTATATCGTTCAATAGAGAAAGGGGGAAAAAATATAATTCAAAGGTTTAACCGGCTCTTTTAGCGGCAAAGAAAAAGGTCATGGATCTGTATAATCAGTTCAAGCAGAGTCGAGCCAATAGCTCTGGATCATCTATTCCTACGACCAATGCACAGTATCGGTAAGCGCACGGGATCATGGAAAGCGAAGGGTTATAGCCGGTTATTCACTTGGTACAGCGGTTTACCTAGTGATGAAGGCGACGATCTGTTGACGGGCGATATGTCAGCTTTGCGTTTATCAGATCATGATGTGTATGCACAAACCGGTGGTCGTCCTCGACGATGGTCCGAGGACCATTACAGAAGAGGTTCGTAAAGGATGTTCAATGAAAGCGTGAGGTTAGCGTGACTGACTTTGGCACACATATGGTTGGATCTATTGCAGAAGGTCAAACGGATGCCGACGACAATGTGATTCACGTCAACCCTCCCTATCCTCCCCCACGACAAGCCCCCATCACTCAACAACAACAACAACAACAACAACCCGTAACCAAAACTTCCACGAATGAAGAGCAATTACGGGCCGATGAAGAATATGCGAGACAAGTCGCCAATGAATGGGCGGCCGCCGAAGGTAAGCAGCGATCAGGAACTGAAGGGAATCCATTATCTCATTATCATCTGCAGCGGCTGAAAATGACCAGCCTGCAGGCACCCCACCCATTGGACGAACAAACTCGTTCAATCGCACAGGCCATCCTATGATTGTCAGTCCACGATCGCCTCTAGAATACAACGGTGGATTTGATGAAGGTAGCAATAGCATTTTACACTGGTGCGAATGATTTGATCCATGATGGATTAACTTGAGGGATGTAGACGAACCGGCATTGACGCGTCGAACTGAACCCTTGTCGAAAACGAGTAGTCCACCTGCACCCAAGGAAAGCACAGCTAATTCGGGTCGCAAGACTGAGACCACAACAGCGACTGAAACGCGCCCCTATGTGATTGGCGATGATGAGGATTCCGAAGATGATCTAGTCGATGTTGATGACGACGATGATGTCGATACTGGTAAGCTTGCGAAAAAACCAAAACGAATGTCGTGATGCATAGGTCATTCATTGATGTATGTTACGCACAAAAAGGAAAAGATGCCAACGATAAAAAGGAGTCGGCGGGACCTGAGAGCCAACGGACGGAATCCATCGATAAACCACACGCAAAATCTTCAACGAAAGAGTGAACTTTGATCTGAATTCTCCCTATTTCTTTTTACGCATATAATGATAATGTATCGATTTACATCGTTTGATAGTGGCTCAATTAAAACTCTCGGTGCAATTACACAGCCATTTCCTGGGACAGAAAGCTGAGACAGAAAGCGCATCAATGTCAAAGATTAGCTGGCATGCTAAGAATATCAGCAGGTGTTGGCAAACAATCAGGGCCATTTTTATTGTGGTTTATTGGTGCAGCTGGGTTTTTATGAGGGGTCACAAGAGATGCCGAAATAAGTCATAGTGGGAAGGTTCGAGGTGTGGCACAATAGGCTTGTGGGTGATTTTGGTACAGCGACAAAACCACGAAAAAATCCAGCTGATGAAATGATGCGGGAATTCATGCATAGCTGCAAGGTTTGGACCAGAAAAGAAAATCTGAGAAACGGAGAACCCTTTTTTTTTCAAAACCATGATGAATCTAGTGAAGCCAAAAAAAAAAAAAAAGGTAAGGTAAAGGAGAAAAAGGAAAAAAGATTTATTGGATCAATGATATGGTTCCCAAAAAGCAATCGAGGAAAATCTCTTTTTGTCATGTCCCTCAAAAAGGCACGTTCCCCGCGTCAGCGATCTTAAAAAGGCAAGCTGTGGAGGAACATTGGCTTTCAATGCCCGAGTGAGGTCTCCTCATTGGTTCCGGTAAGCAAAAGAGTTCGTATAAGGAAATCCACTATACACTATTGCTCAAGCGGAGAGAAATCCTCAACAGGGAAAACACATCGTTCAAGGAGTTGTCCAATGTTCAGAGACCATTGTTGGCGATGAATCAAAACGAAAAAAAAAAGGATCGACGCGATTGAATGATTTTCTTTTAAAAAAATGACATCATATAGCGTGACTGTTACCACATCCAGTGTCCGGCTGTTTATCGACTCCGCGACCCGGAAAAAGAATAGTTGGGTTTCTTTTTCACTGGGCGTTTTTTTTTCTTTTTTCTTTTCTCGGGCCTGCTCGTTCAGAAAAAAAAAAGGCGCTACGTCAATTCCCTGCTGGTTTTTTTTTTCTTTCCTTTTTTTTTCCTTTTTATTCTGTTATAGTTATACGCAACACGTCAAGAATCGTTTCTATACATTTTATATATATATACAACTTGTTATATACTTATCACGACGAACCAAGAAGCTTTCCTTACAACATACAGTCTTACGTCGCCCTAATCAACTCCATCCCCCCATGTCTGGTAAATGAATGCGTGGTTTAGCCATTGGGTCATCTGACAGCTTGACTAAAAACGACGTTCAAAACCTCCCCTTGTATTTTGCAGTGAATAATGATATCAAAGTGGTCCGGGTGGTTGCAAAAGATGCTGGATCTGGCAAACAAATCAAACTGGGATATGTGAATAAGAAGATCACTGGCAACGGATCTTTTGGTGTCGTATATCAAACACGTCTCGTAGATACGAACGAGGATGCAGCCATTAAAAAGGTGCTTCAAGACAGACGGTTCAAGGTAGGGTTTATTTCTGTATTGGGATCGACTGCAAGGGGGTCTTTTTGAGAAAAAAAAAAAGGGTGAATGGTTGCACAGAATCTGTCCGTTTGTCTTGTTATCCATCCCTTGTTTTTTTTTTTTTTTTTTTTTTCTCGTTGATCCTGTGGGCCTGTTTCTGTTCCACAGCATACCATTGTTTGGGTCTGGATATACGTGATTAATCTTCTCTATTGTTATGTTCTAACAGAATCGCGAGTTACAAATTATGCGTCTTGTGGATCATCCCAACGTCTGTCGGCTAAAATCGTACTTTTACAACCAAGTGGAGGATAAAGTAAGGGCATGAAGCGGTCGATGAGGGAAAGATGCGATACTGATGTTCGCAAAAATGTTAGGATGATGAAGTATATCTAAACTTGGTGATGGAATACGTTCCAGATACACTGTACAGGGCGACACGCCATTATGCCAAAATGAAACAACCCATGCCAACGATTCTAGTGCAAACTTACATGTATCAGGTGATCCGATCTTTGGCTTATATTCACTCTTTGGGCATTTGCCATCGCGATATCAAACCTCAAAATGTACTCTTGGATCCGGCATTGGCTATTTGTAAAATGTGTGATTTTGGCAGGTAAGCATCTCTCACCTTGGGGAGTGGGGTGTCATGGGTTGGTAGATGGAGGAACAAGAAGGAAAAAGAAAAGAAGAGACAGTGATAAAAATACGGTATCAAAGAAAATTGGCAAGAAAATGATAATGCGTTGGATGGGCTTGGCGTGTGTAGACTTGGCGTGATAAGGTTGGAATGATCCTTTTCTAATGACAATGATGTGATCTAGCGCCAAGATTTTAGTACCTGGTGAACCGAATGTGTCATACATTTGTTCTCGTTACTATCGAGCACCCGAGTTGATTTTTGGAGCTACATCGTACACATTAAGTATTGATGTATGGTCAACGGGTTGTGTCATGGCCGAACTTATTCTGGGTCAACCGTTCTTCCCCGGTGACAGTGGTATCGACCAGCTGGTGGAAATCATCAAAATTTTGGGCACCCCTTCCAAGCAAGAAATCGCGGCCATGAATGCAAGCTACGTAGAACATAAATTTCCTCAGATCAAACCTCATCCTTTAGCCAAGGTAACCGAGATCATGTTTTCGCTGCATGAAAAAAAAAAGACCGTTGACATGTTTCCTTTTGGGATTTAGATATTCCATGGCACTACGCCGGAAGCCATTGATCTGTTATCGCAAATGCTGCAATACCATCCTCAACGGCGGATAACAGCCATTGAAGCTCTGTGCCATCCTTTCTTTGACGCGATACGAGATCCTAATATACGATTAGCCAATGGCAATCCGTTACCGCCTATGTTTGATTTCTCAAAGCATGGTAAGTAGTTTTTTGCATATCTCCAAAAAAAAGAAGGGATTATTGCCATAGTAGTGGTTTTAAATGGTTCACATCTTGCATGTATTGACAATGCACCTTCTCCTTGATAGAACTGTCGATTCGCCCCGATCTTATTCGACGGCTAGTACCACCGCACGCTGAACAAGAATTGCTTTCACGAGGTATCGATATCCATCATTTTGAACCGATCCCCAGCGATCAACTGAAAATACCGCCCTCGTACATCTAAGTACAAAACACCAAAAAGGAGGACGATGGAGCGAGGTGGACTTTCTTTTCTCTCAGTTTTTTTTTTTTTCTTTTTTGACAATATGGAAAGGGTTTTGTTGCAACATTGTTGATGATTCTTATCACACTATTCAGTCATTTGTAAACGGAAGAAAAAAAAAAAAGAATGGAAATTTTTGTCATAAAGCAAACATAAATACAACAATAAAGAATCTTTGCCGATCCAATGTATTCATTTATTGTTTCCCTCTGGTTTTTTTTGGCTCTCAGTCATCTCCCGTTGGTTTTAATGCGATTTTTACCATTCGTTTTTTTCTATTTCGCTTGTTTTATGTGCCGAGTTTCCCATGTTTTTCCTTTTTTTCTATTTCTTTCTGTATCGGTGACCCGACGAATTTTTTTTTTTGTTAGTCAGTGATAGTTTTTTTGCCAAGAGATGATCTTGTGGGTGGTTTGTTTTTTTTACCTCTTTGATTGTTTGACATAATGCTTGGCTTCGGCACCTTCCCTTTAAGGGTTATTCACACGAGGGCTCTGTGCGTTCATGCTCTTTTTTTTCAGTCCCCCATAAACTCATCAGTTTTTCCCCTGCGTCACTTTTTTTTGGTTGGCAGCGAGAACTTTTTGAAACGAGGAGGGCTGAGACTGGAAAAAGAGAAAAAACGGAGAATGGTGATTGGCTAGAATTGGTGCCCAACTTGCGACGGTTACGTCACAGCTACTCGTCACCTTTGATTTTCTTTTAAATTCAGAACAATTTCGCGTTCTATTTTCTTCATTTTTAACCACTTGGTTTAATTTTTTTGTACTCACCATGTCTATGGAGGAAGAAGTAGCTGCCGTAAGTAAACTCACTTTCTGACTTGTATTTCCTTTTTATATAAGAAGAAAAAAAAGTGCTCTTCACTATGAAAAAGAGGCAACCTATAAAGAAAAAAAAAAGAAAAAGAACCCACCTGTAACGCTTCGTCTCGTTTGAAAGAAAACGTTGCCAAGGTTGGGCGGGGGCTGGGGGGAGTTTGATAATACTGGGATATATTGGTTCATGATGCTTCATCTACACGAACAATGTACTCATCTGACTTTCATCTTGTTCATTTAGCTTGTTATTGATAACGGTTCCGGTATGTGTAAGGCCGGTTTCGCCGGAGATGACGCTCCTCGTGCTGTAAGTACTTCTTTAAGGGGAAAAAAAAGTGATGAACCCATAAGGGTGTTGTTGCTTTCCTACTTTTTTTTTTTCTTTTTCTGTCGGGCACGTGTTGACCCTGCCTTGTTGGTTTTTAGGTCTTCCCTTCCATTGTCGGTCGTCCTCGCCACCAGGGTGTCATGGTCGGTATGGGTCAGAAGGACTCGTACGTTGGTGATGAAGCCCAATCCAAGAGAGGTATCCTTACCCTCCGTTATCCCATTGAACACGGTATTGTCACCAACTGGGACGATATGGAGAAGATCTGGCATCACACTTTCTACAACGAACTCCGTGTTGCCCCGGAGGAACACCCCGTCTTGTTGACTGAAGCTCCTTTGAACCCCAAGTCCAACCGTGAGAAGATGACTCAAATCATGTTTGAAACCTTCAACTCCCCCGCTTTCTACGTGGCTATCCAGGCCGTCTTGTCCCTTTACGCTTCCGGTCGTACCACTGGTATTGTGCTCGACTCTGGTGATGGTGTCACCCACACTGTTCCCATCTACGAAGGTTACTCTCTTCCTCACGCTATCTTGCGTTTGGATATGGCCGGTCGTGATTTGACCGATTACCTTATGCGCATTCTTGCCGAACGCGGTCACTCTTTCACCACCACCGCCGAACGTGAAATCGTTCGTGACATCAAGGAAAAGCTTTGCTATGTCGCTTTGGACTTTGAACAAGAGATGCAAACTGCTGCTCAGTCCTCGGCTCTCGAGAAGTCTTACGAACTTCCCGATGGTCAGGTGATCACCGTCGGTAACGAACGTTTCCGTGCTCCTGAAGCTCTCTTCCAACCTTCCCTCTTGGGTCTTGAATCCGTCGGTATTCACGAAACCTCTTACAACTCCATCATGAAGTGTGATGTCGATATCCGTAAGGACTTGTACTCTAACATTGTCATGGTAACGTCGTTTTTTTCCATTTTGCACAGAAAAGGAATGTGAGGATTGGACAAGTTTTGGCTGAGTTATTTGTTGGTTTTTTTTTTATATTTAGTCTGGTGGCACCACTATGTACCCTGGTATTGCCGACCGTATGCAGAAGGAGATCACTGCTCTTGCACCCAGCTCCATGAAGATTAAGATTGTTGCTCCCCCCGAGAGAAAGTACTCTGTCTGGATCGGTGGTTCCATCTTGGCTTCTCTTTCTACCTTCCAGCAAATGTGGATCTCCAAGCAGGAGTACGACGAATCTGGTCCCTCCATTGTCCATAGAAAGTGCTTCTAGATGGATATCCGTAAAAAAGTTTTTTTTTCTTCTCGTCAAAAAGAAAGTAGGCATTTGAACAAAGGAATTTAATTTTTTTTCTCCAAAAAAAAAAAAAAAGAACAAAGGCAAACACAATGAATGAAATATGGGGATAAAAAAAACCACACACACACGCACACAACATGGGTTGATGATTATAAAAAAAAAAAAAAAGGCAATCGTTTTGCCTTATTATTCCTTATCGTTCCCTTTATTTTCTTTGACGTTAAACTTAAGAATGATAGACATTCTGTCAGAGAATTCAAAACGACGCGATGTCTGTTTCCCCCCTTCTTTTCTCCTTTGTCTGAGCATAACTGGTTTTGGCAGGGAATGTAAAAAAAAAAAAAAAAAGAGATTTTTAAAGTTCATTACGCAGTGTTTGGCACTTGATATCGTTTGTGCAAGCGGACAAGATAGTCTGCACTACCCACTACCTGATCAAGAATAGAAAAAATAAGCATTGTGAAATGAAAATGAGCCATCTATTTACAAAAACCATTTATGCGGTTCTGGCGGATCATCGTGGGTTTTGTGGCATGTGACGATACATCTTCTTTAAAGTAGCCAATAGCAACATTCCACACATAGACTGGTTTGACGGTCCAACAATTTATTTCCTGCTCTTTACCTGCATTTCATCCAGTGTCGTCTGCATGCCCATATGTATTCTGACAAAGACGAGTGATACCCATTGCTTCTTTATGTGAAAGATGACTTTCGTGATTTCCCTTTTTCACCTCTTTTTTCTTATGCGCGATAAGAAGCGGCAGAAGAAAAAAAAAAAGGTCGCCAAGCTATATTGTGACACATGGTGTTGTCCCCTTGATACGGACAGGGCTTGAACCCAGCCAACCGGACTATCAAAGTTGAACCTATTTTTTCCACCGCGCTTTCACAACGTCAGATGTATGGATCCAATCAGAGCAAGCGCTGAGCATGTATCGATGGCGGTGATATGGGTTGCCTAAACATCGCTTGGTGGGGGGGTTTTATTTTTTTTGACGTGTCGATCAACTGTAATGGCCGCTGCTATTTTATTGCTTCCGCGATTGGGAGCTCAAGATGGACTGCCTTTAACATGCATACCGTCTGTGCATCCGCACGTGGCTTTGATGGCCTTGTATTTCAGTGTTGGGAAAATCGTATCACCAACACGTGCTGATTTCTTTCTTAACAATGATGTTCTACCATACGAAGTAAGTAGAAAGGGTGGAACTTGTTGCCAATCCATCATATTCAAAACGACCCATCTCGGTCTCTTCTCCGATAAAAGCTCTTGCAGAGATCCATAGAAAGCTTCCCAAAATAACTACAAGCTGAGTTCTATTCTAATATTTTCGCCAACCGATGCAAAGGAAAACCACACACACGATCGCTGTATCCTCCGTTTTTTTTATTTTGCCTTTGCGTCAGTAGTCCTTTTTCTCTCTGACGCTTTAAGTGCTAAGAATGTTTTTCATTATATTTGTTCAGAAAAATGATTCGCCGTTTATTACCGTACAACCTCTTTTTTTTAAAAAAAAATTGACTGCTATGGTAAGGTACGGACGTTCCAGAAAGTGAATCAATGCAAGCAGAATTTGCTTGTCTGTAACAGAAAGAAAAAAAAAGATATGCCATATGATGCAGATGCTTATTGTACTCCAGCAGAGGCATTACATCGTAGAATTCAGTGCCACTGCAAAAAGTGCTGATGACTCTGTAGATCTGTCAGCCCTTTGGAGCTTTCGGATACTGTCGCGGCATGAAACGATCGAATGATAATCAAGCTTTTACTAAAACATGTATTTTTATCACTCAAATAATGTCAATGAACCATGCCAACATAATGCAATTTGACAGGGGCTGTGTTCTTTATCAGGAACAGTGTATTTTATGATCGTGCTATTATTATTTTTGTCATAAACTGGCACGTCCTTGTATCAATAGCAATTGTTAAGATGTCGTCTTCTTCAACTACTTAGTCCACATAGATAGAGTCCAAAATACGACGAATGAACGGTCAAGAGGGTCGAAAGTTCGCTGCATGGATGATCGAAACAAGAGAATTTTAAACAATTTTTCCCAAAATTCTGCACAGAGTTCCGTTTCTGGGGACTGGAGATTTTTGAAAATAGAAAAAAAAGGTCTCACCCTGCTCTTTTTTTTTTCTCGAGACAAAACTGTATACCATGGAACCTACATCCCCATCAAAAAAAGTAGAGGCCTGTGATCATAAACCATTGCAAGAATGCTTGTTACGAAACAACAATGACCGTTCAAAATGCATGAAGGAATGGGAAGATTTTCAGCGAGCATGTCGAGAGAAAGCGTAAGTCATGCTTTGGTACAATGGAACGACATTTGACGGATCATTGACTATTTTTCTTTTTGTAGACAAAAAAAGAACCAAGAATGTCAAGCTTGTAAAGAATAAGAAATTTTGTATTGATAGTAATTAGAAAGCTAGATTATAGATATTTGTATACATTATAAAGAACAAAAAAGATAAAATCATTATTGTTGCATATTAATCATGTTGGGGGATGGTCCTCGTTCAGGTGTCGCTGGGTGTGACGATTCCTTTCTCATAAAGATGGAACGTCGCTTATTTTCTTTGCCTTCGTCAGGACGAGGTCGAGCAATGACGACAGTGCAAGGACAGTTGTGAACACAGTGATCACTCACGCTACCCAGTAGTGTTCTGTCAAAAAAAAACCTCATGTTAGAATACCGATCCAGTGCCCGCCGACAAGGGAGTTGGTATACGTTACCTCTTTACTGCACCCATTTTACGGGAACCCATAATGAGAACATCGGCCTTGCTTTCAGTAGCCTTGCGAACCAACTCGAACTTGGGTTCGCCAATCATAGCCACTGCTTTGCATGCAATCTGTCGGGCATGAAATAGGATTAACTTGATATCCTCCCAACACAAGGTGCGTGTCGTGAGTGTGAGATACTTACATTCATTTGATGGAGTTTATGTGCATACTCGTTCAACAGACGATGGCTTTCCTCACGTTTGCCTGAATCGAGTTCTTCAACAAAGCCGGTGGGATTAATGTAAGGAGCCAAAGGAGCATCGACCACACGGACGTTGACCAAGATGATGAGATCTTTCTCGGGTTGAATAAAGTTTTCAATAGCCCAGTTGAAGACATAGTCTGCGGAATGCTTGTCGAGACTGATGAGGACCACTCGCTTTAAGCGTTCATGGGCTTCAGGAGCATGATCAAATTGTTCCACCAAAGTGTCGCGCTTGCGTTCTTCGGACATGTTAGTTTGAGATGTTGCAGTAGGAGTAGGAGAAACTGAGTATGGGTCTACAGGTAAAGAAGAGAACATTTGAGGATCATAGAAAATCACTACTCTATATACCTTTTATGCTTCAAACTTTTTTGAGAGACAGAAAAAAAAAATCTCCTCGGATTCCAAAATAGAACAAAAATTGGCATGAAATTTTCTATGCAGATGTTCTCTCGAAGTTTTTAAACTTCGTTTACCCGGCAGGAGAATGTTACAAAGAATACAAGTGGACCCTTTTTACCATCATTCGATAACAGATCTCTAGTGTCCATTGATACAGTGTATACGGTCTGCAGTGAACGCATCATCATTTTCGTACCATCCATTCTGTCATGTCTGTCACATCCAAGCAGGAAAAACAATGTATTAAAAACCATCCCTTGCACTTGCGTATATCGTGTGATACAATGGAGGTTGCGAAAACGGAACTTCAATTTTATGAAAGAATATGCCAGCTGACTTATTCCCATTACAACTTGACCTTCACTGCGTAATCTGTCCTTGCCCACTTTGGTTGATTCTTCCGACCCGTCTGAGGGTCTGAGGTCGTAACTTAATTACAGCTATGCTGTCACTATTTTGCTATTTCCTGTCTTATCACATCTCGGTCTATCAAGACACTCTGGTCTGTTGCTTCTCCATTTCTCGTCATGCCGTCTATATAAACTCTAGTGCCTTTTTTAACATCAATAAACTGTAGAGCTTGTGGATTCCCACTGTTTCATATTGTGGCCCGCCATGACGGAACAAGCCAACCGAGTGAGAAAAAAAAAATTCACACGCATGATGCGGGGCAAAAAAAAAAGCCTGTCACTCGGAATCTCCGGAGGGATAAGAAATATCGTACCATGTCCGTTACATTTGCATTCTCAAGATTGAGTTAAGTTTAATGGACAGTGAGAATTAAAGCGCATAAAATATCCCTCACCTCGTATGCTGCTACAAAGGTAAATAAAAAGTCAACATCAGAACGATATAATGTTCTATAACTTTCTGTCAACCCGACGCAATAACACCATGATGCGGAATAGAAAAGCATCCCACTTTGATATTGCGAATCAAGAACATCACACATCTTTATCTTGCTGTGCTGGGGTTATTGGAGGGAAAGGAGACTCACGGTGCTCACGGAGTCTGCTTACGTCTTTTTTGTGAGACCGAGGTTGATCACAGATGTCCTCTGGGTTGATCTCGATATGATGAATCGAGTTCGGAACCTCGATCACTAGGTTGTCACATCCGACTCAAACTCCAAAATAAAAAGAGAAAAAAACGGTTGTTTCTTTTACAAAAAGGGGATATGAGAAAATCATGTTGATTATAATTGAAAGCACAGAACTACACGAATGAAAAACAATAAAGACAAATAATGAGGGTTTTTATCTAAGGGGAATTCTTATCTTTTCTTCTTCTTCAGAACTTCATTTCTTCCTCATAGAAACCGACGGTGGGGAAGCTCTTGGCGAACTCGGTGACTTCAGACTTCAACTTTTGAACGGATTCCAATTGGGAACCGTCGCCAATGTGCTTCTTAAAGTCAGCCAACTTGGAACCGCTGACCTTGCTGTTCTCTTCGAGAGCAATTTGCACAGCACGGTCAATGAAGTGAGCAACCTTCTTGAAATCGTTGGCATCCAAACCACGGCTGGTCATGGCGGGAGTACCGATACGGAGACCACCGGGGATCAAAGCGCTCTTGTCACCGGGAACGGTGTTCTTGTTGGCGGCGATGTTGACGAGTTCGAGAATACGTTCGACACGGGCACCATCGACACCCTTGGGCTTAAGGTTGACCAGCAACAAATGGTTATCCGTACCACCGGAGACGAGCTCGTACTTGAGATCGAGGAAGGCTTGAGCGAAAGCCTTGTTGTTTTCAAGGACTTGCTGTTGGTAAGCCTTGAACAAGGGAGACTTGACCTGCTTCAAAGCAACAGCCAAGGCACCAATGGTGTGGTTGTGAGGACCACCCTGGTGACCAGGGAACACGGACTGGTTGATAGCGTTCTCCAAATCATAGTAGGTTTCTATACCAACCTATCGTTAAGGCTCACATCTTTTTTTGATCTCCTTCACGTTCATCCCAATAACTGTATTTTCGATCCTCCAAAGCAACCCAATGCCCCCTCGCATCGAAGAAGTAATACATACCCTTGCCCTTCTTGTCAACGCTGCGGACACCCTTTCTGAAGAAGATCATGGCACCACGGGGACCACGGAGCGACTTGTGGGTGGTGGTGGTGACAATATCAGCATGCTGGAAAGGACCAGGCAAGACATCGGCGGCGACCAAACCTGTAAGAAATTGGGTCACACAAGAATGAGATCACAAACATCCATTAAGAAAAAAATAAATCCAAGATGAAAAAGAATTTTTACCGGAGATGTGAGCAATATCGGCCATCAAATAAGCGCCCGCCTTGTCGGCAATCTAAAAAATGCAAATCTTAAGACTTAGGGCTCCATTTTCTTTTTTTGGGCAATGATCTTGTCATCACCAGGTAGAATAAAAAATAATACATACCTTCTTCATTCTGTCGTAGTCAATGTTACGGGCGTAAGCACTGGCACCGGCCACAATGACCTTGGGGCGGTACAACAAGGCGTTCTTTTCCAAGGCGTCGTAGTCGATCTGACCGGTGGATTCGTCAAGACGGTAGGGAAGAGACTCAAAGTAAGAGGAGACAGCCGAGATCTTCTTGGTAGGAGTTTGGAAACCATGGGACAAACTAGCCATTACAGAAACAACGTTCAGCCCTACTTTTTTTCTCGTCTAATTTTTATTCCAATATCGTATACATACTGGCCACCGTGGGGAAGATCGAGACCCATCAAACGATCATGGGGCTTCATAATAGCACCATAGACGTACAAGTTGGCGGGAGCACCTAATAGATTTCATCATCACTGAGTGAGTCAAAAGTGGCAAGACCTCTCCATCCATGATTTTTCCAATTACCAGACAAGGGTTGGACGTTGACACCCCATTCGGAGGGATCAAGGTTGAAAGCTTCCAAGGCTCTCTGTTGGCAGAGCTTCTCGGACATATCAATGAACTCGTTACCACCATAGTATCTATTGTTATTGATCAGCCTTTTGTTTCTGTTTCTTCCTTTTGGTTTGGCAATCGTACCTGGCACCAGGGTAACCTTCAGAGTACTTGTTCTGCATGACGCTGCCCAAAGCATCCATCACAGCGCGGGAAGTGAAGTTCTAAACCAAAAACACCAATTCATGAGTCATCCGCATGATATATTATTGTCATTGAGGACAATAAAAATATACATACCTCAGAGGGGATAAGGCACACACTTTCACGCTGACGCTTCTTTTCGTTCTCAATGATATCAAACATTTCGGGGTCAGTTTGCTTCAAGCGGTCATTGAGGAACTGCAAAAAAAAAGTTCAATCATGTTAGTACAGTCTCATCGTATCCAAGTTTTTGGGGCTGTGAATGTACCTCGCGCTGGCCAGCGGGGAAGACATAGGTACGCTAACAACAAAAGAAAAAGGTCAGTTTGATGGGACTTTCAAGGGAAGGCCATCGGTCAGTACGGGGTGACTTACAGCAGTCTGGGCAATGGCGGGTCTGGCAAGACGAAGAGCTGCGGTGGGCTTGGCGGTGGCGAGAAGTGAGCGGATCATTGTGGAGAAGCGAAAGAGGTGAAAGACAAAAGAAAAAAAAAAGAAGCCGGCAAAGTAAATATGTGGGAGGAATTATATAAAGCTTTTTCGGACCAAGAGCAAACCTAATTAGGCAATCCTCTTCCACCGAGTCAATCCACCGCGTCAAAAAAAAAAGAAAAAAATTGTATTATACCCAGCTTACTGGACTGCTTTTTGCAGTGATGATGAAGGAAATCATCCCTTGGCGGCCCTTGAATTTCCAAAGTCTTAAATCACTGCCTCTTCGAGCCAGGATTTTCATTTGTTCCAATCTGATACGAAACTGACATCATCCAGCAAATTCAAAATCACTATATCGCTTATGTCTTTTTCCCTGTAATATAGGGTGGCAATCTGTGCGATGGATTATGGATGTTGTATTTTATGAGAATGGGATTCCGTCACCATGTAAACAACAACAAACATGGCGAACTGACCATGGTTGCGTCGCACACAGTGATCCAAAAATAAGCCGGATACAGAATAATAAAGACCGCCATGGCCTTTGAAAAAACGCATGGCGACATCGACAATCACCAATGAAATCACAGTGTTATTTTGTGGGGTATAAAAAATTGTTCATGCATGTCCGCTTTCACCAGTGATTCCACAAGCGATTTCATGAGCGATTCCACGGAAGATGCCAAACAAGGCTATTTCCTTTTAACCTCCATCTTTTCAATTTTCTATACAGTGCATGCATCCTTCATTTATTGTCATTGTTTTAAAGCTGGCTACGAGAACTCGATGATTTCAGAGTCCAGAACTGTAACAGAATAAATATTCCTTTTATCTGCGTTTTGGCCTTGCTTGAAAGCTGTATATAAACAGATGATCGCTTATGACAATGCTGGATCTATGAGATGTAATCCCAAAATAATACCTATGGCTCCTTCATGTCCACATTCTCATTCACAAACAGATAAAAAATTTTCTTTGCCTAAATCAGCAAGAATAATTTGAGGTCGGTCGAGCCTGTGGACGTTCGAATCACTGTAAATGAGACCATCAAGGCAAGGAGTACAAGGACTGGAGCCGCATATACTGCCTTGTAGTACAAGCATATTTTAAGACGATGCCAGGATCAAAAAAAAAAAAAAAAAAAAAAAAAAAAAAAAAAAAAAACTATCATTCACGCAGAGACCAGCGGACACCGCGGCCTGCGCGGTTTATCAACGATAAAGTGTTCACATGGCAGGCACAACCCAATTATTTTTTTTCCATTTATCTCGGTATAAGTTTGTGTTAAGGACACCATTAAACTCGACAAAACATCCCGTTATCACCGTTGCATAGGCGACAAACCGTCGGGCTCTCTCCACTTGCATTAACACATATTTTCTCCATACAAGAACTCGTCAATTCAGTTTACTTTAATAACTCTTCTCGTTGAAGGACTTCTTTTTCCAACTTGATCAAAATGGTTGTTCGTAATGGGTGAGCATCCGTAGGCACAGAATGAGCCGTTACTCTGGCAGGCTGTATGGACTACATGTCAGTAATCCTAGTTTTTTCGGTCACGTCTCCTCGCTGCGTTCGATACTTACAAATTGGCATCCATCTAATACTGCTTCGACAATACCGGCAATGAAAGCGTTGCAGTTTAACTGTGAGAGCTCCTTTGGCACCGAAATATAGCGCGTCAGAACAGGGTCATTATCTGAAATCATGTCTTTTTTTTTTTGAAAATCCATGGGTTAGCGAAAATGATGATATTTGTGAGATGAGGTATTTACATTCATCTTCATTTTCTGTGCTCTTTTCAAGGGAATCGGCTTGTTTTCCGAACAACGTCTTCCATACCACACTGTGAATGAAATACAGTACACCAAGGACTCGTGTTTCGCGCTTAGCATTTTTCTCCCTCCATGACAATAGTTCCAGTTGCCGAGCTCCTACTCGGTACCCAAACTCATTTAGCCTAAACCTCTCGATTAGTAACATGCATACTCAAGAGAGAGAGAGACCACCATGTCACGTTTCCACCTACTTGCGCTCAAGATCTTGGATTCCATTCACTCGTTTCTGGGCATACTGAAGCATTTCCGAAAACAAAAATGTTTGCGCACTCAAACTGACCTAAAATTAGCAGGACTATGCGTTAATTCCATCTGCAGAGATCTTATTTGGCGCATGGCCAGAAGGTGACTTACTTCTGTGCCTCGGCTTTTGTTGAGATGTCGTTCCAGGATGGTTTTTGCTCGTGCCATCCTTTGTTCATTGTATGTAGAGGAGACGATAGGAGCGCGTCCTGGTGTGTTTGAAAACTCGCTCATGGTGAAAAGGAAGAGAAAAAAAACAATGACGAGTCGGTGAGTTAGGTTCACAGCGCAACAGACCTGGTGGGATTACTTCTCATCAAAAAACCCTCGGCCAATCAAAAAGTCCGCCAATGCTGTATGGCTGCCCAAACTAAAAAAGACTGCACCACTTGTTGAACCTTTTATTGCTCTCATATTTTACGCAACGCATCAATACTTTGCATCCATTTGGTTATAAAGCATATCACTTTCAATCTCTCATCGCGGGCTCTCTCTCTCTTCTAAAAGTGGCTCCACTGCCCTAACGATGGGTCCCCAGCTCAAAAGCATCGATCAAAAATTTCCAAGAAAAGAAAAACGTGTTATCTTGTACCGTTGATTTTTATAGTGAGTGAAAATCAATTAAATGCTCAAATCAGTTTATCGCTCAAGGCGAATATCTCTCGGCAAAAAATTACACGAGTGAATGAAAATGCACAAAGATGAGAGACACGTATCAATGTTGCCGGCCAGGGCAGACTTTGTAAGAATCTTTGCGTTCACAGTGACAAAGTGGGAAACACATTGAATATCCTTGGCCATAAAACAAGTACATAATACCAATGGCTGTCAGTGAATCATACGAGTCCAAGCTTCATAAGCAGCAGTCAGTCAGTAAAGTCAGTGAGCAACCAAGTTTCTTCCTGCATTTCCTTTTTTGGGTTCGACGACATTCAAATTTTTTTGCGAGAAAAAAACCGTGTCGCACTGTAACAAACGTCGGTGGGCCCCGTTTTCGGCTTGGTGTTCTTTTTTTTTTTTTTTTTTTTTTTTTTTTTTTTGCTTTTCCTCTCCTTTTCTCTTTTTTCTTCTTCTTTGTATCCTTTTGTCTATTCGTCATGGCCAGCATTATCCAGTCGATTCTTGACTGGCTACGAAGCCTTTTCTTCAAGGTAAAATGATGGCTAGTTGAATGGGAGTTTTGCTTTTTTTTTTTTCGTCATTTCACTTTTGAACTAAAGCATTGAATCCTTTTTCCTACAGACTGAAATGGAGCTGACTTTAGTCGGCTTGCAAAATAGCGGCAAAACCACCCTTGTGAACGTGATTGCGGTAGGCTTGGTGACATGACGAGTTGTAGATGGTTTTTGAAAATTGAACCTTTTTTTTTCTGCATTTCGTTGCCAGTCTGGACAATTTATCGAAGACTCCATTCCCACTGTTGGATTCAACATGCGCAAAGTAACCAAAGGCAACGTGACGATGAAGTTATGGGATATCGGTGGACAGCCCCGTTTTAGAAGCATGTGGGAACGCTACTGCCGAGGTGTCAACGCTATTGTGTAAGGGACAACAAAAAAAAGTTTTCTTTCATTTTTCCTAGTTTCTGGGGGATAAGAAGAAAAAAGAAAGGAAGAGAAAGTTGGGTCTTTTTCAACCGGGTCGTCATGGAAACATTAACACTCGTTTTTTATGCTATGCAGGTTTGTGGTGGATGCGGCTGATCCTGACAAGTTGGAAGCTGCCAACGTGGAATTGAAGAGTTTGCTTGAAAAGCCCCAATTGGCAAATATCCCTGTTTTGGTTTTGGGCAATAAGAACGATCTTGAACATGCACTGAGTGCGGAACAGTTGATCGACCGTTTGTAAGTACCGTGGTAGCAAAGAGACCGGTGTGGTGGTGGAGATGGTGGTGCGAAAGCAATAGATTTGAATGAACTCACATGACAATACAGGCACTTGAAATCCATCACCAATCGAGAGGTTTCGTGTTACTCGATTTCAGCAAAGAATCAAGTCAACATCGATGTAACGCTTCAGTGGTTGATCAAAAAGGGCAAGGGACAAAAGTAGAATCGGATCAACGTTATATCCAACGTGGTTTTTTTTTCTCTCTTTATATTCTACCCTCTTTTTTTCGTCCTTTTTTTTTTTTATTTCCCAGTAGATTTTGCATATTCCCTTGCTTTGAACAAAAAAGAAAAAAAAAGTTGTGTGCCTGTCCTTCTTTTTTTTTTTTCCTTTTTTGCCCTTTTTTTTCGTCTCTTTAATTACATCCATACTTATATAACCAATCGTTCCTCTCTTTTCAAACGTTCCTCTTTTTTCCTTTTTTTGCGATATGCCTAATATAAAAAAAAAATATCAGATAATATGGGCCAGTCAAACCTTTTTGAATGGATCTTTTTTTTATTATTTTTTGGTCTCCTCTGGCGTTTCATGCAAACCAACATATTTAAACTCAACAACCTAATGACAGCCATTTGAAGGTCCGGGTAAGGAATATTTATTCAACTTTCTCTTTTTTTTAACCCTTTGTCTCTTTTTTACTTTTTTTTTTTATAACCGATTGCATGGATCCATTAGTGACTAAAACCCAGTCTATACCTTCATACCATGCTGTCATGGTCAATGAGGATACCAGTGCACAACGACTGAACCAGCTCGGATACAAGCAAGATTTACGGCGTACTTTATCGTCGTTTGCAACTTTCGGTAAATCATCGTGGTTGCGATGAAAATCCCACTCTGATATCTAAAATGATACGAAATTAGGTTTGGCATTCACGAATATCGGTATTCTTTCAAACACGTCGGCGACGTTTCAGACTGGTAGGCGCTAGATTCTAAACAAACAGGGAGAGATCGTATCTTCATTCATTCATTCCATTCCCCAGTGTTACAGCGTGGCGGACCCGTGGTGATGCTCGTCAGCTGGAATATCGTTGCTGTATTCATGATTTGCATCGCTTTATCACTTTCCGAGATCTGCTCTTTATACCCGACCAGCGGTGGACTTTACTACTGGGTTTATGAATTACTGCACCGCGGGAATAATAAAAAGAAAGCCCCCATCATGTAAGATCTTCTTTTTTTTTTTACCTTTTTGCTTTTATTTGTTTCTTATTATTATTATTTTCCCACTCTTCTTTTTTTACGCTTATGACTTTTCCAGTGCCTTTCTCACCGGATGGACCTATGTTTTGGCTAATATTATCGCTATCGCAGCCAACAATGTCGCAGTAGGTACGAGTGGGACAAGAGAGAGAGAGAGAGAGAGAGGGATAGAAAGAAAGAGTGCTTACCGGACATCGAGCTAACTGAGCGAGGGATTAGCACTTTCTTTTGGCAGTATTGTGGATCTCTTATATGGACGTACTTTGAGTAAAATTGCGTTGATGGTGATCACATTGGTCGTCACATTGATTCATGGTATCCTAAATATCCATAATTTGAGTGGATTGGCTGTGTTGAATCAAGTGAGCGTATTCTGGTCATGCGCTGGTCTGGCCGTGGTGATGCTTGTACTCTCTGTGGCGGCTGAACATCGCCAATTCAATTGGGTGTTTACGGATTATGAAAACAAGACGGGTTTCGACAGTCCGATCTATGTGTTTATGTTGGGCATGATCGGAGCCGCGTATTCTTTATTTGGTAAGCAGAAATTCACCGGCGTCCCCGCAGTAAAAGGATGACGACAGAAAAAAATTATAATTTTTTTAATCATTTTGCATCAATGTTAGGATGTGAATGTGCGGCTTCAGTCAATGAGGAAACACAGGATGCCGATATTGCTTCTCCGTGGTAAGCGAAAAACTGGGATATGGAATAATCCGCCCATTGTATCCATATGAAAACAGAAAAAAAAAAAAAAATTAGGCCGATTTGTCTCATATAATGATTCAGGGCAATGACGATGTCGATTGTCACGGCATGGTTCGTAGGTCTCATATTTTTGATCAGTCTGTTGTTCTCCATTCAAGATATGGATGCGATTCTAAACACAGAGTTACACATGCCAGTGGCACAACTGTTTCAGGTACGCCAATTTATTTGATTCACTATTTGGTTCTGTGATTTTTGGCTCACTGATAAAAAGGACGCCGTGGGACTTTGGGCAGCCATTGCCTTCTTGATACTGATGGTGACATGTCAATTTTGCACGGGAGCCACCACAGTGACCGTGGCGTCTCGTCAGATTTACGCCTTAGCCAGAGATAATGCCGCTCCCATGAGTCCGTTCCTGTATGCACTCAATCATCAAAAAATACCCGCCAATGCGATTTGGATCACTACCGCGCTCACTTCCATGGTTGTCTTGCCTTTTCCATTGTCCGAACATGTCTTTGAAACCATCGTCAGTGCCGCTACCGTGGCAATCCATTTAGCTTATGGTAACAGTCGAACAGTCAATGTTATTGTTTTTTTATCCAACCTTGAAACCATCTTACACAAAACCTTTTTCTTTCTGTTGAAAATAGCGCTGGTGCTGGGTTGTCGCTTGGGCGTCTCCATTGAACGACAAGGTCGATTTTCCCTTGGACGATACTCCACACCCATCACATGGATAGGATTTTTGTGGGCGACTTATGCTATTTTCGCTTTTATGTTACCGACGGCATGGCCCATTGAAGGTATGTCAAAAAGTGTCGATGTTGCTTTGTTTATAAGCATTTCTCATTCTTTTTTTGGGGGGTTATACACTTTTAGCAAATAACGCCAATTATGCTGGTCTGGGTCTTTTCATAGTGGCGGGTACAACGTATTGCTTTTGGTTAGGATGGGGCCGGTTTCATTACGTGGGACCGACTGTAATGAATGACGCTACTGACTTATAGCCTCGACCTACACTAACTGATGATGTACATAAACACTTCTTTTTTTTGCATAAAAGTTGGGATCTCTTCTTCATGGACGAATAATGTATAGAGATGCAAAACGCAGGTGGTGGTCACAAAGTTTGTCAACAATATGAATAAATAAATAGATGCATTCGATGTTTGGAATCATTGGGTAGATCGAACAGACTTGTTTCTACGAAACAGCTTTACAATAGTATTCTTGACCCGTGGTGATGATCGTTTAGAGGAAGGTGTCGATGCGGTACAGGGCGGTGAGCAGGACAAGGATGTCGGCTCCGGGGAAGTCGGACGGCTGGACTTTTTGCGCACAACAGTACGTAATTTTGAAAAATAAGCGGCGCATTTGCTGGATTGTCGACAATGTGAAAGCGAAGCTCTTGTTTCGATGGTTGTTCCTTTTGAATCAAGTTGGCAAGGCGATACGGTGGGTAAGCTGACGGTCGGAACCACAGTTGGTATGCTTGACATTGACTGACAACTTGTTGTGGCTACAGTAGTGTTGGTGGACGTAATAGTTTCGGCTAATGTTTCTGTTGAAGATTCCTTTGATTCCCCGCGGCACGAACGGCTATGGTATGTTGCTGAGCGACGACGACGATGGCAACGCAACAATAGCGATTCACGTCGGTTGAGTGCTGCTCGAGTCTTTAGCCACCACGCCGGAGCATACGTAACAGCTTGTCCATTGCATGCAGTGTAACGGAATTCTGGTTGGGAAGCGATTGTGGTTAGTCGACAATCGACCACTTTGTCGGCTACCTCTTTTGCTGGACAAGAACACGAACGGCAGCGGTTGCTAAAATCTGTGGCAGGACGTGTCCTTGGCTCTGGAAGTAAGGGCAGATCGAGGCCGGGTTCATGAGATGGAGGTACTGATGAAAAGATGGATGGTGAAGGTGTGTTTGGTAAAGCCTTTTTCACAACCTCTTTCTTGGACGCTTCCTGAGCGATGCAAAGCCAGTAAATGGCCGAACAAAACCAGAATAGCTGAGATTGAAGGACGCTCCACGAGATTAAAAGAACGGTAGCTGGTTTGGATCGCTTGCCAGGCGGAAGGTCCATTTCATTGTACAAAAAAAAGATATAAGAAGAGATAACAAATTTAATTCATGTTGCTTATGATATCTGTTTTTCTCTTCTTCGAAACCGGAAAACTTTCGACGTAGAAAATCATGTAAAACGTGCATGCAATCAGTCGCAAAATCCAGGCTCCTTATTGGTCCATTCACCTCACACTGGAGACTCAAAACTCCGCCACCACACAGAACCAAAAAGAAAAGGGAAAACGCGCCACATGTCAGGCCGCGCAATACAAAGTATGGTCAAACGCGGCAGCCAATCAATCGTTTTCCCAAAAAAAAAAAAAAAAAAAAAAAAAAAAAAAAAAAAGAAAGCACACAGTTGCTGAAACCACCAACGGTTCTATATGCTTGTATGGCTGTGATTAATTGGGTCGAAGCAAAACTGATTTTTCCATAGCTGTTTTGGTGTGCCTAAATCTTCATCGTCAAGGGACAACTAATCAATCATCCTCTTCTCGATGCGGTCATTTTTTTTTTTGACATGTTGGACACATAATGTATTCCTTTTTTTTTCCTCATTTTACTCCAATTTACACAGTAAAAATACTAAAATCACGCCAACTACAACTACAACTACAACTACAACTATTCATTACCATAGTCTCGATGTTTGCAAGCTGCCATGCTGGTGAATATGAATCAGAACGCATGTCTTCACACTTTTTTTTTCTTCTGGTAACGGGCTGATACGTCCGATGTTTGTGTTGACACTTGTCCATCGTAATTTGAATTGAAATCCTGTTTTGGCATGGACTGCATTTGATTATAATAGTTTTGACACCATCCACACCGAATCATCCCACTTGCCCGATCGAGAACGATGGTATAATGGTGAACAAGACGTTTTGAAGCACCACAGAGCGTATTTGTTTTCGTCTGTTTATTGGGCTTTTTTTTTCATGGGCTCTTCAAGGACACATTTACTCCTGAACACACGGTGCCGCGGATCCATAAAAAGTTTTTTTTTATCAAAAATGACCCACATGGAGAAAAAAAGGACAATGACGAAATTTTCGTGTCACCAAACCATTTTTTGTCACATGTGTCTAGGAAACTCTTTTTTTTTTCACAAAAAAAAAGAATAAGTACGTTTTGCTGAAGACAAAGTATTGGAAATATTTTGCCTCTGTATTGGATGGTTTCATTATTAATTCGTTCCATCCGCAAGATGGAAACCGTCGGCACGGTGTCATCTGTCACGGTGGGGCACTTGACATCCGTTTCATTTGTATCAATGTTCTATGAAATTTCCCTTTCCAGTATACAAAATCTATTCCATCCCGATCGCTGCTCTCCTTGTGTTTATGAAGTTGATACATTTTGGTGAGTGATAACGAGTGGTAATCCACCTATTCTCCAGCTTTTTCCTTGGTTTTTTCTTTCCGATCTGTAAAAAAAAGGGCTTTTTTTTTTGCCTTCCCACGGAATGGGTAGCACAAAAAGTTCATTGTTCCAGGGTTTGAGCAATAAAAAAAAAAAGAAATTAAGGGGCAAAACCAGTCCACTTGCGCGCATTGTGCTCCATATTGGTTAGGCGAGGTTCTTTTTTTTGAGTTTCCTCCTTTTTTTGTTTATTGTTTGAAGGCTTTGATCGAAAAAGACAAAAAAATGAAGACGGTGATGAAAAAAAGGAAACCGGACCTTGAGAGCACCAATCAAAGAAGTGTTTGTATTGATTCAATCATTTTGCACTTGTTCTTTGATCAAAAATGTTGTTTACATTCAGGGAAAAGTGATGCCACCTTAATTTTTTTTCCACTGTGGTAAACGTCGAATTGCTGATCCTTCAAGATCGGGGCAGAGACATATCATTTTGTTGCGGTTTTTTTTTCATGCATGTGCGACAACAGCTTTTTTTTTTCTTTTTTGAAAAGTAAAAAGGAAACAATGACGAGATTTTGATTCCTGATCCTTCACCTTGACATTTTTTGTAGATAATTGCCATGGTAACGTCTCTCACCATTACGCAACTGAAACGTTTCATGATCTTGGCATCCGTCCGACCGAGGTTGTTTGGCGATATCCCTTGATTTTTTTCTTTTTCCTGGGCCATTACCCGTAAACAAAGACCGTTTTCCGTTCCATATGGTTCCCATATCGAAGATAATCGAAAAAAAAAGATGAAAAGAACAGTCCTTTCGATAGCTTTAACCAAAAAGGGCGTTGAAGCTCTTTGACGAGGGAAAATCCTTTTTTTTTCTACAAGACAATGGTGCCTAACCACAGCGAAAAAGCAACAAGATGCTTATACACCATGTCAATATTACTCACGGGATTGTTAGCGAAGAAAGTTCCCCAAAAGCGTATGGAAAAATAATGTCATCTTTTTCTTCCATTTTATTGTCTTTTTTTGATTTCCTTGTGGGCGGTGGTTATCATGATCCAACATGTCGCATTACGTGACTGCTAGATTGCATGAATATTTATACGGACCATGGATTCATGAGAGTTACTCCGCTTATTCTTTGCTTTACTTTGAAAATGCTCTTTACCGCGAAAAAACCGCTATTTTTACTACTGCTCTTACTGCTCTTGCCAGCTTTATGCTGTGCCCTCGTACGTAATCTCATTGGAATTTTTTTTTTCCCATTGACTGGCATGACGCTGACCTTTTTTTCATTTCGTAGGAAATTTCTGATGCTGATGTTAAGCCTTCGCCCATGGCAACCAGCTATCCTTCGGCCCATGTCCCCCGTGACGAAGAACCCGCTGTCGCTGTTCCCGCTGATCGTTTTAGATCGCTCTTCTCTTCTCTTGAATCCACGGCTAAATCTCTGGTCGACCAAACGGAAACGCTGGTAAAGACCAACCTGTTAAAGGCTCGAGACACGCTTCCTCGTGTCGTTGTTGTTGATGTTCCTGTTTACGTCAAGTCCCAAATTGGTTTACTCAAACTCAATGTTGGTTCCGCCATGGCTCCTTTGAAGCACTACAAGAAATACCTGCATGCCCAAACCAAGAAAGTTTCCAAGGAACTCCAGCTTAATAAAGCTACTCGTCCCGCTCTGTTCTACTCCTTTGATGATTTCCTGTTTGATATGGCCAACTACTTCCCTTGGTTGATGAAACTGAACCTGACTCCCTTTGAAACCGCTGCCGCTCGTCGCAAACATATTTATCAGAATGTCTATGGTTCTGACAAATATGACAGTGCCCATGCTGACCTGATTCGTGCCCGTGTCGCCCGCTGGACCTCGCAAAGCGCCTCGAAAACTGACGTTTTCCTTAACGAGGTCGTCTCTGACTATGATTTCTATCTTGAACAAGCCCGATTCGAAATTGATGCCTCCCTCGATTACCTGAACGACTGGGTCTACCAAGGATCTGAAGCTGTACCTTTGCCTCCTATGGATACTTCCCAACTGCAACAGACCGCCAATTTAATGGACCACGCTGTTACCACCGCTTTTGACGGCGATTTGCTGACATCATTCAATCGTCAGTTCCAGGTCGCAGTTTCGATGACCGGTCCGCTTCGTCGCCCCTTGGAAGCCATCCGCCACAACGTCATCAACGATATCAAGCAAATCTATGAATCTGTTTTCCCGGATGCTGTCCAGGACATCCACACGTTTACCGACAAGGCTCAAACCAGGCTGAACCACCTCTATGCGACGATCCAACACAGTCACCGCAACGGCCAACTGGTGGACCGTGACATCAGACGAATTCTTGCTGACGAAATCGTAAAATCCCGGAACTCCTTGCACTTCCAACTGACCCAGCTGGAGATGGCCAGATCCCGCCTGAAAACGGCCAGAATGCATATCCACTCGGTTTGGCACGACACTCACGATGAACTACGACCTACGCCGTTCACCTTCAACTATTGGTACGACGCCGGCTACAAGCTCCGCAACCAATTGCAGTCGATAAACCACTGGCAGCAACGAGTGCTTCCTCGTTGCTCCTGCTCTCTGACCTGGGGCGATCAACCCAGGCCCCGGAAACCACTTTTCAGAAGAAGAGTCACCTATTAACAAGCTCTCCTCCGCAACCTATGGATTCTCGCGAGGCTAATTATTCTCGCGAGAATCTAAATCCCCTTATGATTTAATTCAGTGAAGGAAAAAAAATGATCAAAAGCCAATCTAATTCTATGTATGGTATGAAATCCAATAAAAAAAAAAATGATCAAAACAGCAACTTTTTTCTTTTTTTCGGCATTTTTGTCTTTGTTACATTGATTGTCATGGCAAGCCAAAAAAAAAAAAAAAAAAAAAAAAAAAAAAAACTAATTACTCGTTACGGGATGCTTTTATCTTACGTTGAACAGCTTTCATGAATCACCCCAAAAAATAAAAATAAAAAAGAAACCACTACCCAACGGTAAAGGACGCTCATTGTTTGTTGTACATCATGTAAAGACGAACCGGATAGACCGTTTTTTCACACTCTATTGGACGATTTTGCACATACAGTCTAACTCCTCCTCCGTCGTTCGCCGGACGTTTCTTCTTCTTTCGTAAAGTTCTCGTCTGACATTTCGGGCAAACCTGTCATGTCAGAAACTCATCGACCATGCTGTTTTTTTGCCATGATCTAATGATTCAGTTGTCCAACGGTGATGTCTACAATTTTGAATTAATAATGACTTGCGTTATTCCATTCAAGAAACGTTGCTTCAGTTGTTTCAGTCAGACTTTGTCGGTGCAGACATAGATTTCTTCTTGTCGTTCCCGAGAAGGATCCATGCTCAATAATTGTCATATTCCTATCGCTTGGTTTTATTCTTGGGATTTTCCAGACGCCATTTTCTGCCAGGGTATGCCCGGATTATCGTATCCAAGTGAAAGGGTAATGGTGGACAATATCAGGAAGGACAGGATGGGTTTCGCGTAAAATATTAGAGTAGGCCCAAAGGCTACGGTCATCATATTTCGAGTCATCTTTCTGGCCTTATTTGCCGAACCTGTGCGTAGTATCTAAATACAAGGCATTCGCAATGCATAAATATGAATTCTGTAGATACGAAGCCAAAAGAAAAAACCAGACCTCAATAGATCGCACTTCCAACGAAATTTGTTTTTCGCCTTATTATATAATGTTAGTTTATAAATGATATATAGATAGATAGATAGATGTAGTTCAAGTACGCAGATTATGAGGTTGACTGACGATCAATGACGTTGAATTTCACGGCGAGAGAATCTCTAAGAGCTGAATCGGGCTTTAATCCGGCCGTCACCACATCTCCGGCTTTGATGGGTCCCACCCCCGAAGGGGTACCTGTCAAGATAACATCTCCAACTTCCAACCTCATGATGGAGGAAATATGCTCTATCAGTTGCGGCACACTGATCCCGAAAACGGAAAGATGTATTTGTCAGTTGCAGCCAAACCGGGATTCCTATTCCCTTGTCTTACCTGAAGATCATATCTTTCGTATTGCCATTTTGACGCAGTTGGTCATTCACCTGATAAAATAAAGCATTTTGGAATAAGCAATAGTTAATGTTGGATCCGTTGATCAATATCCCACCTTGAGCCATAAATGAACGTCAGCAGGATCAGGAATGGATGCCTTTGGGATGAAATCACTAGAATCACGGGTTAGCCAAGCGATTTCGCGGATTCATCACCAGTGGAAGGTCCAACCTGATAGGTGTGAATGTATCGTATCCCTTTGAAGTGCTCCAGGGCAACCCTTTTTTCTTGGCCTCATTCTACGACGAACGCATCAGTATTTGTATTACCGGTCCCCGATCCACTTGATGCTACCTGTAAATTACGAGCCGTCAAATCCAACGCCAAAGCATAACCTGTGAAGGAAGCATGGGATCATTAAAGGCCAGTCCACTCACAACACTCAGCTAGGTCTTTGTACCTGCAATATGATCCATGGCATGGCTGGCACGGCAGTCACGGGTCTCCTTGCCAATCACCACGGCTAGTTCCACTATACACCACATTCAATGTCACTGCCACAGGGTATGCCAGCGTAGACGAGCGCGTATTTTACCTTCGTGATGCACATCGCATCCTTTGGGAATTTCAATGGAACCGCCATTTGGAAGGTAGGACGAAGTTGGTTTAAGGAAAAAGAAGGGCGATTTTGGAACTGCGTTTCCCAGTTCTTTCGCGTGCTCGCTGGGGGATGGGGGTGTGAGCTCAGCTCGGTGTTTTTGGTGGCCAATGGTCCAAAGATGGCCCAATTCCACCTACCTAAAGTTACGCCCAATGGCGACGATTTTACGTCCTGTTGACAAGAAACTGCGAGCAGACATGAATAAAACAAATACAAGGGCTCGTAACGAATTTTCCCCTGGTTTTTTATTTTTATTCTTTTCTGTCATTCAACATGTGAGCGGCTGATGAATTTTTGCTTTGTCTTGTCAATTCCAAAATCCATGTGACAATCGATTAGCTGTTGCTTCTCTATGGCAACGAATGTAAACTGAGTCACCAACTTTTTCCCAATGATTACTCGTCATAACAACTGTTCGCTATTATTGTAATTGATGTCCGTGATATGGTACGGATACCGGGTGTTTGAAATGACCCATCCATTACTACTCTCTTTTTTCCGTTTGCCAGTCACCTAAGCAGAAAACAGAATTTCCTTTATGATATCTCTCATTTAGACATAAACTGTTTTTGACAAATGAACAGAAAAAAATTTGCTGCAAATCATACTGAAAATAGATTTTATTTTGACAGAATGATACCGATAGGACAGACAACTGTTTAGTCGAAAAGACCGAAGCCCATGTCGTCATCGGACTCCTCCTTCTCTTCTTCCTTGGCCTCTTCAGCGGCCTCTTCAGAAGCACCGCCAGCAGCGGCACCAGCAGCAGGGGCAGCAGCACCACCAGTGGGGACGGAAGCAAGCTTCTCCTTACCCTCTTCAATGAGCTAAAACACGCAAAGACAAATCAGTAAACTGCATCTCGGCAATCGGGAATATTGAGCCATTGTGTCGAGATTTTACCTGGGCAATGTCCTTCTCGCCAAGAGCAGAGATCAAAGAGGAAAGACGTTCCTCCTCAGCCTCAATACCGACGGACTTGAAAAGAGACTTGATGTCTTCGGCGGAAGGGTTGGCCTTACCACCAACGTTAAGAAGAAGATAAGCGGCGAGATACTTCATGTTTAATAAATTCTATTGCAAACAAGCGACAATATTAATACCATGAATGGAAAAAGGTAAAGTTGTTTAAAAACTCCTTTCGATATCTTATTACTCGACGGATCCACCCCAGCCTGCGTACACCCATCCATCCATCCATCCATCCATCCATCTGTCGAGTTGTCCATCCATCCATTGAATGTACAGACAATGATATCGAAAGGGTTAAATGATGCTTTTGAAAAACTAACCTATTGATCGCGTGCGCAAGTAACGATTTAACTCCTTAAGAGATACAAGACGCTTATGCGACGAAAAAAAAAGGGGAGGGAGCAACAAGTTCAGCGCTGGCCGCCCATCAAAAAGGTTGTCGGAGAAAAAAGCCACCGACAATTTTTCGCGGTGACGACACCGAAAGTATTAGAACTCAATGAGCTCCGCCATTTTAGCTTCGATATAAAGTCGTGGTATATAGAGAGATGGCTGTCTACTATGTGGCAAAGGTAGGTGTTTTTCTGAATAAAAGCCTTTCTCCTATAATGGAGGAGGGAAGAAAATAAAAGGAACTATGTCCAATGACGCTGGTATTTTATTTCAAAGAAAATGCCTGAAAAAAGGCTCTGTACCTTCCTTTTGAAAAAGCGCCGTTTTTGAAAAAGATATTCCGAAGATGGGCCTCTTCATAGTCTTTTCTCCACTGTATCCCATATTTTTTGTAAATTCAGCTGCCTGGTAATAGCAATTGCAAAAGAAAATGTTGGTGAACAATTCGATGAACCCAAGCTAGACATTCTGTCTTCAAGTCAACACAAGCTTTGTCAGATTGCGCTAAAAGTTGATGACTGTACACCGTCCATTCAGTCTCCGTGCATATTCGTATTACACTGAAAGATTAGTAAAATAGGGTTTCAACCACGAAAGCCCAATGTCGTAAAACGTGTCAATGGAAGCAAAATCGCAATTCCAGTCTCATTATCTTTTCTCTCATTGGACTTTTTTTAAAAAAAAAGTAGAGGGAACTACGAAATAATGGAAATCATTTATATGCATTGTTCTCCCAGCTGCTATGCAACCTCGAATCTTTGCAGATTCAAAATATCGATGAGTTCTGACGAGACAGATCATTACATACATTGTTCCAATGCAATATCCGGTAAAAAACCCAAAAATTTGCTATGGCACATAAACAAAATGACAGTATGGAAATCACGCATTAAAAAGTCGATTATCTGATATGGATATCCTAATATGTTGATGAAATGTTTCCCGGAAATGAATGTTTGTTTACGCTACACAGCTGATTCCATGAAAAAAAAAACAAAAGGAAATAAATCAATAAGTGTTAAATTAAAGGATTTTCCCGTTGCTCAGGTGATGTCTCATTCCGTGGGAAACACTCATCATTTCGCACAAAAAAGAGGATGCGACGGCGCAGCATTAAAATCGCAACGCGTAATGGACAATTTTTGTTCTTCTTGCAGCTTTTTCGCTTATCGTCAATGTTATTCCCACAGTATGGTTTGCCGTGCTGCATGTGATCAACGTCATGAAACTTTTCCGTCGTTGGGATTTCCAAATTCAGTCCTAGCTTTTTGCGTTCTGCATCCATCCTTAATGGTTCACTGGAGAGATTATTGCAATGACCGCATTCAGCTCTTTTGAAATAAATCAAATCCAACTACTACTTATCACCCCTTTATTCTTTCCATTTAATGTTCTACATATGAAGAAATTAAAAGAAAATTCGTATGTAAAAGAAGGGATACAGATCATGAAAAAAAAGATCGTGATCATCGACTGATAAACAACACGCTTTCGTCCTGCAAGGCACCGGATGGGCTTGAAAAGCATTCATCCCAATTTGTCGTCGGACTCTCCAGGGGTTCGAAAATTTTTATTCCTCAAAAAAAAACGGCGAGTCAAATGGAGTCTCAAAAAAAATTTGCGATGTGACGCCCACGCAGATAACAAGCCACCCTTGGTTGATCAGTCATTTCTGAGTGTCCTCTTTTTCTTTGGCAAGAAAACTTTTCATTGGTTGTGCGACCAAAGAACCGGTCACAAGTAACAGTGAGCCAATCGTTCACAGGCATCGGTTTAATGTCCGATACTGCCATGGAAAAAGTATAAAAAGAATAGCGTTAGCACTTCGAAAAGAAGGGGGGGTTTAACCCCCTCACCCAATAAAACATACTTTTTTTCCCACCCGTATTTTTACGTCCTTTCATATTACACATACAATGTCATCTCAGTTGCTTGAACCTTCCCAGGCCGTTGCCACTTTGGAAAGCTATGGTCGTCCCGATGGTCTTTCCGTCGAAGGATTGTTGGATGAACAACTCAGTGGTGGCTTGACTTACAATGACTTTTTGATTCTCCCTGGTTACATTGATTTCCCGGCCCACAAGGTGTCCATGGAATCCAAGATTACAAAGAACATCACCTTAAAGACCCCCTTCATGTCTTCTCCCATGGATACCGTTACCGAAACGGACATGGCCATCACCATGGCTGTAAGTGTCACCAGATCGACCTGACTACACTCAATTAGGCGATCGGACTTCTTATCTTTTTTGTTTTTTGTGCGTTCCTTGAAATAGCTTCTCGGTGGTATTGGTATTATTCACCACAACTGCAGTGCTGAAGAACAAGCGGCTATGGTGCGCAAGGTCAAGAAGTATGAAAACGGTTTCATTATTGATCCCATTGTCTTGTCTCCCGAACACACCGTGGCCGATGTGAAGAACATCAAGGCTAAAATGGGCTTCTGCGGCATTCCGATCACAGGTAAGGTTTTTTTTTTTTTTTTTTTTTTTTTTTTTTTTTTGCGGAGAACACCGTTTTAGTTGAATGTCGGGTCTGACTTATTCCGTTTATAGAAACTGGTAAAATGAAGGGAAAGTTGGTCGGTATTGTGACCGCCCGCGATATCCAGTTCCACCGGGATGATTCCTCGCTTCTCAAGGATATCATGACCACTGATTTGGTGGTGGCCAAGAAAGGCATCACTTTGGAAGAAGCCAACGAGATCCTTTCCTCGTCCAAGAAGGGCAAACTTCCCATTGTCGATGAAGAATACCGTCTTGTCTCGTTGTTGGCTCGTTCCGATTTGCTCAAGAACCAGAATTTCCCGCTCGCTTCCAAGAAACCCCACTCCAAGCAGTTGTTGGTCGGTGCTGCCATCGGTACCCGCCCCGATGACCGTGACCGTTTGGCTCTCTTGGTCAAGGCCGGTTTGGATGTCGTCGTTCTGGACTCGTCTCAGGGCAACTCCGTTTACCAGTTGGACATGGTTCGCTGGATCAAGGAAACTTATCCCGAATTGGACGTCATTGCTGGCAATGTCGTAACCCGTGAACAGGCAGCCAACCTCATTGCGGCCGGTGCCGATGGTCTTCGTATTGGTATGGGTTCAGGTTCCATCTGTATTACTCAGGAAGTCATGGCTTGTGGTCGTCCTCAGGCTACAGCGGTCTACCGTGTGTCCGAATTTGCTCGTCGTTTCGGTGTTCCCACCATTGCTGATGGCGGTATCGGCAACGTTGGTCATATTGTCAAGGCTTTGGCTCTCGGTGCTTCGGCGGTGATGATGGGTGGTCTTTTGGCCGGTACCACTGAATCCCCTGGTGAATACTTTTATCACGAAGGCCAGCGTCTCAAGCGTTACCGTGGTATGGGCTCCATTGATGCCATGAACAACAACGCCACCGCTGCCGGTAATGCGGCTACCAAGCGCTACTTCTCTGAAGGCGATGCCGTCAAGGTCGCTCAAGGTGTGGTTGGCAACGTCATCGATAAGGGTTCATTGAGAATCTTTGTTCCCTACCTTACTACTGGTTTGCAACATTCCCTCCAAGATATCGGTTGCCAGAGCATCCGCGAATTCCACGACGCCGTTGCTGAAGGCCGTGTTCGCTTCGAAAAGAGAACCGCCGCTGCTCAGTTGGAAGGTGGTGTCCACGGTTTGCATTCCTTTGAAAAGAAACTTTTTGCATAAGCCTATTGTTTCAATCTCTTAGCATCCTTTCAATCATTTAGTTTTCTCTTCTTTTCTTTTTCATCCTGCTCTCTTGTTTTTTACGTTGCTTTCACACTTTCAAATATAATCAAACTCAATTTCTCATTTTACCATCTTTCTCTCATATTTCGCTTTCCACAAAGTTCTTTTTTTTTCGTGCAAGTGACGATACCTGATGATGAGTCATCAGACTGCTAGCCCCCCCCCCCCGGCCCCTGGGGAAACAAAACAAAAAAAAAAGATTGAATATACTTGATCTATATTTCTTTTTACTGACACGTCCTGGATCTTGGTCGAGTTGGACTGGGAAAGATGATTGAAACCCAGACGTGAATATCCAAAATCGATAAAATTCATTGCCATTATTGGAGGATCGGGGGCTTTATTGTTATTTTATACGTGTAAAATTCAATAAATAGATTAAGATAGTGATAATAGGGTAAATGAATATGCCTCCGATCCGCTAGATAAATCAATTGGGCAAGTCAATGCAGCCTTATTCGTGGGATTATGGAGAGACGGTTGTCGTAGAAGATAAACGGGGTAAAGGCGGAAGGCTTAATCGAAACACCGGCGATTGGCCTCGAGCATTACTCTTAAAGTTCAAATAAGCAATAGCATCATCCGTCACGACCGAGCCTAGGCTGACCAATGTGGCCAACGTGCATCCAGCGGCAGGATCGACAATGGCGCCATCCGCTCCGTTCTGTAACAGCAGTTCGGCCATAGGAAATACGTGTATCCGAATCGCATCGTCTTCTACTTCGTTTGGCGACGTCGGTTCTAAAGGAATCACGTCTCTTGGATGCAACAACGCAAAATGAAGGGGATATCGGACGACGTAAATGTCATCGATGGCTTTACTCGGTGAACGGTCGTTCTTTTTCTCGGTATCTGTAAAAGGTTCTTCTGGTATACTGAAAATGGTCAAATCGTCTTGCAGGAGTGATATGCGTTTGGAAAGTCTGGAAATCGGGCGAGGGAGATTCACATCGGCTCCCAGAGCAATGGCGTGAATAGCATCAGGGATATGGTCGCGTTCAATCGCGTCGTAAAGTAGCTCGGCCGGATCGACATTATCGTCCTTTTTATTGACAAACATGCGGTCAACGTACTTTGCTTGGATATACTGAAGCTTGACTTCGCGACTGTCGGTAGGAGTGGGCTTGTGCGATTTATCTTTGCTATGGCTGTGTTTGTCCCAAATCTGATTCGATCGATCATTGCCCATCGAACGTAATAATTCCACGATATCCGGCGTGTACGAAGTGCTGTCGAGAGTCAGCGAGCGAATTTTTGAAATGTGGGTCCCCAAGCTGCGATGGATTCCCGAGCACTCTGCGGCCAATTTTTTAGTTCAATTGTCTGGTTTTTCGTCATGCAACCGCGACTTACCGATACAAAGGAGAACACCAAGGTTGAGTGAACACCATTCTGGATTTTTCGCGTCACAATCGGCACAAATCAAATTGGAAGAGTCCATTCTTAATTCGGTGAGCAACCGTGTATTGGCAATGGCATCCGAAGGTAATAATGGAACGTATTTTCCCGTGGAGCTGTACGAGAATCGCGCTTCAGCAGTGTTGACGCTTCCACCAAAACTAAGTCCTGACCATCGCAGGCGTTCACTCACGGTCGTGGAGGATTCGGCGCTGTCAATGGATAGTGAGCCGGAGTGAGGGACACTCAACTGAGCGGCGATGCGCTTTCGTTCCTTGGGTGATATTCCACCGCAAATGGCCGCGCTCAACGGTCGCAAAGCCAGTGAACCTTCCTTTTCTTCCAAGTCCGATTCTTGCATATTTTTGAGCATGTCCACCGAACTGCTCATTCCATTCAACAAACTTTCAATGGCATTATTGATTGTGGCCATCCAACTGAGCATTTCTTCATGCGATATCGCTTGGTAGGTCCGCCGCAGATAAGGAGTGATGACTTCAAAACAGAAACGTCGATCGGTTTGACGAGCCTCACGAACCGTAGCAAACCGCAGATTGATAGGGTCAATATGCGTTTCCAGGTGCCGTTTCCAGTTGGAGTATTCATGTAATTGGCCCGCGCTCAGCACACACCAATACCTGTAAGGAAGGCCATTTAGTCACACCGTCCATTCCGTTGCTCACATTTGGTTAGTAGGGTTTTCGAGCCCTGAAAAAAATAATACTGTACTTGTGCCATGTTACTCCGCCGGTGGTGGGTTTCTGCGGTTTCGTGGTGGCAAAAAGGAATCCTTCTTTACGTCGTTCCGTACTTGCTACAGAAGTACCGGTGCTTACACGATTTTTATCGGCAGAGGTGGCCGCTGCCTCATCGTCGGCCCACAGCGTTCCATCATCGGTGATCTCCTCGTTGGCCGATGGGTCGTCTACGGACAGTTGATCGACGCTTGCGTTGTCTCTGGTTTCCAATAATTTGCGTTTTTCTTGGCGATCTTTGTGGAGTTGATCCTGATCGCGCGATACCTGGATCATCTTTTGGGCGATATCGTCGAGACCGACTTTGAGGGGATTCAAAGCGGCGGCAATGGTTTGGAAACAATGGTACTCTTTTTGCTGGTGACTCAGGACATGATACAAGAGTTCGTATTCTTTTTTGCCGCCATGTAAATCCAATAAAAACGAATAGTAATCGAATCGCATAAGATCGAAACGACGTTTCCGAACACTATATTTTGCATCACTTTCCAGCAACTTCTTATCGTCGTTTTTAATACTCAAATATTTTCCCAAATAAGTGTAATATTCCTTTGATTCATCCTCAAACTGCCGCCGTCGTGCTTCCGCTCGTTTAATATCGAGATCGTACAGTTTCTGCAGTGGATCGATGAGCAGTGACTGCATGGAGTGTTGCAGTCGTTGTCGCTGCTCATGGATGATGGGCCATGCCTCATCGAGATAACTTGCAAACAGGGACTCGGTGGCGGAGGTGCCGCGCAATGCGGTCAGGAGCTCGGCATCGGCATCGAGCATGGCTTTCTTGGCTTCCAGCGCCGCGGTAGCTGCCTTCAAAATATGCTTAACGGACTGCTTGAGCGACCCGGTGTGGCTCTCGAGTTGTTTAAGGGTGGCTCGAAACAACGGTCCATCATCAAGGTTCTGAGCATCCTCCAGAGAAGAACGCTGCATGTCGAAGGGAAGGGCGGGAGAGAGTCGGTATTCCAACCTTGGAGCTGATTCAATATATAAAATAAAGGCAAGTGATATAAATTGAATGTGCAACCTTGCAAAAGCGTGTTTATTACTCAACGTTGTGCATCCCGCGGGGCGAATCACAAAGAAAATCAGCCTTTCTAAAAATAAGCTTTTCTTGCCTGTCGTATTCAGGTAATGATTTTTCATCAACGAAATGGACTCTTGATTTTGACAGAGTTCACATACATTTCGTTATATACAGAAAGTGAAAATTTCATTGAGAAAGAAAAAAAAAAGCCATATCCATGGATGGATGGATGCTGTGGATCAATCATTACAGACAAAGAAACAAACAAAACGGGTTTCTTGAATGCATAACCACTTTAGATGCCGGTTCCATACAAGCATCTGTTATCACCTTGGACTTGTAAATTAACAGCACACTTCTGACTGATGAAAAATATACGAATATAGGAGAAGTCAACCACCATTACCCTTGTTCCGTGAATACAATGGCAGTAATAGCTCATATAAATTCTGTGTGGGACCAAAGGATCGATTTCTTAGGGGTAAAAGCCAGCTTATTACCAAGTTGATGCATTACAGTAACACTCTCTGATTCATTGAAATAAATAGGAACAAAAAAAAAGAGCTTTGAATTCTATGAAAAAAGGTAATAATCGATTGATTGCTATCATACTTTTCAGGTTTTTTTTTTTAAGGTGATGAAGGAGGGTAACAATGATTTTCTAATCTGTAGGGTGAATTGGAATGAAATTAGTTGTTTATGCATTGGCCGATGCTTTTTCCTTGATAAGGTTCAAAGCACTGCCCTTTTGGAACCATTCAATTTGGTCCTTGCTCATCGTGTGCTTGGCGTCAATGTTAATCTTGCTGCCATCGGCCTTGGTGACAATCAATGTCACCGGTTTGCCGGGTGCAATATCCTTCACACCCACGGTCTCGATGGAATCACCGCCAGAGATCAGCTTGTAATCGTCCTCGTTCACAAAAGTCAAAGGAAGCACACCTTGCTTCTTGAGATTGGTCTCGTGGATACGAGCAAACGATCGAGAAATGATCATGGGACATCCCAAGTAACGTACTTGCAAAGCAGCATGCTCACGGGCCGAACCTTCACCATAGTTATGCTAGACAGTCGCGTTAGTTCACTTTTTTTCTCTCATCTTTTTTTTTCTTTGTTGGCCTACTTACATCGGCAATCACCATCCATGGAATATTCTGTTTCTTGTAGCTCTTGGCGACTTCAGGGATAGATCCATCGGTATTATTGGTGATATCGCGGACGACATTGACTTGGCCGTTATCTGCATTCAATGCACCAATCAAGGTGTTTTCAGCAATGTTTTCCAAGTGGCCCTTGTACTTCAACCAAGGACCGGCCGCCGAAATGTGATCGGTGGTACATTTGCCTTGAACCTTGACCAAAACGCGAACGTCCTTGAATTCTTGGCCATTCCAGGGTTCAAACGCATCCAACACTTGCAAACGGTTAGAAGTAGGTGACACGACGATGTCCACGGATGAATCAGGGGTAGGAGTAGGAGATGGAGGATCATACGTAGCACGACCGGCTTCGAAACCTTGACTGGGAAGGTCGTCTCCTTGAGGAGGCTGGAAACGGAACTCTTTACCATCCTTGTCCAGCAAGGTGTCCGTCATGGGATTGAAACTCAGTTTACCCGAAAATGCCATAGCCGTAACAATCTATTAAGAAGGGCTTTAATCACCTACTCTTCTTTTTTTTTTTTCTCATCAACGCTTGATGCTTTTTCTTTTTCTTTTACCTCTGGGGCAGCTAAAAAGTTCATGGTCTTGGGGTTACCGTCATTTCGGCTACGGAAATTACGGTTGAAGGAAGTCAGAATAGCGTTTTCTTCCTGTGCCTTCTTGTTGATATCTGTACGGTTCCACTAGACAAACAGATGCAGAAGAGAGATAAGCTATACTGTGACATCACATCGGACGTAATTGGATAGTTTACCTGACCAATGCAGGGACCACATGCATTTGCGAGCACTTGAGCGCCAGCCTTCTCGAAGACTGCCGATTGACCGTCACGTTCAATGGTGGCACGAATCTGTTCGGAACCTGGGGTGACCAAAAATTTGGACTTGACAGAAATACCGGCATCCGCAGCCTGTTGTGCAATGGAAGCCGCACGTGACATGTCTTGATACGAAGAGTTGGTGCAGCTACCGATCAAACCGGCGGACAATTCATCTTTCCAGCCATTCTCGCGAACAAAATCTTTGAACTGGCTCAAAGGCGTACTCAAATCGGGCGTGAACGGACCATTGATGCGAGGTTCGACTTCCGACAAGTTAATCTCAATTACCTTGTCATACTGAGATCCTTCATCGGCACGCAAAAATTGAGCGTTGGCATCAGCAGCTTGGCCCACTTCCGAACGACCTGTAGCGGCCAAGTACGATTGCATGCTCTTGGTATAAGGGAACAAGGACGTGGTCGCACCGACTTCAGCACCCATGTTACACATCGTGGCCATGCCAGTGCAAGATAACGACTCGACGCCTTCACCAAAATATTCAATGATATGGCCTGTACCACCCTATACAAAAACATAGAATCAGTGAACCATGTCCAACCCAAAATTCTCCTCCACTTTCAACCTACTCGAACAGTTAGGTCGCCTGCCAGCTTCAAAATCACATCCTTGGGACTCGCCCACGGGCTGAGTTGACCGGTCAACTTCACACCAATCACATTGGGCGCTTTCAATTCCCAGGGAATGTTGGCCATGGCATCCACAGCATCGGCACCACCCACACCAATAGCAATCATACCGAGACCACCGGCATTAGGGGTATGACTGTCAGTTCCGAGCATCAGGCCACCAGGAGCAGCATAATTCTCCAAAACGATTTGATGGATAATACCACTGCCGGGTTTCCAGAAGGCAATACCGTACTTCTTGGCTGCACTCTCCAAGAAATCGAAAATCTCCTTGTTCGTCACAATGGATTGTTCGACATCCTTATCGGCACCAGCAAACGCTTCGATCAAATGGTCACAGTGAATGGATGAAGGAACAGCCGTCGTAGCCATACCCGAAAGCATGAATTGCAACAATGCCATCTGGGCAGAAGCATCTATCCCACCACAACGACCGATCAGTTCATGGTTTCCCTTGTCACAATAAATTACTCCACACTCATACCTTGCATAGCAACACGATCTATGTGGATAAAACAAAAAATTTAAGCATTTCTTGACAAGTCGGATCAAATGAGAGATCGATTATACCTGGTGACAATTTGAGATAGGTTTCGCCTCGAACAGGCACTGTTTCCTCAGGGTTGGTCAAATGAGAATACACAATCTTCTCGGCCAAAGTCAATGGTCGGTTGTTCAAGATACGCTTGACTTGATTCAAAGTGGCGTTAAGCTTGGCATAAGGAGGTGTAATGGAACGGCAATCCTTTTGGGACACCGGGTTCACCGCGGTAGCGAGGCCTCTGAGTGTGGTTGTACGTAAATGATGGTTGACAGAAAGAGCAGCCTAATGAAAATCAAAAGGTTAACCGTAATCACAATGGTTTACAATTGTGCTTTTATGCATACTCGATAACTGCTGCCGGACAAAAAAGCTGAAGCCATGATGGATGGTTTCAACAGGAAAAGGAGGAAGAGTGGGGAGGGAAGAAAAGCCTAAGGCTGACAAAATTTGACAAGTTTGTTGAAAGAAAAAAATAAAATAAAAAAATCGCAATGAGCCTTTTTTTTTTCTATCCGATGACTTTTTTGACACTGCATCGTCATGAAGGTTGTCCTGGTTAGTAGATGATGATCATCTCTATTCCATTACCTAATGCGGTAAATAAGAGAGATGCGGAGATTCAATCCATTCCTTGAATGGTCAACAAATCTATGAACGATTCAAATCTCCCAGCGTTTTTTGCTCCGTCGAGATTTTTTCGTCAAGAAACGATCGCTCTATATCATGCAAAAGCTTGGATATTCACGCAAGGCCGCTCTTTGTACGTCGCTGTAGGTGATTAGACCAACACAACGTAGCATGAGCCGATGAGATGCAGATCGGGTCGGTCTTTTCCAGATCCAACTTTATCTCCGTCAAAATCATGCATTTCCCATTGGATGAGACCAAACAAAAGGATGTCAATTGAGCGGGGTGTCCAAGTTAGGCGAACATGGTGACCCTGACTGATCGAGCTATCAGTGCACACTCACTGGTTCTGCGGTAGATCCTATAACGAATGCGGCAGGAATACCTTTTGGAGTGATTCTCGCCTTTCACAAACAGAACGCCCTGATTAGGGACAAATAATGCAAGGTCAGCAGTAAAAGTTGAAGAAGGTGGAATACATATAGAACATACAGTGTCACTGTTCAAGCTTTGATTTCTTCGTTGTTGTCGCTGTAATATTCTATCCAACGTGCTCTGGGCAGCAGTAACTTTTCAGTAGTCACTCCACATATTTGAAGCGGTATACTATGGTCCGATTCAGACAGTGCTTTGTCCCGTTACGACACCCCACCCAGCATACAGTAAATGACATGGCCCGCTAGACATTACCTGCACAAATAAGCTGTCTGCATGATTGCCACGGGCAGCCCTTACATGATAATGTCTCGGATTGTTTTTGCAACACGGTCAATAATATTTTACATACATGTCTCCTCATTCACCCATCCTTTGATGGAAAATATTGCAAGAAAAAAAAAACTATGTTATCTATACATGAAATGTGACTATGCCAAATTGATGAGAAAGAGAAAAAAAAATTACAGAAAAGGGGAAAAAGGTCATGAAAACAAAAATACAAGAAACGGCTACGGGAAGTTACGGAGAAGAAGGGCGATTGATTTCGACCATTTCGGTGTCGTTGTCGCTAAAGGTCTGAGAGGTGGAAGGCGGCAAATCCGAAGCGGAGGAAGCAAGGCTTCGATGATCTGAAGAATCATAGCTCAATTTGCCAACCGGTTGCGGAGCGAGCAAGGTGGTATCACTGGCCCCCAACGTACTGTAAGCGTCCGAGGAGCGATGCTGGGATGATCGTGTCGATAAACGCTGCTTCATCGCTCGCATCATTTTCCATCCTAGGTTGTTGGGTTGCCGTTGATAGCTGTCGGCCGTGGGAGCTGTTTCATACCGTTTCAATCTGAACCCATCCAACGGCATCCAGTCTTCTCCAAGCACTTTGCCCTTGCATGTGGTTTCTAAACTCGTCGTGGAATTACGCACATGGTAATACAGTTTGGAAGGAGACATCTTTTTGGGCTGTCGATAAACCGATTTACGAAACGCGTCAAAGGCTGAAGCATCGTCGGATGAATAGGCGAATCCAGTAAACGAGGTGCGCTGACCGGACTTCATATACATGATTTCACTGGTGCCGGAGACATTGGTCAACGTGCGATTGAGACGATAGTGCGAGAATGTGGCGGGCGGTTCTGTCAGCGGATAAGCGTTTTCGGCGACAAATAATTCATCCACCCGTTCAGCAAGGGCCGATTGTTCACTATGCGTGCGTGTCATGGTAATGGGCATTTCTTCCTCCAGCGGGGCCTTGGTGCCTCGTTTCAGTCTTGACAGCGTCGAGTCATTGTTGCACAGCACCATTTCGCGAACAATGTCATTGTCAAACGGCATATACATATGAAGGTAATACTTGGTCACAAACCGAGGTAGCATGCAGATCACAAAAGTCAACACGAGACACAACCAAAAGGAGCCATCGCGGAACAGAATGTCTTCACCATAAAACGTGAACGTAACAATTTGAGCATAAACCCCGGTCCAGATGAAAAAGGTTGCAGACGACAGAACAATCACCGCCACCATGATCCACGTCCAACTGAAAATGGTAAATCCAACAAGCGCATTGGCCACCACCACAGCAATACCAGCAATAAAAGTGCCAAGCTCATAGACACCTTCATTATCGTATCCATGGCTGCTCATTTTGCCTCCAATGAAGACCAGATAAGGAATGCCGAAACACACCGCAGACTGGTAAATGGCGTCCAGGACCGTGAGGTAAAATCGCGAGCTTTTGAATTTATCGTTTCGGATGCCCATCAAATACAGCTGCGGATATTTGAAAGAGTATTGGGCTTTCAAATCTTGGTCAAGCACGCCTATTGTTCAAGCCATTCGGTGAGCTCACAAGAACCAATAACAATTCCTCCTTCCGCCCTCCCAAATTGCATTACCAGCAAAGATACAAGGTAATGATGTAAAAACAAGGTTATATAGCGTAATGTACGAATAATCAAACATCATGGTGCCTGAAAATCTATCGCATAAAATTTCATCAGCCCCTGGATCCACAAGAAGAAAAAAGTGCAAGGACATCTTGTCAGTTATATCTCTTACCCGCAAAAGATCTGATACCAGAACAGGACCAAGGTCCACATGATATTTTTGTAAAAAAAGGTGAGAATCATTTCGGATGTTCGCAAGTAGGACCATCGACCATGGACGAGCAATAGTTTACTCAGATAACGGAATTGAGCAATCGCGTAATCGGAAGCCATCACAGCTTGTCTCCCTTCTTCACCGGAAATACCGACACCCACGTTTGCCTCCTGAATCATGGACACATCGTTCGCACCGTCACCAATAGCCAGGGTCATCACCTTCAATCCTTTCTTGACCATGTTCACCACTTTGGCTTTCTGCATCGGACTCACACGACAACAAATGACCGCCATGCATTGGGTGCCGAGGGTTAATAATTCTTCCTTGCAAGGATTTTCCAAACCGTATTTCAGCGATTCTCCGTCAATGACCAAGGCACATTTCTGGAAACTCGCCTTCTCATTCACCTCACGCTGTGAACGGCGTAGCTGTTCCAACGTATCCATTTCGTCTCGTGCATTGATACTGATGAGTAACATGTCCTTGGTTAACAGGTTGCACGCAAAGCCAATGTTGATAGCGGTTTCGATCTTGTCGCCTGTCAAGACCCAAATCTTGATTCCAGCTTTGGCCAGTACGGCAATAGTGTCAGGAACACCTTCCTGCAACTTGTCTTCGATGGCCGTACCACCAATCAGTGTCAATGACTGTTCGATTTCCTCACACACGGCTTCTATCTGTTCGTCACGGTTGCTGATGCTGTTGGAAGCCGTTTTATATCGTGCGGCCCATTGCTGATATTCATCTTCCTCCAAAATACGACTAGCGATACATAAAGTACGAAGACCTAACCAATCCATCATCAGCTCACCCCATACAAGTAAAAATCCAACAATTTTTGTTCATTTCTTTCCGCCTCTTTACCTTCGTTGGCAAACACAGCTAAATCCTTGAGTGTGTCTTCTCGCACCTGCTTTTGTCGGCGACTGGCTTCATCGTCGGAGTGGAGTTCGGACAATCGTTCGTAAATGACAGAGTCGGCTCCTTTACATAGTAATACAATGCGTCCGTCTTGCGGTGATCGCATAATCACGCTCATACGTTTTCTGGTGGAATTAAATTCCAAGACGTGAAGGAGGGTCATATCCCGTCGTTCGCCCATTGCATCAATGATCACGTTGTCCTGTTCTCTCGCAACAAATGTGAATCCTACGTCGCGTGCGGTGGCAACCAATGCCGATTCATCCGGTGATTGCGCCTTGTAGATGATTTCGTTTGGCTTTGAAGGGTCAGGTATCTCGGGAATCACGGTATGACATAATGCCAAAGCAGAAAAAAAGTGGACAAGGCTTTGGGATTGGGTATCATTCTTAGCCAAGTCTTCAAATAATTTCGGATCGACAAACGAGGAATTGGGATTCACGTATTTATGCTCAAAGAGGTCCATCTGTTTTTGCAACATCTCTTCCCGCGCCTTTTCGAGATCCATGGTTTTAAAAAAGTCGGCCGCCTCAGCCGAGGGATTATCGCGTAATTTGGCCCCAATCGAAGCTTCCGTTTCGCCCAAGCCGTAAGTGACGCCATTGATCGTGCATCGACGAAATTCCATAATATTTTGTGTCAAGGTGCCCGTCTTGTCAGAAAAAATGTACTCGATTTGACCCAAATCATCCGAGATATTCCATGTTTTGGGAATACAAGCCTGATCCAGTTTTTCATTATACATATCGAGATCAGTGTGAATAAAATACGCCTAGGCAAAGAAGAAGAATTTGATTAGTTTCTCCTTTATATACCAACCTATCTGGACTTGTTCAACTTACAGATGCTGTTTTAACAATTTGTACAGATATATACAGAGAAATGGGGATAATATTTTGATAAATGACCAAGGTCGTCCTACACATAGATACATTGGTTAAGATGGATCCAATCCATTGGAAGATTTGACTTGCGCCACTTACCAAAACATGAGAAAGCCTTCCATGGTGGCACTTTCAGCATCCGGCTGTTCAAAATAATTCGCAGAAGAATGTCCATTGTATACAATACTGGCTGCGATCGAACATATCAAACACAGAACAAACAACAGGACAAAGTTTGCAATCACCTGTGCGTATCCCCAAAAAAAATAGTTGAGTCTGATAGTCATGGGTCTGCGTGATGCTGCGGCGACAACAACTTACGTGAGGATTGGTCGCTTTTTCCATTTTGCTTCGTTTGCTGGGCGTTTTTCCAGAGTTCAACATGATCTTGGTCTCGTTGCCGGTAAATAGAACCAAGCCGATGATCCAACCTGTATTTCTCACCATACACCCGCGTAAAAGTACACTGCTACCTGTGATGGCTTCGGTTTTCTCGTGAGATACGACATTGTCGTCTTCCTCTGCATCGGCGGCGTCGGTAGCTAAAGTATTGGATGATCCATTTTTAAGCTCGTCTTCTTGTTCCATGAAATCTCGCGGCTCGACTTTCCACTTTAGGACGCCATTGTACGAATAAAGATTGGCATGCGGTGGTTCACTTTCGATATAAAATTTGCATCGTTCGCAATCTTCTGGTTTGCTGATATCATTGGTAGCCTGCAAGGATCGTTTGATTTTCAAATTGGTTTCACCGTCGAGATTCTGTGTTTCAACATAGCATAAACCATCGGGTTCGGAGGAGGCCAACACGACCATATCCGCCGGCACTGCATCATTGTTCCTTAGGTACACAAAGTCGCCTACATTGATATCCTGCCATCGTGTGCTTTGCCACTTTTCATCCACGGTTTGTAACAAGGTCGATTGACGTTGCAATGGAGGAGTGGATGACGGGTTCGATTGTCGGAGTACGGAATGTGGAACCTTGCCAGGGCGATAAGGGATTTTCCGCTTTTTAAAAACGCGTGCCAGCGACGAGGTTGAACGCAGTGTATTTTTGAACGAACTGGCAATGGTAGATGGTGAAGAAGGGAATGGCCTGCCGTCGGGTGATGACTGCGCCGAAGTCAAAGGGCGATGGGTGTTGGTGCTGAGATGAGGGAAAGTCCGATCGTCAGGAACAGGATCGGTGAATGTGAAGCTGGCTTTGATCAAGGATTTGAAAGAATTCAGCCATCGACGCCAGACCGGTACTTTGTGCACAGGAATATTGACGTTTTTCCAATCTCTCAACGTATAGGTGGTTGCTTTGTTCACACTCTGATCTGTTTTGTGTCGTTTGTTATCCTCAAAGGCATCTTTGACTCCCGTGATAATAAGAATCGCCGCCAGCGGAAGCACGACAAGGACAGGCGAAGCAGAGGTACTGAAAAGGGGGAACATTTGGAGAATGACGAGAAATAAAAAATACAGATTGGCAATGCCTCGAAACTGTTCGAACAGATTCCTTGGTAAAAAGGTGTACCAGGTATATTTGGCTGTTCTGATTTTGTTGCTAATGAATGTGCGAGATGGTTGGCCATAATCATCGAGTTCGTCCGGCGGGATCTCCATATTGACGTAGATCGTCCGACGCTCGGTGGATGCTAAGGGAAATGGCGATTTTTTCTTGGAAGGTGCATTGCGTCGGCGTGCTCGTTGAACGACCTGGTTCCAATGTGTATTCCCCATATGCAGAACTGAATAAAATAAAAAGATAATAAGAAACAATCAAGGAATGGAAAGGGCCGTTTTTTTTTTCGAGCTAAAAGAGGCAACAGAAAAAAGAACAAGAGCAAGAAGGATAGCAAATCAACGATTGGTAATCAGCGTGGAATATTATTATCATGTAAAAAATAGAAAGAAAGAGGGATATTGTGGCCCGAACAGCATAAGATGGGAAAAACTCCTTCACAAGGCCGGATCGGCAATTGGGTCGAGTCATGTTTGTTTCTTTATATAGGTTTTTATTTCAAAATATCACGCTTTATATGGGTTGGATATGGCAAATGCATGCCAATCCTTTTTTTTTTTTTTTTTTTTTTTTTTTTTTACATGTATCTTCTGTCGGGGTGTACCATCATTTCTTTCAAGCCAAATTTATCTCAATGGCAATAAGGTCGGAACGACATCTTTGTCCTACCTTATCCCACGTGTTTGCTATTCTCTTGGCGAGCGTTGTGGAAAGCCACATATCAATCACCGGCCTTATGTGTTCCGTCTCGCTTGCCGGACTCCCTCTGGCTGGGCCTTTTTAGCTCGCGTCCTTTTCTTTTTCTTTTTTTAGTGTGTAACCGTCATTGAAGCTATACAATCCACTAGCTTACTCAATGAATAAGATAGTCAGTTGCCCTATTTTTTCTAGCTTGATGAACTGCCGAAATGAAAATGTAACCATGGCAAACAGTCCCCAGCAGGCGGACTTGAGAAGGAAGACGCTCCATTGGGCGTCGTGTTGATACAAAGCTTGGAGGTTCAGGAAAGAGTCAATCAAACGGCAGCTGGAGATATGCTTTACCCGGGGTTCTCAGCTTTGCCCAGGCCTCCCCCATCGCTTTTTGAAAATTGAAAGGTGCCCGACAACAGTGCGACCTTTTTTTTTGATGGATAATTTCATGACGACAGTGTATGGACGCGCATGATTAAGACCTTTTTTAATAGGAAAAAAAAACCAGTAAAAATGGTTTATCATCCATTCGATTGGTTCAGAGTATGTCATATAAGAACAATAGCTGACAGGAAAATAAAAGAGTTCTTTGCAAATGCAATTGTTCTTGTGTACATCACATGCGTCTGTCCGTTTATTTTCTGCCATTTTTCTTTTTCTTTTTCTTTTTCTTTTTTTTTTTTTTTTTTTTTTTTTTTTTTTTTTTGGCTGGGCATTTCCGCTGGGCGTTTTTTTGCTGGGCATATTTTTATTTCGTGGCACCATTCAACGGTAATCAGGACAATAAATGTAACCAATGGTCCAAAGATTCAGGTCATCGTCGTGTGCCAAGCCATTTGAAAAGCAACAAAAAGGAATACATAATAATAGGAATTTCTACTATCCAAGCGAATAATGCAGGACAAAACTTTAAGTGGAAATTGTAAGACAATAAACTCTTATCTTGTCGTTTATTTTTAAATTCTCAATCATCACTGATTTAGATGCTTCCAAACCGACAGACTTTATGCGAGTGTGCCAACAGTGAAAATAAAGGAGGAGGAGGAGGAGAATAAAGAAGAGGCCAAAGCTAGAAAGTAAAACAAAGAAAGACCTCCTGCAGACACATTTCACATGCTAAAATGCTGAAATGTTTTCACCATCAAGCCTTCCATTGTGAGTTTATCAATGTCATCCATCCCATCAATGCCATCAATGCCCTTTTTCTTTTTCCCTGAATGAAAAATATGCGCATCCAACGCCAAAAAAAAAACTGTACTACTTACCTTTTGAGATAACCAGTGCACACAGTCACAACGAGCTCCAAGTTACCGTAGCGTGGTGGACAGCAAGTGGTCAACATAGAGAAGACGCGTTCGTTGACATTCCATAAACAAGAATCAGATCCAATATAAAATCCTCATTGTGCCAGAGATTTGCTTCATCGATGCTTATAATAAGCGTCTCAGAAGTACCTGAAGTGATCATCATATTCTTTTTTTTGTTTTTCTCAGTTTGCCAAACGCACCCCGCTTCCATGAATAAAGTAGTCAATGGGTGCCGTTTTCATCATCGCTTTACCTTTCTTCGAAAAAGAACACCACAATTAAACACTATACGCGAATACATACATGTTACCTTGTGGCTATTTTCGAGGCAAAAAAGGCAGCTCAACCTAAGATCAATTGGTGATGAATAATTCATACAGACCCAACAAAATTTGCCATTGCAACCTTTTTTTTATTCCATAACACCGGAGTATGAAACTTTTGATATCTGTTTTGCTCAGCCGCTCAAAAAGCAACTAATTGAACTGACTGGCACACACCCTTAATTCTTCTTCTCACGTGTAAACTTGATGCTGAAAAGTGTGTTTCTGCGCAAACTTCTATAGATCAAGCTTGATGTCATATTTATTTAGCACTTTGCTGCAGAATCACCAAAATTCGGAAAAGAAAAAAGGTGCAAGTCGCAATCTTTACAGTCAAATGGTTTTTTGACGATCACATCACATTGTATCTTCGCTTTTATTAAGGGGCTCTACACCTAGAATTTTCTTGATGTAAATTGTTACAATTTTTTTATTTGAGCTGGCAGATCTACCAGGTGGCCATGTTTGTATGTGCGAATATCGCTTCGTTCTGTACCAGATTCTTGAAAATAATGGGCATAAGATGCAGGAAAAAGTGCCTGGCGATTAACTATCTTTACTGGAACCACGGTAATAGTTAGCTTCAGTATTTCAAAGAGTTTAGAGACATACAGTTTCAGATGAACTGTGGATTAACAGCGCGTTGCCAACGTTTTAAATTTTGCGATTTTCAACGAACCAAAAAAAGTATCTCACATAATGAGTGTTTGCTGCAAAAGACTATAGAAAGCTTGAACCGCAATACCGCATACTGTTAAATAATGCAGTATATGAAGCAAATTTTGAGGGGAGGGGAGAAAGTGGGCAAAGAGAATTGATAAACCACAAGTCGAGACTGTAGCCGATGGTAATATACGAGCTTGGGGGCTAAGGTGGCAAACATCCGACGGGCTCTTTTTCCCACATCAGTGCAGAATGAAATATTCATCATATTTTTCTTGGCTTCTTGTAATTGTCCGTAATATGGCACCACGTAAAACGGGGTTCGGAAGCATAGATCGTGCTCTGTGCATGATTTGCGACAGCCAGGATTCAATTCCTCCAAATTGACAGTCACAATCTAGTTCGAAAAACCCCCCAGAGGGAACGCAAAAAACAACACATATTTTTTCGCTCTCTTCTGTTCGCTTTCAAACTACAGAAAAAAACTAACACAATGGACAAACGTCAATTGAACGCTTCGACCGAACCCTCCTTCTTGCAATCCGTCAAAGCCGAATTGTTCGCTCCCGAAAAACGTCAAGGCACCATCAACATTGCACTGTCTTTGACCGTCTTCACTGGCGCCATTGTCTTCCTCCGCAACTTTGGTGACTTACTGGCCGTTTAAATTCAACCCTCCATTCTCGGGATCTTTTCTCGCTTTCTCTTTCTCTCAAAAACGAGTTACACTTGAATCATTCAACATTCGATAGAAAAACTTATATTTTTTTTGCCTATTGTATTTTTTTCCTTTTAAAGAAATAATCGGTGATGATGCTCATCCACCCGTCCACTGTGATTGACCTGTAATATCTCGTTCATTCGGCTCTCATCGTATTCTACCTTTAGTCCCAATGACTGCAATCCTTGCACATAAGCATTCAATGTGTCGCCGGTAACAATGAGTTTGCCCAATAACGATTCCTGAAGACTGAGTAATGTGTAACATGGAATATTGCGAACTTCACACTATATGCATCGTCCATTTCAGTAAAAAAACAAAAAACCAACCAGCTTTGTTCTTTTTCATTTTCAGCGACTTACATAGGTCATCAGGGCCGCAGACATATCTTGCAAAATATTGGGTGGCTCATATTGTTGAATATCGGGAATCTGCATTCATCGACAAGACTGAGCATCCCAACTCGTTCTCTCAGCATATATCATACCAGACAATATTTACCTTGGATGTGTTGGTGGTTTGCAATAGACGCAAACAAGGAGGATACATATCTTCGTTCCATGTACTGGATGTGTACATTGTGCTGGTAAAAGAATCCAAAACGATCACTCTATAAAAATTCGACAGTTTAGATCTCATGGTTCCATGACCTTTTGCTCGTTGTGTTGAATTTTTTCCTCTTACTTTTGGATATCGGAAAAGGGAGCTAATACGCTACGAGCAGCTTCGGTGATGTCTTCACGAGGTAATGCTTTATCGATGGGAATAAACAGCAATGTATCTCTACAGTAAATGGGCCATTTTTCTTCCTTGTCCTCCTGTATCTAGTCTCAATATTAGATTTCTGATGCTTCGAAACAACCACTCCACATTACCTGGTAACTTAAATGGCCTACTGCCTGAATATCAGGCCCAAGAGAGCGAGTAAATACACTGCCAGGGCCGCTGAGGCCGAGAATAAGCGTCGGTGCGCTTTGCCCGCTGCTAAGATGCACGGAAAGCTTCACTCCGACTTGGGATGCTTGCGTGTACTCGTCATCGCTTTCGTCATCGTCAAAAGTGTATCGAACGGGTGCCGAAGGAAAGGCATCGAGAGGATCCTAAAATCAAGGGTTGAATTCTTTGAACAAGATAGGTTAAAGCCATGACGAAAGCGTACCATAGTGAGAGTAGATCAGACAAGTGGCAAAAAAATCGTGAGCGCCCCCCAAGTGGGCACGCGTTTGGTGAGTGTGATATGTGGAATTCTATCCCTTTTTAATCTCCGCGACAGGATTAGCCGTAGCAGAGTTAGAAAACGAAAAAGTTATGCAACACTTCATGTCGGCATTGTCACCCTTTCAGCACAGTAAGAACCGCTTTGATCGACAAACGACCACAAGTGCGTTCATCACGCCTTATGAATTCTCCTCTACCTTTGACGATCCCCAGTTCGTTTATCGTTACAACCGCCATGTCATTGAAGTCGAGTCATGCACGGAACCTTCCTCATTCTATCATCATTGCATATCGGCCAATATATTGTCTCGCTACGCCAAAACAAAGGTAAGAAGGTCTCTTTTGCATGTATATTTTTTGGGTCCCTATGAAAAAATAACATGTTAAAGTAGGTCAGCGTATCCCACGTTTTGGACAGCAGCTACTCCGAACAGCCTATGCTTCTGATCGTGGCCGCGGACAGACAACATATTTATCACCTGTTTTGGTTCTATGTTGACACGAAACGAATCCGAAAAGTGGACTTGGACAATGTGCTTGACGACGATATTACAGCGATTGCCATGACAAAATCTCCTTTCACTTTGGTAAGCCAAACACAGTTGATCACCACGGTACGGTGCTCTGACGATCTCGTTCATATCAGATCGAAAAGTCGGTAAAGGAAATTGAAGCAAAGCAAAACTTACGGCACTTGGTGACCATTGGTCGACGAGATGGATCCATGACCTTTGTACTCTTGGCATGTGAAAACAACAAGGTCCTTGGCGTAAGACAAAATACCAGTAGTCAACATGGTATAACCGTAGTCCAGTTCCTGATCTCTTATTGACTAGCGCTTGGCAGAGACCCACTCACGCATCAAAGGCAATGCAGCCATTACGTCAATTGCTATTTTATCTCAATGTGGCAGAGACAAACGCAGAGGGCACAATGATCCACGCATTATTCTCGGCACGGAGAATGGGATTGTACACAGTTATCGCTTGCGCGCTACCTTGAAGAAAGAAATTCTGATATTGCCTAGCATTGATTTCAGTGCCTTTGTTCGATACCCCAATGGTAGGCTATCCCGTTGAACTTTTTGTCCCTTTCTATATCTCATTGTCAAAGCTCCCATTGTATGTCTTTCGTGCGCACGAAGCATCCAAGGAACATCATATTTCGTTGCTGTAGGTCAACCTTCTCTTCAGGAAAAAGGATTTTTGCAAAGGTAATCTTTTATTTTCATACCATTTCGATCAGAAAATTTGGCTCAACTTGTTCTTGTCACAGTGAATGTAATATTCGACTGCTGGAAATTGGTGGAAATGGACTTATTCGGCTCGTTGACCAAGTCAAACCGCAATCCCCGGCCGGCGCTCAGGCCACCGTGACCTCCCTGAGGATCCTTGAAAGTCTGTAGTAAAAGAAAACTAAACAAGGAATGCACATGTCGCGGTAAACCGTACTAACACATGAACTTAGCTTGGAAAGATTATTACTATCTCTCAGTCATCTTTCAGTGGCAGAAGCATGCGATGTTTGACACCTTTGAAACTTCTTACGAAGGCGGACTGTGGACTTTTACGAAAAACGCTAGCATGCTCCAACAAGTGAAAAGAATACCCAAAACGACACGACTTTTTCAAGTAAAGTATCAATGTTCACAGTACTATTGCGATTTGGTATTGATCGGTTGGCTCACAGGATCTGTGGCCAATGAGAAACGCTCCAGAATTACTGGGACTGACTATCCGAAGACTGCTACGGTTTTCAACAGAGCACGCTACTAACGTGGTCAGTATATATTGATATATCTTTTTTCGTAAGAATAGTTTTATTCATGTCGAGCAATCGCAGGACTGTGAATATGGCGATGACAATGACGAAGTGGACGAGGATACTGAAAAGGAGGAGGCAGACGAAAATAACTTTTATACCAACCTTGATGAGGATACCGCAATGGATCTTGACGACTATCTCGACAATGAACTAGTCACAGACCAAAGTGTGCGACAAATGGAAGGAATCAATGATGAAAACGAACAGAGCTTCGACGACATAGAAGAATCCTCTGACAGCTGGACAGATGATAGCGAAACAGAAACCTGGGATCCTCGGCTATCCACCATCATCGGTATCCCTTTTGAAGAGGTACTAACAAGGTTACGACAAACGCCTGAATCCACAGACAGTACGCTCGAACATCCTTCGTATTGGGACCTGACGCTTAATTATTATTTCAAGCATGGCAAGTACTCATTATTTAAAGACATTCTGTTATAACCGTTTCTGATTGTGAGAAATAGCAAGGGAAGAAGCTGCCAACATACAAAGCATACTGCAAGCCCAGCTTACAGAGGAAGAGGAATACATCATCTGCCACCATTGTGTTTCTACAAGACATGAGGCAGGGAGGCTTTTTGGGATATTGTTCTGCATCCACAAGAAAAAATACCAAGAAGTGGACTATTATTACACTTGCTTCAAGAAAGACGTGCAGCGGAGGTTGATGCGAGCAGATCCAAGTGTCGTGCGAGCATGCGGTGTATTAGCTTATCTAGCCGAACAGTGGACCGAAAATAATGTAAACTAGTCTCCCCTTATTGTATAAAATAATGCTGGACATTTGCTTAAAAAAAAAGGTTCACCATTTCCTCAGATAATATGCATGCCACATAGGGTCCAATGCAAGTGTTGCATTGACAGCATGATGTTTAATGATTTGATCTTTTACAGGAAAAGTCCAGAAGAATTATGATAAGAAAACACTCCACGTGGCAAAATCAAAGCTTTTACTGTTTTCATCAACAATGGCAGGCTTGTTTTTAAGATCTGTCGTGAGGAAGGACTTTTGAACTTTTTAATCTTGCTGCTAGTATTGCTAACCAGCATAAAACATACTGATATTAGAGTCCCTGAAATGGTGTGAAAATCATCCCATTTTTTCCTGTGCATCTTTTATTCTTGGAAAAGATGGATCCTCATTTGCAGGGAGGAGTTTGAAACTCCTATTTGATGATGGTTCATTCTCTCAACACTTGCTGCTATTCTCTCTTGGTCTCATGGCGGACACTAGTCGGAAACAGGACGAAGAGGAAATTCTCGCTCTTAAAAAGGAGCTGAGTGAAGCGATTGCTTCCAGAGAAAAAGAAGTCGACAAGGAACGTGGCGTGATGCGTGGCTTGGTGGAAAGGATCCAGGTCATCTCGAACGAGAAAGAAGAGCTAATGAAGAAGTTGGACGAGTACGAACATAAACTGAAGCAAGCATCGGCTCCCACAGCAACCACCAATGCCAATGCTTCCGATGACGAAACCAAGAAACAAATGGCGTCGCTGAAAAATCAGATTGAAGAATTACTGTTGGAAAAGACTGAATCCAAAAATAATCTGCTGTTCTTTATGGAAAGAGTCGATGAAGCAGAGAAACAGATGGAAGCGATTCGTAAACAAAATGATACCGTGCAAGAGTCTTTAGCATCGCAATCGGAGCAAATGAACAATGTCAACCAACAACTACAAGCCAGCAAACAGCAAGCAGAAGAGGAACGAGCCAAATGCGAACAGGTGATTGCGGAAAAGTCGGCGTTGGAGCAAAAGGTTTCCAAGTTGAACAAACAATTGGAGGATCAGCATGTGTCGTCCGAGGCATGGTCTACCGAAAAGCAACAGTTGGAGCAAACCGTGGCCGACCTCAAGACTCAATTAGAAAACCAGCGTACCTCGTCAGATGCGTCGTCAAAAGAAAAAACCGAGCTCCAGCAGACAGTGGCCGAGCTGAAGAGCCAACTGGAGAGTCAGAAAACGTCAGCAGAAGGATGGGCGGCAGAAAAGAACGAGTTGGAAACGACGGTTGCGGATCTGAGGAAACAACTCGACGAGAAGCAAGCGTTATCGGATACCTGGACCACGGAAAAGCAAGAATTGGAGCAAACCGTATCCGAACTCAAAACTCATCAACAAACCTCGTCAGATCAGTGGGCTTCCGAAAAGACCACGTTGGAACAGACCATCACGGACCTCAAAAAGCAAATAGAGGATCAACCCACGCCGACCGAGGAGAAAAAGGAGTCGTTGGAGGAACGTTTGCAGCAGTTGGCGCAGGCCCAAGAAACATGGAACAAGGAAAACACCTCGTTGTGGGAGCTCACGAAAGAGCGGGACTCGTTGAAGAAGCAGTTGGAGCAGCTGAAGGCCAACGAAGTCAATTGGAACCAAGAGCGAAAAGCGCTGTCGGCCAAGATGGCCAAAATGGAGAAAGTTACCTCGCTGAAAGAGCGTACCTCGAAATTGGAAGAAAAGGTCAAGGAGAAGGAGAAGCAGCTTGAAACCCAAGAGCAAACTTTGAGCAAGTTGATGGCGAGAGTGGACGAAGAGAAACAGTTTATCGAAGAACGCCTTGCCGCTGTGTACAAAAACACCACCGAGCTTGAAAAGAGATGTGCCAAGATGACCTTGGCCAGTGAACAAGGCACGAATAAAATTGAAGCGATGACTTCCATGCAAGAAAAAATCGACACCTTGGAAAAGCAGCTGGAAGACAAAGTGCAACAAGTCCAACAATTGGAAAGGGAGCGTGAGGAACTTCAAAACGAGGGAGCTTCCGCCATGCAAGAGAAGATCAACGATTTGGAAAAGCAGCTGAAGGACAAGATGGAACAGATGCAACAGTTGGAGAAGGAGCGGGAGGAACTTAAGAAGGAAGCCGCTTCCGCCATGCAGGACAAGGTCAACGACTTGGAAAAGCAACTGGAGGACAAGGTAGAACAGATTCAACGGTTGGAGAAGGAGCGTGAGGAGCTCAAGAACGAGGCAGTTTCCGCTATGCAAGAGAAACTTGATGATTTGGAAAAGCAGCTGCAGGAGAAAGAGCAGCAAATCGAACAGTTGAAAAGGGAGCGTACGGACCTCCAGAATGAGGCAGATTCCGCCATGCAAGGAAAACTTGATGATTTGGAAAAGCAGCTGGAGGGCAAGGTGGAACAGATCCAACAATTGGAAACAGAGCGTACGCAACTCAAGGACGAAGCGGCTTCCAAAACCGCCGAATTAGAGAAACTGCGAGCGCAATATCACGAGCAAGAGTGCGAAAAGAATGAAGCCATGGATCAGTTAACGAAAGCCCAGGCCTCCGTCAAGCAGCTTCAGGGAAAGCTCAACGATGCCAATGTCTCTCTCAAGATTGTCAAGGAGACGTTGAACGAACGCGACGTAGAAATGGATGCATCACGAAAGAAGATGGAAGCTTTGACGGAAGCACAATCCGAGTTGGAGGACAAGTCCAAGAAACTAGTTGCCATCTTGAACAAGACCAAGAAACAGATCATGAAGTTGGAGAAAGAAAAGACCGAGGCGGCAGAAGAAACGGAACGCATCAAGGAATCCGAAACCAAGCTGAAGAACGATCTGTCTCGACTCAACGGACGATTCCAATCGGCGGAATCCGAGATCAAGATCCTGCAAAAAGAACGAAGAGAAGCACTGGATGAGAAGAATCGTCTCTTTGATGAAGTGCAGATGAAGCAAGCTGAATTCGAAAGTTCGCAAAGCATGGCCGAGAATCTGCAGCATCGTTTGAAAGAGAGTGAACGACAAGCGGAAGAAGCATTTGAGAAGATTGCCGCCTTGGAAGAATACGAAACCATGGCAAGAGAGGCGAAAAAACAAATCCAAGACCGAGAAAAACAGTGGAACGAAGAGAAACACATCCTGGAGCAAGAGACTCGTGAAAAGGAACGGGCACTCCATGATGCGAAATCACGCTATGAGAAGCTGCAAACTGAATTGGATGAATCGGCATCACGAACAAAAGAGCTGGAATTTAAAATGCGAGAGCTTCAAAAGGAAGTTTCTTCAAAGGAGAAACATCTGGATGTGCTTGAATCCGACAAAGAGGGGCTGCTGGAACGCATCGACGATCTGGAAAAGGATCTATCCAAGATTACCACGGAAATGGACGAAAAAGAGGCGGTCCAAGTAAGTTATGGAAGCATGCAAGTCTAAAGTATAGCAAACCTTATGATGATTTATTGTTACAGAAACAATTGATGGAAGCCAAACAGCAACTGGATGCGACGGCGAAATCAAGAGACAAAGAATTGGAGGATCTAAAGATTCGCGAAGGCCATCTCAAGTCATTAAATAAGGTACATGTCAGCTCTTTGTCGATATCTTGAATGTGCATAGAGACTGACGATTCTGTATACAGACATTGAAGGATGAGATTCGTAAATTATCCCGAGCTGCCAGTTCGATTGATACCCGACCAATGCCCACTGGAGCTTCAACGACACCTGCATCGGAACCGCCATCGACGCCCGGCACGGTGACTCCTCCAATTCCCAATCCCTCGGCATCCCCTACGCCTCGCACCAAAGAAGAAGAAATCAATCTGGAATATCTGCGAAACGTCATTATCAAATTCTTGGAAAACAAATCCACGAGAGTAAGTCAAACTTGATAAGTGCTAAACTCCTCGCCTTCCTAGCTAACCATAATTTATTAGGCTCAATTGATCCCCGTCATGGCCATGATGCTCAAATTTTCTCCAGAAGACATCAAGCGACTGCAGTCCAAAGCATGAAATTACAAAAAGATAGATCCACCTGATACAGTTAGACATAATTTTACGGCATCTTATTCATAAAAAGAAATATACATTGTACTTATTTACTGTTATAAAAAGAGGAAAGAAAGCGAGAGAGAAAAGAAAACAATGATGTCTAATATACAAATATTGGATAAGGGTCAATTTGGCTGTATGCGTGTATGCAAAGTGCACGAGCCATGTGGCGCGCATTTGCTGGGGGTGTCATCATTCGTTCCAAAAAAGGAATGATTTTTTTTTTTTTTCGTTTGACAGCCCTTTTTTTATGTCAATGTGAAACCATCCTTTTTACATTCTTTATTCTTCTTTTTCGTTCACTTTCTTTCACAATATTATCATCGCCACAGCATGAGGCTACTCATGGTCTGTCTTTGTATAGCCTTGTTCCCATGCTTCATTGCCGCCGTTCATGCCTCTCCCACATTCGCCATGACCCACGATGATGACCCATCCGCAAACACCGTCGACTGGCATCATATCTCGCCCGATCTCGTTATGCGACTGGTTTCCATTATTGTCCTTGTCCTGTTGGGCGGCGTATTTGCAGGTAATATCCAATAAAAGCTCGGGTTAGCAATTAGTCGACCTTGTTACATTTTATTAAACGTGCATGATCAAAAAAAAAAAAAAAAAGGTCTTACACTTGGGCTCATGGGTCTCGATCAGACTAATCTGCACGTTATGATGGAGTCTGGTACTGAGAGTGAAAAAAAGAATGCGAAGCAGGTTCTCCGTTTACTGGATCGTGGTAAACACTGGGTTCTGGTGACTTTACTTTTATCCAACGTGATTGTCAATGAAACCCTGCCCATTATTCTCGATTCGGTGTTCGGCGGTGGATGGCAAGCTGTCTTGATTTCTACTGCACTGATTGTTATCTTTGGCGAGTAAGTGGTGTGCCCGCATTAAGGAGGTATCATGATTTTGGAAAACTAATGCTACCTTGTGTTGATTGGAAACAGGGTGATTCCACAATGTAATGTGTGATACTGAATGACGAACATACTATTATATAACTCATATTCTTGGTTGGAAAAATAGCCATTTGTGTACGACACGGTTTAGCCATAGGTGCCCGATGCTCGTTGTAAGTACTTGCTCAAACGCAGACAACACAGAAAAGATTGTCAATCAGGTTGACATATTATATTTATTACAACCCTCGCTCCGATCACACACATAACCTACAGTTTGGTGCTGTGTATCATGTACTTGATGTGGCCCGTAGCGTATCCTACAGCGATGCTTCTCGACTACTTTCTGGGCGAATCTCAAGGCACGGTGTACAAAAAAGCCGGTAATTAGCGCGAATCCCACTGACGTGAGGGTCACATCATTTGCATTAATTTATGCGGAGATATTAGGTCTCAAGACGCTTGTGTCACTTCACCGATCAGAGGATGCTCAAGATGCAGAAGGACTAACCCAAGATGAAGTGTTGATCATCGGTTCGGTGTTGGATCTTCGTGAAAAATCGGTGCTGGATGTAATGACACCCATCGAAGATGTCTTTACCTTGAGCAATGATCACATTCTCGACGAAGAAACCGTAAATAAGGTAATTTTTTATTTTTTGAAATCTGACATTTAAAAAATCCCCTTTTTTTCTTTTTTTTCTATGCGCTGAATGTTAAGAAAAATGTTGTTAGATTCTTTCGGAAGGATATTCTCGCATCCCTATCCACGCACCGGATGATAAATACAATTTCATCGGCATGCTGCTCGTCAAGAATTTGATTACTTATGATACCGACGACAAGTGGCCCGTCAACAAATTCCAGCTAAGCCCGTTGCCAGAGACGGGTGCCAATACCAGTTGCTTGGATATCCTTAATTTCTTCCAAGAAGGAAGAAGTAAGTGCATGGTCAGATAAAATATCCTTGATTCATATGATCCACTAACGCGATGATCAAGGTCACATGGCACTGGTATCAAAGAATCCCGATGGATCCGGTGGTGCTTTGGGTGTCATTACACTGGAAGATGTCATTGAAGAACTGATTGGCGAGGTAATTATCATCAGAGTGAAGTGCTCTAATATTGGGTTATTTTGTCGTCTAATTATTCAATTGAGTAGGAAATTGTGGATGAAACGGACGTTTATGTGGACGGTACGTACTCACTAACAATATGTCGAGTCGATATGCTGCGAGATTCAATGTCATCGTTAACCTTTTTTTTTTCTTTTCGACAGTGCATTCTAAAGTAAAAGTGGCTCGAAAACGACTTCAGGCTTCATCTGCATCGTATCGACCGTTATTTCAAATTGTACGCAACAACACCAAAGCTGGATTGCGACAACCATTACCGCACCGTGTATCCAGCCGAGTCAATCTGCGACGTGCACCGTCTCAAGAAGCTCTCCTCATTTCTCAGCAAGCCAACCAACATAGACCAGCCGAAGAATCCGATTCTGGAATCGAAAGACGAATCAAAGGTTATGGAGCCGTCGTTGATCATGAAACGGGAGACAGTAGTGTTTTATCCACTTCCTACAATGACCATCGTTCCTGACCAGATAATCTCTGCTTTTCCAACTGTATCATATGTTCTGCTGTATAAAATAAGGCTGAAAATAAATGAATAAAGAGCGTTCCAGAAATTCATAAGCTTGAGCTTTGACACTATTTACCTAAGAATACGCAGAATTATTTCGTAGCCTGATTCATCAAGCATGGAGAGGCATGAATGCAAGCGGACATGCAATTTATATCACATGACTGTCTTTGAAAAACGATAAAAGTCGTCGCTCGGTGCTGAATGACAGAACGCCATACGCGCATTCCCTAATCGACAAATATAATGAGTGATCCTGCTCCGGGCACAAGCAGTAGCCAACGTATTCAGACCTACGTACTGCTCAGCAAATCGGTCAAAGGACCTGCTAACTGCCAATTGATCATGGATGTTCTTGCCGCACCCGGCATTTATGTCTTTTCAGAACTGTACGAAGCACCCAATGTCGTAGAGGTGATACATTGCGACCACCAAAAAAAAAAAAAAAAAAGACTTACACATTGAGATCCGCAAAATACTAATTGATGTGCATCAATGCAGGCGTCTGTTCTTCCCGAAGTGGCACCATATTATGAGCTCCTAAAGATATTTCTGTATGGCACCTATCGGGATTACGTAGGTACGCTATGCTTCTGTCCGCACTCGAGCTCAGGATCACCCTGCCTGATAATGATTTTCATAGCCCATGCCCATAAACTGCCCAGCTTAAATCCGGCCCAAGTAGCCAAATTGAAGCATTTGTCCATCATCTCCCTGTCGGAGAGTAACAGTCGAGTAAGTAGCATGCAGAAATAAGTGATCGATTTTAATACTGACGCGTGTTGCCAAGTCATTATCGTACGACCTGTTACTTGAATACCTCGATATTTCCAATGTGCGTGCGCTCGAAGATTTGATCATTGATGCGTTTTATCAAGGCGTCCTTGTGGGCAAACTGGATCAGCGACAAAAACGTGTGGAAATATCGTACGCGATGGGCAGAGACTTGCGGCCTGAACAAATGGAGGCGACATTAGATATCCTTCACACATGGAGCCGAGATACAGAAATGCTTCTGAAAGCCATTGACACGAAAATCCAAACTGTGAGTAACGTGGTTGCTGTGAATCAAGCGCGTCGTGACGAATACGATCAAAAAGTGGACCAATTACGAAAAGAGATTCGCGCCAAAAATAAGGCGGACATGGACACGGATGATGGCAAGGGGAAATACTTGGGCACGGTGAGGTATGACTCTCCCGAGTATAACGAACGTGGAAGTCGAGCTAAAAAGAGGTAAACACGGCATCACCGAGGACGACGCGACGCATGAATGATTAAGCCATCGTCTGCCCGTGTAGTAGAGGCTCCAAACGGTTCATGGTTGGTCGATCGTGAAAACACCTCACCTATCATCTCGCATCCATAGTAGCGCATGGGTCGCACGTACGCACATATGGTGTTGCTGTGCATCTACTGAAACCTTCTCCCCACACATATGATGCGATATAGCGGATGATGCCACAGTCACTTGGAAAGAATAGCATCCATTGATTTATCCACACACCATTCGAATCCAAATAAACCAATACCATTAAACGGGTGTTTTCCCTGTAAAAATTTAGAGAAATACACGTTCGACTAACGATAGCACGATAACAGATAACACGATAGTATTAGGGAACACTGGCCCTATATGAAGATCACATCAGCATAATCACTGTACGGTCATTGCCTTTATGAACAATATGATGTGGATACGGTTAATTTGGGATGATACGATTTTCAATCCTTTGAAAAAACAGGGACGTACTATTTGATCTGGACATTGCCTCTCGTTTAGTTAATGTTAGTGCGGCCACCATTGCATGCGTCAACAGGCATCCTACTGTGGAATAGCCACCCTCTGAGTTCTTCTATAATTCGTTTATCCTTTAGTAGACTTCGCTGTATGGCATTACTATACACTACAATCAGAGAATCCTGCAAATTAAGATTTGGCTGAGTTCTCCTGGTTTGCACCCTAAAGTGAGATTTCCTCCTGTCCTTCCATTTCCGCTTCCGAAACGTTTTTTCCTTGAAGGACATCTAGGGCAATCCTGTTTAAGAAACAAAAACATGACCTTCCTATTCTTGATCTGCTCTCGAGCCTTATATTTTTTTCGGATTCACAACCAATTTACGGTAGATATACGATGCTGTTCAGTGATACTACCTTTGCATAACAATTAATTTATTTATTGAAAAGTATGGACGGGTTATGATAAAGCAACCGAGGTACGGGCAGTGAGAATTATTCTGGGACACAACAGACTCGATGACCTGTCATGCAAACAGTGTTACCGAAGTCACCACAATTTTTATCGCAAACAAGTAGTTCTGCTTCTTCCTTCGAGCGCGCGTAGCAACCAACTGTTTCACCGTGTTTGCAACTTGGAAAACCACTCATAGGCCCCTCAGGTCCGGCCCATCGAGCGCTGGAAATCGCTGAGATAGCAAGTAAGAATAACAGAGAACTAGCATGCGGTTGGCCATGGTAAAAACTTTCGCTGGAAATGAAGTATAGAATACCGGTCGAAGTAGATGGGGGGATCCTGAAAATCCATGGCCAACTTTAAATTGAAAAAAGTTGCTGTCATGTACTACAAAGTTCAACCGCTGTCATTCGGCTATTTCTTCTCTAGTTGTCCGCCTTTCCCAATTCCGCGCCCCGAATTCGCATAATTTCTTCTCTATTATTGCGCCGGTGCCGGTACTGCGTCGATTGTTTACCGATTCAATGCAGTGAGTTCTGAGGATGCAAACATCGACAATGATGCTTCCGGGATACAAGTTGTAAAAACGGCATTACTTCTTTATAATTTAAAACTTCGTCAATACCCAACGCTTCCTAATGCAATACCTCAAAACAAACCGTAGCGTCCCAGTTGCAACTACTGTGCTGGAACAGTAGTTTGTCGGGCTCAGTACGTTTTCACAACTTGGCTAAATATATTCAATGCACTAACGTTATATAAATCCATTTTATCTGGGACATTGCATCTTGTTTTAGTTAAGGTTTGTGCGGCGAACATGGTAGCTAACATGCATTGTGGAAAAGCCCGCTGAGGTTTCTTAAATCGTTTATTCTTCAGTAGACTTTGCTGTATGGGATTACTACATGCAACGATCAGAGAATCGCGCAACTCATGATTTGCTGAGTTTTCCTGGTTTACATCCCACAGTGATATTTCTCCTCCTTTCCTGCCAGTTCCGCTTCCGAAACCTTTTTTTCTTGAAGGACATTAGGAAGGCATGCAGGGGCAATCCTGTTTAACAAACTATAACATGAACATTACTATTATTGTTCTGATCTCCGAGTCTTGTACTTTTTTCTCTCGCTTTCACAATCGATTTACGGCAGGTGAAGCCAGCAGGTATGAATAGAAAGACATCATACTAGCATGGAAAAGTCATTGAGACCTCAAGCAAACATCAATTCCTCTTAAAGCCACAAACCACGCGTCGGTTGCTCGTTAGCGTACAGTTTAATTGAAAAATTCTGGATAAAAAACTTTTTACAAATCAAAAATTTTGAAAAAGAGGCGAGGTAATGTCGTTAAGTTAAAGTTAATCAAATAAGAGAACAGAAACCAAAGGACAATGACATACAAAAAAAATGGATGCATTAGACAAGCCACACTTACTCTTCTCTGTTGCACCTACCAAAAAAAAAAACTGTTGCCGCCGCCGCATTGCGGGAGCCGCCATCGCACACCACCAAGGCATCGGCTTTGTTCAAGTTTTTAAACTATACAAGCACACACAACAAGTAAGTGATTCGGCATAGCATTTAAAATGTAAGGCCTCTTGAGCACAAATGCATCGCCTTTCAAAAGAAAAAAGTTTCATTGTTGACCACGAAAAAAAAAAAAAAAAAAAAAAAAGATTTTCGACACGTAAGCTATAATGTGGAGATTCAGTCGTCGATAGCACATTTCTGGTCATCATGAGTATACGTACTTTACAGGATAGGTGATTTGAGCAAATTAATGAGAAAAGCAATGAAAATATATAGCGCGATAGATGGTTTGCGAAAAAGAAAATAGATGTGCAATGATGAGTAGAAAAAAATGAATGGAAGATGCGATGTATTTTATACATATGGAGAACGAGACGGTCCCTCGTACTGTAGCTAAAACCTTTATTGTCCAATAATGAAGCAGGAAAAAGTCGCCATGTGTCTTTTCTCCGGTTCATGTCATATTTATCCATAGATAAGAGAGTGTGGCCTCATCGCATGAAACAGCTGCATGAAGTAGGTCTCAGATAATGTTAGAGAGAGATCTTTATTCTCAAGTGTTCATATATCGGCTGATGGGATACACAGGTGCACATAACTTTGGTACAGACGTAACGCATGGCTCGTTAAACTATCTTTTAACTCGTATTATAGACTTTATTGAAAATAGAAGTCATCCTAATGACGGTGGCCTCTTCTTTTTGATGAACAAAGTCGTCAGTTTCAGCGAATTTCCCCATCAGGATTACGCAGGTATTCTGCAAGGCCAAAGTAATATGAGAAGATCCACCTCACTCCTACCAATAAAGGACCAAGTCATGATTTTGCTTCCTTACAATTTATTTGATTATCATTTCTTCATTTTGCGAGAAAAATGAACAGAAAGATGAAAAAGACATTAGGAACATACAGTATATGACAGATCAATGAGAAGCGTATCTGTGCTAGAGCGTCTGACTGTCAAATGACCAAGGAGGGAAAAAAAAAGAAGAGGAAAGACAAAATGTGTGTACAGAAAGAAAATAAAATAAATACACAAGTTAGAAAAGAAGAAATAATAAGGAGAATACTACTAAAAAAAAAGAAAAAAAAAAGAAAAGAAAAAGTCTATACTGGGATTGTCTATGATACGTTTTGGGGTGCCTTTCTGGCGATCCAGCAATTAAACCTTTGGAAGCCACGATACTCTTCGAATTCTTCAAGTACTTCAACCACAGCGGTGTCGTAGTCTTCTGAAGATAGATTCCATTTCGTCATATAAAATTGTCGACGATTCTTTAGCAAGGCTTTCTGCGTTTCCTTGTTGATGAATCCAAATTGTTTAAGTTCTATACATTGAGCCATGGCGTGAGTCACATAATCGGGTCGCCAGACAGAAAAAACCAAAGTCACTTACCTGGTTCTTGGGGCCATTCACCAATAGGAATATCCAAAGTACGTTGCTCAATATCAACGAAACCGACCGCTTCCACTTGATCTTTCAATGTTTCCGTGAAGGCATAGTCAATGTGAAGATCGGTATTGCAAAGATTCTGGAAAAACTGGTCGAATGCTTGCAAGACCGGACCGGGATTGTGATGCCACAGATCAGGTTCCACTAGTTCAATGTAACCATTCGGTTTAAGCACACGAAGCATTTCACGTAAAACAAATGGCCACTGATCTTTTTGAATAAAATGGCCCATGTTACGCTGGAACACACTATACATACAGTGGTTAGATAAAAAAGATACATGCGTGAACAAAAGACTCTCCACCACTTACAAATCGACGCTGTTATCGGATAATGGCCACGGTTGGTGAATGTCCATTTCCAGGAACTTGAGATTCTTGAAATTAGGTTGTTCTGGAGGCACGCGGATGTCTGCGCCAAAGATCTGGGCTTGTGGATATTGAGACGCCATTTCCATGGCCCAGATACCGTTGGCGGTCCCGATATCCAAAATGGTCGTAGGTTCGTGTATTGGCGCCCACAAGTTGCTCTTTCGAGCACTCTTTAGCAGATAATGCTGTAGAAAAACAGAAATTTCCCAGAATTAATTTTTGGATCAGTAAAATGCGAGGGGTGGAAGAGTGTGTGGGTGTGTAGAATCGCACCTGGCGTTGTAAGCGATCGTATTCTCGAAACTCATCCTCGGAAAATGACGGTCGGGCAATACTGGCTTTGCGTCGAGTGAAGAATTCTGTGATGGATTTGCGTCTTGGCTGAGCGGGACTGGAGGTCGACATGGTAGTGGCGCTGGCACTGCTGATGGGCGATGCGGTAGAGGAAGCAGCGGCTGCGGCGGCCATGGCGGCGTTCAACGCACCGGCCGATAACTGTGTATCTTCATTATGATCGATCCAGTCGTAGTTACCGTGGGAATGTAGACTTCCCGCATATGAACGACTGCTCAACGTCACTGAACTACGACGTCGAGTTTTCCGTTTGGCTTTGCGATCCTTATTCTTGTCGACAATACGGCTCGTTTGATTTCCCATGGAAACAAACACAAAAAACAAGCTCGCAGTGGGAGAGGCGGAGGTTGCAACCGAAGATTTGGTGAATTAAAAAAAAAAGTTTATCGTTAAACCCTGAACTTGCGTTCTGTTAGTGGTTTTTTTTTCTGGATCTTTTTTTGTTTCCCAAAAAGAAAGCCGATGAATAGAAGGAAAGGAAAAAGGTAAAAAAGAAAAAGCCCAATAATAGAAATAAAAATAAAAAAAAAATACAAAATAAAAAAAAAAAGCCATTGAATAAAAGGAGCTTGTTGAGTAAACCAATCTCAGACTATGGCAGTGACTAAAATCAGCAGGTGTCACGAACCATTGAAATCCCATCAAGTGACAAATGTATGTCATAGCTTTTTTATCCGACATTGACTTGTTTTTATAAATTATCCTATGGATTGTACCCGCCAAAAAAATCTTGTCCAAACGACATATATTAAACCTTGGCCCCCTCTTGATCAGATAACTCTTGACAGGAACGCGTCAATTTGAAAGTTAAATTACGGTGATGAAAAAATATGCCAGCCGAAGAGCAGATTCGCCGAATGAAAAATATCGCTCCGATGGTTTCATCTCCCTTGGTGCCTGAATGTCCTTTTTCTATGGGAACATCACGCTGCAAGGGAACCCATAATCAAGTCTGCCAATGCTCTATAAAAGGATAAGCAGTTATAGAACTTATTGACATACAAGCATATATAAGTGGACCTGTCAATGGCGGGGACCTGCACTGATCCATCGGTTGTCAAAGATTGACGCCGTAAAAATATTCTCACTTTAATTATATTATTCCAGATCAGCCAATTTTGTTTCAATCGGTGGATGCCTGTTCTTTCTGTGCTCATTCCCACATCATATCATACCACCGGAAATGACCAGACGCACTATCACGTATGCTGGCAAAGAAAAAAAAAGAAATCGACCATGAAATTCTGAAAGTCGCCCTTAAGGTATCGTCCAGCAGCTGTGAAGCCATTTCATAATACAGCGCGCTAGTTAGTTGCATAGCTTATTTGCTGTACGTCTGCAGAAGTTCATTATTACCCAACGTACGGCCACGTAGACAGTACAAGTACCTTTCTGATTCAATAAATACATGGCGGCTAGAGTATATGAGTATGAAATTCATCCTTTCTACCCATCACAAATGCCACAAGCCACATATTTGCCTTATTATTTGAATTAATGGGCGAGTTTGTTGCAAACAATGATCTTCCAAAACCTCCAGCTGCATCATTACGTGTTGAGATATTTTGTGCGACAACGATGGCATCATCCAAGGTCAGAACAGTCTAGTGACAAGCTCATCTCGCGTTTCATTGGGCAGGATTTAGTTTAATCAACCCTTCCAGCGCTTATGATAGGTTCCATATCAGAGGGCGCTCATCATAAGCTTACTTTTAGTGATGATGAATCATCCATCAATACACAGTTCCGCTTCCCATCACTAACTGCGCGTATTGCCCACCTCACCATCTTTTTTTTTTTCTTTCAGCCATCGGCTTTATAAAAACAAAAATTTCAACGCTGGTACAAACCATATTGAAACTCACACCATGGCGTGCAATGAAACTTAATATCCCTTCCAATTGCTCGATTGGCTATTCTAGTTAATTTGGCGATGCTAATTGTAACAGCAGATGTCTTTTCCATGATGTAGTTATAATTTCATGGTATTTCCCGTTACATAATGGCCTTCATATCTCATTGCTCAATGGTCACCTGATATACTTTCCAACTGTTTGGGTTTTTTTCGTCATCGATTCCAAGCTCAAGTAGAAATCAACTATCCCACTATACGTATCAAAACACCCTATTTGATCAGCATTTGGTTGAAAAAGAACTTTGCAGCTAATAGTAGCTTATAATCCATGGTTTTTCCCGTTGAGATTAAAGTACAATACAATTACAATTTCCCAGGACCTCACGGCAATAAGCCAAAAAAGACATTTCTGACATAAAAGAGTCACGTTACTTGGATTCCATGGTAATAACGGGAGGAAATGGCTGAATTCCAAGTCAAGCCGCGGACTTGAGAGAGTTTCGATAGTTGTAATCTCAGATGTCTCTCAGTAGATCACACTGAAAACAGCGCAAAAAGAAAAAAAGAAAAAGAAAAAAATTTCCCAGGACATCATTCTACAGCCTTCTCCACAGATATTTCAAGGATGAACCAGCTCCCATTTTATTCCGTCAACACATCCACACCGTCATCCGTAACAATCATCTGTCACACAGACAAATCAGCTTTGTCGGTCTTTGAATCGACGCGCCATTTCCACTTACTGTGTGTTCAAATTGGGCACTGCGGCCACCATCCACCGTTGATATGGTCCATTGGTCAGGCCACATGATGCCTATGGCAGATCCTTCGCACAGAATAGGTTCAATGGTGAATGACATGGATGGTTGCATCACGCCTTCATCATGGTTCACTGCCACCATTTTTATCAGTTGGAGGGTTGCCCCGGCTTCATTTACTATTTTCGCATAGACACTTACAATGATGATACACTAGAGGCAAGCAGTGAAATTCCCTTCCGATGCCATGCCCCGAAAGCTCGTCAGAGACACTGAACCCATGTTTGTGGGCATGTTCACTATCATCAATGGCAAGGCAAATGTTTAGTATGAGGAAGCTTTTTTGTCATTGAGATCATGATGATATCAAACCATATTACGCGTCCAATTTCCTTCATTGGGACACCAGGTCCACAGATGGCAATCGCTTTATCCAGAGATTCACGAGTGCACTCCACAAGTGCTCTGCCTTTTTCATCCACATCGCCCACATAAAATGTAGCCGAAGTATCACCGTGGAACCCATTTAAATACACCTGCTCTCCATTAATATAAGCATTCCAAGATGATCTGTGTCAAGATACGTACTGTTACATCGATATTGATGATATCGCCGTTTTCCAGCGGTCGACTACAAAAATGTCCAAAATTAGCAACATTAGCAATATTGTATGCCTAAAAACAGGCTTACTTGTCAGGAATACCGTGAGCAATGACATTATTAACTGAAGTGCAAACACTCTTGGGGAATCCCATATAATTTAGCGGAGAGGGGTATGCGCCGTGGCGAATAATGGCGTTGTGCAGTGCTTCATCGATACTGGCAGTGGTCACACCAGGCTACCAAAAACATCTCGCAAGCTTCAATACCATGTTTCATCGAGTATTTATCGAAATAACTATAACCTTGCACATGGAGCCACCCAGTTGCAATATTTGCTTTGCTAACTGGCAAGCTTGTCCAAGTTGAAGAGCATCGTCGGCTGAGTTGAGAGGAATATCGGGTTGCCATTTCGACGACGAGCCGGTTTCGGCATAAGGAGGTTTCATTATATTATCAGGTACCGATGCTCGTTCCCACTCTCGGACATTAACAGTTGCTAAAGAAGACGGTGACAGTCGTTGAAAATTGCCCCAGCGATTGGATCGGGACGATGCTCCCTTTTTCTCTTTTGCCTGTACTCCGTGACGAGGTAAACGTAAAGCATGATGGCTGTTAAACCACCGCTGTTGTATCTGTTGCGGCAACCGTCGTGCGGTGGATAGACAGTCAAGACTGCGCATGCTGAATTGTATTGCTTCAATGAGCGAGATCACTTTGGCTTGATGCCCTCTGGAAAGACGGCGCATGAAAGTATACCCGACAAGCCACCTATTATCCCGCTTTTTAACTTGCATAAATTCTTCAGGTGTGACAGCAAAAAGCCCGTGTCGCTCAGACATAATTAGGATGGACCCTTTTGTTGAACGCGAGACAATCGCTACATCCGATTTTATCCCCTGCACTGATCTTAGAGATTGTTACAATCTCTGAATAATCATCCACAGGGATGGCGAATAGCTAAATTTGGACTGACCAACCCATCTTTGTCGACAAGGTTAACAATAAAGAGCAAGCGCCGGGTAAAACCATGTAATACAAGCCGACAGGTCACCAAAATATCTTTATGCAAGAAGTTGTGGCGAAGGATTTTGTAGCCAAAAAGAAACGACACGCTGCCGCGCCTCTGTCAAAGTTACTCGACCACCGATGCTATTACTCCGCCAAGTCCTGAGGACTTCGCACACAATGCGCAGCCAAACAGGACTTTACGTACCATCCTTTAACCGCCAACCATGAACTCTTGCCCAATTGGAAGGCTTGTTGCAAGGATGTAGAGAAAACTATCTCTTAGTATTTTACGCCATAAAGTTTTATTTTCCAAGCAGTGTATGGTGAGGTACCGTATTTTCGACGACTATGACATGAAAAGAGGAAAAGAAGCTGTCTGTTTATTCATAACATGAAAAGGAATATTTATCTTACTTTGATTATTTTATAAAATCATGCTTGGCGAGTTATAATTGACCAAGGCTTGGCGACCTTCAGAAAGATCGAGGAAGGTGAAGCGAGGAAATTACCAAAAAGGGACACGACAATTTTTGAGATCTTCTTTATTTCTTTGAAGAGAAAAAAAGAAGAAGCTTATCAGATACCAGCAGTCCCGATTCCCCCCATACCAACAAGTTGGCTGAGCAAGTTACCAACTTGTTCCCCGATCCCACCCCCGCGACTGCTGATAAGCGTTGCCATAGGCACTTGGCGCCACACCCCATCCGAAGACAAGGCCTGCTACGGCGTCCGAAGTCTTATATGGGAGACATGACACCCAAACCTACCCCTATTTATAAATCCCTTGATTGCAAGTTGTGGGTTAAGTTGTCAAATAAGGTAATTTCATCAAAATTACTTTTCCTTGCAAGTTGTTCTCATTTTTTCTGGTTCTTTGTTTGTTATCATCTTGTACGAGATGCTATCTAATGGATCCAACCAAGTACCATCGCTTTTTATCGCCTTTTAAAGCGGAAAAGGGATGATCAAGTAATTGGCAGGGACGTTTGGGGGGGGGGTTTAAACATGGGCGGCAGCCGCTGCCCAACCAAAATATTGACTGACGGATATCCAGCATAGGTTTTCATCTACAAAATTAAGGTACACAGTTCCTATAGAGGGAGCGTTGCCAATGCAATAAATAATGGAAACCAAAATGACACCAACCGCAACGGGTTTGACTCAGAAGACCGTCCAATGAAGGGAGCTGAGACGGAAAAGGGCAAATGTAGAGCGAAGTCCCGCAAAGCCTGATTTTCCTCTAATTTCCCCCCTCGAGACAAAAATTAGTTGACCATGATAGAGCAAATGAATTTTATGATATGTAACAGAAACTACCCTGACTTATTTACATCCGAAAGGCAAAACGTGCCTCATCAGTTTCAGGCTCATGTGGTGTGCCAAGATAGGGGAGTAACTGGTTTTGTACGTGTCTGAGCATGGAGGTGCTTCAATCGATTGAGCCATTGTGCATCATTTTTAATTCGCTATTCAACTGCACGCACAAAAGCAAAACGAGAAGATTATCACACTTGAAATTTTTTAAAAAAAATTAGGCTATACATCCTCCACACGGCAATGAAGGACCTTTGGTATGATGATTATGGATGATGCTGGTATTATTTCCCAAATTTTAATTCGCGGCAGCTTGGGAATATGTAGACACGTCAACTTTGTACTTTAATCACCATTTCTTGTCTGTTTGCCAACTTGCCTCAGTTATCTTGCGGCCGGAAAAGTATCTAAAATCTCGCCCCAACGAGTGAATTATGACTTTATTATTGGGTATTCTTCCATATATAATAGGCTAGCACATTGCCTAGATTGGTTACAAAATCTCTTTCTGCTGCATCCATGCGTTGGGCGTCCTTTCGTGGCTGCTTGCTGTTCATGGTAGCCTTGATGCGTTTATCGTCGGGATTATATTCAAAGGAAACAAAATATTCCATCACAGCATTGGGCATGAAGAAAAGCACATAACGAGTGGTTTGCAGACGTATTTCTCCCGATGTCATGGGGTAGAATAATTTCATGGTATCCAGCACATCATCCCATCGTAAATTCAGTCGCATAAACTTGCTAAAAGACGGGTCAATGGATTCCAGATCCAAGCTGTAGAAGCCTCTAGCCAGCGTCACAAGATCAACGGCTGAGCCTTTGGTACGTTTGGTGCTAATAGCATGGTATAATCGGTTCCAATTGGTATCTTGATGGCAATAATGAATTGCCTACATAGTCATAAAAAATGATCAATATTTTTCGATCGCACTGCTTTACTATTCGTATATATATATATAATTTTTTTTTTTTACCTGTGCAATCATGGTATCAATCCGATTCTCTGCTTGACGAACCACATCTCCCATGGTATATTGTTCCGGTAGCAGTATCTCCTCGTCATTTTTACCTCGTCGTTGCTCATTTTTATGTCGCAGTGTAGTAGACCAGGTAGTGTGATACACATCATTTCCTGCTTCGGGCCGATCCATTTTCCTGTAGACGACCAGCACAAAATATTGCAACTCAATCTTCTCCATGATGCTTTCCGAATGCCCTGCACTCATGTGTCTTGGCGATCCTACGGAACTGCCTTTACCAGGAAGGTTGCCCCACTGTGAATCGGCCGGAGCTATCACCAAGGTATGCCGGAAGTGCGAATCGGTTGACGGATGACTATCGGCATCACGTTGAAAAGACAAGTCGTCCGACGATACAAAGCACGCAATGGGCTTGTTTTCATAGTACAATGTCTGGAATCCGAATTTGGCCGCATCCCGCAAAATCAGGGACAATAGCTGATCCACCTTGTTTTCCACAACAATTTCATAGACGCCCTTGACGATCCGATTTCGTGAGTAACTGGCAGGCCTGTCGTAGATGGATACCGTGTTCTTGAGTACATTGAGCAGATTTAGATTACGAGGCAGTGATGCACTATCATCCAAACTACGTTGAATATGCCGCAAATGAAAATCAGAGACAAAAGAATTGACGTGAATTCTTTGCTTGAACCGATCACATTCTTCGGTAAACGTCTTGAAACCGGCTCGTCGTATTTCTCGCTTTTCGTGAGTGTACGGTGAAAATGTCAGACGACCGTACCGGCGATGGAGTGTATATAAGGTGACAGAGACAAACCCGTCGGTGAGTCGTGCCTCACACATGATCGATCCTCCTTTGAACACCTGGAGCAGGTACACGACGGGAGAAGAGACAGATACCGTATCGGTAATTTGGAATCTCGATAAGCAACCTTCCACTTCTTCCTTCTGGTCGTTGGACGGGCCATGAATGATCAGATGCATACCAATGCCTTCGAGATACGACGCATATTCTGCCATAAAATTGTGCGTCAATCGCTCATACCACGCTGTCGTCTCTTCCGATTTGGCCATGCTTGGATCCGCAAACAGTCGCGCCGTTCTTCCCGCATTATTCAGCTCGGATGATGTCGCGTCGGAAAAGTACAGTGGCGTTCGACAAAAATGAAGCAACCGCGACGCTTTCAGGATAAGTTTCAGTTCCGCAAAGCTCATCATCTCAATCTCTTCAGGCGCCCTGGCTTCAAAGTCCTCATAGCGATTGGCCCATTTAGAATATACCAGAAACGCCTTTTCATGCGCGGCTTGCAGTTTCGATCGTCGCAGATACATGTTGAGAAAAGGTTCACCGTGCCGTATCAGATAATCGCGGTGACGTGCGTGTTCGTATTCCGCCGTCGATTCGGCAAAAGCGTCTCTTAAAACGGTGTTGGCATCCGTCAATCTCACCGCCGTATACACCACTTCGCTTGGTTCATGGCCGGCCGGTTTGCATAATTTGCCGTTCTCCTGCACGTCAAAGATGCTCATCGTATCTTCCGATTCCTGTTCAGTACCAAGCACCGTTCGCTCTGACCGCTGGCGGCCAGAGTAAGTGTTGGTGATCAAACTCTTCAAATTGGAAAAGTTGACCTCGGTACGGCTCTGATAATCGTCGGTCGATGGGCTCGGTGTGGCAGACGGTGAAGTACGGACCTGGGAATCGAGTTGCGCCAAGCGCGCAATACCTACGAAACTGGGTGATGCCGCGGATCGATGCATCGGATGCTGATAACCGGTGGAAGTGCTCTGCGACAAGGTGGGAGACCGTGTTCCACCTGCTGACATGATTTCGGCCATGGATTCACTGTGGTGAAACAGGCCCATTTTTTGGAATAGAATATTCCGCAAGGCCAATCCTCTCGTCTCTTGGCGTTGGACCGATCGTAACAGGGATTGCAAAATTTGATCGGAAAAGACGTCTGTGCAATTGTAAGCGTAGGCGGTAAATCCATGCGTATCCAAGGTGAACAGCATAAAGGAGTGGCGATGTGATACGTCTTTGTAATTGCCTCGCAATTTGGCATTTAGCGTGGTCAAGGCAGTTTTCGACATGCCGGAAGCCAAGGAATCATGGCGGCTGTGGATACTGAGATCATCACGGCGCAGGGGTGAACCTTCTTTCCGTTGTGCTTCTTCATTCATTGCATTCTTGCCCAAAGGCGAGCGTGAGTGAGATTTTTGCGACCATTCACTGTCTGCACTCTGTCGGCGGGTTCCACCCGGTGTCGGGAACCATCGATGATGTAATTCGGCTAACCCGCTCACCATAAGAAAATGCGAGCTGTGGAGCGATGGAGGCTCATTGTGCCTTGGAAAGTGAGCCGGCGATTCCAGAACTTCATATTCCTGCTGCGGCCTTGTGGTGATATTCAAGTCGCACATATCCGTAGCTCTGGCAATGACCGGTCGTAACATGGGGTTGCAATCCGTTAATTCAGCCTCCAGTTGCAGTACAATATCTTCCAGGCACCATGGCGATAAATTGGCGGTGATCGATAACGATTTGACACTGGGACTTTTCCATTCCGCCGCTTTTTCCAGCACACGGACAAAAGGAGGCACGATCTCTTGAAGCGTACAACTGGGGTCGATCGTCTCGCGAGCCACATGACGATCGAAGCGTTTATCATTCTTCTCGCGAGTCGCCACCCGTACCGTCCATTCAATGATGTAATCACAGATCGTTTGCCGGAAGCAACTGTAAACGTGATCAAAAAGATGTGAGGTTTCAATTTGTCCGACGGACCAGATATCCACCGCTAATTCGTATCGATGATTGGACACTCGATCGTCGCTCAGTTGATCCTCCAAACAAGCGTCCAAATCGTGCATGTAGATTCCTCTCATATGATCTATTTTGATAGGATCATCCTCTACTGCCGTTTTGCTCTTTGCATGCAGCAAGTTCATACATATACCGGCTACACCTTGGCCAACCATCATCTCAAACGGCGAGCATACACCGGGGGCACGGTTGAAGCAACTGTAATAAAAGCACAGATCCCCCGCCACAATATCGGGGTGATCATGCCGATCTCTGTGCCAGATACGGTTAGAGAAGTTTGGTAAATTGGTCATCTTCATTACAACTGGTAAGAGCAATTAAAAATTACCGTGTTTCTTTGGATGACCATGGGTACGCATTAGGAGGTCGTGTACCGTACCGTAGCATTCGATAACGTTTGACGAGGTAGCTGAGATCCGTCCCATTCAAAGCACGCAAGGGTCCAATAAGAATATTCTGTCGTAGTAAATGGAGGAAATGGTAGATGTCGGCAATGAGAAGAGGAATACGAATACTTTGTCTGAAGCTTGGAGGTTTTTCGATGGGAAGAATAAATTCGAGATCCTATCAAGTAGAAACAGTTAACACAGTGGACTGTGATCTTCAGAAATACCTTTTTCTTATACATACTGCTCTTGAGAGCTTTGATGTAGGATTTCGCATCAAAAATTGCTGCACTTCCTTCATTGTGATTTGAATGGTAAGACGGCTCTCCAATAAATCCACAAGTTCCTCAGAGATCCAGCTTGGCAAGTCAACACCGTGAACCTGTAAACGAAGTTCCCTCGTTTCGAAGCTGCGGACCGATTTCTTTGTCCCGTTGGGTGACATTTCTTGTTTTCCAGGACTAGCACGAGGGCTCAGTAGATCACTGTGTGCACTGCCTTGAGGTGATTGCTTTCCATGGGATGAGAAGGACATATTTTGAATACGAGAGTGTGGGCCTTCATTGTTACTGCTGGTGAGGGTGTTTCCAAATGGGGAGATGGGCCGCAGCATATTTTCTTGCTCCATCTGAACATCGGAATCAAATAGGTAATGCGTGACGGTCGTCTCGGATAAGAAACAATATACCACAGCATTATCGCGCATGCAGACAAACATATTCGGTCGGTTCTTGACGGCTAAATTGCGCAACACATCATTTGAAAGGCTGTTCAAAGCAAAATTGGGTTGCAGACGCCAGTGGAGGGGAAACGATTTCGTAAAGACGATGCCACATCCGAATTGTCCAGGCTGAAATTTCTTGGGCTGTGCCAAGGACGGTTCTTCACCAGAAGTGGACAAAATCTCTACCAGATTATCGCCTGATCTGTGGCTGTTGGGGAGTTCGTATTCTTCCTCAGAGTATTCGTCCGAGGAATACTGTTGCCGCTCTCCCTCTTCACCGGGAGCCAAAAGATATTTACTGCAAATCCGGGTTTCGTGGAGTTCTTGAAGAAGGACCAGCTTATTGGTGCGCCGTATCACATCATTGACCATGGCTTTAGTCACGCGAATAATTTCGGATCGATTAACAGATTGTTGCATCTTGGAGTAGAAATAAATCTGTACGTTTTCCCGTTGGGGAATAAGCAGTAACCAGTACAATTGTTGTCGCATCACATCGGCCGTTTCTCGATCTCCGTCCGCGTCCCTGCTTGCTTCTTCGTCAAGCACTGTTTCAGGCTCCAAGATGCTGATGCCGAGTCCCTGACAGAATTCATCACTGCTTCCTCCTTGGCTGCTATTGTTATCCGCCTTGCCCGATGATTCCATGGAGATGTTAAGGCCGTCAAGTTCATCGTCATAGTGAGGTTCAAGTTCCATCGTGGACGGCAATGGCTCAGTGTGAAGGGCATCATGGTCGCTGGCATAAAAACAATCGCCTACGCGCATCAGTCGGTAGGGCATATTCCTCACCTTTTCCAATTCTTCGAAAAAGATCTGCCGGCTCAACTGCTGGTTCTTGACAAACACCAACGGTATAAACATGGTGGTGGGGAAATCCACAAACGGATTCTTCTTCATTAGCTGAGCCTCAATATATCTCACCACAGATTGGGTGATCGGTCCCGACCGCAGCAGTCCATGCATAATTTCTTCAGTGAATAGCCAGATCAGCCGCGCTTCGGTTTCAATTAACGCATCTTGTTTGTCGCGGGTCAACGACGATAGATTTGGCCGATATGTCTTTTCTGTGTCAAGAAACGGACTACATTGCAGAAAATAAAATAGAACGATTAGAGAGGATCATTCAAGGATACCTATAGGCCGACTTACGTTTGATGATGAACTGTACTGTCAGCAGGACAACCTTGTAAATGCGAAAACAAGAGGTCTTCCGACGCGTTCTTTATTCTAGGTAAAGTCATGCATACCAGGTGCAGAGTGGCCGATGTGCCGTCGCTGGAGTCCACTGGCGAATCATCCGAACCAATGGCTTCCGATTCAAAATTGAAATAACCGGTCGCAGGACACTCTCCCTCGTACGAAGACGGCAACTGATGCACAGGAAGTGTAATTTCGTCGAACCCTCCTCCCGAAGGCTTTGGCTTTCTCAAAGTGTATTCCAAACGGATAAACAATGGATTTTGTGCACAGACCACTACATCGGTTAAATTCGAGGGGTTTTCACCTGACAAGGAAAAGCCTAATTTTTGTCCGACCTTGGCAAACGGCGGTCGATAGCAATAGATGTTATGTTGTCGACTCACATTGGTGGTAATAACAGGTTCAAAATAGTGACTCAGCACGGATATGAATCGCTGATGCGCAAGCTCCAGCTCGTCGACACTATTGTCAGTAAACCGATGAGAACACGATTTGCCTTGCATGATGAACCATCACTCACCTAATACGACCCCGCCGTTTCAGTAGTGTTTGTGCGTTCAGGTAACCTGTCAAGTCAATGTCGAGACTGGATTCGTCGCAAATTTCCAGCACTTTTTCGAAATCCTCCCCATCCACTGCTCGACCATGCAACAGACAGGTGAAAATAGACTTGACGAAGCTTTGGAAATAAATCGAGGTAATGTCCTGCATGAGTCTCAACGTTCGTTCCGATAAACCGTCGTTCGGTAATGGACAACCCAATCGGCCCCACGATAAGTTTGGCCGTAGCGCGGATCCAATGCCTTCTATCCACTCGTTCCACACAGTATGATCAATAGGATTCATGGTAATGGGTTCCTTTAGTAGATCGGACAAGTCGCGATAACAGACATCAGAAGCTGGATTTTGACGTTGGCACTCGAATATTAAAAGGCTCATGTGATCGAATCCGGATGGTGAGATGGAACAGGCCGACGAGATTAATTGTTCTTGCTCCGAAAGGTGGCTCTGATGAAACAAATGATTAACGATAACGGATAAGGAAGGCATGAGAATGAGAATAAACGCGCCCGGATCTACAATCTTGACAAAGCACCGCATGTGTTGCAAATGCCGAGTAATGGGAAGCGTGCTGGTGTCGATCGCTGCCAGCTTTTCTTTTGCCAATGTTTTCATGAGCATTTGCCAAAATTCACTATGCGGCGCATCGTCCAGCGCTATGGTGCTATCGGCAATGGTACTAAACGATTGTTCAAAGTAATAATGCAGCAAGCCAATATCGCGAAGAATGGGCGGTAAAGCAGAGATGGCATCCTTGTGGCGATAAAATAAGGTATCTGGTCGCGGACAGTTGCAAGTGTAATGACGATGGTTGTGCCACATGGATACTTGGCTCTGATTCAATGGAGAGGCTACAGGACTCATCTTGCTGTTCGTACGTGAGCGCGACGACGTCCTTTCAAGGTTACGACTTGTTGCATTTTCAGCTGTTGCAGTAGGCATGGGCGTTTTCTTGATGTCGAATAGAGGCGAGCTGTCCGTGGGCGTCGCCCAATGTTTCTGATCTTTGATGAGGCTGTAACGATCGAACTTTGGACATGGATAAGATGCCAATAAGAAAGTGGCCAGCTGAAGAATAGAAGCGACGTTGAATAGACACGATTGCTGCATGTGATAAAGTTGGACAGGAGTCACTGTATCCGTTTCATTCGCATGTTGGTTCGCTTTATCGAGCGGTGTCGTGATGGATGCAGGCAAGCCCAAAGAATAGACCCGATCGAACGTAATTAGACGAGTCATGATGTCTTTATCCTTGTGAAGAATCGATCGAATGAGCGACCTTTCCGTATCGTTGGTCGTCTCGCCTACAATCGGTTCCATCCAAAGCTCCGTTATCACTTTATGCTCTGTTGGTTCGTACCAGACATAGTACTGCATGGCAAATGCGGTATCTTTGTGATACATCTCCTTATAAAAGTGACTTCCGGCTCTTTGCACCGCCACCAGGTGAAATCCCTAACATTCAATCCATTGGTATCAAATTGGGACATTGCAGCAACAATGAAAGCCATGTCATATCAAGATTTTTACTCACTTCAGTTAAACGAGCTTTACAAATGTATGAATATGCCAGTTCCTGCAATGATTTGAGCTTGGTAAAGGAATCGGTTTCCAAGTAGGGACCTTCGATATGCCAATGCCAAGCACTGTGGTGTAGGTAATTTCGTACAATGAACTCGCCGTTCAGCCAAAAGGTAGGATTGATGTGCCACATTTTCGTCATGAATAATTGCTGTTTCTCGAAAAATGCTTCCGACGACATGTAATGTTCAAAATCCCGCAACAATAAGCTAGACAAGGGTCGTTGGCAGATCATTGCACGTTGATCCATCGAGTGCACAGCATGCTCCTTGCCGCTCGGACTGGCAGGATATTTAACGCCAGGGTGGATCAATGCATTCTCGACTGTGACGGGAAGGCGGGTCATTATCGATTTCAAATCATCCGTCACCTGTTGTTGCGCCGCCATGGATAAATTAAAGAACAGAATTCGGACATTGATGATCCGCTGTTTATCTTGGAATAGCCTCGCTTCGCAAAATTGAGGCGATGTCGCTTCGACAGTGGACGCCATATAACCTGGAGATGTTGACAATTCGCGCAGTTGCTCGTCGTGGTGGGTGGGCTGGATCGATGCATCCATGAACAGCTTGACATACGTATGATCTTTGCTGGTAAAGGTCGCCCATTTCTCTAATTCACGATGCATTTGCTGAACCGCGTCTTCAGCTTCGATTTGAAATGTATCGAGCAGGGCGGTATTGTACGTATATTCCGATGAACAACCGGCCTTGAGAATGATATCAAAGGAAGCATCGTCGTACCAGCATCGCGTATGGGGCCGGAATTCCGATCCGTCCATCTTGGTCCAAGTTGCTTGGAACTTTTCGCAAAGATCCTTTGGCCCTTGATCCAACTTCACACTGACAAGCGATTTGAGCAATTCATCCGTCTCGGAAATGCGAACGAGCAGCTTTTTGAGCTTTCCCACTTTAAGGAACCCGGGTGAAGCCGAAAAATCACGCCCGATTCCCAATGACCCAGTAAATATCCCCATCATTTGACTGCGGCGTTGAAAGGCATCCCAGTTCTGTAACATGTGGGAGAACGTGCTGTTGGCGCGAATCAGGACTTCGGCTTTGGGCGATCGGACGCAGTCAAGTAAATGATGCTCGCTGAGAAAGTTGGTGTCTTTGGCATTCAACTGGATAGACGGGGTTCTCTCGGCTACATTCATTAGAAGCGAACGAAGATAATCGGACCAAGGCGACGACCAGTATGCTCGGATACGATATTCAATGGTAATGTCTGGCTGCCAATTGAGCGTGAGCGTAATGAGAATCCGTTCTTTTTTAACCAATTCCTCTGTATGATTGGTGCCGCGGCGATGACGACTGTCATCAAAGAGCACCGATGACAGAGAAAATCCTTGATGCAGTCTCGCGGTGATAGCGTGCCAAAACTCTGTAGGCAAGTAGTATTCTTGAAATCGAAGTAATCGAGTATCAGCAGGAACCAATTCTGATCCATAAGTCCAGGGCGCATTGCCATTGGTTTGCATGGGAAGCATGCCTTCATATTGGAGGGTCCGAGCTGATGGAGGGAGTCCGAGCAGCGCCGTTGATAATGGATCTTTGTTAACTATAGGATCATTGATTCTTCCTGCGGCGGCAAGGAGGCGCGACATTTTAGCCTGTGTCTTGTCCAGTAGCACTTCTCGCATGAGTAGTCGGTAATGGTATATATTCGGCGCCGCAAATGCGGTGTCGACGGAGGAGTGAGTCCTTTTGGTCTGAGAAACGCCTGCATGTCTCAGATAATCATTTCGGGTCACGGAAGGACATTCTTCGGCATGCATAAAGTGTCCTCCTGTTGCATTGGCTAAAAACCGTAGTATTTCGTTGTCAGGTACGAATCCAAAATTGCATCCAGGGCCAAAACTGTTCATCGCGCCGATTTGCACCACGCTGCAAGCGATATCATCGCTGGATAACTGTCGAATAGCATATTCATCTTGCACGTTGGATTTCACCACACCATCCGTAATCAGAATAAGTGACGGACGTCCAATGGGCGGTAAAAGGCTCATGGCAAATGAACCTGCCCGAAGAATATACGAAAGATTGCTTCCAGTCTTGCCTAGGCCCCATACGTCCTTTTTGAGAGGCATCATATGCTTCAAAGAGCGCGGCTGATTATGGTTGGACATGAAAAGAGACCGGTGTTGCTGTTGTGGCTGCTGTTGTTGTTGTTGTTGCTGCTGCTGCTGAGGTCGCGTGGCGGATCCTGGATAGGGACCTGACCATCGTTTCATGTTGTTATTTGACTCGGTCTTTGTCACTGTATTTGGTCGAGGGGAATGGGGCGAATTGGCGGTTTGTTTGCGTTTCTCGGTTCCCTTTTTCTGATGGTTCGATTTTCGACCAGATAAATACCGAGCATCGAGATGACCAAGATCAAAATCGGCCCCGCCCTCTTCAGTCACAGACGAATGATCACCTCGAACATCCAACTCATAGCCCAGTTTAGCGCGGCGTTCCGTAAGTTTCTTGCGGAAAATTCCCAGATCCCGCTGGAAATCCCGAATCCCTTCGTTGAGTGTTTTGAGCACCGCGTAAATATTATGTTGTGTTATGACCACGTTTTGTAGCAGCACGCGCATGGTAGGATATTCTGCCAAGATGGGAATCACATTCATATTCGATCCAAATTGGGAGCATTCTATAATGACTGTAATCCGGATCGTCGGTTCAAGCTGTAGACATCCATTAGATTCACCCTTCCTTGGACCGGTTCGTATGTATATGCATGTACGCTTACACTGATGGGCATTGATGTCGGTGATGCACGGAAGGTAAATGGTAAGACGAGTCCGTGGATCATATTTTCAATACTAGCCATTGTATTAGACGACTACTAGATCGAAGAAGAAATGAGTTCATTGTCAAACTTACACATGGTAAGTGTTCCCCATCATAATCTTGTTGGATCCCGCGTCAATGGTGGCCAAGCTGGAACTTAAATCGATGAGAAAAACCATTCGATTCTCCTGCGAAACGGTTAGAATATGTGTACGAGGCGTCAGCATGTAGAGCTTTTTGTTCGTGTTCGTATTCGTGGGCTGAGGTTGGGTGGTGGTTGTCGACGACGTTAAAGCAGGGAGATTGTTTGACGAAAAGGGTATTCGCGATGCCTCTGTAAACGGATCTGCCGTTCGAACAGGACCATTGATATCATCCATGCGAGGCTGAGTATGGGGTTCCCAGATCGCCTTATGACTTGCTGAAAGATATAATAGGTGAAAATGCTGTGTAATCGTTACAAAGGAAATCTGAGCAACCATAACTTGATCATCTCTTTTCAATGATCTGCATAGATACCTCGTCTTCCAAGATTTTAATAGGCTGCAGCATATGCTTCAACAACCACATTGTCTGATCATTTCGAGTTAAAAGACCGCCTGCTTTCGAGAGTAGAATGGCTGTATGCGCTTCGACAATCTTTGTGGACGATGAACAAAACAGCATGTAATAAGCATAGTTATTCGTAATGCTGCAGTAAATTCTATTATCCAACCTTGACGTCGCCGGTATGTGCAGGAACGTCCAGAGATTTCCCTGCTATGGCATCTTTATTCTCTTGTAGGTCTTGTTGCAGGGCGATTCCTTGAACACTAATCCGAAACAGTCCAGCAGGTTAATTTTAAAGAACAGCAAGGACAAAATGGTACGAGAGAGATACTGTACATTGTCATTCAAAAACAAATGTCGACACCCTTTTTTCAATTTTGAATGCCCAAAAGAATGTGTATAAAAAAAATGCGTTTCACAATCAGCAACTTGGCGCCGTTTAAATTCATGATTGATTTTCAGGCACTTTTCATCAGCAGAGATGTCAGTCATCCAAAAGTTCATGATAGCCCGGCACTTCATTACTGAATTACAATCACATTGAATTCCCAATAAATACTTAGGCATGTCATTATAACTTGCAACTAGGTCATACGAATCCATTATGTATTTTGTGATGCTTAAATCCAGAAGACCATCTAATTCATCAATTTGGAGCTAGAACCAATGAACAGCCACATATGGCACATGCACACGACCAGGGAAGAGTGTAAATAACGAAAAGAGAACACTTTCGAATTGGCTGATGTATTTGGGAGAGCGCTTTTTAATCTTTCGCTTCTTCGTCTGTTTTTACTCGCTTTGAAGGGTGGTCTGTCGTCTCAGTAGTGGCTAGGTTTTCCGCTTCGCTGTTCGTATTAGCATCTGGATTATTCTCTACAGCAGACAATGCGGCGTGTACCTCATTATCAGTGGCGGGTGCAACAAAGCGTTGCGCATGGGGATTGATCTTGTTTTCGATGCCAATAAGGTTACAGAACTCCACTGTTTGTGGGTTGATAAAGGGATATTCTGAACAGACCCAGACGTCAATGTCGATGTCCAAAGAAAGCGTTATGGAAAACACAGTAAAGAAGCCTTACCAAGTTGGTGAATTTGCTCTGGGGATTTTGGGACGGAAGGGTCAAATGCAGGGGACGACGCGGTGAAATTTGACGGAATACGAAGATCTAATTCATCCATATCCAGCTGCATATTGAGGTAGAGAAGTTCTTGTTCGACCGACTGCTTTAAATCTTCCTTGGAAGGAAGACGCGATGCCTGCCGTGCTAGGCTCAGGTACGGATGCATGGCTCGTGTGATGGCCAACCATTCAAGGTCATAGAAAAAGCCGTCCTTTGCATTCTCCGGGGTTGGAATATCCACAATCTAAAGCAGCACAATATTAGATGATGGTTCCGTCATCTAGTTGCCCAAAACATACCTGTAAAAATTGACGTCTCGGTAAACATTTGTCAAGACTTAAGAACCGTGTTGCTAAAGACAAAAGACAATCAGTATGCCGTATTTTGGGCTAGACGTCAGGGGAAACTTACTTCGACTTGGAGGATCTGACACAGGCGTAGAATGGCTGTCGGTGACGATCATCTCATTCACAGCTGGGGAGTCGCTCTGGATATCATCGTCATCCAGATCGATCGGCACTTCGTCTGGATTAGGAACGGCAGCCGTGCGAGCCGAGGCAGCCAGCTCGTCTTCAATAAGAATTTCGTCTGGATTATGCACCGGGTGTTGTTGGCGCTTGCTGCCATACAGAACCAATTCGGCTGATTCCGAATACTCGTTCTTTTTCCACTTTTCATGATCCACAAGAGCAGCAAAATGGACGTGCAAATGCGCTGAAAACCACCATTTGGGTTGTAAAATAGTCAATAACTCTTCATTGGCTCGACTACCGAGGCTGTTTTCTCGAATCTAACATCCTTGTTTAGCCAGACAAAACTTTCAAATCGCTTTCCCCTCCCCCATTGTGACAACCGGTTGCAACTTACCTCACGCTCAAAGAATGGCTTTTTGCGGACCAAGGATCTCAGATCGCCAAAGCGTTCCACGCCTCGTGGCCAATCGTGCGACAAGAAAACATCCATGGGTTGTCGGATCTATGAGCGAGTTCAATGCCATGTTCCTTGAATCATCGTAATCGATAGAAAATATCAGCGTTCATGCCGCCCATCATTTTACCTGTGCCAGTTTCGCTACGTCGTACTGCCTCACATGATAGACGCTTTTGATATCGTATTGGCCATAAGGAGAGCTCTCGAAATGACCTATGCGCATCGTCAGTCTACTCCAACCGTTCATGTTGCCGAATATTTATCATCAAAGTTACCTTTGTTGTAATCGTTTTCTTTAAATATACCTGATAATCCACCAATACGTATACCATTATAATTGATGACGCCCGCGTTACCGAGATAATAGATATTCTCACACACCCAGCCTCCGTGATATCTATGATCGGTGAGTTGGAAAAGCGTAAGAAAGGCCAGATGATTACTCACAATTCCCACATATAATTACTCGCTTCATGATTACCGCCGATAAAAATTGTCGGATAAGGAGCTTTGAGTTGACCGGTATAGTATTTCCAAAAGGAGCCCATGGCTCGGTATTTCGGAGGCACAGCCATACACTGAAGGTCACCTTCGTTTCGAATGGCCTGTACACGGAGCCGTTTCTTAGATCAAGGCGTGTTAATATTTGCTATTGTCCATCCTACCTGAAAATCGCCACAGATCAAGACCAGATCTATCTTGCACTGCTCCTTCTCTTCTAGGTAGGCAATGGTGCCGTAAATGTCATCCAGCTGACCGTGACAGCAGCCTTCAATAGCGATCTAGATTTTTCAAGATAAGCAGTTGGTCTTGGTAAACAATTTTATGCAAGCATCAGTGTTGCCCGTTGACTAAAATTACCTTCATGGTAGTTGGGTCGCTGAGAATCGTGTCCTGAAAGAGTTTCACGAACAAGGGAAACTCCTCACCGCATATGGAAACAGTCACACGCGTTCAACCGCGCCTGCCATGCAAAACGCTGGTTAAAGCGGCACCTGACACACCGTCCTCATGGTCAGTCTCAGCACCATAGGTGTTACCATTATATAGTTGAAGTTACAGGAACAATGGTGTAATCAATATTCTTTTTTGCCGGCCATAGGGTCAAGAACAGTCTTCACAAACAGCAAAAGGCAAGGCACGTCGATCGAGGTCACAACGTGCATCCAAAGACCAGCCACATGCATCGTCTCAAAGGCCAATCATCCCCATAAGGGATTCTGATATGTCTATGCCTCGAGCAATAACACACAATGCTGACGATATCACGATTGCAAGTGATGATGACAGTGGTAACTTCTTGAGTTGACCTTCCCCGCTTCTCATGTCTACAAGGCTTATGAAAACCTATGCTTAGATAGCAACTCACATGGGATATACAATAATTCAGTGCAGTCGCAGGATGGTGATGAGGTGGGTTGCTGCTGGAGGATGGGATGTTCACGGGAAAGTAAAAAGTGACCGTAAGCATAGGGTATTATACGAGTGGTCAGTGATGATGACAGCCAAGAAACACGAACAGAACATCCAATACTTCAGTCACTGCATCGTATTCCGCAGGTAAACTGAAATGATATTTTATGATGGCAGCTGCTGTATTCATATTTCGAGCTTAGTACTCGCCTCTGATAGCCAACGAAAACCGATCATCGTCCTTTGCTTTGGAACAGCTTTTAGGCATTACAGGAGGATCCAAAAAGTCAACGCGACAAGACGAAGTCGACCTGGAGTTTCATGACACCTGTAAGGGATTCACCCATAGAAAATTTTCAAGAATCGAATTCATGCTAAAGTTTGGTTTGATTTTGGCAGTGAATCCCGAACCGCTCATAGAAATTATGACGGAGTTACAAAGTCACTTTAAAGCGTGGATGGGAAAAATTAGTCAGGATCAGGCAAGTGACTTTGACGTGCGTTAACGTTGTCCAAATCCCAAGAAGTTGCTGACACTTGTGTAGACTCTGCTGTTACAACGTATCAAGTATGTAGATGAACTCAGCTTGAAGGTGGCACAAGCGATGGTCACTGCTGTGAATCAAGCGAAATTAGCGTCAGAGCGATTAAATGAAGGTGCACCTTGAACCATTTTCCCTATAGGTCTTGATATCAAATGGGACTCACCGATAATCCTATAGTGAATCATATAAAGAAGCAAGCAGAAAGGGTGCGGAAGAGGACTATTCATATTTTCGAGATATTGAGTCAGATTGATCATCATTTGGATCCCGAAGATCGCGTAGGACATCCGGCCTTTGCTGCACGGTGGCCCGACCTCGATACGTTGTACCAACGATCATTACGAACGAGACCGCCACTACAAATTATGGGAAAACGAGAAGTTTCAGCCGTCGGTATGCCAACCGTTACCGTGTCGAGCGATTCCGTTGCGGTGTGGGGCGCTTCGGAAGAAGCTAAATTGAACGAAGAGCAACCGACCTCATCAGCTACGGCGACCGGTGTTGCAGCTTCTTCCGGTAGTGAAACCGTTTCAGCTACACCGGCGTTGGAGCGGCTACGCGACCTTTCAAGATCAATCAGTATCACGGCTCAAGACCATCGTACTTCGCTCGACAGAAACTCCACTACATCTGCTTCAGCAGAATGAAACACCAACTAATTTTATAAAGCATTGTTTACGTCGTTCCCACACCTACATTGGCTCGTGCAGTCTGTCGTGGTCTGGAAAACTACTCATATTTACGGAAATAAAAGCCATTGTTGGCATACAGCAGATTTGAAGTAAAAATATTTAAACTGTGGTCACCGAGTAAACAGTGATCGAGATCAAATAACACGAGATTCTGTCTCTACAACGGTTTGCGTGATGTATTGCCTTGTTGATAATGTTATTTAGTGTACTAAGAATGCACTGGGCCACATTTCCTTGATGAGCGGATTGCTCATTAAGCCTTTGATAAACCCACGCCAAACCGCACTTTCTATAACTACAAGATCCCAATCGGCAAATCGGCCGCCATCTTTTTCAATACGGCTAGCAGACCTTCGTGGCTGTCTTGAGATGGCCTCATCTACTGTAAGTGCATTGAAAAAATCTTGGCCCAGTTCTTCTACCGACATCTGAACCGTATCGTGACTTCGTCCTTGCATTAATACAAGACAATCGCTGGCAAATACACCTAATGTCTGTCCCTGGAAGAAGGATGCATTACTTGCTGCGCTATGTCGAATAGAAGCAGGAATGACATCCAACAATAAACAATGTAGTAAATTGAAGCAGTTACTGTGATCGTTCACGGTATGCATCAAGGGGGTCGCAATTAAACAAGAACCCAGTTCGGCTGAATCGAAAGAGAGAGAGGGAGAGAAAATTAAGTGAAATGAAGAAAAACCTTATGCAGTGGTTCAATTTTTACCTGCTCGTACAGCGCCACCACTTTTTCCAGCTTCCAAAACTTCATCGACGATCATAGTGACAAATCCATGCACGCCGCCCATGTCCAGTGAGGTTTGGAACATCACCATATCCAGGTAGTGCGATACCATTTGCTTGGGCTGCTTTGACTGATCCGATACCGCTGCTGCAACAGCATCCACGTCGTTCATAAACATGGACCGTCCACTTCGAACGATATAACGGAACATTTCCTGCGTTTTCTCGAATAGCGTATGGCTGGTGATTTCAGTGGCCGTAATCATCCCTGCTTCGGTCTCCGTGGGTTCTTCCATGCCAAGTTTGCTTTGCACCAGAGTCCTCAATTGCAAAAGATCATTCTCGATATCGCCATTTTCCATCGTTGTATCCCTGTGTTGGTTGCTAAACCAATGCTGCTGCCGCCGCTTTTCGGTGAGAGCCGCGATCGTTCCAAGCACGGTGTTTCCACAAATTTGGAGGACAATAAGAGGTAACTTGTCGTTGGTTAGCAAGATGCGCAAGGCGTGAATGGCTGATGACTTCGATTGATTCAGCAGGTGTTCGCAAATGGTAATAATGGTATTAGGAGCCACGGCAAAACTGAGGAATCGAGTTTGATAATACGAGAGAATCCCGAGGAACACATCTTCCTCCATTTGTCCGGAATTGTAAACAAGAAGTGCTCGTTCCATAACGGTGGGTGCCATCATTAACCATTGCTGCGGACTGGTGGACCTAAATCACCGGAAGAAGCTTAATAAGTGATACAATAACAAGCGTCACTAACGAAAAAGAAGGTACCTGAGCAGGTCGTCGGATACGCCGTCCCCACCTCCGAGAGCGATCTGCCAATTTTGCAGGAGTGATTCCATAGCGTGATCCCGTACATCTATACCGTAGATGGAGGGGTGTTGTGTAAAGAACTGGCAGCAAAATTGATGCTGGGATTGGAAAATATTGCCAATGCTTCGGTACAAATTGAACTTGTGAATGACTAGCACCACAAATGTCCAAATGTCGCCAAATTTGCTATACAGTAATTGAATTCCGTCCAACTCCTCATCACTTGGGCCACCGTCCGTCTCCATCTCGCTGTCCGATGGTTTCCACTCGTTACAAAATTTTTCGAGCGGTCGCAAAAACGCAGATGGATGATGTATTTGCACCATGAGATCGATCATACTGGGGCATTCACTCAAGGCCTGACACAAATGGGCCAACGAATATACCTCACGAGCGCTGGCTTTTTCATGAATATACTATCAAACCGCCAGCGATGAGCAGTTGGAACAATCAAAGGAACAAGAATTTGCACTTACTTCAACGAAGAACTCGACGACTTTTCGCAGATGAGGGATGGAAACAAGGCCAATGTGGATTAATTCTAACAGTGATGTGTGGGACACGTTGCTTCGAATAGCTTCAATACGTTGGTCGATATTCTACAGGGACGTACAAAATTTCATAAGAAAAATACTCTTGTGCTGTCATTGAATGGATGAAAATACCTGGTCCAAAATGTCGATCAAGTCGCCTTTACTGGATTCATTATCGGTTGTCGATAAACCCCATGCCTTGTCATCGTCCAACACATCCGTATCCAAAAAGCCAGAAAAATCGTCTTGATCCAATTTTATATCTTTATCCTTGCCCTTTTCTTTATCATCGTCCGTCGCAGCATCCTTCGCCAATAGTTTCTCACCAATATACTTCCTTACAAATCCATACTGTTCACATACATTGACGATACTAGTGAATATGTCTTGATTACTGGCGGCTCGGATAGCTTTTGTCACTGCTGGCGTGTTCAGATCGACGGAATAACTCATATCGTTGATCATCTTCATAATATCGTCGTCGTCGTCATCTTCTCCCCCTTGGGCGATTTTATCGACGAGAGATGAAGATAAAGAAGACGGGGCATAGAATTCGGAACAGCATGCTGGAGGACTGCATGCATTCAAAAGACCAGTGAACGCTTTGAGTTCACTTAACGATGATTCCAAGGTATTTAACTACAGATGTGAAAAACCCCGTTAGCCGATGGGTTACTGCAGCAATGCCTAGCATTACTGTTTACTTGCTTCATCGGTTTCGCTTTCCTCCGATCCATCGGTCCGTTTCAAGTAATGCTTGTGTTTTTGCAATTTACTGATAAGCAGTGGAAGCTAAGAAGATATATAAGAGTACGGTTCTCGGGAGGTAGGTTGTGCAAAATGAATGAGCTTTTACCTTTACAAGAACGAGACTTTTCCATAGTAATCGATTCGTTGCTACGGATGTGGGACAGGTTTCGGACGTAGTGCTGTTTTCTGACTGCTTCTCGGTTGGCCGTCTCTGACAGCTTGTGCTTAAAGATGCCTCACGTAGTCCAGTCAAGGCGGTGAACCACAGCTCAAGATAGAATGACTCGTCAAAGGACCCCTTTTTTATCCAGAACAAAAATCAACGTCAGCAATTCAAAGTATCCTTGGCTGTGTCATACATACCTTGATGGTTTGCAATTTCAATAAATAATCTACGATAAACTGATCATCCAGACAGGGCCGGATTTGTACCTAATGATCTCGTCATGAGTATGAATAATTGCTTTTCTTTGTAGAAAAGGCTCCAGCTTACCATATGATAAAGTAAACCCATGAGTCCAGCACTGGGCATGGCGCGCGCTGTACCTTCGTCTTCCAATTCATGGTATTTCATGTGCACCGCCATCCTTCGTTCCAATTCCCGGTCGGTCAATCGTTCAATGAGAAGCACGGCTTTTTGTATCTGAGGATCGGAAGCTGCTGCCAAAGTACTCGTCGAGGTTGGCGATTTTTTTAATATCTGTTGACATGTTGCCCACGGCTCTAAGATCACGTTAAATCTACAAGATTCGAAAAAGATATGAAAAAAATAGCAGGGGAAAATGAAACACACCTTCCATTTCTATTCCATCTTTTTCCCCTTCGTCTCCGTCTTCTTTCATGCTGTCCATTCGTATGCGATTATTTCTCACTTCAAACATCCTTCTCGCGCCTTTCTTTTCCACTAAATCGATGATCAATTGCGCGGCCAGGATGGCATTCACAGTCTCGACACTCTTTGCTGTATTGGTTGTATTGGTCTTGCCGTCCTTGACCGACGCATCATCCTGTTCCTGGATCTGGGTATCTCCACCTTCAAAATTATCGAGCTCGATAGTAGCTTCCGGATCAAATCCCATAGGCTGTGAAGAACTAGTTGTATTGAAAGAAAGCTGCGAATCGAACCCTTGCAGCGTATGGAATGAAGCAGACGGGGCGAACGTGGTTGGTTTGGTCTGAGGTGGGTGCTCAGTGACGGCATAATGCTCAGGATGTAAGCTCACGGCGATGATATGACAGAGCAAAATGATTATTTCTTGAAGCAATGTCATCCATGTGTCGTCATTAGATTGTTGTAATTGTTGAATGAGTTTATCGGCGTCGATAGTGGTAAGTATGGTCGGTAGTAGTTTGAGAATCAACGTCCACTGGTGAGCATTGCGGCTAATGGTGGGTAATCCGAATGGCGTGAGTCGTGCAACAAATGTCTGCGGTTGTAACAGTAACTCATTGGATATTAATGGAGATGTCGCGGAGCTGATTTTATCGCTTCCCGTCGTAGCGTAAGTAAGGTAGGACTCCAGTAACGGATCGGAAGCTCGGTTCAAAGTAAACATGAAGTTAAGCAACAGATCTAAAAAATGTATTCGTATTTGTACTTGAGTGATAAGGTATGCTACCCATATCGAGTTGTTGATAAACATTTACCACACAAGTCATTTTCGAGATTGCTCTGTGCTCGTTCGAGGCATTCCTTGGTAGGTACGGCCCACTAAGCGTACAGAATATCAGCAACGATTCTCTCTACACGTTCAAGACTTTGAATTCTCACCTCTTGACAAGAGAAACCGTGAAAATAGGCATGCCGTAGTACGGTTTCCAACGCCTGCAGTGACATGTCTCTGTGGTACTAGTTTTCTCGTTTCTGAAATACGATCGTGCCACTTGCACGTCGAACTTCTCTTTTTTTTTGGCGCAGTGACAGAATTCATCCACCGCGTTCATGGTCACGTGAAAACATCCGACCATCATATTTTCTGCACCTTCCAAACAGCCCGAACTCTTTAAAGATGCAGCTTCATGATATATAGACCGCCTCTGATTCTTATACACAACTACTCACCCATTTTGAAGCTGTCTCTGTTGGTATCAAATTGAGGCAAATCAGCCATAAGAAATTTGATAACTTGATGGTAAAGTTTAATTCCTGTACTGTAAAGGTTACACCCCCCCCCCAAAAAAAAACAGACCATCATAATTTCCTTGCATGTTCTTCTATTCTTCTATTTCTTTTATTTTCGCTTTGGCAGTTCCTGGATTTTTTTTGGGGCAACTGGTCCGGCAGCGCGGATTATGTAATTACGCTAAACGGATTTCTTATAAATGCCATTTGACCAACTTTTTGGCCCAATGCTCCATTTATGATAGTAGAAAGGCCACCTATTTCTGTCGAGTTAGGAGATTTTTAGTGGGCCTAAAACTATTTCTTAAACATAAACGTGCACCTGAGCGCAATTGAGCTGTACGATTATCACCGACGCAGGTCTTCCCTTAAGAAGCTGCAATGATAAACGTTCCCAAGACGATAATCAGCATAACCGATGGCTATGGATGGTTTCGGTTGATAAATAGGATGATCGTCTGTCTGTCGCTGTCTAAGGGACCGGACAGTGGGTCGCGTATTCAAACAGAACTGAATTTGCGCAGTAAATGATAGTAGCAAGGTCTATTCTATACGTGCACTGACCAAGAATTCACACTATTCTAGGCGTCGGTATCATGAACGCCCTGATACTGAAACAATAGCAATTGTAAACACAAAATAATCTAGCAATATGAAAACCCTCCTCCTTCTTGTTTCGCTCCTGTCACATCTATAAGCAGTGATACGAGTAGCACCCTGCCATTAATATCGCGGGAGAGTGATCATGCAATGTGCCTGGTTTGTCTCAGTCCTAAGGCAAAGCACGTGAAAATGAGTTGATGAGCGGAGATTCGAAAGGAGGAGCACAAAAAGGCATTTCAACTGAAATAAAATTTGTTCCCTTACTTCTCGTTTGCTATTATGGTTCAAAAAGTGTTCTCGATTGAGGTAACTTCAGCGCAGCCCGGGGAAACGTCTGTACGTCGTGGGATTCTGTCTCCCAAAGAGTTGGTGAAGAGTCCGGCCGAAGGCGTGAACACGCTTTTTGACATCTTGGAGTACGCAGCGGCCACGTACGGCGATCGTCCTGCATTCGGTCGACGACATTTAGAGAAGACATTCGAAGAGGAGAAAGAAATTGCACGCACGGTGAACGGCGAAGAAAAGAGAGAAAAGAAGACATGGACGTATTTCCAGCTGAGCAAATATGAGTATTTCTCTTTCAAGGAAGGACTGGCGACTGCCAAAACCGTCGGCGCAGGTCTCAAACACCTCGGATTAACTTCCAACGATAAAACTCAATTCTTTGCTTCCACAAGGTAAATTCTCGGTACATTGAACAATGCAACATTGGGTTCTTTCATATTAATAATATACTGTTTTCTACAGTTTCGAGTGGATGATGATGGCCCACGGTATGAACGCATTGACCATGGTCTTTGGGAAATTCAGGCAGTAACGAGAAAAGGGGATGTTAATTTTGAGTTTTAAATTTTAGGATGCTTCTCTCAAGCTATCACTATTGCGACAGCTTACGATACATTAGGGGCCGAGGGATTGAAACACGCTATCAACGAAGTGAATGCATCCGCAATTTTCATCAATGGTGATCAACTACACATCATGCAAAAAATTATCAGTGATTGCCCCACACTTCGTGTGATCGTTTACCGAGAAAAGTCAAACGAGGATCAACTGAACATGCTGCAACAACAACCTCAGGTGCAGCGCATTCTCTCTTTCGACGAACTCCTCACTTTAGGAAAGGAGCATCCTGCACCCACTAATAAAGCTTGCAGCGAGGATCTCGCTTGCATCATGTATACCAGCGGAAGTACAGGCAATCCGAAAGGTGTGATGCTAACCCATGGTAACTTGGTAGCAGATGGTAAGTTCAAGTATTGCAATGTAAAGATGGCTTATTCTCCCTCAACTAAAAAAAAAAAACCGTGATTCGACGTTAGTGGCCGGGGCTGTACACAAACTGCAGCACTTGGTGGTAGCCAATGACTCCTTATTGACTTATCTTCCACTCGCTCACGTTTTCGAATTCGTCGTCGAGCATGTAGCGCTGTTTGTTGGTCTCACATTGGGCTATGGATCCATTCGCACATTGACGGAAGCTTCGGTTCGAAACTGCAAAGGCGATATTCAAGAATTTGCTCCTAGTATTATGATCGGCGTTCCCCAAGTCTGGGAAACCATCCGCAAGACGATTCTTGCCAAGGTTGCTCAAAGGGGTCCCCGAGTGGAAGCCATCTTTCACGGTGCAGTCGAGCTCAAAGCTTACCTCGAGAGTTATGGACTCCCTACCGGTTTTCTTGATCGCGTCGTCTTCAAAGAAGTCAAGAAACAGCTGGGTGGTCGCCTTCGCTATGGTATTTCCGGCGGTTCTCCTTTGTCCACCGAAACACAGCGGTTTTTGACCATGACATTGGCACCCATCGTAGCAGGATACGGTATGACAGAATGGTAAGCTGACACGATGGCCTATTTTTACTCGCTTACGATCGTACTGTGACTTACTGTATTTCTTAGTTGTGGGTAAGTAATAGGATAACGTTTCTCAAGGATTGTAGCTAACGATTATCAAGCCTATGCTCTGTTATGACGCCGGAACAATTTGAGCTTGGACAGGTAGGCGCACCGTTATCGTGTGTCGAGGTCAAGTTGGTCGACGTTCCAGAAGCTGGCTATTTTGCGACGAATAAGCCGCACCCTCAAGGTGAAGTGTGGATGCGCGGACCTTCGATTACCAAGGGTTACTATAAACGAGATGATCTCACAAAGGAGACGATCACTGAGGACGGCTGGCTTCAAACCGGTGATATTGGCATGTGGAGCGATAAAGGAACCTTGGTCATCATTGACCGCAAGAAAAATCTCGTCAAACTCAGTAACGGTGAATATATCGCCCTCGAAAAGATGGAAAGCGTATACAAATCTTCGCTTCTTGTTGAGAATATCTGCGTTTATGCCGACTCGTTATACCCCAAACCCGTGGCTCTTGTAGTCCCTATTGAGTCTCAGTTACGAACGCTCGCTGCTCAACATCAGGTTACCATTGATGACTGGCAAGAACTGTGCAAGCATGATAAAATGCGTAAAGTCGTATTACAAGTCTTGCAAGAACAGGCCCAATCAGCGGGACTCAAAGGCACAGAGATTATTTCCAATGTCTGGTTGTGTGATGAGCTGTGGACAACCGAAATGGTAAGGAAACAAAAAATATCCGCCAATGGTGCAACACTCAGCTGACTTTGGAATTTGTGATAGGATCTGTTAACCCCTGCTCAAAAGTTGAAGCGTCATGCGATATGTAAAAAGTACTCAAAGGAACTCAAAGCCATGTAAGTCAGATCAAATGCAGTAACTACTTTTTGCAAATATTCATCCATATTTCCTATAGGTACGACGCACAACAGAGTTAATCTCCTACATCATGGGATAGCAGCCTAATTTTACTACTTTTTTTACCGTTGTCTGTCCATAATAAAAATAAAACGGATGAAAAAAAAAAGGAAGTAACAAATGATGTATCATTGGATATTACAAGTACACTGATAGATATAAAATAAAAAAGAGAGATCATATCAAGGCACTACTTGCGGGAAGGATCGGAGAGTTGTAGGGCAATGCCGCGGCGGTTTGACAACTGGTTTAGCGTGGTTGCACGTATACCTTCATGCCGTTCTTCATGGGCAATGTCAAAGACACTTGATAAGTGACTTCTTGATCAGGTGCTAGCGTAAACTTGTATCGTTTGATCAAGAAGATGGTGGCTACGAGAGCCTCGAGTGTCGCTAGATTTTGACCTAGGCAGACGCGCGGACCAGCGTGGAAGGCTGGCCATTGGCCTTGTGATTCGCGTCGTAAGGTGCCTTCAGGGGTAATCCATCGTTCGGGTTTAAACTCTTTGGCATCTGGACCCCAGACTCTGGTAGATCGTCCTTCTGCCCACGGGCAATGAACCACATAATCGCCTTTGCGAATGTGAGTACCGTCGGGCCAAATATCATCATCAAGAGCATACTTTTGATTTAGAGGTACAGATGGATAAAGGCGTAGAGTTTCGTAAAACCTAGGTTTTTTAACAAAGTAATGAGATGAGACGATGCTTTGGCACAGTTAGTTGAATGACATTGGCTTACACAGCATGAGCATATTTCATATCCTTGATGGCTTCGTACAGTGCAGGCGCATCCATGTTTTCACGGATATGCAAAGAAATTTCCTCCAACAACTTTTCTTCAACGTGCGGGTTGAGTAAGAGCGAATAAAATTCCCAGGAAAGTGCTTGAGCAGTTGTATCTCTGCCAGCAATCACGAAATTGAGAATCATGTCACGTAATTCCTTGTTGTTCAGTGGTTCGTTATGTTCGTTGTTTGCCTTCATAAATCGTGATAACAGATCTTTTGGCATTTCCTCTTGTGAATCTCCACGTTCTATGGCCTCCAAGAGTTCACGTCGTTGATCAATGACATTGTTGGCAAATGTGTCGACGATCTCGAGATGTTGCTTGATCGTCATTTTCCATGGTTGAATAATTGATTGAACTGACTCGGTAAAGGTCCAAATCGGATTCAGGAAACGCTGGAAACAGTTTTTCTGGCACTCGTCGAAAGACGCGGCAAAAGGTACTTTGCCGTTTGTAGTGAGAGCATTCAGCTGCACGCCAAAGCCAAGTCTAAAGCGCAGTTAATATAACGTGATTGCCAAAGAGTACGGTTTTTGTTGATCACGAGTACCACATACAAAATAAATGAGTCGAGAGTAAACTTGAACATGATATCGTGGAAATCGATCGCTTCTCCAGTTTGGGCAGCCTCATCGAAAAGCTTATTCATGATCCCAATCTCTTGGACAAATACACTGCAGAGGTAAGAAGATGTTAGTGATTGCGAGTGGCTGATTCACCCGTTCAAGCAAAATTTACTCTGTAAACTGGTCTCGGAAATTCTTGACATTGAATATGTGGCTGGCCGTCTTTCGCTGGTATTTCCACTGTTCACCATTGGCATTAAAAATGCCATGGCCAAACAGGTCACTCATCGCACCATTCATTTGAGGTCCCTTGACGTAATTCTCAAAGTTGACTTTCAAGATGTGCTCGACATTGGCGGGGTCGATTGTGGAAATAGACCGAGGAATACCGAGAGCGGATGATGTGCTATCAAGAAGGCATGAATGATCGGTAGTTGACGTTAGAGAAACTTATCATAACTTACAGTGTTAAGGTATTCAGTTCTTCGTAATTCTCCAAGAGGAACTCGTGCATTTTCTCTTTATTTGAGACCAGTTGAGGCAGAGCCCCGACAAGTGGCCAGCCACCTTTGCCGTGGGGAATATCGTCTCGATGTTCATCAAATACTGCACAGTCAGGATATTTCACAGCGAGCAAAGTAAGTGCAGTAGCTGCTATACCGCTCGCTATAGCAGTGGCACGCACCAAGGGGTGGCTGTTATAAACTGACTTTATCGAAGTAGTCGAGGTCATGGTTTGAATCGATAGTACAATGTAAGAGAGAGGGTGTGGGGATGTAATATCTCAAAAATCCGATAATTTAAATGAACTTTCCTTTTTTTTATCCGGAAAAATTACTGTCTAACCCTTCCAAATATGGCCCAAAATATCTTACGGTGATACACCCCGTTACACCAATTGCATGTGACAATAACTGCATCTATTGTACCTTGTTCTCTGACATTTTGAAGCGAGTCCAATTCATGCTCGCGCTGTACTAACTAGCACCGCAACGCAATAAGGCTAATACGGAGCTTGGTAATTGAACGTGCACGAACATTTGATAATGTGAAAAGACAACGAAGAAATTTTTTATTACAAAAACGGTCATCTCCTTTTTGATTGTATGCCGTTGCTAATCATGAAATTGCCGGAAAAGGAAAACTGATACACGATGACACGTCCATCATAAAATTTCTGCCTGTGCTCAGGTGTCAAGTAAGCACGCCTCGGATTATCTTTATTAGAAACCTACAGCTGACTCGCCTAGCCAAGTTCAAATGTATCATACTTCATCCTGCCCGCAACGAATGCAAGGGCCCGAAGCAAGAATGGGTTGTAAGATGTGCGGTGACAATTGGATTGAAGTTCGTATATTGTATCAATAGGAAGCTAATGAAACGCAAAAAGTGTATCTCGGAAAAAAACATCCCGATCAAGCGCTCATTGGAGTACTTTACTTGATATTTATAAAGCAAAAAATAAGGATCGTCACTAGACCATTGTACGCAATAATTCTTCATTTCAAAGTGCATTGAATGATATTGCATATCATTAGGTCTAGTTATCGATAATGGGAAGTTCTCACTCGTTTCCAAAAAAAAAAAAAAAAACCTTGTTTCGGTTTACCTCGTAAAAACGCCGTACTGCATCAGTAAATGTGGATACTGATATACCGCAAAATGCCATCGAAGTGGCAAATATGGCTGCAGGTTCTATGGTGCATGCAGGGATCTGCATATCATGATGACACCATATAAAAGAACTGGGTTTGATCATTGCCTTTCCAATGTTATGATCAAAATACCATGCAATAGATAACTATATTTTATTCATCATCCAACCTTGCTATTACAGATGGGCCACTCTCAACGCTGCATTAGTGCTGTATAGAATGTTCCCATTTTTGTCTGGAAAACTTTATATTTGCTTTAACGAGCCACAAATTGTCACGCGCAACCATTGGCAGATGATGTGTTGTTTGTGTTGTTTACATGATCCTCAGACCACAGCTTGAGGAAATTTTGCCTCCATTTTAATTATTTGAAATTACTTACAGTTATATTTATCCACACACATTGCCCAAGGGAGAAAACAAGAATGAGAATACAGATGCAAAATTTCTTTCTTCCATCGGCGAAACGAAGAAACAAGTCGACTACCACCCATCATACATGGAATGCATTCAAGATACACATCGTTGACAGAACCATTCTTCTACTTGATCGGTTTCAGCGATACCCACACAGTTGCCATGATACCATACTCCACACTTGTCACATGCAATCATGAAGGTGCCGTAATCGACGGTCGGATTCTCGCAAATACAGTTGATGATATCGCCACCAGCATTGCTGGTACTCATGACGGTCGTGTCGACTTTGGGTACTTTGGGCGTAGTAACGATTGGTGCCGGCGATGTTACAGCAGGCTCGGACGGTTCGGGAACTTTGATCTTGAATCGGATTTTAGGGGTGCTGAGAGGGGTACCTGAAGATGGTGTGGTGGCTGTGGAAGAAGGTTTAGACGATGCATTGCTGCTTAGATCCATCTTGGGAAGATTGATGGTGAGTTTCGTGTGTGTCTTTTTCTTTGATTCTCCAAGTGGGGCCGACGACGATGACGTCGAAAGTGAAGCTAGAGAAATCGGTACTGCTGGAGATTTAGTAGCAGGTGCAACAGTGCTCGATGTCGTGGCCGATGCTGGCGTGGTTGCTGGTGCAGAAGATATTAAAGGCGACGTGCCACTGGTGGATGATTTTCTTCGCGCCTGGCCTCCTGCTAAGGAAGCAAGAATGGACGTGTTGCCCACCGATTTATTACCGATAGTTTCATTTGGCGTGCGAACAGGATTGGCCGATGTTCCTGAGGAACCACTTCCTCCGCCTTGAATAGCCACGTCTAACAGCAAATTCGGTGACGAAAGCTTAGCGACCGCCAATGGAGGAGCCATCTGTCGTACCAAGTTATTCAAAACACCCTGATCTTCGCCAAACATCGTGTTGCCAGGTGCAGCTTCATCACGGGTGAATGCCTGAAATAACGTAGATTGTGCGGATAACGGATGTAGTGACCGTTTCCGTTCGGTGGACGTGCGACTAAGCATCTCGATGGCTTGCTTCAACGAACTGTTCTCGCTTTCCAGCCTACGCCGTTTCTGTCGTTCAGGTTCAGGCCAGGATTGTTTTTGAGACATCAGCGTTAATGACAGAGAGGGCAGTGTTTCTTTATCGGTGGCAGCAAAAGAGGATTCTTCCATGGTGGTGATGTGCGTGAATGGGTTTTCAATAGGTCGTTTCCGTCGCGTAACGACTACAGAAGACGGTATAGTTGATTCGTTAATCTGTCCCGTCGCTTGCTTGACGGTGGAAGTGCTCAGATCCTGCTGTAAGTTGACTGATGCTGCGGGATTCGTGGCCTCGGCATTTTCCTCGTCCACGTCATCTTTGGGTTTCGGCGGGAAAGGTGGGAAATAGGAAGGTACATAGTTGGGAAGTTTGCTCGACAGATCAATAGGTGGTTTATCTGTAGGTGTCTCTGGTGAAGTCACGTCATTAGAGATTTCGTCGTTTTCTTCTTGGTCGCTTTCTCCGAGCTGGCTAATGCCGGCCAATGGCATTTCGCTTTCCACGTCCGTGTATTCATAAACAAGCACGTCGTCAGGTTCCGGTTTACCAGCGTTCACCACATCTTTGTCGCGAAAGTGTGGAAGTTAGTTAGCGTTGATACTGTTTCTTTCCCAGTCGGTCCCACTGTGATCGGCGGGACGGGTTCACGAGAGTCTTACCTGTCAGGACTCGACTGGGATCGGACGAATCCGTCCAAGGCGGAACAAGCGCTTTGCCTTCTTCCTCAAGCCATTCTTGCAGCTGCTTTGGCTCAATATTCAATTCAGCGAAACAATCGAGAATATCCCAGGGTGAGATCGTTGACCGGCCAGCAAATTGTGCATAATGAGACGCCGTGGACGCCAGCAGTTGAATATATTGGCCAAAAACATCGGTCAGGGTATCGGTGGCACTCATATGAGCGGATTCAAACCCTGCTGACTGCAGAGTTTGCAGTGTGGTCCCTCTTAACAATGCAAAACAGAACTTGTCTGTCATGGTGGGATCGTTACAACGGAAAACCAGTAAACGGTTGAACCCACCACAGCGACTCGGCTGCTAATAAACAATTTTTCAGTCACGTGACCGAAATAGCATCAGGAACGTTTTTCTCAAAGAGAAAATTGGATGCAAAAAGACATCGGCGAACATCTGTCTTTTTTCTGTTGAAATGCAATGTAAATTCTATGGTAGTTATTAAGATATGAAGATTGCTCGGAAGACCTCCTACAAATCAGCGCCTGAGTTTTTTTGAGTTGAAGCAATGTGTTGTATTTGAGATGGATTAGATTATTTGTGATGAAGGGGGCGGTCTGCAGGTGGAAGTGACTATAAAACTGCCTTGAAAAGTAGAAATTCTAAAAAGAAATGGTGTGCAGCATGACGAGGATAGAACTTAATTTGTCGTTCACGCATTATCCTCGGAGATACCAATGTCGACGCTGCCCTCATCATCAGCTGTAGCCACAGAAGCATTCGTATTTGGCAAGTCGTTGGATTCGTTATCGTTTGCTGAGGCTGCTGCTGCCAGTTTTGCTTTTCGCGCTGCTCGAAAATGGACCATTTTACGATGTTTGGTCAACTGACCAGAGGTGACAAAACTCTTATGGCAACCATCGATACCGCATACCAGCTTCTTGGTGCCGTGCATATTCGTTTCGTGTGTTTGCAGTTGATCGTAGCTTGTAAAAGATTTGGAGCAACCAGGTTGCGTACATAAAAATGGTCGAAAATCCTTCTCTCCTCCGGCTGACGAGAACAGTTGATCGATCTCTGCAACGGTCATTGGTTCTTTTGCTCGTTTGTTCAATTTCATGGTCTCATCTACCACCACGGAATTAGATTGAATTTTTTCCTCACAAATCGCCATGCCTGCGCTTTTCCTTACCAGACTGCCAGCTGGTGAGCCGGATTTCCGATCCATCCAACGTCTTGAATACGAGAGGCGTTTGAATCCAATGGCGAGCTTTCATGTCTTTGTATTTAAGGATATCTTTAGCCGAACTCGTCCGTACTACGTTGGATTTATCATTACGTGCTGTAAAGAGAATATTAGCCCCAATGAAAAAAGAGTAACATTATGAGTTTCAAGTTTACAAGAGTCGCCGTCGCTGTTTGCTATGCCATGGTGGTCGTCGACTTGTGCGGTGCTAGTAAAGAAACACTCATCAGGATGCATGTTTTTGTATGTGAATTATCTGATCAACTCCGGGACCTACGTGTCGTTTGCAGATTTTGGTGCGTTAGGTTTCCGATTACGAGAATTCGTCTTGGATCGTTTATTTGGACTAGGCGTATCTTGTAATGCATGTTTTCCTGCAACGGACAATGTCGGTGATGCGGTGGGCGGCGGTGTGGCTGCTGGTGAGCTCGAATCACCAGCCTGTGAACTGGGAGTGAGTCTTAACTTTATTTTCAGAGATGGCTGTGCCATAATACTGGTTAGAGTATATATGTGGTTGTGAGAACGTCAAGGCGAGAAAAGAGGCGATATAAACTGGTGATATGTCTTGGAACGTCTTGTCGAATTCAAACAAAATCCCTATCGATGTGACGTTGTTTGATGATCACCGGGCGGCATGCCAAACCTGCACGCCGCAATTCCACTAAATTTTAACAATTGGCCGCATCAGCAATCCATGAATTGCATGAAACAATGGGATCTGCCTATGATATTTATTTACGTATCATGAAAAATCGATACATCATGAAGGAAACCTTACCCACTGATTTATGTCGTTGTGAGCAGATGATTTTGCGCAATTCAAACGTAAAAATGGTGCTCGAGACCATGTATGCTTTCCTCAATGAACTCGACAAAGACCAATGCGACAACATGTAAACAATATCCTGCAAGACTGTTTTAATGAAAAGCAACTTCATATTTGTTGCTACCCTATACTAACACACGAGTGAATAAGGCTAGCGATGTGAAATAAAATATAGTCCAGATTTGTATGCAAAATAGTATCAGGAGGCCGTCTGGGAAGCTATGATCGATCGCGGTGGGTGATAGGTCTCTCCGATATCTGTACCGTACAATCCCACAAGAACAATAACATGGCACGCCAGTAAAGTCCATGAACTTTTGTCGGTGGAGGGGAAAGTCAACCAACACGCTTCGATGGTTGCCAAAACGAAAATCCTATTAACATTGTGAGTAGAGCATAGAGCAATAGAGCACCAGTAATTTAATTCAATGATGATTACCTCATATGCAGAAGAAAATTCACACGGCCGGTCGTTAACCACTTGCATTGCCAAAGTAAGTAAGGTATTGTATGATAATACCAGGAATAAAACTGGTAATGAAGCGAACGTGCAAAGGTGATACCAATAAGATTACTCGTAAACATCATGGTAATAATCTCTGCTCAATCCGGTGTGAGTGTTTTTTTTCCAGATGTAACATTGTCTGCATAAATATCCGCTTACCGTCTGCCGTCAAAGACGGTCCGACCGTCTGGAAACCGCGCAAGAAGGCATCCATCATACTTCCTTCTCTGTACCAAAATAAAATAAAAAAAAAATCAGGACTATGACCATAGCCTTAGTACTCATTCATCCTACTTTTTGCACCAGATAAAATTGATGTAGAGAAGCAGTACAAAGACATGGCCCGCCAGTAACAGTTTTGCGAATTCAGTCGATACAAAGTATTTCTCGTCAATCATACGCCAATTGACTGTCCATTGATAGTCAAACACGCGGTTGAAATCAAACGCTCGCGAGAGATAGGATTCGGGATATGTGGACACAAACGGATATCCCAAGCCGATCTATCGCCCACCGTGGGATAATATTAACTGATATGGAACATCAACACCCATGGTTGTGGACTAACCTGTATCGCTGCCATGAGAAATAGGTGACCAATGGCCTTGTAAGCACCAAGCGATTTCCACAATATAATGCCGAATGCTGGAAAGAAAAGAAGACCATTCATCTTGATGGAGATACCCAAGCTATCATGGCGTTCACTAACTGACACCCGATATCATCGATGGAAACACTTCTCGAAACTTACCTGTAGAGAACGCTACTGAGTGTCCATCTCTTGTAAATCATCGCAAGGATACAAGCATAAATGAAAAACATCGCCACTGGATCGTTAAAACAACGTAAGACGTAGATGGAGTGTAATCGCTTGGAAATACACAGCAACACGATGGTATACGGAGGAATCTACGTGGTGTGTGTCAATGCATGCTGGAAATGGACAGGCGACGAAAGAGAAAGGATGCATGCCTTTTTTGATTGTTTATAGATAGTGAATACTAAGGCTTGAGTGGAAATATAAAGAAGACCAAAGAGATACTGTGCGCCGCGTATGTTGGTTCCTTTGTTCGTAAGGTAATAGAGCGCGGAATAGATGTACACGAATCCAGCCGGATATCTAAAGAAACCACAGTTGAATAAACGTAATTGAGGATGATATCAAATATATTTACACTAGTGGTCCAGTGTCACCGCGTAATTGAGAGTAATCGCGTTCTCCTTCGATAAATCCTTTGACTTCTTGCATATAAGCAATCCAATCGATCTCAGTATCTAATAGAGTTGATATAACATTATAAACAGATTTCTTCCCATTTTTCTCTTGTCCGCTATCTCTTTCTAGGCTTCAAACTTACAAGATACCTTGTTGATGACTAGCAGATTGAGGATAGATTCGCCCAGCAATAACAACATCGCCAGGATGTTGAAGTAGGCTGGATCCAATAATAAGCGTGCAGGTACGATGAGAACATCCTTAATACCCAACACCTTCTCATTGGAAGGCGTGTGCCGTTCGCGCTTCTTCCGGGGATGACCCACTTTTTTAACCATCAAGACACGGTGAAAAAAAAGTGGATACAAATTGGGATCCTGTTTCGAATTCAATTACAGATGTCGCATTTACCAAAAATTAAAATATCTCTTCCATCCCGAGTCCGCACCATGGAGGCCAGCAACACGAAAAAAGATCGTAAGCGGATGGATGGATTTTTATTGGTAACATATCTTTACAATATAAGGTATGGAATGCTGGGTCCATATGTATATGGCAGTCTGCACAGCTGTAATGTGCAATAACGTTTTTGTTGTCGCCGCGCAAAAGAAGAATGGATGATTGTGCTAGAAGCATGCATGTGGGAAAAATGTGGGTCATATCGTGCCGTAGAAAAGAAGATGGTAGTTTAAGAGGGAAGGTATTACGCCATAACAAGAGACGGATCATCGAAGGGTACCGAATCATCGCATATGTGTTGTCCAGGTAAAGTCACATCGGTAACGTTACCCGTAGCAGGGTCGATTCGAGACACCTTGCAGACGCGAGCTGAGTGCAGCTGGTTATTAGGATGCCATCGAGATAAACGATATCGCAGTACACCACGAATGGTAAGTTCATAAGGATAACGGATCAAAAGAGACCTAACAGACACCACGATTAAGCCTATAGGAAAACTTATATTCACTTTTGCAAACTTACCATCGTTCATTGCCGCTGCGGTCATTGTTGATCGTACCAGGCGCTTTGAGCTGGATTTGACAGCTTCTTGTACTTGTGACCGAGTTGAATAAGCCTGCTGCTGTAAATACCAGCGGTTCTTCCAATTCATAAATGGTGCCCAAAAATTCAGCTGGATCGGCTCCTGTGCAAAGAAAAAAAAACATAGCAGTTTTTTCAGTACAAGCAGTTAAATAGGCAACCAAGAAACCCATTAATTACCGTGAGGATTCAGAGGAGCCAGTGGATCAGAATACGAGGAAACCGCACAATAAGTTGGGACATAATGACTAGATGCAAAGATACTCAGCGAACCCTGCGATATATTAATAGCCCACCAATTGCTGTTCCTATATGGATATGCAGATGAATTGAGAAATGAGTGAGGAAATACCAAGCGCTGCTGGTTTTTACCTTGCTCGTATCTGTAAATTAAAAATCAGTTCCTTCTCTGTTGCAAGCACGTTGCTTATATTAAGAATCTCGATATCGGTCAATGGGTTCGCCATGACAATGAGAATCAGCCAAAGAATCAGAAACGACATGATGCTAGATGATAAGATCCATAAAAGTCGACTTTTCGAAGTTTGCTTCTGCTTTTGGGATGGCTTTCGGCGGCGTCGACCGTGGAAGCGATGGTGTTGTAATAATGGTACATTTTCTTCATCACTCGGGCTCATGTAGTAGTACGGATAGGAATATTTGTATCGCTTGGATAAAGGAGGGGGATGAACCCGGCCAGAGGAAGGTAATTCTGAGACAGCGGATCGAAGCACTGGCCGCCTGGGGTGATAACGATGGTCCGAATTATTGGGCGAATCATTTTCTTTGGATGAGTATGGATAGTCATCTGACCGAGGACCTCGTCTATCATGCATGATCAATGGTGGATAATGATCGGCAGTGGATGCCCAAGGTGGTGGAAGCATTGAATGCATAGGTGCCAAGGATTTGTCGCGGTACACAAAAGCCTCGTGTTCATCAGAGTCTGGAATCATGATAATGCATCAATTTTTTTTCGAATAGTTTAACCCACATCACAGTGAAAGAGGAAACCATCATTCACTGGTTTTTTTTTCTATTGTTTTACCATCTGCATCGAGGATTGCTTCGCTGAGATTCTGGGCAAATATATCGGTAGGTGTCTGATAACTTGATGTCAAAGGCCGTCTCTTCTTCTTATGTGTGGAACGGGCGCCCTATGATAGGTTATCCATTAGCAACCAGTGAATTACATGATGTTTGGGAGAAAGATAAAAGATGGCAAAAAGAAAAGCAGTGCATTGGGTAGAAAGCGAAAAGGCAGAATAGCATACGCACCGAAGGTGGACTTATATTTTGCTTTTGGAACATGGGCTGATCTGGAAAGACAGCTGTTTCAACTGTCAGTTGACGTTCCTGAGTCGGTGCCGTTGGTGTGAGATCTCGCTGTTTAATAGGACGATGATGGGGCATCTTATCGAGAGTCAATAATCGAGAAGTGTCCGCACTACGAATAGGCGTATCAAGTTTGGGTCGGGTCGGAGAATGATGACCAGCACCAGGTATCTTTCTTGGAGAAGAGGCTAAATCGGCCATCGCTCTTGGTTTTTCCATGAGGTGTGATTGCGATGAAGCCGATGATAACTGTTCATCTTCGGTCATTGTCGATGGCGGTATGTCGTCTGACGGGGACACTGTTTGAGCAGTTGCTTTCTGGTCCGTTTCTGCTATGTCGGTGGTATCTTGCTGAATGGCCATAAATAGAAAAGATGGTTGAATTCAAAGAAGGAATTGGAACGAAAAGAGAAGAAAAATACTGTGTGCAGCGCATTGCCTTTATATCATCCACGCCTTTTTGAAAGCACCGAGGTACAGTTTCTCTTATTCCCTCTTTTTCCTGTTCATGGCTTATTCTATATCATCTGCAATCTGATGTCTAAATATCTCTGTAGATCATAACACCGTTGCTTTTTTTTTCTATTCACGATAATCGCAAAAAGTACAACATAACATGCGCACTTTTGCTCTGTCGTCAGAAAGGTTTTTTTTTTCTCTCTCTTCACATAAGTGTATGTTGTCCTACCGTAACCTTGCTGACCATGACCGTTGTTTTTCTTTCGGCTCAAATGGTAGAGGTTCCTGTTATCAGGTAGTTGGCCCTAATTACATCCATCCATCTACCCATTAATCTATCCGGTTTGAAGCAAGCTTCCAATTTTCTTTCAACCTACGTAACATTATGATATATTAATAGTATCGAATTCGCACATCTGCTTCCTTCATCCACAAATGCAAGCTTTTGACTTTCCGCTTTCCATCGCTGCACAGAATGGGTATGATCCAACATTCGGAGTCAGGAAACCAACATCATCTTCGGCAGTGTTACTGAGTAGCTTGAACTGCCGTTGACGACCCAGTGTACCCTTGCAATCGCATCGTACTGCCAGCGGACTCTATGTGAAAATGTTACTCCACATATGAACGATCATTGTAAGCATCCATATCAAAGGATCATCAGAAAGGGTTTTGAGAGCGACGCTGACAAAAGATGCCTTCTACACCTTGAAATACCACACAAGGATGCGGAGCTGGTTTGTAATGGCATGGTATCGGGCTCGGCTATGGATTTGTGCACTCCGTCCTACCGACAAACCTTAAAAAATCTTTTTCCAGTGCTGTTTGTACTACCTTATAGGAACAGCGCCGCCTTGCTTCTGGTGCTCTAAGTTGCACAACATCCAAGGATACTTTCTCGTCAAAATCATCCATACATTTGTGGAGCTTCAATCACAAGCTGCTTGACACATCATGACCCAAGGTCTCATCTACCAGTCTCCCGTGCGCTTTCAACATTTGGGGAATATCCTTACAAATGTCCAGAACGAACAAACCTTTGCGAGACTCTAAAAAATCAAATGGTGTGACTCGAAAGAGAGAACACGTATCTTGCGCTATATCGTATCAGTCGTTTTGGTGCGCCCTAACAGCCTCCAGCAAATCAGCATTTGCAGAAGCCACGTCCAGTTTGGGTAACTTTGAGTAGGTTGGGCCGAAACTTCCGAAATCGAAAGAGATGACACAGGTCATGGGATCAGGGGTTCGTCAAAACAGCCAACTATTACGCTTGTCATGTTCTTTTCCACGACCTCCCATTCAAAAATTGGCTTTGGACCTTGTGCCATCGAACGATCCATCAGATTTTTCATGGTTTCATCCGCTCATGATCCTTAGACTATATGCCGCCATATTAGATTCAGCGTCCGCTATCGTAAAAATAGGAGGGGTATCGATAACCTGTGATGAATCTATTAATCCGTCCCGAGTACCTTGAGATAAAATTGGGTAGCACCAGCGGTATTGAAATGTCAACAACGGTTGTTACCAATAGACTGTTCTGACCTTGCACGTTTCGACAAGCGCATTCTGTGGATGCCAAAATAATTATACCTGGTTTACATATAACCCATGAAATCAGAAAGAATCCAAAGGCTCTAAATATACCATTCTCTTCCTTTTCTCAAAATTCAAAGCTCAAGAGACTCTAGTTGATTGCTTATGTTACATCATATAGTTATTATTGGAAAGGTAAGAAAATATGTATAATTAGCTAATCCGTCTCCTCTGCAAGGGTAAAAAGATGAAAGAACGAAAGTATGAGAGATTGATGGGAAAAAATGACACAATATCCACGAGTAACTTACCGGTATGGTAGCCGCTTCGTCTCATTTCAGCCAACATGCGGCGCGCATTGACCAATTCTGCATCCAGTTTCAGAATCTTCACTTGTTGTTCCATTTCACGACGCTTGAATTCGTGTACGGATAACTTGTTGAAATCGATCACGTCTTCATTGCTCGCTTTTTGGGCAACGAGACCTTTGACTTGTTTTACCAGTTCAGCCGCAGCAGCCTTCACATCTTTGGCCGCCATTTCTAGCTTGGTTTGGGTACGGGACATGATGGTGGATTTCACACGCGAAGCCGCCACCAGTTGCGCTGTGGCCGCTGATACTTCATTGGAAGCGACAATCAACTGCTCAAGAGAATGCGTTTTGCTGATCACACCGTCCGCCGCTTCCACCAACAAATTCGTAGCTACAGCCACCGCTTTGGCCGCACTAATCAATCCTTCCGTCCATCGGTTATGTTTCTTGTAAAACGCAGCTTTGGAAGATGTGCCACGGCCTTGCGCCACAATTTCTTGCTGCGACGCCGTAGCACATTTGATTAAATTTGCAATGGCGTTCGTCAATGCCAGTACCGAGTTCAAGATCAGCTGATGCACCTGCAGATCCGTAGCCGAAAATTCGGGATTCGAAGGTTTGGCCAACAATGCCTGGATTTTTGCCGTGGCTTCTTCGATCGCTTTGGCCGCGTTGCTCATTTCTTGTTCTACCAGATCACGCACTTCTCCTTCGGCTAATTTGTCAATGTCGGCTGTGCCTGCCAAGATGAGATCTTCTGTTTTATCAGAGAGATTCATCAATGCTTCTTGCACTCGTTCATCGCCTTTGATCACGGTCTCCGCTCGTTGGGAGCTCGGCAAGATTTTCAAATGGCTGGACATGACACTGCCAAAGTATTGGATCGTCACCTCTGCACACGTTTTCGCAAGATTGATAACCAACTCTTCGTCTTGATCATCGGTCAAGAATCGGATAATGCCTTTGCTGTGAAGCAAAACATCGATAATCGTATCTGCAAATTCCAGCGTGCGCGTAATCGCCATGGTGTGATCGCCGGCTTGGCTGCCATCCATGAACTTGCTGAGAGCTGACATGAATTCGACTGAAGTGATACTGGCTCTCTCGATCATAGATAACATCAACTCTGGCGTCGCATTTTCGTTGCCTCTTTGGCCGGGAGTTTCCAATTCATAAATTCCGTCATTCACTTTCTGAATACAGGTCGCAAGGATACTGTCAAAAATTTCATCCAATTGCGACGCTTGCCTACTTTGGAGACGCTCCAATTCGTCCTGCAAATCTTTTTGATTGTCGCGCATCTGCAATTCGGCCAGTTGCGCTAAACATTCATCCATGCCTGCTTGAAGAACGGCGATTTCCTCATCTTTTTCATGACGTATGTGATCAGCTTGGCCTTGTTGATCGTCGATCTGTTTCAGGAATTCGTCAATGAGTGCTTGCTTTTCGGCCAGAGTCGCTTCCAGCTCAGATCGTTCGCGATTGGATCGTGCGAGAAGTGCGCTCACTTCGTCCCCCTTGCTTCGGCTCAGTTTCTCGGCCCGTTCTTGTGCTTCTTGAAGTTCTCGTCGAAGACGCTCAATATCATCTCCTTGGGCCTGTAATAACGATAGTCTCATTAGATGCCTTGCAATACTACGCCTGTTTCTCGTCCCATCGCTCACACCAGCGAGTCTGTTGCCGAATACGGATAATTGTTATTTTTTACCTTTTGGAATCGGGCCAATTCATTTCTCGCTCGATCTCGTTCGCGGATAAGATCGGCAAGCTCGTTATTCTTGGCTCGCATATCCGCTTGAAGCCGCTCCATTTTCTCAATGGCCTCCTGAGCCGAATTGGCTTTTACTTGCAGCTGTTTGTACTTGTTTAAAAGTTCGATGTGTTCCTTTCGAAGCTGACTGTATAATTTGGCGAGAGCTTCATACTTGTTCTTGTACATTTGAAGCTCATCTATTATTTTCATCAGTTCCACTCTTTTTTCAAATAAATTCGTTGCACAAAAACGCTTACTTTGTAATGAGCGGATCAATTCGTCTTTGGACGCATCCCTCGCCTGCGCGTTGCTGTTCAATTGTAATAATTCCTGTTCCAATGCTTTCACTCTCTGATTGTCAAAAATTCACGTCAGTTCCATTGGTAGGGCAGAAAGCCGTCTACTCTGTCCATTTGAATACTCACTCTATCGTATTGTTCGAGCAGCATTTGATCTCGCTCCAGCTGGTTTCGATAGTTCAAGAGTTGCATTTCGAGATCGTTCATTCGACCGGTTTGCTGACTTTGCATTTGCTGACGCATCAAAGCTTCCTGTCGCATTCTTTCTTGTTCAGCCAACATTCGTTGCTGCTGCTCAAATTCGCGCTGTTGTTGCATCTGCTGCTGCCTCAGGCGCTCCTGCTCCTCGGCTTGTTGCTGTGCCAGGCGACGTTGCTCTTCTTCATAATCGCGCTGTTGCTGTGCCCAGAGGTCGGACGCTGGCTCTGGTGAAGGCTCCACAGGAGGCGTCGCGGTCGGTTCGATAACGGCTGGACGGTGCGGAAGTGTCGGTGTTTCGGCATCCATAAGAGATGGTGGCTCTTGTGGTAACTTTGGCACGTTGATGAGACTCGTCAAATATTTGAGATTCGAACATTCAAAGTAAAATTTGCGAAGCGCGTGATGCTGAAGTTTAAATTTTTGAGCCAAGGGAGCAAGCGCTTCACTGGCATCCAAACCTACGGGGCAATTTTTCATTTAGAGATACGATTGACGAGCCACTGCGTTGGTGTTTCGACTCACGTTTATACATGGCACGCATCATGCTCGTGATGAACTTATAGATACCGTAGCTTTCTTCCACAAGAGGTACAAGCGATGCAATACGACATTCGTTGTTGGATGACATGCGAAAATTGTGAAATACAATCTTCTGGAATCGATCAATACGATCTTGATATACCATGAGATCACTAATGGTCTCAAAACTACGCCATCATTAGTACCAACCGAAACCCCATACTGCGTTGTTATTTTTTTTTCTTTCTGCAGCTTACCCTTCATTAGGATCGTCTATATTTTTTAGACTGATGTATTCTTCGTAATCAAAAGTACCATTGAACTCGGGATGATCACGATGATATTGGAGTTTGTGAAGAAGTAGCTCCACATAGTTTCGAATCAATGTACCATAATGCCGAACACCTTCTCCTTGAACACTTTGTGCGCAAGTTTTCAGCCACCCTGTCTCTTGCAAAGCGTCTTTAATTACCTATCCGCAACTCCATATATCAGTACTCAAAGGAATCCATTTTATGCATCCACAGCGCGTACATTTGGATGACCGTCTTTGATAATCTTATGCACTGTAATCAAAGCTTTGAACGTCTGCACTTCGTCGGATATCAGCGGTTGCACTTTAAGAATGTTCCATATCACAGAGGACGAACGATGGTCCCACGTGTAAACGATGCATTCTAGTCGATGAATGACATTTGAGTGGTCGTGTGATCTGCTGGAATGTGGAAATTGGTAGGACAAATCAAGATGCACTTACTGCGAACGTGTTTCTGCTTGGGTGCCGTTTCCTCAGGACTAGTGGCCTTTTTAATACTCTGAGCCAGTTCGGCCTCTGCCTTATCCGCAGGTAGATATGCCATTGTAATAAAGAAGCGTAGAAAAGAAAATGAAAGGAAATTTTGTTCCACACCGATGTCTTCGGTGAGACCTTACGATCAAAATTCAAACACCGCCGGCTTTCCGTATTACATTTCTGGTTGAACAAAGTCATTTGACAGCTGATCCATGCATCTGTCATTTCTTACGTTATTATTAGGAAAAGTCACTTAGAACAATGTCTACAGTAGCGTTCATGTTTTACGGTCGAACTATACTCCTCCATGTGAGTACATCGTGTACTGTTCAGCTTGCGTGATATCCAGCAGTCAATTCCAGCACTCGCCGGTGGTCGGTGATTCAAACGGGCTCTCAGACCAACGGGGTGATCCTGTGTGTTTCTCGTATTGACCATTACAAATAAGAGGGCGGAAAAAAGAAGCTCCAGTACGATTATGATACTACAACCTTGATAATGCCATAATACATTCTATTCAATACGTATTGAAATATCCCAACAGCTTTTCTAATGAGCATCCTAACAAAATAACGAGTAATGGTGAAAAAGTATGATTGAAGAAACTAGTGATGAATGGTTGGACCGAGACCGATTATTCAAACTTGACTGTCAAGTCTTTGAACATGTTACGGACTTGATCAAGAGATTGGGTACCCAAAAATCGTCCGTCACGTGTGCGGATATTGACGGCATTGGCATCTAGCTCCTTCTGACCGACGATCAAGCAAAAATTGTATCGTTGCTGCTGTCCATTACGGATTTTCTTGTTGAGTGACTCGCGTGACGTATCGACGTCCACGTAGTATGTTTCTTGGCTGTTATCACCTAGCGCTAGTGATTTAGCGACACTGTTGGCATACTCGTTGAATTGAGAAGCGACAGGAATCACCACGGCTTGACGAGGGCTAAGCCAGAATGGCCATTTGCCAGCGGTATGTTCGATCAAGATAGCAAGCATACGTTCAACCGAGCCCAAAATAGCACGATGAATGATCACCGGAGTCTGCGGCTTATCGTGCTCGTCAATATACTTTAGACCGAAACGTTGTGGCAACTGGAAATCGAGTTGAATGGTGGCCGTTTGATGAGATTTGCCGCTGGAATCCTTCACCATGATGTCAATCTTTGGACCGTAAAACGCTCCGTCTCCTTCTTTGAGAGACCAGGGTCGACCTGTCGCATTAAGTGCTTCTTTCAAAGCCGACTCGGCATGATCCCACTCCTCGACAGTACCAATGAGCTTGGATTCTGGACGTGTAGATAATGTCAAATCGTAATGAGGGAAGCGGAAAGCCTTATACACGCGATCGACAAACGATAGACAGGATTTGATTTCAGAAGAAATTTGCTGTTCCGTACAGAAAATATGAGCGTCGTCCTGATGGAAACGACGAACTCGAGTCAAGCCGGTGAGCGCACCAGAAGCCTCATTTCTAACAAGCAATAAATACAAAGAATGAATATTGGCTCATCTTGCACCAAAAAAAAAAAAAAAAAAAAAAGAAAGAAAGAAAATAAAAACTACACGGAGAGTAATGCAACTTACCGATGAAGAGGACTAAAATCTGCCAAGCGAATGGGGAGATCCCGGTACGATTGCGGAGTGCTGTCAAAAATTAAGCAGTGACCAGGGCAATTCATGGGCTTGAGGCCGAAAAGACCTTCGTCTTCGATACTCTGCGCTATGGTCTCGTCCATGGCATCATGACTGTGACCGCTGCATCCGGTCGGTGCGTCTCTTCCACTTTGGATAATGAACATATCATCCTTGTAATTTTGCCAGTGACCGCTGGTTTCCCATAAATCTTTTTTGTACATCAAAGGGGTCATCACCTCCTGATATCCATATCGTGCATATTCGTCTCGCAAAAATTGCTGCAATTTGTTTACAATGCGAGTACCGTGAGGCAACATGAAGATAGATCCCGGGCTCACCGGATGAATCATGAACAAAGACTGAGCTTTGCCAATAGCACGATGATCTAAACTGTTGGTCTTGCTCACATCTATATCCTCGTAACTATTAGAATATCACCTAGCTAGAATACAGTAATTCACCACCACCAGCATACCGTTGACTTGGGCTTTGGAAGCTGCATTGGATACTCGGTTGGAATGAATAGATCGTACCAATGGCGTGAGCTCTTTTTTTGACGACAGTCAGCAAAAGTGTAAGATTAATACATGATAAGTAAAAAGCTCGTCCAAAATGGATAGAAAAAACTCACGAGTGAGTACAGGCAGTCTGTGCCTGACTGAACGTGCAGCGATTCGTGAAAGCATCCTTTTCTTTTAAGCTTTTTATTCCTTTTTTCGGTTCCACTCTCCTGGAAAATTGTCCTCAGCTTTTTTGTCAGAGTGCATGGGTGTGACTTCCATATTTTCCAGGAGCATTTTGCTGCCGAACTCAAGTTTCGATGCGCACAAAACGACTTGTAACTTACTGACTATGGCGTCAAAAGCAACTCAGGAATATCGTCTCTCTTTTATAACGCTCATCTCACAATTGACAGAAATTGAGCGCAAAGGTCAAGAATTGTTTGACAAAATGTAAATATGGTTTATATCTGTTTATTGTAGACCACTTTTTCTCAAACCGATCTGTAGTGAAAAATCAATAGCAGTACCTTACAATGCAAATGACGCGCAGGGTAATTATTGTGGACTGATTCCTGCCAAGTTCATCTCGCTCAATTGGCATTTGCCTATTGTTTATTAGCGGATTTTGAGCAACTATTAGTCTCCTTGCGCGCCTTGGAAACACACGCAAAAACGTGCGGTTTACTCAGTATCACAGGCATGCCCGCCGGCGCCACAACGGTCGAATCCAACGTACCACCACGAAATTTAGCCACTCGAAACGCTGAAACACTGCAGTCTGTTGATGAGTTCTTCCAGGAGAAAAATCGACTTTTGATGAATCTCCGTGCAGCCGTCAACACAGCCAAGCGATCAGCGTAGTCATCAGTTCCATCGATACATTAATTGATCTTATAGCTTCTCTTTACTTGTATATAAATACCACTCCGTCGTTATTATGTTACCCCTTTGATAACACAGAAAAAAGTTACAATATTTTTTTTATTCAATTGCGAACAAAGCGTCTGGTAGGGTCTCACGTCGAAAACTAGAAAACCCGTCTGGTCACCAATGCTTTGGGAAACAGGGATGACCTAATGGATGAAAATAAAGACTTTTTGGAAAAAGGATACACTATGTCAGTGAGACATAACAAAGCATTAGATGTACCTTCGTCTATACTGTATACATTTTCCATTCAGGAGGCAGCTTTTAAAAAGCCGATAATAGTCCTGTAGCACTACTCCTTCTAGAAACTTTCAGAACCACCAGCATTACGGAAAATTCAAAGTCACAATACATGCTGGCATCACTTTTCAAAATCCGGCCTTGGTCCAATAGTTGAGCGCCAACTGTTTCTTTGACGTTCCTTTTTCATCGGCACCATGAAAGTGTCAAGAATTACAGTCAGTCTTACCACACTGCTGGTAATACTGGTATGCATTTTCTCTACCAATGGCTCTGCCGAAAACCCGCAGCAGCAAGCAGTGCTGTCACCTCATGACGGACCATCGCACGGTATTCAGGCAGACCAAGTAGCCCAATTGGAAACCACTGAAAAGTTCACTTTCCAGGTAAAATAGTTTGCGCTCCAACAGATTCGTATTTGAAACTTATCTCATTAATAGACCGAAATTTCTCGTTTGATGAGTTTAATTATCAACTCTTTATACAAAACACGCGAAATCTTTTTACGCGAGATCATCTCCAACGCCTCGGATGCCCTGGACAAGATTCGATTTTTATCCCTTACGGATCCTTCGGCCCTTGAGAGTGAACCGCGTTTGAGCATTTCCATTGCTGCTGACCCGGAAACAAAGTCTTTAATTATCACGGATACCGGTATTGGTATGACTCGCGAACAGCTCAAGATGAACCTAGGCACCATTGCAAAATCGGGAACGTCGGAATTCCTGCAAAAGCTGGAAAGTAACAAGGACGAAGTCACTCAAATTGGTCAATTCGGTGTTGGCTTTTACTCGGTCTTCCTTGTTGCTGACAAAGTCACGGTGGCCTCCAAATCGAACGATGAAGCAGATCAATATATCTGGATGAGCGAAGCCGTTGATGACTTTGTCATCGCGAAGGATCCGCGAGGAAATACCCTTGGACGCGGCACCGAAATCACGCTGCATTTGAAAGAAGATGCCCTTGAATTCTTGGACCAAGACGTGCTGAAGGGCCTCGTCACCAAGTACTCCGAGTTTATCAATTTCCCCATTTATATTTGGACTGAACGCAATGAAACGGTGACCAAAGGTTCGGGCAAGGTTGACTCTGATAAAGACGAGGAGGAGATTCACGAGGAATCGCTTGATAAAGAGGAAGAGGACGACGAATCTGAATCTGAGACTGAAACACGTACGACCCGATCCTGGGAACGTGTGAATACACAGAAACCGATTTGGATGCGTTCTGCCAAAGATATTAGCGAGGAAGAGTATGTTCAATTTTACCAGTCCTTGACCAAGTCTCCCACCGAGAAGCCATTGACGTGGATGCACTACAAGGGCGAAGGTGACATTGAGTTCCGATCCATTGTCTACATTCCCAAGCAAGCCGACCCTAACTTTTTCCGCAATCTGGCTGACAAGCTTCACAATATGAAATTATTTGTGAAGCGTGTATTCATTACCGATGAATTTGAACTTTTCCCGAAATGGCTTTCCTTCCTCAAGGGTATCGTTGATGCGGATGATTTGCCTCTCAACGTTTCGCGTGAAACTCTCCAGAAGCATCGCTCGTTACGCATCATTTCCAAACATTTGGTGAAGAAGGCTTTGGATATGTTCAGCCAGCTGTCGAAGCAGGACGAGGAAAAGTACGCTGAATTTCTGAAAGAATATGGCAATGCTCTCAAGTACGGTGCCATTGAATCCGACGCGCATCGCAGGAAGATTGCCACTTTGTTGCGCTTCGCATCCTCTTACGATCCTACCAGCCCCGGTGTCAGTCTCGACAGTTACATTGACCGTATGAAAGCCAATCAGAAATCGATCTACTACCTGGCAGGCCTGGCCATTTCCGAGATCGAACAAAGCCCCTTTTTGGAACGTTTATTGGCTCGAGGCTTTGAAGTTCTTTATTTGGTTGACCCCATTGACGAGATGCTTATCCAGCATATGCCTAGTTACAATGGCAAGATGTTTGTGAATGTGGCGAAAGGCGACTTGAAGTTTGGCGACGAGAAAGATGAAGAAGCGGACATCAAAGAACTGGAAAAGAAATTCGAGCCTTTAAGCCAATGGTTGAAAACCACGCTCGGTCAGCATATTGACAAGGTGGTCCTGTCGAAACGGTTAACCACCTCTCCCATGGCCATCGTCGCAGCTGATTTCGGATTAACGGGTCATATGGAACGTTTGATGGCAGCTCAAGGAGAGAAAAACAAGGAACGCGATATGATGCTCAATTTCATGTCAATGCAAAAGAAGACTTTGGAAATCAACCCCAACCATCCCATTGTGAAGACACTTCTTGAACGTGTGGAAGCTGATGATACAGACCAAGATACTACGGAAATGGTCACCATCTTGTACGAAACCACGGCTATTCGCAGCGGCTATCCCTTGAAAGACCTGAACTCTTTCACCAAGCGAATTGAGAGCGTCATTCGCAAAGGCATTGGTGCCTCGCTAACAGAGCAAGTCGAAGTGAAGGAGGAAGTTGCCGCAGATAAGACAGCCGAAGAGAAATTGGAAGACGAGGCTTTGCAAAAGGAAGCCAACGAAGACGAACAAGATGATAACGACACTGCTGAAGAAGATCTTTTGCACGATGAACTCTAATGCAAATGATTAGCTAAAATAAAATGATATTATTATCTTGTAACGTGGCCTTACATGCTTGCCGTTTACATTTATGCTCTCGATCGATAATTAATATAGCAGATGGTGTGTGACATAATACTGGCAAATATTCCGTAACATGGTCTGTATCTTTAAAAATCTAATAGCGTAACCCTAAAAGATGGGATGAAGATATAAAGCAATCTTTTTTCATGGTTTGCAAAATAACAGACAAGGGATTGAGAATGACTTCCAACAGCGAATGGTCAAAAAGAGGGAAAAATGTCCAATGTTGTTATCCATACATTCTATTGAACTTGATAAGAAAACATGTACTAAGGAAAGTTCATGAAAATGGGTTGGTGAAAGATCGTCCTACCAGTGTCATTGTACACAAAGAGAAGAAGAACATGAAACGGGGACTTAAAATGCACAAAAATTGCTGACATTCAACTTGACGTAATTTCTGCTTTGACTTCTTTGATTACTGCAACAAAATTCAGCGTGATAAAGTCCCGTGCTTTCTAACTGTCGACGAAATTTACGTCTGTTCTACTTTTTCTTTTATTTCTTGCTTGAGAATCTGCGAGCATGGCGAATGCCATTTATGTTAAACGACTCACTAGAGAACTTCGGGGTAATTTTTCCAATTCTCCGCCCAGTTGCCTATGCTTTGTCAAAAAGACAGCGACTGACCCATCTGCCGTTGTTTGATAGATCTACAGCAGAATGCACCCGTCGGTGTAACCGTAGAGGAGGCGGATGACTTTGTGAGGTACAATTACAAGCAGCATAAATGGAAGCGAAAAAATTGTTTGACAAGTTGAATGAATGACAGATGGCGACTACGGATACAAGGTGCGCCGAAAACACTGTATGAGGCAAGTCCACTATCATTTCTCTATTCCAATAGCATGTTCATATTATTAACCGGAGGCGGTTCAATTGGGGCTTTCTTCTATGTAGGGTGAAGAATTCAAACTCGAGGTAGTGTACGGCATCGAAAGACGGAATAATGACAGCTGAACATCATCTGAACCATTACCCTTGCCCTTATTATCCATGTCGCAGTTTCGGTTCACACCATCGTACCCTATGGAAGCTCCCGAAGTGTTATTTGTAAAGCCATATATTCCTGTTCACCCACAGTAAGTGACAACGAAATTCATTGCCGAATATCTCCAATTCTCATATCGAAATTTCTCTTTTGCCAGTGTAAATTATGATTTTTATCCCCGGTGGATGAATAATTCTCTTGGTGCTAACGTATCATTCACAGATCTATTCCAACGGCCACATCTGTATCAATATTCTTTACAAAGACTGGTCACCTGTACAAACTGTATCTCAAGTGTGTTTATCCATTCAATCCATGTTATCCAGTTGCAGAAAGAAAGTAAGTGACAAGGAAATTTTGCATATGACAGATCATTCATTATTTACATATCACATAGGAACTTCCTCCTGATAACGACTTATATATTAAAAGTGCTAGTGCGTCACCGAAAAAAACGGCTTGGGCATTCCATGACGAAACTGTGTAATAAAAGAAATCACTGCTTTAAGTTAGAATCGACAACGTTTATTCATCAACATTCGAGTCATAATCCGGTCACCGCGCTTCTGACTATTGAATGCGCTAGATATACTTCTTACTTGTGAGATGGATCAGGAATACAAAATAATCAATCGAAAAATCTGAAAACCATCATTCGAAATTACCAGTGTTGACTGTTAAAAGGGTATCACTGAAAATGATGCGGAACAAACAAATTCAGATGGCTGCTTCCAAGCAATGATTCAAAAATTGTAAAAAACAGTCAATGCACTTTTGATATGTATGAAAGAACGTTGCTTTTAATACAGCGAAGAATGACTGAGATGACAACCCACAAATAATACAAGAATTGGATAAGAAAACAGTAGCTGGTAATGGATAAGGATGATAGGAGAACAGGAAAACAAATAGCTAAAGCTTCCAAAAGTTTCCTCGCGAAATCAAATAATAGTAGAAAGGTTGAAAGAAGGAAACAGAAATCACTAGCTACAACAAACAACGAAGGAAAAAAAAAAAGCAAAAAGGAAAAAATTGAAACAAACAAAGATGGCTATACATAAAAAGATACAAATTGATAATAAGAACACAGAGATGAAAAAGCAAAAACAGGCAAAAGAAGCTTAAAAAGGGAGTGCATATGTACATATGTGTAAGAAAAGAAAAAAGATTAACTGGAGCATATCATGTAGACACAGAAAATGAGTCATACACGGGTAGACAAGGATCAACCTCGTCTACTGTGAGGACGGAAAGAGATGGATGGCTGAGGGAGAACGAACAGGAGAAAATGAGACGAATGGAAATGATAAGTTGAGGAGAAGAGGAGTGGAGACATTCCGGGCTCGGGGAATATTTGCGGGGCGGGGGATGATGGAGTGAGAAACCAGAAGTAAGTAAAGATGATGAACGTATTTGGAAGGGGAGCAAAAAAGCGTGTGAAATGAAAAGCTTGAGGTTCAGACCACCAATGTGAGGAAATTGGACAGGAGAGTATCGGATGCATCCGTCTTGTTAGCCATACAGAAGGTCTCTTGGACAATACACCCTTTGCCTTTTGACGCATGATCCTCCTTGTCATGCCGTAACAGCTTGGCTGTCGTGGCAAAGTTGGTTTTCTTCGTCTTGGGCTTGTCTTCTCCGTGCTTGGTTTGATGATGTTTCAAAAATGATGATCGTGATCGGCAAGGTGATGGAAGAGGCGAGGGTGGTAGTTGTACGATCGGCATCAATCGAGAAGTGGCTTGCAAATAGCGCTCATACTCTTCGACTTCCGCAGTGCGTGTGAAATATTTGCACTTGAGGATGCGGTGTCTCAATTCTTCAATGCCAATTCTGCGAAAAGGATCGATGCAGAAAATGCGCTTCAAAATGCGATTGAGCTCCAAAGAAATCGGCAAAATCTTGTACAAAAAGTCGGAATCAGCAAGGTACATGCGGAACGTTTCATCAGTCAATGACGCTTGCGTCCACGGATTGCGACCCGTAGTCAGATTGATCAAAATCACGCCCAAAGCCCAGATATCGTTGGGAGCGGTAGCATAACCGATGCGTTTGTGATTACGACCAATATCACCTTGACATTCTAACATAACATAACATAATTATATGAATTCAGTATAAATGCTATTCTATTGATCGGTTTATTTGAACTTATGCTTACCAGGTGAGAAGTAAAATGTGCTGCCGCAACCGTAATCGTTTGATATCGGTTGAGTGGTTGCTAGACCAAAATCGGCCAACTTGATCGTACGACCGCCATCAAAGACGAGAACATTATCTGGCTTGAGATCTCGATGGTACACGCCATTATCGTGACAGTAAGCTACGGCATCCAATAATTGCAAGAAAACGTGTTTAATAAGTGAATGTCGCCCGCTGTAGAGGTCTTGCTCGGTGATGGCGGCGAATAGATCGCCTTCGGGTCCATGTTCGAGGACGACATGAGTGTAGGCTTCGGTGCGGATAACGCGTTCCAACTTTATAATATGTGGATGACCGGAAAGGCGAGAATGTAATCCAATTTCGGTTCGTTGCAAAGCCGATTGGTTCTCTTTAATATGCAGTTGTGGTAATGATTTGATAGCGTAGTACGATTTCGGGTGCCCGTCCCGCTTCGCAAGGTACACTTGACCGTAACCACCAATGCCGAGAATATCAACAATCTCGAGATCGTCGATACGTGTTCTCATTGGTAAGGTTGTAGAAGATCGCTGCACCATTATAACAGTGATATTGAAAGAAAATGGAAATGAAATAAAAAAGAAGATGGGATTACGAAACAGAATACCAAAAGAGTACAGAAAATTTCGGATATTAGAAGCTGTGCTGTTTGGTATATTTATACTGGACGCCATCATCACTTTAATGATCCAATTTTAGGAAAAGAAGGGATCAATGGCAAGATCAGGGGCCGGGATGGAGCATCATACGAAAGGGAGGGCTATTCCTTTTGAGGGTGGGGGGTTCTTTCTGTGGGGGAAACGAAATCATCAAATTGGTCAATTTTTAGCAACTGAGAATCAGGGTCACCCACCATCAGGCAAATTGTGGTCGAAAAGAAGGATAGAACAAGCATTTGCTCCACCCAACATACTGGATTGGAAGTAGAGGGATTGATTAAATCTTTTGCAATGTTGTAACGAAATTGGTGTTATTTCTATTCTATTCTATTCTATTACACATGATGTCAATCACCATATGCTCATCGAACGAAATAAGCTCTCAATACCAACACCAAAACAAACAAAAAAAGGCACGATACATCAGATGAACTCCTATCCGTTGGCATTGTGTTTACTATTCGGGTGAACTCTCTTTTTTTTCCTTGAACTTGGCTTTAATTCCTAGTGAGTCATGCCAGCCACTTGCCACCCGCATCTCATGTCATTGAGAAGCATCACTGTCATGGCAATGCATCTTCCCATTGAAGACCATTGTCACATTTTTTTGCACTTGAAGTGATTTTGTATTATCTTGATCATGTTCGTTTAAAAAATATTAATAATGGGGAACATAGGGCAGTTGAGTGACATTGGGTGGCTGATCGTGCAGTGTATGGATGAAAGTCCGAATCCGTCCCCTTGAAAGAAAATAGAATTAAAGTCATGATCAAAGCTACGGATTGTTCTTCGCCTTTCTGGCGAGGCGTAAGGTAACATTTAAAGATTTGTTTATTTTTAGACGAGATTAACTCGCTGTCAAACAAGATAAAAAGTCAAACTCCACATTGTCGATTACCGGATTGGGAGAGGATCGATGGTTAAATTACAAAGGATCGTCTATCGTAATTGTCTGTGTTCATCGATCGTTCTTATTTGGCGACAGTTCCTTTCGCTGATGATGCTCCTAGAAATTTCGGCAATTTGCATAACTTTGTCTTTGTTGAGTGTAATGTTTAGTCTACTCTTTTGCATTCGCTTACTCCCCTTCGTAACTAACCCTGCTTTCTACATAGTAACCTCCTGTCATGTCCAAATCGGTGTTTATTTTTCTTACGGACGCCAATGAGGTACCAGCAAACCCCCACAAATCGCATCCTGCATCCTTCAGCGCATGGATACTTGCGTAGACAATGCATCTATATTTGGATACGTCAAAATTAGCTTCTTGGAAATTCCATTTTTGGATAGAAAGGGATCCTGGAGATCAAGTTCAAGCCTCAGTCAATGACATCCGATAAACTTGCATAGAGATTGCTTCATGAAGGTTTGGACCTCTCTGCGAGGACGGTATAGCAGGCGAAACCTTGTTTTCGTTCCGTTCCCTACACAGTTGCTGCATTAAACCTACAACAATGAAGTTACACTACGGTTGCTTTCAAGCATTCTCGTCCTCATTGGTTATCTGATTTTCTGTCTTTTCTCCCTTTTTCTCCATTCTGTCCATCCCTGTGCTTGCCAAAAAGATATAAGCACATATTCAAGATCCCATTCTAAGGTTTGATAGTTGTAGCTGAAAGCCTTGGTTACATCCTTAACGGTCGCATCTTACCATATCTGTAAACCCTGAATGTGATGTTATGCCCGTGTTCTTGATTCGTATCAAAACCCTTGATCAGGACTATTCATCTTAACCTGCTACTTCGCCACTAAGCGCTTCATGCGCGCTGTTATTGCTCGCTACATCATCCAATACTGTCGTTGTCGTGGAATTTGTCAGAGTATAGCAACCGTTCAACCCGACAAAACTTACCAACACGGCATCATTCTGAGTTCAGTCTTTAATACTGTACCACGCCATCGGATCAACACATTATTCTAACCCCCCAACTACATGACCGAACACTTATGTAAGAGTTAAGTAATAGATCTTTATTTTGGTAACTTTAATTAAGAATTCTTTATCATCAATTCTCCTTCAACGCATGGTCCATAGCCTACTGCTCCTTATTTTGCAGCTCCGGGTGCAGGATCATTGTATGAAAAGAAAATCGAACGTGTATTGTCCGGTTTCTCTCCCTGAAGCAGGTGGAGACACTTTCCGGACTCTTTAGGGACCACATTTCGGCTGCTGTTCCATACAGTACAATGAAATGTAGCAATGTGTGTTAACTCCATATGTAATGTTAAGATACAGAAAAAGAAAAATCAGTTGCCATACTTTATGAGCAATTGAACCTTTAAAGAAAAAACCGAAAGTAAAATTCGTTTATATAGATTATAAATGTTGATTGTAAAGCCGCCTCTGATTCTAACAGACAGACTATTCTCCTATGACAGTTTTATCAAACGCAAGAATCGCAAAGCTCAAGTCCCAATATTGCCCGAGATGGCCAAAATTTGCAATAAACCACTTACTTGCGGATTCTACAGCAGTAAATAGGCAGCCACCATTCAAAGAGTCACGGTACGTGGCTCGGTAGAATATCTGGCTTGTATGAACATGACCAGCAAGCCCTTTGAACATGCCGATACGACTGCAAAAACTAGTCATTCGAACAAATCCATAAACCGTTGGAGAACCTTTTATTTTCCTTTTATTTCTTAGAATAACGATGAAAACCAGAAAAAGTTGAAATGCAGATTTTTGGGTCACACAAGCTTAAGCGTCGTTCATGAATTTTACAAGTTACACAGTGGCGGATGTACAGCGCCACTTTGGTTGTTACACCTGTCGGGAGAAGGCACTGTTGCAAGCGCTGAAATTTTCCAATGCAGCAATAGAGTAAACAATGTCCCAAAACATAATTAGCACTTATACAGTGTAACGGCAGCATGAATATCACACGTGAATATCGATATTATGTACAACATTTTATTTCTTCAGAAAAAATATTCAAAAAAACTGCAGCAAGAGTGTGACAAACGTGGCCGCACTCCATAGCATAAGTGGATTGGAGAATAAAACTCCTTTACAAGCTAGAATAGATGAGGCTGCAGAACTCTCTGCATTACCACTGGACGCCTGAGAGTCTACGAGGATGTTGAAGAGGAATCAGAACCAGAACCAGATGGCGCTAAACGTTGCAAAGCTTATTTAACCACTTGATCTCCGAGACAAGTATTTAATTTACGTACCTGAATTCGAAAGCGACGATGCGGATGTACTCGAGCCAGTTGACGAAGCGCTGGATGAAGAGTCGCTAGACGAAGAACCACTGGTGTCAGTGCCCTTGGATGACGAACCGCTGGCACTGTCACCTGCAGGTCCGGAATAGTCACCGGGGACAAGATTGCTGCATCCTTTCTCTGATGCGCCAGCGTTACAATCGGATTTATCGTTCTATTGTAACCATGGAATGAGACAAAAAGGCAACAGTTTCCAATTCGTTTTTGAGAAAGCTTACACAGCAGCGAATACAGTAATCATTCTGAGCCGGCTCGATCAAACTGACAAAGTAATTGTAGCCTTCACAGGCAGCGCCATGAGGGGCTCGAGTATCGAATTGACCACCGTCATCGTTCGATTGAAGATTAGCTTTGGAAGGATCCATGAGACCAGTGACCTGAACATAGTTATCCGTTGCCTTGTAATGGGCCGACAGAATGAAACCGGTTGGAAGACCATTTCCGGTACAATAGGCCACAGCATCATCTTCATTGTCTGCAATAACCCGGTCTTTGGCATCATTAGCTGGCAAAAAGAGGCAAAAGTCGCTGTCACTCTTCACATGGACGGTGCTTGTTCCATTGCTTGATTTATCGGCACGACGGCTTATGACAGGATAAGCATTGGCTAAAGAAGCGACGGTGGCAACGGCCGTCAAAGCAAATCCCCATCGAAAGTACATGGCTGTCAAAAAGTGTAGTAAAATAATAAGCTGAGAGAAAATCAGAGATAACAGATAAATTCGCCTTTTAAGGATGAGGGATCGCCCTCTCTTTTTATTGTTTTTCCAATTCGCCAAAAAAAATAAAAAAAAATAAACTGTAACCGAAACATGCAGATTATTTTTCGCGCTAATGCTTTTTTGTCGATCGGAAAGTTAGGTTGCATTGAGCTATGATTGGCTTGGGACCCGTTTCTTGGCAATCGGACGTGAAAAATTAAAAGTAACCGGACGGTGCTCTTGAAGAAGATTGTTAATTGTTTTAATTGCAAGGTGATACCAATCGTTGTAACTGCAAATTCCTAAAGGCATTGAGAACAAAGGAGTATTATGTTGATTTGTGAGTGAAAAAGATGCAATGCGCGGAATGAAATTGCACGATTCGCCCGCATGTTTCGGCGGTCTGTGTTGTGCAGATGATCGTCTTGGCAATAACTTTATTTCTCCAAATCTGACACATTGTTATCGATTTTTGTTTTCTTTACCCCAAAATGGCACAATTCATAAATGTTGATCATAACATGCTACAAGCTTTAGATCGGCAAGACTGGATGACTCCAACGAATAACACCACTGCACTTTATCAATATTCCCCTTTCCCTTGAAATGATGGAAAAGATAGTGATTAGGGACTTTCTTTTTCTCTCTCCGCAATGATGCAAAATTTTATCATGGTAAGCAATAACGCATGGAAGATGTATTGTTCAATTGGTGCTATCCGTATTGACACTATGCTTAGAATGAAAAATACAATTTCAGTTGGCGACTTGCGATATTTTTAGTGTGGCGCATCGCCCCATAACACTATTCAATGACAGACAGACGAACAATCCGTAAAACATAGGCCAAGTCTTTAATTTTACTTTTAAATAAAATTGTCTGATTCTAACTTTAAGTACGCAGTTTCACATAAACAAAGCGCGACTATTAAAAGCTTAGTTGATATAAAAAAATGGCGGTGGTGAAGCTATATCTACCGTCATTATGTCACTTGGCTCGAACGCATCTCGGATAGCTTTTAGTTTGTAAAGGCACAGCGGGTGAGAAATTTGAAGCGCCGATCTCGCCATACATTGTAAGAAATAAGAATATGATCAACCGAGGGAAAAAGTCGCCGGCTGACTGGCTGAAATAGTGGAGAGCAAAGTATTATGGTTGTTCTTCACGAAGAAGAAAGTTTGTCATTTTCCTGAATTACAATAAGAATTTCCGGACGACCATGGATTGCATGTTCTTCACTACAAACAACATCGGCATTTGAGATATTCAATTATTTGGTTTTTTGTGACCTTTGCCACAATGTAAGAAAAAAGATTGACTCTCGCAAGTGGCACATCCACACTACAGCACAAATGAAATTTGCTGTAACCACATGTTGGTGGATGTCATGGCAAAATGGCTGCGCAGTGAAAAATGAAACGTATATCTCATTGATTTGGTTGACATGACTGACGAGTGAGAACCATCGCCGTTGTCAAAAATTCCATCTCGTATGCTCAATCTTCGCCTGAGCAAAATACGCTGCCCGTCCGGGAGCCGTAAACCATAGAAATCGAACATGTCTTATTGGCATGGATGGGCCCAACTGCCTGAAAAGGACATTGCTCCTTTGGATTTGAGCCAATAGTAGTTAAGATATAGATGGGTTTTGAGATCACGTTATCATGTTTTGATTGGATAAAACCCCCAATTTTTACCACCACTTTTTCTTTGGTGTCAAACGTGTTCTTCATCATGAGAAGGTTGCTTATCTTTTCGGGTTACTGTTTTGACCTTCTTTTTTTAAGTACTGTATTATACGAATTATCCTTGTCGTCCTTCTGGCAGAAATCGTAGCCATTGACACAACAGATACCGGGAGCTCGGAGCGATTTAAGGAAAATTCTAGTACTTGTGAGAAATTTTTCCAGACCATTCGAATTGATAACGATGGAATACATCAGAAACACTTCATAGAAGATAGAAGGAGTAGTGTGATATCTGTCATTTTTCTGTTCCAATTGGGGTTACAGATCACATGATATATGAATATGTCTCCATGGCTGTAACATCCAGGAGACCGACAAACATGTTTTGCTTTGGGATTGGGTGTTGTATCCCTTCGTTGACTGCTTAGATTGTCATGGAGAACTTTTTTTTGATCTATCTATCTATGGTCGATAAATGACACGATGCAGTATCCTCATTTTCATCATCAGCTCCACCGAAAAGGAAAGTAATTTTTTCTTTCTTTCACCCTTGATATAACTGTGAAGTGAAACAGATTTGCCGTCATTGAGAAACATCTATCAAATAAAAATAGCTAACACCTTGATGCATAAAAATTTTTTTAACCTTCACATCGATCTTCTTTTTCTTACTTGTTTTTTTTATTGTCGTTATTTATTATCTTTACTTCTCCACTTTTTCTTTGCTTCATTCAGTTTGTATGGCCAACCTGATCAACAAAATCATTGACAAAGCGAAGCACCCGATATCGGGGACGCATAAATCTGAACCACAGCATCAGCAGCAGCAGCAGCAGCAGCAGCAGCAGCAGCAGCCCGAATCGCGTCCCATGTCACCACCACCCAAGTTTCTCGAAGTAGCTATGGATGAGGATGACAAATTAGGTAAAAGAACAAGTCAAAGAAGAGGATCTATGATTGTATTCCTAATCGTATGTGCTTTTTGACTAGTGGGACCAATGGAGGAGATACGAAAACCGAAAACACAACATCAACATATTGCAGATCGATTACCTCATTCGCCTCCTCATTCACCCACGATTGAAAAAATGGGCGATTCTCCCGAAGCGTCCACTCATGCTCCGATCTTGCACACGGAGAATACAATGCCAGCAGGAGAAAAGAAAGAAAGTTCACACGAGAAGCCGAAACTCAGTGACTTTAAGCTTCTACGCACATTGGGCACTGGATCATTTGGACGTGTGCACTTGACCCAGTCGAAGCATAACAACCGATTCTATGCACTTAAAGTATTGAAGAAATCCGAAATCGTGCGCCTACGGCAGATTGAACACACTAACAGCGAACGTGAAGTACTTATTCACATTACACAACCGTTCATTGTGAATTTGTGGGACACCTTCCAGGATGACGCTAATTTGTATATGGTGATGGATTACGTCCCCGGGGGAGAATTATTCACATTATTACGAAAGAGCAAGGTAAACATGACAGAAAAAGGAAAATGATGACGAGAACACAAAAAAATTCAGTCCCAAATAACCCCACACGATCTAGCGATTTTCGGATGATTTGGCTCGCTTTTATGCAGGCGAAGTACTGCTGGCGTTGGCTTATTTGCACAGCAAAGACTTTGTCTATCGTGATCTAAAACCGGAAAACTTGTTGTTGGATGCCGACGGTCACATCAAAATCACTGATTTTGGTTTTGCAAAATACGTACCCGATATTACATGGACGTTATGTGGCACTCCCGACTATCTTGGTAAGCCGTAAAGATAACGGGAAAAAGGACTGTCGCTCTATGAATGCATGTCTAATACGTCGATCGTTCGTTTCATGGATGAACTCAGCTCCTGAAATCATCCAGTCCAAAGGCTACGGTAAAGCAGTAGACTACTGGTCGCTTGGCGTGCTCATCTACGAAATGCTGGCGGGGTTAGTATTTGATGAACAACAGCTGACATAATGGCCAATTTTTAGCTGACAACAGTGTCGTGTTAATCGCAGGTATCCGCCGTTCTACGATGAAAGTCAGTTCAAGTTGTACGAAAAGATCGTCATGTCTAAACCCAAGTTTCCTTCCTTTTTCAATCCTGCGGCTGTGGATCTGCTGCAGCATCTCTTGACCGCGGATTTGAGTAGCCGGTACGGCAATCTTCGACGAGGCTCACGTGATGTGTTTGAACACGAATGGTTTGCGCCGATCGATTTCGAACAGCTTGCCCAACGAAAAATCAAGCCACCTTATACACCCAAAATATCAGGCGATGGCGATGCAAGCAATTTTGAAAAGTACGATGAGCTCAAGAACCCTTATGGCATTGCTCAGGCCGATCCTTTTCGCAAATATTTTCCCAATTTTTAATACGTTTATGTCTCATTTGTTTCTTTTGTAATATATTTCAATTCGCATTGTATCACGTTTGGCTAGAACGACGATTTTTCATCATGATAAACCGTTTTTATTCATATCTCAGCAACCCTTATGATGACTCAGTAATCGAAATCGTTTTCATGGCGATAAATTGATTCTTTCATATCTTGGCGTTTAAGTTGAAGCACGATTATTATGGATAAACAACTCATACGCATTCAAGCAATTGTCGGTCAAATCTGGCGTCTTTTTTCAATGTTGTTTTATTTTTATAATTACAAAATGGATAGATCATATATTAATCTAGTGACCAAGAGCAGCAATGGAAGCATTGACATCCTTGATGGCATCAGCCTTGGATTCGACGGCCTTCTTCTGGATAGCAACAAGGGCAGCCTTGCGCTTGTAGTAAGCGGCCGACTTGGCCAAACGCTTCTCTTCGAGCTTGGCAACAACATCCTGGTACTTCCAGCCAACTTCGTGAGAGATACGGCCAAGGGTGGTGTACTTGCGACCGGGCTTGAGTCTCAAGACACGGAGAGCATCGGGAACAACCATGCGCTTGACACGATCATAGGGAGGAGGGCAGCCTTCGAACAACTTGATGCGGTCCAAAGCAGCAGCACCACGAGCAGTCTTGTGAGGGATCATACCGCGGATAGCCTTGTACAAGATGCGGGAAGGAGCGCGGAAATGGTAAGGACCCTTGTTAGGGTTGACAAGACAACGCTTGTGAAGGTAGGCGTGGTACTTCACTGAAAAAAAAAAGAAAAGAAGTGTTAACTGCGTCGCAGCCAAAAAAGTATTCCAATTTGATAGATCAAAACGGAAAAAAAAAGGTTCAATCACATACACTTGTTACGGAAGAATTCTCCAGACACATTCAAAGCCTCACAGCGAACAACAACGACCTTTTGGCCATTGAGAGCTTGCTTGGAAATAATGGAAGCCAAACGGCCGAGAAGATGACCCTTGCCATCAATGACAACCACCTAAAAATGTCGAACAAGAAAAAAAAAAATTTGTTGCACGTCGTCAGTTCCACAGCGAAAATAAGAAATACGGCATGGGGTATATGACAATGAGCCATTATGCTTGTCGGTGCGCTTATATGGCGATGGATGGAAGGTTAATGTACCTTTTCGAAAGTGCTCATGCTTGGAATGGACTGAAAGTAAAAGAAGGAAAAATTGGGAGACACGCCTCTGGTCTTTTTTCTCTGTTGTCCCCTCTGCCCGCTCACAAAGAAAAAAAAAATTTACTGCAGTTTGATTGGCGCATTTTATTCACTATTGTTTCGACCACCCTTTTTTTCAGTCAAAGCGACCCAAGACTGCGGGCAAATATAGCGATGCCAATAAAGTCATGACATTACCAGCGAAAGAGTAACTGTCTCCTTGGAAGCATTATGGACATGTATGAGCAGTTAGTTACATGGCGTTTCATATCCTTGGAAGGGGTGGCTTGGCGATTGGAGGAAATCTTACTGAATTTTCGGGGGAGTATCCAGTTTCGGCGTTTTTGGGGGGAGGAGGGGGGATTGGAAAATGAGCTGGAAGTAGCCCGCCAAGCGGAGGACAATACGTGCCAGTGATCAGGACCTAGGCAGATCCTTCTTTCACCTACGTGGCTCAACCTATCACCATGGTAAATATCGTTATATATCATAGATAGATGGATGCAGCAGCGTGAGGATGGATGGATGAGCGGTCAAAGGGATCGATGGGTGGATGGGATGAGCGAATTTGGTGTATCAAAAAAGGAATGATGACGGTTTTCCTACCAGTATTCGTACGAAGCTCATTATACGACTCTCAAGGAAATGCGCAAAAAAAAAGTTCATTATATATTAATTCTGGATGATGTGTGGGTTATAGAGTGCCGAGAAAAAGACCGCTGTCAACCCCATGCGTAGCCTTCACATTGAGAAGCTTGTGCTCAACATCTCTGTCGGTGAGTCTGGTGACAGACTTACTCGTGCTGCCAAGGTGCTCGAACAATTGACCGGTCAGACTCCTGTCTACTCCAAGGCTCGTTACACCGTCCGTACCTTTGGTATCCGTCGTAACGAAAAGATCGCCGTTCACGTTACCGTCCGTGGCGCCAAGGCCGAGGAAATCCTCGAACGTGGTTTGAAGGTCAAGGAATACGAATTGCGCGCTCGCAACTTCTCCGAGACCGGTAACTTTGGTTTCGGTATTGATGAACACATCGATTTGGGCATCAAGTACGATCCCTCCATCGGTATCTACGGTATGGACTACTACGTTGTCATGGGTCGTCCCGGTAACCGTGTTGCCCGCCGTAAGCACTGCAAGACCACCGTCGGTCCTCACCACCGTATCAAGAAGGAGGAATCCATGGAATGGTTCAAGTCTCGCGTAAGTTTTTCTTTTTTTTTTCTGCTTCATACAAACGGCTGGATGGAGCGTTTTTTTATATTAACCGTTTTTCTTTCTGGGTTCTATAGTTCGATGGCATCGTCCTCAACAAATAAATCCGCTTTGCTCGCTTGTCTGCATACAATAAAACAATGTCTTTATTCTCTTCCAAAATAGCCTTGATAGACTGTGACAATATCCAACGGACAAATAACGATGTGATATAAAAGGGACACCATGCATGAATTCCAACTGGCATAAAAAAAAAATGTGGTTTCCCTAGGATCAATGAACATCTTGATTTTTTTATTGGAATTCGTTCACTCAGTTGCAAAAGGACGAAAAAGAAAAACGAGGGGTGAAAGAAAATATAAAAAATAAAAAAGGCGTGCGAATGACAGTGTCTGGTTTACTGTCCAGGTGGTGGAGGAGGCGGTCTGTTGTACATTCCAGGAGGAGGAGTACCACGGCCAGCACCAGGGAAACCTTGCGGAGGCTATATCATCATGATGAGAATTCACTGTCCTTTCCCATTTGATGCTTTACATATGCATAAACGCTTTTGCAGCTTTATCACTTACCATGCCTGGACGGAAACCAGGTGGAGGAGGACCGCCAGGGCCACCCATTGGAGGTCTGAATCCCATGGGCGGAGCGCCAACAGGCGGTCTGAAGCCTGGTGGAGCACCAGGAGGAGGACGGAAACCAGGTGGAGGCTAGCAATTGTGGAAAGAAAAAGAAAAAAAATCAGCCATTCTGTCGATTTTCCCATCATATCTTCGTGGAACATAAATGCATACCATAGGAGGACGACCGTAAGCGACCGGAGGTGCGTGAATGCCAGGTCGCGGTGCCATCATCTAATGAGGAGAAAAAAAAGAAGAAAGTGAGCAAGCCATCATTTCATGGAGAGATTCCTATTCACGCGCAACTTACACCAGGAGCAGGACCGCCGACGCCACGCACAGGACCGGAAAGACCGACCATGGGTGCACCTGGCGGAGGAGCAGCAGGCAAGCCACGACCGGCGGGCTGTAAGAAGATAGAAAAAAACGAGATGATTAGTGAACACTGCTTTGGTTGGGTCCATTTTTTAAGAAACAACGATCGATTGCTTACTCTTCCCATGCCAGGTCCAGCCATCAAACCGGCTCCTCTTGATCTAGATTCGTCTACGGATGGTGGAGGAGGACCGTCGACGCTCATGCTGACGATCGTTTCACCTCTCAAAATAACGAGGCCTAATGTTCGTTTCTGTTCAAGGGGAGCGGTGCCTTCTGCTGTTTTTCCTTTCGGCTTGACTTTGCGAAACTCTTCACAATCCGCCAACACGAGGTTCATGTGTTTGTCGAATGCGAGCATTTGTCCAGTAAGCACGCGTGAATCCGACAACGTCACCCGAAGTCGGTAGTTGATGATGTTCGTCATTTTTGCATTTTTCGACTAATTACAAAAAGGAGAGAAAAAACAGTGTCAATTAGTCGTCATTTTCTTCGAATGGTGGCGTTCAACCAAGAATCATGTTGGCACGAAAAACAATGGCAAGTCGTGACACCGTAAAAAAATAGAATGACAAGTGGTAAAATGCAGCATGGCCATAACCTTGCAGTCATTCAGCGAAGTGACGTTACGTGTGTCTTTCCTAATCTCGCGCCCGACTGAAAAGAAAAAAACAAAAAGAAACCTCGCAACTTACCATGTTGGCTAATTATACACTGATCCCAACGATGGAATCTGAGGGTTTTATCGAGAATAAGATCGATGAAATACGGGAATTGGCACACAGTCGAGCAAAGAGAAAATACAAATTTGGTTGACGAACTTAACACTAAAGGATCACACCGAGCTTGACTCCAGTGGCTTATGATGACGTCACAGCCTCCGATTTTTTTCTGTTCGGGCCCTCGCTTTTTTTTTAAAGGGGTCATCAGAAAAAAAAGAATAAGTGATCTCCAAAGCTTCACTGCATTTCGACCGAACGATCCGCCATGCCTCGTGTGTTTGATTTGTGCGCTCGTATTCAAAATGGTTTCCGAGCACGATTAGCGACGATTGCCATTCCCGAGACCAAAATGAATCTCGCTATTGCCAACATTCTCTACAAGGAAGGTTTCTTATCATCGGTAACCAGGGGCAATCATTTGGGACCGGACGACAGCTACACACCTACCACATCCGAAAACGTCGCTACTCGTCGTCTCTGGTTGAATCTCAAATACAAAGATAACCATCCTGCATTGAACTCATTGGCCGTTGTCAGCAAACCTTCCAAGAAGGTGACCTTCACTGTGAGTGAAATGAAGAATATTGCCAGCGGACGTCGCTCCAAATTCATCAAGCCATTGCAACCCGGCGAAATTGCTATTGTTAATACCAATCGTGGTGTCTTGGAATTGCAAGAAGCACTTCAGAAGAATGTCGGTGGTGAAGTGTTGTGCCGCGCATCTTAGACCTAAAAACAAGGGTCAACTTTTTATAGAAACATAAAGAAAAAACCAAGAACAATGAGGGGTGCCATGCCATAGGTCTTATGCTCGTAGAAAAACTCTCTTTCCCCATCGAATTCTCTTCCCTCATTCCTGTGTGTTTTGCCTCTCAAAAAGGCCAAACATATTTCCAATTTGTAATCTACATATCATTGATAAATGCTTCCATTTTCTCATCACTTTTGGCTAGTTTTTGATTGATGATTGGTTTTTCTCGCGTGCTTGTATAAATTAGTCGGGACATCTGTAGAATCACTGTGTATCCAAGTGGGATATGTGACTTACCAGTGCGATAGATTCAAAACTTACCATTGGAAATAACCCGTTACTGTTTTGTCTGCTCATTGCACTTCACGGAATATCTGCATGGACGAGAAGAATATATAAACCCCTCTATTCAAATTGTACAAAGGAAGTGGGTATGCAGGCATCGGCAAAATATTGACAGTGTTATCCAGTGAGTGGTGCAAACAACCAGCGACTGCCCCGGCTCGCACACCCAGCTTCAATTGGAGCCCCGCATGCATGAAAATCCACTGATGCTCAAGGCTTTTCAACGATATCATGCGCTGTTTCCAAAAGTCTTTTTTGCACAAAAAAGTCTCGCATGTGTTTTCCGCAAAATATGGTGCTATAGTACACACGATATTTGGCAAATGCCTCGCTGTGAAAAGCATCTGTTGTAGTATGCCAAATTAGGCTTAATGGCAACACGGCACTTAGCGGAAAACGCTGACAGCGCGCCGCAAGCTGTATTCGAAATGCAGGACGCTATTGTATCGTTGTTGAACAGAAGCTCTGTCAAGAGTAACGTGACCCTGAGCACGTTTTTGGATATGGTTCATTTGCAAAAAGCAGTCCTTTCCATGAAGCGCGTATCAGTGTACACCAAGGGCATTTTCACCGTGGGAAACTTTTCTTGCCATGTTGGGCAACGACAACACATATAAAAGAACACGCAACCCCCCTTAATCCTTGTCAACTTTGTTGTTTCTTCCTCTTTTCTTTGTCTCTTCTTTATCCCCTTCAGCATGAACTTTCTCCGATCTGCTACCAGAGTCTCGCATGTCGCCGCTCGTTCCTCGGCCTCAATGCTGCTCCGTCAAGCCCCTAGACGGTATGTTAAAAGATACCAGTTATGAAACTGAAAGACAACCGCAGAAAGGCGGAAAAGCTCACAGAAACAATCATTTTTATAGCCATTATTCGATGAAGTACGCTACACCATTTGCCTCGGAGGCGCCTACATCGCTTCACGCCTTCACGGAAGAAGAACTCATGTTGAAAGAAACAGGTACGCAGTGTGGTATTGAGTGGAAAAAGGACATGGTTCTAAATGGTTGCTTCAAATAAATACAGTTGGTCGTTTTGCTCGTGATGTCGTTCAACCGAGAGTTCAGGCCATGGATGAAGCTGAAGTAATGGATAAGGATATCATTCAAGCTATGTTTGAGAACGGCGTAAGTGAACACCCCAGGCGGAGTCTTACACTATATTCATGTTTTCTGACCCTTTGGCTGAAATAATATTTCTTAGCTTATGGGATTGGAAACCGAAGCCGACTATGGAGGTGCTGAGTGCTCTTTCACTGCTGCTATTCTCGCTGTCGAAGGTAAGAAAGTCAAACAAGTCAAGCTTCCTAAAAAATGTTCACATTTTCATGTGATGATGACATACAGAACTCGCCAAAATTGATCCTTCCATCTCTGCTTTGTGCGATATTCATGTAAGTCCCTATTTTAACACGGTCACCTTTCCATCATCACTAACGTTGGCGCTTTTTCTTAGAACACATTGACCAACACCGTTATTCGAAAGTGGGCCAACAAGGACCTGAAGGAGAAATACCTCTCACGCTTAGCAACCGACACTGTGGGCAGTTTCGCCATCTCTGAAGCCGGCGCAGGTAGTGACGCGTTTGCCCTTCAGACGCGCGCCGAAGACAAGGGAGACCACTACTTGTTGAATGGCGGAAAGATGTGGATCAGTAACTCGGGCGAAGCGGAAATTTTTGTTATCTTTGCCAACGTGTAAGTCAAAGAAAATGGCTGATGACAGCTGCGAGTCGGGAGTCGGGTCCCGACAGACTTGGAAGCCACTCATCCTAAATGACCCTTTTTTGTCAATTAGTGATCCTTCCAAGGGATACAAGGGTATCACTGCCTTTATTGTCGAAAAGGAATGGGGTGTAGAAATTGCAAAGAAGGAGAAGAAGCTCGGTATTCGTTCCTCGTCCACTTGTGTGCTCAACTTTGATGATGTACGTGTCCCCAAGGAAAACGTGCTTGGTGAAGTGGGTCATGGTTACAAGTATGCCATTGACTCGTTGAACGAAGGACGTATTGGTATTGCCGCTCAAATGATTGGTGCCGCCCAGGGCGCTTATGATATTGCCCTTCCCTATATGATGGAACGTAAACAGTTCGGAGCTGCTATCGGCACTTTCCAAGCCATGCAACACCAATTTGCACAAGGTATTGTCTTGTCTCTTTGCCATTTTCAATGATGATGAATTATCTGCGCGGGAAACGACTGTTGATACTGATAAAGCATTTTCTTCCTGCTTTATGGATATTCAGTGGCCGTTGAAATTGAAGCCGCCAGATTGTTGACATACAATGCCGCGCGTTTGAAGGAAGAGAACAAGCCTTTCATTATGGAAGCTGCAATGGCCAAGTTTATGGCAGCCAAGGTAGCTGAAAAGGCCACTAGCTACGCTGTAGAATGGATGGGTGGCAATGGTTTTGTTCGTGAAACCGGTGTCGAAAAGTTCTACCGTGATGCAAAGATCGGTTCCATTTATGAAGGTAAGACTGAGAACACGCTAAAAACAATGCATACAAGCTCAGCTTTTCAATGTTGTAATATCGTTTGCCATCGTCTTCTTTTTTTTTTCTCTAGGTACCAACAACATGCAACTGCAAACCATTGCCAAGATCATCGGCGATAAATACAAATAAACTCAACGATGTCTGTTCTTCTTCCCATATGTATCCCTACCCCCCAAATCTCTTCGTGTCGTCAGCCTATGTACAGTGCCAATAAAAAACAAAAGATATAGTAACACAAATCCATGAGTTGACCAGTTCTTCTCCGGAATATGACAGCAAAAAAGACGACGAGGGTGAGAAAGTGGATCGGATTTTGAAATACGCAGGAAAACTCTCCCACGATGTTTTTACTGCACAAAGGGGGTTCGTCTACAGAATGAACAGACACTGTGCTTTCCTAATAAAAAGACTAAAAAAGGCTCATATTACTCTATAACTTTCAAATGACAGTGGGTGCCGAAAAACCAGTTGGCAAGATTTGAACCAACTGGACACAAGTGAAGAACAGGAAGGAAAATGAGACCAAAAATAATAAAGTTTGGCGTCAGTTAACCGTTTCACAGGATGATATACATGCTTACGCACTTTTTGGACATTTATCAATCCTGCTAGATGGTCGATGGAAACCTGCGCTGAACCATTGATCAATAAGTGAGCAGGTTTATAGTTTTATAACCAGCGCCTCATTGTTTTATATATAATGCCTCCAAAGGATGACCGGTAACAGCACGATATCGTTCGATTCTTTATCTACTTTTTTTGCAATGATCCAGCTTATTACCAGCGTTGATACTTTGATTGGCTATTCTTTGGCGTACGTCTTCCTTTCGAAGCAGCAGCATGGCTTGGGAAAACGCAATGAGCTCCGTCTTTTGTGCCGAAACAAAGAGGGCCTCGAACCCCTGGAGAAGATGGGCGGTAAAATCATCCAGGTCAACTGGCAGGACAAGAAGCAGATGCAAGATGCCTTCTCCGGTGTCAATTACGTAGTGTTTGTCCCTTCGAACACCAACCAATGCCATAACGACGGTGAAAATGTGGTCAAGATTAGCAAGGAACAAGGCGTCAAGTACATGACCATGATGTCAATGTGAGTTGCATTGATATTTTCGCGTTTCGACTGTAGCTTCTCAACTATGTCTTATTTCTAGCATTGGCATCGATCGCATCCAGCAAGAAAGCCGCCATTTCCAATACCTGAATGAAATTGCCGAACTTGAAAAGTGCGTACAGCAAACCTTTGACAAGGATCACCATTGTATTATGCGCACCGCGATGATGAGCCAGATTTTCTACTACCTTGCACCGATGGTTGAGAACAAGAACACGCTGTGTTTCCCTATTGAAGAGAGCCGAAAGTGGTGCACTGTGGACCTCCATGACCTTGCTGAAGCTGTCTATCAGCTTTCCGTGGAATGCCCCCAGTTGTCCGAAAACAAGGCCATGTTCCAGTTCACTTCCACCAAGACAATGACATGTGAAGAAATGGCCCAGACCATGTCGCGCGGTTTGGAACAAGGTCCCATCCGGTACAACAAAATCACGAGAGACGAACTTCGCCAATATCTTACCAAGATGCGTGACGATCGCCGATTCAAAGACAAGCCGAAAGGTGAAGAGGAACAGCGTCGTCCTGGTCCCGATACGAGCCACACCTTCCCCCTTGGCCGCTACTTGACCGAGTGTGCTATTGAGGTCCTACTGGAATACTTTGAAATGGTTAATCTGGGCAAACTCGATTTCGTCACCAAGGATCTTGAACAAGTTCTCAACCGTCAACCTCAAGATCTTCACGGATTTTTCAAGAACAACCGCAACCAATTCCGTCGTCTCAAGTAAAAGACGTCTATTTGTCGTGATAACGTTCATCCAATCATTTTATTTTTTTCCGTTTACGAATAAATAAAATGATGTTTGATGTCTGCTTCTCCTTTGTGGTGTTTACCTGGCAGAGATTTTCCAGTCAATAACTACACGCCATGTTCATCATCATTTGACGTGTCCACAAAAATTTGGGTTGGTCTAGTTGACATCAACTTATCCGCTAGACTCAATTTGAACAAAACGATCTGACAAATAAGTAATGATATAAAAACGAAGCTTAAATGGACCGCAATTCTAGTTTGAAATAGAAGGTGACACAATGTTTTATTTACGCGTCCCTGAATGGAGTCAGGAACATATAGGGCATACAATTTGAGTGTACGACAATAAATAGATACATACTATACAAAAAAATGTTATTAGCGGGTGTGATGTGGCAATATTTTGAATGAGCTTCATGAGTCAAATGGCAAGCATAAAGAATTTAGATAGTGGGTGTCGACACACTAAGGCGGATGATGCGTCGTTTCGGTACTTTTTTGTGTTTCAATTTACAGAGGGATGGGTTCTTGACAGTATGTGGTAAACTTCGACAGGCCGTGTGAGGAACGATCGATGTCAATGGCGACAAGGTACGCTGAGCCGAAGCCAACTGGGTCAGTTTGGCGACCATAGTATTCTGATGTGGGTGGAGATGGATGGGATCGTCCAGGGACAGGTAAAGGCATTGTTGCTGTTGAAGTGCACTGGTAATAGACGGAAGTTCAGGCGCTTCAGTGGCGTACCAAGGCGCATCAGCATCATCGGCGTAGATTTCGTAAGCGGCTAAAGATACGTTGGAACTTTGCGCGAAACTCTGTTCCGACAAGGTCTCATCAAATGAGCTGGCTGTATCATGACTGTGCAATCGCCGATGCATGCTGCCAATCGAAGCATAATTCTTGTATAACAAACAATCAAAACGATGGCCGGTCTTCATCATCATAAACGGGTAACGGTGAGTGTAATGGTAGTTCAGCGTAGACAAGTTAGCAGCTGTCACAGGGAAACGACTTCGAGTGGACAAGCAGTATTTGCTTCGTCGTTCTCGCACAGCATCATCCATGGCAGCCGGGTCAAAATAGCTTTCCACTGGAGGGTAGTCTACGGAACGACGGAAATAGGCCTTGTCGTTGAAAATAGGTTGCGCCGACATGCCGTCGTTCTCGTCCACGGGTATACCAAAAATAGAATCATCGTCAAGCATGTAAGGAGTCATGGGCGACGTGCTGGTACTGGATGAAGGGGTGATTGACTGGGAATAAACTGACAAGGGTGGCAAGTCGCCGGAGGCTACCGACAGAATATCAGATGCATCTTGATGACCATAGTCAGCATGAGACGAGAGGACGCTGAGACGGTGACTGGCGGTAGAATGGACATCAGAAAATGATCGTTTAGGGCAAGACTGTATACTGGCAATTCTTTGTTTTTCTTCTTCCTGATGAATGTGACGAAGGCTCAGGTTATGTATAATGACGGGCAATTGCTCCTGAAACAGATTGCGCAGTTGTTTCTCGATTTCGCACTGGAGAAACTCGCGTACGCTCGGGACATTGTCGAAAGTGGAGCTGATGTTAATACTTTCGAGAGGATCGTTTTTGAAGACCAGAGTGATACCCTTTGTTTTGGAAACAACCAAAACAACAATTCCGCGTAGTTTGAGATCGCTGATACGTAGGAGCATGGGTACGATTAAAGGATGGTCGGCGGCCAGGATACCAGGACGGGTATGCCGAAATCCGTCTTCCCGTTGTGTATGCATTGGATTAGCCTAAAAATTCCCTCGCCAAAAGTTAGTTTCAATTAAAATGACCCGGCCGATTTTTCGAAACGATTATTCTATTCCGTTTTTACGCTACCTGGACTTTGGTCTGTAACACAATGTAAGCATCGCCAGCATAGGTAAGCTTGAAAATACCCCGAAATTTATCGGTGGTCAACTCGCCGATTTCCAAGATCTCCAGTTCCGGTGGCTTCAAGGAAAGGAAGCGTAGCAAAAAGCAATGATCAGTCTATTGAGCGTGACGGGGATAAAATATGTCGAAAACCCGAACTCACCATGGTACCCATGTGCAGTTCTTTAACAGCGATCGTATCGACAATTTTTTTAGGCTTTTCGCCTTTGTTCAGTGCTGATTCCAATTGCGATTTCGCTTCATGATAGAATTCTTGGTCAAATTCGGGCCAATTGAATCGAAATGCCATGGTGTTGATGAAAATAGCAGGGATTTTCCTGGTATTTCTTGGTGGTATTGGTGAGCTACTGCTTGGAAGTCTCTGTTTTTTCCCTTTTTTCTTCCTAAAAACTCTTCTCTCTTTTCACTCTCAAAGCTGAAATGAGTAGAAGAAACGAAAGCAAAGGGTTTGTTGTAGATCGCTCAGAGGAATGGAATGGACGTCAAGGTAAAAAGCAAAAAAGTATAATAAGGAAAAAAACAAAAAACAGATTGAAGTGCTTCAGTTTCCAAATCTTTTTTTTTTTTTGCGGGGCAAAAAAGGGGGCCGTCTTTTTTTTTGAACATGCGCTAAGTCACAGTCACCGGCGGATTTCGGGTCGAATGTGTGTCAAAGGCGGGCGTTACTCGAATGATTTAAAGCAAACGGACCTCGTTCCGACGATACAAGAATCCTTTTGACTATTCATCAATCAACATTACTCATTAAAAAAGTGCATAGTTGATGATTCAATAATATGAAAAAATATCGTACGTTGAGATTACGGGGCTTTCATTCATCGCCCATTTCAGGAATGAAAGAATTTCCAAGAGAACAAATGTGGTCAGGTTCCGATCACCGGTGTTTGAGAGCCCGACTGAGTGCCTTACATTTCTGATAGGCATTCGCAATGAAACAAAAAAAATTCTCTTCATTTCTCAGCCAGTAGAAAATCAGCTTCCTTCCAACAATGGAAAACCATACACCCGAAGCCAAACCTTGGTAGAGACAAAAATCAGCACAAAAATAAACGTAGAACACGTCTGTGCAGCGTCTCCCCCGACCCCTGCTTTGTCTTGTCTCTATGGTCACTGCCAGTTTCAATCATGTTGCCCTAGCAAAAATTGATTCCATACTGTCTATTTTATACAGTTGTCAAACAATTGTAGGAGTTTCAGAATGCACTAATAAAAATGTGCACGTATTCTTCAAGAAACCATATTTAGAAATCTGTCTTTTCTAAACACAAGTGAAGAATGAATCCAAGCAATTAAACGCCAAAAAAAAAAAAAAAAATTTGTGGAGAAACACCCAATTAACAGCCTCAGGATACCAAGAAAAAAAAAAGGGAAGAAACAAGAAAAAATCCCAGCAAACAGATTTACGAGGAAACAGATTCATGCTTTGGAATTTTCTTCTCCGATGAGACAACAAAATCGTTCGCCGTCAATGCAAGAGCTTTGATCATTCTTCGACAAACCGCAAACCAAACCGCGACGCTGACGGAACCTGTACACCATACCCTTAATAAGTACACGGCTGTCCCGCGAATAACCCGTTTGTCATGCTTACCTCGAGGTGCAAAAGGCAAAGATAGTAAACGCTGGGCAGGACCAAACCAGCCTGGTGGTAAATAAAAAACCGCAGCCTTTCGATACCACATCACCATAATCACCTGTGAGCCATGCACAATAACCCACAACACCGATTTCACTTTGAGCTCAAAAGCCGTCTTTGAAAACGCGATCTCGGAATCTATAGTTTGTTGATCACGTCAATATACCGTGGCACTATTTTGTATCCTTTGCCATATAAAAGAAAAACACTTTGGACCACCTACTCAGCTTTTCCAGATCAGCGACACCTTTATCAAGCTTTCGACGCATTTTGGCCCATTTGGCAAACTCATCCTGTATAACACAATGAATATCCTGAAAAAGCCAACTATCCAGTCCCTTTGCATTAATAGTTTCACCTGCGAGCTGGTTTGTGATAATTCGCCCTTCATTCTAAGAAGTTCATACTTCAATTTGCGTTGCTTCGCGACTTTGGGATCCTTTGTTAATCGCACGTATAATCCATGAACCTACAACAGGCAATCGGGTTATTCAAAAACTTATATATATATCCTTTCGGACGCCAAGAAGGACTTACGGTGGATGTGACATATGAATAACCGAGAAATAGAATAAACTCGGTGATGAATACAAGTAAGAATATGGTAATAGGCAAATACATTGATCGCGACACGCATCACTAAGCAGCCCCCAAAAAAGATGGCAACCAAAAAGAAAAACGGAAATTCAATTTATGAAACTCCGAGACCTACGTCATCCTTTGAAGCTTTTTGCTTTTTTTTTTCATTCCATTTCCGGCCATTTGCTGCTGAATTCAAGGAATCTGAAACAGCAATTACGCATAAAACGTTTATCCGGGGATCTCATTCTTCCACGATCATACAAATCCACCAACATTGCTCAGGCAGCAAGGCTTACGATAAGCAGCCCTTCACTTTACTGTATGATCATTCACATTGTGACCCCAGTCGCCACCTCATTTTGAAGTCCGATTTCATCACTGATGGAGAAAAAAAAAACATTTAAAAGCCCAACGCGGGTAATTCAAATAGAACTTTGGTTGCTGTTGGTGCCTTTTGTATAAATGCTCGATTTCCGTCTATGATTGACAAATGAAGGTATGTCATTTATTTACTTTGTTAGTATAAATACCTTTTGCTGATACATTTGGTGTATACGTAAATCATAGGCTCTATGTCGCAATATTCTTAACACCCAAGGCTGAGCAACCCAACATGACGGAACATCGAGCGTAGAATATAACATAGAGCCGGAGAACGCCGCGCGTCAAACTATACACACAGTCGTTTGGCGATCCACAAACCTAAAAACCTAGTTTGAGCTGTGGGGTACCTGAGATGGAAGCTGGTCAGAAGTTGGATCTGCGAGTCCTCAAACGATCCTTCATTGAGTCGTCTCTTGTATATGGTGTGCTTTTTCCGGTGAAGAACATGCATCCGCTGGGCAGGAGTATTCCCATAAAATAAAAAACAACTTTAAAAAAAGTGATCCAACCTTTTGATGCTGCTGCCACGATACGCTATGTCTTATAATGTCTTCTTGGGAATATTCACCATCAAGCTTCATACCATGATTGAAAATGGTAAATTTGAAAAACATCACGTTATCTCTTGCCTTGTCCTATAGAGAGTGGGTGACTTAGGCTCAAGTTCGATGGAGGTATTCGTGCAACGAGTTTTTTAAGGGGTTTCTTGGATTTTATCTTATAGTGACATTAGAAGAATTATTCCATGACAACGTTCACCCTCGTAGATAACCCTCCAAATCCGGTTTCCTTGTCAAGATTGAACTTTGCTTGACCAGTTGTCAATTTTTGACCTGACCATTATAAACATAGCAATAATAGACACAGGTGTTCCCATCGTTTGTTCCTCGGGATAGTCGATGGCGTAATCGTGCGAGCCAGACTATCAACGAAAAGTAGTGTCATTTTTTAATTTTTTCTATTTGCTGTTAGATGTTAGATGTTTAGGAGTAGAGTGGGTATTTGAGAAAAACAAAGGCATCCTCTGACTATTGAATAGATGAAAAGCTCAAATCCTCATTGGGGAGGGGTAACTTGAGCTGTGCTGCCATAAAAAGGGTGAATCTATCTATCACCAATTCGGCTGATCCAAAATTTGTATTGAGATCGTGTAAATCCGATCACTAAAATGCGACAAATATCATACGATCATTTAGAGTCTAGACATCACCGCAATGATTTGATCTAGACTTTCCAACACGACGCGTACATGTGCAACAGTATGGAGATGGAGATGGAGATTGGATGAAAGCAACTACGGCTTATCTATACACTTATACTGCAAGGCTATACTGACACTTGAACGCACCGACAAATGATCAAGTATCGGGGGTCCCGGCTTCTTGTCGGCTGCTGTACTCTCTTGGCAGATCAAACTGGCAGAGCAACCGTAAAAGGTATGGAATTTACTGGTTATTGTTGGGGTGAATGACACAAGGATGATCCCTATTTTAGAAGCACCAAGATTTTTTTTCTTCCCGTTTTTGATTCCGGTTTTTTAGTATCGATTAATATTCGAGATCACAAAGGATAAAAGGATAATTTGAGTGCTTGTTCCGCGTTTTTCAAGGTAACGATGAAAGGGGTTGAACTGTAAGACTGAAGGCTACTGCCACTATCCTCTTGCAAGCGGTGCTTTTTGCGTTTGACGCATTGTGAGAAAAGCGAATGAAAAAAAACTCATTGTTGATGGATGAGAGGCTTTATGTTTTCTTTGAACACGATGTGAAGTACATAGGCACCCGGTGACAACTACCCAGACCCATTCTTGCAAAAAAAAAAAAAAAAAAATACAAAAATACAAAAATACAAAAATACAAAAAAAGAACCGTGTTTGCGAAGACATTCGCGATATCCTCAGGGATCATCAGTTCTCTTAGCCATTATGCCTGCTTACATAGGCGCTGATGGATCGTTATATATATTGATGGATTATAAAAAACGCTTTGTCTTGCAGTTATTCCCATTGAAAAAAAGGACAGACGATTGACAAGGGGAAGGAATTGCTTGTCATGCCGTTTGGATTACGACAAATAGGTTACCATGATGTATATCTGAGTGTTCTTTGTTCTGTGAGATCTGTTTGCAAATAATGCATTGGCACCACGATTTTTTTCGGATATGGTTATCAAAAAGAAGATAGGACGATATGATAACACGGTATACCCAGTAAATCATTATGCTATCTGGCATTTGTCCAGATTCACAAAAACTGATAACCCCGTCTTACTATACTGTGAGTGGGGTGGAGGCTTGGCAATCGACAGCATGTGTTGAGCTGGACCGAAACCAAATTTTCCATCTCCTGAAAGTGTTCAGTAGTACCGAGAGGGTAAAAAGAGTAAAAAAGTGAACCGGAAACGAGATTTATGCAGCAGTAACTTGGATCATCCCCGTTTTGAAGCACACGCTTAACCAATTTTTGCTGATGTGCTTAATTTGTAGGCCCAAACACAACATGAAACATCAGGGGGTCGATGCTGCCGAGATCGACCATGCAGTTCATTTATACAAATGATTCATGGTATCATTCCTTTCCGCCCCCCTCCCAAACAACTGTCTTCCGTTGCTATAATATACATATTTTCAGGGTTTATTTTACATGACGAGATACATGAAAGAAGAAATGGGATAAAAAAATATGAAAGAAGAAATAATCAAAAGAAATGAGAACAGAATACAATAAAACAAAAAGTGCAAGCAAGCAAAGAAGGGTAAAAAGAAATAGGAACAATAAAACAATAACAAAAATGAACAATGATAGAAACACTTAGGTAAACATGTATTGTGCTGTGGGTTCGTTCACAAAGGTGGGAATAGCCGTAGCCCAATACGAGTTAGGATCCAGATATTGCATAGCCGCTGCGGATGCCATGATAGGTTCGGGTTGATGGTGTTGCTGAGGGGCCACCATGATTTGCGGTTCCAAAAATCGTACGAGACGGCGCGTCTCTTCATGCTTACTGGTCAAAGCGATCAATTCTTCTTTGATGACATGTGAAACGCCTTTCAGCGTATGACGGAAATATCGTGATGCTTGCTTGCCTTCGGTGAAATCGCTGCACTGAATCCACACCGGCACATCCGTTTTTTCATCCCGCGATTCCATATAGTACAATGGAGGTTCGCTGATATCAAAGTGCACATCGGCCAAGACGTCCGATTCATTCGCTACGTATTCAATGCTCGCCACAGCGTCCAGCGCGATCTCCATTTTGAAATGGCAACCGTTATCTGCAATATGCCAAGCAAGCATGCGATCCAGAGGGCGGTAGACACACAGCAAATCGGTCGCTCGTAATTTCAGACGATGCCAAGTACCAATGGTTAAGGTAGTAGCATTAAAGAAGGTGTTTTCGGCCGCAGGTGCCATCACCGCTATCTCTTCAGGTTTCTCATTCGCTGCCTGCAATTTATGTTCTTCTTCGTCTTCGGACAGAACATGGGAGGGTGGAGTCATGATCAGACTGGATGGATCAATGGTGGACACTGGGTCACTTAGAGCACGTGCAGGTGGCATAGAGGTTGCCGTGGAAACAGTAACAGATTGAGCACGTTGCAAATTTGCATCTAAAAATACGGTCAGATTAATAAAAAAAATCAATACAGCCAAGAGACTGTAAAAAGAAACTTACTAGGTGATGGCCATACGGTAGTGGAGGGCATGCCTGTGGGAGGGGTGGGTGCGGGACTCTTGAGACCTTCGTGATAAACGGTTTGTGGTTGCGGTTGCTGCTGGGAAGCTAACATGGCGGTGGGACCTGCATCTGGAACGGGCACCAATGTGGATAAAATACTGGACGAGGAATCGGTTAATTGGCCAGTTGTGACGGTAATGGAGGGAGGCATGGAGGAGGGCGCTGTGTAGCTTAGACCATTGGATTGAAGCTCATTTAAGGGACTTGGGGAAGGTGACATTGGACCATTTAAGTAATCGTGGAATTCGACAAACGGGGCCACTTGAGCGAAATCCGGGTTATGGAGTGTCGGGTATGGGTGGGCAGGCATGCTTTGACGAGACATGGTAGGACTGGCTGGCCATTGAGGGGTAACGTGATAAGAGGGTGAAGCGGAAGAAGGCATGGGTGCCGGAGGAACAGAGGCAGCGTAGGAAACATGGGCTCTTTGATGAGGTGGATGCTGAATTGTATCCACACTGTGAGCGCGCGGTAATGGCATGCGAGCTACAGAATATGGGTGATAGTAGGGTTGTTGTTGTTGTTGTTGTTGAGGATGTTGATGAGAATAAGGTTGTAAAGGCATCAAAGGAGCTCCATAATGCTGCTGCATTCCGTATTGTTGTTGATGATAATGGTAAAGCTGCGCCCGTATAGAAGCTTGCTGCATCTGCATCTGTGCACGTTTTTGCATATGTTTGACTTTGGCTCTTCTATTCTGGAACCAGATTTGAATCGAACGCTCACTCATTTGGAGTCGTTCGGCCAATTGTTTGCGAAGTTTACTGTTGGGAGATACATTGACGGCAAAGGTATCTTCAAGGACGGCCAATTGCTCGGCCGTGGCTCGGGTTCGTTTCCTTACAGCTGCTGAGGTCGACTGAGGTTGAAGTTCGGGCTTTTCATCTTGCACAGCGGTGATCGTCAATGAAGCGGTTTCCTTATCGACGGTCATATTATAGAGAATTTCAAAGAGTATATGATGGAAAAAGGGGAAAACGATGGTCTTTGGGTTGACTTTATAGATCCGCTTTTTGGCTGGTATGAAATGATGAGGGATGCGGGGTTTTCAAGAGCGACAATAAAAAAAGAGAAGATGCAGGGGAGAGACGTGCACGAGCACCAGTGAAAGAAAAATAGGGAAAAAAAGGTACAATCAAAAGAAAAGAAAGGAAAAGAAAGAGAGAAAAGATGGAGACGAATAAACTGACCCGAAGATGCTAGATAAAAAACGAACGAGAGAAAAAAGGTTGCCTCACACCAAAGGGGATAAAAAAAACCTCAAAAAGTTGCAATCCTTTTTTAGCTCAGAAGGGGATCCAAGGCAACGAATAGAAAAGAAGCAGGAGTTTTTTTTTTTTTTTTTTAGTTGTCCGAAAGAACAGTCCGTTTCCGCTTTTCTAAACTGGGGACCTCTCGATCTTCCAATTTAAGCTTAGCTCACATTACACATAACGCTGTGTGCGTGGACACATACAACTAAACGCACACAAGCACGCAGACACACATAGAGAAGCAGGAATTTTTTTAAGCTTTTTTTGGGACAACTGAAAGAAGCTTGACTCATGATTTTCCTTAACCGCAATGCTTAAAGCCTATTTTTTTTCTTTGATTTCTCAATTGTTCATTTAAACTGAGAGATAATTTGAAGACGCGGGTGGCCTGATCCGTTTCGGGAGAAACCCAAGATCCGTGTTCCAGTGGATACATGTAGAAATGAGACAAGATAATGTAATTAAAATAAAAATCTTGCTACACACTTGCATGTAGGGGAAAGGTCGACGAGCGAAGAATAAAAAGGAGATCTGGGGGAGAGGAAGCGATCCATTGACCTGATGGAACCGAAAATTTCAAGGGCAGTGCGGAAAAGTGAAAGCTGCAAAATTCAAGGCAAGGGATTGTCAAGCAGAAATTGCCGGGACTCTTTACAAAAGGGAGTAATTGTGGAGGGTCACGTACAAAGTTCTTCACACGCGCATAAAGAATTCAGACACACAGACTTCCTACTTTTGGCATCTCTCCACGTTGACAGGTTCAAACTCAATTTCCCCTGGATGTTCCCTTGGCTCCTTTTACTATAACACGGCAGATGGTTTCTTTTTTTTTTTAACAACGTGATTTCCATCAAACTCAGAGCGTAAAAAAAAAAAGCCAACTATGACGCTGACCTCTCTCATCGCAGGCTAACCAGATCCTGGCTCATCTTATCCATTTCCCCATGCAGTTCTTTTAATACAATGAATGGTAGTTTCTCTCCTTTTTTTACGGTTTCTTTTTATCTCCTTGGATACGTGACAAGATCATCGGTTTCACTGAGTGTTGGTGTGGGTCTTGGCTTGACCAGCACCGGGCAATTGTAGATGGTCTTGTGTTTTATTTTGGTTTTCCGGCATGGAAATTACAAAGCAACTTGGCCAATGAGAGAGGATCACCAGCGTGATTTTCCCCTGAACGCAGTTTTAAGGTTCGTCTTTGTGCATTTGTCCTTCCGACCACTCAACGATAAGACAGAATGAGTAGCGATAACCTGCTATTCGACACCAAATACGCTCTAGTCAGTTTCTTATTTTAAAAGAGCTTGCAAGAACCCAAAAACAGTAATCTGAGCGGGTTTCGGAGGGGACCAGGAAAAAAACCAGGGTCAGTCGAACCGTAATGCTCCTCAACAACGCCACTCAAACATTCAAATTCCCTCATTTCAGTTGAATCGACCATTGACTTGCTTCCATTTTTTTTTTCTCTCTTTGTTCATGAAAAAAAATATTTTTTTATTTTGTTTGACCAACTTTATATTACACGTGCGCACATAATGTTTAGCGCCGTTTCCTCCATTTCCGTATCGCCGGTCAGCCTTATTTAGCCTTGCATCGGAGCAACCAGCTATTTCATTCAAGTTTCCTTTGGGCTACGGACGCAAGGGCACGTAAAATTTTTCGTGAATTTTTTTTTCCGGATGATTTTATTTCCCGCCTTTTTTTGACGCATCGGAGCACTGCAAACGAATGAGATGTCAAGAAAGAAGGGAAAAAAATCCCAGAATGGCTGTTTTGGCTCAAAAAGATTACGTGATGTTGTTTCCCACCCATAAATCACGATAAAACGTGGTTTCTATATAAGGAATCTTCCCCAGGACGCGGACATCGCGGTCGAACATAATGCCATTCTCAAAGAACCTGCAAGAACATTCCAAGTCTTATAAAATAACTCATCCAAAGAAGCATACGCGTGTATATCCAATCAGCTTCTGCGGAATCTTTCATTCGGATGTGAAAACCATAGTCGCAAACTGAGATTGATTCGGAACTGTAAACACGCCGGAATTGTAAAAGACGCAAGATATTTTCAAAGAATATAGAGATCAGCAAAGTTTATCTTCTACTTTCATGCTTTGGTTTCGCCGTTTCTTGCTGTTTTTAAGCAACTTTTACCGCGTCGTTGATACAAAGTTCTTGCACATGTGCTGATAATGTAGTGTTGCCAAATTTATTTTTCTTATTGGCAGTTTAATGAGTCACTTCATTTTTAAAGGTTATTGATGATCAAAGATAATCAAAAAATCTGATATCCCTTCTTTATTTTCTTTTCCAGCAAGAAGCGCTCCGACGGGTTCCGGGGCGCGCCAAAATGCGCTATTTTACCCATTTGACCAATGATTGCGGACGATACTAACACGGTACTTTTTATGTTTTTGACGGCTTTCATGAAATATTTCTTCGTATATGCCATAATATTTGGCAACACCCGATTCACAGGAGATCTTGCTGATTTGCAATTGTTCATGAGTTGGCTCTTTGCACGCAATATGATCCCGAGCCATTATAAAATGAATTTCCGCGTAATATGCGGGGAGGAAAAGCCGAAAAAAACGTACGATGCCGACGCAGTGATCCAGTAATTGGACTGTCCCGTTATTTTGCTTATCCTTACGAACGGATATCTCGAGCTTTCGTCATTGTACAAGAAGCTAAGCTTTCGACTGCCGTTGAAAACTCTTCTGCCCCATAAAGGTGAGTGGTTGAAATCCCAAAAATCGCGTATTGCATTCCTGCTTACAATATGTAATTTGGACAAATAAAAATTGGCAATGATATCGATAATCATTGACAAAATTTGTTGAATATACTGCCTCAAACAAGATTATTGGCGAAGGGTTGCATTTTATATTTCGTTGTCATGCCTGTCAAACAGCATGAAAACCAAGCACGCGGCTCTTTGAATGGCACGTGATCTGGCAAATTCCGACACAGTCAAAGAGGTGAAGAATCGCTTCAACTGTGAATCTCCATCGTTTACAGTACATCAACAGCAGATATCATGGAAACTTCTACCGCCGTGTCCACCAAAGGCCCTCAAGCCGCCGATGTAAGCTTGTCATTGCTTTAACATTCGAACTATCTTTTGCTCATCTGAGTCCATTCACAGGAGAAGACCAAATTCAACACAGAGGAAGCGTTGGCCATCATCAAGGAGGTACCTATTTCATGATTGGAAATTCATCCTTTTCAGCGAGCTCAATACTACTTGTAGACAGTAGAAGCCACTATTCAGGACGCCGAATATTCTCACAGCAAGGTACCTACCTGGAATTCCGCCATCATTGTCTCTTCCTTAAAAAAGCTAAAGGAGATGAATCAAAACTACAAGTATGTCGGTAAGTTATCCGACAATCAATGTCAAACAACCGCTGTATGCTAAAAAGATTTGGTTCCATTCATTTTTCGTCGATTTTATACACCAGTAACTTGCCTAATCATGCAAAAAAATGGAGCGGGATTTTATGCTGGAAGTTCGGTATATTGGGACAATCTTCATGATGGTAAGGATCCATTCTCAGCTACCACTCTATAGCTCGTTTTATTCAATCATCATCATAGGCAGTGCAAGTCATCGACACGAGACAAAATCCTTATATGCGATCGTCAATGTTTTTGGTTTGAGTGTATAAATAAAACACCCACAGTTAACTTTTATTTTTTTTCCCATCATCACTCCCGGAAGAAGCTCAAGGTCACAAAATGTATGATCTATTATTGAAACATATTCTTGTAAGCGCGAGTTTGGATCTATATAAATATAAAAGACTCGTGGATCATCCGATTGGGATGTTCTACACACAAAAGCTGGGCGAGATGTCATTCAAGGAGATCGATTTCATATCAAAGCCTACGGCTTCGAATCCTTTTTGAATCTCCTCAATCTTGGCAGGTGCACTGACAACCACCACATTGGATGTACCCGGGTTGAACATATGGACAAGGTATTTGTTCAAAACTCGCTGCAAATCATCCATGGTGACGTTCTGAACGGGGGAGATAATGCATCAGTATTATTTTAAGACTCAGAAAAGCTGTATTGCCCCCCGTTACGTACCTGAATAGCGCTCATGATGTCTCGGCTGTAAGAAGCCGGCATTTGCTTCAGCACTTGATTCACAAACGATAGTAATGCTGCTCTTTCCATCGTGTTTTCGCGATTTACCAGACTGTAAATCACTGCGCTTTTAGCTCCATCAACAGTGGATGGTTCGATTTGCATCTGCAACAACACAAAAAAAAAAAGTCAGTATGAATCTTGATGTACACTCTTCTATCCATAAGCATTACCTCATGGTTGACCAACTGGGTAATGACCAATCGAGCCTGCTCAAATGCTTTAAAGGCATTAGGCGATTTAAAAATAGTATAACTGATCAAGCCAGCCTCAATATCCGCATTCAAGAAGCAAGAATACGCTAATCCTTGTCCGCGAATCAATTTCCAGAAAATACCCTCCATAGTATCAAGGAGTTCAATCAACACCAGCAATGGTGCAATATCGGGATCATCGAATCGTGAAGGTCCTACATGTCTCTGTTAGATATCTGGAAACCGTCATAGTCTTCCGCTTAATTTTTTACCCTTCACCGTATGCAAAGAATACGAGTTTTCGATGGAGGGCAAACCGACAATTGCCGCCTAAAGAAAGAAGATGACAGTGTTCAGAAGGTATTGATCAGACCAAGATAATGATTTTGCACTTACCACTTTTCCTGGTGTCTTACCAGCAGGATTAAGCACTTCCTGTGAGAGAACAATGGGAGCTAAATCTGTCAACTCCTATTTTCCAACGAAATGTGAGTAATTTCGGCTCCTGTAGACGGAATGCAGCAAGACTCCACGACATGCATAATCAAAAGAAAACCAAACAACGTACAGTAGCAGGAGAGAAGTTCTTGAACACTGTTCGAGGGTTTTCCAGATTCATGATATCCCCTGAAACATGGAGTCTCATGTTTTCTGGTCGGCATACTGAAGATTTTTCGTTAGCTATCCTGAATGCTGCACAATAGATCAGAGCTTTTTTCTTACATGCATCCCGGAACGCATTCAAGTCGGCCAAGACGGAGGATGGATCGTTTTCCAGTTGACGAAGCACTTCCTGCAAGAAATCGGTTTGGAAGAGAATATTGCGGGCAGCACTCACAGATTTGCTGGCATCGAACTGGAAGGCACGCATCGAAGCTGTAGCCATCTAATAGTGATAGCGGGTAAGAATCATCACCTTGCTTGACAAAAAACGTAAAACTGAATACGTACACCGTGTCCATCTCTCTTCGCTTGTGGAATGTCATTCAGAATGAGATTTGCCAAAACCTTTAATCTATGGGAAAGGAACTGTCAGCCTGTCTCGCTGTCAATAGGATGATTTTGACCACATACCTTTCTACTGTGAATTGTGTGTGCCACAGAATATCCTCCAACCATTGAACAGCACGATGGTATTTCGAAGCCTAGATGGTGTAATTAATATACAGCACAACCAGCAGAATACGCAAGGTACACAAACCTTTGCTTTCAAACTAAAGACGACGATTTCCCGGAAACCACCCGATGTGCCCAAGGTGGCATCATATTCAATGATGTCTTCACTCAAACCTTTGACTACATCCTCATACGTCAAAAGTGTATCGCCTTTTTGTACGGGAAGCGAGAAAATGGCCTTTAGGAACAGCCGCGTATATGGGAGCAAATGAGAAGGCATTCCAGCGGCGCTAATATGAGCGGATACGTTGACAAACCGCGAGCGAATATCTGAAAGAAACAAACATTCATGATTAATTCTTTTTTTCAATCTTCCACGAGCATCAGGTACCAGAAATCAAACACTCACGATCAAACTGAATGAACAAAGGCACATCGGCGCTATCATCTCGATTGATACGTTCCTGCACAGCGTTCTTGCTGTTTCAAAACAATCAATTAAGTAATTTTTTTAAAATAAAAGTTTTCAAAACCAGGCAAAGCACTTACAAGTTACCAAGGTCGTTATTTCTGGCGGTCTGTACATTAATAAAGTTGATCGTGGATACGGATGGGATCTCAAAATTCTCGATAACCTCGTTTGGCAGCGGCATATCGTTTGCAGTTTTCGCATCGTCCAGCTTCTTCTGTAGTTCCGCCAAACGTTGCTCACCCAAATCTGAGCGTTGCTTTTCGACGCGCTGACGTTCTTCTTCTGCAAGATCTTCGGCAAACTGGGCTGAAGGTTTGCCAAAGAGCGTGATGTGAGGGGCATCCACATACCATCTATTTATCATATGAGCGATATGGGTCTATATATTTTTGGGCTATACTGACCTCTTCATCAAATTAAGCCAGTCTGCTTTGGTGAATTTCGTCAACTGCTCCAGATACTGTTGAATTTTGACCGATTTTTTCAGATCCGATCCATCGATCGCGCCATAAAGAAAATCTGTGATATTGACAGTATTTCAATAAATCATGCTCAAGATAATGAGTAGCACAATATACGAAGACGTACCTGAAATACTGAGATCCGCCGCGGTCTCATGTGCTTCAGTTTCGGCACTGTCCAGCAACTATAGCACCCCGATTCATGTTATTCTGTGTTGTCCCTTAATTGAGATTGCTGTACCACACAACCTACCTTCAGCATCTCCTTTTCAAGAACGACCTCCATACGTTTCATATCAATATCGTTGTTGTCGATGAGACGTTGCAGCGTAGCGAAGAACAAAGAAGGCACCTTCTCCATCTCTTCAATGGGCACGCTCGTGCATGTGAACATCAATGTTGACTTTAAATGATCCGTAATATGGAAGTCCACCTCTAACAAATTCATCTCCACTCAGAATACTTTCGAACAATTTAACTTTTTTTTTCAATTTTTCACTACAAACCTGTGCAGAGCGGTTCCTCGATTTCAACAAACTCTTTCTGCAAAACCGACACAGCCGAATCGGTGAGATACTCATTAAGCACGTCCAATGCTCTCGCTTGCAAATAGTCCTAGTTATTCATTGGGTTAAAAATCCGAGTAATTATAAATATTCATTCCATGAAAGCTTACATTGCACATGGGACCATTCCATGCAATAAGAATGGTGCCCATGGATTCATCTTCATCTGGGAAAAGCACCGTTTCCGTGATGTTGTCTGTAAGATTTGGGAAGTTTCCTGTGCTGATCCAAGGTCGTTGCATTGGAGGAAGGGTTCCTTTGCTGATAATATTCTCTTCAATGGGAGCCAAGGCAGCCAAAAGCTTATGCTCAGAAACTTTTCCAGTGATTACCAAGCATAAATTATCTGGACGATAATAAGACTGGTGGTAGGAACGAACTAACAGAATACCAAATCAAAATGATGATCGTTCAAGCTATTTCCGACTGTATACTCTTACTCTTGTCCACTGATAACTCTCGAAGCCGTTCCATAAGACCTCCCGTTTCGGAACGATAACCACAGTTTTCGGGATACATCAATCTCTTCATACGAAGGTGAATGCGATCATCACCTGAATTTTGACAACCCTACTACAGCGTTTAGTCTGTGATATTCGACAAAACAACTGCTTGCTGTTGTGGTTACCTGCATTTCGCTATAGACAACCTAGACGTAAAGCATGGATCAATAAGTCAGTTCATGAGGTTTTTACATCTATAAACCCTATCATCGAGCTCTTACCCCTACAAAACCACGTCAGAAGCGATTAGTTTTGAGTTATTCAAAAGGAAAAAACACTGTATATGTGTATTTTACCTGCGTCTTCGCCCTTGCCATTGATGTGATGCACTTCGGTATAATAACCGCTGTCAGTTAATGTAGGATACAAAATATGGTCCACATAAATTGGCAGCAACTGAAGAAAACCCTGGCTACCAGCGGTGGTAATAGCTTAAACCGTAGCTTATTAGCAAAAAGCATACTTGATCGATCCACGAATACGCGGTGCTTACTGTAGCAAGTATGATCCACATCTGTCCAAGCGTTCGTGCCTTGTGCAATAGCTCGATTGGCAAGTGTATCCAGCACTCCCTACATTAGGTAGGTTACATGAAAAAACTATAAAAATAGTTGCGCCATTCTGATGATTGCTATGGCTGATCTGATTTACCTTGTACGGGAACTGTTCGCTTCCGAGAAAAACCAAACTGAATAACGTATTGTCAGAATAAAGAACGTATAGCAAAAATTGTATCCAAAGTATGAAGCGTCATTCTTACTGTTCCAAAGTGTGTGGACAACCAAAATCATCGCAAGCTGGGAAAAAAAAAGATGGTGTAGATCATCGTAATTGTAAGCAAGACTTACGCCGATTATTTAACATGCAGATCCATAGACTCACCTTCGGTTGCAAGTGTAAAGAAACCGTTTACCAAAGGGGCTAATCGAAGGTCAATTGCATTTAATCACTGTGGACCAGCAAGTGGGAATCGCGCAAGCGTGCTTTTCTTAGTACCTTCGATATCAGCAAGAACCACAGTAAGTCCTGTCTTTCTGCTTTTGTACTTTATAAAAGTAATGTCATAATCCGTCGGAATACTACAGATTTTTTCGAATGTTGAATTTTGTTCGCTGAAATGCATTGATCGAGAAAAGCACTATCGCGTTTCTTGCCTGTCATTGCTGATTCTGTAACATTTTCAGCTTCTCCGCTTCCGCGAGCTAATGTGACCGTTGTTTAACGGTAGGCGGGACCGATCCCGATATATTGGAGTTTCAGGAGATGATCAAGAAGGAATTCAAAAGTTTGAGTTTACCTTGTGACCCAAACAATGTACGTTTTATCATCAAATGTAACGATGACATCGAAACAAAAATAACAGCAGCATTGTTTAGCACTGCCGAATTGCTTCATGATAAATTGAACATCCGCCTCTCACTTTGGTGTCTGCAGTAGAATGTTAATTACGAGAGGATACAGAGCTGTATATTTTTACTAGGTTGCGTACAAAGCTGTGCATTATCCTTTTTCACCGAGCCAAAAGGGTAAATAATTCACCGCTGGCAAAAGCGAACTTGTCAGAAGAAACGTTCAACTTGGAATTTATGGTGAGGTTGTCAGCCGTAGTCAACGCATACACACATATATGCACTGTGGCTGAAGCTGTATCTTACCAACTATGTTTCATCAACAGGTCCATGACAGATTGTCCATGACTGAGATTATGATCTCGCATAAAGTTTCCGCTGAAAATGAGTATGTATGCATCGCATGAAATCGGGAAAAGACCGAACCTCTATTGCGCACGCGTATTTAAGAAGTAATTTTTGCCTTCCTTTTTTTTTTTTTAGCTCGGTATTAATTCATTCAGTCTGGAAAAATAATTGTCGAAAGAGAAAGGCGAGAAGCTTGAGTGTATTTCACAAAACATCAAGTAAAGAAACCGCCTAGCCGCGCTTTCTATTCTGACTCGAACCATTATTACTTTCTATTCTGACTCGAACCATTATTACTGCGCATCTGAAAACAACTTTTGCCTCTTGTTTGCAAAGAAAAAGTTGAGAGAATGAAGAGATTGACTTCATCTATAGTTGGTGCACATTAGAGATTCTCTTACCCCGTTATCTTTGCGCCGTATGACATATAATCAAACCGAGTCACGCGATAACCTTCAAAAATAAAAGGATACATGCATAAACACAACTTGTAAGCAGAATAAGGACAGGCGTACGCGCATATTGAATGAGTTCTATCGTAATAAAACCTGATAGTATGCAATTTGATCCAAAACGAGCATGGTATCAGCAACAGTATCATACACAGAGATCTTTTTGATTATACCACTCACTCCTCCTTGAACAATAAAAACTTATCCTTTACTTCTTTCTACAACAGACGCCTTTTTCGGTTGAACCTAGTTTCTATCAATGCGTCCTCAACTGCCTCTAATAAATGAAAATCCTCATTTCATAATTCAGTTCCCTTGCCTTTATTTCTAAATGTTGTTTTTCTTTCGAAGTATTCTCTCCTCGATTCAGGGCGAGCAATAGCCTGCAATGGGCGAGTACTCAAACTTTTTAATAAAAGAAACCTTTAACTCATAATCCTCAGCTTCTAAGAGCAGAACACAGGTGAACATTTGACAATGAATGAATGTCGGACCTGTTAGCGGTCCTCTAAACGTTTTGTCTTAATGACTCACGGTTCGTAAATATCAACAACAAAGCTCAGTATGAGTAATAGTCGATATATCATGAATAGATAGCATTGTCATAATAGAATATAAAAAGAAACCCCAAAATATTGAATAAACATCATCATTCGTTTTATTGTCAATCCTCGTCTATTTACTTTGGTGATCGTGCAGTTTATCAGATCCAGTAAATACGACATGAAACCAAAAATAAAGAAAAACCGAAAAATATAAAACAAAAAGTTGACTTGCGCCGGATTCGAACCGGCGACCGCCTGTGTGTGAGACAGGCGTGATAACCGACTACACCAGCAAGTCATTTTTGATGTGAAAACCAAAGTTTTATAAGCCTCGGCCGACTGGCCTTTTTCGGATTTCCCTTGTTCTGGTTAATTTCTGTGGTTTACTGAATTCGTTGGTCTTTTCCCTTTCTTTTGGTGTTTCTCCCGTGGTGCTATGATGTTTGGGCGATGAAATATCGATCGATTTGTCGGTTCCTTCTTTTTCAGAAGCGGAGTGTGAAGTGGAAATCCCGTTCGATTTTTTGTGAAGTTCGTTTAACGATCTGAAATTATCTTATGATCATTACGCGTTCTGACAATGAATCAAACCATGATTATTTCTATTGTTCTTACATATTATGTAATCTCTGAGCTAGGAAACTATAGTACGGTTAAATATTTAAATATCTTTTAAGAAATTTCTCTATCAGTATCCTCAGATTTTATCCTTGATCTCTTTTTCTTTGAATACATCGTTTCGAAGATACACTTTGGATTAGCGCCTACATTTTTGGAAGTCTCTTTGGAATAGTCTGATAGTTTTTACAGTCGGTTATACTCTATTCACGATTTATAGTAACAAGAAGTTAGTATTCGGAGGAAGAACCATGGAAGTTCTGAAGCTAATCTTCTCCGTTCTAAATATTCTTTCTTTGGGCTACACTTGCATCAGTTTAGTCACCACTCTCCCACCACACTTACATATTGAAAATCAAAAATGTTATTACAAATAGTTAAAATATTAGGTCCACCAATCAGATCGCTCTATTCTGAAATCACGTGGGAAGCGTACCCTGAATTGAATGGCGGCATATTTTTATTTCGTCGTCTTTTTTTTGGGGCCCCCTTCATCGCTTATTTTTTGTTGATGCTGGTTGATTTCTCGGATCCATTACTGGACCCACACCATATAATCTTTTGCTGTGAGGTGCTATAGAACTGCTTGGATTTGAATGACAAGTTGCATTTTGTTTTTTATTATGTTAAGAGGGCAGCGCTGCTAATGCATAAACTCTGAATAAAAGTACAAAAGATTTGTCAATTGAGAAATGCATGGATACCATCGCTCGTAATTCGGCTCGTCGCGTCAACCACCTACTTAGCTTCCTAATCTATGTCCTCGACCCCAAGAATGGCCACCAAAGACATTAGTAGGCGCCTGTTGCTGTCGTTGCTGCTGTGGTCGTCCCATCATATAAACGCCACCAGTTGAAGCATTGCCGTTTACACCTCTTGCTGGAAATAGGCGTTGTAGAAAGGAAGGTGTAGTGAGATAACCTCGACCGCCTCGACCCGGGTGAATCGTCGTTAAGTAATAATATATATGAGCAGCTGCGATACCTGCCAATGAGGCATACGGTAAACCTCTTCCTCCTCGAGCCAAAAAGTCGTATGCGAGCAGGACCCAAGGCAAGTAAAGTCCCTAACAGATTCGCCAGATTGTGTTAGCATGGACGATTAAAATGATCCCGGGAAGCACCTACTTTAAAACGGAAACCAAACATAGCGGTAACCAATGTTTCTTTGTTGTGCTGTGACCAGAGATAAGCCATGGACATTAACAATCCATCCGTCAACAAGTACAGGTCGAAGAGACGAGCTGCAGCCTAGAAAGCACTGTTTTCAGTTTCATGGGATCGAAGATAAAATAAACGCTTGTTTCCTACCAGCTGCAATCCGCTTGTAATCAAGTAAAAGTACACATAATCGGCTGTTCTGCCCATGAATACTTCCGTTTCAAGCTGGGCTGAATATCGGTAAAGAAAAAATAGATTCATCGCGTATCCGAGATCAACGCCACTGTAGAAAAAGCAAGTGACCAAACGCCAAAGCTGGAGAACATCACTGTAAATAGGCGTAAGAGTAGGGATTTCAAAGCTTTGCTTACCTGTAACTTTCTGCTGACATTTGGCCAAAGGAACATGAGCTGATATGGAGGCACAAGACCCACGGCGGCCGAGACGGAGGTGGTCACCGACAAAGTCAAGAGGGTTCTAGTGACAGGTGGAATGGAGCGATACCATTCAAGGATTTCGTTACCAGATGATGGCTGTTGCGGCGGCATACGCTTTTTACAGAGATGTTGGCGTAAGATGACAAGAGCGAGTCATCTTCTGGAAAATTCAATCAAGTTTTGCATGAGTGTGACTTTCAAAAAAATAGTCAAGATGCATTTGTGTGCTGTGACCAAATGATATCTCCTTGTATCATTGATACAATGAAATTATCACTGTATTTCGTTTTTAAAGCGACATGATCGTAGATATTCACAAAAAAAAAGCTGTACTGGATATTTTTTGAAGCTATTGTGGACATGAAATAAAAAGCTGTTTAAAAAGGTGATAAACCTAAGCAAATCTCAACAGCCATTTGTATATATAATATAGTGTATTGGAGGATTGCTTTAATGCTGTTAGGTAGAGCAAGCATTAGTGACTTGAAGATGAAATATCACAACAAACAAATACCTTCATGTACTCGGAGGGTCGTCGTGCCTTGATGTTTGAAAAATGCATCGGACTGCCGGAACGAATACTGCTAGGTGAGGAAGGTCGACTGGTCATGACTGTATCAGTTTGACCGTAATTGGAGGCAGGAATAGATGAACTGTAGGAAGGAGGCGGATTCAAAAGAGGGGTTACCAAAGATCGACATGATTGAAGACGCGCCTCCAAACTCTATCGAGCAAGATGAGTATGGTTATCAGATCGGAAGCACGTGAACGGGAAAAGATAGCGATATATTACCCTAACTCTTCCGACCATTTCCTGCACCATTTTCACGGGGTTGGAGCTTGCTACAGAGAGTGCAACAGGCGTGTCTCCGACATTGCCTGCTCTGGGTATACGTGGTCTTGAGCTCATGCGTCCGTAGGGTTCAAAATAGAGCGAACCAGCATCGGGTGTGGATGAACGTGACATGCGTTGTTGCTGTTCCATGTCACGGCATTTTTTCTCCGATGCTTCCAATTTGGCTTCCATTTCCTGGATCGCTTCCGATTGCTTCAACGATTTATGCCGTAATACCGACAATTCCTGATTCACCTCTATTAAGGTTGTAGCATTCAATCTTTTTTTTTTCTTTTTGTGAACATAGTAAAGATAAATTACCATTAAGTTCATCTTTCAATCGTTGCGTTTGTTCTGTTAAACTGTCCTTGGTCGCAATTTCGTTCTCTTCATTGGCTCATTGTTAAAAGCTCCAGCTTGCAAGAAGAATGAATATACGCGGATCCCCTTACCGAGAATGACATTTCGTTCAATGGCTTTGTTGAGCTTGACCTCCAAATCACTCAAGGACGAAGCAGCCGCTCTATACAGCATGCGATATTGAATAAACTGATGTAAATCCAAGCGCATCGTTTTAATTTACCTCTCTGTCCGTTCAAGATCATCGTTGTCTAGTTCTAGCTCCAAAATTTTCTTCCGAAACATTTCTTCTGTCGCCCGAAGAATATCGATCTCACGTTGCATCTGCATTTGGGACATATTCTGCTCGTGCTTTGCTTGGGTATATTTTGCCTACAAAACCATATCCATCAAGATACTTGTGCGTGAGATGTATTGCATGTCAAAAAGACAGACAGAAAATCACCTTCCAATCTTCAGCATCTCGTCGTGATTGTTCGCAACGTGCTTTCAGATCCTTGTACGCCTTTTCAGTGGTTTGCAATTCCTTCTCCAGTTCTTCTTCCAATTCACGGGAGGATATTTGAAATTCATCGAGTGCGGCTCTTGTTTCTTGTAATGTGCTCTCGAGATTTTCCGCATGCATGCGATAATACTCCAGTTCGTCTTGTACAGAGTCGAATTGCCTGAATAGCATAAATATAAGAAATAAACCTCGTCAGTACAGCCAGTAGCAGAAGAATATGAGAGAATAAAAAAGTACATCATGCGTGATCCCAGGGAGCTCATGTCAACCGCCATCGTTCTTGCGCTCGTTTCTTTCTTTACGGTAAAGAAGAAAAAAACTTGACGCACGAATGTAAGTGACGTCTGCGTTTGTTTTTAAACCTTTTTTTTATTTCCCAAAATAGGCATATACGATCTTGTTTTATTTAACTTTCGAGTGATTTTCTTTCAGTCTACGATGTCTTGCTTCTGCAAGAACACCACTTAAATTTTGTTGTTGATACAAACAGACCAATGCCTTCAGATGGGCCATCAAAAGATAGTAACAAGGGGCTATGTGTGTAACAGTGCATTTGGATGGGTCAGTTCACACGGCAAAGGATCGTTTCTCCCGTTCTTTCGCTTACCAAGCACCGATCCAGACTAAAGCAAAAATAATGCATAGACGCATGTCACACGGAAAACGGTGTGTTTGTGTTTTGGAGATATTCTTTATCTTTATTCGGAATGGTGTGCACGGTTTCCCTGAGATAAGCACATGTAACGCACTACGAAACCGAGGACCTGGCTAGAGCGTCTGTCCACAACTGTTGGAGATGTTGAAGCATAATACGTACTCCAGACTGATTGTAACGTTGCGAGCCACAATCTTACGATGAGGTTTGGGAATAGAGGACACAAACATGGCAGCAAACATTCATTGTCCAAGCCTTTGATTTAGTTGCATCTAATGAGAGATATGCATAAAATAAATGTTTACAATAGTATGAGACTGACAGCAATTGAAAATGGATCATGAGGTTACGCTGGTGAAAATCGATGTTATTATGGCCTGTTACTCTGGTTTTAGCATGTCAATAGCTAGCGCTAAACAACCTGATTAGAGTTTTGACTCATTCGTGGTACAAAAGTGCCATGCCACTTTTTTTTTGAAAATATCAATAAAGCTTACATCAAATAAGGATCAACCATCCCTTTACGAGAATGCATGAAAGACAAAATGCAGGAAAAGAAAACTTGATTTATGGATCAACGACACCCGATCGCGTGCTCGGCATTTTACTAGCTATTTTGCGAATGTATCAAAATGCCCAAAGTACAGTTCCACCCAAGCTATACAAACCATGAACTTGTTAGAAAGGCGCGATCTAGCCATTCCTTTGAGAGATTGTGCTGTTCTTAAATGACGTAAAAATGATAGGTAGGAATAGCGAAACACAGGTGCACAATCAAGGTCAATATGTCTAGATTTTTGGCAAAGTGTTGCCATCAACAAAACAAATAAAAGAAATTTTTTTTTTTTTGGACCTTTTCAGCATAATCATTTTCTATCGCTTTCCTTCTCTCCTGCTTTTAAAATCTTGGATAAATTGGTGCTTATCTATCATATATATAATATCAGCCAACAAACTTTTCTTTGAACTCGTCTTTTTCTGCTTAAAGAAACCAACATTTACAGAAAAAACCATTTCACCATGAATCCCGGAAGATGCGTGGATTATCTCGCACATGAATGGACATCCAAAGATATCATACAGGCACATCATGAAACCCGCAAAAAGGTCACCAAGGCCAAGATGAAGCTTGCCATGGCCTCCGCCAGAGAAACCAATCGGATTCAGAATCTGCGAGCAGAAGCCAGACGCTTGGAACGCTATCAAAATGCCGTGTGGCGACAAATGACCAGGCGGTGTATATCACATTTAGGCGGAACGAATCCGATGGTTGATCCATCAGAAATTAACTGGTAAGCGCGCAGAGAAAAGCGGCTGTAGTGAAGCATAGGCTACTATGGCAAACACCAATCAATGATTCTGATATTCAACATTCACTGTAGGCAAAAAGAAGCTGACATCACGTGTATGTTCCATTCAGTGCTGTGCTGATGATAAATTAGTCGGAAACAGAAAAAAAGCTCATCCAAAGTTTCTTCTGGTTAGGGCTGTATGGGCCGCTTTATACCACGTCGACTGAGGCGGACACATCTGCAAAAACAATGTCTGAGCACAACGGCGGACTTAAGTCGGCGTTACGACAACATTTAAATGGCGCGGTGTTTCCCGTTCCGCATGGCATGGCAGGTACTGTCACGACCATAGGCGTGCGGTTCAATCCGGAAGTGGTACAATTCCAATACCTACCGGAAAGTTTGGTGCATGAGTCAAATTCTACGTATACATCGGATGACGAAGATGCCAATGAGTACGAAATAGGAACGAATAACAGAAAAAAGAGCGCAGATGGGAATCACAGTGAAGATATGTATATGGGCATGGTGGATTACCTTTTGTCATGTTTTCGCTATTGTGCAGTCTACGTCGCGTGCGATGTCTGTCAAAGGCAACCATTGTGGGCTCAGAAAACCAGCAACATGGTATCTGCGCAATCCGACTGGATGCCACGGAATCGGCGCCCGGATACGAATCTAAATTTGGTGACGCTCCTTATCGCGATTTTAAAATCGATGATTTCTTGTATCATGTATCAGAGCTTGTTGCCAGTAACGTGGATTTTGGCGCACCCATTCAAGAGAAAACAGAGTCGCTTGTCGATTTCTCCAAATCAAGCATAACCTTATACCTCGTTATTTCATATCATTATTTCCCACCGTGTACATAAGGAAAAACTATTCTCCGCCGTCCATTTCCTCCCTAGCATTTTTTCAAAGGTCATATGAAAATACAGAAAAAAAAAGATCATCCAAAAGAAGATAGTGATTACCATATATGGAAGGATAAGATAGGAGCATGTTGGGGAGTTTGCAAGTGAATCCGGATTAAAGAGCAGTGCGATATCATTTGCTGTGTGACTCGGATCGGAACAAAAAGGAATCTGTTATCTCCCACTAAAAGACTTACACTTCTGTTCCTTGATCGTCAAATTTTTTTTTTCTTTATCTCTCTTTTTTTCTTTGTACTTATATCTTACTGCTTTTTCTTTTACTCCATTGCAGCTGGTCCTTTTTAAATCTATGCAGTCAAATAATCGCCATCAAGATATCCTTCCTCAGCAACCTTTCTCGTTCCGACGTCGAAGCCTCAACTTCATCTTTTCTCCTTTAAACCAACGGCTTCCTCCGACGACCTCCTCGACAAACAATATCATCCTCGATTATTTGTTGCATCTCTCCATTCAATCACGCCTTTCGAAACTGTCAGAGAAGGATCGTCACACGCGATGGTCAGATTTGACGAAAGCAGAGCAAGCGGTCGAGTCAATTGTAGCAGGTAAATAGCGAGTCTCCACCCTATGTAATTTATTCGATTCTTTTATTTATTTACTTTGACTTTTTTTTTTCCTTCAAAAGGCATTCTTTGTAATAAGACACCTGGCTTGAAATTCGATGCGAGATTTGAGCAACGCTTGCATCTTTGTCAACTTACAAACATCGTATTTGGGGATGGAAAACGTCTCTTGACAGAAGCAATTCCGTTTTTCTTGAAAACGAGCGCGATGACTTTACGTGTTGCTCTGGATAATGCCGAAGATGCCAAGCCCATGATATTTGCTGGTCAAAGAGTGATGGGCGGAGGAATGCCTCCACGTTGGTACGATTTATTCCTGGAACTCTTAACCCAAGCGGCTATTCAAAGTGTACGCCGCCATGCAGGCTTGGCCTCCATCTCTGAAATTTTCTCGTATGGTGACGTTGAAGACGAAGACGAGCCCGAAAACCTCGATGACGAGGAAGAAGAAGATGAAGAAGATGAAGATGCAGAAGAAGACGATGATGATATCTGGGGCATCAAAGCAGCCGATCACCATCTTTTGTTCCCGAAAACACGCACCATGTTCCTCTTCAAAACGCAATTACGTGAACGAGAAAAACAGGTAAAATTTTCATGAGATCCAAAAAAAATAATAATAATCAGTACATAATCCTAACGAAAATCATAGTTTTTAAATCTTGATCAAGATTCTTTGATGGAAAACCTCGACCAACTTGCTCACCAGTATCCTTTGGATACGTTTGAGGCCGGCATGTGCGAGTTTATTCAACTGATTGTTAACTGCATGGATACACCTACTTTGTACAAGGTATGTTATCGTCATGCAGCCTTTTTTTTTTTTTCTTCTCCGTTGATGATTATCTTGCATACCGGAAGGATTATTTACCCTTTTTTTCGCTGTTTTTTATAGTGTGATAAACTTGATGCGGCTAGCTTCTCTCTACCAACCATTTGCCGATTTCCAGAAGATGGTTCCCTTTTGATGCCTGAAATGTCCGATATAGAAGATGAAGACAACCTCACCTACCGTATCAAACGTACTTCCTCCGCAGCTGGTTTAGACGACAAAGAGACCATCAAACGTCCTCACGCGTAAGATGATTCAGCTTTCTTTGTTTTGTTACCCTCCCCATGACCTTTCCACTTTTATGTTGCTTCTAGTGAAGGAACATTATGTCATTTGTCATATACCACACATCCATTGTAATTAGTCCCTCTCTTTCAAATCATTTCAAACTGTTTATTTATCCGTTGCTCCAAAATAAAATGCCACCCCCTCTTATCTTTAAAAAGCTGTGCTGTAACGGCAACTTCACATCAAGAGTTCCATTACTAACCACGATGTCAGACTTTTGTGAAAATGTCTCATTATAGACATCATTATCTCTTTTGTAACTCGTGCATCGATGAAAGGGCCGGAAAAACTGTCTGGAAAATGGCAGATGATCCGACTTTTACCCGAGGCACACAGTGATTTGCAGTGGGTTTTTTCAATGCGCAGCAACTAAATCTCTATATGCATACATATGAGCGTATGGGGTGGTAGCACCGCAAACAGAAGCTCACACGATGGGGTGTCCGCCGTAATGTCAGAGATAAAAGCAGTACACTCGCATGCTTTCCTTCACATTTTTTTTCTGGGATGCTCCAACTATCGCTACCCGTAGGGTGGCATCACTTGACTTGACCGTGTTCTGATATGACTTATTGGACGTATCCGCTATCACGCGGGAGCAGTCAAGAGCGACAGGTGAACAGTGTCAAATCGGATCTTATCAGTGACACTCCGCTCTGCCACTATGCCCTTAAAAAGCAACCCCATTGTCCGAAAAGACGCGATCCGCTGATCAAAGTGTAGCCTGTTCATTTGTTCACCCTTTCTGCTCCATAATCTCAACCTTATTAAAATGTTTGCCTCTGAGTTGCCATATTTGGATATATTTCACCGTCACATTTGTTTGCCGACGAAAGACCGCTGATGATTGGGTATTTTCAAAGTCAATGAACGTTGATTGGATAAAATTGTTGTAATCACATGATTTACGATAAGATCTGAGCGGATGTTGAATTATGGCTCATGATTTGTGCTTCCTTTTGTGAATAGATAGACCATGATACATACACGGATGCAAGAGATCGTGTTGCTTCGCATTATCCAGGCCTGTTCCTTTCTTCTTTCTTATTCTTCCTCTGTAAAACTAATTCAATGTCATCTTCAAACGTTTATTGTGTTTCTTGCAGTTTGCCAGGACATGCTCACTCCACCAACCGCAACTGCCCCAACAACCCCCACGTGCCCAACAAAGTAGAATTACTACAACCCAAGGACCAAGCGAAGTCCGTTGCGGAGCTTGCCCACAACTGGGTCACCAGCGTTCCAACCATTTCGCTTGCCCGTTGAATCCAGCAAGACTGGCTATGAGGGTAGCTGGAGAAAGTGACACTACGGAACGTATTCGTACTTTACCTGCGCCCGTTGCCCAAGCAGATTTCGACCATCATGCTTATACGCTGTCAAGTGAACAATCAGGAACGCTCAACAGTGGCCGAAATGACGAGTGGGAACTTCCAGAGAGACATACCTTGGGACGCATGGATGGCGAGTGCAATTTCTGCCAGGCACACATGTGGCTCAAAGAACGTATGTCTGGATCCATCGCTAATCCACAGTTCCAGGTCTGCTGTGCTCAAGGTTCCATTATGCTTCCGCCTTTGGAGCCTACACCTCCAACAATCGCGCGTCTCCTTCGCAGCAACACTGAAGAAGGAAGAGATTTCCGTGAACACATCCGCAGCCACAATACGAATCTCAGTTTCACTTCCCTAGGTGCTCAAATTGACGAGTCAGTGGCCAACAATCGCAGTGGAGCTTACTGCTATCGCATCCAAGGAGGCATCTATCATCGGATCGGTGGCCTGCTTCCGCCAACGGACAACCATACTCCTGCATTTGCTCAACTGTATATTTACGACTCTGACACCCAGTTGGCACACCGAAACGCTGTGACGCCCTATTTACAAAATGCAACACTGCTAATTCTCCAAGATCTGCTGATGGAAATTAACCCGTTTGTTCCATTGTTGCTGTCGATGGCCCAAGTTTTACGTGAGTCGGATGGAGCTGTAGACGTGCGATTGCTGATATGCGCGGAAAACACTCCCGATGCCCGCCGATACAACGCACCCACCGCGAGTGAAATTGGAGTAATTTTGGTCGATAGCACCATTACGCCTGATAGTAGCCGCGACATTGTCATCCAGTCGAGAAGCCATGGACTTCAACGTATCAGCGAGATGAATCAGCACTATGATGCTCTCCAGTACGTCTTGATGTTTCCACATGGTGACCTCGGTTGGAATATCCACGCACGCTCCCCTGGCGGTCGCAGTATCACGGTTATGCAATGGTACAGCTACCGTTTGATGGTGCGAAGTAACGGTCACGATCTGCATTTGTTCGGACGCCTGTTCCAGCCGTACATAGTTGATATGTACGCCAAAATGGAGCAGAATCGGCTGACGTATTTACGGCTCAATCAGACGAACCTGCGAACGAATCTGTACCGAGGTCTCGTAGATGCAGTAGAGCTGGGTGACAACGACCTTCAGAGCGTCGGGCAACGAGTGATCTTGCCGTCCACCTTCATAGGAAGTCCCAGACACATGCGGCAACTCTATCATGACTCCATGAATATTGTACGCCGATGCGGACAGCCCGATCTTTTCATCACTTTCACTTGCAATCCTCAGTGGAAGGAAATACAGGACGAGCTGGCTCCTCTCCAAACCCCTGTTGATCGGCCCGATCTTTGTGCGCGAGTCTTCAATATGAAGCGTAAAGCTCTGATGGAAGATCTAACGAAGAAGCATGTTTTGGGAAGAGTCGTTACCCATGTACACACAGTGGAGTTTCAGAAGCGAGGCTTACCGCATCTTCATTTACTTTTGGTGCTACATCCGGACGAAGCTACAATGATGAGCCGATACGTTTTCGAAGCCGTTAGCCGTACATTGCAAGACTTGATGGCAACCAGAGATCCCGCTCTGCAGCATGTTCCACTCGGAGGAAAGACTGTCGTTTTTGGTGGCGATTTTCGTCAGGTTCTTCCGGTCATTCCGAGGGCAACGCGTCCACAAACTGTCGAGCAGTGCTTGAACAAAGCTTCTTTTTGGTCTTCGGTCGAAATCCTACGCTTAAACACCAACATGCGCGTTCAACAGGCACGCTTGGTCAATAACGAGGATGCAAAGATTCTAGAGAACTTTGCCACATACCTTCTGCGCATTGGCAACGGACTGGAACCGAACCATGGAAACAGGGGCATCCAAATCCCAACAGAAATGTTATTGCCATCCTCCGATGCGAGCGACCTCATCAGGGCGCCAGCATTCGAAACGTTCCGGCAGCCGAATTCTTAATTGAACGAGCCATCTTGACACCAGCTATCTTGACACCAAAAAATTCAGACGCAGCTTTTCTGAACGAAAAAGTTATCGAGAGGTTTCCAGGTGAAGTGCGTATCTATCGAAGTGCCGACAGCATGGACTCTGAAGAAGAGCAATTATTTCACCAAGTGGAAATTCTGAACTCCATGAGTCCGGCGAGCCTACCACCCCATCGATTGATCCTCAAAGTCGGTTGTCCTATCATGTTGCTACGCAATATCGATGTCACAAAAGGGCTCTGCAACGGAACCCGATTGATTTGCCGTTCATTCCATTCCCATGTCATCGAAGCAGAAATCGCAACTGGCGTGAATGTTGGAAATCGCGTGTTCATCCCTCGAGTCACTTTGACCAACGAATCGGACGAAAATGGAATTCATTTCAAGCGGCGCCAATTTCCCATCCGCGTCGCGTTTGCAATGACAATAAACAAGGCACAAGGACAAACGTTCGATGCTATCGGATTATTCCTACCGTTCCGGTGTTTGCCCATGGGCAGCTATATGTTGCTATGTCACGCGTACGTAGACAATCAGCGATAAAAATCTTGATCGTTAGGGATGCAAACGATCGATCTACAGAAGTATGCACCAAGAACATTGTCTACCGCGAAGTGTTTGACAGCCAACAGCTGGATCGTTAAGTCCTTGAATCACGCACTGCGTTATGGTCCTATGTTGTATCCTCATTTATGTATTTTATGTTTCTTTATGCCTTTTATTTTGTGTTTTTCATTGTTTCAGTACGTTTTATTGTATGCTTTTTTTGCCACATGTTCCTTTACTTTTATCCTTATGTCTGTTTTTTCTTCAAATTATCCTTTATACCTATGTTGTGTTTCTATCATTCTTTTATGTTTTACTGTATGCTTTTTGTCCTTATGTTCCTTTTGATTTTATCCTTATGCTATGTTTTTCCCAAGTAATGATTTTTTTGTTATCTATTTTTGTCTCTTCCATTTAATATTATATGATGTCTGACCATTTCCGTTCCTAACTTTGCATACATATTGTTGTTCCTCTGTCGTGGATGAAGAACATGATCGTTATGTGGCGGTGGGTCAGGGAGGGCGAGCCCCGCGGGAAAAAGGAAAAGAGACTGAGCTTCATTGAATGCGCAAAGATTATGAGCACATCAATTAATCTCACCGGAAAATCAACCCGAATGGAGGCTTATTGACAAAAGATTAGAGTTAAGAGAACACCATCAAGCGGAACCTTTGGATACAGAAATTCGTGCGGAGTTCTGAATATTGCAAATGGAATATCCCATTCCAAACACATCTTTAATCAGCTACTATTCCCACTTCCCTTAGAGCAACATCCCTACTACACATCCAACGAACCAAACTTTGTGATCTTCAAGATCACACGCGCAACTAGTCTACTGTTCCTCTCCTTTGGATTGCTTCTCATCATATGGTATTCGAGATGTCTTCCCGATTATTGTATTTTTAGTTTATAGTTTGTATTTTGTATTTTATATTTCATGTACATATTCTTTTCGCAGTCTTTTCCTCTTTTTATCCCACAGGGTTTTTTATGAGGTTTTTATTGACGCGACCATTGTTTTTTTTTATCATCATGTACTTTATTTGTTTTTCTTTCTTTTCATTCGGGGGACTCTCGATATCTGGAATCCAACTCGAAATTACCGTCACTTCTGGCCACGTCAATATTTTTTGCCTGCTCAAGCTGACACCGCCGATCCATCGCTTAACTGTCCCTGGAAGCAATTTTATTTTCCGCATCGAAGAAGAAGCTTACCTGGCGGTCAGTATTCATCGTTTTTTTTTTCGGTACACATTTGGTTCAAAGGCAAGTCCAATTTCTTTTCCTTTGCTATGATGTAATGAACGTATACTAATTCAAAATTTTTTCAATGTCATATAATCCAAGTCATGTCAAGCAATCAATGGCTATTGCAAACTCAAATAACAAAGGTAAAATATCTTGACGAAAATTTGAATCAATCAAAGAGCTTACTAACTCATTTTTTTTAAATACCCAACATACCCACACATCTTTCTAGATCTATCATAGCCTGGGCGGGATGGAACTGAGGGGGGGAACCAGTGCTGCCCTGCGCGTGTTCAGAAACAAATCACGTTGCAACGTATGCCATAAGGTTGTCATTAATATACCGAAGTTCCGTCAAGAGTTCTCGCCCAGGTTATGCCGTGTATGCGTTAGGCTTTTTGTCTGACGAAAGTCGCTCAATGTAAGAGGGCGGCCTCCGTTGGCAGGCGGCATCCATTGCACAGCGGGTGTACGGCTTGTTATCCATAAAAACCAATCACTACTTTCGTATTTCCGCATACTGGTCGCGCAAATGCGAGCTAGATAATTTCCCATGCAAATTTAGGATTTTTTTCTTACCACAAATCAGACTCATTTTTCTGCAGTTGGAAAGACTGGTGACAATTTCTTGCAAGTGATACATGAATCCTTACTTTACATTTGGCTATTTATTTTTGCTTTCTATGGAATGGTGGCCTATCTTGTCTTACTGAGATCTAATTTTGTTGAGAGTCTCGTTCACCTGTTCCATAAACTCTCCAGTGGTTGCGTAGTGTTCAGGACGAAGACTGTGGAAGATAAAAAGTTAATGACGTGACTTTTTCAGCCGTAAGATGTTTTCACTTACTCTTTGCCGTGAATAGCCAACGCAAGATCCTTGGTCATAATGTTGTTTTGGACAGTATCGACGCATGCTTTTTCAAGCTCCAAGGAGAACTTGCTCAAGGCCTCATTGTTATCGAGACGAGCACGGTGAGCGAGACCACGGGACCAGGCAAAGATGGACGCGATGGGGTTGGTCGAAGTAGGGTTACCCTAATGAATAAAATCAATTAGCTTACGGAAAAAGTCTCACTCACTCAACATTGTGATGAATCGTTTGCGTGTTTACCTTTTGGTGTTCGCGGTAATGACGCGTCACGGTGCCGTGAGCCGCTTCAGCTTCCATGGTCTTGCCATCAGGAGTGATCAACACCGAGGTCATCAAACCAAGGGAACCATAGCCCTGAGCAAGGATATCAGATTGCACATCACCGTCGTAGTTCTTGCAAGCCCAAACAAAGCCGCCCTTGGATTTTAAAGCCTGGGCAACCATATCATCGATCAAACGATGCTCATACCACAGCTTGGATTTTTCGAATTCAGAACGGTATTCCTGTTCGTAGATTTCCTGGAAGATATCCTTGAATCGACCATCGTACTTCTTGAGAATCGTGTTCTTGGTGCTCATGTAAAGAGGCATTTGCTTGGTGAGAGCCATCTTGAAGCAGCTGTGGGCAAATCCACGAATAGAATCGTCGGTATTATACATGGCCATACCAACACCACCGTTCTCGGGGAAGTCGTAAATTTTCCATTTTTGGACCTCGGTGCCATCATCAGGTGTGAATGTCATCTCAAACTTGCCGGGGCGGTTGACCACGAAGTCGGTAGAGCGGTACTGGGTTTTTTTGTCAAGAAATTAGACCTCTCTAAATTTCTACTCTCATTTTTCTCCCAGCCGTACCTGATCACCGAAAGCATGACGACCAATGACAATGGGTTCCTTCCAGCCGGGGACAATGCGGGGGATATTGTTAATGATGATAGGCTCGCGGAAAACAGTGCCGTTCAAGATGTTACGGATAGTACCATTGGGCGACTTCCACATCTTCTTGAGCTTGAACTCTAATAACACAATAAGACAAAGGGATTCAATTCTCCCGGATGCCGGGTATCACTGGCTTACCTTCCACACGAGCTTCATCAGGAGTGATAGTAGCACACTTAATACCGACGTTGTATTTCTTAATGGCGTGAGCAGCATCAATAGTAACTTGGTCATCAGTCTATAAAAATGTGGATAAAGATATTTTGGCATTAATAAAATAGCTTCACTCTATGGACGAATGTCTGTCCAGGACAATACTTTACAGCATCACGGTTTTCCATGCCGAGGTCATAGTACTTGATATCCAAATTGACATTAGGTAAAATGAGCTTTTCTTTAATGTCGCGCCAGATAATGCGGGTCATTTCGTCACCGTCAAGGTCGACGACCGGGTTCTCGACCTGAATGCGAGAGTCTCCGGTAGAGTAGCAGGCTTTGCTCATAACGGGGCGAGCCAACAAGGCAGCACCAGCGGAGGCAGTGGACTTACGGATAACAGCAGGAATGGCGAACGTCATGATGATGTTGTAAGCAAAAAAGACAAGTATCGCGAAAGAGATATGCTCAAGTTCCCTTTTTCACCTATCCCGATAGGGTTGTGACCATTAAAATTTTCATCATTTGGGCATAATCAGGATCTTGATTAATATCCTAGTGTGGGATTTCCACACATACAACCCCAAAACATATCTTTCATCGCTTGCATAAAAAGAAGCTTATTAGCTCTACCACATCAAAGCCTGCAGCTTCAAGGATTAATTTAATGTTGACTGTACCAATTTTCTTTTTCTCTGTTTAGCCGAAAACGACCATGTAGACACACAGAGTGCTCGAAATGAGTCAGAGAATTGACAGCCGACGAGAGAGGCGGAGATTGAATTACGATGTCGGTTTCCCATTGGCTGATATTAACAACTTTGATAACAATAGCTGGGCGAAGCTCTTACTTCCGAGGAAGACGTTTTGATTGGCAGATATTTTTGATCGAATCGAATGTCCTTATGTTGATTATATAATTGAAGCGTGCTTTTATTTTATTATATCAAGTAGTATTGTTCTATGAGTCTCCCCAGGACAAAAACAATCTGTAGGCAACACAAAGAGATGCCATTGATTAAGATTGATGAAATGTTGTAACGATGGTTACACGTGAGTAAAGTATGCAAGTTGATGAGTTATCGACGAATGGTCTGTGGGCATAAGAATCTAAAGAGCAGTTGGCGCTTCCGCCTGTATCCGTTCGTTATTGATAAAGAGAACAGCTCTGAAAGAATCACATGAATGATTGATAGGTCTATCGTGTTTGACGGGACGACCCCTTATCATTCTCGATCGACATGCGGACATTGTTCCATGATACTCCGCTATGCCATGCTGAAAGGCGGATATATGGTTCCCGATGGAATGCTTCTTGGAAAATCGAAGTGGACGTGCGTGATCCACTCGTTCTGATGGCCCATATTTACGACCGTTATGCTTGCTGTTTACAAGGCCATGCCATAATATAACAGTGGCAAATCGGAGTGGTTGCAATATATACCCAGTTAGATTACAAAATGTATCTTTTTTGAGAACCATGAGTTTCCGTTTCGGTAGAGCGGTGGTTCCTGAGAAGATGTGTCAACACAAATAGGGAAAAGGCGGACGGATCGTAAATGCATACTTTAGCAGCTGCAGGAGGCATATTTTTGTCTTGAAAACTGTAAATTCGCATTAAAAGTTTTAAATCTGGAAATGTGTTGTTGCGCGACCGAGAATGACCGTGTTGTCTGTAGAGCTAAAAGCAAGTGGATAAGGATAGATGCTCACAGGCTATGGAAACTAACCATCTTCTGTTAATATTTACAGAGCAATGCAGCAATATGGGATGCTAAGCCATCAGTGTTTCTAGAGAAATGGATCGTCTTTGCATGAATTAACTTTGGGTCAGTCTCGCCGGGGATTTATAATTGAACCTCCGTTAATGATGGCTGGAACCCAAGAATTCAAACGGTGAAAAATATCTCTTTACAGTATGGAAAGCGACGATTTACGAAAGCGTACAGATACAAGCAGCACGGCTTTCGCTGTCACTTCAAGCGAGACTTTAAGCGCTGATGGTGATTCCACTTCGAAAGAAGTCATTCATTCACGTCCTTGGCTCAAGTGGCCCGTGGCTGCGTATGAACCCAAAAAATACTGGACAGGATTCCTCTTACGATTCGCTGTCTTGATCGCTCTCATTGCTGTTCTCATTGGCATCGGACTTGGCTTGCGATATACAGATGGAATTCCTGATCATGAAGATTTCTCCCAGATGCAGTTCGACTGGCGAGTAGATCCTTCCAGCTATCTGAAGCCATTCAACGAGTCGTTTCAGTATAATACCCTTCTCGACGGCCATGCTCATTCCACCTACAGTGACGGTCGCTTAAATGCGAGACAATTGCTTGAATGGCATATTGGTAAGTTCTGCAGCAAAGATCGTCTGGACCGAACGACTTAACTAATGAATTCCCGATCGTGTATAGCTAATGGTTACAATGCCGTGATAGTCACGTAAGTAAAAAAAGGCTTCGCTATGTATGACTCAAAGTACGGCAAAGTCTGATGATGTTTAGGGATCATAATTCTGTTCATGGAGGGTTGGCTGTTGAGCAATTGGCGCTAAAGGAATATGCGGATAAAATCACCGTCATCCCCGGCATGGAATACACGTAAGAAAAGTCGCTGGAAAAGTGTGGCCATGATAATTGATTCAATGGTATGCAGATGTTGTCGAATACATATGAACTTCATCGATATCAATGAAACAGTACCTGTTGGGCCTCCTGTACCTTCAGATGAGGATTTGCGAAAGGCAATTGAACGTGTTCATGCTCTGGGTGGCCTCGTCATAGTCAACCATATTCCTTGGAGTAACACAACAGGTAAATTGCACAACCAACTTGTAAATGCTTGGAAAGAGGATACTCATGTTATACTCTATAGAGTATGGTTATGAATTACCAAGGTTACCGAACCATCCATCCGTTGCCGATCTAATCGACTGGGGAGTGGATGGCTTCGAAGTAGTTCATCAAGATACTTTCGACTATCCTACTTTTCAAACGACGCAAGCTCGCAATTTGATTCAGATGACCGGCACCGATTTACACCATCCGTCGGTTGCAGCGAATGTCTGGCTTGTTGTCAATGCCGTGAATAATACACGGAAAGCCATCATGGATGAAATTCGTGCCAGGCGCACCTCCTTCCTTTTCGATCCTGCTGGTACACCTCAACGTGCGTATCCGGTACCATCAAAGAAATACGCGCTACTAAGCCCTCTGCTGACTCTCGGCGGTTACTTTGGTATCTTTTACTCGGACTCGAAGGGGATGTACAGTTTTCAGGGTACTTTTTGTCACCCTGAGAAGTTGCAAGTGCATAAAGACGTTATTGGCTGGTTCATCTTCTGGGTCTTCATCGGCATTATCGCCTTTGAACTGGTACGCTTACTCATACTCGTTACCTGGGATGTCATGGTACGCCGCTGGCGACGACGAAGGGCCAATATCATGGGGTTGGATGAGTAACCATACTGTACTTTTAGCATTCATGTAAAATAAACCATTGCGGCATATCCTGCATAAAGATGCTGCATTTCAAACCCAATCACATCGACAAATTCTACATCATCTATGACATAATGTAAAGGTTTAGCGGAAAAGTTCTCACGCAGTCGATGGTGGTAAAAATTTTAATGATATGCGGGGAGTGGGGCTTTCAATGGAGCATACAAAGTATGTACAGATTATTCAAGTAAAACACGTGCTGGTAAAAGGATCACCTGATCATCGTCTATAAACAAGGGACTCACTGCTAGTTTGACGATTTTGTTCTTGTGGGCGCTGGTATCATCGATGATGGTCATGATTTGCTCATCGTATTTACTACCAACAGCAATACATCGCATAGACACATCAGAATCGCCACCGTGGATTTCCAGAGATAAAGCGATGCATAAATCCAGAATTTCTTCCCACAAGGACTCATGACCTTTGAGTGGGTTCGTATGTCCTTGAGAAGCGATGCTTGGAATCGTACCAAGCATTTCAATCAAGCGCTGGGTGAGCTGATCTTGGGTATGCTGCAGAAACTCTTTGGTAGCCGGGTTTAGTGAAAGTGATTGGACTGTCTGACGACGGTACCATTTAGCAAAGTTCGAACCGAGTGTGCTTTGGAATCGGCGAATCTGGTCCGTGTAAGCGGTATTCAACAGCTCTTGATTTTCGGTGCCAAAAGGAAGCGACTGAAGGTATAGTTCTACAATGTGAGAATAAAGAAATTGCTCCAAGACAATCCGCCAGTGCCCCTCGACCATGTCCTTGGCAAAACGTGTGAGCAATTCCGCCAGTTGAGCTAGTCGGTGCGTTAATGTGCGAGCGTTGATGACCGATGTAGGTTGGTTGATGGTGACTTCTGAACGGGCCATGGTATACGCAGGCGTCAACGGTTCATGATGATGTTGTGTCTTGTCATACCCCACTTGATCATTTTCCACCAATGACCGGAGTTTATCAATGACTTCCGCTTGGTGTTCTTGCATAAGACGGATACTACGAATTTGGCTTTGCAGCATTTCGTTTTCTTGCACCAATTCGGCATACGACTTGGGTGTTACAGAAGCAAAACTCGGTTGTGGCTGGGGTGGAGCCGTGATATCGTCGTTCACCACCGTGTGAGCATGTTCATGCTCGTCCATGTTACTGCTGGTATCGCTTCGAAAATCAGCCGTAGCTGAGCGTCCTGCATCGTCACCAAATTCAGCCGCATTGGACCGTGAGCGCTTATCATCGTCTTCGCCCGTGAGACAACTACTGTTATCCATATTTTCATCCAGGTCACGGAGTACAGGGATATCGGGATTCAGTTTCAAAGACGGCGCATGTCCGTCATCCACCGACAACACAGATGCTCGCTCCGTTTCTGTATCTCTTGGTTCGCCCACCAAACGTGGATGAGTGGATGCAGTACTCATACCACCACCGTGACCACTAATAACGGACTCTTGATCGTCAATGGTCGCTGCCACACTCCATGCGTCAGTATCTCGAGGTCGTGCAGTTTCCAACGTATCCAGTAGGTCGGTTTTGCGCAAATAAGCGTATCGAGCAGCTAAGCCTTCACTTTTATGAAACGACAGATCTTTCTCACTGCCATCGTGGGATGAAATGGAACTCATATGAAAAATGGTTGATGACTAACACTGAAAATGAAAGAAAAAGGAACTTGGTCGACCCTTGTGTGACTCGATGGGTATTTTAGGTGTCGGGATATGTAACCGCGTCCTTGGTTTTGTTTTTGGTTCCTTTCCTGTCTCTACAACCTTCTTTTTTTTCCTCATCCTTTTTCTGCTTTTTTGTAATAATGTCGTATGCAGTGATTCAATCCACTTTTGGATTTCCTGGAGCCAAGCCGTTTATTATTGGTTTGGTAGTGGCTCTGCTTGGTACCAAAAATGGTCGCTTATTATGTAAGGTCACAGATAGCGAGTTGAGAGTAATGGTGATAAACGCCGATTGACCCATGTGTAAAAATATAGTGGCCCAATCTGTGATAAAAAATATGCGTCGCAGTGTGCTGTATCTTCCTGCCCGATATCGTATTAAATTACTCGAGAGAATCCTGGATTCACCTCTTGTGACCGTAAGACGGATGTTGGGGCAAGCGTCTCGTCCATATGGCTTGCAGTTATCTTGGATCCACCGTATCAAGAAAGAAAGCTGGTCCGGAACGTGGATTATTCCCAATCTGCAGAAAAATCCACAACCGGCTGACTGGGCCGAGCAGATGGTACCCGAATACGACCTTGTTATTATGTACATCCATGGTACGCCACAGCCAAATAACCTAATTTGGGAGATTTTCGCGAAACCTGTTTTTGTCGTTTATGTAACCTACTTTATCTTGTTTAGGTGGAGGATTCCGCGTGGGATCTTCAGATATGTATATGGCCTCGTTCACTCATATAATTGAGCGACTTGACAAAATCCACGGATCCAGGGCAGCTATTCTCTCGGTTGAATACACGTTGGCTCCTGAAGCGGCTTTTCCTCGGGCTCGCGACGAATGTGTAGATGCCTATCGCTATTTGGTGCACAGCCTTGGTGTGGATCCCAGGCGTATTATTGTCGGTACGTGAAGAAAAGAAAGAAATAGAATTCCCCCCAGATTTTAAATGACCCACAAAAAATTAGCTGGCGACAGCGCAGGCGGCAACTTGACCGCCGTGACTCTTTTGCATATCCTGCAGCAACGAGAACATGCTTCGCTCAAGTCACTGCCGCCTCTTCCTTTACCTGCAGGCGCGGTCATGATTTCTCCGTGGATAACTTTGGAAACCACCGCACCTACATACGCCACCAACTCAGCTACCGATTACGTCCAAATCCGCCAACTAATTGATCACATGCTTGATTACTTGCCGGAATTGCGCACCATGGATGATCAACAACGCCACGAGTACATTTGTCGACCCGAGATTTCCCCTCTGTATGCCAACTATGAAGGATTCTGCCCTACCCTAGTGACTTACGGTGAAGCCGAAGCATTTCAACACGACAATGAACGGCTGGTACAGCGACTGCAACAACAACACGTTCACGTGGATGTCATCACTCGAGAAAATGCAGCTCATATCTGGGTCATTGAGCCTTTCGCTGCTCCTAGTGAAAAGATCTGGTTGGAAGACTGCTCAAAAATGGTGGATTGGTGTGCTGCAACGGTTAAAAATGCACGGGGATTCTAAAGATGAGAACTTTATTTACAAAACTGTATCAATATACATTTCAAATTTGATTTTCCTTCTAAGTGTTGTACTTCTCACAAACGGTTCTGAGTGACTTGGCGCTTGCCCATAACTGCTCTTGCTCAGATTCACTCAAAGGCACATCGTACACTTCTTCGATGCCATGCCAGCCCAACTTGGCCGGCATGGACATGGTTACTCCCAGTTTTTCCACGTAAACAGACAACGGCCGAACATCGTGTTTGTTTCGAATGATACTTTCACAGAGCGACACCGTGCATGCAGCAATACCGTAATAGGTCGATCCCTTAAGCTTGATAATGTCCATAGCCTTTCCGGCAATCTTTCGACGAATTTTTTCCTTATCGATGTCTTTCATTTCGGGAAAGGATAGTAAAGGCTTGCCTGCTACATTTGCGGATTCCCATGCAATGAACTGAGAGTCACCATGCTCGCCCAAGACCGCGGCATGAATTGCCTTAAAGTTGACCTGTAATAGCAGAAGCTAATTGATTAGATGTAGGTTTCACAAAAAAACCTTAAAGAGCGACGTTACCTTTAATCGCTCTGACAGGTATACTTTAAGACGTGATGAATCGAGAAATGTGCCAGATCCAAAAACTTGACGACGAGGCAACCCTGACAGTTTTTGTGCAAAAAAAGTAAGAACGTCCACCGGATTGGCCACGATCAGCATCACAGCATCTCTTTTGATAGGGCGCATAGCGCCAATGACGTTTTCGAGAATATCGTAATTGCGATCAATAAGCTATTAAAAAGCACCAAATACAGATGAGACATGGGATAAAAAACATCAAGAAAAATTTTTTCCCCTTCATCGTCACCCTGATCTCCAACCAAGTCTACGCCTCTTGATGTCCCCTTCACGACCAAGAGATCGGTGGTAATTAACTAACCTCTGTGCGAGACTCGCCTTCACGCTGCTTGGCGCCGGCAGTAATGATAATCACATCAGCCTGGCCTGCCTCCTGAATTGTAGCGTAACGGACACGAGTAGAACTGAGCACATTAGAGTCACTGAGATCCATTTCCTGTCCTCGAGCTCTCTCCGGAATGGCATCGACCAGCAACACCTCGTTGGCGATATTCTTCAACATCAACGCATACGCTATCGATGACCCAACGGAACCTGTACCAATCACTGCCACCTTGGAATGGGCCCCAATATCCATTGACGACGAATAGCTGCGGAACGACGATAGCTGTTGCGTTGGTGATCTAATGATAGGACAAAGGATGGCTGGAGCCAATGTTCGCCGAGCGCATCCAACGCTCATGGCGGTCACCGTGGGCCGAAGGTACGGTCTAAGAAAAGTAAGCTTGGAGGAAATCAGTTTGAAAAAAAGTATTAAATATATGAAAAGAGTGGGGAGGTAGAGGGTGAACAAGAGATAAGTAAAAAGGCAAATGAGCAAAAACTTTTAAGAAATATTGATCAACCAGTATTTTATATTCAATCTAAACACGAAGTTCGAAAAAAAAAAGAGTACAGATTACCTCCGTCACAATTCTGAGTCTTGCAGTACTCGACCTTTGGCTTATCGCTTATTATCATGGTGGTTTTTGGCAATATTTGGCTCTCTTGAGCTTGCGGGATGTCAATGACATTTCGCAAAATATTCCCTTTAGAGGAAGTCCATCCGAGGTCAAGATTGAGATAATCTCGTACACTTCTTTTTTCATTGATTCCACCCTTTTGCTTACATACAGCCCATAATAAAAAATCATCGATTCCACTTTTTATTATATTATGCATGCTGATTTGATTTTCCCAAGAGAGTATCAACTACATTTCGAAAAACTCAGGTGTCCAATGTCCAAAGAACGTTGATGCCTTTCGTCGTATGTCCATTGTTGACTTGATATTGCAATTAAAGACGATCTAATCATTTCTAACGTGTTTGAAATCCTCGCTTCGCTTTGCTTATGGATTACAGGGTAGTAGTTATGTAATCAAAGCAGAAAAAGCAAACAATGTCTTTTCGATACCTTATTATATTAACCCACGCAAGACAAATTTCAAGCACTATACAATATTGCTGCTGATTCGATGAATAGCATAATATACCCTAATCTCACATTCAGTACTTTTCTTAACGGAAGCCACATTTATGATAATGACGATACGAATGGTTACATGCAGAGACTGAGATGGTTGAGCATTGTATTCCAAGCTAATCGCTCCTTTTTCCTTTTATATCCTTTCATCATTTAATGAAATACAGTCTTTCTGGAAAGAGAGTATATCTATTGTCAACTTATCTACAACCAATCAGAGCGCACTGACAACTATAAGAGCTGTGCTGCTGCCAGGTTGATGTGATGGAATTTCTGTGTTTGTAATATGATACTGTTGGCGGATCTTTTTTTTTTTTATTCGATCTTCAGCGCATGGATCTGTCAATGATGTGAAAAGGTCTTGGGTAGCGCCGTTTGCCTCGAAGCAACTAAAATAGAAAGTCTCAATAGTAGCTTTCAAACACGCGCTCCAAATTAATCCCTGCTGATGTGGATCTTCAACTCCCACAATCGAGAAATGGTTCAAGATATCATAGGCGCAAAACAGCCTTAAAATTGCTCTGCTCTTAAATTTGTTGAGCAGAATTGACTAAAATAGAGACATCGTACTACGGTTGATCCAGTTAAAGAAAAAAAGTTCAGGCGAACTTTCACGACTTTACGAAAGGCTCATTATGAAGAGCTTGCAGAATATTATAAAACATCATTTTAAGCTTCATTATCAAGTTTGATGACAATACCATGAAAAAAAACACAGAAAATTTTGATCGTGACAAGTTTCGTTCGGCCAAATCGGATTTTGTGACAGGCGTCCTTTCTACCCATTTTCCGCAGGGCAACGCAATTTTTCTGAGCCCGCACTGCTTTTGCACTTGTTGAAAAGCTTTTCCAGAATAACGATGAACAGATTTCAACCCTACAATAAGAGAAGCTTTCCTCCACGCCAAGGCTCTCAACGACAACAGCGAACAGACTTTGATAATGAGACGATGTATGACTCATATAATAATCCGTCTCTAACAAGAGACGTGTATGGCGCACAGGGCCCAATGACTAGCAGAAGAGGTGTCATTCACGGTGTTAATAGAGATGTGAGTGTGAAGCTATTGAGTACTATGATGCTTTGCCTCGTATATGAACTATCTTGCCATTTAAGCTGGATTATCGAAGTAATGACCAACCCTATACGCATGGTTATACTCAGAGTTCAGCTCCTCCCTCACGAATGCTCCCTGGATCCATTGAGCAGTGGACAGCTATGCCCAATGAGAAAAGGTATACGCATAATCCTCGATATGGTAAGCTTCCAATTGTTATACGATTTACCTTCTCCAAAGGAAGAACATATAAGCTTGGAAAAAGTGAAAGAAGCAAGCCTCAAGATCTAAACTTATCTGTCATCTGATATGACGCTGAGTACCTCAAATCTCCCTACTTTATTTATATGTGCACTCTCTTCTTGGATGTCCAGTTGGCTTTATTGGATAATTTGGGCTTTTTTGCAATCCTCTTCTCTATATTTTAAACGCTCGTATATTTTGTTCATTCAGGAAATGAGTCAAAGTCACAAGGACCACGGGGAGGAAGCAAAAAAGTCGAAGAACGCATATCTCGGGAAAAACCTTGCCGAACGTTGTTTGTGAGAAATATACAGGTATCTTTTGGGATCATTGGATTATCACTATGCTTTATTCACACTGAAAATGCTTCTTTTCACTGGGTATTAGTATTCTACTAATGTCGGCGAGATTAAAGAAGTCTTTGACAAGTTTGGCCATGTCAAGGATATCTTCAATTTGATCGAGAAACGAGGGATGGCTTTTATTACTTTTGTAAGTCTATGCTTTGTATTGGCATCAGTGATGGCCTGGGTATGCTAACCGAACCCCTAGTATGATTTGAGAGCTGCCGAAGATGCTAAAAAGGCTATGCAAAATGGCGTTTTTCATGGTCGTCACATTGATGTCCATTATTCTCTGCCCAAAGAAGAAGAAGTAAATAGCGCCTGTGATCGAACAAAGAACCAGGTGATTCTCTGTCATCATATTTGTATGTGCGAGACACTCTTACTGAACGTCAGCTTTGTCAGGGAACCTTGCTCGTCACACTCAAAGACAGTGATTATGGTCTCAGAGACGATGAGTTGTATTCTTATTATTCACAATTTGGCGATATTAAGAACATCCGCACTCCTTACTTCAAAACCGCTAATAAGAACCGCGACCGCTTGTAAGACTTGTAGTACACGCTGAGCTGAGATGATAGACTAACCTTTGAGGCCATAGTCAACGTCTGATTGAGTATTACGATTCGCGTGCGTGCGTAGAGGCTTACGATAACACATTGGATCAACCGTATAAGGGTGGTTATTGGCATTGCGCCTTCTTTTGGGACGCATCTTTGAGGTAAGTAAAAACACTGGCCATGATTAAACAGTATTTCGTTTACGCATCATGTTCCCATAGAGAACGTGAACTCTCAGTATCAGGAAACGCAGATAGATCGCGGTCGTCACAGCACCCTGCTCGGCCAAATACGCTTACATCAGATGGCAATGGGGATCGTGATAATCCTCGTATGAGGAGACGAAGTCGAAGTCCAGTTGCTTCCAAACGCCGCGGTGGTCGCCGTCAATTCCGTGATCAGTCCCCACGTAAGTGAGCAAGAAATTGAGAGTTTTTATCCGTCATCTGATTTTACCTAATGGGCACGTCTTCCGGTATCAGACCGCAAAGGTTCGTTTAGTCGACATCGATATGACGCGCCAGCTGGCGTCGGAAACCAACCGCCTACTGGTCCATTGGCTATCAATGTAAGTATCTCCATATCCTATGATAAAATGGGACGCATTTCATTGATTCCTCGCTTCTTTTACTTTATCAAAGGAACAATCGAATCAGTTGGAAAAAGCCCAACAAGCACAGCAGGTAAATCTAACTTGTGCGGGGTCAATGATACTATCATAGGAATATTTACCATAAATGTCAATATAGCTTCTCGCAATGCTAACGCAGAATCCGGACGCGGCCAATGCACCTTCCTATCCAACATATGCTACTGTCCCGACAACGGCAGCACCGACTCTAACTGCTCCGTATGTACAGCCTACTACTCCTTCGTACCCCCAAGGTGCATCCACAAATATACCACCGGTACAGCAAGGCCAAGTCCAGCAGCTTTTGGGGCTACTAGTACGTTGAATCTTTGTTCTTCTGTAGGCCATATGAAAAAGGAGGCTGATGATTTTTAATAGTCTCAAATTGGCACTCAACAGCAGTCATTCACCGTGCAAGAACAACCTTCACAACAAATGACTCCAGCTGCAGACGCCTTGAATCAACTGGTTAACTTACTACAAGGTCAGCAACCAACTCCGTCACAACCATCATCTATGCCGCCATCCACTTCAGCATATCAGGGCTACTATCCATCATGAAGTTTATCGACTGTAAATAACTTGAAGAGCTGAAAAAGGCTATAACTTAATACAATGATGTACTCCTATGGAATCAGTTGTGGCTGTCTAGGATTAGTAATTGGGTGTGTGCAGAGTAGATCAACCAGTATTCTGGTTCTTCTCTTTCTGCTGATTTGATTCAAGTCGCTCGAGCTGAACTAAACCTATAATTCTGCTGTAATGGGCTGTTCCCTAAAATCGGTTTCCTTGCTACACGTTTAACCTTGCGAGCGGAGCATGGAACATAAATACCACCACTCGATATCGCATAAGACGCACAAACAAGTCCACGAAAGGCGAAATCAGAAATGGATCCAAGTGGTAATGCAAAGAAGAAATGATTCTTTTTACAAGTGTACAAGGCACTGCAGTTACTGAAATCGCTTCAATGTTAGCCAAATCGCGTGGTGCAATAGTAGGCGTGTATGCGATGATCTCTAAAGAACTTTTCTTATCGTAATCTGCGGCAAAAATTTAGAGTAAACCCGTCAATCAAAGGAACAATGTGCCCTCAAAATAATTTCAGAAAAAATTAATCAGAATCTCGTGCCCTTAGAAAGTTCTTTGACTTGAGCAAAAGAGGTTTAGGAGATCAGCAAACTAGAAAAAAAACGATCTATAGCATTCCTACCCCGTGGAGCAGGGGATAAGAAGATCTCGTGACGCGTGTATATTCTGCGACTGTAGGCTAAATTGTTTTTGTTCATTGCTTTCTTGATTGATTTCTTTTCCCATATTTTTTTCTTCCTTATGACAGTATCCATATCCAGGTCGCAAGTATACATCATACAAACATGCATACTGTCGCTGGTGCTATCTATCCTCGTCGTCGCCCTGTCACTAGGCATCTACAGTAGTGGGACGGTCCCGGTGTTTAACATCCTCACCCAATTTTCAAAATTTCAAACGATGCTCGCGATCGTTCAGGACCGACAACTAATCGCTACGCTGGTAGCTTCGCAGGCGTCTATATTTTGCCGATTGTTTCTTCTCTTGAATCATTCCTTACAAGAACACCTTTACGTAAACAATAACCGCTCAACCGATTGGCGTACGGTTAGTGAACGCGTATGCTTGTTGTTGATGTCCGGGGGTCTTGCATGGAGCTGGGTGCTATGTATCCTTTTCGACCGTCAAGCGATCGCGTTGGCTTTGCAACAGCTGGGATCCACGGGAGACGATCATATCGCGTTGGGCTTGTGGCCTGACATGTGCGTTCCTAGACGCGAATTGTTGGATTCTACTGCCATTGCCGTTCGGTCCTGGTGGCCTTACTCGCTGGACTGTATTATCATCGACAGCGTTCAGATGATCAAATTCGCGCTGGTTCTTATCTTTATTTTCGAAGTTGGCCTATTTCTAATTGTCATTTTGCAAACAAGTTGGTCCACCCCTCCTAACAAGGAATCCTACGACGCAGAATCCGTCAACAAATGCAATCCTTTAAAATAACTGCGTCGAACTTTTTTTTTCACGCGCTGCCAACGAATGAATCGAAAAATCGCAAACACCGCACTCTATATTTCTCTAGAATATCCCATATTTCACATCAACTTGTATATTGTTCATCGTTATTTGCTTCGTCCATCTTGCATATACTTTTTATAAATGACCTTGTATCTTAGCAGATACCAAAATCCATTTTCGAAACAAGCTCAGAGCATGCGGGTCTGCAAGTACATTGTATATCTCTTGGAACAAAAATACTGATCATTTATGCTCTCATGTCTCTTGGAACAAAAATACTGATCATTATGCTCTCATGTCTCTTGCAACAAAAATACTGATCATTATGCTCTCATGTCTCTTGCAACAAAAATACTGATCATTATGCTCTCATGTCTTTGTTGCATCGCGGTAAGTTGGATCTCTTCTCCATGCTCCCATGATCTTGACGTCTCACTGAATCGTAGTCGGTGCTTTTGTATCATTCCTTTCTTTTTAGCGTGGCTGTCCAGCAATCACAAAGTTCAGAGCACGAAAACAATCTCCGGATGCCTTGCATTACGTCTTCTGGTTTCTCAACAAAAAAAAGAAAAATAACGAGCACTCCGCACATTTTTACTTTCTATTTCCATTTTTGATCTTTATGAATTTTTTATTTTTCTTGTTCCTGAAAAATTCATCTACAACTTAGCGAGAACAGCCTGAGCACCAGAAGAGGTCACGCCAGGGGCCTGCTCGACACCGACGTACTTGACGACCAAGTCATCGACAAGGATAGCGAAACGCTTGGAACGGATACCCATACCGTTGTTGGTTAAATCCTGGGTCAAACCAAGAGCAGAGCTGAAGAGAGCGCTGCCATCACCAGCCATGATGATCTTATCCTTGACACCGAAGGTCTTGCCAAAGGCAGACATGATGAAACCGTCAACAACAGACAAACAGATGATGTCGTTGACACCCTTGGACTGGAGAGCTTCGTGGGCTTCCAAGTAACCGGGAACGTGTTGCTCAGAGCAAGTGGGAGTGAAAGGACCTGGTTTTTTTAGATCGCGTTTTAGTTCATAAGTTAATTGCTTGTTTCACTGACTTAGATTGGTGGGTTATACATACCGGGGATAGCGAAGATGACGGCCTTCTTGCCCTTCAACTTTTCATGGATCTTGAAAGGCAAAGGACTAATTATACAGTGTATCAGCATTGATGTGTCGAAAGGAATGGATAGGACCACTGGTAGCACTTACCGAGGGCATGCTTTGATGTCGTCATTGGGGTTGTAAGGAACCCATTGAAGAGTGCCGTCAGGAATCTACACAAATAGTCGGTGATGAGTTTTTCTCGTTTTCAAAAGACATCATCCATATGATAACACTTACAATATCTCCTACTTTGATGACCTATACAGATGGTTCGAGAAAAGAAATGCAGGCTTAGTATCAATGTAGACCCCATAGATGGGCTATTTTACCCCAGGTGCTTACCATGGTATAATTTAAGGAAGAAAAGGAACGCCGAATGTACCCTGCGACAGATTATATCCAGTTATTATTCAGTCTCCGCGGCTTGATGTTCGACCTTTTCAACTCCGGTCGTGACAAATCGCAATCCTCGGGGGTTTAAAAGTCCGTCGACCTGAGCAAGTGCTCTTTTTTTTGACTTTGACTTTCACTTTCTGCTGCTTATCTCTGAAATATGGACCTTACCAAAAATCGCGATCAAGCACTCTGTATGTTTTTTACCAGCCCATAAATGAATAAAACATATTGCGATTGAGAAAAAGAATTGATGATATGGGAGACATAGAGATCTGTTATCAAAATGATCCGAAGCAGCCTGTTTTGGTCCTGCGGCAGAGGATACTAGAAAATCCGGACAAATATCATTGTTACGTTGGGAATGTCCTAATAGCAACACCATGCTGCAATGATTGACCATGATATAGAAACGAGTCCACTATGTGTTCTCTCTTTATGATGGATGTGATATAATTCCGAGACACGCTTTTTATTACTCTCTGACTCAATGTTTACGTAACAAGCCGTACACCCGCTGTGCAATGGATGCCACCTGCTACTGGATGCCGCACTCTTACATTGAGCGACATTCGTCAGACAAAAGCCTAACGCAATACGGCATAACCTGGGCGAGACTCTTGATGGAACTTTGGTATATTAATGTCAATACTCTGGCATACCATGAAACACTTTTAATGAACAAAGCAGCACTTATTGACCCCCTCCGTTCTGTCCCGCCCAAGGTTATGATAGATCTACAAAGATGTGTGGGAATGTTGGGTATTTAAAAAAAAATGAGTTAGTAAGCTCTTTGGTTGATTCAAATTTCGTTGAGATATTTTACCTTTGATGTTTGATGCAGCAGATACCGAGGGCTTCCCGACCGAAATAAAGAAAGGATACAAATATAAAAAAAAAAGTAAATACAATAGGTGCGTCTGTAAAAACCCCCTAAAAACCCTGTGGGAAAAAAAAGGAGGAAAAGACTGCAAGAAGACTATTCACTAAAATACAAAATACATACTACAACTACAAAATAAAATGGTCGGGAAGAAATATCGAAAGCGATACCACGGGAAGCAATCCATATGAGAGGAACCTGGGGAGGACGCGTCAGCGTTTCCCAATGAAAAAGAGAGTCACACCACCGACGATGCCTTTGACGACAAAAACCGGTTTGGCCACATTTGAGCGCGAACAAAGTAGAAAGATTTGGAGGGATGGATGACTTGCCAGGCGAAAAGAAAACCGGAGAGAAAACCAAAAGCTAAAGAAGGGGTAGAGAAAAAAGAACGTGAGTTTTTTCTTGTCGAAAAACGAATAGTCACATCACACAAAAGGTACCTTTTTGATAATACTCGACTTGACCGGTTACAGATAGACGCCGGATACACCATAGTCTGGATGATGGATGATGGATGTGGATGCGGGTGAGGATGCAATGATAGTGAGGGCTTTTCAGGTAAACGGAAAGAGGGAGAAAACCAAAGGAAAAAGAAAAAATTGAAGACAAAATGAATGAGTCCCCATGGATGAAACAATAGTCACTCTGCCAATGCAAGAATGATGATCAGGTCAACCACATGGGCCAAAAAGTGGAACATTTTCGGTTGGTTTACCTTTAAATCAAACATTGTGCCGAAAGAAAATATGTATACGGACCACACGTAAGCTTCTTCTTCGATGCGGAAAAGAAAATTGCTTGCAGAAACAGTTAAGCGGCGGAATATTTTTGGGGCGGTGGTGTCAGCTTGAGCAGGGCCAAGATATTGATGTGGTCAGAAGTGCCGGTAATTTCGAGCTGGAGGCCAGATATCGATAGTTTTCCCGAGTAAAAATTAAAGAAAATAAAACTTGCGTCAGTAAAAATCTCACAAAAAACCCTGTGGCGAAAAAAAGAGGGAAGACTGCGAAAAGAATACTTACATGAAAGACGATATCAAGAGTAGGAATCCAAATGAGGGCAACATGAGGAGGACGCGTCAGCGTTTCCCGATGAGAAAGAGAGCCACACGACCGAAGATGTCCTTTGACGACAAAAACCGGATTGGCCACAATCTGGTGCCCGAACAAAGTAGAAAGGTTTTGGAGGGATGGATGGCTTGAATGGCTTGCCAGGCAAAAGAAAACCGGAGAGAAAACCAAAAGCTAAAGACAGAATAGAGAAAAAGGACAGGTAAATTTTTTCTTGTCGAAAAACGGATAGTCGTATCACACAAAAGGTACCTTTTTTCATAATAATCGAATCGACCGGATCAGATACACGCCATAGTCTGGATGATGGATGATGGATGCAATGATAGTGAGGGATTTCCAGGCAAACAGAAGAGATGCAAAACTAAAGAAGAAGAAAAAATTCGGACAAAAATATGTGATTTTTCCATGGATGAAACAATAGTCACCTCACTGATGCATGAATGATGAGCTACACAGATCGAAGCATATCTGCTCCATGTATCATTCGATTACTGAAGAGAATGAAAGGGCATATACAGTATAACTGACAGATAACCCAAATTAAATGATGCTACAAAACACCAGATCGTCGTATCGTCAATCACCTTTCTTCAAAAAAGAGCTCCACTCACATTTTATGCTCTTTGATTGATCGGAAAGCCTGACCTCTTCATTACATTCACGTGTAATCCAAAATGGCCAGAAATTCGGAATGAGCGACGGTATAAACGTAGCCAATTACTTTTCCAAGTGTATGGTTTTTTGTTAGATCCTTCAAAAGAGCTCTGAGCTTGAGGTTGAAAACTCGTGCTGTCAAATCTGGCCGATCAGATACTGTCTGTGAAGCAAGAAGCTCATTCCGAATTTCTGGCCATTTGGATTACACGTGAATGTAATGAAGAGGTCAGGCTTTCCGAAACATCTGACGATACTCATTGCATCTTGGTACAGCTGTTGCATGTTTCGAGGGCTGCCAATGAATGACGACGGAAGGATGACAGGCTGACCGATGGAATTCATATTCATATTGTTGTCGTCAAGTTGGAGAGCATCTTGTACGCCTGAATACACATCAGCACGCAGTCGGGACTGGTTGAGGCGAAGGTAATTGAGGCGGTTTTGTTCCATCTTGGCATACATATCTACGATATACTGCTGAAAGAGTCGGCCAAAGAGGTGCAAGTGGTGTCCATCATTTCGATACATCAATCTGAAACTGTAGTAGTTCATCACGGTGACTCTGTCGTTTCTGGTCGATCGAGTTTCAATGTTCCACCCAGGGTCGCCTTCAGGAAACATCAGCACGTAATGGAGTGGGTCATACAGGCGATGCATCTCATTGATTGATGTCAGTTGGTTACTACGCGTACAGATCACAATATCCCTTCCAGAGGACTCTGCGTTTTCACCGATAATGACACCAATTTCAGAAGCATTTGGTGCATTATAGCGTCGTGGATCTGGGGCATCGTCAGCTCGAATAATCATTCTGATGTTGGAAGCACCATCATTATCCTGTATGTATTGGGCCATTGTCTTGAAAAGATGGACGAAAGGATTGGTTTCATGCATTAATTGCTGAAGTACTTCCAAGGTGTCTCGCGCGAGATGGCTTGCAATTGCATGTCGATTTGATATTTCGTTGTCAGTATCATGGACGTATATTTGTGCAAATGCAGGTCGTTGGCCATTAGCAGGAAGTAGCGATCCCATCAAGTGGTAAACACTTCCATGAATACGGAAGCAGTAAGCGCCCCGTCTGCCATTCATTACACTTTCGTCTAAATTTACACCAAGAGAAGTAAAACTGAGAGCACTACAATAAGCTCTGATCTTGAGCCGGAAATCTTTTGCTTGCGCCCCAGTCCCTGTCAAAAGCGAGGCAATCAAAGGAGGGGTGGGTTTGAGAGGAGAAAGTACAAATTGACCATTTCCACAACAGAGCTGAAACTTAGGATCATTGATAGTACTTCCAGCAATTTTTTCTCCACTCCACATTCGTGCCTGACAGTGGCTGCAGATGACATTCATGGCTCCTACATCATGAAGATTTGGCATCGAGACATTAGGATCGCGAGCCACATTGGGCCTAGAATTGAAATTTTCTGTATTTCCGTCTTGATTATGAAGGGGACAATGGCGGTTTGAGCGACGACGATGTCCTGTTTGACCACAACTGGTGCAAACCGCATTTTGCTGCTCATTATTTCGCCCATTATTTATAGTAGTGTTTCGTGGAGAGAAATTTGGGCAACGACGATTGGTAGAACGCTGGTGATCGTTGCCGTTGCAAGATGGGCAGCGAGGCATGGTTCAAAGATGAACAAAAAAAAAGGCACCAACCAAAAGAATTGAGATTCTAATGTCTTAGTGTATTGCAAAAAGATATTAAGAAGTTCTGATAGCTTAGTGTAGTTGAAGAAGAAAAGAAGGCACAAAAAAAAAAAAAGAATAATAAGAGGTTCTGAAGAGAGAAGGCACAAAAAAAAGGTTCCGTGGAAGTCATGTGATTTACAAATTGCTAATTTTTCAAAGATTTTAATGTTTACGTAATAAAAGCTTTTTAACCTGCGTATCTTTATATCTTTCTATGTGATGAATGTAATCTTTTTGTTGCTTTTCGTTGTGATTCAAAAGGGGATAGATATTAGACGGACCTTTTATACCAGGCTTTTGTTGGTTGTTTCCGACCGTGTTTCGTCACTTTTCTTCAGAAAAGGGCACATCTCTTGTATGGCGTTGAAGGTTAAATCGCATTTCAGACATGCGCAATTTGGACCATTTCGGCCGATTTCTTTTCTGTGAGCTCTGGGTGGTCGTTTTTTAATTGTGTTTAAGTGCCCTGAAGTCCCCAGAATTGTATTAAGAACGACATGCATCCTTGTTCTCGAGAATCGTTATGAAGTTTTGGCAGCCAATATATTCTTTGAACATACAAATGGAATAGAAAAAAAAATCTATGCCTATTATGCTCAAAGGGAATGACGGTATTTGAACAGGCTGCTTCCTACAATCGAATTCCTGCAATGCGTGTGGATCTTCCAGAACTTTTTGTCTTTCAAAGACTTTCGGATGGTTCGAAGGCCAAAGCTATGCCGTCATTAGTCACCCACGATTGGCACATTTGCGTCTCTCACCCACCGAATGGACTTTGGTCTTGGAAAAATATCGAAGTAAGTGAAAAGAACGTATTTTTTTGTAGCTTATCTAATGAATGTTCCCAGATGATTTGGTCCATAGGATGGCCCCGTATTCGCCTATGTATCATCGTTTCATTGAACAACTGAAAGCAGATGGATACGAAGTTATTGGTTATGCCAGGAAGTCCACTGGTCACGAAGAACTAAATGCTCGGGTTAGACTCCTCTAAAGTATGATCACAAAGCTCAAGGAAAAATCGCTGACAACAAGGTGTTTGTTTCCACCTGTTCATCAGCATCAAAATTACTTCATGAAAGAGGCACCGTCAAAGATGATAAGGTTCTCGAGAAAATGACTGGCAATCCGGGAGCGACGCAAGGTAAAGAGAGCTTCAAACAACAAACAATAAAACACGACGCACTAATAGTTTTGGTATAGGCATGCTGCTGCATATCTTATGTCAACTACGATCAAAGCTCCATAGGCTTTCAACGTCCACCTTCTGTCGAGCAAGCTCATATTCCACCACCCGATATCAATGTGGACGTTTGCGAATCACCAAGGAACCGGAGTCACGGAATCGGGTGCCCAGCGGTGCTCGAAACTATTTCAACCAAAAAAGACGTATGCTTAGTTTCCCTTGACTATGCAGGAATCTCGACGAATCCTGCAGATCTCTCAAAATTATACAGGTGAGTTGCGGAAATTTATACCAAATCCATCATCGATTGACAAATTTGTATTTCGCAGAGACTGTGCAATGTTGCAAATATTGGTCGTCGATAATTTACCTCGAGGTACTAGGTTCGTCTTCATGCAGTTGTCGTTTTCTTGAAAAGTCAGCTTGCAAGAAGTCGATTTTCCTCTTTGAACACTATTGGCAAAGGCATTCGGCGATTTGATTTGCCATCGAAACAATGGCGGTACTTGGACACGATATGTATATCTGTTTTGTCGAGATATACCTTCGTTCAAATAAGACACCATTTCTAGGATCGCGTGGCAGGAATGCGTCATTCAAGACATAAGAAGGCAAAAACTGGAGTGCGCAAAAAGTCACAAAATTGGTCCAGAACCGATGTAGCCACACCATGTGAATGGGTCAACATGTCTTCTTTGCTGCGAGAAAAACAGGCTGGTTCGGAACTTCTTGCAAAAAATGTCTGCGCCTTCCAAGGTGCTTTCTGGATTGGATTGCTGAAAAGAACCATACAAGTGCTTGATTGCGCGTCACGGTAACGTTCACTTCTTTTTATATGGCAAACAAGGTGAAAGATTATCGTATGGCCTTGAGTCGACAACGGTACATTCGATTATCTGCCCTATCAGGCTTGAGATTGGAAGATGGAGGCTTCCAACAAGCACTTATTGAATCGCGTTCTGTGATTGGCTGCTTTTCATGCTTTGGGCAGCTGAAATAGGTTTGTGCTTCGGATTCCGCAGCACGCTTCAGTTTTGAACTTGCAACGAATGGTTATGATGTACGAGAAGTAACAATAAGTTCCTTGTTGTTTGCCAATCAAATACTCATTTATGCAAAGCTAACTGTAACTCACGAACGGGTATCCCGATTCAGACACGATGATTTTGACGGAGGCTTCCAAGACCTGCAAGATCATTCTGAATTTTTGGGGGTAGGATCCAGGTTGATAGTTTTTTGCAAGCTAACAGCCAAGGCGATCCAATCCCAGCAGATAAGATCTTTGATAAAAGTAGAACGCTATAAAAAATTCGGCTACAAGAAGAACAGCCATTAGAAAAAATGGAAGAATAGCCCAAATCTGACCACTCGTCATTCGCTTTTGGTAACACATCCATCGAATCTCTCGAACAAAGGTGATTCATCACCCAAAACGTCAATTTTGCAGGCATATTTTATGTATTATATTTTTCATCAATGGGCATATTGTATCAACTTTTGCAGAGCATTATCCGGTTCAACCAATTCGATTTTTTGAATTAACAAAGGCACACAACCAATGCAAGCGGAGATGGCCACAGAACGTCATGGTTCAAGCTGTCCTCGAAACTGAAACGAGTCACTTTCACTCCGCCCATATGCTGTGCGATGACAGTCTGGTCACACTCCTTTTGTTACTTTGTTGAATTCCTTCATTTACTCGACCTATTACTTGACGCAACGACTAAACGCAGCTAGTCTATACAATGAGTAGGCAAGTACTTTTGCTGTACTCGTTTCTCATGGTGTGCCGTTAGATTCAGCACAGCCAATCGACCTTGGTCCGAAATGGCTAAATCATGTGGCCCCTGCTCTATGGACCAAATCTAATGCTATGCTGTATATTAACAGGCTAGACTACAACCTACATTCTCGTATCCTTATGGGATTAGCCGAAGTGTTGGCGGATGCACGAGCAAAGACGTCCAGCGATGAAGTGGAAAGACTCATTGCCAGGTGTCCTACTATCCCTTTGCCATCCACTGAGGAGATCGTTATCTATACACGGGATGACATCCCTCATTTGGGAGTTATGGTAAGGTTTTTGCTGTGGTTACACACTATTAATGCATATTGCTTAAAACTGCGTGGACTTGACGTGGTTGTGAATAGACGCGCCGTAGCCAACAAACACTCACAGCTCTAGTGAAATTTGCCATTCGTGCGCCAGAAGAGCAGCGACGTCAATTGATTCCAAGACTCCTAGCTTACATGCAATATTTGCCTGCATTTGAATGGGAAGAGGCACCGTTAACAAAAGGTGGGTGATAAGACTTGGTCAATGTCAATAAACAAGAAAGAGCCTTGTGAAATTAAACAAGAATTTCTGCAGACCCTATTCCAGCCGACTTGATCACTTTTGGTCTGGTATCCGGATTGTTGGAGCTGGGTTACACGTGTTCAGAGATGTATAGTAAAATTACATCCACCCTGTGGAGTTATGCAGAACGTCTTCTTGGTCTCATGGCATCGGAAGATGGTAAGTCATGGATTTTTTATGCGTGCGATGCCACCGTTATTCACTATCTTATACAGTCCACTACACCATCACGTTTATTCTTCCATCCATCACCGGTCTATCGAGAGCCCTTCAATTGTCTCCTTATCTATGTCGACCAGAACAGCTCTTGTCTATCTGCCGTAACACGCAGCCGTTGATCAAGGACAAATCCCTGGAAGATATACGACACGCTATTACGACATGTCTTAAAGAATACGACCCTTCCTCCTACAGCCGGCGCTTGCTAGCGAAATACTGGCAAGATGGTGTACCTCTGAGTAGTAACCGTATTGTTTACGATCTGTTGGTGGTTTTAAGGAACGTTACTGCTCGTGTTATCGCGAATACCAAGCCATCCGCTCATTCCAAAGTATCGGCTCTATCGCTTGCCGATTTGCAAAAGCTTCATCTTACCCACAATATTGAAGAATCATGGTCGGTCCTCATGAAGCAAACCGCTATTACGATGCAGTCGCGAAAAAACGAGCATGTCGAGGAATATCAGGCACTCGTCAAAGCATTACGAAGCATCTATGTCATGAGTCTTGCCTATTTCGAAGATACTCTTAAATATGCCGAAAAACGAGAAGGGGAAGGGAAGAAATGGGCCAGTGATGCCTATATGCATGAAATCATGGGCTCTAGTTTGGTAATTATCTGTGATAAGAGACCACTCGCGACCTTTTTTTATTTAACTTGTAATATATGTTATAGCAAGTGGCAGCATTGGCGTCTGTTTATCTGCACGAAGTCGACGATGTATTGGTGGATCATATTAGTGAATGTCTCTTTGGCGCGCCGCGAATGCAAGATGCTCGAACTTATGTAGCCTCTTTGGACGCTGCAGCTCTTTTGGCCATCAAGTAAATTGATTTGTTACTGAAATCACGTCATGACTTTGCGGGATCTAATATTACTTGACGTTTTTGCCAGTTTCCATCATCTTAGCAACAATATGATCAACATGATTTGTCGCTTTTTGGTCACACCGTCTCCTGTGTTTGATCTTTATACCGAAACAAAAGGCGAATTACTCAGCATCCAACAATTTGCCATTACCCGCTTGGCCCAGTGCGTTCAGGTAATTTGGATATTTTGGAATGGATGGCCCCCAAGTCAGATAGATGGCTGATGTAACTCGGTTACAGACGAAAGCAAAAGCGCAAATCAACCCGGCCGCCACTTCCATTATCTACGCTCTTTTGAATGAAATAACCCGGTACAGCGAAGATGGGCCACCGGATCGGCGAAGCTACCATGAAAACCACGTTTTGGACTCTCCTGCAGCGACTGAGCAATTGAGCGAAAACCAAAAGCAACAACTGTACGTCAACGCTCTTTCGGCTATTGTGGGAGTCGCGGTGCATCTCAAGGACGACGCTGTAAGATCACTCATTCAAACGGCTCACCTATGCCGAGTTACCTAATTCATTTTGTGTGCATAGATTATCGCTCAAGCGTACTCAGTACTAGTGGTACGCCGCAAATGCTTTCCGCCAGCTGCCATTGCGTCGCTCATGACCAATTTTGTGGATCTGGCCCTGGTGAGCTCAAGCAGTGTATTCCAAGATATCATCACGATTTTTTCGGTCATCAATCGCGAATCGCTCACTGTGGACAATAAGCAACCATTTACAGCGGTAAGTTTCCGGAGCAGGCCGATCGGGGGAGTGACAGCTTTTGATAGCTTCATTTGTAGGTCATGGATGCTCAGCTTCAGCTGGCGAAACGAATTTCGACACGACCTGAACTCTATTCGCTCTACCTCACCAATTTATTGAACCTCTTCGTCGATAACGGCAACACTGTGCAGCGAATGTCGAATAATTCGAAAAAAGATCCGGAAATTTCGCTGGCATCCAAGTTGGGACAGTTGCTCCCTGTGTTACGTGCATTATTGAGCCATGATGACTTTCAACCTCACCTCGATGCGAGCGAAGAGACTGTATCCCTATTCCGTAACCTCTGGTTCCACTGTATCCTTTTCGGTTTTGTGACCGAGTCGATGTGGCTTCGGGAATGGCATGATTCATTACAAGTCATTGCAAAGAAAACACCAGTTTTGGTGATTGAAAGTGCCACCAACTATCTTGAAAGTGATCTCGAATACAACTCGGTGCTCCGAAGCGGAAATACCACGGACCAGAGTCTTACCGCAATGCGTCAAAAGCTGACAACGGTTCTGCCATCACTGGCTTACGATATCAAGAGCTTTTCGTTTGCGCAAGTGGTTTTTGCTCTCAGTGTGTATCACATTGAAATGATGCGTAGCCGAATGGGCGACTGTAATTACATTCTGCACTACTTTATGAACGACGGCGTCAACAATAGTGTACTCACTCATTGCTTGGAAACCATCACGGATAAGGTGGTAGCTGTTTACACCAAGGATGCGATGTTTAAGGCCAGAAACCAAAATTTGGAGGATGAACTACGTTGCCAGATGACGAGCCTCCTCAAGTTATGCTGCCATCGTCTGGCTAAAGTGCATCAGCTCGCTATCAAGACCACCGATCATATCGTCTCGACCTTCCCCCAAGTACTTGCAGAGAAATCCCTCATTACCCTACTTTTGGAACTGGTACAACTTTTATGGCTCAGCTGCGAATCGGAATATCGTGACGAAGTAAGTACATTTTGGCTGTTGGATGTGTTGAATTTTTTTTTATTTTATTTTTTTTTGTCGTGTTTTAACTTGGTAATATCAAAGTATTGTCCCGTATTTCATTTTAAATCCGTCAAGATTGACTTCACTTTGGAAATTGGTGACACCTTTAGCTATCGCAAAGAGTTGTGCACCAAATTCTACCAAAGTGCAAAGAAATGGCTGGGTCTGGCGATGGACCGGGCACCCATGGAAGTGAATGGATTGCTCCAAGATTATATGGCTGATTTTGATCGGTTTGCACCGGGACAAACGCTGGACAGTGCCCATCTCGGTCGATCTTTGGCTCTTGACATTGGTCGTACGGCTTCGCGAAATCAGCTCGGCGTGGGTAAGTGATGGTTGTCATAATCACTTGTTGCCTTGATGAATTGATCATACTGTGCACTAGATTTTGTTCCCAAAGTACCGTCTGTTCAGCCAGATGAATCATCTGATTTTGTAAATGGATTCACCACTCGAAGATATCACGTTGGTGAAATAAGTGGAATTGAGTATGTTGCGGGCATGCAACATGGTTTTGGTAACAACGTGTAGTGCACTAATAGGAGCGATCTAAATATTAACCTTGCGCCGTTTTTTTTAGACAAGATCCCTGATAATAGGACTGGGTCTGGTTTGAGCGAACAGGCGCCCTTCGTCCTTGGTATGCTTGAGAGTTTGTTCGATGATGTAAAACGTAAACATCATGTATCTACGGAAAGACTCCGCCAAGCGATGCTGCGAACAGCGGCGTTTATCGTTTCACTTAAGAAGGTAAGCAATTTTATAGCTTTCCTGTCCCAAAGCTATCCACTCACTTTGTATTACACTAGGTTCATCCAGATTTGGTCAGCTATTTAGTCAAAATCCCGGTGTATATCTTCAGCCCGGAATCTCTGATCATCGGCACGGATGTATGGAACTGGGTGATTGTCGAACGACCCGACATCGAAAAGCGGCTCATGGTAGAGATGTTGAGCATGTGGAGCTGGGCCCAGAGGCATCGTAAAGGCTTGTATTCCCCCATGTTGAAGTAAGTTCATTTCAGTCCAGGATCCAATGCGAACGATACACTTAACGTTTTTCTTCCTGGGGCGTATTTAGCACAAAGCATCCATTCCTTACCAGAATGACCTATACACCTTCTGAAAAGTCGACTCGTGAAAAGACAAACCGCGCAATACATGTGTTGTTTTCCCCGCATATCACTTGGATCAAGTTTCTAACCAGCCGATTCTACGCTATCCGCCATCGTAGTCGATATTTGGTCAATATGTTCATTCGCTTGTTGCAAGAGTCTTTTCAGAATGCCAGTTTGATGAGGTACCGATCCAAAACTTGACGTAAACTGCCCGCACAGCTTCTAATTGAGGAGGGTTCAATAGCACTCATCCATTGGCGCGTCAACCACTCTTTCAGTTACTGTTCTTGGGCTTGAAAGTGTTGCAATCCACTCGAATGGAAGCACTTGCGGAATATAAATTCCGAACGCTTGTGTATGATGCTGCGTTCAACTGGTTCTCTTTAGCGCCAAGGTAAATGACTCCTGCTCAACGGTTCTTTATGTACTCATGTGCCGGATGCTCACCCATTTGGATTTATAGATGGCATTACGGCTCACGTAAGAGTCTGGCACTGATGGAGCACAAAGTGTTGATGGACTTTTATAATGTGGTTGTCAATGATACACCCAAGCTCAGCTATCTCACCACCAGCTCCACTTCACGCAAGTCCAATTCCAAGATCGCTTCAGGGTTATACATGTTTCTCAACGGTACGTACTTCATTCGGGTATCTCGAAAATCATTCATATGAATGACCGAAACACTTTGCTTTTACAGATAAAACAAAGGATGATGTGATAAAGCAACATCAACAAGCCAAGAAACTGCTGCTACTATTCCTTGACAGCGAATTATCTCGGCTTTCCGTATGGTGCAACCCATTAAATGCGGTTGGGCCCGGCTATCCCTCCAACTTTGCAGGCAATACCGAGAAGACATTTGCAACCGATGTAAGTCATGTAAAAAAGAAGGTCTGGCTTACATTTCTTTGACTGATGTGCTGGTGGATGACAGGAATCATGGAAAGACATCGTTCGATTTGCATGGGAAATGTCACCGCGACTTGCCGTGCAGATGGCGTCTCGTTTTGTACAGCCAGTCGTGCAGCGCGAGTTGCATCGATTAATTGCGAATAATATGTTGGATGTAGTGGATGTTCCGGAAGCTTTAGTGATCCTTCTTGGCGATCGATTATTACCGAACGCTAAATTGGATCTAAAGGTATGAAACAAACGGTGTTGGATAAGACCCACCTCTCTCGAAACTTACGGCACGTTATTTTTAGTTCCTGAAATATTGGGCACCGGTACCCGCCATCACCGCCGCCAATTACTTCTCTCCTGCCTATGGGAAGCATCCGCTGATCCTGCAGTACGCTATGCGCAGCTTGGAATATTATCCCGTCGATATTGTATTTTTCTATGTGCCTCAAATCGTTCAAGCCTTGCGTCACGACGAAGCAGGTTATGTTCAAAAGTATATCATGGAAGCGGGGCAAGTGTCCCAGTTATTTGCCCACCAAATCATTTGGAATATGCAAGCCAACTTTTACATCGACGCGGATAAAGAATGCAACAAGCCTGACCAACTGAAACCGACCTTGGAAACCATCATTGATAACCTGGTCAATTCCTTTACCGGCGACGATCGTGACTTTTATGAACGTGAATTCAAATTTTTCGGTGACGTTACGGCCATTTCAGGCTATTTGAAGGAGTACATCAAATATGGACAGAATGAGAAAAAGCCATTGCAAAAGGTAGGTGCCAATCATTCGGGCGATACACGACAAACGCCGAGAAACGATATTGACTTGCATCTTCCCATGACAGAAACGTTTGGACGAGGAATTAGCAAAGATCAAAGTGGATGTGGGAGTGTATTTACCTAGTAATCCTGATGGCCATGTGATTGATATCAATCGGTCCTCTGGCAAACCACTGCAAAGCCATGCCAAAGCGCCTTTTATGGCGACGTTCAAGATCGAGAAAAAGAAGGAAGATACAGACCCTATGAGCAAAGAGTTGCAGCTGGCCAACCAAGACGAGGAAGAGGAACAGGAAGAAACGGTGGAGATATGGCAGGGGGCGATCTTCAAAGTGGGCGACGATTGTCGACAGGATGTTCTTGCTTTGCAGTTGATTGCTGTTTTCAAGAACATTTTCACGAGTATTGGCTTGGATCTTTACGTGTATCCATATCGTGTCGTGGCTACCGCTCCAGGTCGCGGTGTGATCGACGTGATCCCTCGCTCGATTTCCAGAGACCAACTCGGTCGTGAAAAGGTCAATAGTCTGTATGATTACTTTGTGGCAAAGTATGGTGGCCCCGATTCCATTTATTTCCAACGAGCGCGCATGAATTTCGTCCAAAGTCTGGCGGCGTATTCGGTGATCTCTTATTTGCTGCAAATCAAAGATCGTCACAACGGTAATATCATGTTGGACGACGATGGTCACCTTGTTCACATTGGTAAGTGGTGCTTTCGCTCCATTTAGCCCCATGACCATGCTAACGGTTTCGGTACGATAGATTTCGGTTTTATCTTTGATATTGCGCCGGGCGGCATTACATTCGAAAGCTCGCCATTTAAGCTGACGGCTGAAATGGTGCAAGTGATGGGCGGCAACTCGGAGCAACAGTCGTTCCGACAATTCTCAGAACTGGTGATCAAAGCCTATCTAGCCAGTCGCCCGTACGCGGAGGTCATTATGCAACTGGTGACATTGATGCTCCAATCCAGTCTTCCTTGTTTCAAGGGTGATACCATTCGACGTATGCGCACACGTTTCCAAACGGATAAATCGGAACGTGCTGCGGCTGATTTCATGATTCAGCGTATCAAGGAATCGTTTGAAAATCAGAGAACGGTGTTATACGATTATTTCCAGAAACTAACCAACGGTAAGTGCAATCATCTTGAACCATTCAGAGAAACTGTTGTCTGACTGAATCCTTCCTATTTTATATTCAACACAGGTATTCCCTACTAGAAGTGACGATGAATCGAAATAGTGACACTGTTCACGTTGGTTACGAGCTTTCCAAAAAATTTTGTAATAAAGGAAAAGGGTCATCACTTTGATCAGGTTTTACGAGTGGTTTTTATCAGGAATATTACGGAAATTGGATCTCTTTATTAAGAAAAGGGCATCACAAGGAAAGTCTGCATAAAAGGATTAGCTAATGAATTTACTTTCTTTGCTTCTGCGAAAGGAAATCGGTATGTTCCTGGAAGGGAGCCTTGGTGAATTCAGTTTCTTCCCACAAGTCGGGAGTCAAGAAACCGTAAGTGTTGCCGATGGCAGCAAAGGTAGCCTTGACAAAGTTACCGAGAGTGCGGGTAGAACCACGCGAGGTAGTGTAACAATCAGTGATACCGGCCAATTGCAAGACCTTCTTGGGAGTGGGAGCGGCAACGATACCAGTACCACGGGGAGCAGGCACAAGACGGCAAAGAGCGGAACCACACTTGCCAGTGACCTTGCAAGGCACAGTGTGAGGATCACCAAGAGCGGTACCCCAGTAACCACGACGAACAGGGATGACGGAAAGCTTGGCAAGGATGATAGCACCCCGGATGGCGGTAGCCACTTCCTTGGAGCACTTGACACCAAGACCGACATGGCCATCAGAGTCACCAATGACGACGAAAGCCTTGAAACGGGTACGCTGACCAGCACGGGTCTGCTTCTGGACGGGCATGATCTTCATGACCTCGTCCTTGAGCTTGGGAAGGAAGTAATCGACAATTTGGTACTCCTTGATGGGCAAAGAGAAAAGGTAGATTTCTTCCATGGACTTGATCTTGCCAGCCTTGACAAGACGACCAAGCTTGGTGACGGGAATCCTTTTCAGATACGAAGAAATAAATGATATCAATACATTTGATTCGTAACCGCAGACCGACCGTCGCATTCAACATGCAGGATTCAACAATTACCATTCGTTCTTTTCGTCACGACGACCACGACCGCGACCACCGCGGCCACCGCGGCCACCACGACCACGTCCAAAACCACCACGTCCTACAGAAGGTCATCATGAGTCATTCCGTTGCCGCTCAAGGGGAGAATTGCGAATGATGCCGGCTTGGGGAGGTTGTTAAGTGAATGGGATGCTTACCACGAGTACCGGCCGGAGCAGAATCAGCCATACTATATTTAAAAAACGATTAATCATCCATCCATAATGATCCCATCTAAGAATGATGTTGGCAAAATAGTAAAGTATATAGATACTTGCTTGAATTATTATGTTCAGAGAAGAAGGGATCTCGCATTGCACTACCGTTTCGCTGCTGTAGGACGTGCAACGGCGCATGGGGACGAAACCTTGCTGGACACACGACGAAGTCCGGAATCCAGGTCCGGATCGGACAGTCAGCATGCTCCATTCGCCGGAAATTGAATTTTCACTGCCTGCTCTTCAATTATTTCTTTGGATCACAGATCGACTTCAAGATTGCAACTTGTCAATTCTATCGCTTTACATAGGATCTAAATTATGAGCAAGGTTGCCGATGAGAGATCTGTGCAGATATACAGCGCTAGGATGTATTATATAACATAGAGGGCAAAGTCGATCTGATATATGCATCGATAATGCATCCATGATTCAGCACATGTCGTAAAATGGTCGATCACTTTCTATACCCATACAAATAAATATGAATATGAATATGACCTTGAAATCATCTATTGTCGCACATAATTGATTTTAAAACCTTTACAGGACTTCATCGTTATTTGTTTTTCTTGCTCACCAATTTTCTTTGCATTTCTTTTCATATAATTTGGATTCTTCGCGTGAAAAAAATCAACAAGCAAAGCTTCTCCCCCGATTGAAAGCTTTCTGACGCTATCATCAGAGCACCGGCCGACCGGCAGATAAGGAAAAAAGGGCTGATTCAGAAGCAGCTACACTTTATTCTACGGTATCCGATCGGGATACAGGGTCCCCTCAAGTAGAGGCACGGTATAATAAGTCAATCGTCTGTTAACTCGTTAGGTCACTTATGAAGGCTGATTCCCTCTCTCCACACTATAGATGGGATGGGCCCAGTCAACAATAAAAAAAGGAGAGGATGAACTTTGCTGATAAACGCACCGTTTGCGTTGACTTTTGCATAACTTCCTTTCCAAAACGGTGAGACTCGCTGGTGGGGTTGGAGCTAGTACGTGGCTTGAATGGCGTCGCATCCAGTCGGTAACCACTATGGCGGTGGTTAACAAGAAGCAAGCAAGCAAACAAGCACGCCAATACCGGAACGGCACATGAACATTGGATGGAAACGCCTTGGAACCTGGCAACTTGACTGTTCTTGGTCAATGGATACTCACCATCTATCCTCTTGCCCCAGCCATTACCCCCATTTAGAAGTAAATCGAACGCACTATATTTGATAAAATAAAGCTTGCTGTCCATTCTGGTGATCTTGTCATTACCAGATCAGAAGAAGTGCGGCAGTATTTGAAACGCTTTAGGAAATTCCATCAAAAGCCGTGTCACAATTCTTTTGAGCACTTGTCTTTTCCGTACTTCACATTTTTTTTGTAGCACGACATGGTACACGCGACATGAAGACTGCATTAATGATACATCAAAATGCGAGACAGAACCTCATTACAACACCAAAAAAAGAAAGATATGTATAAATAGCCGACTCAGCGTTTTGAATAAACAAGCACATCTAATCAATGCTCTCGTCGTTCACTTCACTTCCTCCAGTGTCGTGGCTGAAGCGGATAACGTCCGAAAATGGTAATCAGCTTAGCATCTTGCTAAGTACAACCATCCTTATCAAAGTTTTAGCCGCTCAGCCATTATCCTCTTTAAGAACATAGACCGAATAAGCACATATAAATATCTCCTTATAATTGACAAAAATAAAGCGTTATCTTTCCTATCCCTAATCCTCTTGTTTCCCACTCTGGTGATCTTGCCGGTATATCAGATCCGAGTGAAGTACGGCACCAGTTCGAGTTACAAGAACGACAAAGGCATACGACAAGTAAAAAAAAAAAAAAAAAAGCCAATTGGGAAAAAACGAGGCTACCAGGGGTCGAACCTGGAATCTCCTGATTCGTAGTCAGGCGCCTTATCCATTTGGCCATAGCCCCTCACATTTTTATAAAAATGCATTGTTATTGATTAGTAAAAACTAAAATACAGCAGTCACAACAGTCACATGCGGCGTGATTGGTGGAATGGCTAGGTTGCAGCGTTAAACAGTTTAAAAGGATTGGCGCCGTTGGCATATTCATGCATCAGATATGCTTTATTTTTCTCTTTCTGATAAATTTTGATGATTACTTGTTTCTGGGTATGGTCTACGTTCGGTCCTGTTAATGTTCCTTTATTTCTTCATGTGGGTTGCTTCTAACGGAGCACGTACGTCGTTATCGCTTTTCCCTATGATGTTCCTTTATAACCTACTATAAAAGATACGCTGCCGTAATACCGCATGAGTGGAAACACTCCGTGACATTTCTTCTATTTCCTAATGTTTGAAGTTTGGAGCATCCAAGGTTCTTCAAAATAACGTTGAATATCCAATGGTTCGAAAAGATAACAGTTGGAAAGAAAAAGGGAGAAGAAAAAGTGTCTGTCACTGTCTATAGGTTATTCACATTGATCAAGCGATCGTATAATTAGGTTGACGTGTAGACAAGACGTGTAGACAAGATAAAGAGAGAATTTTAGTATTTAACAGTATGAGCAAATTGGAGGGTTGCTTTCATTGCACTCAAGCGCGAATGAGCATGAATTATGAAAGTGTGAAAGTAATATGGAACATGGGAAAAGAATTATCTAGGATGCTTGCAGGTTGCGGCTCATTTCGTAATATTGATTGGGATGCTCGATGACTTCAACTTTGTCCGTGTGTTCGGGATGGGTTACTTCGAAATAGCGTGTGCAAGCGACTTGATAATGACGATCGCGCACGAGGTTTGTGATTTCACTGATATGTTGCTGTGAGATGCCATTCTTGTGAAGTCGAGCCTCGAGATTAGTTTGCGAAAAGTGCTTGAACGGACATCCGTGATGGTCTCCAGTGGACGGTGGATTGCCTTGAATGATCTTCATGCAACTGATATTTCAATGATTCAGTCACTGATAAAACTTTTTTTTTTTTTTTTTTTTTTTTTTTTTACATTGCATTACTGTGAATAGGTACCTGTAAGGCGCATAACTGACGCGCTTTCCTTCCAAACCATAATTATGTCGAATGTTGTATGCATATTCTTTTTGAAATTTGTCATCGGTAATGTTGGAGAATAAAGTGCGCCAGAACACCAGTGCTTCGTCGATGGACAACCCAATTGCCTAACACAAGGGAATATCAGTATCCTGATCCATCCATCGAAACGAGGACGGAAAGCGCACCTTCAAAAATAATCCGTACTGCATACGACCGCCGTGACGGAGATGATGGTCACGATGTAGAGCCTGGTTGAGATGCTGCATGCAAAGTGGAGCGTATTTCTCAACAAGCTATGACAATTGGCATAGAGGATTAAATATATCTTCATTACAGAAAGAGTCCTGATGTGTGATTTACTTACCGTATTCACGTCGGCTGCTTTTACGGTGCCTGTTGATTCATCAGTATCACCATAAGTCTTGCCCATATACTGTTTTTCGACATTCAGAAGAATAGGTTTCAGACGGTCATCTTCTTCCATGCGTGGTAAAGCTTTCGCAGTAGCCTATGCGTAACGATTTAGATCTGAAGGCTTTTTTTTGGGAATCTCTTCGTGAAATGCGTTACAATACCTCCAGGGCTTGTGATAAGCGATTACGGAACTCTTCCATCACTAAACTGATCTGTTCTGTTATCGGTATGTATGCTTTGCCGCGAGTAACGTACACATGTCGACGACTTAGGAGATCAGGGACTTTTTCGAAATCCACCTGAGTTTTTTTATGGTATTGAGTGAGCATGCTCGCGCGCTCTACACATGGATTCAGTTATTCGACAAACCTCAAAGAAAGTTTCGTTTTGCACAAATGTCCGAGTCGTTGTTTGATGTTTGACAGCTAACCATGTTGAACATTGCTCCAGTTGTTCTTGGATACGTTCTTTTTCTTTTGAAGTAAGCTAGACCAGAATGATCAGAATGCGTATCTTTAGTTGCAGCATGATAATCGACTTACGACTTTCCAATTCAGGTTCAGGCTTGCTAAAAACGCCTTTTTATCTTCCAACGTTTCTTGTTCAAATCGATGCCTGCGAACGAATTCGTAAGCATAAATTCTGCCAGTAACCATATATCTGATAGTGAAACCTACTTGAATAGCAGACACTCTTGTCGTAAGAACCATGCCCGTGATTCCTCACTGTCACCGATGGAAAAGCTTGTTAGTGATTCTCATGAGTGAAAAAGACAGTATTGAAAACTGAATTTACCTGCGGCAATAGGCGAGACGCAAAATAAAATGACTAATATGATCTTTGCGCCGCTCCTCAAAGAGATTCGGTGATCGTGAAAGGTTGGATTTTAGTGGCAAGTGCTTTTCTAGCACTTGGTCAATGTCTCGATTAAAGTCGGCTCCTCGCTTGTTTCGTAATGCCGCGTTTTCAATTGCCTTTAACACTAACACAAGATACAACGTCAGTATCAGTTTTCGCTCCAACGTTGATGTATCATTGTACCTTGAAGACGATCGAGGGCGAACAGTTCCAGTTCTTCAATGGTAATTTCGGCGGGTGGTGGTTTGAGATAAAAATTGAGACGAGTAGGGTATTCACTATTGAGAGAGTTCTCTACATAGATTGGTTGGCGACTAGCTGCTGCCGCTGCAGCAAATCGGTTCACTCCTTTCTTTTGTTTCAACATGGTGGCAAATAAAAAAAGGTTAACGCGAATTTCAAGAAAAGAAAGAGAAGCGCGTCTCTTGAAAATCTAAAATTCTGGGAACGCGCAACCAGTCACTGCGGAGAAGGAAAATATGAGGTCTCGCTGGCTTGATTCAAATAACCATACGCTTTATGTGCAATAAAAAAAATGCGGTATATACAGTACAACGATATCATGCAAACGGGGTATTCAGGTTGCTCATTCAATATATGGAATATTCTTATCTGAACGAGCTAAGCCTCTGTGCTTCATATAGCTTCTGTTTCATAACTTCGTACTGATTCTCACTGTCGGCGTATTTCATTTTGAATTCGATAAGTTGGCTTTCCACTTCAACCAGTTGATCTTCCAGCGCCGAATTTTGTTGTACTAGCTCAGAGTTCCGCCTAGCCAATTCGTCAAACTGAGCTTGACGGTCGACATTGATCGTTTTTCGGATTTTATCGATTTCGATCTGCAGCTGCAATACGCTGCGACGCAACTGTTGGTTCTCCTCGTCAAGCCGTGCCATATTCATTTTCGATTCAATAACTTGACGAGCCACTTCCTGGTGCTCGCTTTCCAGCATCGCATAAGCTTTCTCGATACGCTGTTTTTGGTCCGTAAGTTCACGGTTCTTACGTTTCAGCTGGTCTTCCTCTGAATGGAGCTTGGCTTCACGTTTTACTTGTGCTGCATACTGTTTCGATAACTTTGCTAAATGTCGTGAAGAAATAGTAAACGAATAGGCGTCCTTGACAAATCCATAGGCATCATTCTTTGAATTGCAATATAAAGTTCAGAATGAATGCATTATTTCAATGGGATTTTTTTTTCTCCAGGATTACCTTATATTCATCGTAGATATTTTCGGCAAAAAACGCGAGTAGCCCCTCGAATTCTAGGCTTAAGATGGTTTGCTGATTACGCCGCATCAAGGCAAGAGCAAAGTTGAGAACGATCTGTGAACCTTCCACAAACACCACGTCGTACACACGAAACACAAGCTCAAGCGGACATCGATAGGCAAACAGCGTCATAAACCATTGAGCAGCGTACATGGAAGGCACAACCCCTTGGGCATCCAGATGACGATGAACTTCAGGCAAGAAGTAAAGAAGCAGTTGGTTGAACTGATACAATCGTTCGTGCAATTTTTCCATGTGACGAGTAAAGAGACCCCGTAGACCGTAGCAGCTCATCATCTTGACAAGGACGCAAAATGCAGCTTCATCAGGCATCTATGCATAGGGGTGCTAGTGAGTATCTCGTATGGTAAAATCCATTGGTCTATTTGAGGAGCTCTATTTTTACGTGCAATAATAGGCAGCCGACTACAAATGGGAGACCTTGACAATATCCGACTTGTTGATCAAAGATACTGTACGCTTTGATGACGTTGAATAAGGCTTCTTGACCTTCACCATCGCGTTCTTTGTAAAATGAATGTGAAGGAAATGTGCGTGCGAGATCGCCTCGTATGAGCTTCTCGTGAGGACTGGTACGATGGAGAAGCTCCCGGTATTCCGTTTCAATGACATTGCTGTTGTTCTTGGATTTGGAGAAAATCTGCCAAAGCATACCACGAAGCGAGGGCGGGACACCTAGGCTCAAATTTTCCTTGAGCCTGCCACTTTCTTTGGACTTGACGCGTTCAACGTCAGAAATAACTGAACTCCAGAATTCTAAAAGAAAATGGGAATATTTCAGCTAACTTAGTCACACATGGTAGCGTTGAAAATCGATTTACCCCAGTCATAGTCGTCCATATCCGAATTTTCTTTCAGGCGGTCAAGACTTATCTTGCTTTCTTCCTTAAGTATTTCCGTTTCTTCATTGATCCTGTCCTTATGATGATCATCCTGAGATGTCCGACCAAATTTAGCAACCAGTTTGTCGTAATAACTGCTGGTGGATGGCGGAGAGGTACCAGCAGCAGTACCAGGCGGCATTAACAGCTCTGAGATGCGTTTACTTTGACGCTTTTGAAATACTTCGGATGGACGCTCAAAAGGTACTGTGCTATCATGAGGCAATACACGACTAAAAGGCGTGGGTGAAGAAGCCCTTTTGTAACTATTGGAAGAAATCGCAGGTAGTGGCGCTTCCAAATCCTGCTCATTCTGCTGGTTGGTTGGATTTTGCTGACTATTTATACTGTCACCGCCATTGATTGATTTCGTCGCAGGCGAGCGTATTGACGAAATAGGAAAAGGTTGAGGACAAGACAGAGTCGCTGCTCGAGAGCGTCGCGCTGGCACCGGTGACATGCTGCTTAACATTGTAATTTCATCTTTATCTTTCACGTTCAACGAAGGTAAAGGAGGCAGTCCCAAGATAGGTTGTCTGGATACTGTCATAGCACGTCCACGACGTCCTACAGCAGATGATTTCGGCGTATCAGGTATAGTAAAGTTAGAAAGGGGTGGTTGCTGGGTGGCGGTGACCATGGATAAATGGTCGCTCTTTGTCACAGTGGGTGTGGTTGTAGCCGTATCCACAGAAAGATCGGTATCGTCGTCGCTGGAGACACAGCTCACGTGTTTCTGTCGCATAGCACCAGCTGTTGTTTCTATTGGCCTTGTGTCAACGTCCATTGGCGGTGATTGATCTGCTCTTTCTTGCGGTCGTCGCATATTATCATCACTTTCGCTTTCGGAACCGCTGGTATCATCATCGTATTCGTCGTCCGTACGTACTTGAACTGTAAAACCAAAATGGTCCTGATATTCTGCTTTGTGAGGGTTGAGCAGAACGTCGTCTACGACTTCAAGATCGTAATCGTGTAAAGGAAATCTTTCCTCTTCATTGGCCGATTCGTACCGGTGATCGTCGTCGACATCGGACGATTCACTATGGGAGGTTGGCTTTGGGGAACTTTGGGGAGCCTGAAGCATTTGAAACCTGGGGAGCAGTTGCAGGAACAAAGAGTAAAGAAAAAGAGTCCCAGACGGATGTGACTCAAAATTTTTCAATAAGCGCCCAAAAAGGAGATCGATTACAGACAATTTTTCAATTTATTTTATATAAAAAAAAGACAGTCTTAAAAAATACTACGAATTCTATCTATACTCTGAAAAATGTTTCCGTTTGCCATGGATCATCAGGAGGGGTAGGAATGGCGGAGGATGTTTGCGTAGCGGTGGTTGTATGCGTGAGTGGGCCGTCTCGTTCGTCGACAAAATCCCAAAGCCCGCAATCGTCACATTCGGACTCAACGCCGCATTTCGGAAGCGGAAACTCTTCCGGCTTTTTGAGGATATTCTCAATCACGTCCTGCACGCGATGCGATCGAATATCGACACGCCAACCATTATCATTCACAGTGTCCCACACACATACCTATCAATCAAATGATAAATTTTCAGTCACTATATGATTGGAAAGTTTTATGACGGATTTCTTTACTCACCTTGCCTGTGTGGCAACGCGTTTCCATTGCAAAACCTCCGTACCAGCAACTGCTGACTGGACCCTGAGAATGGTGTTACTCAATACAGTTGAACGAAAAAAAGGTTGATGAACCCTTACCGTGCATACTCCGACAAAGATAGGATCGGCGGTGTGCCCAAAATGCCAAAGTGGCATTTTGGCTGCACCAGGACCATGCGGTAAATGCAGGCGAGCAGAAGCAAGGCGATCGCCAGGGCTTTCAAAAGTGACGGTGGGAATACCAAAGGTTTGGCCTACCATACTGGCGACTGCTCCTCCCAATGAATGGCCGGTCAGCCAGATGGTGGCATTGGGAAATCGATTACTAACGTCGCTAAAGATTTCCTGCAACCCAAATTAAAAAATCAGCATTGGTCCAGTCGATCGAACCAGTCATTCTAGGTATGATGACACACACGATTTCCTTACCATGGCATGATCGTAGTAAAGCTCTGTGCTTGTTAATTTTTTTTCTAAGCAAAAACTTTCACAAAGATATTCGTTCCCCTGATAGCAATCACATACTGGGGTCCAGGCGCGACTGATACGGGCACAGCAGCAGGAAAATAGCATATTATCCTGTACAAAAAAAAAAAAAAAAAAAAAAAAAAAAAAACGAGTCAGAATCCATTTTCCTCAAGGCACGATGTACTATATTTTACATTGATTTTATCTTTGACCCCGGTCGGTCCCCCTGTCCATAAACCTGCACTTGTGCCCTTGATACTGATGACCATCAGCGTATGGTCTTCGTTGCTGAACACATGACCTCGTATTCCATCGGATTCCCATCCAAAAGAAGCATTCTATCCATACAAAAATCAATAGAAAATAAATAGGTTAGTCTTTGTTAGATTAGTGATATTCCAGCAGTATAACCCTTGTTCACTAACCACTTGCCACGGAGCACCAATGTCGTACCAGTCTGTCTCGTTGGTTTCGGAGTAAGCATTGTTCGTCATCATGGCCAGCGCCAGAACTGATTCTCTGTCGGATACGTTGGGCAACAAACCCCAGTCGGTTTCCATATCAAAGCCGTATCTGCGGATTCCAGAAAGTGTCCGCCATCGCATGAACTGGCCTCTGTCGTGAAGCATGCGCAGATTCTGCACCATAAATTCAGACGGACGATCCACCTGATCCAAGACTGGATGAAGGAGATACTTGGGTTGAGTATCGAGTGCCATTATTTCTGCAGGAACGTCGTGGCGGCGAAAAAGCTTTGGAATAGGACCATTAGCCGATGCATGGTGGTATATTGATTTCAGGACCAGTGTCTCTCGTTCCAGAGGGGACGTGTGGTCGGGTACATGAAAGTGCGCTTGATGCGGGGTCTGAAAGGCGATCACTTGGCATAACAGGCACATGCCTGCAAACAAAGGAATACCCAGCAGCTTATTGATTTTCATGTAGACAGATATGTGGGCTAAAAATTATTGATATTACAAAAATAAAAAGAAAAAGCAATTCAATCGCTCTGTTTGGATCGCTTCATGCTCAAAAAAGGATGCGTAGTTGATGGTCAGGTGGTTGGAACCAAAAGAGGACACGGGTCGTGACACCTGGCATCATTGGCATTGTTCTGATACGATTGTCTTGAGAGTGAAATCATGTGACATAAAGGTGAACCGTTTGAGAACTTTCTTTAGTGTTCTAACGATAGGATGGGCTTCATTCCTTTGAGAAACATATTATCATCAGTTTAATCTTTACTTGCAGGAAGCTCAAGGAAAGATTCTAAGCAGCACCAGTATCGCAGCCACGGTCATGGAACAAATCAGAGTCACAGAGCTTTCAAGTTTTAATACGTTTGTTACGATAGAGCGTTGACGTGTCTGCAATCTATGGCTCCCAATTTATCCTATACCCTTGCGCGGAAGCATCCAATGATAATGAATACAGTGGTAGGCCATCTAAAGCGGGTTTTTATTGTAAATAGGCACAACTCTATCAATTAGAGATGTCGCATTTAGCTTTTTTGTCGCATTCGCATACATTACAATCGTTATTTTCATTGATTACACTGATTGGATATCTAATTTATATGCAAAAACACAAGCCATAATAACTAATCTTTGTAAACAAAGAAGGTGATAACACTTTTTGTAAAAGAGAAACGAAGTAGTTTTGGCTGGCGTTGGGATGAGAGAGGTGTCTGGGTTTGAATAATTGAAGTTTATGAAAATAGTCACATTGATGTTAGGCAAGAGCCTTCAGCAAACCACAGTTCCATTTGTCACTGATCATGAAGACTGTCCGAGAAGATCATCAGAACCGAAACGCACCGCCTAAGCAGGGGTTGAAGAATAAAAGAAGCAATGTTGCGGCTCCTGACAGTCTTTCGAAGATCAAGAAAAGAATCCGAGATTACAAGCGATTGTTAAACAAGGTGAGCAGGTGGGGATCGGGACATGGCGCATAGGATTTTGTCTGATTTCGATTTCTAGGGAGCTGGCAATGCGAAAATTAAAGTTCAAACGGAACGACGATTGAGGGCTTTGGAATATGAACTGGGCGAGAAAATGATTGACGAGAGAGAACGCAAAATGTCAAAAAAGTATCACGGTGTCCGACACTTTGGTACGACAGTCTACGATGAACCTAATTGTGATTCACCTATTAATGATCCACTCTTCTAGAGCGCAAAAAGGTTTTACGCAAACTGAGAAGCAAACTGGGTGAGTTGGATGCTACGAAAGATCCTGAGCAAAAGGCCGAGATCGAGGCCGAGATTCAGGAGTTGCAACTCGATCAAAGATACATCGATGTAAGTGTGCTTTTTCCATCAAGTGTATTCATCAATTATTGCGGGAGCACCGGTTGTAACGGACACGCTTGTTTCTCCAGAATTACCCAATGACTTTACCATATGTGGCGTTATTTCCCACTACCAACGCGGATGATCCGGAATCGACCAAAAAACGCAATGCCATCCGCGAGAGAGTGAGACAGGCTTTAGAGAATGAGGCGGGTGACTTTTCGGATATGCGCAAAGAGTACCGTAGCAAGTATAGAAACATACTCGTTAAGCAGGGCAGCATACCCGAAGCCAAACCACTGGCGGATGAAGAAGAAGAAGGCGCAGTGGTGGATGAGGTTGAGGAACAAGCAAATAGCGATGAAGATATCAGGGAGGCAGATGACTTTTTCGAGTAAAAGTCTTTTGCTATGGCTTTATTTTTATTTTTTCCATTCACTTTACACATTCATTTTTCTATCCACATCATTTTCTAAACACGGCTCATATTTTTCTTGCTCAATCTTTGCACAATGGATTTTTGTTTGAACTCTGACGAAACCGCACGGCATTTACAATACTTCCAACAAAGGAATGGCAATACCGAGCGGTATGCGTACTTAAAAGGATCATGCGGTGTCCAATAGATCAACCCGAATCGAGAAGGCGCCCAGTCACTTACCACTATCATCTCGCGTCTTGGGTTTGCTCATTTCTTATTACTTTTTCTTTGTCCAGCGTGCTCTATGACAACCGTAAAAGCATCCTTATTTGACGTATCACGACTCTATAAAACTGTGGTCGACTTTGCCCAACCCCACGCCTTGACCATACAATTGAGAGACGACATTTTTTTCTTGATTGAATACGATACTGATTTTTGGAAAACCAAGGTGGACCCGTGTGACGGTTTCCCTGATTGATAGCAGTCACAACCAGCATCCTCTTTTCTGTTTTTTCCCCCTGTCCTGGGTTTCCGTTCTCGTTCACAGCACCGCACGATGAGGAAGCCGATTTACTCACTGACCCGTAAATTGGGACGTATGTCCTGGAACAAATATAATCTGTACAATATTGCGACCAAGCAGTTCCCCAGATTACATGAGAAAACTTTGTACCAACAGAAATGGATCTCCAAGCGAGAAACTCGAGCTTATCACGGTGACGAAGTGACCGAAAAGCAGTTCAAGGCCAAATTCTTTGAATCCCGATTGCCTACCGTGAATGCTGCAGCGTCCAACGTTCCTCATCCTCCCGTTGCTGTACTCACCTACGCTGAATTGGAAAGACGTTTGGATTTCATTGTGTTCCGTTCCAACTTTTGCCCCTCCATTTACGCTGCTCGTCAATTGTGTGTTCACGGCAAAGTCAAGCTTAACGGCAAAAAGGTAACTATCAGAGGCTGTTTTGGCTGTGCCATGAATGGTGTAATATGTGTGAATGGTGATCACTAATGGGTGAAATGAAAACGATCTCGGTTAGATGGCATTCCCTTCGCACAAAGTGAAAGACGGCGATGTGATCTCGGTGGACCCTGATGCCATTCAAATGCTGAAAGGAGAAAAGGGAACCGAACTCGAATATGAACTTAGACCATTCTCTCAGCCATTCTTGTTTGTGCCGGAATATCTTGAAGTGAATTACAATACCTGTCAAACTGTGTTCCTGAGATCACCGATTTCTCGACCTGGACGTTCCGAAATTCCTTCACCGTTGCCTCCCAACCTGCATTCATTGGCATACGAATACTACACTAGAAACAAATAATCGTTGCATCTTTGAATGATCTTCCATTCTTTTTTCTTTTCCACATTTCCTTTCTTTTTTTTTTATTTGGTTTGTAATCATTTTAAACAAAAAAAAGTCGCTATTTAATAGTCAAAGTCGTTCAAACGCTTTTAAAAGCTCTATAGTGATATGATGAAGCTCTGATCTATTGTCGTCTTTAATATTTCATGATGATCACCGAAACACAGCGATGTGATAGAATGTACGATCACAGTATGAATCCATGTCACGCCTGCAAACGATAGGCTTACGCAAATTGCTTGGATCCACAAAAATAAAGCGATGGTCCTAATGCAAGCCGCAAGCTGACCCATAAACCTGAGAAATTATAAATGCCCAATTCTATCGTGTCCGTCGCAGTTGGCTTGACATGATTTTTCTGCATTTTGACGGGCTTCACACGAATTACATATTTTCTCATTTTTTAAGGTGAATCAACTCGGAAAAGCGTTACGAACGAATGAAATTTCAGACAGTCGATGGATGTAAACGACTTTGAACAGACCTTAGTTCCGTTTTTTTTTTCTAATAGTAAGTTCTGTGATAGATGGACGTAAACAGGACAAGCTAAGCGGAGTAAACTAGATGAAGCTATCGCTTCAGCAAGAATATTATCTAGAGGCAGGCAGAGTAATGATCTTGATTGTCAGAGTTTCTAGAACCGAACCAACATGAACTATGTGTGACGTGTGGGATACTGAAAAAAAAAAGAAATTCCAGATCAATATTTATGGTAAATTTTCTGCTCACTGGGAACGATTATGATTCGTGCTTTGAACAACGAAAAAGAACGATATGCAGAACTCTTCAGGCAGAATCTCGAATTCCGGAGCTGCCATATGCGGTTACCCCAGAAAAAAGCTTTCTCCTAATAGATCACATCATATGCCGGGTAGAAGCAAGGATCACAGGCGTATAAATCCAATCAGCATACAATCTAGTCCAACAATCAATGCTTTTTCAATATATCGCACGAGACATGTTATATCACAGCCTCATATGAAGCAAACTAAAATTTGATTCGTTTTACAGCAGTACTTGCTGGAGATTCACATAAGCATAGAAGACAGAAGAAGTAATTCAAGAGACTATTCGCATGATCTCTATTCATCATGAGCAGCTTTTTATTTTCCTTGGACAAGATGCATTCATTATGCATAAATATAAGCAGTTTACACATTACCCAAAAAATTGGGTGGTCTATTCATGTGCCCAAACTGGAGATAATTCCAAAACTTTTTAGTCAAATCCAAAAAAAAAGAAGATAGTCTATTTCACAATAACAGACAATAATGGAGCGGAAGATAAGGCGAGGTATGGGCTTATCTGCTGTCTTTCCTGAGATAAAATAAGCACACCAAGCTAGTTTACCGTCTTGGCGTTTAACTCATTATGGAATCGTTATCAATGAAAGAATAATGACCGCACGTTTCATGATAAATTATCTGCTACGTGATCTGAAAGCTGCATCATGATGAGTCGATTGAATAGGATGACAAATACCGTTGTCATTCTAAGGAGTATTTTGCTTTGTAGAGATGGAGTTCAACCAAAATCTAGATCCTCGGCAAAAATATCATTTCATGCTCTCACCATGCTGATGACAATATGATGGATCGACTGATTCGTGTAACCCCAAAGTCTATCTGCGAAAATTTTCCATGGCTTGGGAAAACTAACATCGTTTTAGTAAAGAACTAGCCTGATCCGAAAGCAAATGGTAACATGAGCATGTCAAACAACAGATAACTTTGTCTTCTCAATATGCGAATGTTTGAATAAACCAAGCCAAAACTATCATTGACGGATTCCAAATAGGATGATTTCATATCTCATAGTTCTTTTTTACTTTGGATGGATATACAACGTGGAGAATGGGGATTTTGAATGCAGAACGCATGTGACACACGTTTGTTCCGTCTGAGCGGGACGGCTGTGCACTCCTCATTTTTTTTTTTTTTTTTTTTTTTTTGCTGTTTGTTGCCAGTTCCGCGGAAGATGTCTGGAAGACGTCCGTTCTAATTATAGATGCATCGTGTGCAAGTTTCTTTACAATGGAGTCCCCTATTGATTTTTATTCAAAGAGAACAAAAAAAAAAGGTCAAGTGACTTTAGAAAGAATAAGTAAGCATCTTGGTCTTTTGTTTATCTACTTTTTATTTCATCTTTTTATTTTTTCGATGAAGAATAGGATACAATGTTTGAATAAGAGAAGTTGCTTCGGAATCAGCTCCGACTTATTGACTGTGTTACAGAATCGGTTGAATCTCACAGCAGGATTATGCATTCTGTTTAAAGGAATGAAACGAAAAAAAAATAAAAAAAATCCCCATTTTTCGCTGCGAAAGGCATTCATCTGCCTAAATTATGGCAAACACTGTGCATGATGGATTAAACTATTATACGGCCCCTTAAATTACTAAAACTGTTTTGGCAAACCCCATTCAGTATTTTCTCTTTTTCAACTTTTTTTTTTTTACTGTTCCGCGGTTGGAAGTTGAGGAAAGTCAAGGGAGGAGTTTCCCTTCCCAAAAAAAAAGGCACAATGAGGGGAAACGAAAAGGAGATATCAGGTACACCACTAGGTGGGATGGTCAAAAGGCCAAAAAACAAGGTAAACACCAAAAATAGTAAAAAAGAAGTACAACGCATGGATGATTTCTTTCAGAGCCGGATAAATGTATGCACCGCTTGTATTCATCATAATGATTTTATATTTTTGTAATATCTCACGTATAATGCGCCATGTCCTATTATGTATTAGAAACATGTTGAAATTGTGTTAATCTTGACATCCATTTTTCTTGAAATAAATTAAGTAGTAAGAAATGTTGATGTGAAATATGGTATTTTCATGGCTACAATCGAAGCAAAAATAAACGTTGATGAAGAAAGAAATATCATCTTTTTTTTTATTCCTGTTTTGAATATCAAGACATACAAACAAGGAAATCAGAGGGGAATGACCCTTTTTTTCATTGAGGTGAGAGAGAAATTACCGATTGGTTACTCATTCGGTAACACAACAGCCGGCTTATCCCATCCCCCACACGAAAATCAATGGGACCAATCAGCGTGTCTCCTATTCTTTGACCTCTTTCTCGTGGGTGTCCATTTTTTGTTGTTAGGCTATATAACACTTGGATTACTTCTCTCTTTTTTTGTCTTCTTTTCTTTTCTTTTCTTTTTTTTTTTTTTTTCCTTTGCCGTCTACCTTTGCAAGCGAAAAATCTTATAAAACACAATCTCCGTCTTCTATATGAACTTGCTAAGATGTCGAAAACCACTCACGGACTCTCAAAATCATCCTCGCAACAACAACCATTAACCACTCCTCAGCAGACAAAGAGAGTAAAAGTAACAATGGCATGCACCATTTGCCGTAAAAAAAAAGTCAAATGTGACGGTATTCAACCTTGTTGTATGCGTTGCAAATCGTCCGGTCAACCTTGCGAATACACAGACCCACCTCGGAAAAGAGGACCCCCCAAAGGTTATGTGGAAGTCATTGAGAATCGAGCTCATCGCATTGAATCGCTGCTGAGCAAAGAAGCTCACTGCAACTCAGGTAAAGCTTGGCGAAAAAAAGATATAAAACATAGGAAAAAAAACTCAATTACATATATGGCTATATTCATTGATTTATGTCATATTGACCCACCTTTTTTTTTTTCTTTCCTCTTTCTGAACAATGAGCAGTGTGGTCCACATGTCCCACCGCGTCGTCAAACGAACCTGTTTCTGAAACACGAGATGATATTGTCAAAACAGAAGACATTTCAGAGACACCGGTGTCGACTCAGCCTGTGGGAGAGTTTTCCTCATCTGCAGTGAATACTATTCTCAACTTGGTCACGGGAGCAGCTAACGACACTCTCAATACCAAGCAGGCTGTGGATAGTTCCGTTCCAGGACAGGCTGTACGTTTCTTTGCGTCCTTTTTTTTCGTTTCATATGGTGTTACAAGGGGAAAACAAGTAAAGACACAGATCACTGATAAGGTCCTTCTTTTTATGACTCCTCTAGGGCAGCAATGGCAATCAGTACGATTTTATGACGAGTGATACTGTCCCACAATCAACCGCAACATTGTGGGCAGATAATTTCTTTGCCTATTTCAACCTGTTCTTCCCGATTTTATCGCGGCCCCACTTTATGCATCAACTCGTAACTCAGCCACAGAAAATGGATCCCTTACTTCGGAACGCTGTGTTCGCGATCGGATCCCATTACACCAAGCACGTGCATGAGACTGACTGTGTGAGCCGACAATTTTTTAACCAATGTCGATCCATGCTCCATTTATCATCGGGAAAGCCCACACTCTCTTCACTGCAGGTAATTTATCAGAAAAGACACGATGATGGAATGTTTTGGATATGGCTTTTGGTTTCGGTAGACAGCCCTGAATCCCTGACTCGTTTCTTTTTTATTTCTTATAAGGCATTGGTGATCATGTGCTGGTACAGTTATCTCCAGGACGATATGCAAACGTGCTCAGAGTTACGATTGACCCTCATCGCTTGCTTACGGGAACTGAACCTTGGGTGCGATCCTGGCACTTCGTTGGATACCGTCAACGTGGAATTACGTCGCCGAGCATTTTGGACAAGCTATGTTATCGATCAGTGGCTGACGGTGTGTACTGGGCACCGTCTGATGAGCTTGCGAAGAGAAAAGTGGGATTGCAAATGGCCACAACTGGAAGACAGTCAGCTCTATGCATTGGATAGTCGAAAACTAAAGTGGGAGGGCCATGCGTGGTCATCGACGGCATGCCACGATATATCAGCCGAAGCGGCCTTGCAGGTGACCGCGTTTTCACAGATGATCAAGTTGGCGCAAATCATGGGAGACAGCCATGAACGTCTGTATGCAAATCCTCCCGTCTCTTTCACAGCGCATCAACAACCGTTGGAAGCCGCTTTGACCGAATGGTTACTCAATTTGCCTTCCTATCTCGAATATGGCAAATCCGACGATGATACGCCGCCTTCGCCCATGGCCAAGATTTACCGCATTCTCTATTATACCGTGCAGATCATGTTACATCGTCCGAGCTTTGACCATCCAAATGACTTTAGTCGCAGTATATGCATGACAGCCGCCAATACAATCATTCACGTGGCAGAACAGATGCACTGGCACGATCAAGTGCGTTACCTTTACAACACCTTCAACACCTCGCTTTCGCTCGCCACTTCCATCCATCTCGATGCCGTGCTTCACGCGGGGTTCGATAACGTGCCGGCGAGAATCAATCTGGCCAAAAGCGTGCGTCTACTCAAGGACACCAATTGCACCCTTTTACCCCAACCGGAGTTTGAACATCTTTTGGATCACTTTCTCACGGATCGCTGTGGCATTATTCTGGAACAGCAAACACTGTCGACAATACCTGCCTACGTCAAAAATTTGAAACGGGCCTCCACCTTTCATCCTGACGAATCGAGTCCTAAGCGCCGATCCATTCCTTTCGACCATGAGTCACCGTCCTCTTCGATCTCTTCCACTTCCTCTATATCCGAGATTGATTTGGATCGCTTTTTCAACGAGAACACCATCTTATCGGATCTTCTCTATGCACAAATGACACCCACTGATCCCAACTTTTTTCAAGCCTTCGATCCCCTTCCCAATGACTGGCTCGGCCATCCTTCGGACCTTATGAATATTATGGAAAATCCCTCATCTACTTACACCCTCACACCGTCCGCCGAGTCGTTTACTTCTTCTCTTTCACCTGACTCGAGTTTTTCTCCCTCTCAATCGCCGGTGGTAGCAAGTCTGCCAAAGAAGGAGGACTATAGCAAGCTGCTGACGGATCCTGCCGTAATCGAAGTTTACTCTGCAGCAGAGCAGTTTCTTTTCGGAGCATGCCTGTGACCATCGACACACTCTATTGTTCTGAATCCAGCTTTTTGTCTTTCTCTGTTTCTTTCTATCTCGGTCCATTTGCTATTTTTTCTTTCGCTCTTTTTTTGCTTTCCTTTTTTATAGCAGCTGCCTGGTTCTTCTCTCGCTACAAGTTGGTTTTCCCTTTTCTTTCTTCATTGTGCATATGCTATCGCGCGACTTTCCTTGTAATTATCCCATTCTTTCTTCTCTCTTCTTTTCTATTTTCACCTTTCCCTTTTATTTTCCTTTTTCGTTGTGAAACTGTACAAAAAATTAATGCATACATTGCGTATACGTTATATATTCCCACTCAGAGGATCTTATAATATTCTCAATTGCACCACTACTATCCTTCCCTTATGATCTTATGAAACTTGTTTCCTGTTTCTATTCTTTCTCTATTATCTTTTTATATTCCTCCAACTTTTTTTTTTCTTGTCACACACCATTTTCATGATCACACCAATGCACACCTTTCACTTTTTATAATTATCATCAACGTCATCAATACTTTCTGGCAAAAATACAATGTATACCCTCGCTCCATTTTCATAAAAAACCAAATAGTACATCATCTAATGATCCAGCGGTGGTCCTTGAGCACAATATGCCACTCATACCGCTGTCACCGGCTCCCAATATTTCACCTGACTAGTCACGCTGCACCTTGGGTATAATTTTAATATGTGCCCTTGTGACCATGTCGTATAATCTGGTCTATTATAACATTTTTTGTCAGCTTCTGAATTTTTGCCAGGACACTCTCTTTATTCGACATAAAATCAGGCAAGTGGGCTTGATGGCAGTGACTTAAAGGGTTCAACGTGAATTGGGGAGGAGCACTCACTCGTTCCATACCTTTGGAATTCCCATCACATTTATTCAAATCAGTACAGCTCTTAAAAAAACGCGAATATTGTGTTTTACAAGGAAACAATAGTGAATTTCATGGATTCAGCAATTGATAAAGGTCCACTCATATAAAAAAGAAACATCCGATATCAGTGATAACCGTTTTGATCATGTCATTCACTCACTGCTTTGCATAGTATTCGATTGCCACTAGCTTTTTCAGTGAAAAAAAAAAAAAAGGCAAGAAAACTTCTCCTGGAAATATAGATTATGCATCACGGTTGGCTACAGAGGCAGCGACTCCTGCATGGTCGAGGCTGGTTTTTACGTTTTTGCCTAAAATATGGCGTGTTCCTTGGCTGTCAAGTGTCAATCTCAGTGGCTTATTGTTTCATCCACGGTTGTGTAAAAGCCTCTCATACTGATAGCAAAACAGGAACGGTGGGTTTTGGAAGAAGATTACCAAAATGATGCCATCAGCGATGTATATATGTCTTTGAGCAAAAGCTAATATGTTCATGATATCAACTGCTAAACGAGTTGGCTTTCGTTTCCTGGTCCATCCCCAAATCCCATCGTTCAAAAAAAACATTGAAAACCCGACCTTTTCAGGCTTTTTCCCAATACGCTTTCTTTGAACGTATGATTGTCCAAGCTCGTCCTTCCGCACCGTCATTTTCGAACAAAGAGCAGGCATTGGAGCCTCGTCCAAGTTCGTTTGAACGGTTTCTCAAAGAAGCATTGGATGTCATCTTTCAGCTACGGGTCAATGTGGATTCAGCTTTATATGGCGGAGACGCGCACGACGATGGCGACACGGACGACGGCACGGTGACTTGGAAACTTCACCTGTCACCTCCCATGCTCACACTCGATACCAACATTCAGACCATCTCGGGACTGGAACAAGTCCTGGAACAACTGCGAGTCAATATCACTCCTCGTCCACCCAAGATCAGAGCCCCGCGATCGGTCTCGAGTAGGCATTTCATCCCTTCGAGTCTTCTACGCGCCGTCGAAAGTAGTATACGGTTATCGGCCATACTCAGCATACCAAAAATCAATGTTTTCCGAAAATACAACTCGCAACTCCTCATGCGACAATGTGTGCAAGCATTTACCATGTGCGATGGGGCCTTCTTTTTGGATTCCACCAAACTCATGGCCGACATGTCACTGGTCATGTCGCACGCCGACGCACCAAAAACGTATCCGACCGAAACACTACTGGTCCTTAGTATTTGTTCTCTGAGCATTCGACATGCATTTATACACAAACAAGGTCACCCCAGCGTCGCCACTGGCTTGGCCCATGCCTACTACTCTCAGGCACGCATGTTGTTACAGGATTTATTTGATGTGCAGCATATCTCGGTGATCCAATCGCTTCTCATCTTATCGCTATTCCCGTACGGTCATGTCGACATGTTTTCTCCAGCGCGAATATCATCGCCACTTCTTACGACGGCCATTCGCGCAGCACTCGGCATGAATTTGCATCGGATCGATGCCACTGATCAACCACCCTCCAACGACGTAGAATTGAAGCGACGAGTGGCGTGGATACTCTTTTGTGCGGATTACTTTGCAGATTGGAATACGACGGGCAATACCGGGTTAATTGATGTCACCTATTGGCACGTGGATTTTGTCCGCCCCATTGCGGGCGAACCTCTCGCACGTCGAGTCGAGTATTTCTCGGAATACTGTCGCATGGTCACACTAAGAAAACTGCATTTGTTCGGTACATCCTATATGATGACGCAGAGATCGTCAAAAGCCATGAAACTCGCTGCCGATGGCCAGTTATTCCCAATGTACTTCAACACCCCGCCGAATTTCGCATTGCATTTAAACCCGGAGGAACGGTCCTGGCAAAAAGAGGATCTGGAGCCTCTGTTACTTCATCGATTATACGCTGATACGCTCATCATGACACATGTACCGTTTTTACCCCGTCGCTATCTTGCTAGTTTGGATAACGAGGCGCCAACGAGGGAAACCGACATGAAAAATGTTTATCAACGCATTGTTCACTTATCCGGATCGACATCCTTCGTATCTCCTTTCCCATCCTTTCCCCCTTACACATCCCATGCATCTGGACCTACTTGTTCTTCTTCATCGTCATCCCAAAATCCATTCCCGTCATCCATGGCCGCTTCCGAATCCAATGCGGCTCTGGAACTTCATTGCATCCTCGGTATTCTTACTGCCGCTCATCAATATACCCATATCATGGAAGCATTGGTTGTCATTGATCCATTAGGGTGTTTTCAGTCGCCTGTGCATGGAATTCTCATCATCGCGTACGTCTCCCATATGATACAGACGAACTGTCAAGACCCGGACGCTATCGTGATTTGCCGCGTCAATCTGGTTCGCTTATTGCGTATCTTTCAACAAGTGCGAAACGTCTACAGTGACCCTGCTCTTCTCTATATCGAACGCCTACTATCGCGATGGATCACTTCACTTACCGATGGGTCCACTCCGGTCTTACGACAACAAGTCATGCAACGGCTCAACGCTGTACGAGAAAGAACCAATTTACTTATGGAGAATAGCAGTGATGTGAATGTAAAAATAGAGCCTTTTGAAGAAATATAGGATGGTCAAATTGCTATACCCTCGTAAGAACAAAAAAAAAAAGCCCTCTTTTCGTTTTCGTAATACATATATTCTCGTCTCTCATGATATTTGCTAGTCATTGGGATTCCATCATGTTCGGATTGAGTATCTTTCCATATCCTGAAACCACTTGTACATGCTAAAATGACTGTATTTTGCTTGGTTCCTTACTTTTAAAGGATTGGCGTTGTTAAGGGTCTTATCATTAGTGTACTTCTACCAATGGCCTCAACCAGATCTGGTCATAACATTGGTGTGATTGATCGTTGAGAACCAAAACAAAGATATTAATCTGAAACCGACGTTTCGCTGGTCATGAAATCGTTCACAGCTGTCATTTTTTTCCCCAGCAGATCATGGTTCCCTGTTAAGAAGCAACGTGTTTGTCCCATAACAATGACTAAGCGCGTTATATAGATGATTAACCCAAGTTCTTGTCGTCCTCTATACAGTAATGTGATCGTCTATGCCTTGTTGACATGGAATAGAAAAGTCCCGCTGGCTTTGCTGTGTTGTAAAATAAGGTGCTGATCCCTTTTTTTTTTTTTTTTTTTTTTTTTTTTTTTTTTTTTTGGTTTTAACACCGAGATGTTGGGAACACGGAGTATGAAAATAAAGAAGATTTGTGATTTCAGTGGCGATCCGTGGGATCATGGTTCATGCAATTCCAGATGAGACAAGTTAAGTTGTCACAAGGCTTCTTCTCAAATGTTTGTTGCTCCCGTTGAGACAACTATCAAGCTAGATTTTCATTCTAATTATCACAAAGAAAAAAGGGGATGCTGCAAGTATTGCACGACAAGCTTAGCATGAACCATGCACCTAATACAGCATCACAGGTCAGGGATGAGCTTCATATTAAGAAAAATTATTTCGCCAGTCATATCGGAGCCATTTTCATTATAGAGTAAGCTTTCCAATGGCGATCCTGATCTTATTGAAAAACCGCACACAAATCAGTGCACGGAAGCTCGCTTATTATCCGCGGTGCCCATGGCAACCTCAGTTTAAACAATGACCAGTGACAAAAATACATTCAGTTGTTGTTCATTTAAATATCCATTATAAACAAATGGCTTCATTCAATTAGCATACAGTGTAGTCATGTCAAATGTTGACCTCTACTGTTTGGCAACAGTCGGTCCTAGGACAGGCACCCGTTCACGTTCAGCTTGATCGGCACTCCGAATTTCAGGCACGGCTATACCGTTTTAGGAAAGAATAGGTGAATCAAATTAGCATTGAGTGCGGACCTGAACCATTTTGTACCACTCAGAACATGATCTTTAATGAACCCACGGTGGCACGACCATTAATTGGTTTTCATCTCCATCGACGGACAAGTCGTCGACCCGCCAATCACGATCTTTCAGCCTAACAAATAGTCGCGATACTAAATGAATCAAGGTACCCTTTTTCATTGTATAAAAGGCTCATACTTACCGACATTGTACCACTTTACATTTTTTTGTCAAGTTTTCCAATTTTGGGTTCTTCTTGCGGTGAAAAACCATGCTTTGTCCATCTGTGAAGAAACTTGTGCTGGCCGCTTTTCTATTCGGTATTCCTCTGAATGCTTTGCCCTTGGAGTCCCATCAAGCGTTGGCTCCTCGCGCCGCTAATAGTGGCCATTTGAAGGGCAAATTTCTTCACGTTACAGGTACTTTTGATTGAATATTTTATTTTTTCTTCAAAAATCTCTTGTAATTGTATATCTAACCTATCACTTCATGACAGACATCCATATTGATCCCAACTACATGGCTGGCTCGGATCCTGACCAATTGTGCCATCGCAAGAGTGAAGATGACGATGACAATACTGCGGGCAAATTCGGTGCTTTGCATACCAAATGCGATTCCCCTATTCCCTTGGTAAAATAAGAAAAGTCCTATGGTCATACATTGGAGCACTGTTAACACTGTCGATACTTTAGGTCGAAGCCTCCTTCAAATTCATGAAGGAATCCTTGCAAGATGTGGATTTTATTATTTACACGGGTGATACGGCGCGTCACGTAAGACGAAAAATGGAATCTGTTTAATTAGCTTTCTTCGTAACATGTGAAATAATTTCTAGGATCGTGATGACGACAAGCCTCGTACAAAAGACGACGTGTTGCATGACCACAAGGCCGTGGTGAAATACTTTATGGACACTTACGACGTCGGAGACATCCCTTTCGTAAGTTCCGCATTTGAACGTGAATTCTTGCATATTGAGTTGCGGTGGGTCTGACTTTGAATGCTTTGATTGAATGATTTAGATTCCTACAATAGGCAACAATGACCCTATTGAACACAACGAAGTTGTCAAGAAGGATGCGCTTTTCGACGATCTCAAGACGATCTGGAAGCCGTTCCAGCTGGATCTGAAAGATAGCTTCGACAAAGGTGGCTATTTCTATCAAGACGTTATTCCAGGCAAGCTTCGCGTGATCAGTTTGAATACCATGTTTTTCTACAAGAAAAACGACGACGTTCCCGATTGCGACGAGAAGAATGGACCTGGTGCCGTGCACTTGTCTTGGTTGGAAGACGCATTAAAGGATACAAAGAAATCAGGCTCCAAAGCCTACCTTATCGGCCATGTTCCTCCCAACGATGATGACGACGAAAAGATCTTCAAAGACAAGTGTCACTCCAAATATATCAATCTCTTGGGCAAATACAGCGACGTAATTACCGGTCATTTTACAGGTCATACCAACGGTGAGTGAAAAAAAGGAAAACGTATGTCAAGAGACAACATGAAACTTACGCGTATATTGGCAGACGATATGTTATCAGCTGTTGTCAAGGACCACGGTGACTCATACGGTCATGTCTCAGCCGTGCACAAGAAAAAGAAGTTGAAAGATATCAATGCTGACAGGGCCGTGACCGTGATGTTCAATGCTCCCTCTATCCTTCCTTCCAACAATCCTGCTATTCGAGTCTATGAATATGACACTGGTTCCGGCGATTTGCCCGCAGGAACGATCAAGGACTGGAACCAGTACTATGTAGATCTCAAGAAAGCCAACAAGGAAGATAAAGTCACCTACGAGAAGGAATACCAAGCTTCCAGATTATTCGGCATCAACCATTTTGATGCGGCGGGTATCAAGAAGATCTTTAAGAAGATTGCCACTGACAAGAAGCTTAGAAAGCAGTATTCAAAATATGTCAAAGTTTCCAGAAAAGATTGAACCATTATTAGATAATTCAGTATAGATTATTTGCTTTACAATAACAGGGCTGGATCCTTGTCATTGCACTTTTGTACTTTTAAACTGTTATAAAGTTTTTTCTCTATTATCCTCTGAATTTGTTTTTCTTCCTGTGGTCAAAGAATAGTTTTTAGAATCTTTCGAAATAATCCAACATGCCTTTGCATAAAGGAAAAAAGAAAAAGCTATACAGCATCTCTCCCATATTGCCTGCCATTCAGCAGAAGAGTGGGATTTAACATTTAAGTTTTTCACTGCCGAATTGAATCAAGCGATCGTCTTAAACAAACTACCAAGTCTTCACCAGAAATACCAAAAAAGAATATTAGGCAAAGATTGTAAAAGTTTAATATCTAAAAACAGAGCAAGAAGCAGCTTTCCAAAAGAAAGGTCATCGGAAAAGGAAGTTTGTCGCACTGCATTGTCCACAAATTAGACAAGCCACCACTTGAAATCCAGCTGCATTTTTGTGACTTACTCTTTCTCGACCCTTTTTTGCAAAAAAAAAAAAAAAAAAAAAAGGTCGAAATTTCTCGCTGTATTGTCTCCACTTGGTTTAACTCAATATGGTTGCGCAAAAGAGAAAAGCCATGGTCGATGAGCCAGCAACCAGCTTACTGTCTTCCACCGAGGAGGTCAATTTTCCTCGTGGAGGTGCAAGTGCTCTTTCTCCTTTGGAACATCGAGAAATTGCCAATAAAGCAGCCCAAGATCTCTTTACAACGGTATATTTGGATCAGCTATGGATGCCACGCCATTCCTTGTACTAATGATTCATATGCAAATAGTCGCCCGAAAAGCAGACCGAAACCACTACCGAGACGGTCACGAAAAAACGTCGTCCCAATAAGAACAAGAAGAAACCAGCACCCAAAGAGACTTCTTCCAACGAACCCAAATTGAAGCCCATTGAATTGCTCACTTTCAAGGTAAGCAATTTGCCATTCACAATCAAGCTGAAAATATCATCGATGTTCACTAATTATATCATGTGCAGCAACTTACCGAGGGCGCTTTGTTACTTGGATGCATTTCACACATTAGCGATCTTGAGCTTATTGTGGCCTTGCCACAACAGCTCACGGGTGTTGTACCCATCACCGAGATCTCCGATCCTATTACTACTCGCGTGGAATTAGCAGCCAATGCCGAGGAAGACGAAGAAAAAGACGACGACGACGACCAGTCGGAACTTCCTGATTTAAAGGAACTTTTCCACTTGGGTCAGTGGGTCCGCTGTCGTGTGATCTCGGTAGCCGACGGTGAATCAGACAATCAAAAGAAGCGAATCGAGCTTAGTTTGAAACCTGAGAAGGTGAATGCTGACATTGCCAAAGTGGATGTGACGACGGGCATGGTACGTGATTTATAGGAAAAGAAAAATGGATGACCTGGCAACGTTGGATTGATTTTTTTGTGTGTGTTTCTTCAGACATTGGGTGCCTACGTTCAAAGTGTGGAAGATCACGGTTATATTTTATCGCTTGGTTTGAAAGACTTGACCGGCTTTTGCAACAATGCCGAGGCGAAGACCTACATTGAAAAATATAACCGTGGTCAAGAGCTTGTTCCCGGACAATTGGTGGAATGCATGGTGACGAAAAAATCCGGCAACAAGCGTACCGTGACCGTTACTTTGGATCATAAAAAGCTGGCCAAGGGCGTTCTCGAGGAACCATGCTCACGTATCGCTTCGCTGATCCCAGGTCAATTGGTGGAAGGTGTAGTGGAGACCGTCCAAGCGAATGGCGTGATTGTCAAATTCATGGGGTTATACCAAGCTACAATCAGCGTTTCTCACATGCCAGCGGGCACCAATGTGGAAGAAAGCTACAAGATTGGTCAAAAGGTCCAATTCCGTATTCTCTATAGTATTCTCAATGTGGATCAGAAGAAAATCGCTGGTTCCGTTTTGCAGCACGTGCTTAGCCTTGACAGTCCCATTCTCGCGGCCGGCAAACAATCACAGCAATATGTCAGTGAAGCTTTCCCCTACGGCACATTTTTGGATAATGTCACTGCTTGCCGTGTCACCAAAGTCGGCGTGTATGTGACCATCCAAGGTCTGGAAGGCGTGGCTGGTTTTATTCACGTAAGTAGAAAGAAAAAAAGTGAGAGAAATACCGTGATTGACAAAAATCTGAATTGCATTAGATTTCGCGTCTCGCCGATGAGCAAGTTCCCAGCATTTCCGCCAACAACGGTCCCTATAAATTGGGCTCCACTCATCGTGCTCGTGTCTTGGGCTATAATCCTGTGGATGCCATGTTCTTGTTAACGATCCAACCGAGTGTCTTGGCTGAGAAGTTCTTGCGTATTGAAGATATTGAAGTTGGCAGTGTCATCGAAGCGACGGCACAGAAGCTCGTGGATAGCGGCTTGATTGTCAACATTTCCCGTTCCATGACTGCTTTGGTTCCTACCCATCACTTGTCCGATGTGAAGTTGTCGCACCCCGAAATCAAGTTCAAGCCGGGTGTTAAAGTTCGTGCGCGCGTTATGCTCACCAATGCGGCCAAGCGCAAGGTACTCCTGACCTTGAAGAGATCATTGATTGACAGCGAATTGCCCCTCATCAAGGACATGAAAGATGTACAACCAGGCATGATCAGCCATGGTGTGATTGTCTCGCTCCGAAGCGTGGGTTGTGTCGTTGGATTCTACAACAACATCACCGCGTTTGCTCACATCAGCGAAATGACCGAAACCACGGTGCGCAATATTGCCGATGTCTTCCACGTCGGCCAGACCGTGAAAGCTCGCGTGATCAATGTGGATGCTGAAAACAACAAGATGCAAGTCTCCTTCATCAACAAGAAGAAGGAAAAGAAGGAGAAGAAAGAAGCCAAAGCCCAAGCCGTTGATGAAGAAACGAAACCTGGCAAGCTCGTGCAAGTCACCATCAAGGAAATCAAAAAGACACAACTCAATGTATCGTTGCCCAATGGCATGGTGGGCCGTATTCATATTACCGAGATCTACAAAGACATGGACTCTATTCAGAACAAGCGTCATCCCTTGCGTCGTTTCCGCAGCGGCACTCAAGTGGAAGCCCGCATTCTCGGTGTTCGCGATGTGAAGTTGCACACGTATTTACCCATTTCCAACACTAGCAAGACCAAGCAGACCATTGAATGCTCTCTTTTGGATGCCAGCGATGGCTATCAACCTCCTCGCGATATCCGCAACGTCAAGGCTGGAGAGTCTTATATTGGTTTCATCGGAGGTTTCGAGAAAGAGCATGCCCTTGTTCATATTGGTGCCCATACAACCGGTATTATTCCAAAGCAGTATATCTCGAGCGACCCTGCATTGGCGAACGACATGACGAAACATTTTATTATTGGCCAAGCCATCAAGGTGGCCGTTTTGAATGTCGATGCGGGCAAAAAGTCATTAAAGATGATGCATCAAGATACCGACGATACCCAGGTCATTGATGATTTCGACTCGTTGAGCAAAGGACAAGTCGTGAGTGGTGTTATCCGCAAGGTCGATGAACAGCACGGTTTACTGGTGGGTTTGAACAAAAAGATGGCCGGCAAAGTGCATCGCACGGATTTGTCGGACACCTTTACCGATGATCCTACAGCCGGATTCAAAGTGGGTCAGGTGGTCCGTTGTGCTGTGATCTCCATCGATGCCAAGAACAAGCGTGTCGATTTGTCTCTGCGAGCTTCCCGTCTTGAATCTGGAGTGGTACCCAAGAATCCTGAAATCCAGTCCGTTGAAGATGTCAAGGAAGGACAAATCTTGCAAGGTTACGTGGAGAACATTGTGGATGCCGGTGTCTTTGTCGGTTACGGTCGCCAAATCCGCGCTCGTGTGAAGATTGCCAATTTGTCGGATGCGTTCGTGAAGGAGTGGAAAGAGATTTATCATGTGGGCCAACTCGTCACTTCCAAGGTGCTTCAAGTGGATGTTAATGTGAAGCGCATCGAAGCTTCGTTGAAGAAGAGCGTGGTGGAAGGTATTGCTTTGCCCAAGAAGCGTAAAGCAAGTGAAGAAGAGGAGGAAGCCGCCATCATTGATAGCGAAGACGAAGAAATGGAAGATGCGTCAGAAAGTGAAAGTGATGAGGCCTCCGAAGATGAACAGATGGAGGGTCAGGAAGAAGATGATGACGAAGATGAAGAAATGGAAGAAGCTCAGGAAGAGAATGAGGAAGACGAAGAGGAGGAAGAAGAAGAAGAAGATACCGAAGCTCCTGCGCTGTCATTGAGTGGATTTGATTGGACTGGACAAACCGCCACGACCACTGAAAAGCAAGACTCTTCAGATGAAGAAGAGGAATCTGCAGACGAAGAAGAGGAAGCCACCAGCAAGTCCAAGAAACCCAAACAAAAAAAGGAAGTGGTCGACAAGACGGCAGAATTGTCTACAGCTACTCCCCAATCCGCCGCCGACTTTGAACGTGTGTTGGTGGGATCGCCCAATTCATCGTTCGTGTGGATCAATTACATGGCGTACCAACTTCGTTTATCGGAAATTGCTAAAGCGCGTGAAATTGGTGAACGGGCCTTGAAGACGATCAATTTCCGTGAAGAGCAAGAAAAGCTGAACGTGTGGGTGGCTATGCTGAACTTGGAAAATAACTTTGGCAGTGAAGAAACACTCGACGAAGTATTCAAGCGTGCCTTGATCTATAACGAACCAAAAAAAGTGTATTTGCAACTGGCTAGTATATACGAACGCAGCAAGAAGGACGATGTAAGTCACCTGAGGATGTGTAATGTTTGATGATCGCGTATCACTGACATGTGTTGTCATTTTTGATTCTCTAGAAAGCAGAGGCTTTATGGCAGGAAATGACTCGCAAATTCAGTCAATCCTCCAAGGTCTGGACGCTGTTTGGTCTGTTCTGTTTAAAACGGGATAACGTTGAAGGTGCTCGCGAATTATTACAGCGAAGCTTGAAGTCGTTGCCCAAGCATAAACGTGAGTATAAACAAATGCCGCATTCCTTCACCCGAAAAATAATCAATAGCTAATGGGAAATGGTATAGATGTCAAAACCATTGTAAAGTTTGCGCAGATGGAATTCAAGCATGGCGAAGCCGAGCGAGGCCGAACCATCTTTGAGGGCGTGATGGGTAACTATCCCAAACGTGTTGATTTATGGAACGTTTACCTTGATCAAGAAATTCGTGCTGGAGATCAGGAAATCATCAGGTGAGTTTTTTTTTTTTTGGCGTCTACCTGCATCATTGGCTTTGGCTGATATCGATTTATCTTGTATAGACGATTATTCGAGCGTGTTACCGCGATGAAGTATTCATCCAAGAAGATGAAATTCTTGTTCAAGAAATGGCTTCAGTATGAGAAGCAGCATGGCTCCGAAGACGATGTAGAGCGCGTCAAACAGAAAGCACTGGCATATGTTGAAAGCAAAAGCAACTAATTAGAACTTCATTTTCAATTTTTTCTTATCATCCATCCTCATTAAAGATTTTTTTGTTTATCTCTGTTTTTCTACAAATCGGGAGACGATATAATAATCCTGAATACAACCATTTGCCATGTAATTCTGTAGAGTCTTGTGGAACATCAAGGCAAAAAAGACCTTTGGCGGAACAAAGGAACCAAATATGGAAGTCGGAGTGGTAATATGAAGAAAAAAAAGGTCTCGCCGTTCAAAGACTTGTTCTTTTTCGCACACCTCATTCGTCTTTTCAGCATTATAATGGATCCGGCAGTGGCACCTCAATATATGCCAATGTATTTGAATAATAATAAACGTGAGTTTTTGCTGAGAGTGGAAAACGTTCCAATGACGCTTTTATCTAATAAATGGGTGCCTTCTATTCTCCTGTTCATGTTACAGGCATCAACATGGACGAGGTACGGTATAGGATGCCCGTTGGCGCAAATTCTTTTCTCTTTTCTGATGAACTTGTTTACAGGAAGTTCGACTATTTACAAATAACAAAGAGCGCGATAAATACGACAACATGGCTGATCTGTATGCGATCATTGTGTTGATGGAACAACTAGAAAAAGCGTTCATTCGTGATTCTATAACAGCGGCAGAATACACACCGCAATGTGCGAATCTGATTGCGAAATATAAGACGACAATGAACTTTCTGCAAGACAGCGTCACGAATTTGGACACATTTATGGATGATTACAAGGTGAGGCTCTAAACGAAAACCCAGTTTCTAACGTCATTCATAGGAGACTCATTTTTTGATGCTCCTTTTTTGTTGCTGTTCTATAGCTCACGTGCCCTGCCGCGGTAAACCGATTCAAAATCGGGGTTCCCGCGACATATGAACATGCAGTGGGCGATAACAGCAACGATGTTGGTCGATCAGCTAAATATATTGCGGAATCTGTGCTGGTAAGTGAAAAGAGCAAAGAAGGGAATTTTTGGGTCGAATGGAAAACGGTAAAAAAAAAAAAGGAAAAGAGCGAAAAAAGTAAGAGGCTCGGAAGAGTACCGAGCCAAGGATCCAAACCGAAAATAAAATAGATTATGCAGGGTAGAGGAACGGCAAGCGAGGAGATACATGCGATGAGTGAGAGGGAAAAAAAATCCAGGGATGGCATTGAATCGCAAGTATGTCTAACCAATGGTATAACATGTAGCATTTTATCACATTAATGGATACCTTACGATTGAATCGGCATGCTGTGGATGAGTTGCATCCAATTCTTGCGGACTTGATTCAGTCGTTGAATAACGTGCCAGGATTACCGGCGGATTTTGAAGGTCGGAACAAAGTACGGCAATGGCTTATTACTCTGCATTCCATGAAAGCAAGTGACGAGATTACAGACGATCAAGCAAGGCAAATGTTATTTGAAATGGAACAATCGCATACCGAGTTTTATCGATTATTAAGTGGGGAGCATAAAGTTGATGACAGCTGAATAAATTCACGCCCATCTTCCTTTGTTCACAGGGACCTCTGAAATTATTCAATCTATGGAACGAGGGAGGGGAAAAACTTGAGCTATATGATAAGAGAGAGGAGTGAGACTAGCGGAGGATGATACAGTCGAGAAGAAGGGGAGAAGGATAAAGATAGGCTACGGATACAAAGGAGGGCGACCAGAAAGGAGTCAAGGCGTTTGATACTGGAGCGGTTTGATTAAGCCATGAATCCATGGCCCAAAAGGATGACACGAACTGATAGATGGGGTACTTCTTTTTTTCATGAACCAGTGACAGGAAAAAGGGCCAGACAGGAGATGATATGTCCCAGTCAAACGATTCGTGGCGTGTCAAAGTGAAAGGTCAACCAAAAAGACAACCCAGGGGAAAGAAAAAATCCGCCGCTCCCCCGGTCCCCCCAAATAAAAGAGGCATGACCACAAGCCAAACGATGGCCACGTCTTGTTCTTACAGTGAGAAAAGGAACCATGACTGAACTTTTGATGCGGGTTCATTTGGAAGCCATTTTCCTTTTTGGGAAAGAACCACCTGCATTAAGTTTCGAGTAACCTCAACCTTCATCGACCAAGCTTTATTTGACTTTTTTTTTTTTTTTCTTCCACTCCCCTGTTCACTCCTGTTTCTTTTTTTCTTTTTTACCCGTTTTCTCTTTCATCGGCTCTTTTTTTTCTTTCTTTCGCTTCTCATAAAGTCCCATTTTGTGATCGCACCACTTTTTCACCTCGATTTTGTGATATAAAATTTTCTGTCATGGCTGAAACAACAACTCGTGATACCTCGGTCTACCTCGCCAAGTTGGCGGAACAAGCAGAACGCTATGAAGGTAGGGCAGATAAAGAATATAAAGTAATGATCAGATGAGCGCAGAGACTAAAGGATGCTACCTGTAGAAATGGTGGAGCATATGAAAACTGTCGCCGCTTCTAGCGAACCTCTTTCCGTAGAAGAGCGTAACCTGTTAAGTGTCGCTTATAAGAATGCTATTGGAGCTCGTCGAGCATCATGGCGCATCGTGACCTCTATTGAGCAAAAAGAAGAAAGCAAAGGCAACAAAGAACACGTTGAAAGTATCAAGGGTTATCGCCAAAAGATTGAGCAAGAGCTAAAAGGGGTATGTAACGATATCCTTGAAGTACTTGAAAACCATTTGCTGCGAGAGGGTCTCGCCGCCGAAAGCAAAGTGTTCTATCTTAAAATGTAAGTCATTTGTCGCTGTCAGATCACTCTTTTTTTCTCTTTCTTCGGACGCTATTTGCTTCCCCCTTGCCCCCCCCCCCCCTCTCCTTTTTTTGGTCACGACTCACCCATCTTTATTTTTCGCTTTTGCTTTTGCTTTTCAGGCAAGGTGATTATCTGCGTTATTTAGCCGAATTCTTGTCGGGAGATGAGCGCAAGAAGGTTGCCGATAAATCTCACGAGGCATATGAAAACGCGATGAAAGTGGCAGCTGACCTTCCATCAACGCATCCGATCCGTCTTGGTTTGGCTTTGAACTATTCGGTGTTCCAATATGAAATCGTGGGCTCCCCTAACGATGCTTGCCGATTGGCTAAACAAGCGTTTGATGATGCCATTGCCGATCTTGACACTTTGAACGAAGACAGCTACAAGGACTCTACACTGATCATGCAACTTCTCAGAGACAACCTCACGCTCTGGACCAATGATTTGCCATCTGAAGGTAAGCCTTTCGTTTCTACGGTACTCTTACTCTCATGTGAATGATGGGGCGTACGCAACAAAAAAAAGGGAAGGAGAATAAGAAAAGCACGATGGAAAAGGTGGATGTGACGATGCACAGCATATCTTGCACTGAGAGGCAGAGGATGATATGAAACCACACAGGTCGCCTGGAAAGGGAAATATGAGTTTAATAGAAATGGGAAATTCGTAAGCGTGACATCCATAGACGACTTACTTGGTCCTGTTTTACATTTTTTACACAGATAAACGACCAGAGAACGACGAGACAGCTCGCCAAGGCGAAGAAGAGTCCGCTGCTCAAGAGTAATAAAGCAATATTTACAATGTATCACTTTAATCAAAAAGACCAGATGCAGAAAATACAACATCTTCACCCGCACTTTTCCTCCCTTTGTCTGTGCCATTTTAAATATTTGTCTTTTGAAATAATCCTATACTTGTCTTCGAAGCAAGTTTTTTTCCTCCGAGTTGTAAAGCACACGGGTTGATCAAATATGGGATCCGAAAAACCACGCATTAAAAGACCACTGGTGCGGTTACCTCGCATGTCAGATGTGCATATTCAGACATCGAAGTCGCACATATCATCCCACCGGCTTACAATATACAACTCATTTTACCAAACACTTGTCTGCTTTTCCAAAAAATACAATGCTAGTAAAAGACTTAGCTTAGTCCTGTGTAGCCACGATATGTCGCCAATATTACCAGCGGCAGACACAACATGTTTTCATGGAGATGGCTTTGTTATCTATTCGATCTGTATTCGCAGCTCTTGTAACATAATTCTAAACTTTGATGCATGTATGAAACCTTGTCTAAAAAGACTTTTGAACCCAAATTGAGCATGTCCGGGTATCTCAAAAGTTACTACATTTGAAAAGCATATAGGAACTCACTACAGTATTGGTGAACCATCGAGTTTTCTTCCTTCTTTCATCTTCTTTCGTTCTTTTGTACATATTGATTACCGCAACGGATGCAGGCATGCGAACTCGTTGTGGTCATAATATATAAAATATGTTTGGGTCGGCCATCCGTACATGCGTTCGGTAGAAACAGTTATATCGAAGAGTGTGGTTGAATTCCGCATGCAGTGATAATTCATCACGTCCATCATTGATATGCCACTCTGAGTACATACTTGTTCTTATATGAATGATTGTCACTGCTTTTGAGTCGTCCACCACATCAAGTTCCGATCTCCCAACTCATGTGAGTTTCACTTCGATCTAAATCGACTATAATATCAGAGAACTCATAGCACAAAAGGGATGATGTTTCTTTTTTTTTTAATGAAAAGAGCGTATATAACAGAAAAGAACTTGTTTTGTTTTCTATGCTGCTGACGGGCGTGGCGATTGTTTCCATGCTTGTTCGAGCTGTTGCTGCTCGCGGGTATAGTCAGGGGTAGGTATGGATGCTGACTGCCAGTCGGTTTCCATGAAGGAACTCACGCGACCATGCACACGGCCTTCCATCTTCATTAGCTCGGCAATGAACCCAATATTGGGAGACATATTTGGACGAGCCTTGATAACGTGTCGATACGCTTGTTTCAACGTCCATCGTTCCGAGCATACCAAATAGGCTAAAATGGCTGTGACAGACCGAGATTTACCGGCTTTGCAATGGACGTAAATTGGTGCATGCTGTCGCTTGGCTTCTTCTACAAGATCATAACGAATTGTTAGATGAATTGCCAAGCAGAACATAGCAAACCAGATAATTATTATGTCAGCCTTTTAAAAAAAAAAAGGGGGGGGGGACAACTCACCTATGAAACAGACGGCTTCCATCATGACCCAATCAATATTCTTCATCTCCACCGTGTCACGGGCACTGATTTTTCGATACAATATCTCATCCGGCAAGATTTGATTGTTACATTCTTCCGCCATATTCAGGACGCGTTTGATTTTTCGGTCTTCCAACTGAGCGGCTTGTTCCTTGGTTTCAATTTCAGGTCCCACGAACAAAAATCCAGGTATAATTTCGGAAATCGTAAAATCGAAATCACGTTCCGTGTGCGGCGACACATCCGCCTCATCTTCGCTAACTCGGCCCAAAAGAGATACCGTGGATGGGGTGTACTGCGATGACCGCGAAGTTTGAGGCACAGCCAGCGAAGTGCCGTCGGCTTTTTGTGAACGCCGATTTGCTCTACGCGCCAGCGCGTTGGCGTTGTTCACCCGAGCCGCTTGTGTATCCAGACTAAAAAGACTAGTGCGCCGATTGATCATACTCTTATCGTTGCTCGATCCTATTGTATAGCTCATGGAACGTCGTGGATAAACCGAGGTTTGTTGCGTAGCGACCGAGCCATCGAATGGATACATCAATGGTTGCAACCGATGGGACGTTGGCTGAGGGGGCAAATCATCCTCGGGATACACATCGTCTTCGTCTGTCGTTAAATGATGCTTAAACGCTTCAAATTGATGAAACCCGCCGCTTAAATAGTATACACGATCGGAGGTCATGGCGCGCTGCAGTACACTTAAAATTGTCCATGCTTGTGACGTGCGCTGCGATTCTTGCATTGCATCATCATACACTACCCAGATACGACTGGATCTCTTTCGTTGACTGGCTTCAGCAGCCTTTTTTTCGAGGATGGATTTTTCTTCCCCTGGTTTCGCCAATGTAGATGTAGGGACGGGCGATTCGGTCAAGTAAGCCTGCTGGCGAGCACGGTACCGATCTCTTCCTTCGGTGGTGGTGATAAAATTTTCGAGATTAAGATTGGAGACCGTGCCACGTTGGTGACGTTTAATTAACAGCGAAGGCAAATTAATATTGAACGAATCTCGTATCCGTCGTCTTTGGTAATCGATCAAATTTCGTACATCAATGAGCATGACATTTTCTTTTCGGTTCAACAGATCGTTCAGTTCGTCGCTGTAAAGAGGTGTGATCTGTCCCTGGTTCAGGTTAGAAGTGGAGTGGGCTCGTGTCAGAATCTGTTTGGAAGGTGGCACAAGCTGCTGGCTCATGGACCGTTGGGGCAAACATGGAGGTAAATTCCCCCCGGCCGCGGCCACGGCAAGGAACCGATCGATTTTCTGCCGTTGACGAGGCGACAGGACCAGATCGGCTTTGGTCAGACGTTTTTCACACGCATCAATGGGTGGAAAAGGATGACCAAAGGTGAATGAATGTCTTTGGTCTCCGAAATTCGGCGGCAACGGTGTCTGCTTTAGCCGTGCCCACGTCGCTGATCGATATGGCTCCGCTGAATGTCTTTTGTTCATATTCCGGTTAGGGGCACGAGGGACGTCGAATAGCAACAACGTAGGCGTGGATACTGTTGCCATTGGTTTGGGGGACTCCTTGCTCGTCGCCTTCAGGGGATGGGGTGAAGATACCATGGCCGTTGTCGTGATATTGGGTAGCGATGTTGAAGGACGAGGCGATGCCATGGTGGACATTGAGCCATGGTCTTTGTCCATCTGACGAATCATTGAACTGGACGGCGTCAACTTGGGTTGCGGCCATGCTTTCTTGGCCAGTTTACGAAATAAAACGTCAGCGAAGCTTCGTTTCGGTGAACCATCGGGTCGTTTTGGTTTTCGATATCGATCAAATAGCATAGAGACCACCGAAACAGGAGAATACACAAAGAAATCAAAAATAAAAGACAAAAAACAAAATAAATAAAAAAAAATGCAAAAGGAGCGGAAGACTTTGGATAAAATGGAAAGGAAAGAAAAAAAAAGATAATGAAATGGGATGTGATGAAAATGAAGTGAAAGCAAAAGCGAACAAGGAGAATGAAAGGAAAGAGTAAACAAACTGAAGAGCAAACGGCGATACAAAAAAAAAGCAGAAAAAAAAAGTTGAAGGAGATAAACTTGAATGAAAGAATTATATCGACGGGGAAAAAAATACAAGAAAAGAAGACGTTGACGACAACAATGTCATCGAAAAACCGCGCAGCATGACAGAATCTTGGTCCTATAACGCAGACCAATAAAACCCGTTTGGGGGATTGGGCTCAGAGAATGCCCACTCCCGAATTATCATCATCATCATCCTATTCTTGTTGTTGATACGAATCACTTTGGTCGACCACAGCCGCCTTTCTTCTCTAATGCCTTTGCACCGCATTCCCATTTTGAGAATTATCTGTCATAAGGCTATCATCGAGAACTTCTCCATATGTTGTTCAGTCTGATGCTTAATGACTTGTTTAATTCTTCTCATGGCGCAAAGAATGAATTATGACTATTCATTGTTGCATTGTAATTGGATTTATTTATTTGCAGACGTAGGTTTTCTAAAGCGAAAATGTTGATTTGCCTCTTTTCTCAATACCCATATTCTACCGTCGATAGAATTTTTTTTAAGGTTTATTACGCGGGGAAAACTATGCGGACAAAAATAGCACGCCATTTGAAACATATTCTGTGTAACATTCATTTTATGAGCTTTTTCTTTTTTTTTATATTTCCCATTTATTGTCATGGTTTTTATTGATGGAAAAGGATCGGCAAAATAGATCATATAGCGTTATTATTAGTCGGTCAAATGGACAGTGGCCTATGTTCCCTTTGTACTGAAATGGTTTGGATGTCATTGTTGAGAACAAAATCCAAGATTGGGCAATCACCATCATAGCACATGTCGTTTAACTTTAGAGGAAAGTGTTATTCTTATGTGTTTGACAGTCCGTAACAGTGTAATGCTCATGCGTTCAATTAGAAGGGAAAGGGACTAAAAAACCCGCTCGGTGTATTAGCGATTTTCTCGTTAGTGTACCGGTTCCAAGTCAACCTTCATTTGTCTATTATGATGCTCCTATCTGATTGGGGTGATAAAAACTCAGCCGTCGTCCATACTGATGTGAATAACATGCATTTCCTATCGTATTTTTTAAAGTGCGAAAAGAGCATGGCACCGGTGGATTTGCTTTTTTTAAACGTGGCATGGGTCTGTGCTACATTGAAGCGATGGGGTCTGTGTCAAATTAGGAATCTAGACCGATGAATTTAGAAATTCACGAAACGATTAACCCAGCAGATTCTGATCACCGTTCCACTTGATACATGGAGAAATGAAGTAATGCCTTTAGACTATCGCGGATTCCCACCACTGGCAACAATATAAGACGTAAAAAAGCATATCAAAAACGGTGAAGAGTGAATCAAACATAGACAAGTAAAAGAAATGGGTTGAAATAATAAATTCGCGAGTTGGAAAATGACCAGATTTGGGAGTGAAAGACATAATGCGATGAACAAGAACGTCAGTAAAATTATTCTTATTCAGCTTATTTTTTACCATTGAAAAACTTACCGTAACCTCTGGGAGAGGTCGCCTAACCCCCAGAAGTCCGCAACCTGGGGAGGACGGCGATAACCGCCTAGGAAGAGGAGAGGAATGATCATATGATTACGTGTTTTTCTAGTGTGAGTAAATCTTCGTGGAACCTATTCAAATGACATCTTTCATGTCTTATCACATGGATGTGATGGAAAAGAAAACTTTTATCACTGCCACCATGCAGGTCGTTTGAGCGTTCGTGATGGGAGATCTCACCTCTTCTTCTGGGAAATTTGATTTCCCGAATGCCTGACAGGTGCCGCGGTGACAGAGAAAGAAGGCGGTCAAACCTCATATCAAATAATCTTTTATTTTTTTTTCATTTTCACATCTACGAGATATTGAATATTTTGTCCGTGAATTTTGAAGTTTTCTGAGGACCGTTTATTATGGAGCCTGTCCATCGAAACATAACATTGTATTTTCCTTTTTTTTTTGGAAATTCCTACAGTGACATTGAACAAGAGCGTACTAGTATGCAAGTGCAAACGTTCAACATGCCTCCAGATTCGGGAATATGGCAAGCTGTTTTAAATGATCTGAGGACGGTTTGCATTCTTTATAACTGGGAGCATCTTTGAAACGACATGTGCGTATAAATACGATATGATAATAGGGTTCTGTATTTTTTTACCTGCCAAAAATCACCACCAAATAGTATAACCTTCCCTCTAAAGGTATATCTGCTAGTGCAGGATCGGTGCGGCTCATCAGATCCCTGATACTTAGATTATCAGCTTCGACTGCCGGATTCGGAAATTGATGCTTCATCCCAAACTGTTGGCATGGCAAAAAGTCGTCCTGTGGCAGACCGTGGAATAAAGTAGCAATATGTGTCAGAATGGATCGTCAGTGGTATGCTGAATGTGGAATATCGCTGTGTGACCACCGTCCAAAAGCAACGAAGCTGCGCCACTGATAGCAACAGCCAAAGCAATTGTACCAGCACGTCTGGCAGCGGCAAGGACCGAATGGAAGAGAGATGTTTTACCTGTCTTACAGTATTAGTCGAGAGGTTACAGCTAACAACTGCGATATCATAATTGCCTGTTCCTTCTGGGCTATCAACGAAGAAAGTCTGTGAAAAGTTGCTGACTGAGTCAAGGATCCAAATGATAGCGTCGAAAACAGCTTGTTGGTCATCGTTAAAATTTGGTTGGAATACACGTCGCAGAGCCAAATGTTCAGCAACGCGATGTTCGCGGATAATAAGCGGTTCATTACCCATGCTCTGTATCATTGTACCGGGTATCTTCCGGAAGAACGTTTCGGGCATCGAGGTAATCTTCTATTTCATTGACGGCTTGCTGGTCATGTCCTTCTCCGTTTATGCTTGTCGTTCCAATTGCTGCAGCTGCTCGATTATGGCCTTTGTATATCATAAGTGTTTATACAGGTACTTTATCGACTTGATTAACATGCGCACCTCATAGTAAATGTGAGCATTGTACTTTGTGGCGGGGAAAGGCTATATGCGACAATCCACTGGTTGTTGATTTCGCCGGCTATTCCGCTTTGGAGTGTTTGTTTAGGTCGACCCCGATACAATGGGCATCCGTTGACATCGCTAATGGTGGATTTTTTTGGACGCCTTTGGATAACCCCTGAAACACCTTCCTTATTCGTCAAGGCATCTTTCCGTGTGCAGGGCCCATGGACATATGCCGTTTAACAGATGCATAACATCTGGGTATCGTTCTGGATTAGGAAGCTCAGCAGAAACAAAGTTATCAGTCCTATCCGGATCGTTCGGTGCGTGATCAGAGGTAAGGATGAGGAGCAAACGAGCATGTGAAAGGCCACGCTTTTTAAACTCGATTGTGTAGATGGGCAATGACTCTCCCGAGAACATGCTTTTTGGTAAGATCATCCAGAAGCTCCTTCAACTTGCGACCGAGTATTCTGGCGAATAGATCTGGACAACTGGGTACCGTTTGCGAAGACATGAGATTATCTTGCTTTTCCGACCACTCAGGATTGCACGCAAAAATGATGAATATGTGGGGTCGCCCAAACCGACGTAAAATGCTCATGGCATCTTGTCAAACTTATGCATATGGCCCGCACTACCTTAAAAACTGGAAAGTAAAGTGTGCCGGCAATCAAGAGAACTCATGTCATTATCGCCCAAGTTGCATTGCATCTTTGCACATTGCTGTATAAATCGACTCGCAATCGTTGTTGGTTCAGACGGATGTACCCACGATCAAAAAATCTTAATCATGGACTTTTCCGATGGGGTAGATACACGGTTTTTCGGAAAAAATTTTTAAAAAAGATATTAAAAAAGAAAAACAGCCGATTGGATCCCATCTTTGCGTAACATATCAACGATGAACTGCTGGAAGAGGTTGCAAAACAAATGTAGCAAATGTTGGTTGCTTTGACAGATCATCAGCCGGCGTTTATGCAATTCCATGGCAGTGACTTTATGATTTGATGATGGGCGTCGATAGTCCACTCAATATCACCTATTCTTTCAATGTTTAATACAAAAATCGCTATAATGGACTAATCGATATACAGACCTTTAGGAAATATGAGAACATAATACAGAGCATCATAAAACTGATGTGTCTCATTTATTCGGTGTATTTCAGATCCCCGTGCTCGAATAACGGCATCACCGATGGCCGACTTCTTCAGCATTATGATCATTGTCAATAATAAGGGCTTCGATTTCTCCTTGTACAGGTCGGTTATAGCGTCTGAGATCTGCAGTATTTTCAGCAGTGATATGTAATGAAATATCTGTCACACCTTCTTCCTGGATCCAATCAGCCATGACTTGGAACCGATGCACAAATAGGCTGATACGACGCATCATGGCTTGAAATGGTCAAAATACATCAGCTTGGAGCGGGCCATTACCCATTGACAATCGATTTTCCAGCTTTCGTTGTCGCACAATCTGATTACCACGAATATCCATTGAAGGGTTATTCTTATCATTCTTATCATTCTTTTCCAAAAATTCGCCAGCAGTTTGAGAACTTCGTGCAATGGTGTCGTATTTGTACATATCATTATACCATTTATACCTCTCATCCGTATGATACCCCTCCATCGTATCACTTAGTCATCCATAATTAATTCATATCATCCGATCTACAAGAGAAAACAATTACCAATGATTTCATAATCACCATACCAATCGGAGCACATCATCATGTCACGTCAAACACGTCTGATCTACATATCCGATCATTTCTCATTTTCCACTTTGTGAATTAACCTCATATCCAAACCCATACCGCAATACAGTCTATTATTGGTTATCCGTCATCTATTCTTTCCATTCATCTTTACATGAAAAAATAATCATTATTATCATTATATAATCAGTTTGGAAACTCGATCATTGACTGAGCAATATGGAAAATACACTTTATTCTGTCACGGATCATACCGCAGCTAAAAATACCCATCTAGTATAGTAGACATACCTTGTATCAAACACACTCACTAGAATTTATTCTTTTTCCTACTTTTAGGCACCACTCTCTCGAAAAATAAAAGGAGTCTCACAGGATTTACTATTGCTTTAATTTTTGTTACTACTAATCCCTTGCTTCCTCGACACCAAACACCGCAAATGGAATTGGGTTTTACGAGCCTTGGACAGTATCAGCTATCATCACTCTACCAAGCTACCTTGGGCACCTTTCAAATGTTTATGGTGGATATGATCAGTGCCAGTTGATCAATTGCATATGTAAATCATGTCAAATATAGTATGTTCAGGATGTGAAGATGCATGTGGAGACGCTGGCCTGCCTAATTGGATAATTTTTTCGGGAATTTACATTTACTAAATACGTATCCAGCAACTTTCTCAACATCCTTCCATGATTTACGTTGATTCTCTAAATATAAAAAGCAGCCAAGTGTATGACTCTAATATAATTAGAGAGTCGAAACTTCATTGACTATCCTGCTCTGCGAAAATGAGTAGAAGTTTTCAGCCAAATAGACAAGCTTGGTATAGCTGCTCTGTCCCCCCCCCCCTGCCGAAAAATAGCAGATAACTTTTACGATTCTCTTTAGCACCTCAATAATTTCAAGGCACCTGGGCCCCTTCCCTATGGCCTTCAAATTATGAACGACTGTACTGTATATGTGATGCTGGTGATGAACATTCTCTTTGGATTCCCTTTCTAATCCCATAAATGGCCTACCACTTTGAACATTCTTTCCTACCAAATATCGAAAAGGGCATGGATCTTGTGTGGGAAAATTTCACACGCATATATACGTGTAGTTACAACCGAAGCAAGGATATGATCACCAATATTGTTACACATCTCTTTCAGGCATTGACTCGCTGTGATTACAAACATGGTCAATTTCAACTTTGTTTTCCCATCCTAGACTGCAAGATTGTCCATATTTGTTAAAAATAAGAAGAGTATTGTACTATTGTCTATTTATCTACAGGGCATATCCGTCACTTTATATTCTTGATTTCTTACCATATTGCCGTTGTGGTCATCTTGTCTCACATTCGCTGTTTGTGTTACGAAAAGACGTCTGAGAAGGTCAAATCATCCCAGCAGCTTTTTTGGGATAAAATTTTCGGTTGATCGGCTCAAAAATACATATGGCAGGTTAAACTATAGTATATATATATAAATTATAGTGATATACACACACTCCAGTAGCGTAAGGAATACAAGTATACGCATGCTATCATGGAAGTAACTGCGAGTATCTTCCATGATCAGCGCAATGTAATATTCTGCGTCGGATAAGCTATATTGTCCAAGTTTGAGTTTCCGCAAAACACAAGTCACCATGTTCCCAACGGCAGTTTTCTTGTCCTTCCCGACAAAGTTGTGAATTTCCTAGATGGTTTCGGCACTTGCATAGCCACTTGAACATTCCAAATAACTTCGACGGTATTATTCGATCTCCATTCACATAGGCAAAGTGAACCGTATATCTTGATGCATTACTCAGATTAGAGCTTCGCAAACACACGGTATTACATAGTGTGTGAAAACCACTGGTCTTGGTTTCATACATTCGATCCCAACCTATTTTGAGAGTTGTGTATATTGCTACTGCTTTGCTTTTTTTTTTTAATCAAGTCTGTATTGACTATGGAACCGAACCAAATTGAATGCATGGTTGACATTGAGCATCAGTGTCACCATTCCCCCCCCGCATTGACCAAATATATAAAATTTCATATCCAGATGGAACTTGTCCGTTGCAATGATTCGTACAAAATGAGTGATTGATCTTCATAGGTGATTCTGCAATATGATATACTATATATTCCTGTAATACAGTATTGAGAGTATGTGGACCAATCTAATGACATATTGGCCTGTATCAGGAAATAAAATGCGATAGAAAGGTAAGAAGAAAGCGAAAAAGTAAAAAAGTAAAAAAAGAAACTCAAGAAACACCAAACATGGTGTACTGATGCCCCACACATCCATCGGTGCCAGGTTGCAGTTCCACATGTGGGTTAGTGTTTCAAGACTACCTAATTTTGACAGTAACTCTAAATATACTCGCATTAGCATCGAACTCTACAGACATTGGGAGAGTATGTCGAATATGCTCAATTTAGTGCAAGGAATCATGAGAGAAAATGATCATACCCTTAATAGTAGCTGTGTGGTGAACGGTAAAAGGAGCAATAGCAAAAAGAAGTACTCAAGAATAACAGCAACTGCATATGGGTGGTAATCATTGATAACAATATCCCTCGAGCGGGGTAATCTACCGAGTACAAATTTAGATGTATAATCATCCTCTTATCTTTGCAAAAAACAGAACAATTCATCGTTTTGTAACACTCATATTTGGAAGGTTGGGGTTACGTCGAAAGACCATGTCCGGTTCATCCTTGCGACGCTAGCCTAACCAGCCATCATCTCCGCATGCAGTAGATTATTATTTTCCGCCTTGCGATACACTGTTCCATACGTGTGATTGATGTAGACAACCGAATCTCAAGAATGCTTTTCAGTCTAATTACGCATTAATATCGGTGCTAGTAATTGTTCTTTGACTTGACCTACAGCCCATACATGCGACGCAGCTTTTGCAAGAGGTACACGTTCTGCTGGCTCAACGTATATTAACGGCCATACAATTGAGTTGTAAACGTGCTATTATCGGCAACCTTCCTTAACTACAGTTTTCTCTACTGTTGTATCATAAGACCTTCCTACCCCGCATTTTCAGAACAATTTACTTTACCACATGCGGACATACCTGGGTTGGCGTGACACATACATCATATCAGTGGATTGGCGTGGCACAATACTTATCTCGAAAAACATTGGTATATTTCACACGGCGTTCAAGCAACTATTTTCTTTGACACCAATGAATCATGTGAACAGTATCCACTGAATCACAATTCAGTAACAAGTTGGCAATAATGATAAGCATCTTTTTACTCGGCGACGACGCTAGAAATCCACGATTACTGGGAAAGTTTCGGAGTTATGGGAGTTCAGTGTGATTCGTAGTATCAAGGATATGTTCCAGCTATTCTTGTAGCTTAGCTACACTTGATGAAGCGTTCGGTCACATGTCACACTCAAAGTCGGAGTGCCATGATATCGCAAGGTACAGTGTAACGAAAGGTTTCGAAGTGTATAAAAATGAAGACTTTTTTTCTGCCTGGATATTCGGATTCATTGTTCGCCTCATAACGATATCCAACCCTCCACTTGTATACCAATGGCGTCAACAAAATCCGCAGATCTCGGATTTCCAATCTATGTATGCTTTTGTGCTTTCGTAGCCGCCATTTCTGGTTTTAATGTCGGATGGCATATTGGTATGTTACGGGCAGCATTGATGCTGACATAAAGGATGAAAATGAGTGGGATGTGCCAGCCGCTCTTCCAAATCCGGATAGTCCGCTTTTCTCAATCCAATCACTGATTACTGATCAACAATCCTTTATTTTTCGTTTGATAATATGCAGGTGTCCCCAACATGCCTGCCAAAATCATTACCCAATGTCCTGGTGGAGAAACAACAATCGGCGGTCTTCCCTCTTGTTTGCCTATGGACAGCTTTACTTGGTAAGTTTTGAAGTATTGAATATCGAGTTAACACAATGATGCTTATCAAACCATTTCATTTTCAGGGTAATTCTTTATACTTGCAGACCAATATTTATAATGGTCAATCGTGAGCTAACAGTGAATTATAGGGTTATACGGTTGGTGCTTTCGCTCTTGGTGGTCTTGCAGGTGCTTTGGCAACTACTTACCTTAACGTATGGTTCACCCGTCGCCAAAACATCATCATTTCTTGCGGCTTGTATATTGTTGGTGGTGTGCTATCCGCAGCATCCGCGCATGTTGTCATGGTACTATTCTTTTTTCTACTGTTGCTACTATTTGACTTTTTCTTATTAACCTTTTCTGATTCAATTTAGTATGCTGTTGGTCGTGCTTTTGTTGGTCTTGCTTCGGGTGGAGCTGGTTCTTCAGTTGCCATTTACATCTCGGAAATTTCAACCAAGAGATGTCGTGGTGCCCTTGGCAGTGTGTTTGAATTCCTTCTCAATATGGGTATCCTTTTGTCTTTTGTCGCTGGCCGATATATGGCATTTGCTCCTGTGTGGCGTCTTGGATGGGCCATTCCCACCATTGTTGCTGGTATTCAGATGCTGACCATGATTTTCTTCTGTGCTGAATCTCCTCGACGTTTGTGCGCCGATGGAAAATACGACGATGCCAGAGCGGCTTTGCAACGATTCCGCAAGGGTGCTGATATTACTGAAGAATACCAAGATTTGATCGATGCCCGCCAGCGTGAAATTGAATCTGGTGTGCAAAAGATGAGCATGCTTGATGTTATTCTGTGCAAGGATAGACACGTCAGCTGGAATACTTTCATTGTCGTGATGATTCAAGCTTCCAACCAAGTTGGTGGTATTGGACCCTTGTCTGGTATGTTATCATTATCGTCATTGAATATGTACACAATAAGTTAACAATCATTTATTTCTAGTCTATGCTGCCAGTTTCCTTACTACCGTCTTGAATGGAAACAGCCAACTTGCTAGCGATATCTCACTTGTTAATGCTACTGGCAAAATTGTCGCTACGTTTATCACGATTTTCACTTTGAACAAAGTCGGTCGTAAGGGTTTCATGTTGATCTCATCTCTGGGCATGTCTATCTTCTGTATGTTCATCGTCATTGGTGCCGTCCTTGGTGAGACTCGAGAAGGTCTTGGACCTTTGGTTATCTGTGGTGCCGTTGCATATACTTTTGTGTATGCTATGGGCTGCGGTACTATCCCATGGATCATTGCTCCCGAACTTTTGCCCCTCAAGGCTCTTCCTCCTGGTTCCGCTTTGGGTGGTGCTTCCAACTGGTTCTTCAACTTCCTCATCAACACCCTTTGGCCCCAGCAATTGGCAAATCTCGGCAACTACAGTTTCATTGTATTTGCTGTTGTCAACTTTATTCTTTTCCTGTTCTTTTTGTTCTTTATGCCTGAAACAACTGGCAGAGATCTTGATGAGAAGAAGGCTCCCAGCGGCGATGTTGAAAACCACGGTTCGGCTGGTTCGACCGAAGGCAACTCCTTCTCTGACGAGGTCAAGCAAGAGAAAACCCACATCGAGCATGTTAACTAGGATATATAAGCTATTAATACCTTCTCATGTTAATCCAATTTGCTTTTTGACCTTTTTCAATTCTCTTTTACCCCATTTTTTCTGTATTACCTTCTCATGTTAATTCAATTTGCCTTTTTGACCTTTTTCAAACCTCTTTTATCCCACTTTTTCTCTGTATTACCTTCTCATGTTAATTCAATTTGCCTTTTTGACCTCTTCAAATCTCTTTTATCCCACTTTTTCTCTGTATTACCTTCTCACGCTAATTCAATTTGCCTTTTTGACCTTTTCAAATCTCTTTTATCCCACTTTTTTTTTTTCCGCCTCCCTTTGCTGGTTTCATGTATTTGGACGGGAAATATACTTGCATAAAATTTTTAAACGTAATATCAATGATATCACATACTTTTTTTCGCATGTTTGGTTGATTGTTGTCCGTAATTAATACTAAAGATCGCCGTCATATCTCTGGCACATGGCACCAACCTTACCGAACAATAGGCTCACAACGGAAGCTATTTTTGTACGTTCTTTGCATACAAATCATTCGATCATCCAGCACGGAGAGATAGCGGAATGGTTATATAAACGTCAACGGAGCCGATATAAAATCACTGGTCAACATGAACAAGACTTACTTTGAATTATTATGTAAGTTCATCTAACCCATTTCTTTTGTTGACCACTGGCTACAATATGAGAAATTTTATCCATCTAATTTCCCAATTGTTCACGCTTACAGTATGTATGCCTCAAGGTAAGCTCGCGTAAAATCTGGTCATGCCGTCTGCCAACGGACAGTGACTATAAGCACCAAACATACCGAGTATTTTACGTACCATAGGTTGTTAATATACAGAGGCTTCAGCATGTAGTGAAGCATGTCCATCCCAAGGTTCTACACACTCGACAAAGTAATAGAGAGTTTAACCTACCACAGCGCGTTGAACATTCACATAACGAACCACTTGATAACAGCGCCCTTTAAGGACCCAAGACATCAGGCCAAATTATGTCCAAGCACCTACAGAATTCACCGTACGTTCATTAAGGACATACTGTGAGCGAGTAAAGAAACCGTCTTGAACGGCGCACCATCGAAGCCGCATATTGGTGACTCGTAGTCTCAAAGCCCTTGCGAAGCCATTGCAGAAAATGTATATGCTCACGTGAATAGCAATATCATATTAATAAGAAAATATTTTTGAAGATCCAAATCGTTCAGTGAGAATGGATGAAAGATGACGCTTGAAATGAGACGTCGTTGGCGGAGTGTTGCCGACGGCTGAGTTGCATGTTTTCGTGGCCCAGCACAGCTATAGAAAATAGGCTCAGTGAACAATACCGCTACACATAACGACTTTGAAAACTCGATCTTTCGAGAAGTCCAAAGAAAGTAAGGAGACGTAAGCGGGCTAAAGAAGATAGGACAACTCAATCACTTTGGAGTTTTATAAAGAGCTTTATAAAGATGATCATGGGTACATTTCGTGACCGTCTGAAACCAATGTTTGGACACATAATTCAATTTGCGGCATCAGGCGCATACAAGCATTATCCCTGCCAAAAATTACGCATTGGAAAAAAAAACTTGCACTTTTTCTTTTTGCACGGCTCCCTAAAATTGAAAGATGATGATTTTTGGTGAATAACTTAGGTGTCTTCACTATCGCCTGTTACTGCAATTAAGCAATACAAAACCGTAGACCGTGATGAAAAGACGTTCGGTACTGCTTTTCCCAAATTTTTCCTGCTTGCTTCATTTTCTCCGCTCTTTTTTTTTTTCCTTGCAAAATTTCTCTGATTGAACTTCATCATTTGAATTCTTTTCATTTTTGGTTGTGTGGCCTTGTATTTAGTGTCTTGAACAACTTGTTTTTGACATTTTTTTTTCATTTTGCAATTTTGGGAACTTTTATTCTTTACGGTCCCACTGGTCAGCAATAATCTTGTTTAGCATTGAAACTTAATGCAGAAATCTTCGTCCATCGGTTCACAAATCGTGCTTCCTTCCCAGTCGCTGTCTGCGATTCCAATCGTAGCCCCCGGCGAAACCCAAGGACCAGGAAGTAACGGTTCAAAAACGCCCAATAAAGCAGCAACAAAAGGTAAATGCTAGTTCACGCTTTTACTTTTGCCCACTTTTTTATTACACTGGGTAAATCCATGCTCAGTGGACTGACCTTTTTTTTTTCTCGCTTGGTGTAGCTGCTATCCCAACCACTAAACGACTGTGTCGCAACGTCATTATTCATGGTTTTTGCAAATTCGAAGGAAAAGGATGCGAATTCAATCACGATGGGGTACAGTGACAGAATGTGCATCGGTGCTTAGCTTTGAACCATGAGTTTGCTCACGAGGATTAATAGCAAATGAAGCCTTCACCACAAGCCAGTCCTGAAAAGTAATATTCTCCATCATTGGTCGCCATAGTAATTGAATGCTGTTGCAACCGTGCTAAATTCAGTTTCACAGCAAAAACCGAATTCGCGTGCAATCACCTGCGTTACGAAATTCTGCCAATGTTGTATCCTCGGTATCGGCAGACAGCGTGAACGCTCCCGTTTTCATCCCCAAATCAGCCACGGGTAAGTGACTCATGATCGCAGAGTGAAAATGGGGAATGGGTAGTAAAATGCGGTTCTATTTTTTCAAGAGGGATCATCGGGCGCTGGTAAGATCCAACGAATTTTTCCCTGACATCATGCGTTTCACCATGGTTATTTGAGATTTGCGAGTACTAAACACATGGTTTATCACTTGTCATAGGAACGCCGGCTACTACTCACAGTGTGCCAGAGGCAGCAGAGTAAGTATTGCTACACGACTCGTGTTGTTTTTCTTCGAGCGGCATGTTAAATGTGTTTAATTTTGTTCACAGGTCGCAGGAAGAAGAGGAAGTGAATGAAGCATTTGAGTATCCCCCAGAGACTACGCCCAACATGCAGGCATTGACCCAAGGATTTTCGCAATTCAACTTGGCAAACAACGTAAGCGGAGTGATTGCCAAGATATGATGATGCTTAGATATTAACGTTTCCCTCTTCAACACAAATAGCAGAGCATGCATGGACCTTCACCCTCTTTCCAACCTCAGTCACCCTCGGAAATGATGGCCAGTATGGGCATGATGCCTCATGGTGGGATGGATCCTTATTACTATATGAACACGTCTCTTTTTCCACGTCAGCCAGTATGTACTTTGGGACACAGCGGTTATTGGAAAGATTACGGCTCAACTCATCCGATTTTTCAACACATAGCTTCAGTATCATCTGTATACTTCTTCGCTACCTCATGTAGCTAATCTTCATCCACATCAAAGAGCGATTCAATCCTTCTTTATCCCGGATAATTTGCGAGAACAACTTACGAAACGAAATGAAGCCACGCTCATGACAGCTTCAGGTATGACGAGAATTATTGTGCAATCCATTTTTTTTTCATGCGGCTTACGGTGGCTCTGGATGATGTTTTGCTGCATCTGCTTTTTTTTTTTTCAATCTTTTTCAGCTCGTGAGCTTGGGCTGCCACAAGAAGTACATGTGTATCACTCGTTGTGTCCTCTTGAAGATAAACCTGGCAAGTACTTTGGTCATCCATCATGGGCTTACAAAGCGATATGCGGAGTCGACGGCCGAACATACATGTTGTTACGGATCGAAGGTAAGACATGCTGCACTTGAATGGGTCCCATGACACTCATTCCTGGTTACACCGCCAAAAAGGTTTCCGATTGGTCAACGAACAAGCGATGACGGTCGTGGAAAGCTGGCGTAGGATTCGGCATTGTAACGTCGTATCTATTCGCGAAGCATTTACTACTCGCGCTTTTGGTGATTCATGTAAGGAACCTAAATTGGAGAAAAGAAAATGAATGATGGCTTGTGGTACTGATCGTATCGAAATACTAGCTCTTATGTTTGCTTTTGATTACTATCCCTGTTCGGGGACGATGTACGATGCTCATTTTACACCACAAGGCCAGGCATTGCTTGCTCAAGGTCAGCCTTTGGGCAGTGCTGGCTCGCTCGTGCCTGAGACGACTTTGTGGAGTTACATTACACAAATTGCTTCAGCGCTAAAAGCCATCCACGGCTCCGGATTGGCCGCACGAAATATTGACAGTACAAAGATCTTGATTACCAGTAAAAATAGGTAAGTCTTCTGATGAGTTGCTTTGCGGGAATGAAAAAAGAAAAAAGGATTTGAACCCAGTGTTTTTCTGACCATGGATGATGATAGGTTGCGCATCAACTGCCCTAGTGTGTTGGATGTGTTGCAATTCGATGGTGGCCAAAGTTTGGCCCGGCATCAGGTAATTTTCAAAAAGACATAACACGCGTAAGGCAATCTAATGATACAATGATGATACACTATTTACAGCAAGAAGATTTGCTCTCGTTTGGCAAACTTATTGTCGCGTTGGCATGCAATTCACTCCAATCGTTCCATAACTTGCCTAAATCCATTGAATACATTTCGCGGTTTTATTCACCCGATATGAAAAATGTCATCCTTTATCTCCTTAGTAAACCGCTACCGACCAAGACGATAGATGAAGTTGTTACCATGATCGGTCCTCGCATCCTGCATGAAATCAATAGCAGCCTTTAGTAAGTACTGATTCGCTGACTCGGGCACTGGTGATCTTTCGTCTCACCTTCTCGTTACTTGATTGTTATTGTTACAGTTACAACGACTATCTTGAAAACGAATTGAGTCGTGAACTAGAGAACGGACGGCTGGTTCGTCTCATGGCCAAGATGGGATTTATCAATGAACGACCAGAGTAATTTGAATGATTGATAAAAATAATGGTAAAAGGCGAACGGCAAATGTTCATTAATTCAAATTTTTAGGTTCGATCATGATTCGCGATGGTCGGAAACCGGCGATCGCTACATCATCAAATTATTTAGAGATTATGTTTTCCATCAAGTGGATGAAAATGGCATCCCTGTTGTAGATATCGTACATGTGCTCTCATGTCTGAATAAGGTAGGCAACTCAATTTCTTTGGTATGCAGAAGGTGGGTTTGTTGACCTCTTTTTTTTTATGCTTTTTCTATCCTTCTCTATGTGCGGTTTTGCTTCTTCATTTTTCCATCTTTTGCCATTGGCTTGATGTTTCATCAGCTGGACGCAGGCGTCGATGAAAAAATTATGCTCATGTCCAGAGATGAGCAATCTTGTCTAGTTGTTAGCTATAAGGAAATCAAGAACTGTATAGCAGCAGCTTTCAATGATCTCTCATCGGGCCGTAGATGAAAAAGAGAAAATCAGAAAAAGAGAAAAAACAATTCAATAAAGGCAAAAAAATTGACATAATCAGCTAAAAGGAAAAATGCCCTAATAACCGACGGTTTCCTTTGGATAAGGTTAAAGTGATGCACAAAAAAGCCCATTACCGGTTCACAGGAAGATTTTAGCGTTCATCGTTAGTTTATCATTTGAACACGAACCATAAGAAAAGACTAGCAGAAAGAAAGAAGCCATTTGCTTTATGAAGGAACACCCTACAATGGTGCCGCCAATTTTTTTTTTCTTTCGTACAAGAACAGAAACGCTATCCATGATTATATCGCATAGCCAACCTTTATATGAACAATAACTGCTTGACTTTTTTTACAGTTAGTTCACGCTGGCATATTTTGCTGCCGTTCCAACATCTTTTTTTTTTTTTCTTTGTTATTCATCAGCCAAATGACGGGAAACGTTACTGGATAGAGTGGTACCGCCCCGTTTTCGTAAATTGGATGAAGTCGACGTATCCGGTGTTTCATCGAGGGTATGATCTGAAGAGCTGGAAGACGAGGACGCCGTCGAACTTGAACGACGTCTCAGATGCATCGTCGTATGGAGATGGGAGGAAGAGGAACTGGAGCTGTAAGGATAACAATGGTGGTGACGAGCATTCACAAAAGGATTAGAGGAGGAAGGATTCGGTGATAAATTGGCATTGGATCCGGAAGCAATATCGATGTGAAGATGCGCTAGATCGTCGCTCACATTGGTAGCGCCCGTAGTGGCATTGCTATTTCTAAGAGACAGATCCGCGTCTGTCACCGAAGTGGTGGAACGTAAATGATGGTGGTGATGGTGATGGGAATGATGGTGCGGATGGTCAAAAGTAGTGGCTCGTCGATTATTGGTAGGGGATTGATGTGTGATGGTACTTGTGGAACTGATGGGCACGGGGGCGTCGGATGTTCGAGCGGTGGAGTTGGAGGAATTGGAGGAGGAGGAAGAAGAAGATTCTCCGTCGGTTATTTCTTCAGACTCTTTCAGTGGGGCGGAAAGACGAAGGCGTTTGGTATCGGTGATGGTGTTACTGGAAATGCGGCGATGATGGCGTCGTGACGATGCATCCTCTCCATATTGCAGGTGATCTGATGTTTCTACTCCGCCTGAAGCCGTTGGTTCCGCAAGGCAGCGCGCCGAAGCGTCGTTCTCATCCACGCTGCGGCTACTTTCGCCTTTTTGTATGGGAAGCGGGTGTGCCATATCATCGGTCAACGTCACATCATGTTCGGCTTGCTTGCCTCGTCGTCGTCTCATCTTGGCACTCAAGGTTTCCCGTTCCTTTCTAGCGACTTCTTGCAGCATCACGCATTTGACTTTGTAATCAATGTTGGCCCGACTTTGCAAATACATGAAAAACTCGGACAACTTTGAAAAGTCCCAGTTTTTAGTAAAGGCACGAATAAACCGTTCGCGTTGTTCGTTTTCGGCCGTTTGATAAGGTGAAGCAGCGAGAATGGTCGTGATCAATGTCGCTGTATACTGGGTGGCCCAGTTATGTGTCAAATGACGCAGGAGTTCTGCCCGTCGATAATCACCTGAAACATGGTTGAATAAAAATGGGAAAAAAAAATAACACCACCCATAAGAGCACCCAGCCCGTCCCCGCACTGGTTGCTCAATTAAAATATCGGGATAAATGAGGCTAAAAAGGAAAATGAAGCAAAAGAAAAAAAAAAAAAAAAAACCACCCACAACGCCAATGGGAAGCCCCTCCACAAATATATAACACAAGTAGGCTTTTCGCTTACCCGCTTCGTCGCACCAGTCTACAGTGACGTGCCGTACCAGTATACTGGTACTTTCCCAGCGCCAGTCATTGATCAGCCATTTTAGTGCATTGATAATACGTTCCAAGGGATATTCGTTGGCTATTCGATGCAAATACATTGCGGTGACGAGAACATTGTCTTCTGATTTTAGCCAAGAGTAAAAAGTAGCATCGTACAGTTGATCCATGCGTTTAATGTTACGGTAAACGTTCTGCCATTCGTTATCCTCATCGTCGTTGGAACCTTTTTCAGAGACAAAGAATAAAAGAAGATATGTTTTTGGCATGGTGAGTTTATCATCTTGAAATGGATAAGGAAAATGGTTAGTGATTCCAATATGTACTTACGACAAGTGTGAGAAGAAGGATGGGGTTTTTTTACGGCTGCCCAATCGGCCACAGTAATTGTTTGACGTGATAACTGAGCGGACGATGGCAAGTCAGCAATGTCGGTCGTCGATAAGGATGCCGTTGGCAAAGAGGAAGTAGACGACGGCAAGAGGGATTGCATTGCAATCAGAGTTTGGTAGGTATCGTATAGTTCTTTCTTGTTTTTTCCTAGTAAGGGAAAAAGGAAGAAAAAAGAGCAAAGAAGTGAAAAAGAAGAAGAAGAAGAAAAAGGAACACCAGTAAAGATGGTGGAAGCAGGCCAAAATGCAGTCGCAGACAGAGAAGGGGAAGTTAGGGAGTGAGGGCAAAAAATAAAATAAAAAAGACCAAGGGAAAAAAAAATTGGCTCACAGATTAATATTGCCATTGTGAAAATTGAAGCGGCAAAAAAATTATGATATCATTTCTCATTTATAACCCATTGTTTATGTTTCTATGGCAAAAAAAATGAAGTGACAACAAATATAGTCCTAGGATGTAGATTTTGTTTTCTATTAACACGTTCAAGTAATGCTTATACGTTCATTCGCTTAATGTTACAGCACATTCCAACTCATCGATCGTTTTTACACAAGAAGTAAGATCATGCTCCGTAACAAAATCGGAAAACAGTGGTTCTTGTCGCAAGGCACTCATGAGCACTCGAATCTGTTCTTTTTGAAATTGGGCATCGGGTTGAAGCAAACACGTAGACTGCTGCGAAAGGCGACAAGCAATATGCTGTAATAGTTGAAGCAGGATAGTCCAGTTCCAACCACTGTGCATTAATAGCAATTGCTGACATTGATCGGTGAATTCAAGCGGCGTCGTTAATGGGCGAATATCATCAATCGACCGTCGTACATCGTTTAAATCCTTCGCCAGCGAAGGGTAACTGAATTTCAGATTGCACGCATTTAACCAGTTGTGATTGATAGAAATTGTCGCTCCAATGTTCTCCACTTGATGGAACCATCCACTGGGTACAAATAGTGTTTCCCCGTCATGCTGGTATACTACGAATCGCACTGCTTTTTCGAAATGAGGGAATTGCTTCGGATCCGCAGATCGAATATCGTACACCGTGTTGCCCAACCGATCTTTGTAGAGTTCCTCTTGTCCTGGTGGAAATAAGGTCCATTTTTTGATGCCACAGATATTGCTTGACCAGGAATAGGATCTATTCCAAGGACGACCAATGAAAAAAAAAATTGAGAAGGGTTGCAAATTTGTCAACTAAGAATAAAAAGAAAACAAGGATCAATAAAAGCACCAGCTTACCTGTAAACATCGGCATGAAATGGGGTGAAAGTAGCATGTCCACCCATATACGAGAAACGATAATCATCCTTTTCACCATCTGTCTTTTGCAACCAGTACTCGTTGAGCCAATCGTCTAAAAAAATGGAAGTATCGAGCGTTTGAGCGGTTTGAGTGACACCCTTCAAGCCGTTTCTTGATTAATTTTTTTATACCTGCAAAAATATCAGGCACTTCATAAAAAGGCGCTTCTTTCTCGTTCATATCATGCACAAAGTGCCAGTCTTTGAGGTAATATCGTCCACTGTCTTTCTCCCACAGATCCGCAAATTCATTAAATGTCATGTCGCAACGTTTCTGATCCGTGAAATCCCGTTCAAGACAATCAGCAACCGTCACTTTCGCAGCTGCAAATTGTTGGCGTAAGAAAGCATAGTTAGGCTTGCATCGAGGTTGTAATTCATGGGTAACATGATCGGTAGGCACCACCCAATCGTGACGTGCCCTCCAGTGAGCTGTCAAGGCTGGCCCAATAATGGCCGGTTCATTGGGAAGGAGGTGATTATGAAGAAACTCTTCATAGGAGGGAGGTTCTTCATAACGCCGAATACGCTCCATAGGAGTGACAATTGGGAACAATGGTTCTTGTGGCGGAGTGGGCCCCAATCTCCCCAATTTTCAGTAAACAATGGAAATTTTCGATCATTAATTTGATTAACCCCGGCGACTTATCCGCTCATTTCAAGCATTGATTTTATTTAACGCTTCCTGTATCAGCCTGCATACCAGTTGTAAATGACAACATGATGCTATAGAACTTGGTTTTATTGGATTGGGTGAACCGTGGTCTATTCGAGGAGTATCAAAAAATTCAGATAGTGATTCTTGGCAAATATGGAAGCGACCTATCCTTTTTAGTTGACTTCAGATCAAAATACATCCAATAGTAGAACATGCCATTGTGCAAAAATCATGTTCCACGTCGATACCGCGGTTAGCGTTCTTCCTCATTCAGAAATACAATCAAACAATCGATTTTCCTGACTCAAAAAAAAGTCAGTCAAAGGAAAAATGTCGCCATTCTTCCACATTTCCCCCCTTAACGATCCTTTTATGCCATCATCATTATCCTATCGAATTACCATGCCTGTTACAGTTCTGCGCTTCTATTGGATAAGCAGTTTTCCATGTAACAAGTCATCACTGTAAAAGAAAAAAAAAAGTCAAGATTTCAGTCGCAGTTAAGTGAACAACATGGAAGGATAGGTTCCCAAGAAAATACTACCGAAAATGAAGGGCTTTCTTTTTTGGACTTTTTGGTCCTGCAACTATCTTTGGATGTCCGACAGGATCCGTTACGACGATTGTTTCTCCGTCATGGCAACCGATCTTTGACAGCCTAAAACAGAAAGGCTAGGTTTAGCTGCGACCTTGTCCGTTTTTTTATTCTATTTAGTTTTTCTTCTATTTTGCCTTCCCGCCTATTCTCGTTTTCCGTTCTTATTTTTCCTGGACTCACACCAAGTCGCGAGAATGAATCGACCCGAAAGGAACCACTTGCACAATCCAGACGACGAGGTACTACCTTGCGCCATCTAAATCAGGTCACTGTCGGGTGGTGCACGACTAACATTTATGCACAGATACCAAATATCGAAGCTCACTTGGAATATGTCAATAAAGTCATGAAATGGAGCCAGGTTGATTTAGACCGGTGCATTTCGCTTTTCAAGGCTCGGTCAGTACCAAACAACAAGGGTCAAGGTGATTCGCGTCTATGACGGAACTAATGTAACCTATTGCTTGCGCATTCTCACAGTCTTAGCGCCGAGGAAGTATACTTGCAATCACTCGCAAAGATCACCAAGTCCGTGGTGGTACCTGAAGCTGAACCCTACACTTATTTTAATAATTCACAAACCACGTTTCAGCAAGCAACCCAACAATACGAGTCGGCTCTCAACAAAACCGTGGCCTATCGACGAGATTTCATCCAGCAACTGAGAAAACAAATCGACAATCTCCTTGATTTTAAAGTAAGGATGTCCTTCCTATAACGCCCATATGGTATGCCAAATCTAACCTAATGGGTGCATAGAACGAGCAAGAGACATGGAGAAAAAAGGTCAAGATTGTTCTTACCAAGAAAAATGAAGATTACATCAACTTCCGCACGCGCCAATTACCCAAGGTAAAAAAAAAATCGATGGTTTCATGCACTGGCCGCTATCTACTACCATTGTGTATTGATTCTCTTTCTTGTTGGCAACTTTTTTAGCTGTATAAAACATATATCTCTCGCTGTCAAGAGCTAAAGTATCAACAGCAACTTTATCAGCAACAGCAGCAATCTTCACAATCTCAGTCGCCTCCGCTTCACGTTCAAGCCTTTCCTCAAACCCTTTCTCCACCATCCTCCTATGAAGATCCATCCATCCACCTTACCTACGATAATGTTACACGCTTGTCATCCGAAGAATCACGTCCGAGAAAAAGCAGTGATACCGACAATGATTCTATATCGTCTCTCAATGCACAAGATATGGCCCATCGAAAAGGGGTTTCGGGATTCATGGCCCAGATGCGCACGCAAATAGCCAATGCAGCTGCCGCGGCCTCGGGAGACTTTAATCGTCAAAATGCTCGATTTGCAAAGATGAAAAAAGATATAAGTGAAGCCGGTGAGAATACTATCCGTTGTGTAAGGACATATTTGTACAAAGGAAGCTTACCGTCTATTTCCCCAGATCAAGCCTATCGTCAAGGGATTCAAAAACTGGAATCCTTGCGTCACGTACAAATCGAAGCAGCGAAACAAGCCATGAAGGTAAGTATCTTTTCCTGATATTTTTGGTGTCAGTGATTGATAGTATTCTATTTTTCTTCACAGCATGTCGAAGTCAATTTTTTCAAAAAGTCGGAAGCGGCAAAGATCATCTTATCGTTCATGTTATCCGCTGAGCATGCTACTTTGATGAAAGAGATGGCCGTAAGTGAGATTGTATTTATTGACTGAATTGACACTGGGAAACTGATTTTGGAAAAAAATGAAGCTTGCTCAACAATCAATCAATGTTGTTGAAAATATGGATGGACGATATGATGCAGAAATTTTCATGAAAGAATATGAGAGCTATACGCACTTTATATTACCCACCCCCATTTGCTATCACAATTATTATTATGGCAAATGTCGAGGTATGTAAGCAAACTTTGGCGATGAAGGCGGTTTTCAGCGAGTCTCAAAGCATCTATTACATATTCAGATATTTTGTTCGGCATGTCTTTGGATGAATATGCTCTTCGACATAATCACCGAGTACCGCTGGTGGTGGTGAAATGCATCGATGCCATTGAGCATCTTGGGGGCATTGAAAAAGAAGGCATTTACCGAGTGTCGGGACGGCAGAGCAACATTGATTTGCTGAAATGGGAATTTGAACGAAACGAAGATACCATCGAGCTGGACTCGCGGTACGATGTGTTCACAATAGCTTCGGTGCTGAAAATCTATCTACGTGAACTGCAACGGCCATTACTAAATCTAAGCATGCAAGACCGCAAAGACTATTCAGGTAAACTGTTTGATAGAGTAATGACACTGCAGAGAAAAAGGAACACACAGAACTTATAAACGGGCTGTGTAGGTATTACGGATGAAACCAGCCGCCTTCACCTGCTTCAGGAACGCTTGGTCGAATTACCTGAAATTTATCGCAACACTCTGGAAATGCTCGCTGCTCATTTGGCCAAGTAAGTTATCATGTTGTAAACAGCCCACATTCATAGGGGAATTGACGCGTTGGCAATGTAGGGTCAATGACAAACGGCAGGTCAATAAAATCGGGATGCAGAATTTGTCGGTTTTATTCACCCCAGCGTTATTCCACGATCATAATCAAGCAGAAAATGCAGGCGAATGGTATTCTGATCGTGTTTTGGAAGATTTGATTATCCACCATCAGCGCGTTTTCGAACAAGTGCGAAAGGAAGTGAAAGAAAGAGAAAGACGACAACAAGAACACGAGCAACAGCAACAGCAGCAACAGCAACAGCAACAGCAGCAACATGAACATGAACATCAGGAGCAGCCACAGCAGCCGCAATCCAGGCGTGATCAGGTAGTGCCCCAGCAGCAGCTGCAGCAACAAGTTACAGAAAATGAAAGCGTGAAAAATCCTGCTGGATCAGGTTATACGCCATCGCCTACTTCCCTTGTGACATCTTCACCCGTCTCCCAATCTCCTCAAACGGCTTATGGGTCCACCAAACACGAATATCATATTCCTGAAGAGACGGTTGTTTCCTCGCCGTTTTCTGAAGTCCTTCCCATGCTGACGACTCACAACACATTGAATGCAACGGATCGACCGGTGGATCAACTGAACAGAACTCACTCTGACGCTGCGGTGATTGGAGTTAACCCTCGCGATATTGATGACAAAGAACCTTCCCGACCCACCGAGGAAGGATTGGCCGCAGGTCTTTTCCGTCGAGCTACGGTTCGTGCACGGGCGGTGATTCCGCCACGACATGATTCGTTACGATTGCAGCGTCGGCCATCAAAAAAAGCGCGGGATTCATCCCGACAGCAAGAGCCAACGTCGCCAAATATCGACAACGAAAAACAGCCATTCAGCAGGATGCCGGAAGTGCAGCCCACGCTACTGGATCGACCGTCCCAAGTTTCTCCCGAGATTACCATTGCCAAAAGTATGAATCTTGAAAGAAATAGATGATTGAAACATATTTAATATAATTTATACGTTGCAACCCATGAACTTAATTCACTTATTGAAGTGTCTTGAGCGCCATCAGATGAGCAGCATGAAAAATGGGTAATACCTTGATGAGAGCCGGTATTGTGAAGTCATGAAATACTGTGCGAAAATTGATTGATGAAAATGAGGCGACGTGTAAAGAAGGCCGTCAGACATCCCTTAAAAATTCTGGTGCCGTTGCAATGTTTGCTATTGCGCAGGGTTACGACATCTTTACCATCATGCATACTCTATTGGTTACGGAGTTTATCACATAAAACTATGTAAAAAATAAAAGACCGTCGTCGGATCAAGCAATCATAACGGAGTCAGTTCAGTTCAAGGGAGACCAATCAAAAGGAAAAAAAGAGACACACAATAAAAAAAAAAATTTTGTCACCAAATGTTCCAGAACTAGAAGCCGTAGGAAACGAATCACAATACCAAGTAACAATTTTCGACTGATAATGCTTTCTACAGTTCCCGGAAGCGCTCCACGGTTCGATTGTTCCAGTTTCGGAAAGCAGAACTCTATAATAGGGTGATATAGCTGGAGCATTGAAAGCTTGAACGTACTTTGATAGCTTTGGCAGAGACAGAAGTACCTAAACTAAGATCTCGTCTTGCATACATACAAGGGTCATTGACTCCAAGATACACATATGCTAGTTTTATTGCTTACACGGCACATTTTTGACGTTCGAACCACTCAAACTCGAGTTGCACAAGCAAGTCTTTATGGTGGGACGTGCTGATATTGCAACTCTTTTGCTGGCGACCTCGGCTCAGCCACTGATAAAGGCTGCAACAGGGATCTGTGAGTGTTTTACCATGTAATTAATATATTGCCGCGATACATCATGAATCAGTTTATCGCTACAAAATGAAACTGCTGAGCAGGTATCAGTAAATATTTGAATGACCACTGGCAGAAAACAACAATCGATTCTGTGTGAATCCACTGGTTACAGAAAATACGTAGTAAAGGGTCAATAACCATGGTACAGCACAAAATACCGTTGTTCGCACAGAAAGGCCAGGTTTAAAGATCAACTAAACGCTATCCCTGCTTTTTAAGGTGTGCATGACATGGAAACTTTACATTTACAGTATTTGGCGCTCCTTATTCTGTCGACGCACCAGGGCCAAAAAAAAAAAAAAAAAAAAAAAAAAAAAAAAAAAAAAAATACATACAAACCGAAGAAAAAAGCAAGTCAAATACATGTCAAAGCCACTGCATTTGCAGGTTGACGGCAAGGATTTGTTTTTGTTTAATGCAATCAGAATACAATATTCGCTGATCAATGGTTTATTTTTTTTCAGTAATGAGGTTTTTTCTGTATAAAATGTAAAAATCACTGTACAACACTTTAGGCGCTGCCCTTGGGAGCTTCCTTGACTATTGAATGAAAAAAATATCAGTCAATCCAGATCTTTCTCCATTCATAGTGCAGCCAACCCTGATTGCTTACCGGACAAGGCGTGCTCTTCACCCATAGCAGAGACAACAGTGACGATCAACTCCTTGCCTTCCTCGAACATTTCTTGGATTTGTTTACCGAGGTCGTTATCGGGCAAGTCAACATCATCCTTGGTGGTACCATCTTCCTTCATCAAAGAAAGCTGACCATCATCAACGTTGATGAGCATGAATTCCTCACGGCGAACGTTGGGAACATCCATGTTGTGAGTGGAGGGGGAGACATCTTCATACTTCCTATAAATCAAGGAAAAAAAATCAGCATCCCAAATAATAAAAAAAAAATTGCTCCCAGTCTGAAAATTTTTTTTTTCTTTTGGCGACACGTACTTGCCAGTGAAGATATCAATAGCGACCAAGTTGACCTTGGCGTGACCGTGCTTGCCAGTCTTGGAGGTAGACATGTCAACGATCTTGCAGGGATGACCCTTGATGACAACGTGGCCGTTCTTTCTCAATGCAGAGCACTGCATGGGGTAGGTCAAGGAAGCACCGGCATCAGTGGACTCGAAGGTGTGATCGTGATCTTCAGACATTCTATAACAAAACACATAAACCCTGTATCAGTACCACCTTTCACGGCAACCCTTCTAACAACTTGGTCACAATATTTACTTGCTAACAAGAAAGGCCAAAAAGAAGTAAGTAAAAAAGAAAAACAGACGCGCGGGGTGGCTGTTCCAGGGTTTTTATAGTATTTTTTTTATTTTTTGGCTGGGGGCTTGCCTACGTTTTTTCTGTTGACGATGCTGATTGGCTGATTCGCGTTGCTGTTTCTGGAAAGGTTTGAGTTGGAAAGAAAATTTTTTTTGACGAATCGCCAGGCCGGGGAAGCCACGCGCGGAGTTCGGGCCTTCATTTTCCCTGTTCCCATCCTTTTTTTTTTTTTTTGTGCGCCTCTGTGCCGAATTGTTTGAATTCGTCAGCAAAAGAATTGAAAAGAATAAAAATTGCAAGATTATAAAGAAAGAGCCCCACGCCGACATTCAATTTTTTTTTAATTGTTTTTCCTCTTGCACTATTTTTTCTTCATGACTTTACCTTATTTAGAGACAGTACTTCATGCATTGAATCTTGATACCACCCAAGGTCGCCGTACCGCATTGACGGCGGGCGTCATCAGTTACAGCACCTATGTTATCACTCGTTATTTCATTTATCGACTCTATTTGCACCCAGTGAATCGCATTCCTGGGCCTCCCGTAGAATGGATTCCTTTTACCGGTAATATGAGAACCATCATACGTGAGGAGGCCGGTGTACCGTTTACATGGTGGACCGAGAAATACGGTGGAATTGTCGGCTATCACGGTCCATGGAACCGACCCCGCGTGCTTATCACCGATCCTGAAATATTAAAAGAGGTCCTAACTACCCGTCACTATGACTTTATCAAGTCGCCCGATACCAGCGAATTTCTTATCCGTTTCCTGGGTAAAGGCATTCTCGTGGCCGAAGGAGAGACGCACCGTCATCAACGGAAAATGCTGAACCCGGCGTTTGGTGTGCAAACCCTCCGTGACATGGTGCCCTTGATGAGCGTACCAGCAGGTCAATTACGTGCACAGTGGTTCAACGAATTGCGTCCGAATGAATGGACCGAGATCGACATTTCTACCGGTCTTTCACTGGCGACCTTGGATGTCATTGGTATTGCCGGGTTTGGCGAACAGTTCCGCTGTGTGCAGAATGCAGGCACTCCAAGAGCCAATCGTTTAGCAGACGCTTATATGGGAATATTTTCCAACGACTTCTCCAGTATGCGTGTGCTTACTTTCTTCTTCCCTTTCTTACGGCATTTGCCTACGCCTCACAATCTCCAAGTCAAACGTTATCTGCAGTGGCTGCAGGAAGACAGTCGACAATTGGTGGAACGTGGCATTGAACAGTACAAGAAGGATCCAGAAAATATGCCCAACCATTTATTAGGTCTCATGTTGCGTGAGGTGGACGAGACAACGGGACAACACATGTCGGTTGAAGAATTGCAGAATCAGTGCCTCACCTTCCTCGCTGCTGGGTAAGAGATACACTACGGTTTCGTCCGGTCGTCGTTCGATGATGCTCATGCTTTATGCTTTCTAGTCATGAAACCACCAGTGTGGCGTTGTCTTGGTGCCTTTGGTTATTGGCGCAACATCAGGATATTCAAGATGAACTGAGAGCTGAAGTCAGGACGGTGTTTGATGACACCAACATGGAGCACCCCATGTTTACTGACCCGCTGCATCATTCAACCGACTTCCGCGCCGAGGATGCCAAGCTTCCAAGTTATGAGGCCATTAATCAACTCAAATTACTGAATAACGTTTGCAAGGAAACCATGCGTTTGATTCCTCCCGTTCCTACCACCAGCCGAATGGCCACCAAAGACATGGTCCTAGGTGCGCACGTTATACCCAAAGGCACGTTTCTCGTGATAAGCCCAATGGTGACTCATCATCTGAAGAGTATTTGGGGCGAAGATGCCTACGAATTCCGTCCATCTCGCTGGGACGAACCGGCGGCGGCCAGTGTCAGTCCATATACGTATATGCCTTTCTACGCTGGAGGACGTCAGTGTATCGGTCACCGATTCGCCACCATGGAGATGAAAATTCTACTGGCCTTCCTTATCCGGGACATGCGATACACGGAAATTCCAGGCATGCAATTCAAAAAGAAGCAGCAACTCACCCTTCGTCCGGTTCCGTCCATGCAATTGCGAGTATCCAAAGTTTAAAGTTCTTCATTGTTACTATATTCTGTTTGTACTGTATACTGTGTATCATAAATCTTACCTTATGCCCGTCAATCTTCCTTTTTGATGGCTCTCATGCACATATAATTGCATTGTTGTCTGTCATGCGGAGTTATACAACTAATGTTTTCTACGCATCTTTTTTTTTTATTGGTATCCCTTGAGCGACAGGTGTTGGTTGCATATTAGTGGCCTTTGTTTATGTGAATGACCAAAGCCCGGTGATGTTCAAGCGCAGTGGACTTTATCGTGAAGGGACTTTGCCATCGCTACTTCTAAGCAGCCCGATGCAGGGCCCAAAAGCGTCAAAATCACTGCATCCATTTGATTTTACTGTAGCCCAGGGTGCCTATGACGACAATAACATCGCTACTAACAGGGGCACCGACCGGACCATAAGTCTTATTTTTATTGCGAATGCAATTCTCACCATAGAAACTACGTAGCCTTTCCTTGAGTATTATAGTATCGACCTTGTACCGTAATGATGTCTCTTCACATGAAGCCCCCATTTTGACAAATTGCGAGCCAGCTGCAAATGGCTCTTCGTTTTCCTTCTTACGTCTTCATCCTCATAGAAAGTGTCTCGTGCATCACTTTTGAGAATCCGCCTGCTATTTACCATCGTCATGGCATAACGTGGCTTAATTCGACATTAAGGCCTATCTGTAAACGATTATTTTCCGTAGAGAATTTACAAAGAGAATATACCGAAGTTGGGCCGTTATGTCTTCCTGATGATGGAACTTGAAAGATCACATGTGTAAGTAAATTTTGAAAAAGAATAAAATAGGTATGGATAATACTGCTAGGTTTTTTTTCATTAGTTTTTTTTCTATTTTATGCTTTTCTATGACATTTTTATCCATAGAGTCAGTCCTTCGTACATTAAATCTTGATACACCGAGGGGTTGTCGTAATGCGTTAACTGCTGGCGCGGTCGGTTACAGCACCTACATTTTATATCGTTACATCATTTACCGGCTCTATTTACATCCAGTGAATCGGATTCCAGGTCCTTCAGTGGATTGGATACCTTTTATGGGTAATATGAAAACGATACTGCTTGAAGAGCCACCTCTACCCCAGTTACGGTGGACTGAGAAATACGGTGATATCGTGGCCTATCATGGCCTGTGGAATTCGCCTCATGTTCTAATCACCGATCCTGAGATTTTGAAGGATGTCTTGACCGTTCGTCACTACGATTTCATCAAACCACCCGATACCACTGCATTTCTCGTCAGGTTCATAGGCAACGGTATTCTCGCTGCGGAAGGAGAGGCGCATCGTCATCAACGGAAAATGTTGAACCCAGCGTTTAGTGTGCAAACCCTAAGGGACATGGTGCCTTTGATGAGCGTGCCTGCAGGTCAGCTACGGACCAAATGGCTCAATGGATTGCGAACGGACGAATGGACCGAGATCGATATTTCCACCGGTCTTTCGTTGGCGGCATTGGATGTTATTGGCATTGCCGGGTTTGGTGAACAGTTCCGTTGTGTGCAGAATGCAGGCACACCGAGAGCCAATCGTTTAGCAGACGCTTACATGGGCATTTTCAACAACGACTTTTCCAGTATGTGGGTGCTTGGGTTCTTTTTTCCTATTTTGCAGCAACTTCCCACTCCTTACAATCGCCGAATCAGACGCTATTTGCAATGGATGCAAGAAGATAGCCGACAACTGGTGGAACGGGCCATCGAACAACATAAGAACGAACCAGAGCAGACGTCTAACAACTTGTTGGGACTCATGTTGCGTGAAATTGACGAAACAACCGGTCAGCAGACAACAGTTTCCGAATTGCAAAATCAATGCCTCACCTTTCTTGCTGCTGGGTAAATAACGAAAAAAAAAAGATGCCCATTCACACTGTAATTACTGGGCCAAATGTATCGACGTAGACTGACAGCTTATACTCTCACAGACATGAAACCACAAGCGTGGCATTAACTTGGTGTCTGTGGTTTTTGGCTCGACATCAAGATGTTCAGGATGAACTGAGAGCTGAAATCAAAACAACTTTTGATGACACCGATATGGATCATCCCATGTTCACTGACCCGTTGCATAGCCCATCCGACTACCGTGCGGAAGAGGCTGATATCCCAAATTACGAGGCGATTCATCAGCTTAAACTATTAAATAACGTATGCAAGGAGACACTACGTTTGATCCCTCCTGTCTCGCTTACGAATCGTATGGCTCTCAAAGACATGATTTTAGGTCAATACCTTATACCCAAAGGCACCGTTCTCATTTTTAGTCCCATGGTAACGCATCATCTAAAGAGTATCTGGGGAGACGATGCCGCCGAATTCCGTCCTTCCCGCTGGAATGAACCGGCGGCTGCCAGTATCAGTCCATATACATATATGCCTTTTTTTGCAGGAGGACGCCAATGTATTGGTCACCGCTTCGCTATCATAGAGATGAAAATCATGCTGTCTTTCCTTCTCCGTGACACGAAATACACTGAAATTCCCGGCATGCAATTCCAGAAAAAGCAGCAAGTCACGGTTCGTCCTGTGCCCTCCATGAAGCTACGAGCTCGCAAAATTTGAAAGCTCCTCAGTATCACTCCATATCAGAAACACATGTCTTGTATTTATCATCAACGTTATGTCATGATTATCACCTGCAGTCAATCAAGTATCAAAACAATCATCCCACCGGTTTCTACCATATATATGCAATTTCCATAATTGTTACGAGGAAGACCAATGTGAAGTTATTTTGCAGTCTATGCTCGGAAGAAATTCAAATCATTGAGGAACACTGAACGCTTGAGGTCAAAAATTTGGTTCAGGTTTATCCATGTGTAATCACATAAATCTTTTAAAATTGTGTTATATTACAAAATAGTCGCTTATCTGCTAGGATAATACTAAAGAAAAACAGAGCACAATATAATAGGGAGTATTATCATTATTATACACATTAGAAAAAAAAAACACACAGAGCCAGCAATTGCATAAAACCGATTTACAATTTTTTACAGTAACAAGCAGGTATCCAGCCGCTTTGTTTCCCAAGATGACCATACCACCATTCTTCATGTTCCGTGCTTTCCCATATCAGTAACTGGTCTCCTTCGCGAATACTTAGTGCATCAGGCTCGTCCGCTTCGTAATCGTACAACACCACGCACTGGAACACGGGTTCGTCCGATGGCGTGGCTGTCAAGAACGAGTTTATATCTGGACTAGTAGACAGGTCCACCAGCTGCCCTACACTTCGATTGCCGACTTCCATGGGTGACCGATCGTGCATCTTTTCGGAGGAAGCTGATCGAAATTTCATTTTTGATCAGTAAAATGGAACTTGCTTATGCAAACGTACTCGGGAGTGAGAGTAAAACTTACCGTGATGGTCATTGAAACTCGGAGCAGACATCGACCTGTCAAAATAGCCATCCCCGTTGGTGCCTGTCCGACGAGGGCGGCTGGGTGACAGTAGCTGGGTGGTTAAAGCGTTCCATTGTGTTTTATTTAATGGCGTGATTTCTTGAATCATCTCTTCCACGGGTACCATATCCGTTTCGTACTGCTGTACAATTTGTTCCAATGTTTCATCGACATCTTCCTGGCCGTCATACAGCAGGATGGCCAGTTTTTTCCATTCCGCTGTTAACTGGGCATAAAAGTTGGCTTGTAGGATGGATAGATCACCGATCAAGATGTCAAAATACGTAGTGGTTAATCCAAAAAATTTGGGCAATTCATCGATTAATTGGGCATTGATGGAGAGATAGGCATCAGCTGATTCTTGCAGTGCTTTATCAGGCACATCACCCTTGGATTTCAAATCTCGTACACGATCGTAATCCAATAATTTCTTCGCCCGTTTACTGATGACCTGAGTGGGATTCTCGAAAACCCGCAAAAATCCTTCGATCCTCACGAGAGTATAGCTTTTGACAGTATTATCCTATCAACAACACATCAGATGACCATGTTTTGATGGACATCTTCGGCAGGATCCCAATCTGGAACTTACAAGTTCTCGCAACAATGCGTTGGCCAACACGGAGGCCGCTTGATTGAAAGCTCGGATATTGTTCATACTGCGCACACGAACTCCACCATAAGAACTGTACAGTGTTTCCAGACTGCACGCAAATAACTGAAGATTGTCCAGCTGTTCCTTCACATGGCGCACCCAGTTTTGCAAATCACGAGCTAGTTGCCGAGCGATTTCTTGCTGTTCTTCAAATCGTAGATTGAGGGCATCGAAAAGAGCGTCCTGGGTCGCTCCAGAGGCAAAGCCTGTCACTTGCCGGAACCGTTGCGCACGACGCGTTAACTTTTTGTTGATACCATGTCTAGCACCAGAGCATTTTAGCACGTACTGGCCTTTTTCACCCCATTTGTTCTGTCAGATTTTGTCACTTACACTACCTAAAAAATGCACCAAGTAAAAAAAGGTAAATTGGTTGATCATTGGCGAGACAGGATTTCCTCCAGTTGACTTACATTTATTTCGGTTCGTTTTTTGTCACCGACGATTTTTTCCACAATATCTTTACGACGCTTGATCTCATTGATGTGATCGGCGACTTCCTGAATCTCTTTTACCGCAATGGCCAAGTTCTCGGCATCAGGATGCTCGGCAGGGGTCAATAAGCTGATTTCCTACATCATTGCGACAACACCATTTATACTTCTCATCACACGTGGATGACCCTCGCTCCTTAAAAGCTTACCCGAAGCAGCAACGGGTATTTTAATACTCTTTGAACAGGTTTGATCAATAGACTTCCAAGATCCCAGCTAGTGGTACGTCCTTGCATATCCTCCTTGCATTTCTGTCAAACCGTACCATAAAGACCCGAGTGAGTTCATTTGGTCGAATCTCCATCTATAAAGTGTAACTTACGGCGAGAAACTCCTGTACTTTTGGTATGGATTGTACTTCCTGAAGCTTCAATACCGCGTCTTCATGTCGTTTGCAGTATTCACTGTATACCTCGTCGATCCGGTGCATCTATATAAAACGGTGCTCGTGATTAGGCAATGTCTCGCTTACTCGACGTGGCTATGGATCACTCACCATTTCTCTGAAAGCCATACCAACCGATGTGTTATCAATGTCGTTATCACTCGAAAGAGAGGTAGCTGACGGTCGTCGCTGAGATGTGTCACAGGCGTTTTGCAGTAATGCTATGAACATGTCCTCCAATTCCGCAATAGCCAAAATATTTGAAAAGAGAATCTTGACATCGTTTTTGGTGAAAGGCGAATCGGGTAGACGAGCTTGATCATAGTATACTTCTTTCAGTAGCATCATATCGCTTTGGAATACTTTTTCTGTTTCAAACAGCTCCTGAACCACTTTAGATCGTTTAATCACTTTGTATCCCACCTCATCTCTTCCTGAAAGTTGAGGCGAAATAGGCAGGCTATCAGAGAATGACGTGTCGGAAGACGATGGCGGTGACGTTGAAGCTGCGGAAGGTTGAACGGGTTCTTTCGAAACGATAGTAATTGAATCTTTGAGAGATTGATGTTGCGCATCATCGGTGTGATTGCCTGTGAACCAGCTGGTGATGGCCGTGCCGTAATGCCAGGATTTTTTGGCGGAGGAGCCGGTCACAGATGAGGAGGAGGTGGATGCAGTGGAAGCGGTGCTCATCACGCTGTTCCCGGTCACCGATCGTGCGATCATGGGAATATTTAGTGAAGCGGCGGAGGAACCAGTGTTATTGGGTTGAATAGAAGATGCCATGCATGGATTGGACGCTCGTTTGCTGAGACTTGTTCGAGAGGGTATTGGCTCGCCGGCTTTACGATGGGTTGGTATTGCGGAAGGACGAGAAAGCGAAGGTACGGACGGACGTGCAGTGACCGGTGCAGGTGAAAGTTCTTTGACCGATCGCTTTAATCCTGCCTTGTCGTTTTTCTCCAGTCGTTTGCTGATTTCGGCCACCGAAGACGAGGGAAGGGAAGATGATGAACTCTCTTTATTGCGTGCAGGAGATCGTGCGCCGAGGTTGCTTTGGGAATCATTGATGGGGATAACAGGTTTTGGTGAAAGGGTTGTACGATATCCTTTGGACGGCGCAAACGAAGTGGGTCTTGATCTATTATTGGACACTGTATTACGTGGTGAAGGTACCTAAACCAACAAAGAAGTAAAAGAGTGTGAGCATTTTGAGTTGTGGACCATCATCACTTTGTATAAGATGAGCCTACCTTGACGGTACTGCTTTCTTGTTGGAATCTCGCACGAATATCTTGGAATCGTAAGGATGTCTCGTCAATGGATGATTCATGTTCATTGCTGGAGGATGATGGTGGCGGTTCCATAGCGTGCTGTGTTGGGGTGGTGAGTGCTGGTGTGCTCAAAGGCTGGTGGGATGGCACTGAAGCAGTGTTATTCAGGGCATGTTGATTGGGAATGCGTAGGGACGGTGGTTTGGTAGGAATGGAAGGTTTCTTTGCCTGAATGTGTGCATCATGTGGGTTGGACGACGATGTATCTTGAGCGAAGACGCGTGAGAGCCGATTGACTGAGCCCTCCTTAGCCCGCAATGAAGAAGTCGGTCTACCGCTGTTGGTCGACGAGACACTGCTTCGTTGACGAGGTTTGAACTCCAACGTTTTTGCAAACGCATCCTGACCACGCGGTGAAGGAGAGGAATCGTCCATTTAGAAAACAAGGACAAACAGTAAAGGAAGTTAAGAGTGGTGTTGAACCTTTTTATTTTTATTTTTTTTTGTTATGTTTTCCAAATTATGCATCCTGTTATTTTGGGTCCGATCATTACAACAATAACGTCATGGTCCAAGCGTAGCCCTTTTGCACTATCATTGTTCCTTGGCTTTCAGCAAAAACAGGTGGGAGGAATCATTCCCACTGGACCATTCCAAAGACGCTGTTTTGAGAGGATTGGCATACGCTTACAACAGACTCACGGTACGGAAATACCTTATCGTGCAGAATTACTCCGATGTTCGAAGAAGGAGCCCTTCACAGACGGATTTTGAACGAATGATATGCCTCGCTATTTTGGTCTGTCGTTTGAATCGTTTCCTGATTTTCTTTCGTTCATTATTTCGGCTACAGTGGACAGCGTCAACCGCCACTTCATTAGCGAGTAAGCTTTTGTTTAAATAGAAAGCTATTGACAAAGTGAATGATTCATAGGGATGTGATTCCTGGACAAACCAACGAAGAAAGAAGCTGTCTCAAGGGCTCACACTTTCCAGTGTAATCTGCGGTTGGAAGCATGCAAACAAGTAGGATAGAAGAAACGGTTTTTCACGATGTTATATACAGTAATTTATTGAATGAAGTATTGTGAGAGAAATGACACGTATTGAGGAAAAAAAAAGTAACAAGGGCTGTGAGACGATACGCCTACAACCTAGAGACGGCGACCACGACGACCACCCTTTCTGCGGGTGCTGTCGGTGGGAACTGGCGTAACATCCTCTGTTGACAAAGAAAAAAAAATGCACTGTGAGTACTCATATTCATTGACAAGGTATATGGCCATGCCAAACTTACCAATACGGCCAATTCTCATGCCGGCGCGAGCAAGAGCACGAAGAGCACTCTGGCCACCGGGACCGGGAGTCTTGGTGCCAGTACCACCGGTTGCTCGGATCTTGATGTGAAGAGCATTGATGCCAACTTCCTTGCACTTGGCAGCGACATCTTGAGCAGCCAACATGGCAGCGTAGGGAGACGATTCATCACGATCGGCCTTGACCTTCATACCGCCTAACATTGAAAGGGACAAGGGAGGGGGATGTGGTAAGAAAACTTGAACCACACGCCGCTCAAAGCTTCCTCTACAGCATCGCCACCTTGGTAAAAAGATGACAATACCACAGAGCAAGGTTGTCCTTTCTGCATTCATCACTTCACACACTTACCAGTAACGCGAGAAATGGTTTCGCGACCAGAGAGATCGGTCACATGGACAAAGGTGTCGTTGAAGGAAGCAAAGATGTGAGCCACACCGAACACAAGTTCACCCTCACGGACTTGAGGACCCAAGGTAACGGGTTCAACGACTTTCTTGGGAGCAGCACGCTTGCCAGACATATTTAAATTTGGATGGATGGAAGAGGAATACGGATGGATGCAAAGAACAAAATGGATGCTTTTTTGAACGAAACCCCAAGCAAGTAGAATGAGACTGCACAATGAAAAAAAAAAAAAAAAAAAAAAAAAAAAAAAAAAAAAAAAAACCTTGCAGACAATTTTTTTTTCCAGCGCCAATCACGACCGAGATCCTACTGCTGCAGCACCATGGGAATTGTCACGAACATAATTTATCGTTCAAAATCGATTATTATATCGACAGCAGTGGTACGAAACATGCTGTAGGCTTTCTCGTGCACAGACTGTGAAGAAGCGATGACCATGGCAACTAATACGAAAATCAGCATCTTATAGCATGTGAAGCCACAGGCGACTCAGAGGTGTGGCGGTTTTGTCGAGCTGACAAAGCTAAGCAATGAAGTGGATTGATTGAATGAAAAAGGCTATCTTCAATTAGGACTCTTGCCTTCCACTGGAAGAAATCAAACTTTAAGACTATGAATATTACCACATCATCATACTAGACAAAAAAAAATTATGGTGATCTGTTAACATTTCATGTGAAAATCACAATAAGATCAAGAAGATCAGCAGCTCAAGTATCATCATTGAAATTTCTTCTGTCAATGTCATGGTATCCGTCTGTTACCTGATTAGTTTCTTATGTTTTCCTTGTAAGCTTCCATATGAAAACGTGGTTCTGGCTGTTGGCGGAAGCTTTTACGCTCGTTGATGGCCGAGCAAGTGTACTTTTTCCGTAGATGTTGGTGAGAGTGGTGACAGATCGAGAAATCATAAATCTCCCAAGGAATGAAATACGCTGTAGTCATTTTTATCGACATAATTGAGTACGATTAGGTTCTCAGGGCTCCAAATATACATCGTTTCATGTATGGTGATCCAGCATTGTTATCCAGCCTTCTTTGTCCGGCCCGGGTTTTGAGGTGACGTAAGCAAGATTAAACAATTTTTTTTTGATGTGCAAACTCTGTGTGCAAATACGAAAATCCGATGGGGGAAACGATGGTCACCTCTCTTTTCTTTACTATAGCAACGTGAGTGAGAGCTTCGGTGATAGACGACCATGGGTTCGAATTTTCTTTTGACGCTTTATTATTAGACAATGAGCGCTGATTTGGTTTGGGCTTTGATCAAGAACAACAACTCCTTCCTCGTGAAGCGCCCTGGTGTCCAGTTCTCTGCGGAGAAGGGTAACTTGTTGAACTTGAACACCTTCAAGTACTCTGGCCTTGCCAACGAGAAGGTTCGTATATACCCATCATGAAATAATTCGTGACAGTATTATTCCGCAGTACTCATATTTTTATCGTGTTTAGGCTGCCGCTGTCCAGCCTGCTGCCCGTGGTGTCCGCGTTACCTTGAAGAAGGCCAAGAACGCTCAGACTCCCGCCAAATCCACTCACTCTGTTGTCATCGCCAAGACTCGCCGTCAGACCGCCAAGTCTGTCGCTAACTTGATCGCCCGCAGCAAGTACAGACCCGACCTTCGTTCCGTACGTTTTTATCACTATCATCATTTGAGTTATCGTCTTGACTCACTTATTTTTTATCTGTTCCCCTTGTAGGCTGCTCTTGCTCGTGCTTCCGCTATCATCTCCAGTCAGCAACCCCAGAAGAAGCGCACCCTCCGTCCTGCCAAGGGCCTCCGTGCCCAAAAGCAAGCTGCTGCTCAGGCTTAAATGGCTTTTTAATTTAATTTTTTCTTTCAAAATCAAATCATTTCATTATAAAAAACACACACTTGCAGCATTTCCAACCACCGGGTGGCTTGGCACGATCCTTTTTGTGGCTTGTTCTTCCTGATCGCCCCAAAAACGACGTGTGATAGTCTTTTTGACTGTGTCTTTCGTAATTTGCTATTCATGACATTATATATTTCAACAGGTGGCAATGCTTCTGGTGCCATTGAGCTCAATATTTGTCTCTGATACATGTCAGAATACAGGGTTGGTCTTTAACCATTCAACCAAAATTCGGACTATTTCCCCTACTAGAGAACGCAAAGCTTTCCTGGATGAGGATATTTACACAACGTTTTATGTCTCCATTAGCATAGTATGCAGGTTATGCCTTGCATCACAAAAAAAAAAAAAAAAAAAAAAAGAAAACTCGCCATATGCCATCATCCCAGTACAGTACCCGGACAACAAAATTTGAACAATTTTAGAAATCCGCACAACAGTTATTGTACGAGAAAACTACTGTTCGTAAGAAGAAATAGTTTCAACTGGTATATAAAAATATCGCATAACCTCCTGAATCAACCAGAGAGAGTCAATGAGAGACAATTAATCACAGGCTAATCAATCACAGGCGAATCAATTAGTACATCACCTGTCAGACCTAGTGCCAAAAAAAAGGGAGCACAGAATCATGCCCCGGAAGTGTAATTTTTTCCCTTCCATCAACGCAAAAGGAGCGAAAAAAAATATGAATTTGGTTCTATTTAAGGTATACTTACAGAGGCGAAGGGATGCTGTACAGTGTGTTCTACAAAAAGAATAAAGGATCTTCGGATTCGCCGTGAAAAGAAAAAACTTTACACAGCGTCCTGGAACCGTGAAACTTTAATATGAATCCCATCATTAAGGTTTATTGTATATGGTCAACCCTCATCACAAAGGGCTGGAACCAAATCGATTGACAACATGCCATTCGGACTCCGTAGTGCTCGAAATAAAATGCCACGGATGAAATGATGATAGCTCTTTTCCTCACTCTTCTTCTTTATGTCTAACAGAAAAGACAAAGGGTAATATCCGGTATACCAAAAAGTGTAAAGAAAAATATTAAAAGCCCTATTAGAAAACAGCGAGCTACATATACATTTCCAAGCGAACAGTCTAGCGACGAGAACGATCAAGAGGGTCAAGACCTTCAAGGTGCCATTCAAGAAAGTCGTCAGCAAAGACATATAGGCTCTGATGAATATGGCGAAGCGGGCCCATCAAACTTTAACCGTGCTTTGCAGCCATTGCCTTTAGCAGCGCAGGTACCAGGAGAACCTGTACAAACCATTCCCCCACCGCTTCCAAAGTCTGGCGTTTCAAAAAAGTACCAAAAGCCAGATAAACGGTTCCTGGCGTCAGTGGCAAAACTTGTCCGGGAAAAAGAAGATAAAGAAGCAGGAGCGCCTGAAAAGCTGAAGCCGAACAGAAAGAACAACGAAAGAGAGGTACAGTAATGTTGTCATCATTTCGATTTTTACGAAACGAATAACATCGATGGAAATAGATGCATCGGCAAAGCCCAGAGCTGGCCAAAAACGAAAAAAGTCAGAAGAAGAAAAGCAGGCCCTAAAAATGCAAAGAACGTTGGGGAGACAAGAAAGAAAGTCCAAAAACCGTAATGTATACTATTCGAAACGCTGTCCAACATGCGTCGCGGCTCGAAGGTACGAAGACCAGGAACCCCACTCAGACAGAAGATCCCATCAGTGCCCGGACCACCGTGTGTCGCCTAAGGAGCGACTAAACATGTTACTTGGAAGAGATCGGACAATTTTCGTCAAGAAGATCGGGCTTGCGAGCTTTTTGAGCTTGGAGGAACCAGCCAAGCAACGACTACAAGACCAGATTAATATTTTGGTGAATTACTGGCGCGCAGCAGCTATTAAATCCCAAGCTTTTGCAGCGTATTACATCTTGGATTTGCTTGACGCCCATCGCGAACTCCCTTTAATCATTTTTTCGCAAGATTTCTTTTATGCATGTATCCAGCTCGTCCATGGCGACACGATCACCAGCAGCAACAGCAAGTTACCCCGCGAAAGCATGATCCGATGCTACCAAGAGTACACTGAACACTGCCGTGCATCGCTGTTGACGAACGTACCCGCACACAAACACGCATTGGCTTATTTGGCGGAACAATCGGCGACCATCTTGGTGAATTCCATCACTGAAAATTTTGAGCATCGAACTATCCACTTTTTTTGCCTTAAATTGCAAAATGCTGCTCAAGTAAGGTGTTGCTTTCATGTTATTCCCATATGTCATTAACTCATACCTTTCCAGGATCTCACAAAGAAGAACGCTGAAACAACTGCGTGCTATATTTATGACTCAATGAATGATCCAACCAGCCCGCCAGAATGGCCGTCATCCATTGATCGCTCTGACTTGTTCAATTCCGCCATGGACGATTTGCGCCAACTTTTTGCGAACGTTCCCAAGCCGATCAATGTGAGGACTCTCTCAGCACACCCAGAACAGTACCTACCATTTTTGCACACGATCTTACGGGAGACTGAGAATTTTAATGCAGAGCAGACCGACAGTGCCGATGTTGTACGAACGGAAGCTACCAACGGGTGGGCGCGAATGCTGATCCAGTCGCTCGCTGAATTTCCTGTTCTCCCGCGCCATTACCGTTCGCGTTTGGTACGCCAAATCATTACAAAAATTAACAGCACTGAAGAAGCTCCGCCATTGATTTCCTCGCGATTATCTGAACAGTCTATTGGCGCTTTGCGAATTTCTATCACTGAAGCCAGAACTGCCATTGCTAATTCCAAGCAGTATTTACGGGAAGGTGAGGAACATGGTACAAGTGCGATTCCGATCGGCGCTTGCTTCCGCCCTGAGGCACATACTTTCGTCAAGCAAAGTCGTGTGTTTCCATTGGTACCTATGTATCATTTTCGGCGCCAGTATGCTACTATCGACTTGCAAACGTTCAGGTGCTTGTGTCACAACGCACGGGTTGCACTTCCGGCGGCTCGCGAAATAACATTAAGCAGTTTAGTGCTGTATTTGACTTTGGCAAATTGCGGTAAGCTTGAAGCGCTGGGAGATGTGGAATAAATGGCTGACCAATAGAAATATACTTCTAGTCACCAAGAAGTTGAGCAAGCCAATCGGCCTTTGTTTGCAGGGAGCATTCGAACGGATGGCTTCGGCGTAGATTGCTTATTTACACGTCGAAAACAGGAAAGCTTGCCGCAGCTAGGCATTGAAGACTTCACAACTGCTGAACTTACCAACACTTTCCATCTGTGGGGTGTTGACCCAGGACTCACGGAGATTTTCGTCGCTAGCGATGGCCGCACACATCAATCACACCAGATCCGGAGGTGCTCAACCGATGAATATTACCATAATTCAGGCGTAAAGAAGACATCAAGGAAGATGCTTACTATGAAGCAAGAAATAGTGGCCGACGGGCGAACCTTTGAACAGATTGAGCGAGACTTTCCGTCACGCAAATCATCGCACAAAGTCAATTTCATCCGTTATGCCGAAGCATTGGCCCGGGAACTGAATCCTATGCTCAATTTTTACGATGATCGATTTTCCTCGCTGCGTTTTTTGAACTATATCGGCAAGCAAAAAGCTGAAAGCGAGCTTGTGAACATCATGGTAAACGGCGGTAAAAAATGCGCCACTCCCAAGCAAGAGGAAAAGAAAGAAAGCGACAGAAGAGACAAAAGGTAACATCCATTGAACTCTCCTTCTTGTTTCCCGATTTGATGCACAGTCGAGACTCACAAGACGAGGGCTTTCGTAGGTCTAACAAGTGGAGCAAGGTCGATTATAGCCAAACCACAAGATTCCCGTTGATTGCCATGGGCGATGCTGTTTTTAGGCAGTCCATGCGCGGCAAACCTACTGGGCTTGCCAACAGGTACCGGGCCTTGTTGCGACGAGCCGAAAACGAAGGATTGCTGGTGACAGTGAGTATAGACGAATACAATACTTCGAAAATAAGTTTACCGCTGGGTAGAGATGATGAAGATGCAACAACTGACGGAAAATGGCAGGTTTGCTCGCGGTGTGGACAGAAGACGTTGGAACAATTGCGGCTTGCCGACGGCGGAGTGATGCATAGTGTGCAGCATTGTACAAATTGTGACACACTATGGCAGCGTGATGCCAATGCCAGCCGTAACATTCATCTCATCGCAGCCGCTTTGGCTGACGGCCAAGAACGTCCAGTGGTATATAATCGCTCCTCTTCCACGTAACAAAAACGTGTGATGGTTACAGTTCGGTAAGTTTTATCGGAAAAAAACCTTGTCTAATTTTTTGTGGCACAGCACTGTATGACCGTGAAATTTAAGCTTTTGGGGAAGTGGTGATCACACGATGTGCGATGTAGATTAATTTCATGGTCCGATGTTCCGACGGTCTCTTCCACTGAGCACTGGGGCAATCACTACAAGGGCGGGCTGCCCTTGCAGTGGCCGTGCTTTGGCTGAAAAACTAATAACACGACGGACCCAATAAAGGGCATGCCGCCCACCAAATACGGTTACATTGAACGGTTTTCAAAAAAAAAAAGTATCCGAAAACGTAATTGCAGGCATGTTGAACAATTTGATGAGGGATGCCACGGCAAAACCTAATTGGTCAAATTTAGACCTTTAATTTTCAGAATAAGGTGCCTCGCGTTCACCGTTTCACACCCTCTTGTTTTGCTTTCCATCTTCCACTCGTTGTTGGCATCATGACTCTTTCTAAAGCTGAAGAACCTACCCTTGTCGGTCCCTCTACCGACGTCGTTGAGACGGACAAGAAGGAGGAAGAATACCAAGATCGTTTCTTGGAAGGAAGCCAGCGCATCATCGCTTACGATTTGTTGGAAGCACGCGGCAAGGCTAACGAGACCACCGATCCGGATGTGAAGCGTTACAGTGAAGCCAAGGAACTGTTCCGCAAAGGTTATGATCTTTGTATGAGCGTTCCTCGTACTTTGGACGACGACGTCCTTTTAAAACACGAACAAGACGTGAAAACTGCCGCAGAGACCCTCGTCGCTGCGTGGATGTTGGATGATAAAGCCGCTCCCATGTCTGAGCGCGTTTTGATTCTTGGACAACAGTACGAAAAAGTGTTGTTGAAGGATGTTCCTGAGGATAAGCGTGAAGGATTCTTCGTTAAGGAGTCCCTGCTCTTTTCTGCATGGATTCTTTTGGTGGGCAAACAATACCAACACTGGTAAGCTACATATCTCCACAGCATTCACGGCGACCAGTTATTTATCACCAACAACCTCTTTAGTTTATCTACTTTATCTTTGGCCATCGATACCTACAAAGACTTGCCTGTTCGCATCTATTTCTTACGCGCTTCTTGCTACTTCTCTCTCGGTAAACTCAGGTACGCATCCAACCGCGGAAGGGTGTCGGCAAGGGGATCATTGGGATAACGGCAGGGAGTTGATGGTCAAGATGGAGGAAGTAAGAGAGTTGACCAATGTCAGATTTCAGTCTTTTGAGACGATTGGAGTCAATGGGAAGCACGCAAGTGAGGGCGGATAATTATTCGGCCTTGGACGAAAAACTAATTTTTCAATTAAATAAGACTGGGCATCAAGGATATGGTGGAATGTTTGCGCCAAGACGAGAATTTCTATGTGGCATACAGCGTCCTTGGTTCGGTGTACATGTCCCTGAAAGAGCGCGACAACGCTATCCGAAATTTCAAATTGTACGTCACCAACGGCCACCCCGACACAGCCGATTATATCAACGCATGCTATTCACTGTCCATCCTGTTGAACCAGAAGAAGAAAGCTGAAGCGCGCGATTTCTATAACAAGGCCAAGGAAGCCGAAGCTCGTTTCAAGTCACTCTACGGCACCAACACAGGCATGAGTGAAACCAAGCGGGAAGCGGTTCAGTTGCATGAAAAGCCTGAAGATGCGCATAGAATGATCTTGGAAGCTATGCCTGCGAAGCATTACAATGCAAAGATCGAACAATTGATCAAGGCCGGTATTCTGCAGTCTGCCTATCCTCCCAACCCCAAGCAATGTTCCAATTGCGGTGCGGCTAACCGAAAAGACAAAGCCGACGGCCCCTTGCTCTGCTGTGGTGCCTGTAAGAGCATCTGGTATTGCTCGCGTGATTGTCAAGTGGCGGATTATAAAAAGGCACACAAGGTCGCCTGCAAGAAGATGGTGGAAGCGGCCCAGTAAGCCGAATCATAGAAGGGATAAGACAAGAGTTCGGCTAAAGAGTACCAAAGGAAAAACACCTATTTGCCAGGGTAGTTTGTCTATTTTTTGTTTCCTGTTTGTGATGGGTTTTTTTTTTCTTTTATTTGGTATTCGCCGTTTAGGAAGCGTACAAGGATGCGATTTCCTTCTATTTCACTTTTTGTTACTTTTTACATTTTGTTGTTCTCTTTGGGTTCTATGCCGTTATTTTTCCCTCTATTACTGGTATTCCTTGACATTAGGAAGTGCTTTTTGCTAGTTTTATTATGCATTTGACCAGGAATAGAATGGTATTTTGTTACTCTATACAATGATTGTGTCGGTATCCGGTTGTTCCTTGAATGGGGGAAGCGTACGTCATTGACTGCCATAAATGAGTGGGTCATCGTAGTACCCTTATGTAAGGTATAAAAAAAATCGTTTTGTTCTGGATTCCGTCATCTAAAACGGCATTGGCTGCCTATTGTAACAAATACAACGGCAGGGACAAAATTTTACGCCGTGATGTCGCGGAATCCGGCGAAGTCTGCGGAATGCTTGTGGCTCTTTTGAAGCTTTGAAAATCAATCACTTTCCAGCTTTTTTCTTCATAAAGCATATGAAGATAATGTCTGAATGCTTATCATGTAGTTCATTACAAATACCCATGTGGAAAGTGGTAAAAAGGACGGCATACAGAGCTTGGGAATGGCAACTGAGACATGAGTCACCGCAGGCTGACTGTGACTGCTGCGCATCCCGATGCCTCCCCGGTTGCCAAATTTAGCCGAACCAGGCTAATTCCTCGATTTGGATGCCATGTGCGTTTGATGGATCAAAAAATTGCCGAGTATATAAACGGAGGCGCCGATGTTTTTCTTGATCTGTCATTGTTCTATCAGACAAACTCTTCTTTACCAAGATACTTTCTTATTCCAGCCATGTTGCGAACAGTACTTGTACATCAGTCTCCGGTGGCTCGTATTGTCCCCATTGTCACCAAGACAGCTTGGCGGTCTTTATCCACTACTGCATGCAATCCGGCTTGCAGTCGGGCTATCCATGATTCTGTCAATAACATCCCAAAGGATGTGATGAGAGAAGTCCAGTCAACTCATCCCATGCCCATCCGTGATGAATTTCTCAGCGTTGAGAAGATCACATCCGAACAATTGGAGAAACTTGATATCGGGCAGGGCAGTCACCGCCAACCGCTCACCCTGAGCGACACCATTGCTTATCGTAAGTATTGAGGCTTATTGTTTATTGCTGTGGTTACACTAACATTCTTCTATCCAGGCATGGTGAAAATGCTTCGAGTCTTACCAGACACCTACTTTGGCCGTGATCATTATATGCGAGCTGTCATGCTGGAAACAATTGCTGCAGGTATGACTTTTGTAAAACTTTTTTTCTACGAAACCACCCCAGGCTTATCATCAATCTTTTTTTATTTTTATTAACGGTCAGTGCCTGGTATGGTGGGTGGCATGCTTCGTCACATGCAGTCGCTACGTAATATGTCCGAGGACAAAGGCTGGATCATCCACTTGTTGCATGAAGCTGAAAACGAACGAATGCATTTGATGACCTGGATGAAGTGCCTTCAGCCAACGCTTTGGAACCGCTTGCTGGTTTTGGGCGCTCAAGGTGTCTTTTTCAACGCCTACTTCTGGTTGTATGTCTTCTCACCCAAAACGGCCCATCGTATGTGCGGTTATCTTGAAGAAGAAGCCGTCATCTCCTACACTCATTTCCTGGAGGATCTGGACGCAGGCTTAATCAGCAACGGTCCAGCCCCGCCTTTAGCTATCGGTAGGTTGATGGATGATCCTTATATTCACGGCAAAATCTTTGCTCACAATGAACATGTTTAGAATATTACAATTTACATCCTCATGCCACTATCCGTGACGTTATTTTGGCTATTCGTGCCGATGAAGCTCTGCACCGTGATGCCAACCATCACTTTTCAGATCGTATTGCTGCTGGACGCGAAGACTTGACAGCTGATATTCGAGCGCGACTTCATCAAGATGAAATTGCCAAGACCAAGCACGTCTCTCAGTTATCTCACTAAAACCCAGCCACAGATTATCTTATGCTCCCTATTCATTTATTAATTGTATCATATTTCCTCCCTTTCATATCCATTCGGCATTTCTTTGTATATCTTGCTGCCGTAGAAATTAAAGAAAAAGTTGAAGAAGATGTTCTTCAGCATTGATAGAATATGTTGCAATTGGCCTGTGCCGACACTAATCAAAAGACCGACATTTTTCGGCCGTAATTCGATCAACACAAAGTGGCTTGTTTCATTAAGTGGGGCGTTGGGCTTTATTTTTCTGGGTTTCTCCGCAAAAAACCAGCATTTTCCCTTAGCCTACATAATGTTCTCCAAATCAGCTTCTGTCTTCTTGCGGTCTTCTGCGGCAGGTTTGTCGACATTTTTGTATAGGTTACATGATGTGTTGCTAGACTGACCCCGTTTTCTGTTGCATTTAGCCGCTCGTCGTTCCTTTGCCAGCGGTTATGAATCGACTGCCAAGAACTTGATGATCAACAAGAACACCAAGGTCATCTGCCAGGGCTTCACCGGTAAGCAGGTAAGTTATTGGCAGCCCGAAAATGGTTAGAATGCATACTCATGCTCGTGAAAAAATAGGGTACTTTCCACTCCCAGCAAGCCATTGAATACGGCACCAACATGGTCGGTGGTGTTTCTCCCAAGAAGGCTGGTCAGACCCACTTGGGTCTTCCTGTCTTTGGCTCCGTTCGCGAGGTAAAGTAGCTTGTTTTCATGTATTGAGCTGGGGAAAAGAAAAAAGAGACGCCATGTCATTAACTTTCGACTTTGTTAGGCCATGCAAGAGACCAAGGCAGATGCCAGTGTTATCTACGTTCCTCCTCCTGGCGCCGCTGCTGCCATCTTGGACGCCATTGAGAACGAAGTGCCTCTTATTGTTGCCATCACTGAAGGTATTCCCCAGCACGATATGGTCAAGGTCAAGCAGGCTTTGATGACTCAGGACAAATCCCGTCTTGTCGGTCCCAACTGCCCCGGTATGATTTCCGCCGAACAGTGCAAGATCGGTATCATGCCTGGCCACATTCTCAAGCGCGGTAAGGTCGGTATTGTATCCCGTTCCGGTACCTTGACCTATGAAGCTGTCAACCAGACCACCGAAACTGGTTTGGGTCAAACCCTCTGCGTCGGTATTGGTGGTGATCCCTTGAACGGTACCAACTTCATTGACTGTCTTCGCGTCTTCTTGGATGATCCCGAAACCGAAGGTAAATTTGGGGAAAGCATGAAATTTTTTCGTATGCACTTGGGTTATGATGGATGACACAATGAATCAATTATACATTGGATGATGGGGGGTATTGCAGAAAATGATTTGTACCATGACACTTACCTTTACGTTATGCAGGTATCATCATGATTGGTGAAATCGGTGGTACTGCCGAAGAAGAGGCTGCTGACTTCTTGACCCAATACAACTTGACTCGCGAAAACCCCAAGCCTGTCGTTTCCTTCATTGCTGGTTTGACTGCTCCTCCTGGCCGTAGAATGGGTATGTAGACAGACTCAGCCGCATTTGGATAGACCGGTTGGTTGCTCATCTATTGATTGTTATTAGGCCATGCTGGTGCCATTATCTCTGGTGGTAAGGGTGGTGCACAGGACAAGATCAAGGCTTTGGAACGAGCCGGTGTTATCGTCACACCTTCTCCTGCCAAGTTGGGTGTTGAGCTTAAGAAGGTAAAGCGTTGTGAAGTTTTGCGATCGCTCTATTTCGTACTGACTGACATTTCGTGTCATTTTCTGTAGGCTATGGAAGCTGCTGGTTTGGTTTAAATTTCATATAATCTGTTGTACTTATATCAATTGTATCGAGCATCCTTTATGAAAAGTCCTGCATCAATAGATAATAGAATATTGAGGGTTTGGAAGGATCTACGCGAATTACACCTTGAAGGAAGGCTGTGAATCCTGCTTCGGCCTAACTGATAATTTGAATATGGAATGTGTGTTATTTTATTGATTGGGTAGAGAATGAACAAGAAAAAGAAATAGGAAACATGGAGAGTACTATTTCTTTGATACTATTTTTTACTGAGTACTGTTATGCTCGGGATTATTGAAAAACACGATGCTGGTTGGATCCGATGTACTGAATGGCGAAGGATAGCCGAAACGTTCCGGATATATGAAGTAAACGATCAGATTGAAAGCAACGCCGGCTAAGACGACGATAAACCAGATAATGACAGGAAGCCCTTCTTTGATCTGGCTGACCAGCACATTTTCCGATTTGCGTTCGGCCGCCGAACGGGCGCTGGTACCCCAGCCGACGTCCCACAACGAAATAAGAGCCCAGACTTTGGCCGGCACCAGACCCAGCAAGTAATACAAAGAATAGATCGGGAAGGCCAAGAACCGCGCTGATCGCGATACCACGAGCGCATAGACCGCTTTGATCGACGCAATAATCATGAGCGACAGGAGCCACACACAAAGAACCAAGGGAGCGTGAGCGTACATGATGTAGAAAATCGAGAACAGCAAGACAAAAGGATAAATGCCTTGATAAAACAATTCAGCCGCCATCCATGGGCTGTGCTTATGCAGACTGCGTGCATTCCATATCAATTCGCGGTAAAAGCTCTTGGACCAACGTGTTTGTTGTTTGAACCATCGCAAGAAACCGGTCGGCGTCTCAGTTTCACATCGAGCAAGATGGGTGAAAACGACGCGATAACCGCGCATCAAGACGCGGTTCGTAAGATGTCTATGAACAATGTTTTTGTGAGAATAGCTCTCTAAGACAATCAAACCCGAGGATATCATGACTCCATTTTTGTTACCTGTCATCGCCATAGGTACATTCCAAGCCCAAGAACCGTTGTGTAATCCATTCGTCAAGTACTTCACGGAGAACGCTGGATCGATACAGTCCCATAGGCCCCGAGACACAAGTGACACAACGGTTAAAGCTCTGAGCGGCACGTTCAATATTGAATGCCATCCAATAACGTAAAGACGACATGAAAGACAGCAAGCTTTCAGTAGCATTCCAAATACGCACATCGCCAGCCGCGGCACCGATTTTGGGGAAGTAATGGATGGCCTTCTCGAGCTCCAAAAGCGCGTTCGGTTCGAATTTCGTGTCAGAGTCTGTAGACATCACAGCTTCACAGCCGGCGGCCATCAAGATGCGAAAAGCGGTGTACATGGCATGACGCTTACCACGATGGGGTTGCAAATAACACACGGGGGTATCGATTGGCAACACAGTGTTTGTATCGGCGAAGAAGCTGTCGGCCTTCTCGTCGGACACTCCAGCAAGCGATGGTTGGCCTTCCAAGTCATTGGTGGTCTTGTGTTTGTTGGATTCCAAGAGATCAGAAAGAAGATATGGCAAAACAACAATCGGAGCGTCGGGGAAAACCTTCTGGAAGATGGAAGCCATTTCACTGTCTTGGGGAGCGTCGCCATCGATCACGACAACTACCTTGATGTTTTCGGGATACTCCAGGCCTTGAATGGATTCCAAGCAGTGGGCGAACAAGGTAGGCTCTTCACGGTACCCGACGACGGCGAGACCAATCTTTGTCGCATAGCGGGTGTCAGCATCGAGAGGTTTGGGTTCTGGCATGTTCTCTTGAATCGGTGGTCGTGCGACGATGCGCTGGGCCTTCTTGCTGCGATAAAAGATTGAGATGCGGTTGAGAGTGGCAAACAGCAGTTGCAGTGCGATAAAGCTGAACACCACGGTGCCGTAAGCCCCAAGCGCCCATATTTGTTGTGATGCCACACGTAGGTGAAGTGCGTAACCGATGATCGCCGGTATGACAAAGATACCAGAGACAGCGACTGAATAGAGGATCTTTATAGGAAGTGTCCACTGCATAGTCAGTCAGTTCGTAAGTAGGTAAAGACGAGTTGGATGTTGTGTATATCAATCAATATCTTCTTTTTCTTTCTTTTACAAGAGACAAAAAATGGTACATTAACAAGACAAAAAAGAAGATCAAAATTGATATTCATTCTCGCTTCTTTGAGTTAATCTCATGTATTCTCCTCGCTTGGTTTCCCTTATGTCATGTTGTCTCGAAGCCTTCGACTTGAAACGGCTTCTTTTTTGTCCTTTCTATCGCACCATCTGTAAGCCTTGTATTTGTAAATACCAAGGAGAACCATGATATGATATTGACTAACCGGGCACCTATTTGTTCACTATTTGTGGTGGTTGCTTTCGCTATCTTTACTTCAACAAACATGGTACAATACGCAAATACAATTGCAGATCAGTAAGAAACAGAAAATGATTTACTTTGACGTGAAGGCCAGTCCCTGTGTGACCGCGGCTAATTTTTTTAGGGTCGTGATGGTGTTCATTTTTTTAATCATCTATTTGTTTATTCCGAATAAACTGTCGACTTCTTTGATCAGCTTGACGAATAGGTTCTGGAATCCGAAAAAGGCAACAGGCTAAAACAACGCGCACGGCTGTGGCCAAATCCACGCGATGGCCTTGACTCACAAAGACAGGATTGAAGGCGTCCTTCGATGTACGAACGGCTGCACCGTAGACAGTTGTGCTTGATCCTACTAGCAATAACTGATCTCCTTGTTGCTGCAGTGCCTTCTTACACTGCTGCTTGACGTGATGCATTTGCAATAAAGGACCTTCGTCGGCGATAGCCAGGAAGTTTTTCGCAACTCCGATCGTCGGTGTATTGGTAAGTACGCCCAAATGGCAAGCAATGCCACATTGACGTGGATGTAAGCGACCGTTGCCTATCAATCCTGTCAATCCCTGGCAACCGATCATCACTTTTTTTTTATACCATCTACGAGAATGATTTGCGGGTATAAATTAGGCTGCTTGGAGTTTAAGAGCCGCAATAGCTGCGTGAGTGGTGCAACTTCACGAAAAGCCAATAAACCGGGAATATACGGTAAAGACAGCTCGGTCTCGAGATAATCCGTATAAACTACCTGTATCCAGCAATTTTTAGATTTCAGTAGCATAATGCATGATATGAAGTATGGCACCTCAAGCTGTGGATAGGATAAGACGACCAGACAGGCGATCGCGGTGGTATCGTCGTTCTTGGGAAAGCTCAAGTCGACGCCTGCAATGTACTTTAAATGATCCAAGTTGTCGTCATCGAAACTCAAGTCATCATTCTGCCAAATGACTTTTTCATAGAGTATCTTTTGTTCACTGGACAAAGGAAAGAGCAAGCTGTTACAGAGTGCTCAGAACAAGTTTTGATATTGTACGTAGATACTGACGCTTCCCACTTTTCACGCTGTTGAAGTGATGGTTGATGATCAAAGTGGCTCATGCCGAGATTGTCGGGAATCGGAACTGAGGTTGCTACGGTTGAGCTCGCAGGGCTCACCGATTTAGCTTTTAGTCTCACGAACAATCTGTGCAACCTTGAAATAAAATGCTACACGCGCATTTCATTTTTATTGCGAGTGACTCAACATGAGCAGCGCGAAAAATCAAAGGCGTCGCACGGGCTAGATCCTTTCTTTTTTTTATCGCTGCGCTGTAAGCTGTTATTCATAAAACACGGCCACATGGCCCTCATTCAGTTTTTATCCGGTTTCTTTGTGTGGCCACCAATCGGCTGTAAGCATGAATTTAAGTTTGGAAGGAAAATGGCGCTTGTCATTGGTTGATCGATGACTCGGAATTTCATTCGGATCACCAGTCACAGTAAAAGGCGCCGTTTGGGAAGGCTGCCTGTTGAGCTTCTCTTATTCTTTCCACACAAAATGTCGCAAACTCTCCTGAACGCTAACCCCACGGTTTACAATCTTGCCAAAATCGAACGTTTGGATACGGCTTATGAACTGAACGATGATGTGGAAGATCCTATTGACAGTCAGGAAGTGTTTGACTTGATTCGCTCCATCTCCGATCCCGAACACCCTTTGACCCTCGAACAACTCAATGTCACACGATTCGAACATGTCACCGTAGCGGACGAAGCCAATCGTGTGCTTGTTGAATTTACGCCTACAATTCCTCACTGCTCCATGGCCACACTCATTGGTTTATGTATTCGGGTACGTTTGCTCCGCAGTCTACCCGAACGATTCAAGGTAAATGTCGATTATTAATACAGCTGATTGGGGTAACATCAAAGCTGATTACATACTGGTTATTAGGTTGATATTCGGGTTCGAAAAGGTACTCACCAGTCTGAAGATGCAGTTAATAAGCAACTCAACGATAAAGAGCGTGTGGCAGCTGCACTGGAGAATGCTCATTTACTAGAAGTCGTCAATCAGTGTTTGGCCACCGCAAGTCTGCGTGGTCAGGAAGTAGCTAATCATTAGTGACATTAATCGCCTACATTCGTTTTCTTTCTCATCCATAATCCACACCAATATATCGAAAACCTTATCGAACGCTTTGTAAAATATATAAAAACATACAAATACAGCCGGCATCTCCTTCATTTTGCAATAATCTAGTTCTCGTATTTAGATCGTATTGTGCTGCATGCATGTGTCCAAATTGATCGGTCATGTAGAGCTGAAAACATTCATTTACCAAAAATTTTGCACGCATAGTTTGCTCACCATGTACTCAGTAAGAGAATCTGAAAGAAAAAGTTACGTGACAAGCTCCCTCTTATTCAGCGCGATCACAGATTTGACAAAGTTGGATAGTTGCCCTTACCATTTATAATGAGAGGATATAGACCAAACAGTAATTTGTTCTTTGGTTGTTCAATTGATCGATCATGTCAAATATCATATCTCTCACTAGTAATCACTACTGAACTTACAATGAAGAGAGATGGCATCAAGACGAGTTAGCAGGTGCCAAGGATCGAACTAAATTTGCGGGCATTTTTAATTGCGGACCTATCCATTGTTGACTTTTTGACTGTGAACTGAGTAACGGTGAACCAAAGATTTTTACGTTTGTTACTTGAGGTCAATATAGATACTGTCGCTCAGTCAAAGAATATACCAGCCTTGTGCTCGGTAAATGGTGGATAGTCGGCTCGTAGATGTAACTTATTGATGGCCAAAATACATAATTTTATCATCGAATCCAATGGTTTCTGCCAATCTGAATTAGCGTACGACGGGAGGCTTGATCTGTTGTTTGCTCACATCAAATTTATTTCTGATTGTCGATATTCACCTGGTTACTATAACCAAAGAAAAATAAACACATATAGACATAAACCACACAGCAAGTGGGAATTTAGAACAGTGCCAAATTTCTCATTTGGATATCGTAACATTCTCAGTACATAGACCCCTATCAGATGATTCTTTTGAGCGCCATCCCGAACATTAACTGAAAGCTATATCCCTGATCAGCAGCTGCTGGTTCAACCTTCAATTCCCTTTCTAGCCCTTTGTAGACCGGTACTTCATCCTCAATACGAAAGCATCGGGCCCTAACAAGTCGCTAACTCAGTGAGGACAATTACCAAATGTGGTTTTCAGGTTGTCAGCTCTGTTGACCTAATGCCGCCCATGCAATTCCTCACTGCTCGCCGCGGTTGCGGGCACACAATTTTGACAAAATCAAAAGCGGCCTCCCTCAATGGAACGGACAGCAATAGGCCATTTCGAAATTAACGGAGCCAAGTGAATGTGGGAAGCCCATGAACGACAAGCTTGCTTAACTACACATTCTCATAGCGATGATCCTACAATTCGACTCCTGTATGCGACAGCCAAATCGGTGATGGCAGACATCATAACTTGCACCAGCAACTTTGAAGAAACACTTTCTCACATTTGCTCCACCAACACCAACTTTCTTGAACGCATACAGAAAGAGGTGCAAAAACTTCCGGGGCTTACAGTCAAAGTCGACAAGCAAAACAAGAAAGCCATCGAATATAACAACCGCCTCAAGCGCAAGCTGTCGCAACCTGAATTTTTGGATGAAGACTCCTCTGTAGAGATCCCTCCTCTCAAGAGACTGCCCTGTAGAGATCTCTCCTCGCAAGAGACTCTTCTGTGGTGCTCCCTCCTCTAAAGCGTCCCCTGCCCAAAAAGGATGCTAATGCTGAAGCTGAACTGTCCTTCGTTGCGAATTTTCGCGACTCTTGCGTCGTTCATTCTCGTCATCAATCCCGCAAATAATCTGATCTCCTAATATTCTTGTCCGCCAATATATCGTATAGATAGGGCTATAAGCCACTACATAAGGATTACCTCGGTTCAGCGGAGAAGAGACACTAGAGCAGTGAAACATCATTTGTATAATAAATCCCAGTTCCCGATTATTATTGTTTGACGCTAGATATAATAGAGATCATCTCTTTCAGAGAATAGAAACAGTCTCACGGTACTCTCAGTCTCGTACATATATAACATCATGTTCCCTCGCCAATAAGTTAAACAGGAAGATATTTATTGTAAAGCATCGTTTTGGGATACCTTTTCCAGAGGCAAACAATTAAAAGAGGATGCGAGCTCCTGCGTAAATTACAACCAGCTCGTATTACAGAATTCGTCGAACCAGTATTTGCCGGTGGAAATTCCAATAAGCTTCCCTTAGACTAATAGCGCTATGTGAGAAGAATGAGGCTTACGCAACATAGCTTGTTAGCTATCCAGAATCTTATATGACTCAACACTGTTCTCTGGACTTAAAACAACAAACAATGTTAACACAACTTTACCCAGACGGCTCCTCCACAGTTTATTATCACAGTGCATTGGCTAAGGCCTGTTGAGCTAGAGTAAAAATGAAATGCTTGGACCATGTTCGTTCCAAAACTTATATTGTCGGTAATCCGTGTTCAGGACTCGAAGCAACATGTCTTCCCACCGATGTGACAGTCATCGCCAAAAGTTGGGCACACGTTAGGTGGGCATCTTTTAGCAGCTTCATTTTGGCTTGAAGCAAAGCATAATTGTTCGTACCCAAGGGGACATTCTGGAAAGTCAGGGCAGTAGGGTGCGTCACCGAACCATCTTCCAGACTGGCTAGAAACAGTAGATATGGCTAGCAAGAGAATAGGAAGAAACAGTAATGGCTTTGTCATGTTATTCACGGTAATGTGTATTTCCTATATCGTATTTTATTGCCTTTATATATAATGAATGGATGTAGATGTTTATCGATAGGTATAAAGGATAAACCACAATTCATCGGCTTTGGTCAGGCTAATATTCAAACAACTTTCCGGCATAACGAAGCCGCACCGGCATAAAAAATTTTGGTGCAGCATGTGACAAACATTCGGAGAGAACTGTTACAGGCCTCATATGCAATAAAAAGTGCCAATGGGTTGGTAATCGAAGCTTAATCGTAAAACAAATATTCACTTGCTGAGACGATTTTATCTTTGATAGACATCGTTTATGGCGTGGGGTAAATTATAGCCAGTAGCCATTTTTTTATATCCTATTTTTTGATTCCGCCTATGTATTTCAGGATTCGTAGGACCAGCGTTTCCCGGTGGAGGTTTTCTTTGGACACCTTGCTTCGCTTCAGCCGAATAACGTCAAGTGAGAAGCATAAGGACTAATTTAACACAACTCGCTTGCTGGTCAGGATATTACATGGGTCAATCTTGTCCTCTGAATTCAGCAAACCAATTCGGAAAGAAGCGACAGTAATTAGACAATGATAACATACACAGACAAATCCTTCACATCGCTCGCATTTTGTGGGCTTGCATGATCAACTTCCCCAAACGCATCAGTTCCACGGCTTTATCGTATGCTGGACCAAGCAAAGGGCTTGCCGATGAAATTAAAGTTTTGGCTTATCTGCTCACATATCAATACACATTACTGTGAGTCTATGACAAAGCCTTTGGTATTTCTCCCTATTCTCTTGCTAGCCCCTTCTGCTGTTTCTGGTCAGACTCTTAAGTGATTCGGTGACGCACCTTTCTGTCTTGAAGAACCAGAGTGTGCTTATGGATATCCTCCAGAATGCGTTCCCACAAGCGAAAGTGAAGTCCCTGAGTATTGCCAGATAATAGGTTGTCCACCTTTTGACGAACAGTGCCTTATCGGCCAGAAGATATGTTGCTCCGAACCCTCAGACGAGTTGCCGACAATGTAAGGTTGGAACGACCAAGGTCCAAGCTTCTCATTTTCACTGTAGTTCAACGAGCCTTAACCAATATTGTGATAATAAACTGTGAAGCCACATCGGCATGAAGCGTTTGATGCAGCAGGTGACCAACATTTCGAAGAGAGACTAATACCAGGTCGCATATTCGATGGAGGTGTACCCTTGATTTCAAATACACGTCATTTTCGATGGGTCTTGTCTATACTCTGAGGTGCTCATGGATTCGGGTGCAAATTACACAACTAATGTCTCTGGGAAGTACATTTACCATTTTGATTTTAATCAAAGTTCAGTTGCACAACAAATATGCACTTGCTGAGGCGAGGTAATCTTGATAAACATAGCGTCCATCACTCTTGTTGTGTCATAGAGAGTACAGCATGAATATTGCATCTTGGTATAACCAAACCCTTTTGGTTAACACTTACTGATCATCATGGGGTTACACTTTCGATGGAGCAAGCTGCATCATTCAAAGTGTGTCTCGGAAATAATGTCAAAAAAAAGGATAATAAATTCTCACGGAGATTGCTTGTTATTGAATACAAAAGGTTTTCGGATGTTTGAGCAAGAATAGACATGGGAACCTTAGGGTAGATATAAACGCGGGCAATTTTTAAAGGTTTAGTCTTCGTTTGAAGCGAATATAGTATTCCGTTTCCAGGAGGACATTTTGGGGAATCGGGGCAGCGGAGTGCTTCACCATACCAAGCTAACAGAAAACAGTGGAAACGGCTAGAATAAAGTAAGGAGAAACAGCTATGACTCGGTCATACCCTTGGCGCTGTTGAATGTAGCATCGAACATTTCATTATCGCACTTGTTTCTATAGATATATGCAGATATTTGTTTGTAGGTGAGTTGGTTGGGTTATTCGTTTTGGCAGATTAATAGACTGATAAAATGTCACAGACACTCTTCTTATTTTGACGGCTATATTATGTATGCTCACAAACCTGGCCGTGATGAAGCCGAACCGAGATAAATCTTGAACACAACGTGAAACTAACATTGTGCTGACAGAATGCGGCCGCATATCTTCTATGTTTCGATTGAGCCCGCCACTTTCAGCATAGTCCATTTGTATATACTCAGAAATCCTAATTGATTCAAGCACAAAGTTACACATGCAAGCTTGTTTGGAGGTTACTGTACCTTGACAACTGTCGAATAATTAGGCTTCAAGTGGCATAACCGCGCGATACATTTACTATACTGTAGATGATATTGTATTATTACTGTAAACATGGTTAAGTCGCTTTAGCAAGCAAACATGACTTTTGCTTCATATAACGGAATAGCAAAATTGTAATGTTAAGGTGTAAGTGCGTGCTAAGTATCGATATCTTTTAAGCATCGCTTGGAATAAAATTTTAGAGGCAAACAATTAAAACAAGATGTAAGCATCTGTTAAACACAATCAGAGAATGACAACATAACATAACATTTACGCGGACGGCTCCTACACAGTTTATTATCACAGTGCATTGACTAAAGCCCGTTGAACAAGTGTAAAAATACAAAGCTTGGACCATGTTCGTCAAAAAGTTATACTGTCGGCAATCCGTTTTCAGGGCATTGCGCAACATGTCTTCATACCGGTGTGACACTCGAGACCAAAAGGTGGGCAATAGTCAGGCGCGCATTGCTCATCAGCTTCTTTTTGGTTTGCGGCATAGCATATTTCATACGTTCCAGAGCGACACATGGGGATTCAGGACAGAATGGTTCGTCACCATACCACTCTGTCGACTGGCTGGAGACAACAGAAACGGCTAGCTAGCAAGAGTATAGAAAGAAACACCAAAGGCTTCGTCATAATATTCGCAGTAGTGGGTATTTGATGATCGTAACTTATCGCCCTGATTTACGAGAATGGGTGCAGGTGTTTACTGAAGGAACCCAGCAGTAAGCCACAACTTGGATTCATTTGGCAAGTTTCGTCAGGTTAAAATATTGGCGGCTTCCCAGCATGACAATAATAGCAACGAGACTGATTCGTTTGGGTAATGCGATCATGCAAGCCCACAAACATGGGCGTTGAAGTTGCACCGGCATAAAATCGCACACAGCGTGAAATTAACATTGTGGCACATCAATGCGACTGCTACGTTCACATTTCAGTTGAGTCTGCCACAATTTCAACATAGTTTACCTTGTCTATACTGAAAAATTATCATTGATTCAGGGCACAAAATTACACATCCAAGCTCGTTAGAACGTTAATGTGCCTTGTCAAATTGCCGAATAATCAGGTTTCAAGTTCGTAAAACCGCGGTGCATTTGATATTAGACAATATCGTCTTACTACTATAAACATGGTTCAAGTTACTTTTAAAGGTAAATATAGCTTTGCTCCAGCGAACGGAATATCGACGAATGCAACACGGACAACCGTTATTGCGGTTCCACTTTTTCGTACTGTATTGCGTCACACATGTACCCTGAAGACTGCGCCGAACGCATGTTTCAAAGTATTTTTAATGTTGTGGACAGTGAGAAATAAAAAAAGATGCTTTTAACGAATTCCGAAGCACCTCTAATCCAGGCAATATCCCGAATCAATCTAGAACGGTGGGTGCTTCCGAGACAGGGATTTCAGCTGCTGATACTTAGACGAGTGCTTATTATCGGTTTGGTGCTATTGCCAAGTATTGCATTCCATGAAAGCTGCTGGATATCTGCCATCGCCGCTGGGTTCCACGGTATTAGCTTTTGAATCTAATATGAATAACGCACAGGAAACTTGTGCAGATGATGACTAACGAAATTCGCCAGACCATTTGTTTCATCATCATAACTAGTTTTTGGTATCAAATCGTACATTGTTTCGCTCACTGCGTCGAATTGCAAGCAAGGGCATGATGATTGGAACAGCCAAGGAAAGACACTGAGAATATCTTAAAATGACATATAAACTATAAAGGAAAGTGTAAAAGTATTGGTTATGGTTGACCATTCGCATACTCTCTCCAATTTTCTGAAATCTAAATCTATACTTTATGTGAGGGGCTTGCTGGCCAACAATATCAAAACCGTGTTACTTTGACATCCGTCTCCTCCGTCCATCCCTTCTCCTATGCACTCCTTGTTGTGCAGCTAGGGAGCAAATGACTACCTATCTCTTTTTACCTTTTATCATTACCGATCGCAGTAATACAGCTCTTTGCAGTTGTCAACACCGGAAAAATATATCGAATAAGGAATCACCATGATGGACAAAGACGTTTGTGGATATTATAAATTTGGCAATTTCCTTTGCTATTAATAACGAAGACAAGGCGAGAGAGACAAAGTGCTGCCTAACTTTATGTTCATTGTTCTTCCAAAAATGGCAAAATAAATGAAGATATCAAACATGGTTTTCTTCAGTGAGTATCGAGAATATATGCAGCACGATCAAGTTCTCGAGAGTTCTGAAATGAATGATATGTAAAAATTAAACCTTATTTTTCTAGTGTTCTGCCGATCTTACGTCGTTTTTGCAAGATTCGTCGGCGGATTAAAAAATCGCATTAAAACAGGGACTCGGCGAGCGCTAAAAATTTTTGCTTCGAAACTCCCCGACGAATGATCACATAATGACTATGTATCAGGAGACATAAAATAGCCTTTTTCTTCACTAGCTATGCTTGCCATCAAGATTTCGTTTCTTTCAGTAAAAAACAAACGTATCAAACGCATAGGCCTTCTGGGTGGTTCGAATTTTGGTCGATGGGAATGACAAGGGGTTGTGAAACTAAAAAAGGGCACTAAGCGTCCAAAAAATTGGCGGGCAGCGATACAAATTATGCGAGATCGGTGTCATATTTTTGTCTTTGCGTTGGCTGGCCCTGAGCTACAATCTTTTACTGCAGAAACCATTATTTTCCCCGACTCGTGGTCTCACATCATTCACCCAAAAGGAAGGATTATCTTTTTTTCACACTTTCCCTCTTTTTTTCCCCTTCTACTTACTTCTCCCTCTTTTTTTTTTATTTTGACACCTGCTAATTTGTTTTTTTGTTCCCAATCACTTAAACACTCAACTCCATGGCGCCAAGAAGAAGATCAACTAGCCGTAAGACCACGCCCAAAGTATTTCGGTGCACTGGATTCGGCAATTGTAATATGACGTTCACCAGAAGCGAGCATTTAGCTCGCCACGTACGTAAGCATACAGGAGAGGTAAGCTTATGAAATGCAACCCCGGTTAGATGGGAATTCGAAATTTGACAGGTCACGCCTGTAGAAACCCTTCAAATGTGTGGTGCCCGGTTGTGGACGTATGTTTAGCCGTTTTGACAATATGATGCAACATACGCAAACTCATGATCGAGAGGGTAAAAAGCCCGCCTCCACCATTGCCAACGACGACGACACTACCACCCACAGCAGTCAACGTCGTCACAGTTACCCCTCCGTACCGCATCCATCCCAACCAACGCCTCCCGAAACCTCACCATATCACCCTATCCCAAGCCCTTCCTCTATTATGCAAAATCGCACCTTGCCACCGCCTCCTGTTTCTCAAAGACGGGCATCGATCGCTTTTCCCGCTCACCCACCTAGTTATCCACACAGGCCGCCCTATGACTACTCTTTTCCTCCACACACCATAAATGATCCCTCGCACCGTTCATCCATGTATCCGCCTACTTCGCGGCACCCAGCGCCGTATCCTCCCTATCAGCAGTACGGTTCTTATCGACGTTCATGGCCTACGGCTGCTGCAGGGCCGATTCATGCTGGATATCCTCTACCATCCAGCGCTGTCAATGGGGATCCGCGTCGCTATTCAACCTCTACAGAATCCTCGTCTGCATCATCACCACACTCTCCGCAACAGGATAAAATGGACGTCGAACCGACCAGACGACGTTTATCGCTGACCGATTTGCAAACCCCGATCCACATCCTGCAGAATATGAAGCTAGGCGATGAATTTCGTCGGGGGGACTTTTACGAGGGCAAGGGAGAATCGAACGACGTGGAATCGGCCAAGGAGAGAATTAGCGTCTACAAGCGTCGAAAAAGCTCGGTCGATATCACCTCGGACGAATATGAGGCATTGCAAGGTTTTGGTATTTTTCACCTTCGCTCCATAGTGAAAGCTCATGGAGCCCCGCCACCAGGAAGCCCTCATCTTTCTTCCCAAGTCGAAGCTTTTCGACAACGTAAACTCCCTGTGCCAGAATCTTCTCTGAGACCGTTGCGACGAGGCACCGCTATTTAAGATGAAAAGAAGTAGTTTTCTGTTATCTCTGTTATCATTTTGTACATACTGTTTTCCTGAATAACTTTGGACCACAGCGCTGTCGTGGTTTGCAGTAATCTCGATCCTAAAATGTGATCTTTTGTGGATCATCGATGAACTGTTGGTCCAATTAATACATACTTTTAGCGATTTATAAACCCTTTTGAAATTGATGCAATAAACAAAAAAGTATGCTCTCTTTGAGAAGTGTAATAAACGACTGAGTGGATGAGTTTTCATTGTGGAATGATCTAATCGGTCAAGTTTTCTCTTTATATATTTGAGCCACTTTACAAAGTTTCTGGATCCTCAGCAAAGTTCCTGGGCTGCTTCCAGGGTTCCTGTGCCGCTCCGAGAATTTATCATCGGATCAAAATGCGGAGCTCTGCCCAAATGGGCGCCGTTATTGGCCAATTTTTTGTACAAGCTTCGGCTGGGTTTTGGTGGATGAAGCACCTCTTTCCACTTTCGAAACAAGTGATCAACGTCTCTCCATCAAAATTTGAGAATGATTGTTCTGAATCGGTTTTGCTGCGGAAGCATTAACCTCAAAACAGGTAAATAGGTTCTATCGCAGTTCCATACTGTTACACCCTCAGCGTCCATACTGACTGTGGTTGATTTGTTCTTGAACAGGTGTTTTAATCATCACGATCTTTGGCATTGTAAGGCATTCTGTCGTGCGCATGTTGCTACCATGTCATGATCTTGACGTTTTTTCTCTCCTTAGCTTAACAAATTATCTGGTTTTTACGGCATTATTTCGTTGGATTTCAGTGATACCGCAGCCTTCGTGGGATATTTATACTCATTATTTGCTGTGTTTGTGCTGGTTCAAGGTCTCTACGGATTGAAAAACGTAAGTGCAAGCCATGGCTGTGGACTATTTTGACGGATCAATGTAAATACGACGGTTTTTTTGCTTAGGATAATGCACGCATTTTACGATGGTATGCAATGTTTTTCTGGTTGGACTGTATTGTCAGCAGTATCAGCACGATTTGGTTTGCCGTCAAATGGTATACCAGTATGGATCAACAATTGGATGACACCACAGACAATGAAGAAGCGAAAAAGATGCTTGCAGATAGCTTAAAGATGGAGAAAATGCTAAGCATTGGCATGCTGGTTCTTCTTCGCCTAGTCCACGTGAGTAAAACTTTAGTGAATTCACCGAAAAAGGGGGGCGTCATGGCTGACTTCTTCCATAGTTCTATTTTGCCTATGTGGTAACACTTTATTATAAATCCATTCATATGGCTCAATATGCGCGTGTACCATCTTCGATGGAGCAAGGCGAAGAGGAAACCGAACTCGATACTCGCAATCCGACCTATCCATCGTCAGGATCCAACAAGGTTCCCAAACCATCCATCGACTAGCACATATCTTCTCGTTATGCACATCAATACTTTCTCTCTCTCTTTCTTTCTTTCTTTCTTTATGATCTACTTCATCACTATTTACATACACATTATTGGTAATACAAGGCAATCTCGTTCGAACAATTATATGCATCGTCACATTGTTGGGGTTCATCACGGAAATTCAGAATAACGTATTGCTTTTTTTTTTTCTTATTGAACCAAATGAGAAATTGTGCACTCTTTTCTTTGAAGATGAAGTCTAATGTATAATCGAGATAACAGATAAGTTGCCGATGAAAGTGGGCAGCAAATAATTATAACAAAAGAAAGTACTTTTTTCACTGTATACAATAGCAATAGGTGGACTAGGATGGTTGAGGGGAAAGGAAACAAAAAATGGGCATGACAAAACTTTTTTGGAGTGCTATTAATTGGCCTCGGACGCATTGAGCTCCCATTGTCGGCGAATGTCATCATAGCTACTGGAGGAATAGCGATGATTCATGGAAGACGCGCTACGTTTTGCTTGGGAAGCTTGGGTTTGAGCAGAAGCTAATCGGTCAAAAACGCTGCCGCTAGAAGGTGTTTGAGATCGTCGAAGTTCGTAAGAAGCATTGGGAGATCCGTTCATAGAAAGCGGTTGTTGATGATACGGTAAAGGTTTGGCGACCCTGATCGTGTACGGTGATTGAGTGCGACCAGTGAGACCGTGGAACGCATCAATCAGCGAAGCTCTGCCGGAAAGCGATTCATCGGGGATCACAAACTGCTGTTGAAGAGGCGACGGCTGGTGTGGCATGGCTTGCGCCTCCCCATCGCGAATACTGGCTCCCAATGTCAATTCTTTCAACAAGGACCGGCGTCGGGTGGTCGGGATTTGTTGGAACGAGTGCGCTCGTCGGCGGTTGGCGGCTTTGGCCACTGGCGGCATTTCAACGGTGGCAGATTTCACGGATCCGTTGGAAGAGACACGGCTCATGGCGTGGGAGCCATGCGAAGACCAGGACAAATTGTCGGATTGAACCGAGGATCGTCGTAAATGACGACTTTTAATGGATGAAGTGGATGATTCGCGGTCGGCTTGATACCGGATGAAATCTACTGGCTTCATGAGTGGCGAAGACGGGGCACGAATCATATTGTTGGTTTGCATCATCTGCTGCAAGAATTGCTCAGGAGATGACATGGAGTCACGACGACGAACCAAGGGCGAAATGGATGGCTTGACAGGCACACCTGTTACGGGTGTCGCAGCTGACAAGCGACCTACAACGGACTGAGGCGGGGAGGATGTCTTAGAAGGAGAGGTCGCTTGAGGAGCTAAATTTGGTGAACTTGGCACCGACTCACGACTGTGATATTCGTTCCAGGTCGGAGACATGATATTGCCTCGAATTCCGTCATTATAGATCTTGTCAAAAATGGTGCCCACTTGGTGATAATGCTCGTCTACGAGAAGGTCAATGGCCGAATCATCGTCACAGTCGGTATCGTCCATGGCACGCGATGAGACGGAGAGTCCCGAACTCGACAGTCGACGTGTGTCCATTCGACGTGTGTCTTCCAACCGGCGGATCTTCTTTTCGCTTTCAACCGTGGTTTCAATGGCGGTTTTTTTCATGACAATCAGTGTGCGTCGAAGGTCTTGCACGGTCTTTTCCAGTTGCTGAACCGTGGTTTGACGGCTATATTCTCCCATACGAAGTGCCACAATATCGTCGACCAAAGCTTCCATAACATGCTCCGATTCTTCCAACGTGAATGATTTCAGTAATCGCACCGCCATATCGTGAGAGACGTCCGGATTGGCGTCGGCCGGTAGCGTATACTTCTCTTCCAGCGCGTCCATATCCATCCATTCATCATCATAGGAAGTATTTGGTGCTTTGGTAATGCCCATGACTTGGTCTGCAAACGTCACTCGTTTTTCCGCACGGGCAGCAGCATTCTGCATTTCCATCATGACCACGTCATCATCGTGGTCATCTTCCATCATCTCGGAAGCTGCATCGTTCTGTAGCGCATGAATACGAGCATTGAGATATGAAATTTCAGCGTCAATGGTTTCGAGCCGTTCATCCATGAACTGCTGGACGGCTTGATCCAGAGGTTCAATGGCGTTTTCCTCTCCGTTCAATAGATGGCTGCGCTCAGTGAGAATGTCGGTTTTCTGTTTCGCGAGCTCGTCTCGTTTGTACATCAATTGCTTCATTTCAAGGATCGCTTGTTTGCCTTGGATAAATTGGAATAACGCTTGATCGAGCAACATCTTCTTCTTGGCCGCGCGGACTTCGACGGAAGCGGTGGATTTCTTCTTATTGCGTCGTTTTTGCGAAATACGAGCATTGGACGAAGCGATCAAGGCACTACCGACATCCAGCAAATTGGCACATTTGCTGAGCAGTTTTTCATCGAGCACGCCACCTTCACGCACGGCTTTCTTGAGTATGGTAATTAGCTGCTTCAACTTTTCATTGGTGAGAATAGATTCGTCGGTGCGTTTCTGAAGAACCAATTGGGTTTGGCGATATTCGCGTTCCAAACGACGCTTCGCTTCCATTTCACGCGACTGTTTGCGACGTAGTTGCTGGATTTCTCTTTCGTGGGCAATCATTTGTTCCTTGACCCGTTCCGCTTCGTCCTTCATACGTTTCACCATGCGGCGCTTTTCCACTTTGAGGCTTTCCACGTTGACGCGAAGAGCACGCAGCATGCTTTCATTTTGATTGCGGGACGACTGAATCGCATTGGAGGTTTGCGAATACTTTCGTCGAAGGTCGGATAGCTGGCTTAACAGACTCTTCATTTTGATTTCGTAAGCGTGACGCATCTCCAACAGCTGTTGCTTCTCACGCTGAGCTAATGAGCTGCTTTGAGCCGTGTAGCTGGATTGTCGCATGGCATCGTCTCGTTCGCGCTTGAGAGCCAGGATTTCTTCACGCAGCGAATAGATTTTTTGCTCAAATTTTCGCCGCATTTGGCCGTATTCGATTTCGCTCTTTTCGAGCTGAGCGACCAATTCTTCCTTGACTTGGATATCGGACTGGATTTGATTCATCATGCGGTACAGCTGAGGATTGTCCTCACAGAACGAAGTCAGATCTGCTTCTTCAAAGCTCACCCGCGTGTCATTGGAAGAAACACGCGAATGACCTGCGCTACCATCATTCACTAATGTATCTGACGTGTTATCAGATGCAGGTCTGGAGGAATTACTTTGCCAATCAGGTACCGTCTGTCAAAAATTGGCAGAGGTAAGCATACAGTGGATGAAATCACAGAAAAAAGAATAGGGGAAATAGCAATCTTACCAAATGGTCAAAGCCGTCAAGTATTTCGTGCTCCAGTTCACTAAACAGTCTGTTATTTTCTTCAGATTGCAGCTTGATGAATAACTCGTCATCCGCAAGAATATCGCAAGCATATGTTGGATGCTCCTATAGAAGTGAATCATCATGAGTAACGAGTTTTGGAAACAAGAGTGCAAGTATAGTATATCTTACCGGTTCGTTTGCAGGTGCAGGTCCAGCCGCATGCTCATTTTCAAGAGTCTGATTGAAAATTTGGAATAAGCGTTAGAATACAGTCGATTTGACTGATGGGCGAAAAAAGACATGTTACCTTGAGGTCGTCAAGCACTTTGAGGCCCTTTTCGATTTCGCTGCGTGCCTTGTTGATCGACTCACGCACTTCTACGCGGATGTCGGATGATCGGGACATGGTCAAGGAGCCTACTGTCTCTTTCAACCATTGCTCAATATCGTCGTCTTCATCATCATGGGTAACAATTGCCGCTGGTTTCTGCGGTCTATCGCCCGGTTCTGTATCGTGATCATGCGTTTTGGCATGTCGACGTCCTGCTCCTCCAGGGACTTTTGATCGTCGACTGGTTCGGAAGGAGACGGAACTGCGTGTTGTAAGACTGCCATTCTTGTGTCGTTTGCGATTAATTCGTCGTCGTTGGGTTGACGCTTGTTGCTTGGGCTGAATATTTTCTTTTCGATGGGATAAAAAGGGACCAGTAGAAGCGGTTGTCTTGCTAAATGTCTGTGAAGAATTCCGCGCGGCAATTTCCATGGCTTTCATCATCGAACTTTTGGTGGATTGGAAAAAGGCGAGTCGTTCCTGAGTATCTGCCAACTCGTTGCGCAGATCATGAATGGTACGCAAGTATTGCGAGATTAATGGAAGAGAGCGTAAGGATTCCTTGGGTTCTTCTTGTACTGGGGTGTTAGTATCATTCGTAGCAGCTGAGGGTTGAGACGACTGCATAAGTTCATCCAGAAGCTTGGGCCAGTCCTGAGCTGGTACGTTGCCCAGTTCGCGTTCCATTACGAGGGTATCGCGTTCGCTTGTCACTTGGCAAAGCTCGTCGGACACGGTCTGGACGCGCGCTCGCAGCTTGTTGATTTCTTGCCTTAAACCTTCCATTTCAGCGCTGTTACCGTAGCCCACCATTTGCATTGGGTCGGCTCCACCATTGCGCATAGCATTGATTTCCATTTTTAAGCGGGCAATTTGAGCACGAAGCTGATTTACCTCTACCGAGGAACCGGCAAATTCTTGATTGATGGACACACGGTTTTTGATATTCCTCGCACGGTTAGCGTATTTCAGCGTGCTCAAGGTTTCCACAAAATTTGAATCTGAAGGAGACACACAAGCCATCATGAGAGTTTGAGAATTGCCACCTAGAGAGTCTTGCAGCAATCGTGTCAGTTTGGAATCACGGTACGGCACATGAGTGGATCGTCGAGATTCATCGCCAAGAGCACTAATGACATTGCCCAAAGCAAGTAATCCTGCATTGATAGCAATGCCCTCACGTGCACGGTCTCCTTGCGCATTGGTCCGTTTTAACTAGACAAAAAAAAAATGAGCCATGTTTAGATCATCGTTGCATACAATTGCAGCCTGCAGGATGGTGGTTCAAAATTTCCAAGTCTAAAAAGAATGATAAAGAAAAATAAATGACAGTTACCCTTTCTGAGCCTGCTAGATCAACGAAATGAAATTTGCTGACAATAGTACGACGGTCCGAGCCGGCAGAAGAGGGTTCTTCACTGGTCTCGTCAGATAAGGTCTGCTTAAGAATTACGGAGAAAATGGCGTGTGATCGGGAGGAGACTGAGTTCATGTCTGTGGAACCGGTCGTACGACACAGTGATCCTTTGGCTAGATAGCCAAGGAGTTCTTCAGGACTGTGGCAGGATTCTTCACGGACCCCGCTCCAGTAAATGTTGCCTTGGATATCTTCTCGGATGCTGATATCACATGTGGAACTTCCTGAATTCGTCCGCCGTCGTGAATGGCTAAACTGTTGCTGAATATTTAATAGATCTACGAGGTCTTCGTTATAAAGTTCGAGAAAGGAGACCAGGACTTGGTACTCGAAATCAGATTGTTGCTGTTGTTTGCTTTTTAGGCGTTCAAATAAATCGTTGATAAACCGTGGGATAATGCCTACAAATGCAAAGTAGTATGTTAGATTGGTTGATGTCGGGAATGGTCCAGCAGAAACAGGGTACCTTGCTGCTCCGATTCTGTGTGCTCATTCAGGGCCGTGCCCATACTGTATGTTTTTCCGGAACCTGTTTGTCTATAACGTATACACAGAGATTAGCGGGCAGTTACTGAGATCACCAGTTTGTTGATTAGTTAGGTTACCCGTAAGCTAGGATGGTTGCATTGAATCTAAGGTGGTACAGGTGTGAGAGGTGATTGAAAGATTGTAATGCCAAAAAAAAAAAAAAAAAAAAATGGGGATCTTACCCGTTAACAAATTTCTCCACCAATGGGACAACGCTGGTGTCATAAATCACTTTTTGTGCGGTTTGAGGGTGGAAAACATAATCATACGTAAATGAATGATCCTTTCCGACGAGGATTTGTGGTTGTTGGGGAATAAATGAAATGCATTCAGTGCAGTTGGAGAACTGTTCTTTATCTGTCAGTGGCCGAACCCTTAGAGCGACTCTGTCATTTGGCAATAAAGAAAAAGATTTCAATAGTTATTTATCATATTGTAAAAGCCAATCCCCACTTGCTTATGTTTATGTTTCAGCCCTTTTTCTGAAAGGGCGACAAGCTACGGTATCAGTGAATAAGAAAGGCGCTATTTACCTGACAGCTGTGGATGCCATGATATGTAGTTTAATGAAAAAAAAAAAAGAAGTGTTTCTTTTTGGTTTTTTTTTTACAAGTTGCAGGTGAAACAAGAATATGTAGTAACTCAGATAATATATACAGCAAACGATTGTAGCTTAATGTAGGTACAATAGAATGCGAAAATCACAAAAAAAGTAAAAGAGGGATTCAAAACTAACAAGTAGAGCAAGAAAAGAAAAAAGGGAAGAAGAGGCAAAATGGAAAAAGGATGACTATAGTTTTATAGGCATGGCGTTTCGGGCTGACATGCCTCTAAACAAACCACGAATTCAAGCAGCAGCCAGCAGCCCGCTTGAGCTAGTTTTGCGTTGTACGTGGGTACTGCCGGCGCAGTTTCAATTCAATCAATAATCGCAACCAAAAAAAAAAAAAAAAAAAAAAAAAAAAAACCAAGGTTGTCCACCATCCTTAGAGAACAACATACAGAAAAAGTGCTCCAATCGATGTTCTTTTTACTCCTTGTTACCTTGGTTTCATCATCAGTTTCACGTGATGTACTCTACGAAAATGTCCTATTCTATAATTCATCTGAGCTAAGCTACCTTTATGCACGTTCGACGGCTGTCGTCCTTGATAACTTGGTCTTGTACAACCTCAGGTGAAAAAAAAAGTTCACTACCTCTCTTCACTTATCTCTTATTTTTTTTTGGTACGATCGTGAAACCTTACGATCCGGATCCCTTCCCCGTTTCTTCATTGACAAATTGCACAGAACAAGTCAAGGTACAATACTCTGGGGAGGTTTTTTTTTAGTAACGATATCTGCATGCGCATGCATGCTCCCCAGTTTCCAGTATCTCTTGAGTGCCAAAAAAGGAAGACCAAGAGTGTCTTTTAGCATGTACCTTTGCGGAAAAGGGGCAAGATTGGTCGTCGTCATCGTTCGGATGAAGTTCCGTCAACTGGAATCGCTTTGATTACGGACGAGATCGGTGCCGTTTGTGCGGAAAGTAAGGCTTCCAAGAACGGACTACCTTTTTCATTCCAAACCCCGTATCACTCATGACTGCACCGCATATGATCACCCGATTTATGTTGACGGGCGGTCTTGCGCACAGAAGCCAAACTAAAAAAGAGTACCCGTGAAACTTCCCTTATAAGCCTCTTGGCTCCGCTTGACAATTCTGGGTAGCCTGATTCTCCTTGTCCCACCGTCCGAGAGCCCTCTACTTTCCAGGACCTCCCTCTTGTCCTCCCCCCCCCCAAAAAAAAACACTGGCCCCTCTTCCACTTCATTTGCCCCCAATCATGAATTATGGATCGCTGGTCTGCTCCCTGGTGGCCCATTTGATTTTCCTGTACCCTATTTGCCAATTATTCATGCGCCGTGTGTCACTTTCAAATCCTTTTTTATTTTATTTCTTCTTCAGCAATAGTCAGACAGCGTGCACGTCCGCCGTGCTGGAAAAGAACACTATGAATGATATGCAATAAAGGAAACGTATTTTTTGTCAACATTGGATACCCATCTCCCAGCTTGTTCCTCTGCACTGTAACAGCGCAAACATCTTTTCATACTGTCTCGCATCCATTCATCAAACGCGTTTTTTCTCCTTGGAACTCCTTGATATTTCATCAGACAACATTGTTCTGTATTACCATAACTCGTCATTGGCAAAGAAAGGAAAAGAAAAGAAAAAAGCCACCAAGGAGATGGGCGGCGTCATGATCGTTTTAGAGTTCGCTGGATATGGAGTTCTGTCACGTTTGTGGCACCATGGTTACTTTTTTCTTCTTCCACTGCAAAAGATACTCTCACAGCAATAGACACATAATCCTGAAATGGGCTGATGTTGGAAGCTCTATCTTGCATTGCCATGAAAAAAGTCATAGCGAATGGTCAACCTATGGAATTTGTAGCGTGTATTTCCTGCATCAAGTTACGCACACAGAACTGTTTTGAGGTTAAACTCTTTTTGTTTTCGTTTGATTTGTAAACAAAAGGGGACCTCAAAAAAGGTTGCTATTCTAAAAATGACAGAGTCCAAGTCATTTGCATGATGCTGTATAGCGTGATGCTGAAGCATCATGGGTTCGTTATGTTCCGTTGTTTCAAAACAAACCTTGTCAACTGTGTATCACGCTCTCAGACCATAAAAGCTCCTGTTCCCTGAAACAAACAAAATACGTAACAACAACATGACCCATAGTTTGTCACTCTAGGCTTAGCAAAATAAAAATAGTATTTAATCCAAAGGAATGGATGATCCCATGTTGCATCCGTAAATTTTAAGGTGACAGAAAAAAAGCGTAGATGGGAAACGACAAGGTTTTTTATTTTTTTTCAACCAGAGACAAAGAGATAATGAACAAGAGCGTTAATGAAATTATTCATACTGCTCATCTTTTTGTCACTTAAATTTATCGTCACGTCTGAAGAGGTTGCCCATCCAGGGGTCCGCAACCTGGGGAGAACGGCGTATATATCTGCACGGGAGAAGGGGAGAAACAAAACAAAAAAAAGCACCCAGGAACCTGAAAGAGAAAAAAAATGCCAAGCTGTTCAACTAGGACACGCCAAAGAGACAGAGCGGAAAAGAATGCCAACGAGAGAGAGAAAAAAAAGTGGCCAAAATCAGTCTGTATTTGTCTCATCAAATACGTACAATTTAATTGAAAAAATGTGGGTAAATATTTTACAAATCAAAATTTTTTAAAAGAGGCAAGCTAATGTTGTTTTTAAGTAATTAAATAAGAGAGCAAACCAAAGGACAAAGACATACAAAAAGGAAGATGGATGCATTAGACAAGCCACACTTACTCTCCTCTTGTTTTTATTTACAAAAAAACTGTTGTCACCGCATTGCGGGAGCCGCCACCGCACACCGCCAAGGCATGGGCTTTGTTCAAAGGTTTTTAAACTACACAGTAGAAGCACACAAAGCTAAGTGAGTGAGTGATTCGGCATAACATTCAAAAAAGAAAGGGCACTTGAGCATAAATACATTACCTTTCAAAAAAAAATCTTTCTTGCCGTCAAAAAAAAAAGAAAAAAAAAAGGTTTTCGGCGCGCAAGCTATAATGTGGAGATTCAGTCGTTTTGATAGCCCAGTTGTGGTCATCATGAGTATACGTACAGGATGGGTGATTTGAGCAAATGTTGATGAAAATGAGCAATAAAAAAATGGATGGCGCGATAGATGGATGGTTTTGCGCAAAAAAAAGAAAATAGATGTGCGATGAAGAGGAAATAAAATGGATGGAAGATGCGTCGTCTTTTATAGACATGAAAAAAGAGGCGATCCCTCGTACTGTAGCTAAAACCTTTATTGCCCAATAATGAAGCAGGAAGAAGACGCCATGTGTCTTTTCTCATCGCTTCACGTCATATCTAACCTTTGCTAAGAGAGTGGGGCTTCATCGCATGAAATAGCTGCATGAAGTAGGTCTCAGATAATGTTAGAGAGAGAGATCTTTATTCTCAAGTGTTCTTATGTTGGCTGGTCGGATACACCAGGTGCACATAACTTTGGTACAGACGTTATGCATGGTTTGTTAAACTATCTTTTAACTCATATTATACATTTTATTGAAATAAAAGTCATCCTCATGAGGATAGCCTCTTCTTTTTGATGAACAAAGTCGTCAGTTTCAGCGAATTTCCCCATCAGGATTACGCAGGCCAAGGTAATATGACAAGAACCCCGCACTCCCCGCCAAAAAAGGACCAAGTCATGATTTTTGCTTCCTTGCAATTTATTTTATTATTTCTTCATTTCTCAAGAAAAAAGAACTGAAAGATGAAAAAAGACAATAAATTTATCGGGATAAAACAAAATTTGGCAGGGCACTATACAGGTATCAGATACAGGGTAATAGTATTTATTCTAGGCGGCTGATTGTGGATATCACAACTCTTTTTTTTATTCGATTATTTTTTGGTCAAGGCAAGGAATATAAAATAAAGAAATATATCAGTCTAGTAGAGAACTATGTATCATAAGCAAGGATGGTGTTGAGCCATTTCTCGGTATCTTCCACGGGCATCTTCTTTCTGGCGGCATAATCCACGATCTGGTCTTTGTCGATTTTGCCGACGGCAAAGTAGGTGCTTTCTTTGTGTCCAAAATATAAACCACTGACACTAGCAGGAGGATTCATGGCCAGCGAATCCGTGAGAGTGATACCAGTCTGTTCTGCAATATTACCTAAGTCCCACATTGTCTTCTTCTCTGTGTGATCGGGTTGCGATGGGTAACCGGGAGCGGGACGAATACCTTGGTATCGAACAGCGAATAATTCCGCAGGAGACAACGTTTCATCCGAAGCGTAACCCCAATGGTCCTTTCTCACTTCTTCGTGCAAAATTTCGGCAAATGCTTCGGCAAGACGATCCGCTAAAGCCTTCACCATAATGCTCGAGTAATCATCGTGATCGTCGTCGTATTTCTTTTCTAATACTTCACAGCCAAAACCGGTACTGACGGCAAACATACCAATGTAATCAGCAATGTCGGTTTCGCGAGGCGCCACAAAGTCGGAAATACAGTAGTAAGGATCGTCCGTTTCCTTTTCCGATTGTTGACGCAAACCGTAAAATATTTGGGCAATTTCCTCTCTTGACTCATCCTTGTACACGTAAATATCATCGCCTACGGAATTGGCAGGGTAGAAACCGACGATACCATGTGCTTGCAACGACTTGTCCTTTAGGATTTCCTTGAGCATCACTTGAGCGTCGTTGTACACACGTTTCGCTTCAGCACCAACGTTCTCATCATCGAAAATCTTTGGGAAACCACGGTTAGGATAACGACCGCGCAACTGGAACACTTGGAAGAAGGGATTCCAATCGATACGATCAAGCAACTTTTCAAGAGGATAATCTTTCAGGACATGTGTGCCCAAAAATTTGGGCTTGCCTGGAGGCAAGGATTTGCTCCAGTCGATGCGCAACTTCTTCTCCCGAGCCGCATCAATCGATAGCAGACGCTTTTCTTCCAAACCTTCATAGTACTCTTCGCGCAATTCGTCGTATTCTTCACGAATGTCTTCGGCGAAATCCTCTCTTTGGTTGTCATCTAGCAAACTGGCGACGACAGGCACGCTACGTGAAGCGTCCAAGACATAGACGACAGGGGACTGGTACTGCGGAGCGATTTTGACGGCAGTATGCATCTTGCTTGTCGTCGCACCACCAATGAGAATGGGAATCTTGAGACCGGCTTTTTGGCATTCTTTGGCGACGATAACCATTTCTTCCAAAGAAGGAGTGATGAGGCCTGAAAGACCAATGACATCGGCCTTTTCTTCAATGGCTTTCGCAATAATCTGATCACAGGGAACCATGACACCCATATCGATGACACGGTAGTTGTTGCAACCCAACACGACACCGCAAATATTTTTACCGATATCGTGCACATCACCCTTCACGGTGGCCATGACGATGGTTCCATTGCCCTTTATCTCCGTTGCTCCAGATTTAAGCATATCCTCCTCCTTTTCGACCTTGATGTATTCCACCAAATGAGCCACCGCCTTTTTCATGACTCTGCAAGACAAGTTGAAAAATAAATAAGCGTTAGCCATAAAATTGGTATGGAATCATTTGTCCACGTGGTGATCTCCTACCTTGCGGATCGGATAACCTGGGGCAAAAACATCTTGCCCTTACCAAAGAGATCACCGACGACGTTCATACCGGCCATCAAGGGGCCTTCAATTACGTTCAGGGCTCGGGGATATTTTGCCTTATCTTGTCGTGCTTCTTCCGTATCTTCGAGAATGTATTTCATGATACCCTTGACCAAAGCGTGAGTGATACGTTCGGTGACGGGCCAGGCGCGCCATTCTTCCAAATCCTCATCTTTCTTGGCATCCTTGGAATGCGATTTCGCGTATTCCAGCAACTTCTCGGTCACCTCAGGATCGCGATTCCATACCGCATTTTCACAAAGCTCCAATAGATCTTTGGGAATGTCATCATATACTGTCAAGAAACCGGCATTGACAATACCCATATCCATGCCTACTTTCACAGCGTGGAACAAGAAAACGGAATGCATAGCTTCACGCACTTTATCCATACCACGGAAAGCAAAGGATAAATTGGACACACCACCACTGATCTTGGCACCAGGGAGAGTTTGTTTGATAATACGACAAGCTTCGATAAATTCCACACCATAATTATTGTGCTCCTCTAATAAGCAGTGCCGTGTGAGAACCAAATTCAAGATGTTATCCAAACATAGCGCTCATGACTTACCCATGCCGGTAGCAATGGTGAGAATATTCGGATCAAAAATGATATCGTAGGGATTGAAGCTAAAATAATCATATTAATGACCGGTATTTTGAGCAAATAACAGCAGGAAGCATGAATTTTTCTTACCCGACTTTATCGACGAGAATGCGGTAGGAGCGGGTACAAATTTCAACTTTGCGATCAGCTTCTGCTGCCTGACCCACTTCATCAAACTGGAAATCGAAAAATACCATTAGGTGAGTACTGAATAGAGCATCGAATACTAGTAGGTTTTAGAGATACATACTGCCATGACGACGACGGCTGCACCAAAGCGTTTGATGATTTTGGCCTTCTTTATGAATTCTTCTTCGCCTTCTTTGAGAGAAATGGAGTTCACGATACATTTGCCCTGAGCACACTTTAGACCGGCTTCAATGACGGCGAAATTGGACGAATCGACCATCAACGGCACTCTGGCGCAATCGGGGTCCGAAGAAATCAAGTTCAAAAAGCGCGTCATGGCCGCTTTGCCATCCAAAAGACCTTCGTCAAAGTTGCAATCCACCACTTGCGCACCGTTTTCGACTTGAGAACGAGCAATGGCCAAAGCATCTTCGTATTCGCCCTTCAAAATGTGACGGCAAAACTTGCGCGAACCTGCCACGTTACAACGTTCACCCACGTTGACGAAACCGGTCATTTCATTCACGCGCAGCACTTCCAAGCCCGACAACAACATCACATCGTCATTCTTCTTTGGCTTGGGTCTAGGAGGATATTTTCGGCACACCTCAGCAACCGCCTGACGACGCAACAGAGGTTAACAGAGCCAGATCATTTTAAACAAGACAAATAACTGATTTTACCTTGATATGATCGGGTGTCGTACCACAGCATCCACCAACAATGGTAACGAGACCTTCTTGAGCAAATGGTTCCACATTCTTTGCCATTGCTTCGGGACTTTCGTCATATTCACCCATGGCATTAGGAAGACCCTATTCCAATCACCCATCAATACTCGCCTGTTCTCCTGTCATCAGTTATATGAAAAAGGTCTACTCACAGCGTTGGGATAACAGATGATGTGAGCGTCCGTGAAGCGACTAATGTTTTGGATGAAAGGCTTCATTTGGGGAGCACCCAAAGCGCAGTTGAGACCAAACGCGACAGGATCGGCGTGCTTCAAAGAGGTGACAAAGGCTTCACCGGTTTGCCCAGAAAGTGTACGACCACTCTGATCGACAATGGTGCCAGAAATCAACAGAGGTACCTTGGAGCGACTACAAAAGAGGAATAAAAAAAAAGCAGATGTGAATACACCAAACATGAGCGTGTCTGTCTGACAGAGACTTACCCCTCTTCCTCAAAGACCACATCAATGGCAAAGACGGCGGCTTTGGCATTCAAGGTATCGAAAATGGTTTCGACCAATAAAATATCCGCACCACCATCCAAAAGACCACGAACCTGCTCGGCATAAGCTTCCACCAATTCGTCGAATGTCACGTTGCGGTAAGCCGGATTTTCTACCGAAGGAGAAATGGAAGCTGTACGATTGGTGGGACCAACGGCACCACAAACGAATCGAGGGATCCCGGTGGCTTTCGTAACCTAGCCGACAGGGTGAGTTTCCAATTTTTAAACGATGATGTTGCTCGTATTATTCCATCACATACATCCTGACAAGCCTTCTTTGCCAAAGCAGCACCCTCTTTGTTCAAGCGATAAGCGTACTTTTCAAGGCCATAATCGGCTTGAGCAATGGAAGTCGAACTGAAAGTATTCGTTTCGACCATATCCGAGCCCGCTTCGAGATATTGGCGATGAATGTTGTAAATGGCATCAGGTTTGGTCAGAGTCAATAAATCGTTGTTGCCTCTCAGGTCCTTTTCCCAGTCAATGAATTCCTGACCTACATTATCCGTATCATGGTGAGTCTGTGATTCTGAAGTGGTTATTGTCTGTGACTCAGCCGAGGATCTTACCGCGAAAATCCTCTTCTTGAAGTTTCAAGCGCTGGACCATGGTGCCCATGGCGCCGTCAAGGAACATGATGCGCTCCGCAAGAGTCTTTTCAAGATACTCAAAGACATCTAGAGCGCATTGATTTAGTTGCAAGGTGACGGATATTTTATCCTCGGAATTAGTGCTTGTTACCTATATCTGTCAAATCGGCCATGGTGAAAGATGGGTGAAATATTTATGTGTCACCCGAAAAAGAAAAAAAGAGTTTTGGAATCTCAAAAAAATGACCCATTTTGGATCATCATCGCACAAGCTTTGTTTCGATCCTGTCGCTATTTATTTAATTCTTCCAAAACCATTTTATGTCTCTATACTAAGCACGAATAAGCTCTTTGCTACTGTTCTGCGAATGACCCCATAACGTTGGCATGGCACGAGAAGATCCCGCTCGATCTCTTTCATTATGTCGGGGTGCGAAATTGCAATAGATCATCTCCGTTTGCTATCCATCTTTTTTGTGTTGGCTCTTGCACGCACGAGATTGACCAATCACGACTGCGCTTTGACTTGGAGCTTCAACCATCTCCGGCCCATTTCATGCATGGAAAGGTACCTTCCCTAAGCCCACCCTACATCGATCCTTTGTATTTCCATGAGTTTCACTATCGCATTCATTATTGCGGTACAGTTTAATTGCTTATTACTATTACAAAAACATTAAATTTACTGAACGGTATATTAATAAGCGTCATTTTCGTCTACGTTGTGTGTCTAATGAGGTTATAGGAAGCCGGATTCCTGTAATAAGCGGGTTATCTTTTCGTCTTCTCTTTCTCTACATTTCAGCAACAAACATTAGAAAGATTGATCAAGGGATAATGCAACTGGATATCACTGTGTACCTTGGTTCTATTTCAAGACTTTCTTGGTATAGCATATCTTCGTCGCGCGTGTTTTGCAGGCTGGTCATGATGAAAGCCTGCAATTCTTCCACGGGTTTGAATTGATAAGGTGTTGATTGGTATTGTTCAATTTCACGAATAATCTCGGCCGTTTTGGCTCGCTTGGCAAAGTTGATCATGGTATTAGAGGATTTAAGAAAGTTGGGATTGCCGTCTTCGATAAAGGTGAGATCCTGAAGATAGATGCCGAGAAATGGGATGCATGGCGGATTAATGGAGTGGATGATGGCTCGATATTCGTTGAAGTTGCGGTCCGTGCCCATCAGCTTCCGGATTTGGGCCAAAACCGTGTTGGTGCGCGCGCCGACCATTTCCCACGTCCGCTTCAACCGACCCACTGAACTGTTGTCAAAAGCTGAGATGATCGCCATGCATGTATTGAAATTGTTGAGCTGGCGACATTTTTCCGCCACCTGGATCCAATACTTGACTTGGGCCAATCGTTTCTTGATCTCGTGCTCACCAAGAATACTCCCCGCCACCCACTTAGTGAGATGATTACAGTAATCGATGGCAGCGCGGATATTCACCGCGACCTTGCCCTTGTCGCTATTGGCATCGCGCGACCAAGCCTTGTCGAGGCATTCCACGGGATGCACCGCATTGTAAAGCTTGAAATCCATAATGGTCATTTGGCGAGCCAGTTCCAGCGGGTCAATATCCAGCAAACGGAAGTTTTTCAAATTGCGAGGCAAAATAGGTTCAGGCGGATCGGGCAGGGTCAGGACCATCTTTCGAAGACTTCGTTGCTGAGACGCTGCTTCTTGCCGTTTCTGAATGAGGCGCTCGAGTTGATTGGCCGAGAAACTCATGGTGTCACGAATCACGGTATGGGTGAATTCGAGCATAGGCTCCAGAATCACCACATCGTCTTCGTTGTAATACTGTTCGAGCCAAGTTTTCATCACGTTGAATACCCGTAAGCGTACCAGCTTCAGCTTCTTCTGTCTCCAAATCTCGAGTTCTTCGTCGGTCAGTTCTGCCGGCGGTTGGATTTGATACCGTTCTTTCAAGAGAGACAGTAATTCCATGGACGTGCAGAAGGAACGGTACGTCAAGAGGAATGTGCTGATAAAGTTCATATCGAGTTTGTCGTGCGTTGTCAACCGTATGGTCAGCGCTTTGAGCGTACCGCCCCTGACAAAGCCCGCCACGTCAAATAAGAGTTCCTTTGGGTCATAGTCCGCTTTAAGAAACCAAGGAACCTCTTCGCAGGGTGGGCTCTCTTCTACCGTAACCGTTTCGGGAACATCCCCACCAAAGAATCGCTTCAACTTTTCTCGGTTATAGGTATCAGGAGATGCAGTCGATAGACTGGTGCCTGAGCCTTTGTCATGGGTAGAATTCTCGATAACCGAGCTCTCATCACTGTAGCTTGACAGGCTCGCCGTCGAGTTGTGTTTCCGATCCTCCGCTTCCGACGGACCGAATGTCTTTGTCAGTACCCTGTCGGCTAATTTGCTGACATGAGGCATGGCGTTGGTGCCTTGTTCAGAATCCAAAGTGGTGTTGGTCGTAGAAGAACGCGTTGACGTCACAGCCGGTTCACCTGCCACCGTGGGCTGCTGCCGAGAAATACACTCAGAAATTGTACGCACAGACTCGTTCACGAGTTTAGCCGCCGTGCTCATTTCCGTGATAATATACTCCATTGGCAAGTCTTCCTCTGTCATTTTCTGCAGATAGCAGAAAAGTTGTCCAATGCCATCGCTCAGGGATTGCCGTCTTGCAGTGACTTCATGATACGAGGCGGACCCGGCAAATCGAGCACAGTCCATACTATCGAGCAACACCAGCAGTTGCCCCACTTGGTTCAAGGCATATCGAAAACGGGAAAATAATAGAGTTCCAAGCGACTGACGCGGTTCGGTATCTTGTATATCGACTTGTAGTCTGTCACAGATCCCTTGGACCGTTTCTCGTACGTTGAGACTACATGCTTCAATGGCTTCGACAACGTCCTCTTGCAGTGAACTCGGCGGTCGATGCTCATCGCAAAATTGCGTTTCCTTTGTACTGTCTTCATCGGTTTGCACCAACTTTGGACATGCGTCTGCGATACTGATAGGCGCCATTTGACATGCTTGAGCAAAGTTTTGCACGGCAATCAGGAGCTCGTTGGCATTGATGAGAAGCTTGCGAAGTTCTCCCGCTGAGTTCTTGGTACACAGTTGAGCCGTCAATATGAGTCGACCGAGGGACGCCGTTAATGCGCGATAGTGGGCTCGCAACGCACAGTTGTGCTTGACATGAATGGACGTTTTATCGACGGTACCCGATGTGAATAAAAGCAACCGCACGGCATCCACAATGTCTTCTATCGTGGATACATATTGCGAAGTTTTGGAATGCCTCACAACGGTATTCAAGTGACCGATAGCTAGCGCGGCCTGACTACTTAGCTTTTGGATGTTGAGCATATCGTCTGGAATGGTAATTGACAGTCTTTCGCACAAAGACTTTCTTGAGGCGGCTGTGGACGAAGCACGTCTTACTGGTTCACTTTGGTCATCGGGTTCCGTCGTCTCATTCTATTATGAATAGAGTTAACCATCATGCTTGCAGGAAATACATATTCATTCAACATTACCCGAAACGGTTTTTCAGCATCATTGTCCAAATTCGTGAGTACGGGTTGCAGAATCTGTCATGGGAGCAAGAGGGTTTGACTCACACATACTTATTGGTGTGTTCGGTTGAGCAGCTTACCTTGTCAGGAACCAGGTCATTTTCAACGGCTGCTGTGGCCGATCCAAAAGACAATCGAGGTTGTGATAATGACGGGGTTCGACTAGACTCGGAGCTGCTGGATGATTCAAAGATGCTGTTTTCGTAATCGTCAAAAAGATTGATATTGGCATCTTCAGCATCGGGCAAAGTGGGCCTCATTTCACCCGTAAACCGGTTATAGTAGTAATGACGTTTTCCATCTTTTGTGGTTTGCAATGTCCAATGCTTTGGAAGCGGTGAAGTAGGTTGTGCACTCGTCAGACATTCGCCGAACAGTTGGTCTTCAATCAGGTCAGTCAGGTCTTTGGTCTGTTCATACTCCGGGGTACTGGCCCGATCGACAACGGCAACATAATTTCGAGGAAACCAGCCTGCCGTCCCGTTGCAGCTTTTTTTAATGACATTATACAGTGAGAAAAAGTCCAACCATTGTTCAGTAAGAACCATTAACGTTACCTTCCTTGCCACCAGCCAGTGGGAAGCTTCTTGTTAACGTCGAGGTAGTCTCCTTGCTCAAAGTTTAAAACTAATGAATCATTGGATTCATGGGTGTACAACGCTATAGCTTTTGATGGCTCATTGAGTCTCGTCGACATATGAAAGGGAATATATAAAGAAAAAACGACAACCAGAGACATCTCACAAAATTTAAAATCAACCGAGGCAAACAAAAATCTGCACCATATTAAACTCCGACTAATGCGACCATTGGCAGATCCCCTGCATACCATTGGTGTGTTCCACTTGCAATTCTCCGCTATCAGTCAATGCTTTGCCATCAGATCTAGAAGATCAACGAGAAAGCACATAGCCTCACATTTGATAACGGTATTAAGTGGTTAATGGAAGTTCTTTTTGAAGAAACAAGAGGATGGATATGAATAGAATGAGGAAACGATTGCAGATGCCATGGTCTAGAGTTTAGCTGGACAAGTAATTGAGCCAATCGATATCCTTGCTGATAGTTTCTATGGCGTCTAATAAAAGTGACAGGTCTCGGTGCACATTGACAGAGGGTGCGTTAATGACCACGCGGAAAAAGTCGGGGATATCCTTCACCGGAGCATGATCCACCATGAATTGGCCGGAAGCATTCAATCGTCGATGGATTTCGCGGGTGATGCTTGAAAGCTTGTCGTCGTATATGTGTTGTTGTCTCCAGGTCGCGATGGGTAAACCTGATGGAATGAACCAGAAACAAATCTGTAGAAAAGGACATGGATCTTTGACCAGCAAAAAGCCATGAGAGTATCGTTGTCGCACGAGATCGGTAAACTGAGCCGCTTTGGAAACAGCCAGTTCGACACGCTGGCCCAAGCCCTCGCGACCGTAAAACTTCCATGCCAAGAAGATCTTGGCCGCATCGGGACGTCGACCACAGCCCACCGTACCGTCTCCCAAATCGTAAGGGTTGCCGTGGAAAAGATAATCCGCTTTCAGAGAATTGGCTTTGGCGAATAAAAGATGGCCCTGATGAGGCGTAAGTAGCATCGAACATTGCAAGGGTACGCCAAGAAGTTTATGGGGATTGATCGTAAAGGTATCAGCCTAAGATATGCGCCATGATCAATTTCACCCGTTTCACATTTTTTTTGCAATTCGACGAGAGTAAAAAAGCCTACCAGTTCCGATCCGTCTAACCAGCTTTGAGTAGCCATGAGATGCTGTGAAAATACCGCCGAAGCTCCCCAAGAGCCGTCCACGTGGAGCCAGCAATTGAATTTTTTGGCAATGACAGAAATTTCTCTAATTGGATCGAAAGCTCCCTAGATGTTCTCATATCAGTCCATGTTCTCCAGCGAATTCTCATGTACATTGAGTGTATACCAAAACAGTCGTGCCAGCGGTGGCATTGATGAAAAAGGGGGTCTCACCTCTCGCGATACTCTCTTGCAAAAGTTGGGCTAAAAATGTACATCAAGATCAGACGCTGCGATAGCATTGGGAAGTATACAAAATAATGATGGAAACGTACCCAGGGCGTCTGTGTGCATGCATCCGTCGTCGTCGACCGGCACTTGAACGACATTTGAGCTGCCTAATCCCAAGACTTGGGCTGATTTGGAGATGCTGTAGTGACTGTGGGTCGAGGTAAAGATGGTGAGTTTTCCATAGTCAGCGGCGGGGTTGAAGGGACGCGGCATGTAACCTTCGGTCTTGATGGTAGGATAGAGCGTATTACGAGCCGTGATCATGGCCAATAAATTGGATGCCGAGCCGCCGGGACACAGCAATCCACCTCCTTTGTCACCCATGCCGAGCAATTTCGCGGTGGCCTTGGTGACTTCGATTTCCATGAGGGTCAAGACGGGGGACACATGGTAGACGTGTGCATTACTGTTGAGCACGGCCAGTAGCAACTCAGATATCACGCCAATAGGATTGGTCGAAGCATATAATTTATCCATAAACCTCGGGTTCCACGCGTTCACACTGTATTGTAAAGTCGACTTAATCAGATCAAATGTACCTGAAAATGTGACCACCGTCATTGTTAATGTGACATTCTTATAATGTGACATTAGACCCATTCAAGGCTGTTTTTACCATCGATACCCGAGGCTTCGTCGGGTAACTCAAAATCGATCCTTTTATAAAGTTGATCAGGACTATGATACTCGACTACGGCTTGATCGGTCGACTGACCATCCCGAACATCTGTTAGAGGGATCAGTCAGATGCATTCTTTAGCAAAGAAAATTAGCCCCATTTACATTGCAGCACCAATTTCTGCATGCGATTCAGCATGGTCTCCAACTCCATGGACGCGGTATCATCTTGACTCGCTATGACCATATTTCGAGAAGTAAACAGAAACAGATAATTTTTTTTTTTTTTTGAGGGAAATTTGCCGCAGGAAAAAAACGCCAAGAGCTTTCAAAGAGATAAATTTTATTGGACAGGGAAGAAAAGGTTGACATACAAACAATTAGAATATTTTACATAAATAACAGGATAGATGGTTAGCTCTTTTTAATTGCTAGGAAGCATATTCAACTGCTTCATCTTGTCAAAGGCATTGTAAAACTCCTTGGCGCTGTCCAGCTTCTTGTCCCAACCCAAGGAACGGGCCTTTTCGATGGTCGAATCATCAGGCCAAGTGCGCTCAAATGTTTGATCTATCCAATCAGGATTAGTCATCTGATATTGGAACTTATCAGATATCTGGAGCCCACGACTGACAAAACTTACCAACAAAGTCCCAGGTACAGTATTCAATAGCTTTGGGATCGAGATTGTACTTTTGAGCCAGCTTCTTCCAGTTATCCTCGTTTTCATACATGTAGTCCTTGAGACTGAATTCGGCGCATCGGCCTTCCTTTTTGTCACACTTCTTGAACTGGTCTTCGTCCTTGGGCACCTTTAAACCGAAATAGCTAGTAAACGATGGAAATGCGTGAGCGATGATAATTTCCTCGTGATCCGAGAACAACAATGGGCTTACTCTGCAATCTTGTGCCATAATTCGGAGATAGTGATTTTATCACCATTGGTGATGTTGAAAATGTTATCGGCGGCTTTAGGATTAGTGCTTGCCCAAATCTGGAAATCGGCATTATTGACAGCGGCGGACTGGTCAACAATGTTTTGCCACGCGAACTTGTTGCCTGGGAACTTGAATTCGCGACCCAGTTCCTTTTGCAACACAGCATAAATACCCAGCGACACGGCCATATTCATGTAATTGCCTTTTTTTTCACACGATCCATTCATTAGCACACGGTTACTGATGGAAAAAGACACAAATGTCGAAAAAAATAAAGCTTACCTCGGCTGACGCCGGCAATGATATTGGGGCGAGTGATAATCCATCGCCAGTTGTGTTCCTTGGAAAATTGCTTGACCAAGTCTTCTTGAGGGTAGTAAAAGTTCTCGCCTTCGGGACGAGGAGCATCTTCGCGGAAAGGAAGCGAAGACATGGCGGGTGGACCCTGATGACAAGCATAATACTATGCCCATGCATGGTTTTTAAGTAACCAACAGTACTAACAATGCACACTGTTTGCAATTGTGCTTACCTTCATACCGGTTTGTAACATGAATGTTTGCAAACCAGGGCAAGCGTTTTCGCACAGCTGCAATGCTCGATGCAGCAATTCCGTGTTTATTTTGGATTCTTCCTTTGGATCTTGCTTCATGATGTAAGCATAGAAAAAGGCATGTTGAGCATTGCCCGCGCCCGCTTCGACGAGCGATTTTGCCATTTCAGGAATGGTGCCGTTCAAAAGGTCGCACGACACAAATCGCACACGCTGGTCCTCATGATCGATTTGTGGAGGACGACGAGACACGGCCACAATCTGACTCCACTCTTCTTTGGACGCACTTGTTAATCTTTCGATAAGTGCGGTACCGCTAATGCCGTTGGCGCCGAAAACAATGGCAGTTTTACCCATAATGTTGTGCTGTGTAATAATTCGTTTGAAAAAGGAAAAAAGAAAAATCAAGATTCTTCTAGACGTGAGCACGGATTTAACGCTTATATATTTTGTGCATAATGGGATCATTTCATTCATACATCATCGTGACAGGCTTCCGGGAATTTTATTCCGAGCGCCTTAATCAGAAAGTTGAAACCGTCCGCAATCAACTGGGAAAAAAGTTACATCATCTTCCAAAACGCAACTGCCGATTTGATACTTTTCGCTGCAAACGCTCGCAAGATGCTTTATGCCAGCAAATATGTCGTTGACGACGATAGAAAAATGAGAACCATGACGGCAAATGGATATCGGATTGCAATAATGTTATAAATAAGAGTAAGCCCATGATTATGTTTCATCACAAAGTCGAGTTAGGACCTATTTTCAAGAGCCGACACTGAATATTCGATGACAATGATATCAAAACAAGGGTCAAAGAGATACTAAACAAAAAGAAAACGATGGAAGTTCTAGGAAAGGAGTTTATTAATGCTGTAAGGCTTCAGCCACTTGTAGCAAAACAATTCTCACGTGGCATAATGCTCGCACAGACATTTGCCTCGTTGGAAAATCCAGTAAAAAATCAGTGAAAGAATTTTTTTTCTTGGGCAATGGTAAACAGACCAACGCACGATGAGTAATATTTGAGAAACGCAGTCCAACCAGAGAAGGACGATTGGCGATCCCCGAAAAAGCAGTCCATTGGGGGGTTTGGTTGGAAGGGATTATTGCTCCAAGCGAAAAAGCGCACTGCCCCGAAATGCTCCGCTGGGCTTTCTGAACCCTCTCTTTTCCAAAAGTGGCCACCATTCCATAACGTTTGTCCTTTTCTAGTTTTTTCCCTTTTTTTTTCGCCCATCATTTGGGAGCCATCCTTTTCAAGCTCCTTCTTTGTTTCATCTTTCCTTTTCTTCGTATATCTCGTTTACTACAAGTTGTTATTTCCATATGCGTAGACACAGAAAGGATTCTTACCATCTTTTACTCCGCGAAATTCGACGTCTTCGTTCTGAAAATGCGATGCTTCAATCGAGCGTTCATTTGCTCAAGAATGACCTTGCCATAGAAAGAGAGTCTCGAAGAATCGCCGATATTGTTCATCAAAAGTTTTACGATGAGACCATGGACAAACATGCCAAAATGGAGATCGATGTATTGGACAAACAAGACGAAATCGATGCGTTGAAATCCCAACTTGAACAGGTGCAACCCGACTCGAGTCTCACCTATCACGATGCAGCGTCAATAAAGAAATCATCTGATATCTGGCATTGCAATAATTTTGAGGACGAAGTCGAGATGGTGTGCAGTCTCCATAGTTCAGACCTCAATCAAACAGGGGTCCGTGGTGAAACGTTGCCTGCTCCGCTCGACGACCTAGCTTTACATCATAAACAGGAGATACTGGAAAGCGATGACGACGAAGACGACGACGACGAGGAAGATGAAGATGAAGACGATACCAACGTCGATCGATTTAAAGATTTGGCCGCCTCTTACCTACGGCAAGCGTTAATTTCCAATTTAACCAGTGCTCGAGCCAATCTGGAACTCGATGATCTCATGCTGAAATACGACCCATCCCCCTCCATGATCTTGCATACCTTGGCCGACTCTTTTATTGTATGGATCAATGATACAGTATCCGACACAAACTCGGCGGCCGCGGCCAAACTCATTGTCACACGGGTACGAGAAGGGTTCTTGCAGTTTTGGAAAGCGATTCTAGAACGACATATCAGAGGCGACGAAGAACAATATCAATTTCTCAACGAAGCCGAACGAGCTATTTATTCAGAAAGCAAAGGCACGACCTCATTGGTGGAAAATTTCCACCGTCTGTTGGTCATGCTGTATAAATATGACATTGTGGATGGCGATGCGGTCATTACCTGGTGGCACGAGCGTTTGGCGGATGTAACCAATGAGAAACTCGGCAACAAGCTAAGGGACGTAACACGGAAATTTGTGGAGTGGGTGGATGAAGAGGAAGACGACGACGAGGACGACGACACGATGAGTGACGTGGACGATGCATTGAACAGAAAGACATCCGGGGGCAATGTGAAAGACGTGAGCGAAGATGAAGCGAATCCTCCCGAAGCCATTGCGGCGATGGATGAAGCCGAGCTGGTGAAGAGCGTCAACACATTACTAGAAGAGAGTGAACGATACTGTTTATGTCAGTTCGATGAAGATACCCATCACCACCAAGATGGATGCACTTGTGAGGAAACCACCCCAACTGCGTCTGAACCGGTCCCGCCACAGGTCGTCAAAAAATCTGTGCGTATTCAACTGTAAATATCTGCAACCCATCACCCCTAAAGCTAAGCCAGCGACCCATCTAGCCACTCTAATTTGAACAAAACAATCAACTGGAATTTAGAAGTACATAACACTTTTCATAATATATATTCAGAACAATAAATCAACGAAGAAAGAATTCGACGACTGATGGCCTCCATCCGTTAAATTCATCCATGCACTTCCTTGGAAAATAAGCACTAAAAAGGGACATACGTACAGTATAGTGAAATGGGAATCGCCATCCCGAGCATCTGCCTATTTGCATGCAATGCGAATTTTGGCGCTTTAGTCAGGACTTACTAAAGGAAAGGAGTGTTCCCGTTTCATGCCACCCCCGGTTTCACGTGGAGACATGGCGGTGGCGCGCGCTGATATGGCTCATACTGAACCGGATCCTTTCGATGCATGTAAATGGTCGCATCATGGTAAATGATAACGGGTCCACTGATTTCCTCATCGCGTCATGCGAGCTTGAATTTGCTAATAAACCCAGCACCGAGGAGATCAAATGCTTGCATAATCGTAACAAGGCACCATCAATGCTGCCAAGATCAAACATTCTCGCTGAAGAAATGTAATTATTTCTCTCCAAAGAGGGGCTTATTGGTATCAGCCTTCAAACAATACAATATTCCCGGATGGCTTATGGGATGCGCAGCCGGCAATAGCTCAATGAGCCGCCGCAGCTTCCTTTCATTGCCTTTTTGGGAATGGCTGCGCATCCTAGCCCAAAAAAAAAGACTCAATATAAGAACACACATCTCCCTGTCTCTCCTTTTTTCACTCGTTATCCACTTTTCTTCCAAAAACAAAGATATGATCGATTTCCCCACTAAGCGTTGCTCTTCCGTTCTGCTGTCTGCCAAACCTACCTTGATACGCTGTAAAACCTTACTTTCCCAAATGACCTCCAAGAAACAGAAACCGAATCTCACTTTGGCAATTCCTTCCAATGCGTCGGAACTCTCGCGCATCGAAACAGCGACCAGCAACAGCTCCGGCCACAGCAGTGATCGATGCTTCAGTGTGCCTGGTTCGCCTGATAGCACGACCAATTCTTCCATACCTTCAATGGACAAGCGTTACCCGTCGACCGCTGGCAACGATGGCTATTCCATCTTTTATCTAAGGATGCCCAATGGCAATTGGCGAGTACGTGTCCGTACGGCCGATCGCAAAATAATCCACACTTATGAAATTGATGGTACCATGATATAACCATGCCGTAATCTTTTTGTACATAATCATCTCTTCTGTCCATATTACCTTTTCATATTTATTCTCTCAATTGTATATTCACTTTTTTTTATTCATATCATATCCGTATATATCGCCTCCATTGAATCATTGCAAATAAATGCAAAGAACTTGCACAAAAATGTATGTAATCCGGGTTGAGAAAGAGCGGAACCTTGAACTATCGGCTTCGGCTGCACAATAACACGATCAACAGTGCAGTGATCAGCATGTTTGTTTCTGAATCGATGACAAATGATGATCTCATATAATAGAAAAAAAAAACGTTCGTTGACTAGAGCAGTCTAAATCGCACATGAAGCTAAATGGCAATGATGCTTCTTGATGTCCGTATGTGTCTCATCAATAACGTCAACAAACAATTGCTTTAATACGGGTAATTTGCAATTGTCAATTGAGGATCTTCCTTATCATTTGAATAGGAATCTAAAGATTATCAATGCAGTCACCCCTGAGATCCTTGACGGCGACAACGTCTGATATGGCGATTTTTTTCCCTTTTCTCCTTTATCATGTGGGATAGCGGTGTAAACTTGCAGTTGTGACAGATAAATAAAATCGCCACGTGGAAATTGGGCTTGAAGCTGCAACTTATTGATCAAGTCCATGCACACCCCTGGCATAGGACATGGACGATCCTCCACAAAAAGAAACTCGGTTCTGGATGCCGATGTTGCATACAGCCCATCTGTAGAGTAATCAAGCTACATGGACAATCTTTTTTCATTTGCACTCTTTCATGTAAATCCCACACGTCATAACCATTGCCAAGAACCATTGCGTCATTTAATATCGATAATTGGTTATTAACCTGTCCCATCCATGTTCATCTCTGGTTTATGAAACCTATTAAATTTTCAAATATGATAACATCCACCTTTCCTTATTTGCAGTAAATTAGTCAGCCAAACATTTTTTGCTCATCCACGCGTCGATAGATTAGCTTTTTGCTGACAATGCCAAAAAAATTTGCAGACTCATGTCCTATGCTTCGCTCAGAGCACTGCTATCATATCAACCGAACTTATGCAAGCGTTCAGTGAGTGCAACAGAGTCTGTGAACTTTTCGCCTAAGCCAATTCTCTTGAACAATTCCATCAATTTTATTTTGTATAAACCGATTAGTCTCTGCAGCAGACTACAACGTGCTTTTAACAGGTTGAGGAAGAACCACTCAATTTATTCTGGTGCCGTGTTCAGGACAAATGGCAAACAACCAGGAAAGGAGAGCACAATAACTGTGGCTTGCGTCTGTGTTTAAATGTAGCCCAATCATCAGTACAGGTTTTTTTTGTGACGCTCATGAAAATTTTTCGCTTTCAGTTGTAAAAATCGAGACGGGCGCGGCAGCCACTGTGTTCTTCCTCTTTCCTCCAATCGACCATGTCTGAACAAGTACGTATTTGCTACTAAAGGGAAAAAAAGCCAATGTTGTGTGGATGGATCAAAACTTACCCATTAATTTCTTTACGAACTATAGACCGAGAAGGCCTTCCAGAAGCAAGTTGGTATTTTCCAAAACTCCAAGATCCAGAAGCGCACCCAGCGTTGGTACAAGGATGTCGGTAACGGCTTCAAGACTCCTAAGGAGGCCAAGTTCGGTACCTACATCGACAAGAAGTGCCCTTGGGTTGGTGAAGTCAACATCCAGGGTCGTATCTTGACTGGTGTTGTTGTCTCCAACAAGATGAAGCGCACCATCGTCCTCCGTCGTGATTACCTTCACTACGTTCCCAAGTACAACCGTTACGAAAAGCGTCACAAGAACATCTCTGCTCACTTGTCCCCTGCTTTCGATAACTTGGCTGTTGAGAGGTATGTATCCCAGAAAAATCGTCATCTCTTTGATTGCGGTTTATACTTTTTCCAATTGGAAAAAGTATGAAAGCAATCGTTGTGGGGAAACTGTGGCTTTGACAGTCCAAGGATTGTCACACAGCTTCCTTCACCTTTTTTACGGACGAGGTAGTTGGTAGAGTGACGGCCTACCAAGCCTTTGACATCCATGTTCGTTTTGCTAACGTTTCTATTTTTCTTTTTCCTCTTCTTTGTTTTACTTAGCGGTGACATCGTTACCATCGGTCAGTGCCGTCCCCTCTCCAAGACTGTCCGCTTCAACGTGCTCAAGGTCCAGAAGGCTAAGAGCACCAGCAAGGCCTTCCAGAAGTTCTAAGTCTCTTTTAGTTGGAAATGACACATTTGTGGATATTCAATAAAAAGTAGATTGATCCATACATCTTATTTCTCGTTTACTCCTTGCGTCAACGCATTATCCTGCGTGCGTGACTTTTTTTGATTGATGTTCAATATCGATTGTGTCAATCGATGTGAGGCTTGGCTTGGCCGTTCGTTTTAAAAAGCCAAAGCATTTGAAATAACGTATTCACAAGTTCCTTAATGGGAGTGGTAAAAACCCACATTTGGCGGGCCGTCCCATATGACATCAATCAGCGCAGAACACTACAATGTGGCTTGTGTAGTTGTGGTCGAGTTTTGCTTTGGCGCATTGTTCAGGCAAGGACTTCTGCTGTACAGGGCAATCTGGACAAATAATCCTCGAAACCAAGAGAACAGGAACGCTTTGTTTGTGTTACCTTGTTTTTTTTTCTTTGCTGTTTTGATCGTGCTTATTCGAAAAGGTTCGGTTTCCACACCAGCAGAGCCTCAGCAAAGGCTTAATTTGGAATTGATTCTCCGCTTCATTTTCAATCCATTACCATTCACCAACTTATCATCTCGTCATGTTTACAGCGTTAACTCTCATGCCACTAGACCAATACATTCAAAGCTATTAAAAAAATGTCAATTCAAGGCATTTCTTCGCATCTGAGCTCGGCGTGTATGAAATGATGATCGCGCTACGTTTTTGACAGCCACTTGACTGCCTTCCATGTGAATAGAAAGCACAACGGTGTTGTGTAGAATTCGATGATAGCGTGTACAACAACAGATTTCTTTTCTTTTGTAAATAGAGGCTTGGGTGGAGGAAATCTTTCGATAACATCCTTGATCCAAATTATCTAATTTAGGACCACTGCGGTCTGCACCATAACCTTAAATTCTGAAAATGAAACGCGTATGGGTGAATTATTTCGCCTTGATGTACAAGTGCCCTTGACGCGACGCTGCATATCCCGTTGTCGACAGGTTATACTTACTGCGCTTAGCATCATTGAACAAGGTTCAGTGGCTTCTCAGTTGCTTGGTTCGCATTCGTGTTATTTTTTCATGTAATGATGATTTTGGTAGAAATTCTTAACGTACGATCTATCATGTATTACAATTTGCAACCATCGGATGGAATAAGAATAGTCATTGGTGATAATTAGCCACGTTGCCATGATCATAGCGGTGTTTTGAAATGCCGCACCCAAAATAGACTTGCAATCACTATTGCATTATGGGCCGTCCAAGGGATCAACATGAAACAAGTATTGCAGTAATGAATAAGCAAGTTCAAAGATCACTGGTTAAATAGGTTACTGATGTATTTGCTTGTATGAAAATGGGGCTACATGACGCCCAACAGACAACAGTTCAATAAATTGCGAATGATGAGTTAATGTACGTGTATAACGAGTATCAGGCCAGGTGCTGTTCTATTTTTGGTAAGTCCACTCCTTCACCAAAAAGGAGTTGAGACATCTGTTTCCCTTATTGTTTCCAGGATGATTGCAGCTGGCTGGTCTTTCCCCATCTTTTTTTTTTTTTCTCTTTCTAACCTTCCTACCTTCATTTACTTTTTCTGGGTGCAGTATCTTTAACCCCACATCCTGTCTCCTCCTTTCTTTTTGAACCCTTCTTTTCACAACAATCCTTCCATCCTTTATTATTTCCTATCTTCTATTTTTTCTCTCACTTCATGGTCCAGCTTGCGTCCTTTGACGTCGACACTTTTTCATCCGTAATTCACGGAAAACGATGCTTGCAAGTTGAGACTGTAAGGCCTTACTTGGCCCAAACTCGACCTTCTTCTTCGACCATGACCTCCTCCTCGGAAAATAGTAGCACTTCCTCTGTTCTGGACACTGACGACGACTTTGAAACTCGCGATCATCACGACGCCTTATCCGCATGCTCGCAGGGCGATGCATCCTATTCTCCAGCCGTTGATCGATTGCAGGGATCATCCCTATCACAGAAATTAACGCGGCTAGGTGTTGACCTTGCACGAATTCGATACAATAATATCACCATTGAAGATCAACTCAAAGCCACCACTTCTGTCATTCACAAATTGGAAATCCTCTTACCGAACGTATCCTACGGGCCCGATTATATTTGGCTCATGCAAAACCATACTAGTTTGACGCAGGCCAGGCAACATCTTGAAAATGCAAACCGTCTCCAACAATGGATCGACCATCACACCGAATGCCTTGGCCGAAATACGTCGCATGTAGAAATCAACAACGTGCAACAAGCATTTTTTGACTTTGAGAGTCGAGAAGGAGATATACTGATGGAATTTCGCCGTATCATTACCGGTCGTTCCACCCTGGATTTCGTCATTGATGCATTGTGGACAGTGCTCGCCCATCTCGACCGTTTTCGCCATCAATTACATCACCAGCTACACGTAGATCATGTACACTCTCTGGAAATGAAATTTGATTCGCAAGCGAACCAAATAACTCGGTCCATGGAAAATATCAAAGTCAATGCATGCTTGGACAACGAGGAATGGGCAATATTTCAAAAATTAGACAATACTGTTAAAGTCAGCTACCAAGAAATACGTGATTACTCCACTGACAGGGAGCTAACCTTACAAATGACGGCTCGCCACATCAATATTACAACTGCCGTCAATGAAATCACTGCAGCTAGACACGTTGCACATCATCAGACCGAGCAAAAATACACGATGATCCGATTGACTGAACAGGCAAACCAACTGGAGCAAGAAGACGACTGTATAAACCAGACCTTGTCATCAGCCGCTCATTATGATCATGATACCATCCAGACTTTGATGACTCAAACAAGCCCTATTCAGCATCAGATTGCCGAATTTGTACAAAATAAAACTTCAGGTATGTCTTGCTTTTCTTATTCCTGCAGCGCCAATCCCATGCCAAATTTTTACTCATGTGTATCCAACAGTTGAAAACATTTTACCTGCTACCTCTGTCGAAAAATTACGCATTCTCGATAATCGTATGAATCAAACGCTCATCAAAAGTCAAAGTGCAATCGAACGCCAAACGGCAATTCAGCAAACAGCAAAAGACGCACTTCGTCTGCGAAAATGGGTCAAAGCACGCATTTCCGCCGTGGATAGGTTGCACATTCATATTCGTTGCATGTTCACCGAAGCAGATTGCCTAGCCTCGCAAAAACTCCTTGAATCGCAACAGTTGCTTCTCAATCTCTTCAAGAACACGCGATTAAAACACGTTACCGAATCGATCGACAAACTATCCTTATCCTCGAGTGACGATCTGCAGTTGTTGAAGGCTGATATGACGAGAATGAATGATGAACTATCGCGATTGGAGATCCTTTTAGATCAGCAAAAAGTTGAACTGGAACTGATTGATAAGAGGAGACGATGGGATATCTCTTACAAGGCTGCATGTCAATGGATTCACCAAATGATGGAAACCATCCGAGAATTTGCTATGGAAAAGGCGCAATGCAAGGCTCCAGTGAGACTGATACTCGGTCTCCAAGATACTTTTAGCAGTATGCAGCAAAGCGTATCCAGTTACAGCCATTCGGAAATAATATCAGTGACAGATGCTGCTCGATCTCTTATCAAACAGATTGCCGACAGAGACGCCACTGTCACCACGCTTATTCGACAGAGACGATATGCCCTCGAGCAAGACGTGGCCTCTCTGAATCAGTTGCTTGGTTTCACGCAAGCATTGCTGGATCAGCGAGCCGCTGTTGCAGAGTACCTGGCCTCGGTATCCAAGGCAGAAGTATTCGGTTCCCATGTTCTATTCGAACTGCAATCGCCTCTGAAAATCCCACCCTCCATTCTAGCGAGCTTTGAAGCACTGATTTCCTATTTTGATCGGTACTTGTCAGTTGCCTGGGATAGTTACCAGGCGATCGATTATCCCCGATGGCCGCAACATGCCTTTGTCATGAAAAAAGACGACTCTGCTGTCAATGAGCTACAGTCGTACTTGCTCGAGCAATATCACCGACTGCTCGACCTAAGCCAATCTCTGAACCGTACGCAAACTATGCACGCGCAACACTTGCAGGCCGAAACCGCACGTTGTAGTGCGGATATTCGTCATCTCCTAGATCGACTTGAAAGAGCCACAGAACGTATTCAAGCGGAAGATCAAAAGCTGTCCAATCCGTCCTATCTTTTGTCGAACGACGAGCTTCAGAACATGTTGGACCATTGCAACGCCGATCACGAATTGACAGGATATGAATTGAATGATCTGCTAGCGAGACTGATTTCGGTGGAATACACAGGGCCAGAGTCCATGGGACAATTGCAAGAGAATGCGAACCAGTCATCCTTATTGATTAGCGATCATGTCGAGAAGCTTGCAGCCTATGCGACGCGTGTGCGCTGGACCAAGCATCAAATCGAAACGGACCATGCCCTGCAATGCTTGATTGGCCAATGGACCGCGTGGGAAAAGCGCTATCATGCGATTTTATTCGGTGCTGATGCGGTCACGGAAGAGGCCGTTGCATCACTGTCAGAGGATCTATTGACGATGGAGCAGTTGTTAGAAGAGATTGCTGGCCAAATTCAACAGATCAGCGAGATGTTTGCCTCCATGGAATCCGCGTACCGACGGGTCGCTTATGGGTTGCCTTTGAATGCCGTGCAGGGACAGCAACACATGGTATCTTCCTTTCAGAATCTGCAAGGAAATGTATCGCGCAGTGGTGCCGGGATTGCCTTTGTCAAGGATCGTACACACTTGGAATGTAGTCTTGGCAAGCTTTTGGATCTATGCGGCATCACTCTTCGAAAATTGGAGGATTTCATTCGTGATCGAGCGCGATGGCAACCATCTACAGGTATTAGTCATGACAATGTCCAAGACATGCTACGACTGTATCTCGATATCTTGCAGAACGAAACGCTGTCTCAGAAGCGAATGGCGGCTCAACATGAAGAAGCATTATTAGCATTGCAGGCCGCAGTAGATCCTGAACAATTTCCCTTGACCTACGCGTTCCGACGAAAAGCCGAACTGGAAGCGTTCATGACAAAAGTGGATCAGCAGATTGCATTCGCGGACAAGGTCCTCAATCAACGAGACAATGTAATTGAGTGGATGAAACAAGCGTTACCGCTAGAAACAACTGGTCAGAATCACAAGGAAGCCTTTGCAACGTGCAGCAAGCTGGAAAAAAAGGAACGCATACGAAGCTATCGTCAGGAACTAGATCTCTTGATCAGCGGTGCTGACACTTTGCCTTACCCTGTACGGGAAGACCGTCGCCAAGATATAACTGCTAATCGTGCTATTGCAACGGCTGCCAAGGAGCAAATAGACCGTTTGACCGACCTGTTGACCACGCTGAGAAGATCCGAGCGAAAATCGAAATCCGTGAGTGAGGACCGACAGCGTAGCAGAAAGGTGTCGTTGCCTACGCACAAACCCGCGGGTTTTTCCTTATTGAGCAAGTACCAGATCAACTCGACCAAATCGTCTCCGATTATGCGTCGTACCAGTAGTTCCATGTTGCCCCCCGTCCCTCCGTGTGCACGACCCAATGCGTATGTTGCCGATCCAAAGAATGATCTGGACATGGAGATTGGAAGAATCGTCAACAAGGTTCCGTACAAGGTAAAACTGGAGATGATTCCGGGCGAAGTCGGACGTTATCTGTTTGGAGGCAAACTGGTCTACTGTCGAATTTTGCCCAGTCGCATGGTGATGGTCCGTGTCGGCGGAGGATGGACAGAACTGTCCCAATTTTTGCGTGATCATGCTTTGCTGGATCACGGCTTTGTGAAAAAGAGTATGTGTTGGGACTCGGAAACCGCGATTGTAGGTTCGATTGAAGAAGGTTTCATCGACACAAGATCAAGGTCCGAAACGGGAAGATCTCGCTCAGGTAGCATCTCCACTTCTTCCTCGACAAAATACAAAGCCGGTTACAAGGATGGCGATCATTATATCGCCGTCGATAACAATGGCAACCAATTGGCCTTTTCCATGACACCCGCCACCATTGTAAATGATATGTGCACAAAACGTTAATACTTTCAACTAGTAAACTCTAATAAATAATGTTCATAATACCCGATCCAGAAAAAGAAACCATGGATGTTCCATAAACTTTAGACTGTCAGATCATTTTTTTTATTTCCCTCAACTGAACGACCTACCGGAGCCCTTTCCTTGACTGCATTGAATGTATGTATGTAAGCACACACTTACTGTACAAAATAGCCTGCTTCTCTCGCTTTCAGTCACTCTATGATGTTCCTTATCTGGTTTTTGTAGACACAAGATGCAGCGGAATGGTCTCTGAGAAACAATCCAAAACAGATGTGATTGGACTGTGCGGACTGTGAACGAAATTTAAGGTCCTGTGTAATTTTTTTTTTTTTTTGCGTCTCCCTGTTTCCCCAATCGACATCAAGACGGGACCGCATTTTCTGATCGTTTTGCGCCTTGATTTTTATCATTTTTATTTTGGTATCTTAACACCCGCATTTTTTTCATATTGTGTGAACGTGCACGAAAGGGAGTGTTCCTCGAAAAAAAAAAAGTTACTCCATATATGGCGCAGTCACCCCACCTTCGTTCACCACTAACGCTGATTCCCCATGCTGTCCATCCTTCTCCGGGATCGCCTTCGTCATGGCTCGCGCATCATGCCCCAGCCCAATCACCTCCTTTATCGTTGAACCCACCGGCCAACTATGGCACGCAATATTTTGATATGTATGTCATTGATGCGTATTTTCTTTATATTGAAATAGATAAGGAGACACAAAAAAAAAAGATCAGTAGTTTAAATTTGGAGGAGTCGTGCGCATAAAAAGAAAAGAGAATTAGGGATCCCGAAAAAGACAAATCAGCAACCAAAGCAACCAATTTTGTAACCATCCCTTTCTCTGTTTTATTACACTTGTTTATTACAGTAATCCTCACGCGCATTCAAGCCGGTCTGACTGTATGCCGCCTCGTCCACCAACTGTCAAATCCGATTTCTCTCCGATTAGGTCGTACACAAGGTAAATCCTCCCTTATTTTTCTTGTGTTGCGTTTCACATGGTCTCTCTTTTTGCTTTTTGTTTAACCTTCCCTTTCTAGTTTCTCCATGTCTCAGCCCACTACTCCACAACCTACGACTGATGGCTCTCTTTCAGACTATCCTTCACCATCTCATCTTCGTGCCCAAGTGCCTGAAACCTCCACTGATCCAGCACCAGAACATGACATCACAAGTAAGCCTAACGAGGAACCAATCAAACCACCAGAAGCGAAATCCAGACAAGCTCGGTCCACCTCGTCTCGAAGAAAACGCAATCCTTTTGATAGCGACCCCGTCGCTGGTCCTTTATTTGGTGCTACCAAGTATAAAGGAAATATCTACTGGAGAGATCGTCAATCCGTGTAAGGACCTGCTCTTGTTTTTAACTTTGGAGATCCGCCAGAGACAATCCTGCTGGTGATCATTGTCAAGGTTTTTAAATCGTATTCACCTTTCTTTTTTGGTAGATTGGATTTGACACTCAAAGGCAAAATTGAAAAAGGTTTCTTTCTGGCCGACGATGACTGGACTTGCTATCGTCGCAATTACTTTCAGATCAGTACGTCCTTTATATTGCAAGGCATCGATGCCTTGTACGACGGCCAGGATCTGCCCTGTGTTATCAAAGAAGACGGCACCTTCCATGAATTTCAACACTTTGTAGTGGGCATTTCCGCTCGGTTAGCTGACAGTGAAAAAGCGATTACCTTGATTCAGCATACTGTGAAACGGGACAAGGGACCCCAGCAACTGCCTGAGCTGAGAACGATTCGTCCGGGTGGGGATCTCGCCTTTAGCACCGTCGGTGCAAGTCAATCGATTGTCACTTTTGAACGTATCCAATTCAAATCAGCTACGGCAAATAATGGTAAACGTCGAGCTGCACAGCAATACTTTGTCCTGGTGGTGAAGCTGTATGCAAAACTGGACGATGAGCGACTGGTGGAAGTGGCCTCTATTACATCGTCGCAGCTTGTGGTTCGAGGACGGAGTCCCGGACACTATGCTGACAGCGCCAACCGGTCTACTCCCGACGCAACGCCTGCGCCGCAAAAGAAACAACGTAACAACCACCCGATCTCATCCATGCTTTCTCCCCGACCGCCGTCGATGGTGGTCAAATCTTCCACTCCATTACCCGCCGTGGAATATTCCGATTTGGGATACCATGCTCCTTTGAACTCGCCGTTTGCACCTTCGGAACCGGAAAGACAACCTTATTTGAACTCACCATTTGGTCCTTCGGAACCCGAAAAGTCAGTCATCGATTCCACACACGCACGGGATGCTTCCTCCACAGGGTATAAATCATACCATCAGCGATATTCGTCTGGAGCTCCCAATAGCCGCCAACGAACGGAAACATCGGCCTCAGATCCCTACTTGTACACTACGTTGCATGGCAACGGTCAGGCGCCTTCGAAACCGTCCGAGTTCTCCATGTATTTACCGTTGGAGCAATTGAATGCGCCGTCTTTGCATGATCGTTGGTCACGTATACGCGTAGCCTCCCATCCCAGTCACGGCAGTAGCGATGGTGCACATTCTCGTATGTCCCCTTATTTGCATGGCGATTCAACGCTATCAACCAATGTTCATTTATATGAACATCCATCCATGGCCCCTTATTCCAATCAGCCTCATACCAATACGGACTCGATTCCACCATATCCTTTGCTTGATTCTCATCGTACGCTCACGACGAGTCACAGGTAAATAATTTGTTTGTCATAAAAAACGATGTTGGGAAACGCGACTCACTCTAATGCGTAGTTTACCTTCACCGGGCCATTCTTCTTCATACCAAGATTGGCATTATCGCAATCAACAAGTGTCACAAGCAAGACAACACTATATCGAGCATCCATTTGAGCCACACAGTCGTCACCATTCATCCAATGATACGCATTAATTCCCAATCAACGAACCTATTTCATTTTTCAAAACATGACATGCACTGACAGTAGCTGCTATTGTAGATATGTTGTAGTCGATCATCTTGTTTTTTCATTCCCCTCACTCATTTCAGCGTTATCTTCATCAGATCTCGCTATACACTCGTTTCCCTGTAATCAATAGCAGTAAATTCACCACTATGGTATTGATGCTGTACTATGATATGGTGGCCTTGAATTTTAGTAGGAATAGCTAATCAACAGAACAATGCACATGGAATGTCACTAAAGATGTAGACATGAGCAGATTGTCATCTCATTCAATCACTAAAAGCCAGAATTATATGATGAATGATGGCGGATTATGCTCTTGAATATTTTCAAAGCGAACAGAGCATGACCAGCGCTCAGCCCCCTGAATTGATAAAGAGGTTGCTTTTAAAGGGTAAAGAAGAACAATAGGATTTTGCAAGGCAAATACTATGTCATGGGGCAGGGTTGAATTAAATCCTGGCAAACGCAACAAGTAGCGTGGCAACACAAATAAGGAACAAATGTCGCAGTTTCAACATCATAAAAGGTATGAAAAAGCATTGTTTTGGCGACCAGTCCGCCAGAGGTTCCGAGTGACTCTGGCAACAACAGTGGGGTCAAGTATCCTTGGAGCACGGTGTGACATGGATGCATATTCTACACAGCTGCCACAATGAAATGTTTCCCCACACTTGTGAATGGCTTGAACCAGTCGTAACTTATTTTTTTGGGACAAAAACGTATTACGACATTCAATTTCATGAGTTTCACATTCGTCTCACGTGGCAACCGTAGCTTTTTACTTTATATTCTACCCCAAAAATCAATGCCAAAACGATCCTTGATCTATTTTCAAACTTATGGCGGCCCAACTTACGTATACTACATTTGATGTGATTGAGGACTCGGTCAGTTGCCTTCGAGGAACGTTCACAACCGGTAAAGCGATGAATGGCCCCTGTCTATTGCCGTACAAAGTCACTCACGCTCCATAATATGTGAATTTTATAGGCAAATCTCGTGATTTGTTTTGGCGAAAGTTTCAACTGGAACGCTTATATTCACTGGTCAAAGATAATGAAGAAAGGTTTTACGAGGCATTGGCAAAGGATATGAATAAACCACGCGTCGAAGCGCTTAGCGGCGATATCAGCCCTGTACTGGAAGAGTGCATTTATTTCATTGACGTAGGATGGAGCCTTAATTTCATGTTTTCTCGGCTGAATACTGAAAACATGCTTTACAGAATATCGATCGATTAGCCCGCGACGAAAAGGTTAAATCTCGTTCAATCCTTAATTCCATGGATAAACTTGTGGTACGAAGAGATGCCCTAGGTGTCGTCTGCATAATTGGTAAAAGCATGCCAAGCATTTCTTGTAAGTAAAAAAATCTAAAGTTCATTTTTGTGTAGGTACTTGGAATTACCCTGTGCAGGTAAGTTATCGTTTTGGCAACGAAGGTTAATGTACCTAATATTTGCCTCATTTTCAGCTTGCGTTGGTGCCTCTAGGTAATATCCTATGTGTTGTTTGAATCGTTCATGACCATATCAGTTAATATGTATGATCTTCCTTTGTAAATAGCCGGAGCGATCGCTGCGGGAAACTCTGTTGTTCTCAAGGTAAACCAGTCTTGTTTTATGCTGTTCTACGGAAAATATCTAAACACGTTGCTAGTTATCCGAAATCTCGGTGCATACATCGGCCCTTATCACGGAACTGTTCCCAAAATACATGGATTCATCACTCTATCGCATTGTAAATGGTGGTGTGACGGAAACCACGGAACTGCTGAAGCAACACTTTGATCACATTTTCTACACCGGCAACTCTGCTGTAGGAAAAATCGTGATGGAAGCAGCAGCCAAGCACCTGACGCCTGTCACCCTGGAATTGGGTGGTAAATCGTAATGCATCCTGCCTTGAACTACCGGAATTACTACTATGATGTGTAGCTAATCATGAATTTTCCAGTCCTGCCATTGTCACCCCTCAGGTCAACATTGAAACAGTAGTCAATCGTATTGCATTTGGTAAATTCTACAACGGCGGCCAGGTAACCATTGCCAAGCATAAGACGCCCGAATTGCATCTAACGTATTGCTTCCCTTTTAAATTACTGTAGACCTGTGTTGCGGTCGACTATGTGCTTCTTCATCGTTCTCTACTTGATCCATTTGTCAGTGCTATGCGAAAGACAATTACTAAATGGTTTGGTCACAATCCCAAGCACTCAAAAGACTATGCGCGCATGATATCCGTTCGACATCTGGATCAAATGGCTCATGTATTAAACAATCGACAAACGGGCACAGTTGCTATCGGTGGCGAGTTTGACCGTGAGGCATGTTACTTTGCGCCCACTGTAGTGACAGATGTGAAATACAATGACTCTGCTTTGATGACTTCCGAAATTTTTGGTCCGATATTGCCAGTGGTCTTGTACGATACGGTGGACGAGGCGATTAGTGTTGTGACCAAAAAGTAAGCAGCAAGAACCGGATTGGAAAAAGTCATGCTTTTAATTATTGTTTGCATAGCGCGCCACCTTTGGTCCTCTACATCTTCTCCAAGCAAAAAAGCACAGTGGACAAAAGTAAGTTATTATTGGGGAAAAGCAAAAAAGACGACGATGACCTCGAGTTAAAATCATTATCATACTTTCAGTCTTGCAACTGACTCAGTCGGGTGGTGTATGTGTGAATGATACGCTTATGCATCAAGCAGGTAAAATTGGACAACCGTCTTCATCTGATAGAGACAAAAAAAAAAAAAAAAATTAAAACTCATTGAATGTGGGACAGAGTACGGGTTGCCTTTTGGCGGGGTCGGTAATTCGGGTATGGGAAATTACCACGGCGAACAGTCATTCAAGACATTTACGCACGAGCGGTCGATCATGAAAAAGAAGCAACGGCTTGAATCGCTTGTATCTTTGCGCTATCCTCCCTATACATCCAAGACATACACGATCCTCCGTATGTTTTTGCTAACCCATCCTGCCATGGTCTATTACAAAGTGAATCGTTGGCCAATGAGGATCGGGGCTATTCTTATCGTCTTGGTAGCCATCCTGTTGAAGAAGAAGCTTTAATTGGATGCCCTCAGCTGCAAGTTAATGAACAGCGCACTGTAATCTGGTTTCACAATTTTACCACGCTCTGATTGGGACGGACAGTTAACCATATTTCATTAAGCATCCGATCACAGAGATTATCAAATAAAAGCAATGAAAAAAAGACCCTCCCATCGATTCTTTAATCTCCCTTTTTCCTCTATTACGTTATCACAACAAGTAATTCATAATCTGCTAAACATGACGGAACAATACCAGTTCTTGCCGAGCAAAGATGTGTCGATAATTGGCATTCCATTCAATGGTGGTCAACCTCGTGAAGGAGTTGAAGGCGGACCCTTGAAGCTCATCGAATTTGGCTTGGCAAACCAATTGGAGGAAATGGGATGGAGTGTTGAGTACCAGGCCAACGAAAACTTGTGTGAATTACGTCCCAAGGAAGATCCAGACGTCCTGAACCTTAAGCAACCCAAGTATGTGTCGGCCGTGACCCAGTACGTTGCCAAGCAGATTGCTCAAGCTGCCAAAGAAAAAAAATTTTTGTTGAATCTTGGCGGAGACCACTCATCGGCTCTGGCTACGGTGTCTGGTGTGTTCGAAGCTTATCCTGATGCCTGTTTGATTTGGGTGGATGCTCATGCCGTAAGGATTACCCATTAACGATATTGTAAGGAGTACAATTCTTATTTGATTTGTGTATTAGGACATCAATACGCCTGCCACTTCGGCAAGTGGCAATGTCCACGGCTGCCCGCTCAGTTTTTTGACGGGAATTGCTGGGAATCACCCTGATTTTGGCTGGGTGAAACCATGTCTTCAAGCGGATCGATTGGTCTACATTGGTCTCCGTGACGTGGACGACCCTGAAAAAAAAATCATCAAGGACCTGAACATCAAGGCTTTCTCGATGCACCATGTAGACAAGTATGGTATTGGAAAAGTGGTGGAAATGGCTTTGGACCATGTGAATCCCAACCGTGACCGACCGATCCACTTGTCTTTCGATGTTGATGCCCTGGATCCTTCTGTAGCACCCAGTACGGTCCGTATCACTACCATTGGCCCATGTTCTTCAATGATTTTCCCGCTCATCTCTCGTTTTTTTTTCTTTTTTTTGTTAAATAGGGCACGCCTGTTCGTGGTGGTCTGACATTCCGTGAAGGCCATTACATTTGTGAACGTCTGGCCGAGACTGGTCTACTTGTTGCCGCTGACATCATGGAGGTGAATCCTGCTCTTCTGGATGATCAATGTGTCTTCAAAACCGTTGAAACCGGATGCTCGCTTGCGCGCTGTTGTCTCGGCGAAACGTTGCTATAGAAAAAAGAGATCCTACCTATACCCTAGGAAATGGATTGACTCCATCCCTTTTTTGTATTTAATGGAGTATTCAAATAGAATGGTTTACATATTATGCCATAGACATCGCAAATATGAATTGCAAAACTGTGCCATTTCCCCGAAGTGGCGGGTTTTTAGATACTCATCATCATTTTGAGCGATTTTTTTTTCTATTTTGCCGCCCATCAGATTCTCCATCCTTGCGGGATTTCAAGATTCCGATGTCAAACATTGAACCTTGAAACACATGCGCACCATAGCAACACGAATTAAAGTTGGTTCCTTTGACAGATCATGTATGCGGAGTTTGCTGCATTGTAGCTATGACCACGGAATAAACAGCAATCTGATATGATGTGCGTTAATGCTGTGCACTGATTTGACTTTAGTTGTCATAGTGATAGTAAACGTAAACCTCTTTCAAATCAGGGAAACTGCGTTGTCCAGTAGAAGGACCTCTTAGTTCATGTCTAATGAAAAGTCAATATGTGCAATTGACTCAAACTAATCCCTCGTCTATCCAATATGACCATCTTGCGGAAGGAAGATCTCAATAAAGTGCTGGAACTCTGGTCACATACACAGTAATCTGATGGCAGATGCATTGCCTCATTGGCACATAATGCCTCTTTTTAACAGAGGAATAGCTGAGAGAATGTTGATATTGTAGGCAATGGAAAATCGCAATATTCGTAAAATTGTAGTATTAATATAGCAGCGAGCAGTTGTCATCCACTGACAAAATGAGTGAAATGCACCGTCAGCAACCGTCAAGTGACACACTGGATGAATGCCGAAATTCGTGAGGGGAAATTTTGTGCAATTTGGGCAAAATTGCGGATAGTGAAGTCACATTTTCGGTTCGGCGGAAAGATTCGTCTCCCACCGAAGGGCAGATTGTCAATGGCATTCTGCAGACAGGTGTAGGATCCTCCTTTCGCGAACTTGGTTCAGCAGCCGCCATGAAGTAAGATCCATCGTACAATTCATCCATCCATCTATTCTGTATCGAATCCATACTAACTATGTAATCCTACTGTTTTATTCTTGGCCGTTGCATCTTTCATCGTACGTTCTTTCCGTCACCCCTTCGTCTACACCCATCATTCGTTCCCATCACACAGACTCGAGATTTGCTCTTTCTCTGGCTATAAGATCTACCCTGCCAAGGGTAAGACCTACGTCCGTCTTGACAGCAGGTACGTGCATACGTGAATAAGAACGTGAATGGAAAACGGGGGTGCTGATGGAATTCAATTTTATAGAGTACGTATTTTTATTTCTATCGCCATTATGTTTGGGCAAACCGTTGGCTTCCCATGCATGCTATGTTGTGATGATGAAAATTATCGGCATGTGAATGGGGAAAATGGCGTTGCAGAATAGTTGGACAAAGGATAATCGCGAATCATGGAATTTCGGAATTGAATATATAGATTGTGGTGAATGGATTGACTTACTTTGTGCTGTTCGAATAGACTTTCAAGTTCATCAATGGCAAGGCCGAGTCTTATTTCCTTCAGCGCCTGAACCCTCGCAAGATCCGATGGACCGTCATCTACCGTCGTCTTAACAAGAAGGGTGTCACCGAGGAAATCGCCAAGAAGCGCACTCGTCGCACCGTCAAGCACGAACGTGCTATCGTTGGTGCTTCCTGGGACGCTATCCGTGCCAAGCGCAACCAGAAGCCCGATGCCCGCGCTGCTGCTCGTCAAGCCGCTGTTGCCAAATCCAAGGAGGCTAAGAAGGCCGCCGCTGCCGCCAAGAAGGCTAGTGTAAGTTCTAGAAATATATTAAAAAGAGCACCCTCCCCGGTACCTCGAATTTCGTATTAACAGGTGATTTGAATGGTAATCTAGGGTCCTGCTCAGGGTGCCAAGGTCAGCAAGCAACAAGCCAAGGGTTTCGCTCCCAAGGCTGCCGCCACCTCCCGCTAAGAGATTGATGGATGTTTCATGACCGGAAACTTACCGGATGAATAAATTTAGTTTTACTCAAGAGAGTTCAATTATTCCTATCGAGCAAGATCAATCAGAGAGATCACTGGATACGATAAACAATGGGGAGGGTTGCTTGGTCAGTGGTTGAATGGTTCATTAGAAATGGGGAACTGCGCAATTGCACACACGGTATTTCATTTATTGGCGACCAGATGGCTAAAGATTTGAGTCTGCTGTACGGCGCCCGTTACAGGATGGATGGTAGAGAGAAACAGATCATTGAGATTGAACGATGCATGAGTGCATGGGTGGCAAAGCCGTTGACGTTTCAACTGTGTAAAATATTATTTCTGTCGTGCATCATGTAAATAAAAAATAGTAAGCAATGTGTTACATGCAAGACGTGCATGCAAAGCTGTATTCACACAGTGAAAATAATACAGTGCTCGCATACTGCATTGACAGGGAAAGCATCTCAGTATAGCTGCTGTGCAACGGGAAAGGGAAAAAGGATTACCAGGCACTCACCGTGATATCGCTCATTGAACAAGAGTAAAGAAAAAGAAAAACCACATTGTAGCCTATCCATCGTGTCATATGATTCATTTTCTAATCGTGATAATTGAATGTTTTATACAAGTTTCGAGTTAAATATACAGCTGAAAAAAATAATAAAGAGGGGGAACACATGAAGCTCGGTTCATTGCAAATGAGCAAGTACTATTGATAAGAGGATGTGGATAATGAAAAACAAAAAAAAATTACAGAATGATACAATTCGCTGCTGCATGGGGCTGTCCTGCAGCTTGCCCGCTACGTTGTCTCCGGTGTCTCCCGACCGTATTGTACCGACGACTTCTACCTGCGAGGATATGATCGAGATTCTCTTCTTCGTCACTTGTCGTACTTGATGACTGGCTATCGTAACGCCAGGAGTAAAAACTTTTAATCGTCAGATTAGGTGCTGCTTTCTCTAATGCCAATCGTACGCCGACTTCGGTGATATTGGAGCAGTCCAGTACTTCGACACTCAGAGTTCGGGGATGATTCTCTTTTGTCTCTGACGGCATCTCGGGAAGACATGAGGAGCTTAGGGGCGGGGTTGATGAAAAGAAACTGATACTGGAATCCGACATGGGGGAGAGAGAAGACGATGACGACGGTGATGACGCCGTGGATAATATTGGAGATTGAAGTGGATCCGATGTGCTGTTCGGAATAGCCACACTTGCACCCGTTGATCGATGATTGGATTGATTATTGAGAAATCGGGCGATGGTATCGAGAACGTCGTCGGTCACTATACAGTTGTCTAATTCTAGATGGTGCAGCTGCGTACATACGCCGTGTAAGACAAGATGAGTGATTGCATCGTCGGTGATTTGCGTGCAGTTGGATAAACAAAGACGGCGAAGCCTGGTTTGATGGTTGGCGAGGGATTTGACGGTGGAACCTGTAATTTGCTGGAGGTCCTCCAAATCGAGATGAACAAAGCTACGAATTCTGGAAGCGAGATAACAAAATCCTTGATCTGTCAGCAAAACACAGCCCGCCAGTTCAAGATGGGTCAGCTGTGGGCAATGATGAGCAAGGTGACGAAGGGATATATCGGATAGACGCGCACAGTTGGATAAACTCAAGTGGGTCAAGGGAGCGGTACTCGATTGCAAGAACGCGAGCAGGGCGGCGTCGGTCAGACTTGTACATGAAGAAAACGACAGGTGGGTTAGATTGAGTAGCTGCTGACCCAAGACAGCCATGGTTGGTTCGTCGAGGTGCGGACATCCGTTCAGTTTGAGGAAACGCAGGTTGTGACATCCCTCGGCAATGAAATGCAATCCTCGCCCGGTGATCCCACGACACCAAGCAAGGTTAAGTTTCTCGAGCTCTGGTAAACAACGTCCAATGGTTTGTAGTGTGGAATTTTTGACAGCATCCAAGCCGGAGATGTCGAGTACCCGCAAATTCCTATTTTGAAGAAAACCACCGATACCTGCGGTAGAAAGCTCTCTGCAGTCTCGAATACACAAGGTGTGAATATTGGGACAATGCTCTGACAGTTGCCGTAACTCGTGCTCTGTCAGCTGAATGCACCCTCTGATGACAAGTCATGATTTTACGCCAAAAGTGGGAAGCAGTGGAGGTGAAGAAATCGGCGTTGAGAGGTGCAATAGCAGACGACCAACAAAAAAAAAAAAATGGTGATGAAAAAAGAACCAAAAAAAATAAAACAAAGTTTTGAGTCTGTGGGCAAACTGTTGCATCATGTAACACGCGATTACCTAAAATTAGCTATTTTCAAAAAACTACCCGCAGCGATGCCGAGCCGTAAGAGGTGTTCCGCTGGGATCGTCTTATAAAAGGGCGCGGTATCAATTTTGGTCCATAGGCTACCATCAAAAGCTAATCGCTTCCATTTTTGACAGACCTTCCAAAAGCAGAGATGAGTTTCTCATAAAATACAGAAAAAATATCGTTGGCTTGCTCAGGAATCCATAGGGCGATGAACGCTAACACTTACCGCTGTTGCTTTGAGTAGATCACGGACCTGAAGATGACCCAAAATTTTGACCACAAGCTCGTCTGGCAGTTGACCGAATCGACCATTCTTATCTTCTGTTTCGATTATGAAAATTCAATAGGATGACATGGTCAAGAGAATGAGTGAGAGCTGGATTAGCCAACCGCTACGCTACCCATGCTTACCAGAGCGGCAAGTACTGTAATCCATGGATGACAGCAATCCAAGCAGAAAGTGGAGGGAATACAAAAAAAAAAAGAGATGTTGAACTGATAAAGAGTAAACGATGAAAAATATAAACGAAAGAGGAAAGAAGAAAAGAAAAATAAAGAAAGGGACAAAATATGGAAGAACTTTATAACAGTTGACAAAACAAACAGTGGATCGTTGTCCAGTCAAGAGTCTTCATTTTCCCATCTTGACAGTCATAAGACCTTTTTTTTCCCTTTTCCTTATCTATCGCTGCTGTAGCTTTAAATCCTGCCATGTTATGGATGTCCTCTTACGCACATGTGCCTATCACCTTTTATCTCTTTGCCGTTTCATTTGGCTTGCACTCTGTCACGGTTGAGATATAGAAGAACGTTATTATTCATTTTCTATCAATTTGCCTACAAGTAAATATTTTGAAGCAAAATGAAGCTCCCATTCTCTCAATGATTCCCATTCGTCTGCTGCCAGGTCTTCCAGCTTATCGATGGGCAAGTTTGGATCAGTGATCATATCCAAATCAAAAGAGTTTTTGGCCAGACCGCGAGAAGCATCGTGACCTGCAAAATTAGCATAAGGTCCGCCTACGCATATTGTCATCATAAATTTATATCGCAACGAACATCACATTGGGCCATAGTAATATGAGATCACTCTTTCACTTACCAGGACCATAAAAGTTTCGTCCACGCGTGACATCGTACACACCACCGTTGACTGCCATGAAAATGCGACTGTCCTGCTGTCCGTCGAAGGGCAATAAATCTTTCGGAGTGTAATTCCTGAACACCATCACCTCGGGGTGTTTAGCTGGTATCGCTGTCACTTTAGACGACTGTGCATAAGAACGCACAACATAAGCGAGAACCTAACGAAACATCGGGTTAAACATGCTCAAAAAATAAATAAATATAAAGTTCAAGCGTTTTCACTCGATACTGTACAGCTAATAAAGCCCAGTTCACAGGGTTTTCTATTAAACAATGACCAGATTAGCATTTGCATTGCCATCATCAGAACAGGCCAACCATTTTTCTTTGCCGATGAAACTATCGAACTCTGTATTTTACCTTTTAATTGAGATAAGAGTGTATTAATGCTCGTCATGGCTGTCCTGCTTGTGCTTGGCTGCATGAGTACCTCCTCTCTCTTGCTAATGTAGATCTTTTTTTTCACTTACTTATTCATGGTCAAAGAAAAAGAAGGAGGTGCCGTGGACCTGTTTTTTCGAAGAGCGCCTTTTCGTCGGTTGTCGCCAGCGCATGATCTGTCGGCCCGATTTTTGGCTGAGTTGGAACGATCATTCAACCCATCACTTTTGTACTGTTTTGCTGAATGAATGTTGTATATTTTTTCTTTTTCACAGTCTACAGCATCTCTAGCAGCATCGCTGTTTTCAACTTAAATTGTATCGAAAATTTTTCCTATTATCTGTTGGCTGCCGACAGAGCAAGACGCAATATACCAGTATCAATGAAATATGAGCTGGGACCCTTATTATCAAACTTCAGCGGTCGGGTGCAGCACATTTTGTGCCATACTCATTGCGGTGAGATATAATTGCTCGGAATCATAGTTACCCCTATGGAGCTTGTAGAGTCTTTTATTTTCCAGTGTCACATGCAAGTATATCGACGGCAAAAGTACACCTTGTTGAGATTTATTAATCGCTATTACATCCACAAACCTGCGGGCTGCCTTGATCTACCATGTGAAGGCTAAAAAGGTTCAACAATTCAGGAAATAAATCAACGGGGACAGCTGTGTGATTTGGGTCATTATGCGGCGGATTTGTTGGAAGAAGCAAACAGTCACGGTCAATTAATTCATGATCGCGGTGACGGGATCGCGAAGCATATCCCGACACAAGCACTGTTCGAATATTTCCCGGCATGCCAACTTTACTCAAGTTTTTTCGAGCGATCACTTCCGTCGGTCCAGTTAAACCGGTCTTCAGCAATGTCAAATGTTGTGGCGCCTTGCAATTTCGCCCGCTCTCTACCGTGGACAGTGCGCTGAAAATGAAGCACATTAACATGGACTATCAGAGAATCCGGAGATCATGGTCTGACGAGGAAACTGAGAAATTGGTCGAACTTGTACAAAAGCATGGTCCATCGTGGACAGCTATTTCCAAACATTTTGATAAGCGATCTCCTTCTCATTGCTTCATGCGGTACAAGACGTACATGAAACAGGACGGCTACAACGGACCTTGGTCTGCAGAAGAAGTTGATACTCTTCGAGCACTGTGTAAAAATATTACGTCTGCTAATCAGCTAGACTGGCAAGAAGTACGCAAGTTATTACCTGTACCTCGACCTATGTGGCAGATCAAGCAAAAATGGCAAGACACCCTCAATCCTCAGCTGAATTATGGGAAGTGGTCCGAAGACGAAGTGGCTCGATTCGAAAAGCTTTTAGCGATGTACGGTGTGGAAAAGAAATGGGATGTCATAGCAGCCGAGATGAAGACTCGGAATCGACGTCAGTGTTATGAACGATGGCGATTTACAATGTGTCCCACTAAAGGTAAGAGACAAGAAATCACAAAGATGATGCTGGTATAGTCGACGGTGTTAAAATGTCGTCGCATATAGGACACTACAGCGAGGAAGAAAATGCTCAGATCATGCAAGCGGTGGCAAAATATGGTGACAAAGATTTCGCGCTAATTAGGAGAGTGATCAAAAGCACACGTACACCGCGGCACTTGAGCCAGCATTACCGCGACGCGCTGGATCCCAACGTCGATCGATCTCCTTGGACAGACCAGGAAGAGATGAAAGTGTATAATCTTTTCGGAAAGCATCGGGATATGGTGAAAGTACGTCAATTGATGGGTTGTCGCCGGGCCGGTAGAGATATGTGGAACCACTACTATAAGGTTAAAAAGCTGGTAGATAAGGGCCGTGCCGTGGTTGTCCATGGTGAAGTAACCCAACTCAATAACCGTGGCTCAACCGCATTAGAAACTAAAAATTAAAGTAACTCATGGTAATGGGAAAGATATTTTATACCTTACTCGGAGCTGGAATGCGTATTGATTTGACAAACGTTTCGTCCTTGGGATGCTGTAGTTGCTTCTGCAAAAATATGGTTGTTGGCGAAAAATTTGCTCCGCCCAAGACTGAAAATAATGTGTACACATCTCTCGTCGGTTACAATTATAAAAGACAAGTTTGTCACGTTGACTGGGGCGCATCGGCAGGATGAAATCAACCAATTCAATTCAGTAAGCAAATTAATTTTATATGCATCAGAAAGCGCGGCCTAAGTCATAGTCAACTGGCTGCTTTACCCTTGAGGTCAGGCTTTGTGTTTCATGGGAAATTTGATGCATTAAGAAATCGACTACTTGTAAATTTTGCCGCGATAGGCGTGCCTGAACACGACCATCTTATTTATACAGCAGCGCCTTGTCAGCTATTTCCTACAGGCATATTTACCATCATTTATTTCCCGGCATTGCTTACCCTATCCTTTTTCGGCTAAGCGAGACAGTGTTATGATAATAATGCGTAATGTATAGGGCCAACTTTGGCTTGATTCCCGACATGATACATACCGCCATTATAAATATTACTTGACCGTTGGAAACTATGGACACCTTTTGCCCGCCGGAGGATGGCGGTCCAAATCATACGACTGGACAAATATTGACGATCGAGTGAAGTTCAGAGCGGTGGACTCTTTGTGGAACAATATGCAGCTTGGGTGCATCAGGTTCCGCCAATAAGAATTGATTGGTTGAGTCATATGAGATGAAAAAACCCTGGGCCATAATAAATACAAATCACAAAACGCTGGCTCCGCACTTGGAGGACAGCCACTTTCTATTTTTTTTTTCTCACCTTTTATTTCCAATATCATTTGATACAAAAATGTCGGTGGTTCGTGAAATTCCGGTGATTGATTTTGGTGGTGAGCCTGACAAGGTGGCGCAAGAGGTATTGAATGCTTGCAAATCGATCGGCTTCTTTTACATGATAAATCACGGTATTCCGAGAGAAGATATTCAGCGCGCGTTTCAACTGGTAAAACCATGATTTGTCGATAACGATCATTTTATATCACAGTTATTCATTTGCTTCTACAGAGTAAAGACTTTTTCAATCAACCGGTCGAGGATAAAAGAAAATATGCCAGAACACCAGAGAACCACGGCTACGCTGAATTGTACAGCGAAAGGTAAAAATCGATATTCAATCAACCGACAGACTATTTTCCATAACTGGTTTTTCAGGCTAGACCCGGAACATCAACGTCAAGGCGATCATAAAGAGTAGGTGTGTCTCAAGCGGAAAGCAAAAGATCAATGATTTGACTATTTTTCTTTTCAGAGCATTCAACTTTAAGAATTTCATAAACGGCAAAGCCTTTGCGCCTCTTCCTCCGTTATTTGAAAAAGACCAAGCATTTATTGAACACTTTTCGAGGGTAGGTCATTTCGCACCCCTTACTATGCTATGCAAGAGCGACACATCAATAACTGGATGATTAGACATGCCACAATACGGCCGTTCGCGTACTGGAATTTTTCGCTATGGCCCTAAGCATTCCTGAATCAGAAGGCGGTAAACGTTGGTTTGCGGATCGGCACGGTTATGACAAGGAAACAGGGGAAGCACTCCGATTTCTAAAGTATCCTCGAGGGGGCGAAGCGGTGTATAAGGAAGTTGTGCGTGCTGGTGCTCATTCCGATTACGGGTCGGTCACTCTTTTATTTCAAAAAGACGTGCCGGGTTTGGAAGTGCAAGCAAGCCGTACCGAATGGATTTCGGCTCCCATCATTGATAAAGCCATCGTGGTCAATGTTGGTGATCAGATGGAATTTTGGACCAATGGTCTATTTAAATCGACTCTCCATCGTGTCACGTTTCTGCCAGAACATAACCAATTGGATCGTTACTCGATTGCTTATTTCCTTCACGCAGAAGACGACGTGCCGTTGGCAGCTATTCCCAGTCCTTTGATCACTCCAAAAGACAGTAAAGAACATGTACCAACGGCAGCTGAGCACCTTCGAGAGCGCTTAGATAAGTCATACATGGCCAAATAAAATAAAATAAATTTCCAGTCTTGTGCATTGAAGGGAAAAAAATTGTAGCTGAAATAAAAAAAATAAAAATAAAAAAGGAAAATTGGGCTCATAGGACGAGGTGTGGCTGTCGGTGTGTGAAACGGGGGCGGGTGGATTGAAGTGGTGAAATGAAGGCTCGCTTTTGATATCCTTCCTCTTTGCATCCATCCATTGATTTTAGGGTAAGCATCATCCATCCATCGAATAGTAGGTTAATCCTTAGAGTCAGAGAATTTACGAGAACGATCATACACTTGTTGAAACCATGAGATCTCCATAAAGCTCAAACTATGATCAGTTCGAGTTTTCTCCGCCTAACGAGGCAACTACATTTTTTCCCGGATTCTGTCCGTTGTGTAATGTGTTCACCATCGCTGATCGACACCTTAACCTTTTTTTTTCTCTAGTCATAATGGTTACTCCTGCCGTCAAGCACAACATCGTGAAGAAGCGTCGTGCTCACTTCAAGCGCCACCAGTCTAACCGCTTCATGCGTGTTGGTGAATCGTGGAGAAAGCCCAAGGGTATTGATTCTTGCGTTCGCAGACGTTTCAAGGGTCAAGCTCCCATGCCCAAGATCGGTTATGGTTCCGACAAGAAGACTCGTCACTTGTTGCCCAACGGTTTCCGCAAATTCTCCGTCTCCAACGTCCGTGAAGTCGAATTGTTGTTGATGCACAACCGCACCTACGCTGCCGAGATTGCCCACAACGTCTCTTCCAAGAAGCGTGTTGCTATCCTCGAGCGCGCCGCTCAACTCAACGTCAAGGTCATCAACGCCGGTGCCCGTCTCAGATCTCAGGAGTAAATTGCAAAAAATCACATTGGAACAGTCATTGATTGTTAGAAGTAATGTGCTGTGTTCTCCTCACCAAGAAAAATTATTTTTCTCTACTCTCTGTCTGATTCCTTTTTTTGTATGTATGCGGAAATGATTAAAAGGCACATTGACTTGTGAATTTTGGATGTTGAGTGGATTTCGGTTTTGGCATGCAAAAGTGGGGAAATGGCGCTGAATATTTAATGGCATGAAAGAATTCAAAGGGGGGAAACAAGAAAAAGAAGGGCAGGACGTCACAATGAGACGGTTGGAGTTCTTATACGAAAAGTGGTGGTCGCCCATCTTACAGATGAACGACAAACTTGAGGTGAAAATGAAGCAGAACACAAAGGAAGAGAAGAAGCTGGTTTTTTTTTCTGTTTCTTTTTTTTTTTTGTTTTTGCGTCGTTGAAGACGTAGATGCTTAGTGTCAATCAATGTCCATGGGGTCTTTAGGTTCGTGGCAACCCAAGGCTGCTAATTCTAAGTAATGGATAGTGTGAACACCCGCGGCTTTGAGCGTATCGTTTCGTTTTCCTGATAGTTACCGCAACTGGGAGACGAATTGGAAGATGACATTTCCAAACTTGTTACCGCTGGTGCTTGGCCACTGCCAACGTGAGAGATTTGCTTGCTTTTGATGATCTGGAGAACTTCGTTCACTTCCACGGCGACGCTTGCTTCCAGGTCAGCATAAGATCGACACAGCGGGCATTGAAACCCGGGATGGTTCATCAGCAGCGGGCGGCAGCATTTATAATGAAATGTATGCGAACAGGGAGCCACAAATAGTGCCTGGAACGGGGTGATGGCATACAAACAAATGCAACAGTCTTCAATGGATACTGCGTCTTTTTTACTTGAATCTTCGTTTGACGGCGGTCGATCGTGATGGATGTGATGCTGAAGCGCTCTAAATGCCTGTATACTGATGGAAGCGCAGACAGTTATTCGCATGCACCGTCTTCATTCTCTATTTCTTTATGCGAGCATTTACCTAAAGTTATTGATCTGCTTTTCCCATGATTGGTTCAACTGTATGCGCATTTTAACACAACGATACATCTCTGAGAAGCCGCAAACCGATAGTACAGGAATCATCAGATCACATTCTCATATCAATCACAATAAATTCGCTTAGTACCTTCTGCCCCGCCTTGATAATCTACACCCAACTGGATGATGTCTCCACTTTTCAGTTCGAATGGCCGTGATTCTTGATTGGGCGGGCTCAACCGCACACGATTGAGAAAGGTGCCGGAAGATGATTTGGTGTCACGAATGTATACCTACGCTGTTCGTCATTTGGTGTGACACAAGAGAGGTCCACTGGCAGCTCACCGGCTTACCATGTTATTCTCCGTCCAAATTTCCGCATGACCACGACTCACGACTTTTGATCTGAAAGTGACTCGAGTAGGCATAAAGAATTTGTCGGTGAAACGCCCAATTTTTATCGCAACACCTTCCCGAAGTTCACGTTCGACAATAGCAAACACCAGCGATCGCGGTGAGTCGAGATGAGGCACGATGCGAATGACGGATGACGAAGTGTCCGTGTTGCCGGTTTGCACTCCAGGTCCCGAAGCCGATTCCCTGGGAAACGTAACCGCAGTGGCCGTCAACATAGGCTTTTGATTATAAGACGGAAAACCAGACAAAGAAAAAAAAATGAAGGAGCAACAGTTAAATGGAAGGCGGGGAAAATTAGGAGGATAACCGAATCCAAGAAGGAGCAATTGAAAGAAATAAAGAAAAGAGAAAAGAACGAGTAAAGCCACCTGTAGATTATTTTAAATATAAATCTCCCGCCATTACAGCAATCCACTTGGACCTGCACGGCATTTCTTAACGCAGCGTCAAACCGCCGCTTCTCATCGGCTGCATGACATCATCTTGTGCAGTTGACATTTGATGTCTATTTTTTGACTTTTTGACTGATATAATGTCTCACATTATCATTTCTTTATCTTATTTGCCTATCTTGATCTTACTTTTTAGCCTTGTCATCAGGAAAATCATGCGCGTATAGAGAGTTGGGCGCTGGAGGTGCTTGAGCGATCGCACGAACAAGGTGAGGGTTTTGTTGGTGAGATTTATACTCACATGGCCATAAATGGGTACCCAGGTAGTTCACACGATTCAATTACAAGTGTGGATGGACGGTTTCCTTTTAAGATTTACTACCCAGTTTCAGCAAGTCAAACGGTACGGGGATTGTTCTTGATGAAAATAACAAAGAGAGAAAAGGTGTCACCACTGACGTATTGGGCAGATTGGAGCTACCCAAAGGTACCAATCAAGCGTCACATCAGCAAAAGTTCGCACACCTCAACAAAGTTCATCGAAAGAACCTACGTTAGATTAAACCTTACCGTGATATTTTGTTTGCCATTAACTACAGGTGCAAGTTCTTGCCCCTCAATAAGTCAAGGCACCACGTAATATACCATACCATGCCAGAAACATGAATATGCGGCATGCGAAGTCACTTTGACTTGGTCGCTATTCATCAAATCCAACATCGTTCGGGATGAAAAAAAAAACCATCTCAACAGCTCGAATAGCAAGCAAATCGGATCAGTTGACTGAAAATAGATCATTTCACCCGATCATTTTTGCCGCTGCACTCGTAAATCCCCTATCCTACGATTATGACACTACCCAATATGAAACTTGAATTGTTATATAATAACGAGAGTTTCGATGTAATTGTTATGTTATGTATGTTGTTATTGAATTTCAAATTGCATCGGTTTTTAAAGAGTGATAATTATCAACACGCCCGATCGATATACTGACTATACGGATTTTATGCAAGTGATCTCTTGAAACAATTAACTATCTGACTCATCTCCCTCCTCTCCATTCTTGTGAACGCGGCGACGGCGTACACGCTCGGCAATCGACTCATCTTGCTCGTCCATGATTTGTTGTTTGTACTTTGCGATAACTTCATCGGGAGTCTCGGTCCCTTCTGCACTGTTTGCTGCATCAGGTGATTGATTACGACCGACTGTTTCGTCGGTGTCATGTTGAGGTAACTGAGCCGAAGTTGGAGACGGAGATATCGCGGGTGTAGGCGTTTGGGGAGGAATGACAGGTCCATCGGGGTGCAGCTGCCGAGATTTGCGCGAAGGATTGAAGTGTTTACAATGAGGACAAACGTATTCTATGCAAAAAATGATGGAAAAAGAAAAAAAAAATGTCGTCAAAAACGATGTTTTAGCATCACCCTATTAATATAAAACTCCAAAGCGAAAAACCCTTACGTATAGTATCGATTTCATTCGGCAAAACAAGCCCATTGTGCGTAAAACAATGGTTGCAAATTAATGCATATTTGGTTTCTGGTCCATCATCACCCACCAAGGCATCCACAATTTTATCGTACCATTGAGGTGCTCGAGGCGGGGGAGGTGGTGGCATCATCACAAAACCGGGATTTCCACTCGGCCCCTTGTTGGCAATTCCCGACATTGGACCGGCGGATGAACTACCTCCTTGTGGCGCTGGTCCAGTCCGCGGAGCAGGCATTGATACTAAATGGCACCATGTATGAATACCAAGTCCCTTTTCTCATTGACAGGCGATCTTATCATCACGTACCTGGCTTTTTCTGAGCAAAGTGTTGCTGTTGTTGCTGTTGCTGTTGTTTTTGTAGTTGCATGAGTCTCTCTTGTTCCCGTTTCTTCTTCTGCGCTGCTTCATCGTATCGATCGAGCAATGACTGCGTCGAGTAATATGACGTTTTCTTTTTCAACTCTTCCACTTTTAATTTCTGTTCCGCTCGTAGTGCAGTAAGAAGCGCTTCCTCGGAAGTCTGCTTTCGGCTGTAGAACCAGCCAAGTAACTTTCGAGTGTAATAAATGCTATAAAGAACATATTAATATTTGCCCGGGTCACGTTCATTCCTGCTTATGTTACCAAATAGGAAAAAGGAAGGCTGGTAGCGCTGTTAAAAAAGTGTGGATATTCACGTCTTGCCCATGCAATGTCAAGAGACAATATCCGAGATACACAACCCAGACAATTGTGCTGTAGATAACCCATAATACGCCTGTGCGTCGTTGACGGATCTTGATGTCAGTTAGTCTGACCTCGGCTTCTTGGATTTTACTATCGAGTTCGGACAAAATTCGTTCGTAATCATTGGGGTCCGTCTACAGTAAATTGGAGTTAGATTAGGTGAACTGTAAATGCAGGTTGATAATAAAAAAGCTTGGCGTGTACCTTTTGCTTGGACCATATCATGCCCATGGTGGCTAATGAAAAAAAGGAGGGAACAATAAGAAAGAGGAGTCGCTCCAAATGATTCAATGGGTCAAGGAAGCCTTGTGGACCGTGATGCAACTCCGACACATTGAACCCACAACACGTGGCATAACCATGCAATATTGTTTTTGGCGACTGTTAAACTTTCACATTCGCATCCACATTTCCCGATAATCTTTAGTATTGGCGACCTTTTGTTTTGCTCATTTAATAAGTTATGGGCCGATGTAAACTTGATTGTGGTAAAAAAGAAAATCTTTGATTATTATTGCTCTGGTTTTTTTTGTCACATTGTGTATACTCCTGTTCAAAAGTCACCGTAGGAACTTCAAAATTTCTTAAAAATCGAAAATGCAATGATACGTTTCGATGGACAGCGTCCATAATAAAAGGCCCTCCGAACAACTCCAAAAATTTATAGATGAGATATTCGATAACCTGTAACAAACAGTATTTAATACGACGTTTGACCGCTTTCTTTCTCTATTACAATGCAGCACCTATTGGGCACCTAATCACTACAGGGTAGCAAGCACCCCTCCTTTTTCCGCATTCTTTCTGGTCCCGTCCTGGTGAAGATGTCTTTTTGCTGCTGGCCCCAGTCACGAAGGTTTTTTCTTTTTTTTTCCGCTGTCCGCGTTGCTTGCCTTTCCCTTTGGCGTTGCTTCCGTTCCTTCCGGAGAACTTTTTTGGCCTGATCTTGTCTCCCGCTTGTGACCTTTTCCGCGTGGTCGGGCTTGTGCTCGGGCTTTTTTTTCTCTGGCGTTCTCTCCTATGTCCTTTGGTTGGACGTCTGGTTTTTTTGGGGGGGTTCCTCTTGCCGTCTCTGGGTGTTTCTTGGTTTTTCCTCGCCTCTTCCTGGGCGGTTATGGCCGTCCTCCCCCAGGATGCGGACTTCTGGGAGTGGGCGACCATCTTCCCAGAGGTTACGGTAAGTTTTTCAATGTAGTAAGAAAGCTGTATAAGATATAATCTTACTGACGGCTCTTGTTTTCTTTGTTTTCTTTATGTCTTCTTCTCTCCCTAATCTGATCATTTTCCAACTCGTGAATTAATTATCTTTTATTTTTCTATGTTTGACTTACTCTCATCATTTGATGTTTATGCTTTTTTATGTCTTTTTCTTGTATTGCCATTCTTTTTTTGTCTGTATCATAATTTCCTTTTTTTTGTGATTTTGAAATTTCTACGGTGACTTTTGAAATAAACAGTATTTATTCTGTTTCTGTCGAAAGAGACATCTCCACATGAATTGCAGATATCCGTCACAGGGGATTTGATGAAGCCCAAACAATGAAATTCAATAATAACAGTTGATCCCTCGAGAACTGCTAATATTAAAAATAGTGGGACGATGCATATTGCTCACCCTTCTCATATCCTGTTCTTGCGACAAAAGCTCCGTATTAGATTCGAATGGTTCTTTTTTCCAGATTTCGGGAAAATGTGTGGACCTCACCGTAGGTTGGAGAAAGGTGGTGGTTTTGGAATTCCTTGGCCGTTATAATTATCGGGATGATTGTGGTGCACTTTTGCAACTCATGATCAACGGTGACCAGTTAAAAACACACTCAAGGTTGATGCATCTCCATCGAACAGACGGCACTATATGGAACAGCTTTATGCGGATTAAATATGTCCGTGGGCCAAATCGAAAAACCTTGTTTCATAGAAAGCTGCCTTTGCATGAGCCTGTTGCTATGAATCACTAACCCACTAGAAAGCTTATTAAATACGACTCATGAACTACTTTTTTTTTCAAACGAAATTCCAAACTTTAACAAAGAGGTCGTATAGCATCATGACATTCCCTTTAGTATGTCTAAATTCTATGTACATTTATTCTGCTGAATTTTTGCGTTGCTCTATCCATTGTTGTGTGTGTGATTTAACGTAGACCAAAGCTGACGTGCTGACAATGACGAGGGCACCACAAACGGTAAACAAAATACCATCACCCAGAGCTCTTTGTAAATCCGATGCGACAAGCGCACCAATACCTGCCGTAAGGTATCGTCCAAAATTATTGCAAGCTGTAAACTCTCTGCATCAATATGGATTGTTCCAAAAAAAAAAAAAAAAAAAAAAAAAAAAAAATATCATTCAATGACGATTACCTGTGACGGAAGCACTTCGTCTACGGAAACAGTCCACGATATACGTGGACACCGTTACCAAGGGAACCATAAGACCCAAAGCCACTAAAGTCATATGAAAGGTATCAGAACAAGTAAGTCCCGGTTCTATGTTGGCCGCTAAAGTAATTCTTACCGAAAAATAGACAAACGAGGCCATAAGCGAAATGAACATTTTTCTGAACACACCATCCATAAGCTGTGAATGCGGCCATTTGAATGAACAGACAGATACCGATAATGACAAAACTGATACGCATCTCAGGAACAGCTTCACCATTGGCTTGCTTTACACGTCGGTTATACACGCGATCGGATATACGACCGCCAATATTACTACCGGACATAGCACCGGCGGCCATTGGGAGATAGCACAGTCCCACCGTCCCAGAATCCATCCCATATTGTATGGTATAAGTCCGTGTAAACAATGTATTGACCAAGTAAAATACCAAGAACCTGTAATACTCAGTTCGTGGGATGATTTTTTTTCAAGTTCAGAATTTTTTCACTTACAACATGCTGATGAAGAGCACCGTGAGAGAAATATTCAAATAACGGAACAATTTGAGCGCGGATAGTGGATTGACATGCCATCTTGGACTTTTCTTTTTGGTTTGTTCAACTACGGAAGTCGTTGGTAAAGCAGGTGCAGCACGCCAAGTTTCGGGCAAGAAGAGCAAAATCGCCAACCAGATCATGAAACCAAAAATAGCCACAAGCCAAAAGTTACTTTGCCAACCCAAACCTTCATTCAGGTAACCACCTACAATGGGACTATTGATTGAATAATAACAAAAGATAAGCGACCCGATTGTATACCATATTGCAGTGTGTGAAATATATTACCCAATGGCAGGGCCTAGGAGCGGGCCACAGGTATAAAGCGCAAATGCCCGACCTCTTTCTTTTGGTTCGAATATATCCGCCAGTGTTCCTGCACCCATTGACATAACCTAAGGCAGCTTATTTTAAAAACAAATTATTTGCTGCTTACATCAGGGATAGCTTACAGACGATGAACCAATCGCACTCACTGCCCGAAATACGATAAACATCGTTATATTCACAGAAAGCGCACAGCAGACGTTGCCGACGACTGAAATAAGGAATGATGTCAAGTAGATGATTCGGCGGCCTAGTATAGTGCAATTAGCTACCAAGGCATGGTAGTAAGTTTCATTTAAATCTATACCATATACATCACCGAAAGAAGCCCATAGCAATGGCTAAGACAAAATCATTTGTGAGATATGGCTGTTGCTCGGTCATCATATGATGCGATCCTGGTACTCACGAAAAATGCCGTAAAAAAAGTAAATATTGACACTGTATAGATTATCTCATCAGTAAACCAAACGTGTTTACGGCGGGCTAAAAAAAAAAAAAAAAAAAAAAAAAAAAAAAAAAAAAAAAAAAGAACTTACAAGATGCATTCATCGCAGTATCGGTTGTGTGGAACGCTAGTTGCATCGGAACCAAAGCCGGGTACTAGAAACGAAATTACGTGAGATCATAGATTCGCTTTAATATGCTTGTTCTCACATACATAAATGGTCGTGGATATAGGTGATCTGCAGAGCAAATATTCGTTAGCAGTTGTGGGGTTTGGTAACCATCTTGCTTTCACATACATGGACGACGCCAGCGCAACGATTAAGAGGATCAAATTCTTTTTAAGCGGCGAAAACTTTTGCGGATCAGTATTGCTGATGCCGTTGCGCTTTTTCCAGATCTTCCATTTTGAATTGTTCCTGGTTTCCGAACGCTTAAGTGAGTCTGATAATGCTGGATCAGCCAGGCCGCTGCTCTTCTCTTGAAATAATGTTTCATCGTGTGCATTCAAAGTCAACTCGTTGTCTTTTTCGAAAGATGTGTTTGTCGTTGGGAATTTATCATCGGGTCGGCCAATGTCATCTGTCATAATAGAATGAATCGAAGTGAATATCGAAGAATCGGGTATAGTTTGTGGAAAAAAGGATATAAGAAAAGAGCAAGCAATTGATTGATTTTGCTGTGTGTTCGCACGTCTTATGTTGCTTATCCAAATAAGGTGCAAATAGCCACTGGGATCAGTGGGAAAGAGTTTTCCCTGATACTGCGGATAAACCTACGGCAAGCCTGATGTAGCTCAGGTTTTCGAACGCAGATGGTGCTGTGATACCCCCATGAAAGCAACAAAAGTGGATCAGGTATAAAAGAAAGCTCGGTCTGCGATACTCATCTGCATTGCAATCAAGGAACATTTGCAAAGCAATAAATACGCTTCATTCTCACTTTTGCAGAATTTGCAGAAGAGTCTTTTGCTCGCAGAGTACTGACTCTCGTGATGGTCAAACATGAGGATATGATACCATGCTTGGGCAATGTTATTTGTGTTGTTGATTGGAAGCAACGAAACCATAAATATTATGATTTTTGTTCCAAATACTATTTCCGCCAGATACACAAATCATGAAGCGATTATGTTACGTGCCTAACTGAAGCAAGTGTGACAACGAAGCATTGTTCGCCCTACTTGGGACCTGCATCATGGTCATCAACCCACGATGGTTACACTCATGCACACATCGAGAATTATAGTGCTAAACTTAAATTCAGCAATCGATCTTTTGGTGGAAGGCTTCTTAGCTTTCTTTATGACAATTTCAGCAGAATGATCCAGTTCCTCACGCCTTGAATCCTAAAACAATCAGCATCAAGCCAAAGCATCTGCTCAATATATTAGTAAATCGTACGGGCTACTGATCACTCTCGCATCCAGCAAAAAAATAATGCGTCCCTTGTCACTGAACTATACTGTCAAGTTTTTTGGGAAAAAATTGATTTCTCGTTTATGTGCCGCGACAGAGCAATTGTTTATGCTGCGCAGAAATGTATTATACGATGATTGGGCCATGATGCAAAATCAATGATTTATTCTCCCACTTTGCGTCATTATGTTCGAACCATGGCTGGCTTTGGTGCTTAAAGATTGAGAGAAAGTTATCTGTTTATGCTTAATGTACTCTGAGATTTAACGTAGGGAGAATAATAGACATGGCCGAGCCTTAGCTCGTTTTATACATTCAAGCGTGCACAACTTCAAATGAAATGGGATGAACGTTATGAACAAAACTGTGCGCATAAAAAATACGACCCAGCTCCACATTCGGGGATGAAATTAAGGCAAACCCCACTGATGTGGTAGATTCGTGACTGTCCACTCTTAGGCCGTCTGGCAACGATATCTTTCAACAAAGGGTCACGGTGATCTTATGTCATTATTTAGAATGCAACCATTCATTGCGCACACCCTTAGAAACACATGTCATACGAAGGGGCAATTACTACGACTACACAATCAGGCATTACGGTGCAGTAGAAGCACGTTGCTGTTTGGCAAATCGAACACAAGTCCATGCTTTCGACGACTATCGACCGTTTGTGCATCGACACGAGTACTGCGCTCAACGACACCTTACGCTTGTGCCCTTCTTCCAGTATCTCATGTTCAAGCGCAGGCTCACCATGTTGCAGAAAAAACAGCCACTCCCTCGGAAATCGAAGTTGCTGCGGCCCAGCCGTCTCATTCCCTTCTGAAACGTGCCTTACAACGACTACTGGAAGCGATCGATGACTGGATATTAGAACCTATTCTTACTCTTCGACGGTTTGCGCATTTACTGCTGTTGTTTCTGCCAGTCTTAGCCACGGCTCCCATCATGCTCTACGGACGCCCCACGTCGGAAAATGAGCGGTCTGGCACTATATGGTGGTTTGATTTCTTCTCAACTCAAATGGAAAAAGCGGGTCCTACATTTATAAAGGCAAGTACGGATAAGGGTGGATCTGTGACTGGATGAAATTTATATAACCACGCTTCATTTGGTATGCAGCTTGCTCAGTGGATCGCATCCCGCACTGATTTATTTCCGATGGCATTGTGCACGCGGCTTTCCAAACTGCATTCCCAGGTGGATCCACATCCTTTCGGTTACACAAAACGCGTAATTGAAGAAGCGTTTGATAGAAAACTGGAAGACATATTTTTAGAATTCGGACCGAAACCACTGGGAGTGGGGGCTATTGCTCAAGTGTACAAAGCAAGGATCCGTCCTGAAATCCTCATTGGTCAATCGCAAGAGCAGCTGGCTCTCAGCGACAATGTTGTCACTTCCGATTCGGTACGAACGCATGACATCCAAGGCAATCCTATCAATATCCACACAGCCGTGGCTGTAAAGATCATCCATCCCCGCGCTCGGCAAATCGTCGATCGAGATCTGAAAATCATGGCCTTTTTTGCCAGGGTATTGACCTTGATTCCCACCTTCCACTGGCTGTCGCTGCCGGATGAAGTGCAAGTGTTCGGACGGATGATGAAAGAACAGTTGGATTTACGTGGCGAGGCGCATAACCTGCAGAGGTTCAACGAGCTGTTTGGGAAGTCCATGCAGATTAAATTTCCAAAGCCATTGATTCACTTTACTACGAAAGACATGCTTCTGGAAGAATATGAAAAGGGAATTCCGTTAGACATATTCTTGAAAGAAGCCTCTCGGTCGAGACGTCAAGGAGAATCTCCCAGTGTATTTGATCACAAAATTGCTGACATTGGTAAGTGAATCGTCGTTCCTTTCCCACCGCCTTACTTAAAGAACATTGTCTGAATATCGCCATAAAATGAAGGCTTGGACGCATTTCTCGTAAGTGCAACTCCGTTGCTTGATATTTAGTTGGGGAACTAACCAATGCTCTTTTGCCTATCATGCAGCATATGTTGATCTTTTACAACTTTGTTCACGCCGATCTCCATCCTGGCAACATCATTGTCAAGTTTTACAAGCCGTCGGCCTACCATCCAGTACAGCGTGCTTGGTCACATCTATTGGGACGCAAGCTAGTTGATGAAGGCGATTTGGCGGTTGAGAGAGTATTAAGTGTCTGTGATGATACTGAAGCGATGCGAGAGGAACTGGAAAAGCTACACGACGAAGGCTACAGCCCTCGCTTGGTGTTTATCGACACGGGCTTGATCAACGAGCTGAATGATGTAAATCGTCGAAATTTTCTCGATTTATTCCAAGCGATTGCTTCGTTCAATGGCTATCGAGCGGGTGAATTGATGGTGGAGCGATGTCGTACGCCGGAATTGGTGGTAGACCCCGATGTATTCGCTCTTCGTATGCAGAAATTGATCCTGGGTCTGAAACAAAGCACATTTAATCTTGGCGCCATCAAAATCGGCAATCTTTTACACGAAGCCATGAACATGGTGCGTGCGCATCATGTGAAACTTGAAGGCGATTTTGTAAACATCGTGGTGAGCATTATGTTACTGGAAGGCATTGGACGACAGTTGGATCCGGATGTAGATCTATTTAAGAGTGCTCTTCCCGTCCTACGTGATTACAGTATGCAGAACCGAGGCAAAGCCACGCTGGAAGGCATGAGAGAGGTTCAAAAACATGGCAGTACACCTCATTGGATCAAAGTCTGGGTATTCCTCGAGTTTCGAAATTATTGGGGTCGCAATACCAGAGATGAAGAATGGATGCAGTTGTGGTAATTATTTTTGGAAATGACACACTACCTGGATCCGAACAGCATACTGATCTTTTTATTTTTATTTTTTACAGTGACATTTTATGCCCAAATTAATCTCAAGACCACCGGTCCTTTTCCTGTATCAGATACACTAAGTTTTAATCCTTTCACGCAATTATACCAGTCAAGACTTTTTTCGCAAAAAAAAAAACAAAAAACAAAAAACAAAAAAATTGAAGTTCATGCCAGCCATTTTGCGCATCTAGCATGTTCTTTGTCCGACAATGTTGCTATGGTTGCAAATCTTCCCCTTCCTTTTTTTCCCTTCATCCCCTTATTTCTTAGTTTGGTAACTGCTTTTTTGCTATGGCGTTTCCACGTGCCATTTGGGTATAGTTGTGTTAGGGGAAACAGCAACAAAAAAGCAGATCCATCTAAATTGCAATAAGCTCTATCTAAGAATCACAGCAAACCTCGTAGTAAACCCACGTGACAGTTGACGACTTCTCCTTCTTCGGACTCATTGTTTTTCTTTTTGGATTTTTTGTCCTGCTCCAATTTTTTTTGGTTTTTTTTTTTCGTACGGTTAGATCCAACTGATAAAAGAAGAGGATCATTTGAAAACGCACCTATCCATCTTACCGTCCGTGCACAAAATGGGGCGAAAGGCAAAATCGTGTCGACATGCATGGTCAATTTATGATGAAACGGAAACAAGTGTTGTGTTACTTTACGATCTTGGAATGTCATTCTTAGCCTTTGGCAAACACTGTACCAAGTATTTCACCTAATCAAAAGTCGCTTATGAGTTACAAGTTCTCCTTAAGAAACATTGTCTCGCGCCCCTCGCTTCGCCCCTAGGTTTACCTGCACACTTTTTCTTTTTTACTTTTTTTTTTATTCTTACTCTTGCAACTTTTTTTTTTCTTTCCCGACCTCTTACGTCTTTTTCTCCCATCATTTTCGCTCTCCTCTAAAGCCCCTTTACATTTTCCCTTTGTGCGTCTCGTCACTATTGATTACCGGCGTTGTTAATGTCTGCAAAGGTCGCACCCGCAGGTCTAAAGTCGATGGATTCTACGACCTCAAATGATCGATTGTGGGAAGTTGTCGAGATTCAGCGAGTAATCATTCAAAATTTGGAGGAAGCACTTGCTAAAGCAACCACCGATCTCGCCAGGGTGACAAACGACCTTGTCAAAGTAACGACCGATCGCGATCATTTGCTCAAAGTCCGAGAAAATAGCATACACCAAAATGGATTTGTTGTACCACATTGCAGTACTCCAATGACAGCTTCAACAGCAAAGGGTGTCGTCGACGACATGTCGCATGAGGGAATGTCACGATCGTCTGTGGAAGTCATGGTTGACATGCCGAGCTCCAGTCCCGTTCCGCCCCCACGCTCTCCTTTCCGACAAAATACAGCCAAAGACCAATATGCACATAAACTTATTGTGGATGCTGGAACCACCACTACTACTACTACTACTAAATCTACTATTATGCCTAGCCATGACGATAATGAAAATTTCGATCTTTCAGACATACAATTTCCTCAAAGTCCTTCCACGAGCAGTAGCGATACCCCGATTTCTCCTGTCAATATTACTGTGGATAAAGATGCTCAATTGTTCCTGAAACATCAAGAAATGCAAACAAAATCTGGACGCCCCACGACACCTCGAACTAGGAAAAGCTCGACGCAGGCTTCGGTGATGCAACAACGTGTTCCAGCACTTCATGCAGGAAGACCTGTGATACTCCGAAATTCTACCCCTTTCAACAGCAGTGACCCAGCAAAAGACGCTCTCCAGCTTGCATCCTTCTCAAATACTAGCTCAGATGAGGATCGCTCTTCGGAAGAAATTAATGACAGTTATTCAACGGCGGATCCCATGGCGCATATCACCGTTACCGATCTGCACATCAAAGTGGTCGGCTCCAATATCACCGTAAATCATAAAGGCAAAGAAGTGGTGGCTTTTTTGTTATCTGTCAGACAAAAAAAGGCCGATCCAGCAGAAGAACCACAAGAGTTATGGTGCGTGCAAAAATTCTATTCCGATTTTTTGGATCTCGATAATCAGGTAAAGAAAAACAAATCAAGAATTCTCGTTACTGGGTTTTTCGACTCATTTTCATGACAGCTTAAAGTACGGAGCCGATCATCTGCAGGCAAACCGGGCAAATTACCTGATAAAGCATTATTCACTACTTATGCGCCAAATAAAGTCGATCAGAGAAAAGTAAGGTTACCCTAATTTTCAAGAAAAAAAAAAGGCTTATCATTTTTTGCACAATTTCTAACACTGATCGACCAATAGATGGCCATTGAAAAATACCTGCAATACGTTATCAACATGTCGTTGCATGATACTACTGAATTATGCCGCTTTATTTCCTCCAATAGAGTGGATACACAAAATACCGTAAACATGGTAACCTAGTCGACACGACCATTGGTGATAGAATAATGACTGAAAGAAGAGTATTCCTAGATATCTGGCCATCGTCAAGGCTACCTCACTAAACGGGGCAAGAGTTTTGGCGGTTGGAAATCGCGCTATTTCGTTCTCGATGGCCCAATTCTCAGATATTATGACATGGTAAGTTTTCAAATGTTAAAAAACTATTCTTCTATCATGTAATTAATATATATGCAACAGCAAGGAGGATCATTACTCGGCGTCATACACCTCAGTGAAGCACAAGTTTGTCGGCAAAACTCTCCTCCGTCATCGGCAAATGGACCTGTGCAACAGCACAAACACGCCTTCATGATCTTGGAGCCTAAAAAATCCGTCGCCAATGGTGTGCATAAACACTTGCTTTGTGCATACTCGGATACGGAGCGTGATGAGTGGATTGAAGCTTTGAATCACTATGCCAATCTCGGATTGCTACGACAGGAAACCAAACGTAAAGTCTCCAAAGAAGATATCAAGCCTATCAGTGCGATGCCTATCAGCCAACTTTCCAGCATAGACTATGCTGGAAAATTTTCTACCAATATATCCCCTGCCATGTTGCCTTATTATCCGCCACGATCCAACTCGGACTCTTCCATTCATCCATGTGAATCTACTATTTCTGACTCGTCTATTCCTTCTTCCACAGCATTGCTCGATATGGACTCTCCTCCGCTTTTGCGTCAACGATCAAGCATGGATCATCCCTTCTTCTTTTCACAACAGCACCAAACGCACCATTCCTCGACTTTTACTTCTGACTTTCCTTCTTATGGTACTCCAACACATGAATCAATATCCGGTCCTGTATCTCCTTGCACTACACCTACATTAGAGGAGGAAACCAGCCTAGAGTGTGAAGGGCGAAAAACAAAGCAGAAAGCCAACCGACGCACGTTCTGGTCTAAAAAAATATTCACCGGTTCCAGTAACGATACATCCGGCGCGGTGCCTACAGGTGGTTTGCGAGGATTTTTAACAAGGAGTTCCCATGACAGCAATGCCGATCAAACCAGTGGATTGGCGCTTCCGTTGAAACGTCGTCAAAAGTCCGTGGTTGAAGCCAATATAAAATCACCTAATCAAGTATTCGGTGTTCCGTTGATGGAAGCCGTCCAAGTCTGCAGAACCTCTGAGACATGCGAACTACCAGCCATTGTGCATCGATGCATCGAATACCTCGAAGCGAAAAATGCAACTCGCGAAGAAGGCATCTATCGACTGAGCGGAAGTGCCACCAAAATCAAATCGCTCAAACAAAAATTCGACGAACGTAAGGGTTTATTGAACGTGCATAAAGGAATGACTGATGATTACTGACGATTTCATGCATAATTTTGCTAGTCGGCGATTACGACCTGCTGGCATCTAACGAGTATCACGATATCCATGCCATTGCTGGTCTTTTGAAAATGTGGCTTCGTGAACTTCCGGAAAACGTTCTCACACAGAAGCGACTACGAGAATTCCTGGCAGTTATTGGTAAGCTCCTTCTATGATGTTCTTGACAATCATTGTACCTCCAAGCACACAAAGCGGGTATTCAATATTCGATTATTAGATCTAGTCGATAGGCAAGAGCGAGTGAACGAGCTAGGGAGATTAGTATCCCAGTTACCGATTGCAAACTATTGGCTTCTACGAGCCTTGACAGTTCATCTGATTCACGTAGTGGAAAACTCGGATATCAACAAAATGACGGTTCGCAATGTTGGTATCGTCTTTTCACCGACCTTGGGAATCCCCGCCGGCATTTTTAGTTTATTCTTAAGCGAATTCGATTACATCTTCTATACGGACAATGCCACCGCGACTGAGTCTGCAAAGTCCGACTCCGAGTTGCTGACACCTGAATATGCATTAGATTTGCATCCGACTCAACCATTACCAACGCAATCCACCGATCATGCCGTTGGTTCTCAACGCATACATCAAATTGTTCGCGACGAAAAAGGACGCAACAATCGCAACAGCGTGCATTATATGGATGGCGCGCCACAGTCTATTGTAAATCTTGAGGCGCAGCGAAGTGGTATGTGCCAACCATGACAAAAAATACTGAATTTGGTACGATCATTGCCGCTCAACTATAACTATTATTATAGGTAATATTGTGGATGATGACGAAGAGGTCAATGACCTGGATTTACCAATGGAAGATCCAGCTTTAATCAGTGATGATGACGAAGATAACCTGTATTCAGTATTTCCTGACTCTTCAACCTGCACTCAAGCACCCTAATTACTGTTATCTTCCTGAATGTATTTTACAAAGCTTCCCTATAATCAATCCCTCATTTTAGCCCTCTTACTCTCCTCCAAAGAAGTTATCTGTTTGTCCGTCTTTACTGTCATAAACTGAACGTTACATATTAAAACTTCATACAATTCAGAAAGGCAAAAAAAAAAAAAAAAAAAAGTCGGAAAAAAAATGTCACGATACCCCAAGAGCACCGCAGGTTAGCGCAATATGGATTCCTCAGGTTACAGATTTTGGTTTATTTTTGGAGATAACGATATCAGGTATGATTCCTCAAAAGCTAGAGTGCCATAATAATACGTGGGGGGCTAGAATCTTTCGTTTGGTCTCAATTGCATAGACCCATTCCATGCGGCCCTATACCAAAGATTTACTACATCGATGACAGCACCAAAATTTTTTTGATTCGAACTCATCAATGAGAGCCCTCCTCTGCCAACACCAACACCACGTCCAAAAAAATCCGGCAAGACTGCTTTAATTATAGGGCCCGCCCGCGCTTTCCCGGACCGGACGTAGCACAGTTTTTGTGCCCTTATAAAAAATATCGAATTTCAAGCAAAAAAGCTTCCTTGGCTCAGTCGGTAGAGCGTCAGTCTCATAATCTGAAGGTCGCCAGTTCGATCCTGGCAGGGAGCATCTTTTTTGTTTGAAACCCTCGGTTATTTTTTTTTGCACGTCTTTGTGCTTTCCAAGTTTTACTGGATGTTTCCGGATCTGGAAAATAAAAGTAAAGTAAAAGATTTTTTCTCACTTAAAGGTGAGTGAACACACGTCCGTTTTGGGCTATTGCTCGCCCTGGGATCTATGGGGAGGCTCAATTGAGAAAAAGGACAGGTTAAAAAACAAATGCAAATAGCGTGTAGAAAGCATGGGGTGGCAAACAAGCACAAAAAAAAATTGAGACAGAAGTAGAAGAGAGAAGTAAGGTATTCGGTCAGCCAAGTTCATTTGACGATATGAGCCAAGGCAGAAATTCGGTGCGGGAAGCAAAGGAAACAGAGTGAGTCAAATCATACTCAGCAGGATTAACGTGCCAAGCTCAAGAAAAAAGAGAGATAGAGGGAGCCAGTTAGCCAGAAGTCGGGCAAAATGGTTGTCACAATGAAGGGCTTTCCTTGACAATTTGGTGAGGAGATAGTCCATTGCATCAGGAGTTGTATCGGGAGGGAGACAAATAAGCCGATCTGGCTTGAACTTACTAAAGAGTTTATGTAAATGCGATCCACAACGGAAGCAAATAGAATTAAAATTAAGTAGCAAAAAAAGAAGCACAACACCACCTTTCACATCGACCCAAAAGCGTAGGATAGCATGCATGAAGATAAAGCTTTGGATATGTTACGTTTGTGTCAGTTATGCTGCAGATAATTGTTGAGAAAATAGAAAGTTGCATTAATTTAGACAGATCCGGTGCACATGGTTCCCATCATCGATTACAATTACTATCTTCTTAACTGGTCGGGTGATTTTACTTTTACAAATGGAGTTTTAATTATATTTTTAAAAATAGCAGATTTTACATATTTGTGTTGTCATTTATTGAAAATTGATATATATATCCAACTTCTCTCTTTTTTTTCGATTCCTTTTTTCTTTATATACACACATTATTGAATGTCTATACCAACTTATGATTTTTTATCTCACATATTCAACAATGAAAAAAAGACAATACAATATTTAACTAATCATAAAGTTATCAATGATCAAAAAATTTGCTGTAATACGATTATGACAAAATATGAATCCAAAAAGATAAAATGTAATTTATGTGGAGATATTCAAACGATATTCAAAAACACTATCTTCTACAAAAAAAACAAAAAAGTCAATGATATACTTTTATTATTTTATTTGTTTTTAACAAAAACACCATCGTCTACAATTTTATTACATTACAAAAACAGATTTTCATCAAAAACAATTACAAATATAAAAAAACTCTATTATGTCATATTATCATTTGATCTTATAAAAAAAGAAAATAATTTTGATGATGAAATAATATTAAATATCAACGATGAAAATAAGATCGAAAAAATAGGTGGAAAAGATATTATTGTTCAAATTGATGAGTCAAAGTTTACAAAAAAGAAATATGGAAAAGGATCTGGAAAAGATGGAAAATGGGTATTAGGAGGGGTAGAAAAAACAAATGAAAGAAAAATATTTATGGTTATTGTAAAAGATAGAACAGAAAATACATTACTTGATGTTATCACCAAAAATGTGAAAAATGGATCTATTATATATACAGATCTATGGAAATCATATCACAATTTAAAAGATTTCGGTTATAAACATAAGACTGTCAACCATAAAAAAGAATTTAAAACAAAAGAAGGTATTAATACAAATACAATCGAAGGTAATTGGGCATCTGTAAAATATCATATTAAGCCTAGCAACAGAAAAGAAAATCTTTTACAATTATATTTGGATGAATATATTTGGAGAAGAAGAAATCAAAATTGTATTTGGTTTGCTTTTTTAAACGCAATTAAAGAATATCAAAAATAAAAATAAATCCATTTCATATCATGTATCTACAAATCGATATTACAAATAGATATACACAGATTACCATATCAGTATATTTTAAATTCCGATTTAGTCCCCATTTGTATTGTTCCATTCAGCCATTATTGGCTATGTCACTCTTTCTTCCCTACCGAACTCGACCAAACCAGGCATCCAAATGACATTATTGTTAGTCCTGACACACACTGATCACATACATTGGGTCATCCCATTAAACAACGCGGCCTGATTTAGCGTTTTTAATCTTATTCTTCCTTCTCTCCTTTTTACAGGCAGGCGTCCTTATTTTTTTTATTTCTTGTCTACCGGCGACTACGCTTTTCACAGCTCTGTATTTCCGTTCGTTTTACTCTAATGATTTTCCTCGTGCGTTCGTTAGATGTTTTTTCTTCTGCAAACTCATGAGAGCAATAATTTGCGACAGGCAAATGCTCAAGGTGTCATAGTTTACCTAAAGTTTTAAGTTTGATGACTTGGCTCTGGTTATAAAAGACCAGCCGAAGATAATCTGGCTCTTTACTTTGGTGATATAAGAGCCTCGTAGCTACGTTCATATGTTTTGTTATAATGAAGTCTTGAACTCCTGGCAGAGCACCACAAGCCGGTTACGACAAAGCATTCATAGATAAAAAAAGGACTCTTCACGTTATCTGTTCCGGCATTCTCGGCACTTCATCCTTTTTTTTCCGTTTGGCGATGTGTTCAGATGAAACAAAAAAGTGTCCTGCATGCTACTTTTACATCTGCCGCATGGAACACATTACGTGTGTTAGGTTGCTCACTACAGGGGTCGAACCTGTGACCTTGGCGTTATTAGCACCACGCTCTAACCAACTGAGCTAAGCGAGCGACCCTTTTTCCGCTCTTCATCACTTTTTTCTCGTTTTTATAGCGGGAAAACTTTTAGCCGGAATTACACCTGTTCCACCCTCACCTAAATCCCTCCATCCATCATCCATCCGTTGCCACATCGTGCATCGATCCACTATCGACCTATCCCTGAAGTTTGAAATCGTTTCCATCGTTCTTCTTTGAGATATCTCCAGTTCAAGAAAAAGTGTATCAAAGAAACACAACGTTGATTTCAGCCAGTTCCATCGCCGAATCTCGTTTTCCGGTAACCGCTTCGATCCCCGCACCACCTTTTGTGTCCGAACCGGACTCCAATTCTGAATTTCGCCCGCCGACGTCGCATCCCAACTCGATGTCCACCACCACTCCACCTGAACAATTTGCGGCCATGCAGGCCCAAATTACTTACCTGGCTGCGCAAGTCACTACGCATCGTACGGAACTTGACCAGATCCGTCGCCTACTTGAAGAAAACCAGCAACTGCGTGATGAGAATGCTCAGTTGAAAGCCCAACTTGCTGCTGCTACTGCCAGCGCTCCTAAGCCTACTGTCCCCATTTCCCCCCTTACCACTGAGGCTGCAACATGTCCCACTCCAACCACTCCTACACCTTTGGGTTCTGATGAATCCACCTGGGCCACTGTGTCCAAAAAAATCCGCCCTCCGCGTATTAAGCGCACTGTCCGAAGCTTGGCTGCTTCAGTCCGTACTTTCAAGGAAGCTGAAGGCCCTGGTGGCTTCCAGTACCTCTACATCCCTCGTTCCCGCAGACTCACCCGCCAAGAAGCCCGTTCTCGTCTTCGCCGCCTTGGAATCGACCCCTATAGAATTCTAGACATAACTTTCCCTGCTCGCTCTGTTGTTGGACTTCTTATCCACAACCAGTACCGTCCCTCCGTTCTTGCCACACTTGAAAAGCATACCATTAAGCCCTTCCTTGATTTTGACCCTCTTGATCCTGTCCACCTTGCTGATCCCGAAATCAAAAGTTTGCCACTTGAGGAACAACACCTGTTTGCCGAGACCCTTCACCATAGTCGATGCGAAAAAGCCGTGGCCCGCCTTCCTTACCACCTTGCCTCGCCCATTGCCCGCTCCTTTCTAGATGATGCTATCTTTAATGAGGCAGATGTTTCTCGCATTCTGAGTTCCTGCCGAGGTGCTCCCGTTTCCCCTGCCGAAGAAAAGTCTTCTGATCCTGATACCGATATGGTCGATGCTAAAAGTGAACGCGCCCAAGCCCGTAGCGGCACACTTTAAAGATGATTGATCCCAATCACCCCTTCACTCCTTCCTTGTCAACCTCTCTTGCCACTCATTCTCGATCGCCCCCACCCCCAACCCCACCCACTCCCACCCCTCACTTCCGCATCGGCCTATGGAATGCCAATGGCCTCCAAGCCTCCTTGGTCGATGATATCCTCCAACACTGCCAGTCCTTTTCTCTCCTTTTCATCACTGAAACCTGGTTACTTTCCCCAGCTCGACTCCGTACTTCTTGGTCTCAGTACCATTTGTATGGTAGCCCTGTTGCGGGTAATTTCCGTGGTTCTCATGGTATTTCTGCTCTTGTTTCCCCCAGCTTTCCTTTCCACATTGTTCAATTCCCAATAACGTCACCTCATGCCCTTGGGCTCCAGATCGGCCCTTCACTCCGGGTTGTTTGTATTTATCTGCCGCCCTCCCTCACGCCTGATGAAGTCCTTGCCGCTTTGAACGCAATCCCACTGACCAATGATACCATCATTTGTGGTGATCTCAATGCTCGCCTGGGCGCTCTCACAGGTGATCATCGCTCCAATACCCGCGGATCACTACTACAAGACTGGGTAGAAGAACGTAATCTCCAGATTCTCAACATCTCTTTAGCATATGGTATTCCCACTTTTCTCAACTACCGGAATGAACAGCTCCATAGCAGCATCGTCGACTATTTTCTTACCAATGTGCCTCAACTTTCCACTCCCTCGCTAAAAATCTATTCTGAACTCCACCTTGGCTCCGACCACAAACTGTTGGCCTTATCCTTTGCCTACTCTGACCCCACTACTCTTGTTCACACGTCTCCTTCTTCTTCTTCAAGCCGTCGCCTCTGGAATCTATCGCGATTACAAGAAACGGACGTGCATCGCTTATATGTTGACACTTTTCACTCCCTGTCAGACCGTCTTCTTACACAACTCCAGGATCTTTCTCAAAACCCGCCTTCCACTCGACCACCGATCGACCAACTGAACTCCGATCTCAACGATCATATCTACACTGCGCTGGACAAATCGGTCTGTCGTCGTGCACCCCGGCCTCCTTCATGGAAATCATTTTGGAATACAGAGCTCCAAGCCCTCGCAGATGAAAGAGAACGTTGCTACCGTCGCTGGCATCGAGCCATTGGTCTGGACAAAGTCCCATGGTGGGATCGCCTCCAACACGCTGCTGCCCGTTTCCGTTGTGCTGTACGATACGCTAAGCGTCAGGCTTGGCGCGCCTTTTGCGATCACTTGGCCCGTGGGGATTTCTCGCGTGCAACTGCAACCATCAAAAGCATCCGCAATCGCCGCAACCAACAGGTACGCTTTACTCATCCTGATGGCCCAGCTATTGGTGCCCAAGTGCTCCGCGACCATATGGCGACTGTTTACTCTGGTCAACATTTGCCACGCACCCGACCACCACTGCCACCTGCACCCAGCCAGTCTCTCCCTTTCGATCTCGCATCTACATCCCTTTCGCATGCGTTTACCAGAGAGAATATCATTGCCACTTTGAAACGACTTCCACGCCGAAAAGCCCCAGGTCCAGATGATTTTCGTGCCGAAATGTTGATACCGATCGCAGACTCTCTTGCCCCTTTGCTGACCCACCTGTTTACCATCTGCACCCAATGGTCTTATACTCCCACAGTGTGGCGTCATGCCCAGGTAGTTCCTATCCACAAGAAAGGTGCCCCTCACGATCCTGCCAACTTCCGCCCGATTTCACTGACCTCGATTGTACGCAAACTTTTCGAGATGATTCTCTTACCTACATTGGAAACCACCGCCCCACCTCTAGACGTTGCCCAAGGGGGATTTCGCCATCAACGTAGTGCTCTGGATCAAGCCCTCTGTCTACACGACTTGATGCGGGCCTACCGCGATCGCCACAACCACTACCCTGTCGTTGCTTTTTTGGACATTAAGGCCGCTTACGATACTGTTGACCGCCGGGTTGTCTGGCAGACTTTACTTGCCTCTTCCACGCCTCTTGTACTTGTCTCGCTACTAGCGCACATGTTCGATGATGTTTCCGTCACAGTTCTCTTGCAAAACCAAGCCTCCACTCCTTTTACTCCGTCTACTGGTGTGCTACAAGGGTCTGTGCTCAGCCCGTTTCTTTACTCTTTATATATCAATACGCTGCCTGCTCTTTTGCGATCTGCTGCCTCAAATTCTACCACAGCGGTGCCCTCCACATCACCATCGAGACCACCTCGCTACGATGCTTTTGCGCCCAATGGCTTACCGTTTGGACCCATCCCATCTGACAGTGACCCCATTGCCTCGTCGACTCCCATCAACTGCCTGTTGTATGCGGACGACATTGCTTTGGTTGGATCAGCCCGCGAGGTACAACACATGCTCACCCTTGCTGAAACCCACTCTCATGTCCTGGGCTATAAATGGAGTCCTCCTAAATGTGCCATCCTAAATGCGCCTGTTCCCACGTCTCGTAGCTTTGTCCCTCTCTCCCTGTATGGTGATTCGCTCCCTGCAGTGGATGAATTTATCTATCTTGGCATTCCGTTCCACTCCAAAGGTCTGGCCACTGCTGCTCTGATCCGACATCGAGCACGCAGCACTTTCTTGGCAATGTCCCAGCTTAACGCTATGGGCCTAAATCGCAATGGTTTCCCACTTTTATTTTCTGCACGAATCTACGCAACTTTCATCCGACCCAAACTGGAATATGGTCTCTCAATCGCACACTTACTCCAAAAAGACCATAAAGAGCTCGCCCGTGTCCAAGATCGATGCCTTCGCATGATAGTGGGCGGCCATAAGAGTGCTTCTACTCAAGTGCTGGTTCACATCTGCAACCTCCCGAGCATGTCATTCCGCGCTGATACCTTGGTCCTGAAATTCTGCCTGCGGATGAGCTACCTGCCCGATGATTGCCTCATGCCTCTTGTTTCTTCGTCTGTGCGTTTGTCACTGCTGTCACGCCTCCAAGAACGTCCAATTGTGGTCGATCATCCTGCTGAACAGATGTCTTCCTCACGCCTTACCACTTGGCTACGCAATTATCGGCAACGTCACTTCACTGCTTTCCTGACCAGTACCCAAAGAGTTCTAATTCGAGCCTGCCGCCCTACCCTGATAGTGGATCCAATACTCTACGTCCCTGCTTCGCGAGCTGATCGTAGCCGCTTAGTGCGATGGCGTATGGGCTGGCTACCGGGGAAACCTCGTCCTTGTCGCTGTGGCTTCAGTACTACCACCCGTTCCCATCTCATGGAGTGCCCTGTTGTCCCTTCCCAACTTTGGTTCTCCCTTCCATCCTGTGTTCCAAATTTTCCTGGCGTTCGCATTGATTACGTTTTGAATCAACTGCCTCTTTCCCGTTCCGCCTCGGCACCAACTTATTGGTCAGACCTTTGCACCATCCTCTGGCACTTTGACCAGCTCTGTAACCCTGACGGAGATTACACAAGTGATCCTACCCCCGGCCAAGTCTGGATAGACCTCTCGCCTCCTACTGCCTCTCGCGAATCGCGCCTGGAACTGCCTCTGGCATCTTCCTCCCACTGCGACACCATCTAAGCACGTTGCGGAGGGGACCATGTAGTGAAAGGTAGCTTAGTAGCCTGTGTTCCTCTACTCTCTCACCCTACTTTTTTTCTTCCATCTTTTTGTGATCTATAGATGTTTTTTTCGTTTTATTTCTTAACTGTCCCATAGGGTAGCCGATATCGATTTCATAATCATTAAGGCCATACCCCTCAATAAACATATACATTTTCGACTGAGCTAAGCGAGCTTCCTTGATTTTGATGCTTGTAAGGAAATGATAATCCAAAGCCACATCACGTGACTTGTCCAATGAAATGTCGTAGAATTCAGCGGGTGCCCAATATTTTTCCAATTTTCGCTCGTCATTTGACCATACGCGTTGTGCACCATTGCTTGCTCGATTAATGTGGTCATACAGCTGGGTATTATGCCATACATCAGGTGCAAATTTTTAATGCGTACAATGGCCCTATTGGTATTATCGGTACGATTGAATAAGCCTCTTAAAGAGTCCATCTGGGCAACCGAAAGATTTACAACTTAAGGGGCAGGTATTGCTCCGATCGTAGGAAATTATGGTGATCAAGTGTTTTTTCGCCTATTTCGGCACCAATGGTATAAGAACCAATGCACAATCGCAACAGCAATGATTGCATTAACACATATCAGCTATATAAACAAGGAAGGAAATGTCAACAAAGATACAAACAGTATGTTCGGAAGCTGTCAACAATCAGAGCTAAGCAACGACGTAACCTAAACTAACAACTTCCGATAAATGTGTCTCCAGCGCCCCAAATACGCCGCAATCTGGTTGCAAACTTATTCAAAGATGTCATTAATTAAACAAATGAGGTTAAACCTTATAGTGTTACCATCAACGCGACAAAGCTTAAGTTGCGGGATTCCTCCTGCTTACTTGTATGGTCTTGCTTTATGCGAAAGAGAGATTGCCGGCAAATTTGTCGTACCCTCTGTACGCTCCCCCATTCGTAGAAAACATTAATTAAAAAATCCGTGAAAATAGAACTCATGTTTTAAGCGTCAATAGAGAGCTCGATCAAGCCCCTGACGGAACAAGCACGAGTTGTTCTTTTTGCGATTGCAACAAAAATCCAGTTCATTTTAAGGAACAGTCACATATGTGGACGGACAGCAGCGTTGTAGCCAGTGTATTTTTTCCCTATCTTCAATACCTAGCCATTCAATCACTTCTTGATCAGAAATTACAAGACATAATACCGGTGTTCGGGTATGGAACATCTGCATTCTAGAATCGCTACCTTACATGACCTATGGTCATCTCTCGGTGTACTTGCTGACGTCGATACCATGAACTACAAACTGCGAGTAAGACCACAGTGTACTATGCGTTTGCCCATTTGCATATCGGTTCATATCAGTTCAAATCGTGAATAGCATGTTTTCCATGAACTTGACAAAGTGATCCAGTACGAAAGACTTCAGAAACAATTATTGTCGGCGGATATTGAAGATACGCTGGTAAAGAAAAATTGTGGCATAAATTTTAATTCTCTGATTAAGCTGACACATGTTACGGCATTCCTCTTTTTTCCCTTTCTTTCCTGCTTCTCTTGTGCTTTTATCTCCTTCTATTTCTTTTTCAGACAAACATTGAAAGTGCATGTTGTATACTTGGGATTCCAACAGAGAACATTCTCGCTTCCAGCTTGTGTGAAGATATCGCTTCAGATGCGTTGCAACTTCAACAGTGTTTTCATCCTACATTTGCGAGACAAAGTGCTCTATCAGCATTGAGCTCCAGACTGATAAATGTATGTGGCTGCAATTGGTCATGCTAAGAATGTTTTTTAAACCCGCTTTTGCTTCTAGGAAATCCAGCAACGACGTTCACAAGTAAAGACATGGCTAGTCGAGATTTCACAGCTTACGGCAGAGTTAGCTGAAACTCATACGTTTAAATCATTCGAAGTAAGTTTGCCATCCGCATGGTTACTGCCAAAATGAAAAACGGTTATAGATTAACGAGAAAAAAAAATTAGGAGTACGAAGACGAGCTCAGCTGGGCAACTGTGCAATCCGTAAGTCATGGACAGTTTTGACATAAACCCCTATTTCCTTCTCCTCGCATGACTCCTCAAGTCTGACGATTTTTTTTTTACACATTTCTGTAGATCAGCTGCGCTTTACGCGACCTACTTCAACGACAAGTAAGATAGATAACGATTAGAACTTGCAATAAGCTTACTGACTTGACTTGATGATAGACATTGCGTAGAGATGAGTTCGAAGTTACAGCACAAGCAATCCACTTCTACTGGACGGTCTTGGGTTTTTCAATCAGCCATGATGATCCTATTGAAGTGGCGTTATCTCAAATCTTCCATAAGCTTTCATGCAATATAAACATCCATGTCAAACCATCGTTCCACGCGTCAGCCCCAGAGAAATTCATATATTATAGCCGAGACATGCCATCGCCGTTGCTGCTATCCACGGCCGTCATTGATGCTATGAAAGCTAAAGCAAGCTTACTGGAAGCGATGTATGATGAACGTCACAGACAATATACAAAATATATAAACAGCATACGCACCATCTGGGATGAATTGAATATTGCAGAGGATCGTCGCTGCGTTATCCGAGAATCTTTAGACGTCGATTATTTAAACGAGGTATGATGTCTAGTCTAAATTGAACAGAAATGTGCAAGTTAGGTGCCTGCGTATATGTATTTGCATTTTTGTTTATTGCATACATGTCTGTGTGCATAAGACGAAGTGCATGATTCCAGATCGCATTCTGATATTCACTTTTTCCCTTGTTATGCTTAGCTCCAAGTCGAATTTGAGAAAGTAAAATCCGTTGTACGAGCCATGACAGATGAGTATATCGAAAAGGTAAGGCAAATAATCGGTAAGATAGTTGCATTCTGGTGTCTAAGGCGGAGGCATCCATAGTTTAGGGCTAGGCTTGAAAATCTCTGGGATAAATGTCTGCTCACACCACAAGAGCGTGACGAATTCATATCTAAGCTTCATGAAAAGGGTAATTACTTGTGACGATCATTGAAATTATGGATATGTATTCAACAAATTATAGCGGACACGATGGACCAAGTGCGAGATATCGTGGATGAACATATCAAATACTTGCAGAAAATTCAGACAGAAAGCGAGCTTGTAGCGAGGTTAATGCAGCAGCGAAAAGATCTCATCCAGGTACAGTGTGTTGGCACTTATTTTGCTCATCACCAAATCACGTAACGTTGATTATCTGTTGTTACTAGAAAATGATCGACTTTGAAAAGAATGCGTCCGACCCAAAGCGTTTATTCCAGGCCTCTTTTCAATTGTTAGAAGAAGAGCGATGGCGTAATACATGTTTTCCGACGTTGTTACAGTTGGATGACAATCTGATTCAAGCTGTCCAGGATTTTGAACGAGTATCAGGGAAATGCTTCATGTATGGTGACCGGCGTTACATGGATACACTGGTGAGCTATGAATGAAGCTCTGTAACTGTTGAAGCCAGAATCTAACTATTATTATCAGTTGGAAGAAATTGCAGAGCGTGCGGCCAACCAAACATTTTTCGGTTTTTTAACTCCTGAACCATCTGAGCGTACAAACAGAAGCAGTTATGGCAAAAATCGATCGGTTACATCTACCAGTGTTTCATCAGTGCAAACAAAGAGAAGAACATTGGCCAAGGCGAAATCTTATACTGCGCAATCACCGCCTTCATCTGGTTCCCCTTCGTTTTCCAAGTCAATCCAACCTCCTAATCGAAGGCTAAGTGCCCCCAAAACATTGATTTCGCCCACAGTTACACCGAGTAGATCAACACATGCTGTGAAATCCAGAATGTCACCGGTTTCGATGAATCCTAAACCATCAGCTTCGATTTCTACGCATCGCTACTCAGAAAGCAAACGACCATCGACTCCCACGTTTGTATCCTCGAGCCAAACTCTTCGGAATAAGAGATCTTCGTCGAGTTTTACTGCGTTTAACCGAGCAGCCTCTTGCTCGCCGACCGACATGCCGCGGCGCCCAACTGGATCCAAAATGCCACCCACACCTCCTGCTGAAGTAGGAACAGGAAATGGCTCGACCTCCAAGGTATCGGCTGCTCCAACACCCAATGCGACAGGGTCAGCAACATATACATCTTTTACTACGGCTCGAACCGATGGAAAACGCCCGGTATCTATGCGAGCATCTCATATTCCAATTCCTATTGATAGCAGTATGAAATCTGCCTCTTTATCCTCGTCTGAAAATCAGAGCTCCGAAAGTGCTTCAAGCAGCCCTGTCAATTTTCGAATGTCTTTAGAATGTGCATAAATCCACCATGAAAATCGTAGCACTGCTTTGCGCGGGAAGTTTACGCTTCAACTTGGGCAGAATATTAGCATTTTCGGCTACTTGTATGTACGATACTCTCTCATATAGTATACCCATTCATAATGAAAATACACCAGTTCCATCCTTTGATTTCATTTTCATTTTCTTTCTATCGGACCTTCAAAATACAACTACTGACTTGCTGCTGCTTCGAATTGCAAGTGCCACTTTGTTCTATTCAACATAAAATTCCTCGCCATCATGGATGTTATCAAGGCAATGCAAAGTTACATTGATAAAATGATCAACGACGTCGTTGGAATGAAGGCTTTATTACTCGATATTGAAACTGTAAGTTGCTTATAACGTCGTTAAGTCACGCTTACTGATTCACATACCATTTAGACCCCAATAGTTTCTCTTGTATCAACACAGTCGGCATTGCTGACAAAGGAATGCTATCTTATTGATCGCATCGATAATCGAAATCGAGAAAAAATGAAGCATTTGAAATGCATATGCTTTCTACGACCGACACGCGAAAGTATCCAATACCTTGTTGAAGAATTACGAGAGCCTGCTTATGGCGATTATTACATATGTAGGTCACCAACGAAAGGAAAAACCGGTATTCATAAATGCGTATTGATTGAAATTATGCAATGGTAATAGATTTTAGTAATGTGCTACGTAAAGCAGACATCGAGCTTTTGGCCGAAGTAGACGAGCATGAAGTGGTGCGCGAAGTTCAGGCAAGTAACATAGAACATCTGATATGTATCGAAAGGAATGTGATGCTTATTATACTATAGGAATATTTCGGTGATTATCAAGCGATCAATCCAGATCTGTTTTCACTTGGTATGTCACCCACCCAGATTTTTGGCGACAGTGCAGCCACTTGGAATCCGGAGGCTTTCGACAAGTCTGTTCAAGGGATTTGTGCCGTTTTGTTGAGTCTCAAAAAGAAACCACTTATACGGTATGAAAAAGCCAGTCCACTGGCGCAGAGAATAGCTCAGGAGGTGCAGGTAGGATATAACTCATGATAGTATTTGATGAATCCATATATTGTTGACTAACGGATAAACATTGCAGCATCGTATTCAACAAGAAGGCCAGTTATTCGACTTCCGTCGTCCAGATACACCGCCTATCCTGTTGATTTTGGACCGTCGCAATGATCCAGTCACCCCGCTCCTCACGCAATGGACGTATCAAGCTATGGTTCATGAATTGATCGGTATCCACCATGGCCGCGTCGATATGTCCAACGTACCTGATATCCGAAACGAATTAAAGGTAGTCAATTATTATTGCAGGATCGACGAAAACAGTGTCTAATGTTTATAATGCCATGTTTCAGGAAATCGTCTTGTCGCCAGATCAAGATCCATTTTTTAGAAAATCGATGTATCTCAATCTCGGCGATCTGGGAGCTACTATCAAACAATACGTCGACGAATACCAAACGAAAACAAAATCCAACATGAATATTGAATCTATTGCAGATATGAAACGCTTTGTTGAAGAATATCCCGAATTTCGTAAACTATCTGGCAACGTATCCAAGCATGTAGCCCTAGTCAGCGAGTTGAGTCGAAGGGTATCCCAAGAAAAGCTTCTGGAGACCAGCGAGCTGGAACAGAACCTTGCTTGCAATGAGAACCACAACAACGACCTCAAGGTAGGAAATGAGAGGGCAGGGGGGAAATTAAAGCATGATGCATTGAGATGTAAAGTGACTGTAATTTCTTTTGCCTCTTTAGATGATCCAACAACTGATTGAAAACGAGCAAATATCGGACGACGCCAAAGTACGACTGGTGTTATTGTATGCTTTACGATATGAGAAAGCTCCCAACAATTCGATCAAGAGCTTGGTTGATCTGTTAGATCAAGTAGGAGTGAGCGAACAGAAAAGCGCGGTAAGTGCACTCTACGGGTCGTATGCTGAGGTTATTGGATATTCATCAGGTTGTGTTTGACAGTTAGTACCGGCCATACTGTTTTATGCTGGTTACCAACAGCGTCAAGATGATTTGTTTTCAAATCAAACGTTTTTATCCCGAGGTAAAAGTGCTCTCAAAGGCTTGAAGGGAGTGGAGAATGTATATACCCAGCACACTCCTTTATTGGGCGAGACTTTGGATCTCTTGATCAAGGCTCGCCTCAGGGATACTAGTTATCCTTGTGTCAGCGGCAACGATATGATTCCCAAGGAGAGGTAATAATCAAAACGAGTTTTACAGTAGTGCTCGCAAGTAATGGCTACTAAAACGATCACATGCACAACGTAGGCCGCAAGATATCATTGTGTTTATGTGCGGAGGAACGACTTACGAAGAAGCTCGATACGTAGCACAACTGAATGCAGCTGTACCAGGTATTCGGATCGTGCTTGGCGGTACCAATATTCACAACTCTAAAAGGTCAGTCATATGGTGGCATGACTCTATGGCATATATCCTAAATAACCGCGACATGATATGATGCTAGTTTTCTCGATCAAATCAATCGTATCGGAGAAGCATACATGAACCTTAGACCTTCTAGTTCCCGACGTGGCATACGCTCGTAAAAAAGAAGGGGAATGACTCCTTGTATAATATCCCGGATTTATGTTCAAACTGGAATCGAAAGGTTTATTTTACAGTGAGTTGTAAAAGCGGAATGACTTTTAACGATGTATTGATGAGATAAAAAGTAAAAATAAAAGAAATTGCGCGAGATGTTCATTGTTTATGAGTATGTATCCACCAAGGTATCTCTTAATTCGTTCACGATGGCGGTGGGCTGAGCATCCTGCAACTTGAAGATACTTTCCATAACGCTGAGTTCCGTTGAAGTGGTGTCCATACCAGCGAATGCCGACCAATCGTTCACGACACAACCGGCACCAATGACATCAGAACCGCGGTTCACAGTACCAGCAACAAGGGGGATTTGAAGCAATGAAGATAATTCGTCCTGGTCTTGGATCGACGTACGGGGATGTACTAAACCACCTTGGTTGCTCAATGCACAGTATGATCCAACCAAAACGTTATCGGCGATAGTTTGTCTGAACACTTCGACTTTAAGTGTATCTGCAATAATTTCTTCTGTTTCCTAATAATACCAAAAAACCGCTTTAGAAAACCGCAACATCCATGCCACAACCAAGACGCTTCCTGTTGTACTTACTCTGTCAATATCAGGATGAACGAGAGCAACGTAATCATTGCAAGCAATGACGTTGCCTAATGCTGACAAGCGTTCTTCGACACGTTGAACGGCAATTTGGTCAGGTAGGGAGTTGCGCAAATGTTGAAGTTCTTGATCGGTAGTGGTGCTGGGCACAAGCAAACCATGCTTGTTACCGGCAGTCAAACGGCCAACAATGCGAGTTCCTGCAATGGATGTGTGGATAACAGGAATAACATCACCTAATTCACCCTCGAAAACACTGTGTGCATAAATGCATTAGTAAGATCCTAACCTACTTCCCTCAACAACACATTCAGCCACGCACCTGTAAAAGTTCTCGGAACCTCCCAATGCCACAAGACAGTAAGAGTTGGTCAAACGAGAGAATACACCAATCTCGTTGCTATTTTCGAATTGAGCGCCTAGATTACTTGGATCAGCACAATATCGGGTAATGACGAGCTGATTTTTCTACTTACGAACAGCCATTGTAGATAAAGTGGAAGAAGTCGAGCCGAAAAAAAGCTTTTATAAATTTTTTTAACCTTGATACTGCATCCAATAAAATTGAATTATTGTGACTTTACAAATGTCTCCGCAGCAAAAAGAAAAAAAAATCACGAATAAATTCGTCTCTGCAAGAATGCCTTGGCTCCGACAACCTGATTGGTTCCGCAGTCGCACCGCAAAGGGTTGAAGTGCTGTGATGACGGATTGCAGGACTTTCGTGAACTACGCCACTTCCGTGCTGCGGTTACACTACATATCATTCACTTGAATGAGTAGATATCGTAGAACCACTTACACCAGCCACATTTATTTGGTAATCACTTCGAAAATTAATAAGCCAAGCATTCATGAATGGCAGCACCGCTGCTACCGCAGGTGAGCTTCTGCGGGTACCGAGCATTATTGTCAGACAAAGTTCTGGTGTGAAAGGTAAGAATCTAAGCCAACATTCGGCATAGTCGCTAGAGGAAGGAGAGTACTACCCTGACAATAGACAAAGTTCCACCAAGGTTGTCCCAGAACTCCGGATAAAATATTTTGCCTCGATGCCTCCCAAAGTTATTGTGCAAGTTATCTTTGGTTCGGGACATAGTCCCCTTCTCCATCAATATGCAGAAGCTTCTCCCCTAAAATAGTCATGCCCAAAGAAAGTTGAAACGGAAAAAATCGCATTTTTTCTTCTAGGCGGACCACAAGAGGGTTCAGCGGACAAAGGGAGGGTAGGGTTATTGTGATTACTTACATCGACTTGGCCTAAACGACAACTGACATTCATAAACTGCTTTTGGTATTGAAGAACATGCAAAGGTCACCTGGGGTTTTTCTCTTTTTGAAAATGTATGACGCACCCAAATAAACCTATATTTTGCCGATTAAAAATCACAAGTACAACTAACGATTCGTCGTGTAAATAATTAGAGTCGGTTTTGACTTTCTTTGCCAGCGAAATAAACCCGATAAAATGTTCAGGTTCCTTGGCGTGATATAAACCACCTCTTGACATGATTAACTTGATCGCGGCTCCTGCCGCAGTACAGCAGCAATTTTTTCATAAACAACCTTTCTGTCAGTGACAAGCTTGATGTGGGGATTGTTTTCGACTTTCTTTATTTTCAATAATGTTAGTTTTTTTAAGACTGTAGAGTATGATTTCATTAGTCGGATATGCATATCATCATTTTACTCGTGCCAGCGTTTCAATGATACGTTGTAATTCTTCCATTGGACATTGAAGCTTAGAACCACCGTTGTCGCCTCGGAGAACTTGCAGTTTTTGACTCGAATCGAGAAGAAGAAACCTTTCAATTAGATCCCCGTCAATGTAATTAGAAGCTTCGCAGTTCCTGGTGTTACTATTAAACGCACGCCACTGTTGATGGGGAATGTCACCGGTGGAAGGAATGATACGAGCCAGATTGTTCTGAACCATAGCAAGGAATTCGTATTGTTCCTGAGTGATACCGACAATAACACCGATCGCACCATTGACGGTAGCGTACAGTACGGAAGTGCGTGTAAAAACATCTGTGTCTTCTGCCATATCCGCCAATGAGCCTATGTATGGGAAAAAAAAAGTCAGTAACTGGGGGGGGGGATTATTATTTTCTGAACTATGAAATTTGCGACAGACCAGCTCGAAAACGGTTGACCTGATCCCCCAGGTGATATTCTCCTGCTACCTCCAACCGTGTCGATTCCTCCATTTCGGATGGCATGCGTTTAAGTGTAAACAAATTGTTGCACATTTCAGCGCCCAGATATATGTCATTATCCAATATTTTGACAGCCGTCATCCAGTTAGAAGAGAAATCCATCGCAACCTTTTTGACTGTATGCTGATTGTCGTTTGTGACCTCCAGTAAAGACATGGATTGCATTAAATCACCAACGAGAACCAGATGACCTCGAGTATCCATGGAAAGAGCCAAGATATTTGCGTCAAGTTTCAAAGCCAGTGTACATTTTTCTCCCGGTGACGCATCATACTCGAAAGCTTCCAAATAGTATATCTGTGTACGCATTAATATGATAAAACGTCCAGGAAATATTTCCCCTCTTGCCATACTTACGGATCCATTGACGGCAATCACAATTGATGGTGAATCGGTCATCACAGGTTTGATATCATAAAGCACTCCCGGCAGATCCACCGATTCAATAAGGCGATATTCACGTTCTGCAGATACATGGAAGATCAATAGTCGACCGCGGTCTTGATTCGGTTCGTCAGGGTTAACGATTGCTGTGCCTGCAATGACATATTTTGTGTCTTCGTGATCCAAATTGGCGCAGACCAAGCTTTCCACTACTTCTCGTTCTTTCATATCAATCGAATATAATACTACACCGACGAGTATGAGTATATCTTCCGAACATTCGCTGGTACTTCCTTCTTTTTACCTTGGAAAGTTCGCGCATCGAATACTCGCAAGCTCCCAGACGTGACGTCAAAACCGCTATCGGTATCGACAGATGACCGCGACGTGCTGAGTGCTATAGTTTCGGATTCTTCGTGATAAACTATCCGTCGTCCCATTTCGTTTTCCAAAGGTATTTTGGAGATGTGCAGCCTTCTTAGCTTATCAATATCACCAAATAATAGTGCATTGGGTAACGCCATGATGATCGACCCAGGTATAAAATTAGTTGCAAAGGTAGTAAATGCACTAACATTCTAGGAAAAGAATACCCCAAAATGGTCGTCAGACTTTAACGCTCAGGAAGAACTGTAAAATAAACCTACCTTGATATCCACTGCTGAGTAAGTGAGACGACCATGCATACTAGTGATAATTGTAGGCTGATCGGAGGTGGCAAGTATGGAGCTTTGCCCTGCGTTATCAAAAGGGTACAGTTTCACAGCCCGAGTCCCCAAAGTAATATGCTTTTTATGTTGCAATTTGCCGGTAGATGGATTTTCTTGATAGTTCACTAGCTGACCATCGCCTAAATTGACATTAAATTGCGTTCATCGTAACATTATGGCATTCCGCTTACCCAGAGATACAAAACAGTAAATAGAGTTTTCAAGTTTTGTTCTGACAATAGATCGAGGAACCGCATTCTGAAGTAAGGTATCTGTCGCAAGGATTTGCATCGCTGGTAATGTAACGACTTGGAGATTATGTTCGTTGGCCCACAACCCTACAATGACTCTATCGGTCGATTGTGAGTCATTTTTCGGGGGAGTGATATCCAAAGCAGCAATTTCGGAATTGAACTTCAACGATCTATAATCATGGTGCGATTTTCCCTGTTAGAGTGCGAACCCGGACGACAGGATGTTTAAACAACTTACCCTTTCTGTAGTAATTTATTTGCTTGAATTTCCAGATATACCAAGTTATTCAAGCCATGACAGAGAACACATTGAGAGCCATTCAATCGTGCTACCGTAATTGGTGAATTATCCGGAGATTTCCATTCTGCTATGAGTGTTCCTTCAGCTTTGCTCGACATTAGGCGGACAGAAGATGGTGTGACCTGGACAATATCGTTGTCAAGCGTACAACCCGTAGCTAAGGTCGGCTCTTGGAAAGAAAAGGTGGAGAAGCTTCGCAATTCTTCCAGCGGTTCTTTTTGTTTCGATTTTCTTAATATGCGAGTAGAATTGACACAGGTAAGAACCAACATATCGTCCCTAAGCACACATGTATTAATACGGCGTTTTCGCATCTAGAAAGCCCTTTACACATCAGCTTACAGAGATCCAGGTGTTGTTCGAAGTGACCAAATGTCTTTGACATTTGATATCTGTAAGACGGCCTGTTCTCGGAAACCCACACCACTCTGTACAATGCGTAAACTGCCTTGATTATCGATTCCTGAGCAGCATACCATGGTTTGCTACCGACACGCTTGAGTTAGCTGTTCTCTTTGGCATAGTACAGAATGGTACATACGCGTCCTTGTTTGTCAAGATCAAATAGACAAAAATCAGTAACAGGGCCGATATTTGGAAATTCTTCCAGCACATGCAATGTGTATCTGCTATCACTGAGTGGGTCCACTCGTGCCAGACATGAGTCACTCCGACTTGAGCCAATGTAAATCATTTCTGAATTCAAAGGCACAATAGCAGATGGCGTAGACAGCTGCAAAAATGTTAGTTCACTGCATGTTACAATATTTGACATGTTCAGCTTACCTCGGCAACCAGATGCAAATGGAGACTATGCACGGTGTCGTTTGAGCTTGCAAGAGAGAGTTCATATAGTGAACCTTTGACATCGCCTAAGAGGACACGCGATGAACTGTTATCAAGGAAGTTGGCCCTAGTGGAATGTAACATGAATATGAAAGACGGCCAAATAATTCGTCATCATCAAACATACGCGGTGATTATAGATGCTGGAGATTGTAGGGATACATTTGCGGTTCGCATGTTGTGATATGTGATTGCCACTTCACTTATGATAAGGAAACCACCGAAAGGCATAGGAACAGGAACGAGCGAATAGGCAGTCGTGTCCACGTTGATTTGGTATATTGGCCGTTCATTGATGCTTTTGTCTGCCAAATTCAGCTCGTACACTGAGACAGAACGCGTATCTTCATAATCAGCAGCTAACATTGCAATGGTCGGTTTCGCTCGACCATGCAAGCATACGATGGATTTGACCACTAATTCTGAAATTCTATCCAACCGAGTCAACAAAGCGTTTACCGAAACCGAAGAAAATTTGGGACCAGCTGGCTTACCGAATACTATGTGGTATCATTGACAATTTTTTGGAACCCGTGTCTTTGGCTTTTCCCTTTGCATTATTCCCAATTTTCATTGGTATGCCTATGATAGGTATGACGCGAAGCAGGCCGGTGTACATGCTCACAATGATAGCTTTGTTCTCGGGATCGAGCAGGGCTATCGTCGGCTCATCCGTCGTTCGAGCATTGACTTCTTCAAGAGCACCGGAAATGTCGGTAATAACTGATTTCGCTGTCTGATCATAGCTTAGCACGCAAAAACGCTGCCGATCGGTCAATACGAACAAAGAACAAGTCGGTCGTCCCTGTGGAAGAGGTCAATAAATTCGTCAGTGAGCTATTAATTGCGAAATTGCTTTATACTTACGGGCAATTGTAAAGCAATGAGCGATTCAATTCGACCGTAAATAGGAAAATCTAAAACAGGCTTTATCTCGTTGTCGACGAATACATAGATCTCGATACGCGTCCCTTTGCTAAAATGAAGATTAGAAAGACTTTGCTGGCTCCTTTTCCGACAATAACAATGACTACCTGATGATAAGGTTATTAGCTAGCGCATCCAAAAAATTGCCTTTCACCGCGAAGTGTACGGCTGTAGGCGGTTGTGCTGTGGTCACATAATTATAGAGACTCATGGATTCGGCAGAGAGGGAATTTCAAAGACAGAAAGATCCAAAAAGGAGCGCTTTCTTTTTCGGAATATGGCTACGGAAGGTGGCTTAGGAAATTGGCCACTGCTGTTGCCTGGAAACTCATACAGCATATGATAATGATCTTTTATATCGAATCCAAAGGGGTTGTTGGATATTCGATTAGAGGTCTACAATCAGCAATTTCTTGTGAAATTTTGTCTGCTTCTTTAGCATGTCATCGCCGGGTCTCGTGACACGAATTGGATACTGAGGTTGAAATTTTTCGCATTGATGGCATCTGCTTTGGTGGCCTTCTTGGGAGCTGCACCAAGTTCTCATGTTACAAGAAAACAGATATGATATCAGTTCAGTCAATGAATTCTCAATACATGATCGACGTTATAGGAATTGTATTTATTCATTTGTTAAAAGAGGATATTCAGTACTTATAATGTGCTTTTAGCTATTCCCTTCCTTTCTTTGAGCCACTTCCTTTCGTTTCATAACAAGAAGTTGCCCCGACCGTGGTTGAGCTAGTTCAGATGGTAATTTTTTATCTTTCGCGCTGGAGGTGGAGGGGCTTTGACCGGTCGCGTTTTTCCTTTGTCAATAAACCGCTTAATAGAAACTAGAGGGTTACTGGTTTTTGGCGTTGATTTCTCTCTTCTGAAACGGCTAGGATTTTGCCGCTTTTCAGTGTTCTCTTCATGACTTGAATCACTCCAAGGTGAATCGATAGCAACTAATGAGGAGCAAGGTTAAAAGCTTAGAAATCAGAAGGGAGCATCATACCTACAGTTGCGTTCGGGTTCGTTGCTATTGACTTTTGTTTCAACGTTCGAATCCATGGTGCAAATCACTGGATACAGGTCCACCAGAAGCAAGACACTCTCTTTTATATATTTGGAGTTGATCCTGTCTTGAGTTATTCCGACAACATAGTCTCAGACACCTGCACACTTGTGCGAGTCAAATGAAACTTTTTGCTTTAACAAAATAGGAAAAGGTCAAATTCTTTGACATCACCGGGTATTCTCGTTGCCGCAAAGCTACCCTTTCACAGAAACTAGCCATTGCGCATTTTTTATATTTGATGGGTAAATACTTGTTAGTTGTATGGAGCGATTTCGAAAGGCATGTTGTGTTTTATCGATCACTGTAACTGAGCAAATGCCAAAACCCGCGCAGTTTAAGGGTCAAAGAATTTTGCATCCAGTTTAACCCGACCGCGGGATCAGCAGCAGTTGTTTAATTTTCCATTTAAGTTAATAGCCTTTGATTAGCAGCAGAAACTTATGGAAACTATCGTTGGGTCATGACGAGAATAAACCATTTGTTGTGCGCGGAAGCTTGAAAAATGGTCATGATGTGGTTTTACAAGGAAAAAGATTGATGCATCATGCTTTTATTGTCTTAATGATTAAAACGGAATACTTCTACTCTATACACTGGAACGCCTTGTTCACCACCGAATTTACCCCTATTGAGCTTGCGATATCTATGCAGTTCATCTTGTGGAGCTTCTTCTGATTCTGCCGCTTTTCCGGCTGCATGTTCCATGGCAAAAATCATCTGTTTTCGCTTGAAGGGACCGAGAATGCCTCTCAAATCTTCTAACTCGTCTACGATACCGATCTCGCGATCAATAATTTCTCGCAGCTTGGTGACCATGTCGTAGAAGGTAGGCTCCAAGATGATGGTCGGGAAATGGATATCCAGTAAAGTATTTGCAAAGTCCAAGACCTATTAACGAAACAATCGCTCAAGTCAGCTTAGTCCCGGTTGACGTATCTCCTTCCCACTTACGTTTTTATGATATGCCGTGATTTCAGGTTGTGCGATTTTGTCGTCTTGTACAGTATATAATTCTATAGATGCAATAATGGCGCTGACGATCAACGGCAGCTCAGATGCTGTAATTTGTTTCATGGCTTGTTGTAGGAAGATGGTGTTGCGAGGTGTCCGGAGAATAATCTTCATATAGTCCATAAAGCGTGTATCCCACTCCTTCGGATCCTCCAATCGCATACGAACGAGTTCTTTGATCAAGAGGATGATATCGGTCTCTGGTATATCATCTACATGTGCAATGACCACAGGAAGCAATCCCTATAAATACTATGTCAGTAAAGAACATCAATCCGCCTCTGTCATATCCACATACCCATGCTTCTCGTTTCAATAAAACTTTCACGAGACCCTCCTCAATATAAGAATTGTGTAAGTTACTTGTCGCTATCAGATAAGCGAGAGTATCGAGGGGAAGGAACGACGCGTCTGGTTTTCCGTCTTTTTCTCTGAAACAACGACGGGTAATGGTAGATAAAAAGTGATGCGATACATCCTTCTGAAAACCGACAATTATTTAGCAAAGGCATATGATAAAACCCAAAAGACAAATAAGAGATGCCCTTACCTTGGTAAGTTGCGATGAAGATGGCCGCAGTTCTTGTTTGATGATTTCCACTTTTTGTTGGAACAAAACGTTCAATCCACTGGTTTGATCAATTTGGTTATTCACGGTCAGATGATCGACATCCATGTCGGTTCCGTTTGCTTCGCCTCCATCGTCCAGACCCAATCGTTGTTTTTGTGACCATAAGGCCGGTGATATATATGAAAGGAAGATGCAGGAGAACTTTTCGCCGCTGAGCTCGGAGTCCGTGAGTTTAGAGATGATGTCTTCTTCCTCCGTTTGGTTCTGTTTCAAGTCAAGCAGCCATTTCTTGTAAAATTTGTCATCATTGTTGGAAGTCTATCGATCGCTTCATTAGTAATTGTAGTCTCGAAGGATATAAAAGATTCCGACTTACCATTGGCACCGCTGCAACAGCATCCCAACCACTGTGTGTGAGCCCGACGGTTTTATCACTCTGTACATCGATATCATGCGCGTCCAAAAATTTGGCAGTTCCTTTCATTTTGCCTAAAGCGGCCATCAGAGACATCGGCTCGCTATAAAACGGACACAGCATAACGACAGATTTTGCGTCAATGGTCGCCTTTGATTTGCCACCCTTCTTTTCCTTTTTGAAATCCACTGTTGACATTGTAATCGCTAGATGTGAGTTTGAAAGCGTAACAATCTGTATAAAATCCAGAACCATGAGTATAATTTTGACGAGCATCCAACTATTTGACGCGAAACAGAAACATACGTTGCAGATAATTTTCTTTCCAGCAGGCGTGTTCTTTTCGGGAGGATGCACCCATTGCTCAGCTTGGAGAGTACCATATTTAAGATCCCATACACTGACTACGTAGTCTGATCCTTCATTGTCTGAATAACGATAAAAATTAGGACCGAATTCACACCAAAAAAACCGTGTCCTGTCACTTACTCTTTTTGATCCGAGGAGCGACTATGGCAACATAACTGTTGGCGAGAGGTGCCATTGCTGCTACATTACCGAGACTATCGTCAAAGAACTGATATCCTTGCCAGTGTCGCGTGAAACGACTGGTCAATGAAGCCTTGACAGAGGACGCGTTATCGCTGATTGATAATTGCCAGACAGTCCATGTACCAGATGCATCTAAAATACATACAATTTATACAAGCGTCCATATGTCATTATTGGAGAGATGTTACCAAGTGTTGAAATAAGACCATCCATAGGATCAAATGTCACTGCAATCAATTTATCCTGTAAAAATCACAATTAGCATCTCAACGCGACCGTGGTAGTGGTCTTTTACCCTCCATAAACTTACCTCGAGCTGCATATCCACTTGAGCAATACTAGTAATGCTCTTTCCATCCTCAGTTGCAGAGCTCAATATGACTGTATAGCGATTTGGGCGCTCGGTGCGGAGCACAGCTATGATTACTGCAGACGATGGAGGAGTAACCGTATTCGGGATACAGCAGGGGCGGCTGTGTGCTCTGGGTGTGACAAAGACCGAAGACCAAAAAATGTGGCCCTTACTGTAAATGCGCAGAATGTGAGATCATGTTTCAAGTCATGACAAATATGTTGTACTTGCCTTGACGCCTTCTGGGAAGCCGACAGTTTTTGAAGATCATTTGTGACCAGACTCATGGCGCCATTACCGTGAACGAGGATGATGTGGGATGGAATGGCGGGTGTCGCATGGATGGATTGAATGGTATTTTCAAACTACTCGCGTTTGGTCACTTATCATGAGAAAAAACTGCGCGCTTAAAAGCAACTTACTGTTTTCGAGATCCGTTGGCCCAAACCGAGATCGCCCTCGTTAATTTTTGCGTCTCGCCAAAGCCAAATAGTTCGCTTTTCCTCGTTCTTGGCAATATCTGGACCGGAAGCCACAATCGCATATACATGATCCAAGTTCTCATCTTGATTGCCACCACGATGAATGGCAGGGCCCACAAATACAACACCAGGAGGAGTTGTCCAGGACTTGGTACATTTCTGATCCGCCGTCTTTGAAGACAATGAATGAGTCACATGAAACGCAATGACAATTTTGAGAATTTAGTTACATTATAAAGCTTTACGCCTTCTCCTTGGACAGTGAGAGCAACTTGATCTGATTCGACATGATCTGCTTCATTTTTCGTGCTCGTTGTTAGCGATTCCTCTAATGGTCGAAGGCTGACAACGAAATGTGTACTGATATCCTCCGAGGCAATCGTACTATGAAAGCGTGCGAGAGCATATGGCTCCTCCAAAACGAACCGGGACATGGTGAAATCGCTAAATGAAGCAAACGAAAGGCAATATTCGAAGTCTTTTTTTTTTTTTTTTTTTTTTTTTGCTGGGATTTTTGAGTGACTGCTTGAAAATGGTCCGCAACTTTTTCGAATTTCCCCATCAGGGCAATGTCTTTCATGCAAGAGGCTTAGCAGGATTTTCAAACCTATGGGAAAATACATCGAGCTTTCTGCTGAATGCGTTGCCGTCAAGCATCAAGTATGATTTGAGCATTCCACTGTGAACTTTCTCAAAAATTATATATGAGTGTTGCGTCCAACTGCTACGTGGAAAACGAATGGTCTCAAGTTCTTGTAATTTATGTGCAGTCATCTTGTGCTCTTGAAATACTAGGTCGTACTGAGAGGACTGAAGTTTCTATAGAAATAATAGTCTCAATAGTCGCTTTGGTTACCACATTTATTCAGGGCTAAACTAATGACTCGTGCCTTCTCTTTTTTTTGTGCTCAGTTATCCAAACAGATAGTAATGTCTTATTCAGTTTCGCTTTACGTCGTATTGATCTCCCGGTGCTTCTTTTTCCTCTGCTGTAGCAAGAATGTAAGCTGATCAACTGAGGATAAGATGAAATAAACTGTCCGACAACAGTGCTCATATTTTTTACATCATCATGACGTGAAGCGTATGCGATAATGTTGAAATTTTTTTGTTTCTTTTTCAATTTCAATGCAAACTGCTTTCTTACGCACGGCTACGATTCCACTTCTCAAGCGTGCTTTTACTGCTTCTACCAGAATGTCTCACACGGTCATTATTGGCGATCAGCATGTGCCATTAAAGGGCGCTTCTTCTGATACTCTGGACAAAGTGCTTCAATTCCAGCCATTTAAAGACTGGGTTCAGCAATTCGACAAAGAACAGCAAAAGTGGAAGAACGAAATGAAGATCTCCTCTATTGAGGTTCAAAGTACCGATGTTTTTAGCTCAGAAAAGCTCGGTTTTGTAAAGTTGAAAGCAGACGTGAAGTTCAAAGATACCGATAGCAGCGCTCCGGGTATCGTATTTATGGTATGTACTTGTTGCTTACCCGGTGTGTCTCGTTCAGAAGTAGCTTACTGTTATTTTCGCGACTGTCTGCTTGTAGCGGGGCGGATCGGTATCTATTCTAATCATTCTACGACCAAACGATGCGGAAGGCGAAGACCGAGTTATTTTGACGCTACAGCCTCGTGTTCCGGTGCCTTCGCTTTCTTTCCCAGAACTGCCAGCTGGCATGCTGGACGGATCCGGGAATTTTTCAGGCGCAGCTGCCAAGGAAATTGAAGAGGAAACAGGTAATGTAAAAAGAAAGGGGGAAAATTCACCTGCTATGTGCGGATCTCAGTTACTGCAGTAACCTCATACTGTATTTGGTAGGCCTTCAAATCAAGGATGACGAACTGTGTGATTTGACCGAATTAGCATATGGAGATAGCCAGTGGCGAGGAGTATATCCTTCAGCTGGTGGATCTGGTAAATTTCTTGAAGCAGTCAGTTGATTGATTATATGCTGATGTTTCTCTCACAGACGAGTTTTTGCGCCTTTTCACCTGCGTCAAACATATGAAGAAAAGTGAGATCAATCAGTTGGAAGGGAAACTGACAGGTTTACGCGATCATGGAGAGAAAATCACTCTCAAAGTTGTACCCCTGAAGAATGCCTGGAAAGAAGCTCCCGATGCCAAACTTTTATCGAGTCTGGCTCTGTACAAATGCTTAAAGGAAGCGGGTAAAATCGATACATAGATCCGGTGTGATTTTATAATTATTTCATTCGGCACACATTGTCTCCATGATTAAAATTCGATTCAGCACGACATGTTCATCAATTTATGTAATCCATAGGCACGAGAGAATGGTATTTTACTCTAGATTATTTGGTATGAAGTGTAAATAAGAAGATTCAGAGTTCACTCCACAAAGAATAGTTATGCGGAAATAGAAGTGCAATGCCAGAAAATTGCTCAAAATTGACTTGCTTTTTTTTACTCAGAAAAGGCAACAATCGCAGAAGCTAAAAATTAACAGCCTCCTTTTCCGTCATGACATCTGAAAAGAACGATCCATTCTCGATATTGATTGATGATGAGACTGACGAGTTTCTTCCCAAAGTCGAGACCGTACGTACAATAATCCTTGACTGCTTACTTCTCGCTATTGACTAGATGTGAGAGTAGATCTTGAGGGAGATTTTTGACCGTTTTGACAAGGTTTGTTCCACTCATTCATTCGACGTCGTATGATAGTTTAAAAGTTCCGTATATACTAGGATAAAGATGGTGTGTGGAATAATAAAGAACTACAAGATTTCGCAGAAGCAACGAATGGTCGATCAGTAAGTGTAACTGCTGATAAATGGAAAGCGACACACCTGGACTCAGATTGTTTTTTAATACATACAAGTTTGATCAATCAATTATCGATGTCAGTATTTGTACAATATTGAAGGGTGGTTTCCATTACTAAACAGCTAAAATAGGAAATCGTTGATTCATTCGACGTGGATGATAAAGACCAATTGACGTATAAAGGGTTTTATCAAATGTACCATATTCAAACACTATCTGATCCCGAAGAAACACTGAACGACTTCCAAAAACGTAGGTTCCTTTGACGAGCTTGCTGCATCTGTACACAGTACTAAACAATGAAACGTATAGATGGCTATGACAGCAATCTGGAACTAGTGACTTCTCGAACGCGGGATGAGAATCCTAAATCGCCGGTTGCAGCCGAGGAAGACAATCAGGCATGATCTTGTTTGCCATACAATAGAACGGTCACATGGCACTACTTCGCGTAGAAAAATTCTTGGTTTTGGGTCCATGGGGGGTTTCTATTTCTTTCGTCAAAATCGTGTATCATTGCTTTTAAATATTGTTTCTTTTATCACTTCTCTTGTTTTTCATCAGCGTGTTAGCGAAAAGAAGCTCTAAAAAGAGAGAATGTACAGTGTCCATTTTCTTCACAAATATTTCAGCATAAAAGATGCAATTGCGAAGAGCCACAAAAACAGTCCAAAATATTCAAGGATTTCAAATTTGCATTAATTATTTCTTTTTGGTTTCTTGTCTGAACTAACACTATATGGATCCCGCTTTTCCTATTAGCACCGACTTGAAGCGCCCAGAAGGAACTACGACGATGCCTGTACCTGACTCGAAAAGACAGCGAACGACTCCTCTCGAAGGTAATTCCTCACTACTCGCTTTTCGCTCGTGTTCCTAACCGCCGGAACTGCGCATTCATAACAGATAAACAAGAAGATTTACCCATGCCAGATACCACCGAAAATCAGACCTCAGATGATGTTCAGCCGGAAGAAGCATCCGAAATGGACTTGGCCGGCAATGGTGACCTTGAAAAGGGGATTATCCGTCCCCTGGACTCGCCGCAGGTAAAACCACGCATTAGCTACCGACATGCTCAAAACCCTATTCATCATGACTTGTATAGATCAAGGAAGCGCTCCAACAGTGCAAAGTTCTTGTCATTGGTGCAGGAGGATTAGGATGCGAAATCCTAAAAAATCTGGCGCTAACTGGATTCAAGCAACTCGATGTTATTGACATGGACACAATAGACCTTAGTAATCTCAACAGGCAGTTTCTATTCAGGCATGTAGAAATCGTGCTGGATTGGATAAAAGCTCATGGATCCGCGATAGGCATAAAGATATTGGTAAATCGAAGGCGATCGTGGCTGCTGAATTTGTCATGAAACGCGTACCAGGAGTAAGCGTGACACCGTAAGCTGGAAGATTTTCAATTTCTTTTTCCAGACACTAACGGTAATATTTCTTCTAGTTATTTTGGAAAGATTCAAGACAAAGACGAGGATTACTATAAACAGTTCCAAATAATTATTTGTGGTTTGGATTCGGTTGAAGCTAGACGGTGGATCAATGCAAAGCTTGTGGATATGGTTGATGTGGACGACCCCAACAGTTGGAAACCGCTCATTGATGGCGGAACAGAAGGTATTATTGTCATCAAACAGATATCACGCACTATCGTATAACAACTCATTTCTTAAACAGGCTTCAAGGGGCAAGCAAGAGTTATTTTACCTACGATGAGTTCCTGTTATGAATGTTCTTTGGATATGCTCAATAAGCCTACCACTTTTCCAATTTGCACAATCGCCAACACACCACGTCTTCCTGAACATTGTATTGAATGGGCTTCTGTGTTGGAATGGCCTCGCGTATGGGGTAATAGTTACATGGGTTATTTCGATCTCTTGTAGAGACTTATTTACTTGATATTCATCTATAGGGGACGCGAAGTATGACACCGATAATCCGGAGCACATTGGTTGGCTTTATCGGACGGCAGACGAACGAGCGAAGCAATTCAATATTACTGGCGTCACTTATTCATTGACACAAGGAGTGGTGAAAAACATTATTCCTGCGATTGCCTCCACGAACGCTGTTATTGCAGGTGAGCCAACAGGGTCCATGATCGGTCAAATCTGCAACCAGTTCCTTCTTTTTTTTTATTTTTTTTTACAAACATTTTTCTCTAGCTGCATGCTGCAATGAAGCTTTCAAGCTGGCGACCGATACAGCGCCTTTCCTGAACAATTATATGATGTATACAGGCAATGACGGCGTATACACTTATACTTTCGAGCATCAGAAAAAGCCTGATTGTCCTGTATGTGGTAACGAAAACACCACCGCAGATCTCAAGCCGACGATGACACTTATAGAACTGATTGATTGGCTGAAAGAGAAGCCTGATATGTAAGTTCACCGTCTTCATAACAGGAGAAGCTAGCAATGATTAAGAAGTGGAATTTTTAGTCAACTGAAAAAGCCAAGTTTACGAACGGCCACCAAATCGCTGTATATGCAAGCTCCACCTGCCTTGGAAGCGGCTACACGGTCGAATCTTTCCAAATCCTTAGGCGAATTGATTGACGAGGGGGAATTCGTCACAGTAACCGATGTCGCCTTGCCCGTCAGTATGCAAATTAATATCCGCTGGCGGGACACGGGATCGGAATAGCTCCTTCACACATACACTTTGTTATTTGTCATGTTTGTTTGAATGTAATTTATGATATAAGGAATGGTTTCTGTGAAAATTTCAATCCATTCGCATCCACAATTATCCCTACTCTATTCTCCTCCTGACCTTTCAACCAAAAAAAGTTGCCATATGATATTTTAGTTTATTTTATTACGAATTTATTGTACAGAACGGGAAACAAGGGGAAGATGATGATAAAGAGTAAATACAAGTTGCTTATTGGCGAGCAGCCACTTCCTTGGCGGCAGCGGCAGCACGCTTGGCCATACGAGCTTGCGACTTGGGACCGTTGATACCTTCGCTCCAGCGACGACGGTGTTCATCATATTTGTCGTTGAAGTTGGCCTTGACGGCAGTAATGAGGTTTGATAAAGCGGGCTTGTCCGCATCCTTGACATCGGTGAAAACAAGAGCTGTGGCAGTCTTTTGATGAATCACGGTGCCAAGGCGGGCTTTACCCTTGACAATGCAGTACGGAACACCCATCTTGCGGCAAAGGGCGGGCAAGAACAAGACAAGTTCGATAGGGTCGACATCGTCAGCAATGACAACCAACTGCGCCTTCTTGGCTTCAATCAAAGAGACAACGTGATTAATACCATACTTAATCACAACAGGCTTTTCAGTCTTGGGAGCCTCCTTTTTCTCAGCCTTGGCAGCGGCAGCGGCTTTCAAACGTTCAGTCTTCTCCACCTTGGTCTCGGGTCTGTACTTGTTGAGCAACTTGAACAACTCAGTAGCGGTGTTCTTGTCCAAAACGTTAGAAAACTGATGGATAGCCGGAGGCACCTTCAAGCGCTGGTAGATGATCTTCTTCTGGCGTTGGAGGCGGATGTAAGCAGGCCACTTGACAAAGCGAGACACGTCACGCTTGGGCTGGATGTCTTGGCCGATACCAAAGTTCTTGGGATTTTTCTCGATCAAAGGATTTGCTTGGGCCTTCTGCTGAGGCTTCTTGACCGGGTAAGGAGCAGGCGCGGCGCGCTTACCGGAACCAACAGCTTTCTTGTTAGCGGGCTGTCATTGAGTGTGCATTGTTTGATCAGATTCAAATTTTTTTCGAAAATCCACAATTCTGATAAACCACACTCTAGCAGTTACCCTTCCTCCCACGAGGAGAGAAAGAAATAACTCAGCCAAAGAAGCCAAACTGCCAACAACAATGAAGTTGTGTTTGAAAAATAAACGACGATGCAATACACTAGGCATACACCATCTGGCAGGGCTCATATATGTACTGCGTACATAGGACAAAGAATTGCTTTTGCAATGTTTAATCACTTACCATGATGAATATAGTTGATGATGAAGTAGATGGATACCGTTCGAGCGAGTGGATGGACGGATGGATAGTTCTTCAAGACGGATGGAACCGAAAGAAAGAGATGAATGGCATCCTATACCCTGGGCTGGGCAACTTAAAAAAAATTCCATCTCCGATAATTAGGGTACCGCAAAAAAAAGGGCTTTTGTTCATCAGCCACTACTGATGCAAAATCAAAAAACTCGACTTGAATGCGCAATAAGCAGATATTCATACATTATATTTTAAGCATCAACAGTGCATTCTTGATATTGTAATATCCAAAGAAATATAAATAATATTACGCATAAAATTTATCGTATCAGAGCAAAGGGTGCCAAATTAGGTTACTGTAAAGTGGTTGAAGAGATAGTTCTTGATATTGAAAGTTAAACAAATAACATCAAGGCAAAGCGAATGATGGAGTTACACATGCTGTTCGTCTGTCCTGTTACTGCTTGCAAACGGGAATTGCACTTTGAGGGGCGACCGCAGCTTGAAAGGGTGCGCTTCTGTATTAAATACATATTCGTCCAATGAAATTTGTTGAGGATCACTAAAAATCAGGTAAAGATACTTCAACGTTTCCGCAAAGAAATAGCTGAAGATTGAAAAATGAGATTTCAAACCAAGAGCCCGATAGTACGCATAAAACAGATACCTTTCCTGAAAGTCTAAAGGCTGCACATCATCTGGAGTCATAACGTTGCTGATACGAGTGTAACCTGAGGCAGTTTTGCAGTACTTTTCGATCGCTTCAAAAATCTTCCATGCTTTATCCTAGTGCAAGAAACATGAATATCAGTTTTTCTTTGGAGACCAACAAGTAATAACCAACCTGATATGATGAGTCTCCTGTGAGGCGATAAAAGTAAAATAGACTCTCGACTGTTTCTGGACGAAGGTCAAACGTCATATTTTGAGGTACGAAACCGTAAGTATCAATAATTCTATGCATGTTCTCTGGATAATATGTCATATTCTGCGTCTTATCGGTCCAGCTCCAAGTTTCAGGAGCAAGGCCGGTAGGTGTGCGGATCCAAGCTTCATAGCATGAGTCCATAAGTTCTTGCGCGAATGTTTCCAATTTACTGTCGTTGAGATAGCGAGCACCGAGTAAAATGTTTCCTGGCATAAAGCAAACCTTTGGAAAGCATTAATAGATATACAAGGCAGCAAACGAATGATATGTGATTTACCAGTTCGCCTGTTTGAAGCAACTTGTAATTGCCACTGAATTCTCCCAGAAATACTAAACCCTCCTTGGTTTCCGATCGCAAGTAATTGTGCATACTATCGGTTGCTGTGACCCACATGCCGAGTTGCGTGTTCTCCGTACCTTGCATTAGAAGATGGGTCTTCAAGAAATATTCATAACAACTATCGGCGCCACCGGCAATTGTAATATAAGCTAATTTCAGGAACAAAATAAAAGGAAGAAAAAGAAAAACAATCAGTTGTAATACAGATTTTCATTTCCACATGAAACAATACGCACAACTAGTTGGTTTGAACGTCAACAAATCCCAACTCATAGGATAAAGCCCCGGAATCCTGGATGGTACACGTGCCATTTTATCCAGCACGCTATTGGCAATGCGCTCATAGTAGGGATCTCCGGTAATCTGGCTCAGTCTGACCAACTCTAACTGCATGGACCCGAATTCCGCGAGTGTCAATTGGTTCTCTATAATGGGCTGTCCACTGTGGAAGCGTCAATGAATGCAATGCAATCTATACAAGGAGCCTTATTTACCTTGATGTGTTTACGTAAGCAGCTGGAATACCTCCTGGTGTATCATAAGCAGGCAAGATCACTTGGTTTGTTAGATCGATAGCTTTCTGAAGCAATATTGGATCCGGTCGAAGATCATAGGCAGATAAGAGACCGCCAACATAACGAATGTTGGTTTCAAATGTTTTTGATAAATTCTTGCTAGATCTCCAGTCAACATTTTGTACATGTTCAAGTGCTTTTTGATAATCGTCTTCCAAACCCATTATGATCATTGTGTCTAGACCGTCAAATATCGAAGCTGTATAGTATAAAACGATCGTACTTCATCAGCTATCGAACCGTCGTACTGTATATGTGACCTATACAATACCTCCCCATCCATTTCTAGTTTTTTATTTAGTAACAATGGTAGCCAGGCCTTGCATTGCTATGACTCTGTTACCTTGTATCAGATGTGCCGTTGCTGACTGATAGTATTTCATCGTGCCCATAAGCATATTTAGAATATCCGGCCCATGCATGCTGAAATGCTTGTTTGACAGCGTCCTTTCGCTGGTCATTGTTAGTTGGCGAGGAATTATCATCAGCTGCTTTGACAAGACGCAGAAGGCCGATAGCAATCAAGCTCGCGAACCATGGCCATTGATACACATGCATCATAGATATCAGCATGTAGTGAATAATTGAATTACGATTTTGCGAAGTAAAAATACGTGCCCTAGTTAGTTGCACAGTACAGCGTATACAATATAAATTTGGATAATAGCAAGAAATTGAAGAGAGAGGATCTTCCCTCTTGTTCTTATATGTTACATTTTTGATAGGAACCTATAGTAAAAATGTCAACCAGCTGCAATCGGTACGGTTTGCTTTTGGATAACGATTTGCCACCACATACAGTCACGTTCATAGAACATATTTCAAGAATTTCCAATATTCTTGAATGTAGTGTGCATTACTGATTCGTTTTGAGAAAAGACAAAGGCGGTTTTATCGAAAAATCTAGGCAACAAAGGATAGTACACGATGATAAACTGGACGACTACCTTTAAAAATCACTTGCCGACCACATTTCCATGTGCACGTCACTGAAGTAAATGCTCAAAGATCCAGGCTGCCGGACAACCGATCAAAATGAAATATTTTCCTTTCTGGAAATGGTGCCGACATTTTTGTCAACCAACGAAGAAACTTTTCCTGGTCCACAACACCATAAACCATTGAATCATCCTTTTTTCGGTAGTTTTTCCGGTTTTCACTGACATCACTTCTAAGGAATCAATATGAAGATTATGTAACAGGGTAAAATTGAAGCTCCTTAACTTTTTGATTATTCCGATGATTTTCTCAAAATGGACGGAGCTAAGAATTCTCAGCAGAAGCGGCATCATCAACAGATTGCGATACAGGAACGTAAAAATGCTCTCAAATTTGCTCCATATTCTTCCAAACCGATAGAAAATCTGGTTGTCGATTACATAGAAAGCCAAAGTCGAGTGAAGGTCATGACAGAAGACCAGGTAATTGGTGAAGGCAGCATCATGGATGGTACGTTGATGCGAATACGATGAATGGATTTGCTCATCAACAAAATTCGCCAGTATCTTCAGTCCCGAGTTGCTGGTAATAATTTCAATTCCCGGTTACTTCATCAATGCAGTGCTTGGAAACAGCTATTGTTATCAAGTCTACAATCGTGACATCGAATATATTAACATATAAGCAACGAGTTACACAAGATAGTAGCATGAATATACTTCAGTTACAAAAGTGAAGTTAATTGACAGCGTCTCCCCATTGATTGGTTCGGGTTGAAGATCTTTTCTCCCATTCTTCTCTAGTCCGTGGCAGGTCATCCACTGAGGTTACCGTGTCCTGATCTTTCAGCCGGTTGATTCTCTCCGTTCTGGCTTTGGAAGCATCTGCGTCAGCATTAGGATTTTGTTGTGCTTGCATTCTTAGCTTTGTCCACGAATTATTAGGAAGGTTTTCAGCACGGACACGATCCCATGCACTTTGCTGTTGTGCTTGACTTTGTGCAGAGGTATTGCCCGTATTTGCATTTCCGTCATATTCCATATCCTTCCGATTCCATGTTCTATCAGCAGACGGTTCGCTCGATGAACGGTTCCAGGAGGATGATGTTGCGTTCTCGGCTACAGTGAACATGTACAAAATAAAAGTGAGCGTTCTGCTTCTTGTGACATGATATGGTAATCTATGCGCTGTACCTTGATCAGCCATGAATTCCGTGTTGCCATGGTAATCAGGCGAAGATGTAGATTCGAAATTTCCACTAGAAGTTGATGACATTTGGGGTTGGTATCCTGATGTTGGGTGTTCTCTTTCTTCGGGTGTCATGGCGCGTGGACGACCTCCCGGACCGTCTAATTTGTATCCTCTCGCTTGCAACATATCGTTTCTACATAGGATAAACGATGAATTGTACAATTCTTTGAGAATATGAGGGGTTTAAAGTACATACTGCATATTCTTAATAGCATTCACCAAATGTTGTGGTTCCGGTAGAGTCTTGATCGACTTGATACTTGCTAGCATACCCGAAATCATTCCGACTTGCGAGCCAATTAAGAATCCACCACCAGCAAGAGCTAGTAGTCCCAAAGGACGGAACTTCCTTCTGGTACCTAACTTCTGACGTCAAGAACGAAAGAAATATAATCAAATACGTGTGCTTCCTACCTATCCAAAAGGCAGTCGCTGAACCAATGAAGCCACCGAGGCGTGCTATACAAGAGCTGTTGAGCAAAGCAATGCTGGAGAAACTGTTCATGTTGCTCTTACTGTGAGTGTTCAACTGCTGTCTTGCTGTAGCAAGAGTTTGTATTTCTTGTTCCGAGAGATCGTATTCTTTGGCTTTGTCATGAAGACGCGCAAAAAGTTTATCGTCGACTGCTGCCATAATGTTGTATGAATCGTAATGACAGCACACTGATTGGGCTTTGCGGTCCCGAATTTTTTCATTCTTTTGGGACGGAAAAAATTCGGAACGCGCGGTTTCTGAAGGTTTTACATAGCAGAATCCAAAATTTATCATGCGCAATAAATCATCAAGCACCTGCAAGTTCGTGAGACTTATATATGAAGCATATAAAATTTATTCTGCTTTTTCTGCTCGAATATCAAGCGCGAGTGAACACCAGGAGGCAACAACCCCTTCCCGGCTATACACGATTTCGATTCATGGGAGAGAAGAAGCGGAGTCCAATGTGACGCGTTTCGCTGACAAACCAAATTCACACATTATTGGCAGCATTTGGTTTGGAACCTTCATCTTCTTTACATTTTTCACTCTTCAAAACGAGCACACTTTAAAGTATGACCCAATCAAAATCACTCGCAAGACTAGCGAATATATCACAGCATTTGCAACCAGATGAAGCCTTGGATAAATCTGAATGGAAAGTAAGCTATGGAAGTCCCGAATATTACTATGTCCGTTCCGGCTGTTTCATATCTTAAATTACTGAAATCCTGTTTGTTTGTCAGGATGTTTTGCAGGAAGTACAAAAACGAAAACTCCTTAATCGTGTTGCGGATCCAAATGACCGAGGATATATCCGTCAAAAGACATCAAGCAAACTGTGGGTCCGTGAGCGTATCGAAAAGTGCGTAGATGAAGGCAGCTTTCGCGAAATTGGGAGTATTGCCGGGAGAACCCAGTACAATAATGATGGTTCCATGGAAGACTATGTTCCCGCAAATTTTGTGGCCGGAAAAGCAACCATAAGCAAAAGGGATGTTATTTTGGCTGCTGATGATTTTTCAATCCGCGGCGGTCATGCAGATGGCGCGGTGTGGGGCAAATCTGTAAGTTGAACGCATTGCAGCTGGTGTCACGTCTCCTGCTCACGATCCTGGTTCGCGCTAGTTATATGCTGAACAATTAGCTCGTAAACTTCGGATTCCAATTGTAAGTAAGATGGTAACTGTTGCAAGGCCTTTTTCAGTTGGGTTCTCAACTGTGATTAGGTTCGTTTGATCGATGGAAGTAGTGGGGGCGGTTCAGTGACGCTGATGCTGGATAAAGGTGCTACATACCTGCCACCATTAATTGGTATGCAAGACATGATTGGTAGCTTGTCTGAAATTCCCGTCGTCTCGGCAAGTCTTGGCCCAGGTACGTGCTAATATTGATGAAACTAAGCACACAAATATCTACAGCGTTTTAATCCATAATCTCTTTGCTGTTAGCTGTTGGTCTGGGAGCAGCTCGGGCAACATTAACACATTTCAGTGTTATACCGGAAGACATCGGATCCTTGTTTGCAGCTGGGCCGCCCATTGTAGCGAACGCGACGTTTGAAAATGTTTCCAAACAGGAATTGGGAGGGCCTTTGGTTCATACCGCCAACGGCACTATCGATAACCTTGCGAAAAATGAACAAGATTGTTTCCATCAGATAAAACAATTCTTGTCTTATTTGCCTACCAACGTTTTTCAGCTACCGCCGGTGGACCCCACAGATGATCCAAGTACACGCCGTGATGACAGGTTGTTGGATATCATTCCAAAAAGGCGCCAGAGGCCGTACCAAGTGAGGGACGTCCTTTGCACCGTGGTAGACAAAGGATCCTGGTTTGAGATCGGCAATCGCTGGGGTGACGGAGCCGTTTGCGCTCTAGCACGGATGCAAGGATATCCCATCGGCATCATTTCCTTTGACTGTACAAAGACTGGCAGTGTTCTCACAGCAGCCAGTTGCCAGAAATTCAGGCGCCATATCGATCTTTGCAATACCTTTGGATTGCCTATCGTCAACTTTGCTGATTATGCTGGATTCGCTGTCGGCACAAAAGCGGAAAAAGAAGCGTAATATATGAAAGGTTAACCTCGCCAAAGTTTCACGTCCTAACACGGCGTTCAATAGGACTATTCGTTATGGATCGACCCTGACAGCTGCTCTTTATCAATCAGATGTTCCTTATTTTAGCGTTATCCTACGCAAGGTGTTTGGTGTTGCTGGTGGCGCATTCGTGGATAATCGTAGCCCTAATATGCGCGTGGCGTGGCCTAGCGGAGATTGGGGCAGTTTGCCTTTGGAAGGAGGGATCTATGTAAGTCTGACATTTAAAAAACAAACCATCGCCTACTGATCGCTGGCTTTAGGCTGCTTATCGTCGCGAGTTAGATGCAGCCGGTGACAAGCGCAATGAATTATATGAGCAGATAATGGCAAAGTTTGAAGCTGTGCGTTCGCCCATACGAACAGCGGAACTTTTCGATATACCCGAGATCATTGATCCCCGTGACACACGTGCTATGTTGTGTGAATGGGTGGTAATGATGTATAACCATGTATTGCCAGAACGCCTGGCCAAAGTCAAAGCACACGGACCAAGAATGTTCTATCGTCCGTAAACAAGTTGTATGAATTGAGTTGTCATCATCGAACTGCAACATAAATAAATACGCTCTTGGCATGTTCCTGGAGAACAGCCATACAAGTCACTATTGTATTACTCGTTTTCGATAGCAACCCTGGTTTTCATAAGTATATACAGTACGACAAAATAGCCATCATCTAGGCCTGTATTATACACAATGGTGATGAATTAAAGTAATGTTGACTTTGTATGATCTATTTGGGATCGAAATCTTCTCTTGCCCACTCTGGGAGTTCAGTTTCGTAGCTCCATCCATTTCCTGCGTAGCGCCAAGCATGCAGCCAGATATAAAGATCTTCAGGTTTTGGATCAGGCAATAAGCTGACACTGCACTGTTCACATTTATCGAGCGGCACTTTCTCCTTGCCGGCTGCTTCATTCTGCTCAGGTTCAGCTGTTAGGGGAACTTGACCACCGATTCCGTCCCCTTCATCGCCCCAAATTCCAGATTCGTATTGCGATGCCTCCAGTTGTTTCTTGACTAAGAGCTCGGCTTCCTCATCGGTCATGGATTGTTTCATGGGAAGCATAGGTGACCATAGGGAGCGATTTCCATACAGCGGGTCATTAGCAATCGGATAGCCAAGGTATCGTAGATGAACTCGGATTTGATGAGTACGGCCAGTTATGGGCTTACACCGGACGACACTGGTGGTGCCATTGTAGCTAATTCGCTGGAAAATTGTCTTACACGGTTTACCGTCTTCATGAACATAGTTCATGGATAACTTGAAGGAGATGGTTTTGATGGGTTGATCACATATGATCTCTTCCCTGTGAACTATCGGTGAGCCCGCTATCCATTACGTTTCCCATTAGAAGTAGATAGTTACTCTGGAAATTCACCAACGACCCGGCAAACGTATTCTTTTCGAATCTGGCCTGCAGACATTTCTTCTTCCAATGATTTGGCGCGCTGACCGTTCAGCGCAATAAGCATCAGCCCGGATGTTAAACGGTCCAGTCGATTGGCAGCTAATAGCATCATTTTTAGACGATGGTTGAGATCATTCTTGTATGTTAGATTACTTACGATAGAGTTTTGGTATATTATGCTGGCGCCGCAGAACGTGAAGGACAGTATTGTGACGATATCGTCCCGATGGATGGACCTAAATTCAATTTTTTTCCCCAATGTAAGATACACTGTTCAGCGTTCTGTTTCAAGACGGTCGAGATAATGCTTACAGGGATACCACCAGGTTTATCGATAACATATAGATCTTTGTCTTCGTAAACGATTTTAACCGGCTTATCAGAACAGGGAGGTTCATGTCGATGAATTTTATGTGAAATCACATCACTATTCTTGACAATGGTATTCACAGTGACCGGCAAATCATTGATGGTGATTAGTCCGTTTTCAATCGCATAACGCTACTGTCCTGGGTTAGTGCGGCGAATCCACATAATATTATAGCATTCAGACCTTACATAATACTTTTCACTGCGATCGCGAAATTCCTGACTAAAGACCTCCAAGATCGTGCGACCGAGCCAGCGACCTTTGGCGTAGGCCTTGTACTCGAAATAATAAGGTCGAACCTTCCGTAATCCTATATGACGAAGCGTATGAGACCACTGTAGATATCGCAGTTTCTTGCGTTAGCAGACTCACCATGTTCGAAATAATATTCGACATCGCCGAGATCATTTTTATCACGGAAATCGCCTGCTTTACGTTTACGCTGTCGACGGGTTGGAAGTTCGGCTTGCGTTTGTGTGCGCTTCATAGCATGGCTGTCATGACCGCTTGTATCTTCAACTTCCTTATTGGCCGTTTCACTCATTGTATGAAAGTAAAAATGAAAGGAAAAGCCACCGAGTTTGTGAGTCTCCTGTGCAATGAATGCAATTCCCAGCCCTTTGCGGAGTTTGTTGCTCAGGGCACGTCTGCTGCTATGTAGGTTCTTGATACAATAGTGCCCCAGTGGGTATCGAGCAAACATGGTCCCCATAGATAGCGTAATTAAACAAACAAATTATCATTTGGCCATCCACTGTGACGATAAATGCTGGAGTCAGAAATTGAAATGTGACATTGATTCGAGCGCCGGAAACCTCTCCATACGCTGACCAGCACATTTGATCAAATTGGGGATCCAAGATACAGTTTATTCAACGTTTACGCTTCAACTCCTGTAACAGACATGCTATTTTGATAAAGCAACGTTTGTATATCAAATCATAAAAAAGCCACATCGATGTTTTTCTGGATATGTAGGCACAACTGAAGAGACCCATCTTTCTAATTGCCTATCAAATTTTTAACCTTCCGCGCTTGATACATATACCAACATCGCATCGCTCCAGCAGTCCAAACTGTATCATACATGCGTTAGAGGAAAATTGATGAATATTTGGTAAGAAAATATAGGCAAAACTCTATAGGCGATTTTGACAGAATTTTCGATGCCTTTAATTATTACTGTCAGTGACTATGTATAAGAGCGACAGGAGGTTGGCGTTGGGCCGAATGGTCAAATCGTTTCAGTGGGCTAAACAAAAACTAGACAACTTGGAACAGGCGGTGCGATCATCCGCACTTTTAATATGCTCACGGACTCGAGATTCTGTGTCCCTGCTGCGTGTGCCGTCATGCCAAAATTGGTGTTCTCGAGCAACTGCGCTGTTTTATACCGAAAATTACGTGTATCACAAGCTGCTCCAAAATAAGCTTATTGATGACCAGCTTATTACGCTACCCGCCATAGCATCCTTTTCCTCTTTCCTCGCTTCCCATTCACATGTGCGATTTATCGGATCCTAGAATCACTGAGGCTTACAATGCTATTATTGAAGAGGAGCCTACTGATTGGTATGTATTTGTTTTATTGTCCTGCTTCCAGTGAAAAACGCCATGCTGACTATTGTTTCCTCTTTCTTTTTTTCCTTTACTCGGTATTGGATTTATCACGTAAAATACTTCACCATGGTCTCAATATTGCAGGCTTCTTCTCGGATACACTTCTCGCGACGTTATATCTTTATATGCCAAGGGAACTGAGGGACTTGGGTATGCACAGTTTTTCTCTCTCCGCTATTCATCAACACGTTCAAGGAGACTGACCATCTATTTAGAGAGTTCCGAAATCATTTAGGCGACGAAGTATTATATGGATTCCTTCGCGTAGATGACAGATATCTTCTCGTGACTTATGTGCCCGATCAAGTCAGGTATTTTTCAACAAAGCAACAGATCAAACAATAATTGCGTTACTTATTTTAAACGGGTTCTCAGTGGTGTGCGGCGAGGTAAAAACGAGCATAATTTATCGACCAAATATTACGTTGTACTTATCGTGCGCCTATTTTTCCTACAGCACGAGCACTTGTGCACAGCCGCTCGGTTGCCAATATACTCAAAGTCAATCATGCCCAAATTACAGCTTCTTCACTTTCAGATCTGAGTGATGCGAACGTTCGTACGAGACTAAAACTAGGGGAAAACCAAGTACCGAACCGGTCTCGGCCATCTTCAATGTCAGAGCGCAAGCGCGCCTCCTTATCATCGCGTCGTCGTTCTTCACAGTCGCAGTCTCAATCAGCAGCACCTCCTTCTCCAACTGATCCTTCGCCAATGCTTCCCAGTGACGTTGTGACGGCCGAGCCCGATGAGTTTCAGGAAGCGAGTGAAGAGCTGCCGTCATCGGAAGATGTGCAGAGTCACCAGATTAACCGTAACGCTTCGGAAGATGGGCAACCGATTGAACCAGTAGTGAGTGAGGAACAGCGACAGCAGGAAGAACGTGATCGAGCACGAAAAGCAGCTGAAGAAAAGCTCATGGCTGAGGAGACCGCACGCTTGCAAGCACAAGCCGAAGCTGCAGCCAAAGCGAAAGCTGAAGAAGAAGCCAGGCGTCGAGCGGAAGAAGAAGCTAAAAAACAAAAGGCCGAAGAGGAGCGAATTGAACGAGAACAAAAAGCAGCTCTGCTGAGAAAGATTGAAGAAGCGGAGAAGAACAAAGATGTAAGTGTGAATAGCGTCTTCTTATGGCAGCGTATCGCTTAGCAACATGATGTGCATAGATCATTCTTGCGGGTTTTGCATCCGTCCAACCCAATGATAGCCCAGTAAGTGCAAAAAGAATACATGTGCAACCTCACGTTATTTACTCCTTTATATTAGTTCTGGAGACGTCGATATTTTATCATTCGCGGCAAAAACTTGATGTTATATCGGGATGAACAGGTATTCACATAGTGCATCGGCTAGATGGCGAGGAAGATTCGGATAAACTAACCGTTTAATATTGCTAGGACAAAACACCTATCATTGTTATCGATTTGAACAACGTAACTTCTTTGTCAGCCATCGATGAAGAGCGCGACACTTTTGTACCCAACGCTTTTGTTTTGGACACGCATAGTGAAGGTTCCTTCCAAGTATTTGCGGACGATAAGAAAGATGCCGACACTATCTTTACTGCTCTTCAAACCGTGGTTAAAGCCAACTAGACCCATCTTGAACGATCTAAACTATCTAAAGCCTTTTATGTTTTATGGCCTTGCTTTCGCATCATTATGTCTATGACGAATACAGTTTTTTTCATATTCTTAACGTATCATTTTCTTTGCCCAAAAGTGCATGCTGGTTGAATTTTGATGCTAGGATTTTTCCTTTTCTTTTTTTTTGGCATTCTTTTTTTTTCTCCTTTATACAATAAGATGGAAGATTTAAAAACAGTTTTTGTACAACGAAAATCAGATGATCTAGGGGGAATTAGGATCATAGTGCAAGAATACATATACAGTGCTCTACCAAAAAAAATTAGACAATAAATTTTTTTTTACATCCAATAAAACTTACCGACTGTAACCGTCTCACGTTTTTGTTACGTGGAAAAAGTACTGGTGAATATTGATGGACGCTCTTGGCCATTGGCCAAAGTAGCTGCGATTAAACGAATGTTGCGACTGGCATTGGCGTCGCGCTGCCATAATGTGTTACAGTTGTTGCAAAGCTGCACACTATGCATCACTTCGCCGTCCGGAAGTCGCAATTGTTCCAATTTCTTTTGCCCACACCGAGAGCAAACCTACCATTTTCTGTCAGTTGTGTATCGTACCATATTTGTCAAGTGAAAATCCTTACTTTTGAAGTATTGTATTCGTTTATATTGACGGTGACCAGCAATCCTTCATGTTCAGCCCGCCGCAACAAGGCCCGGTATCTGTTGGCAAGACCTGTTGGTTTTCCTCGCATCGATTGTTTGAATACCGCATCCCCTATGGCGATCAGAGGAAATCTTGTGAGTGGGTCGTGGTTAGCCTTTCGCCATTTGTTGGGTCTAGAAAAGCCCTCGTTTTGTGAGTTGCGACTGTGCACGAATCGTGAAAAAAATGGGTTGTTCAATTGAAGTTACCTTCTGTGTTTCCTGTCCTTCTTCTTCTTTTCTTCTTGCTTGCGTGCAGTGTATTTTTTGCCACCATTGAGCATGATGTTCACAAGCTCGCTTTCCGCCTTTTGCTTGCCGATGTAGTTCAAGAAACGGAGCGAGGAAAAGCGATCATCGTAAAATTGAGCATGGAATCCAGATCCTGGGATAATTCTTGGGCATAACGGATGATATTCGCTTTGTGAGATGATTTTCGTGACGGCAAATCCCGCTCAATATCAGCAATGGTTCGCCCATCAGTCACTGTCTGCTGCTTCATTGCAAGCATTTTCGCTGCTGATTTCTTAACCCCCGAATTGTGGTAAAATTCGGCCGTTGAGCACCTCCGGATCTGGTGTGTTTGTTGGCCATGTCCATCGCTGGCGACGAAAATTTCCGTGATCCCTGGATCGACTCCCCATAGATGGAAAGTTCTGTCGAGTTCAGCGGTAGTAAAATCTTCGATGGCTAGTTGTGGCAGGCTTTCAAGCTTTCGCCGTGTGAAAATACAATCCACACCGTACCCGTCTGTGCGAATGCTCCCAGCAAACAAAGGACGGTTGGGCACCTCGACCTCTTCGTGACTAGTTACATTCATTCTGGTCATTCATATGCTTATACAATTTCCCCCGATTCAAGCTTACCGCAACTTGGCAAAATTGAATATAGCGCTAAACTGTGCGAATGCTGTTTCACGAGCTGGAAGGAGTGGAACGCGTGCTTTGAGCAATAATGCCCTCAGAGTCTGTAAATCGATCATTGCATACTGCCGGCGAAAGTGATACATTGGTATCAATGGAAATACTCGGCTTTGTTTGATGAAAGTAGATGATTGGGGGCAGAAGCACGTGCTGGTATCGATCGCAGTTGTACCACGTTCTTGAACGTCTGATAGATATTGTCGTGAATTCTCAATAGCACTTTTGGCTTCGTTGATAGTGCTCCGCAGGATTTCGATAGAGCGTACGGATAGACGTGTGGAAACCCATGGGGAACTTCTCCAGAGCTGTTGACTTTTGCAACTATTTGACGAACTAAGCGAGAACGATATTGGCGGGGAAGAATGGAAAATTCATCGAGAGTCGTGATGAGAGTTCGCGCCCATCCGTTGTTGGCTTCGGTTTGTACAACTTCAGTACTGTTGATCTGCTCGGCATTGTAATTTTCAGTTTCACGCAAGATTGTGTGCAAAAAAGGCAAGTATTTTTCTGGATGTGCTGATAGAGTTTTCAGATTGATCGGTTTTGGGACATTTTCAAAAAGCTGATGAATATCGTCGACTGTGGAATTGAGCAAGTCTGAGCGTTCAATGGACGATGGCCATTCTGGCGAATTCGCTGGATCATTGGACGAATCATAAATGTAGCAGGCGATTTTTTCAGCATTTTTCTTGGTAAGTTCCTGACAAAATGTGAATTAATGGCATGTTGGGATAGAATGGTAAGTAGAGCTTACTTGAACAGCATTCTGCAATTTGAGGCAAAAAAATCGGATGGTTCGATGCTCAAAATTCTCAGTGACCGAGTTTACAAATATTGTTGCGGATTGCTCGGCCAACGAAGCCAATGCGTGCTTATAGCCGGGTATATGGGTCAAAAATGATGCTTGTGGGCAATGTCCCATGTATTCCTGATAGCATTCGGTCATGCTTTGCTTGGGTATCTTGTTGTTGGTATTGGTGATCTCCTCTCCGTGGATGAGCTGTATACATGCGTAAAAAAAATCTTGCCAGAACAAAATGGGAGGGACTTCATGACGGGTATCCAGCAAATCCAAAATGTAATACGTTGCAAACGCTTGTGATTTAAGAGCTGCTGCTCGCCAGTAATCAACGAAACCGGTGAGTTGATCTTGCAGTCGTTGTTTTGCAGGCTCTTCCAAATTCAAAAATGAAGCGACACCAATCTTTCTAACAAACTTGATGCGATCTTTCCCGAGTAGATTGTCTAGTCGTTCATTGAGCGACACGGAATGGAAAGGGCAGTGTAGCGATCGTCTTGAGGTGTGGGCAGTTTGCTGTTCATACACTCCCGCCTTAACGCAAGCTGTGCAATGTTTGGAATAGTTGTCATTACGATTGGCTAAATTTCTCGCTTGCTTGCCCCGCGTTCGTTGCTTTTTCATCGCCTGTTTCTGCTCTTCGGTTTCTTTCGCTTCTGGCCGGCTCTAGTTCTTGGCAGTTTCTCTATTTTGATGGATGTTTGGAATAAGCATGGGAAGCGTGAAAATCAATAATGATAGCAACATCACTATACCTTTCTTCTTTTGCTCTTGCTTTTCTTTTTCTGCTTTCAATTGTTGTTGCTTTTTTATCTTCTTTTCGCGAACAAGCTTTGCCGCTGATATCAAGGCTGAAGGCGATGGCTGTAAGGCACGGTTGGAATTGGAGGGACCGGCTGCGCTATATTCGTGGGAATCTGTACGTCTTTGTAGAGACTGATGACTTCCTTCAATTGCCGTTTGGATGAGATTTTGTTCATCAAAGTCTTCATCGCTAGACTGTTGGCTGGGAATTGCATATGTAGCTCGTTGCTTCCTAATAAAACATTTAGCGACTTTGAACCTTATTTGCTATACTCTATAGCACCCTTTATCTTTTCGGTTTGACATGAAGAGGAAGAGCGACAAAGGGATTCGTAATTTTTCATGCGAGACATTTAAACGAACAATGCGGAGTCTGAATAGTGAGAACATGTTTGATCGATCCAACTTCAGCTTTTTACGATCATGATTGGGGGCTAGAACCAAGTTCAATAAACATCAGAAAGTTAGCCTCTCGTATAACGCCCATCCAGCATTTACATGTAGATGATGCAGCTCAATGTTTGCTTGTTGGTTTTTTGTTATAAACTGACATCAAGGATTACGTCGAGAAATATGGCTTCCCGATCAGGGACAATGCTCAGAATATTCAGCTACTGATTTTGCATGACTGTAATGGTACCATTGATGTAACATCAGCATCAAAAATAAGACTATAATACCTCATATTTTATGCGGATTTGTTAATCCATCCTACCGAACATGTAGTCCTATATTTCCTTAAATACGTTCGATCTTTCATCTGTCGTGAGATGTCGTTCTTCCAAACATCGATCCAGCATTGATGACGGTGATGAGTAACAATAGGTTGCCGATCAGTTGGATAATATTCACAAGAATACCCTGGCAAAAAATACGGCCGCAGAAGTTGCAGAAGCAAATCGGAGAACTCCATTGAGCTTGTGTATGAAACTTGGTTCTTATGGAAGATAGAGCAATGATCCATCGCAGCAAAAATACCCAACAATGGCAGCTAAATCATGGCATTCCAAAGCTAGATTGGCCAGCTCAATCTCCAGATCTGAGTCCAGTAGAAAACGTTTGGTATTCAATGAAGTTGAGCGTACAGAAAATGTGCCACGCAGGTATGACTGACAAGCAGTATTGCTTGGGATTCCATTGATTCCAAATTCATCAACAGACTGGTGGATTAAATACCGGAGAGGATCAAGGCCATGTTTGAGGTGAAGGGCCACTTAACTGAATGGTAACCAGAAGGTATGAGGATTGTGAAAGCGAACTGATACTCAAAGATAGACAATAACATTATTTTTCACTATTCAATATACACTATTCATCTATTTATCAGTAAACATCCACAAGCATTGCCAGAAGTGCGGATATTTAAAATTGGTTAAAAAAAAATTGAATACATATACTACAATGGAGAGATATTCTTTCTCTCTGTTTTCTTTCATTTTTGGTGTATCCGTTTCGGTTTCCTCATTTCTTTATATCAACGTGATTGTTCATTCTCTTCCCAATCTTCAAAATTGCTGATCAATTGTCTTTCTTCGTCCTGATCGGAATTTTTCAGACCAATTTTGTGCGCTGTTACACGATCCGAAGATGCTTGAGACGTTTGTTGTTTGTTAGCAGGTGGGGGATCCAGGAAAGGTATATTGGATGGACTCGATGTTGTACGGTGATGGTGACCGCTCCTCGCGGTTCCGATTTCCAGATCTTGCTCAAGTAAGCTGCCTAATGGTTGTAATATCCAGTGAGCAGGTCTGTATCGTGACAGAATTATTCTGAAATATTTATTTCCTTACCTGCGCTGTCCATACGAGCAGTTTTGCGTGTATTGTTTTTACTTGAAACAGGATTCATACGGATAGTTTCTGTATAAGGTTGCTGTGACGCAGGTAATAGATCGACGCTGTTATAGTCATCGGTGGAATGTCTGGAACGACGGGAAAAAGCCAAACTTGCTCGTGCAGTGGTATGTCGTGGTGACTCTTGGTAATCATCATCGTCTAGGTCATCCTCGGACATCATCAATTTTTCGTTATCGTATCCGTGTCTTTCCTCCATGCTGTCGCTGTCGTTTAATGGAATATGTTCAGGTTGGCTTCGAGAGTGGTGTAATAAAGCTACGCCAGAAACAATAATCAAGAAGCCAAAGACACATGATGTAATGTCCGTTCCTGAGGCGTCGAAACCGCGATAAAATACGGTGGAACTAACGATGGTGAGGGTAGTGAAGATCACATAATAGGTTGGGGTCACCAAGGCAGTATTGAAGATGTTCAATGCCTTATTCAGGTAAACGATCTCCACCACCAGTGTGACGACCGTAAGAACGAGCACCAAATAAACGAACCAGTTGGTAAACTGGTTCTCAACGGCAATTGAATGAACAATAGCACCCCCAAGACCCTGGGTAAAAACCACCGATAATGACCCAATCAGAGAACACGTAGTGATATAGACCAGCATGTTTTTGTTGCCCACACGAGGACCGCAATAGAAGACCAAAAACAGAGAGACCCCCACGGCAATCGCAGCGTAGAATAGGAATCCTAAAGAGTATGCATCAAACAAAAAAGATTAATTAGATGTTTACATGTTTTGTTTACTGATTGCTTCTGTAACATGCATAGTGCTTGTGCTCCAACTTACCTATTGATAACATTAATTGTTTAAATGTCTCAATAGAATTATCGGCCGCGCCTTCTTGTGGGGCATGAAGTACAATGATAATAGCGCCCAGCACGCATTGTAAACAACCCACTTTTCCTTGAAACGTTAAACCTTCCTTCAAAAATATGGAAGATAGCACAGCACTAAGTAAAAATACGTGTTAGCTTTTTTTCTTTGGGTAGAAATGCAAACCTTGTATCCCGCCGATTTACCTGATCACCACGCTCAGTGCACCCAGTGGAGTGACCAAAATTGCCGGAGTGAATGCATAGGCCACAAAATTACAAAATTCGCCCACGACCACTAATGTCACGATCCAAATATATGAGGTCCCAAAAACTCTTGATAAACAGCATACTGTAACTTACTCAAGATCATGCCTGTCCACCACATCGCCGACTTTAAGTATCCGTATCCTTCGCCGGCCACTCCACCTTTTTATCACCGAGATGAGAACATAATATTGATTTATGCCATGCAGAAGCTGATTGTTACCTGATCGTTCGGTGGATTGTAATAGACCTTTCTTCTTAAAGACAAAACTGCTACCAATGAAGGCACCTATAGTCACGTCAGATTGACCAGTGTTATCGTTGCTTCGACATCATAAGACAAAATACCACTGGCCACGGCGAGTGTAACGCCTATGCTTTTGTATAGTGCACCATGAGGTTCGTTTTCACTACCCATGAAAGGGCTTGTTGTGGAATTAGAGCTCATGATGTGACGATCAATGAAATGCAAATGAAAAAGAGTGAACCAAAGACAGGTCGAGACTTTTCAGGCACTGCAAATATCAAAAGGAGCGTGATTTCCCAATTTACGTCAACAAAGCTATTGCCTTATTGAAAATCCCCGCTTGGCTATTTTTAGCCAAAAAGCGGGCGCAACCACAGCACACTCCAATGTTTTTTTGGTGATTTTCCTTTTTAAAATCACGGTACAAATAAGCGTCCCAACAATCAACTTGGATGACCAATAAAATCACAATAGAAACTTGTACCATTCGTCGGAGTGTAAAATTAGCCATTATAACCCAATTCTTTAATTGATTAGATGAACCCGTAACTTTTCTTTCCCTGTGATGATTCGAGCAAACCACGTGAATCTCCCTGAGACGATAAAGTGTACATGGTATTATGTGATAAAGATATTTGATCTTCGTGTCGCCAAGCGTCTGTCATTGGACTTTCTGGATACCGATCCAACGGCTGAAACGGAGTCTGCTGGTTAGGACTATTTAACTCAGGCGAAGTAAACTGTGGTGCCTGCCTTAACCAGCTAGTTCGATGACTTGATAATGGTGGGGCGGCGAAGAACGGATTTTGATGTTCAGGGTGCACTGGTTGGAGCATTGGCGCATACATTGCTGGCGCTTCATATCCGGATGATACCGTCGTTGCCATGGGGTAATTGGGATCGCGCGCCATCATGTAAGGATTCATGGAAACCCTTGTCGGAGGATGGTTGGCAGGTAGGGTCCGCGCAGCCGCCATGGCGGGGGATGAAGCAAACGCCAAGCCAAGATCCCCGTAAAAGCGTTGATCCGCAAACGCTTCTTCCTGAGGTGCCTGATATCCGTAGGGTGATCTTGTTTCTACTGGCGATTGACTATTCATGGCAGGATCACTGTTACTCGAGGTAACAGACATTTCGATACTGCGATGGCTGATAGGTCTTTCTCTCATATCATGCGGTTGGGAATTATTGGGTGCCAGCGCTTTCGCCAGGAAATCGAATTTGGAAAGCCGCGCTTTGGATCGACCGCCTTTATTGTCGCCCAGATCCAGAAATTGTTGGTCTTGTTCTTGTCTGAATCGTGCAGCGCGTCGATTGATCTGGCGTTGTCGCCGTTGCCATTTTATGAGTATCCAGCATAATAGGATGGCCCCTGCTACCGCACCGATAGTAACGCCGGCGATCTGGCCACCTGATAGAGTGTCGATATCACTAGGTTGTGGAGGATCGCTGCATTGGAATCCTTTACCGCAGTAGGCCGATGCGCACTGAAAGTCTTCGTAACAGTGCTCCCCATTGTTCAGTAATAGTACGCAAGCTTTTGTTGCAGCGTTGCAAAAGGTATCGGATGGACATCGACCGTTGATGGCGTTGGGATCGTCACCGCATTCGCTTTGGCCGAGTACAAGAGACGGTGTGGCGGTGGATGAAGTCACGGAAAACGAATGTTCACTCCAAGCTGTTGTGGGGCTTTTATCGGTAGTCGTGGGAGCATCGTCCGTTGAAGTGGGATCGCTCGATGGGGCAGGTACATCGGTAATCATAGATGTTTCCGTTGGCATAGTTTCGGAAGCTGTAGTAGGGGAGTCAGTCGGAATACTATTAGGATCAGAAGTCGGGGTATCAGATGGCATGTCAGTTGTTGAAAGCTCAATGGTCGTCGACTCGGTTTCTGAAGCCGTCACGGAGGGCACAGTGTAGGAAGATTCCATATCGGTAACAGATGCAGAAGAGATATCGGTGGCCGACGTTGATGTCTCCACATCCGAAGATGGGTATATCGAGTCCTTTGTAACAGAGGAGCTAGGATCAGACGAAGGATACATCGAAGCGTCCGTAACCGAAGACATTGAGATATCTGATGACGCTTCAGCGCTACTAACATCGGTAGTACTCGGTGTCGCGGTTGGATCTTCCGTAATTGAAGTGGAATACATGGTGGCCTCGTCAGATGCAGAACTTGGTACGGTTGTTGACTCCTCTGAAGAGGATGTGGGATACATGCCGGCTTCATCGGAAGTGGAAGTTGGTAGAAGGCCGGACTCGGAGGGCATCGTAGGCTCGGTTGACATGGGTTCGTCAGTTCCTGACGTTGTTCCCATCGCAGTGATCGATGCATCTTCCGTTTCTCCAGTAGTAGTTACAGCCGATGACTGAGATTCCTCCGAAATAGAGGGTGAGGGTGACATGACTTCATCTGCGGCGCTTGTGGAGGTCTCCATTGCAGGTTCTGTGGAAGTGACCGTAGCCTCAGCCATATCAGAAGTGGAAGATTTATCCTCGCTTGGAGTAGCTTCGACCTTTTCTTCTGGAGAAGAGGAGGAAATCACGTCTGCCGATGATTCTGTGGGGCTTGGGGTTTGGGTTTCTTGATTTTCATTGGAGGATGTGGCCAAACTAGGTATGCTCGTTTCCTCGTCTTTTGCATCAGATGAGGTCAAAGTAGGCGTAATTGTTTCTTCTGCTTCGGTCGCAGATGGAGTTGTGGTGGCGGCGGTTTGGGCTTCTGTTATAGTCGGAGAGGGCGAAGGATCACTTGTTGCTTCTTCGGAAGATGGGTTTGTGGAAGCCGCCGTTGTAGCTGGTTGAGCTGTCTCTTCGTCAGACGTTGCGCTGGTCCCATCTGAACCGCTTGCGTCAGCGGTGGTATCTAAAGCCGCTTCTGAATAACGATTAACTGATGAGATTTCTACACTTGAAATTTTTCAGCATCAAGCGCCAACTTACCAGCACCTGATGATGGTTCTTCATCTTCTGGACCTCTTTTGTACAAAAGCTCCCGACCACTGCTATCAATCGCCAGTGATAGCTGCTGAACCATTTCTCTCGAGAGATCGACTAAGAAGTATATATAAGTCAAGCTTTCAGCAATCACCTCTTCAAATGTCATCTACCTGCATGAGCAATTACAATTACATAGCTCATAAACAGAGCAATAAAAAGTAACGTGGACAAAGAACGCTGTTTCCAACCGCCCAAAACTGAGAAGCGAATGCCCATGAGTAAAATGTATGATTAAGATGTAAAGAACAGAAAACCGCTAGTTTCTTTCCAGGATAACATGAAGATACGGTAAAAACACCTAATCAGACTGGTGCAACTGAGTTAAGCCTAAACAGGATACGATAGACATCATCACGTTGGGCTGCGATAGCGGACGTGTGTATTTGACATTTCATCTCCAAATCTAAACCTAGTTTGGAATTGAAAGATTACAACACATCGGCTCGCGCAACGCGAATCATTGCCTTGTTAAATATCGTCTTCATGGTATCATACAATAACCAGAGTGAATAAGCAATTTGCGGAGCGTTTGGTGGCTGTTCAGTGTTTGGAGGATCAAAAAGTTATATTAACTGTGTTTGAAATGCCGTAATTATTATATGTTTGTACTCGTGTTGTATCACAGGGATCGCCATTTTATTGCCCAACCGATTTCATATAACATTATAAAGTTACTGGGTTATTCTTATTCCTTTTTCTGTATACATATGTCATCACTGGAGGTACTTACATGCTCATGTGCATTATAAGACCCCATTCAATTTTTTAGTCTTGAGAGCATCCATATCTAGTGAATATATTTTTCATAGTAAACGCGACTCAGGTTTTGTGTAACACTGACATCTTCAACACCGAATGATATACTTCTCCAGAATTCGCAGCGTGTGCTCTATTTCTATAAACAAAGTAGTTTGATATTTTGGTGTCACTTTTTGATGACTTCCTGTCTTTTTGTTTTCTTCTCTGCTGCTTTCTTTTATGAGTTTTTATACCTTAATTCGCATGTGATTATAAGCATCTAGGAAGTAATGCTCAAAGCAGACCTACTTCGTATTCGATTTGATTTTATGCGTTCCAAGATTCCAAATGTGTAATATATCAGAAAAATGACTTGAAGGAATGAACCTCTAGCTATCAGTGACATAAAATCGTATCCATACTGTTTAAGCATACTGTTTCCGTTTCGATATATGAAATGGCATCCTCTGATGTACCGATCCGCCTAGCCCCAGAAGCCCGGTCATACATATTCATTGATTCTACCCTGGAATGTCGCAGAAAATAAAGCCGCTCATGCTATTTGCGAAGAAATGAAAGGGGAAAGGGTGATTTCTGTATGTTCTATGTCGATGAAAGGAGTATAATAGCATACAATGTTTATCGGGTCCTTTCGGTCATTTTTTCCAGACCACGATAGCATAATACGGGCTTGAGGACATGCAGCATTTGAAAAATGTAAACTGACTGGCGATTACCCCTGCTTGTGCTGCCACCTCCTATTGTCACTTTGATTTTTCGTTTTCTCTTTCGGTTCTTCTTTCAGAAAGATCCCGGATACTTGGAGGAAGCATATCCTGGACGACAGCCAATCGCGATCATTACTTTTTTGGGTTACGTTCAATATTTTACATGAAGGTCAACGCAGCATATATGATCTATATTCATGGTTGACTCATGGAGAGATACAAGTATGTTTGCGATCCCTAGTTGCTTTTCCACAGAAACGTACGGCCTACTGACGCTTCGCTGCCAGTCAGGGATAATGAAAAGATAACGGCGATATTGATCAAAAATTAATGTTTATTTGCAAGGGACCCTTTCGCTTTGTCAACCATAGAGCGTACGTTTGGGATCAGGGCTTAATCTCGTCGACTGCTTTACTACTGTGACCGTATGCCGATTACGTGTGTACATTTGTTACAGGATATATCTTGTCTTGCTGGGCTTTATTGTAAATATATGATATCCAATCGTTGACCAAGCTCAGTGTGTTTCCAAGGACATTATGTCATGGCGTTGCTGAATAGAAAAAAAAAAGCCATAAAAAATTTTCAGTGGTTTATTTACTCATCCGACAACACGCCAGGAACGACAATTTCCCGGCTGCGTAGTCTGGTAAACAATGTCACACAAACGGTAGATGAATGGGCTGATTGATCAGGGATCTACTTGACTCAGCAATTACGGTGTGTTCGTCAAGCAATAGGAGCGAAAAAAAAAAAAAAATTACCAAATCGATATAAGCGCAGAGGGCAGAAACAACGATCCGAGGTCGGCAGAAATCAGTGTAGAAATTCTGGAAAAACATATGTGCACCGTTCGAGCTGATCATTTTTATCATCCGTCGATCAATAGGCTCGCCTAGCCTTGCTCGGAACTGTCGACTGAGAAACAATGCTAGTGATTCCGTGTTACCATGGAAAAAGGTTTTTTTATTTTCCCTTTTCCAGTATATTATCTCCAGCCATCGAATGATCTACCATAAGAAACATGTGTTTGTTGCATCTTTTGCACACTGCGATCTATTTGATTTTTCTTATCTTCATAAGATTTATCCCAAGATAATCAAACGAATTAAAAAACATGGGGAAGTCTCCATTACATTGGCAGAATAAATCCGATTCACCCTTTTCGACTCCGTCACCTGGGGTCTTCCTGGCAATAAGAACAAACATAATAAGCTGTCATTGCCAGGAATGATTCTGTTTTCTAGTAGCTGAAGCAGTAATAATTATCCTGAAGAGGAAAAATGTTGCTTTTCAGGTTTTAGCTGACACCACTTTTAGTTTTGTGTATCATCCGGTTGGTTTTTCCAAAAGATTCCACAAAAAAAAATAAAAATATCTCCCCCGATCTTATCAGATTTTCGTCGTTTGGAATCTGCGCTTGGATCGGCGACACAAAGTTGGAGACCTTGAGAAAAGAAAACATTTCACAAAGACATGGATGTGGATATGGATATGGATGATTAAATATTATGTATTTTTGTTTACAAAATTATCATATCAACGCATGAGGAACTGAAAGGGAATGAATATAGCAGCCAATTGATTATGATAAGAGGATGGATTGTAGAGGAAAAAAGTGATAATGAAGGATACGCAATGTAACATGAAAAATGGGTTTGAGTAAATGATTGAGTCTAGGCTTTGATCTCGGCGGTGTCGAGCTTCTCGTCGTGTGGTTGCATATGGTCATTTCCAGCACCAGCAATGACACCGTCTTGATCGACGTATTCTTTGGCTTGATCGAGAGCAGCATCAGCATCGTCCCATTCACCACGTTGGGCTTTCGCGAGAGCTTGGCGCTTCTCCTTGAAATGCATGTACACAAGGGCAGCCGCAACAAGAAGCCAGTAGAGACAATAACTGACAATACTACCGATGGTAGCTGTGTTATTCCAGCCCTAATAATTGGAAAAAGAAAAAATCGACAATTTAGCAAAGAAAATGATTGTCATGGATCGTGTTGCAAGCTTACCAAAATAGCATTGAAGATCATATAACCACCGTTTTGGTCAGTGTTATCTTCTGGGTTACCCCAAGAAACGTGCCAGACACTACAACAGATAAAATCTTAGTATATACTTGCAAATGACAGGATTCAAAATAAAAAACAATTACTTACGCAGTTTTGACATTGTAGGCAATCACATCACCGCCTTCTTCGGCAGCTTCACCGCCAATGACTTGATTCCAAGCGTTTTGCTCAAAATAGCCAACAGCCTTGGACATCAAACCGGCAGCGACCAAGTAAAGAATGATGGTAGAAATGATAAAGAACCAACGGAGCTTCAGCAAGGAACCACCACGGTAGATAAGAAAACCGACAAGACAGCCGCAAATGAAGCCCATAATGGCGGCAATGGGAATGGATTTAGCTTGAACGTTCAAAGAGACCTGTAAAAAATTATTAGTTTTTTTTTTTTTTTTTTTTTTTTTTTTTTTTTTTTTT